GGTGGTTCTTCCACCGCTGCTGATTCACTCGGTTCAAGGGTCGCTTCTAGTGGCACCTCAATGTGGGGGTTTTCTGCGGGAGGTTCCAGTTCCGGGAGTTCGAGGATCGGGGTTTCTGTGTGAGTGGCGGCTAGATGAGAGTACAAGGTCTCCTCGTCTGGGACTTCTTCTATCGTTACTCGAGGAGGCTTTACTGAAAGTCGTCCTTTCTCCCAATCAATCTCCGGATTTACCTTCCGTAGCCAGGGGAGTCCAAGGATGATGTCTTCACCTCCTAGGTTGGTGATCAGAAAGTCCATCCATCGCTCTTGATTATCCACTGTGAGTGCTAGACGTGCAAAATGGGTTATCCGTCCAGCTCGGTTAGGTGTTCCATCGATATTAAAAACGTCGATTGGTTTATGGAGGGGTGCACATCTTACATGGTTCCGGGTGACAAAGTCTTGGTTTAAAAACAGGGCGGTAGCTCCACAGTCTACCATGGCTGCAGTTGTTATACTGTGATTCCTTCCTCTTAGTCTCGCATGAATTCGGAAATGTGGGGAAGTAGAGTTTAATTCCCGGATCGACGATATTGTACATGATGGGTGCGAGTCATACGAGGAAGTAGCGAACATAACAAACTGATTACGGGGTACTCTCGGTGCAGCCGAAGCGGGTACCCTCTTTAAAAACCCTGTTGAAAGCCAGAGGACGAGGAGGACATAGCGTTAGCACGATCAAGTAATTCCCTTATTTGACCAATCTGATTGGAAAAGTCCTGGTTAGGGGGGCTCGGAGTAGCGGCTACGGGTGCAGGAGCAGATGTTGGGATCGAGGACGCGATTTGGACGGATTCGTTTGGGAATAGGGAGAATGGCGCGGGTCCCGTAGCGGATATCTGTTGGCGTCGAGGTTGCTGGCGTCGGCCTCGGTCTCGTCCGAGTCCCATGAATTTGTCTTGGCAGACTGCTTCCAGATGTCCTCGACGTCCACAGTAGCGGCAGGTGGTTTCTCGGTGTGGGCAGTTTTGCTTGACATGACCTTGGGCACCGCAGCCGAAGCATCGTCCTCGCATGCGAGCTAGGAATGCTTCCCTAGTATTCCCATTACTGGTGTGGGTTGCATCAATGTCCATAGCATGGGGGTCAGCAGGGGTAGTATGAGTGGTATGCGTGGGAGGGTATCCAGAGTTCCGGCCAGTCATGGTGGGATCGTGCAGGTAGACATCCACCGATATGGCCCGTTTGATTGCCTCCTTCAGAGTCGGAGCAATTCCTTGGGCAATGTTTACGGTGATGAGGTGTTGTCGGATCTCTGGGAGTAATGCAGTGAAGAAACGTTCCCGCAAGTCAATATCAGACATTTCAGTCCGATCTCCGATATCCTTGAACTTCTGAGCGAATTCCGCAACTGTCTGTCCTTTACTTTGCCTGAGATTCTTGATCTCGCTACGGGCTTCCATACCTGGGTCCATTGGTTCAAACCGTTGGCTAAATTCCTTCAGAAACGCCTCCCAATTTCCTCCGAAAGGGGGATTTTCCGCATTGAAATGTAGCAGATGGGGAGTTGCCCAATCTCCGGCACTTTCTGTGAAGAAGCCCAAGGCGGACTTGATGAGTTTTACTTGGCTTTTGGCGAGATCCGGTTGTTCTGACGCCCAATTCTGGAACTGAGCCATGAAGCGACGGGCTTCAGCGCCATCTTTACCCTTGAAAACCTCGGGTTTGTTCATGCTTGACTTAGAGGATGAGCGTTCCTCCATAGCTGTAGCAAGGTTAGCTACTTGTCTGATGAGCTGAGCCATGAGATCCTCCGCAGAGGTGTTTGGGGCAGGCGGGATAGGAGTCGACATGATGGGAGTAGGCAATCGGGGTTGGGGAATCGGCAGGAAGGTTATATTGCTCACAGTGAGTGGCTCTCGGATTGAGTTCAAAAGGGCGTTGGGGCAAGGTTGAGACTGGCAATCGCGCCAAGTATCGTCGTTGTTATGGGCGTGAGCTTGGTCTCTGGGGTCAAGTGCGTGCGGGAGTGCGGAGCAGTCTATACTGGCAACAGGTGTTTCAGAGTCGGGCGGAACTGGGGAAGACGTGGTGTCTATAGACCCTGCAAGGACAACCTTATCGGTAGGCTGTCAGTGCAGTAATGGATCTTGACCTAATGTCACGAAGCGGCAGAGGCGGAGTGACTAACGGAGCGGGAAAGCGGAGCGACTAAGCAGAATGGTGAGGCGGAGCAACTGGACAAGGCAACAAGGCGGAGCGACTAAGCAGAACAGCGGCAAGCTGGTCCCAGATAATGACAGAGATATATTGAGTATCGTAGTCATAGGTAATAATAAGTAAGCACATACCTGGTCCCAGATAATGACAGAGAGGTCAAGATAAGGGACCAGGCTGTGGAGGGTTGGCTATATATACATAATCCGGTCTGCGAGAAACAACGATGTAATACTGTACAGTTTAGGAACAAGGAAGGTGGCGGAAGCCAGTAGAAGGAGAAGATGGGTCAGGTGGATCAGTAATCGATGGGGGTTTGACAGTGATGGGATGATGTATCGTACAAGTAAAGGCGTCGAGACGGTGAGAAAAGGAAAATGATAGGGGCTGCGTACTTTATGACATTGTCCTTCAGGTGTGACTACGATCCCCCCCTGAGTGGCGCAATAATCACACCAGCATATGAAGATAGGGCTGTGGATGTCGTGAGGTTCGCGTTTGATTCTTTGGCCTACCGGGACGCCATTCTTCAAGAGAGGTTTCATGGTCGGAGATTCAGGTCAAAATTCTCAATCTCAAATCACCGGTTACCCGGTCCCCGGTAAATATTGTGCCGAGTAACTAGCAGTGAAGGGGAATTTCTTCGAGTTTCCTTCTATTCTTCGCAATAGAGTGAGTTATGATGAGGTTTTTGATTAATGCATATCTGTGATATTGTTACAAGATTGAAGGAATGTAAGAAGGTGGTAGTAAGAGAATGTAACGAATAGGTCAATTCAATGGACCGAGGGTATATACGTCTTTACACTCCTATCTGCGACTTTATCTACAAAGGAATTCCATACCAATGATGTTCAACTCCTCACGGGGATTCCAGTACCAATGACCTCGAAATAGCCCATAAAATTCGGTAGCGGTAATTACAACAGGCGTAGCTTCCATATTATGTCTGATAGACAGATCAGTGCATAGATAATTAATTATTAGTAGAGAAAGACTTACATGGATTGTAGATGGAGTAGTAACTCGTGAGGTTTCAACGCCTTATGACAATGCACACAGCAAATAACGTTTGCATACATGTTAAGGGTCTCATGAGCACGAATTTTCGACGTATCCTCTCCGAATTGGTTGATGATGAAGGAACTGTCATCAGGTGTAAGTTCATGGTAACTTAACTGAATAGAAGTACGATGAGTGAAGGAAATTTCGAAGACGCCACTACGACCCACCGCAGCCTGCCAGTTTACAAAAATCCTCGCAGGGGATGCCTCCGCTGACAGATTTGTATGTTCGATTACGGGTCTCGCAGCAGTCAAATCACTGGCTGTGGCCGTAGCTGGATCAAGCCCAGCACCGATGACAAGTTTCTCCGCGAATCGGGAACTGCGCGAATGAAAAAAGATCGTCCGTGCTGACCAGGGGCCATTCCCATTTCTGTGATAGAGCTTGTCAATTGTTTGCATCCGGTCGTGGATGAAATCATCTTCTGCACAGTTATGAAAGCAGCATTGGTGATAGAAAACTTGTGGGTAGACCATGAGTGCCCGACAGCTTGCACATCCAAAGATTGTGACGGCTAAGTCAAGATCTGAATGGGATGCATGACGACGAGCCTTCCGGACAATCTGAACAAGTTCCTGAATACTCGATGATCTCCAATCACGCAAAATTCGAGGCAGTTGTTCAAGCAGAGTCGATCTGAGGAAAGCAGCCGTCAATCCCCCCTCCATGTTAGTGTCCCAAACCATGACCTGCAAGGTTCGATCAGTGAGAATATCACCGACACCCGGATAAGGATTTCGAAGGTCGTGCTGAGCCAGAATATCAAGATACTCTCTTTTGAGACGGTGGAACTGTTTTTGGCAAATTTCAAGCCGCACTTGTTCTAAGCGTGCAATGCTGTGTTCTGAAAGCCAATTCACCAGTTCAGACTGAATACTGATCCAGCCTGAGAACGTGTATTAGAGATCAGCAGGATGGATAATCAAGAGAGAATAAGAAGTGCTTTACCGTGTTCAGTCAATTTCTTTGGCATTTTAACAGATTGAAGGTTAAGGAACTCGTGGGGCTGCTTCAATGCAGAGAGGCCAAAGATGATGAACTCAGCCTCGCTTCGCCATCCAATTGTACCAAGTCGAGTGAGAATCCTGATAAAGGTACATGTGTAATGCGCGCGAGAACCAAGTAGCAGAACACGTACGCTTGCAGTCTCTGGTCTCGAAGGTCACACAATTCTATGGAACGTTGGTTCAACTTTGCCTGATGCCATGCTTCAGATTGACGAGCATGCTGAGAAGACATGAGTGGCACCGAAATACACCAATGAACGAATTACTTTCACCTGTTCAATCTCTTTACATTCGGTCCGTTTACGAGTTACCCATGCGAGACGTTCTTCTTCAGACTGGAAAGCAATGAACTGGGCTTTGAATTTCAGGACTACCAGACCATTGTAAACTATATCTTCGCGATTCTTCCCTGGTAAAAGAGTCGTCTGATAGCCCATCTGACAAATCTAAATTTAACAGACCTGTAATACCCTTCACCTTCTCTTTGGGTAAGATGTCAAACGAAGTAAATGGGTAAAGTATGGCGTAGAGATTGCTCCACTGATAGAGGGGAAAACTGGCAAAAATCGTCGATGTTTGATACGTCAACGAAATCACACCACATACCTCTTTTCACAATTGCGACAACATCGCAAGCGAAACCTCCACAGGATATTATCACATCTCCATGGTTGATTACAAACCTAAATGAGTTCAGCTGGTTGACCAAACATACGTCGGTGCTTGTGAAACATACATGACAGTAAAGATCAAAAATCAAATGAGCGAATTGGGGCTCATTGAGATCCGAGGGGCGGGGAGGCAATCCACCCTCAAAATTCTCTCGAGCTGTGCGCCAGATGTTCTCCGATGACTTGCTCATCAAGATCTTCTGAAAGTCTTTCGATGTGCGGGCTAGGGTGAGAAGAGCACGAGGATCGAGGTGGCAGAAGATCTATCGATTCAAACATCAAGTCAATAAGTGTAGGAAAAAGTTTGGTTTATTCATTCGTACCTCGTAGACGATTTCAAGTGGGATAGAGGTCACCAAAGGTTGTAAGAGGGCAAATCTTCCCTGAATTCTCTTGAACCGGGAGGGTACCTTGACCCGCTTATATTTCTTCGGACTTTTTCTTGCTTCGCCGCTGATTTTAGGTCGCTTCTCTGGACGAGGGGTATCGTCTTCAGAGTCCGATTGCTCGACAGTTCTTGCACGCTTGCCAGAAGTGCTACGAAGATTGTAGGATTTATTCATACTGGAGCAGTGAGTGGCAGGAGAGTTCGTAAGAGAGATGGATGTAGAAAGTATAAGTTGGAATTTGGAGAGGCATTTGTGACGCCCAGGGGATACAAAGAATCAAAAGACCTTTGTGTATGGATATACACGTGGCGGCATAAACCTAGTCATATCTATTATCTGGAGGGAAGCGCTTGATACGTGGTATTTCTTCCTCCTCAAGTAATCGGAAAGGAGGAATGGCGTAACCAGTATCGACTGTTTTCTTCGACCTGACTGAAGGATTTTGCTGACTAACGATCTATGAAATAACAGTGATAAATATATGATCGTATTGCGATCGACCCAGAAGAAACTTACACCCCCGAGACTCATCTTGGTGAGCGGTACGCAAGGATTAGCTTCTTGGTAACGGTACGATGTGAGACGATGGCTGTTCATAACCGTCTGAGATCCAGCACCCTTATTTGTATGATCGAAGGTAGCGCCCGACGTATGTGTCTTTATGGAGATTTGGTAATTCTCACTCTTTCTGAGGGACCATTAGTAAATTTCTTGGAGGGGGAAAGAAAACAATCGCACCCCGAACCATCTTGTTGACAGCTGAATAATTACCGCTCGTCTCAGTGCGAGCAGAGCTCATCCATGAATAGCATAGGAAGTCTTGAGGTAGTCCTGTCAGGACGTAAATACGGGAGTTTGCTGGAGCTGGAGCTTGGCTCCGCGCGAGTGGGTCAGACGCGGGAGTCAAGTCTCTGAATGTACGGTATCGATACAATGGACGCCAGAGAAGTAATGGATGTGCACTGTGGGCAGAGAGATGCGAAATGAAATTGTGGGCTATTGGCCGTAACGATGAGAGTCTGCGAGAGAGCAATTCTTAAGATCAAGGCTGTGGCCGGCACCGCAAACTCAGCGCCTCTTCTTATATTATAAGATAAGCGAGACTTATCGCAGAATTAGGGCTTGATGTGACGTAACAAGCTTTAGCTTACTGCGAGGGTCTATCTGGGTCTATTCCCGATTTTTACAATTGGCCAATTTTACCTGAATAACTCCGCTACGCCTCAACACCGCTCATCCTTACCCCACCAGTCAGTTGTACTACCCGAACTCCTATAGAAAAGACGTCTCCGGATCCGTCCTCTAATCCGCTCCTACCGCAATGCAATCTCTGGTTATTGCAGCACTCACACACATCCACCTCTAGCAACATACCAGCCCTTGACCCGCGCTAAGCCATCTGGCTTCAGCAGACGGTCTTCTGACTTCGAGGAAATTGTCGGATGATTCGTTTAGATGGGGGGGTTATCGTTTACCATACGACAGTCAGGACCTGACTCGACAGCTGCACTGTATAGCTTGCACACTGTAGGACCCCGGTCATTGCTCATCCTAAACGCGTAAAGCAGCTGCGGGATCGGCCTTCAAGTCTTGTCGGCTAAGTCCTCTCGTTGTCCGACTTGGTCTCGTCGTCTCACGCATTGCAATGAGTGCGCTCCCGCGTCACTTATGGATAGTCCGGTACGAATACATAGTGGCTCCTGTCATAAAGTACGCAGCCCCTATCATTTTCCTTTTCTCACCGTCTCGACGCCTTTACTTGTACGATACATCATCCCATCACTGTCAAACCCCCATCGATTACTGATCCATCGATTACTGATCCATCGATTACTGATCCACCTGACCCATCTTCTCCTTCTATTGGCTTCCGCCACCTTCCTTGTTCCTAAACTGTACAGTATTACATCGTTGTTTCTCGCAGACCGGATTATGTATATATAGCCAACCCTCCACAGCCTGGTCCCTTATCTTGACCTCTCTGTCATTATCTGGGACCAGGTATGTGCTTACTTATTATTACCTATGACTACGATACTCAATATATCTCTGTCATTATCTGGGACCAGCCTGCCGCCGTTCTGCTTAGTCGCTCCGCCTTGTTGCCTTGTTCAGTTGCTCCGCCTCGCCATTCTGCTTAGTTGCTCCGCTTTCCCGCTCCGTTAGTCACTCCGCCTCCGCCGCTTCGTGACAGCTCCATCGCTGAATTCCGCGGCCACCACGCAGCCCAGAAGCTTGTTTGCTGTAACGCCTTTACAATGTCAATTTTCCTTTTATCTCTACATCTACCTTTCCAAACCCGAGCTCTACAGCTCTCAAGCAGGAGTCAGCTCTCCACTTTCTCGTAATGCTGGCTCCCGTACCAAATACTGGCAAACACCATCAAGAGTTGGGTGAGTAGAATGTGATTGATTATATCAGTCCACTGACCCCGTCTCCCTCCTTCCTCTTCAGCTACTTAACAACTGAGCCCAGCAGTAGGAAAGCAAGCCAACACCAGAATCCCTCTTCCATTCTGCTTATCCGGCATAAGCGCTGATGCGCTTCGGGTGGTATCACAGGGTATCACCTCACGCAGAGTATGCAAAGCGGAAGGTTATGGCTTATCTTAGAACATTGTCAAGAGGATATATTGGACGTGCTTGAATATGAAGGGTATGGCGATCTCGATGAGGGGTATGACGAGCAGAGAGAGGTTAAGGGACGGGATGGTAACGGTAGGATCGAGAGTAAAAAGAAGTCGGTGAGCGACCTAGGGCAAAATTTCAACCAGTCGAGAACGCTAAGATTAAATTCCGAGGTGATCCAGATTACCACTCGACCGTTCCTTTTTCGGAAGGTGATGCGGCCATAGAACCTCTCAGCGAGCCTGTTTGTTCGAACGATTGACGTTGGCCATCTGTTCGGTTTCGATCAGAGGCTTGTGGACTACGATGGAAAGTCATCTATGGAGCCAATTGAGAAAATCATATCTGTACCCTCCTCGAGTCTTCGCTAGGTTCCTCACCAGTCATGGTGGTTACCAGGTCTGTCCCCGTGGTTTGAGTCGGACTGCAAGACACAAGAGTACGTGAATTGCATCTCACTTGCATCTTATTTTGACTTAATTCTCGTTACTTTTCGGATATTCTTCTTTGACTCAATGCTCCTACGCTCCCTCGGCCCCTTCATTGGGAACCCCACCTACTCCGCAAATCGTGCTCGAAACTTCACATGTCCTCGCTCGATGCTCGGCGGGAAGCTCCGCTTCCCCATCCGTCGTATGCGCGTGCCCTGCTACCAGAGAAGTTGAAGCAGGCATTAGAGTTGGCGCAAATAGCGCGCAGCAATATAGGGTCTACCAGGTCCACATATATTTAGCACAAGCAGGTTGCCCATTCATTTTTAGACGTACTGTCCACACTCCACCATACTCCACCATAATTTCTGTGCTCCATTTGGGCGTGGCGTATATAGGAGAGGAGTATCCTGTAGAGGTTCTGTTATTCATGATTCGTCAATGAACAGTTATTAAATTTGTGAAATACAAATCTGAATCATATACAGTGTATCAATCATCTATTTATCTACATGTAAAGGAAGGCAACGGTGAAAAAGTAGATGTGATAGGGGTGAGGTTCGAAAGACCTTAGTCACCACAGTTAACCTTCCACAACCGCAATCCTTTGCATTGCCGTCTGATCCCTCTCCTGGGCCAAAACCTTAGAGTCTCTCAGTCGTTCAAGACCGTGTTGAATACTACTGATCTGCACTTCCAAAGGGATCTGTGAGCCCACGAGGTGCGGCATCATCATCTTCTCTCTCATATCCTCCATATCGTCGCTTAGAGCCCTCAAAATCTGCAGGGCAGATACTACATGGGCTAGCGCTCGCTTGCGATATCCACCAATTCCGCGAAGGAGTTCCAGATGTGCATCGTGACCTTTTAGTTCCCGCCGATTCCCGCCAAGCCGTGTCCAGATTTCGCCTAAGAGCTCGGTCTTGGCAGATGAAATGGATGAATCTTCTCGGCAAACTATTTCGTGGATCAAGGAGAGATGCTCCTCGAGTTTCTCGATATTGGAGAGTTCGACTTCCGCGAGCAAGATGAGGCATTGGATGATGGTTGAAAGTGTGTTCATTGATTCGCCAAAAGCAGTTAGAAATAGATTCTCCAGAGAGGACGCAGGATGGAAAGGCACTAATGCCTGTGAAATGAAAGAAGACGATGGTGGAATAGAAGAAAGTTTTGCCATGGCGTACTCGTTGACGGCTAGTACTCTGAATAAAAAACATGAAGGATGAGCAAGTGGATTTACAGGTTGGAAGATAACTCACAGGTCAATGGCACCACCAACTCTTGAGCCCAAGGTTTGTAGCCCGCGTCCAGTTCGACGAGCGTCATGGGCAAAAGTGGTTAACGCTTCACCTACAGACGATTGATCAATGTGAATGGATAACAATTAAAGTTGAGGCACCTACCTAGTACGTCCTTACTGGCCAGCTTACTAAATTTTACAAGAACGACAAGGTCAGACATTGCCATTTCCGCTTTTTTGATGTCCAAGGATAATCCTGAACCCCCCACCGAGCTATCCAGAAGCTGTTCAAAAGTCGAAGTTTGAGCGTTCATTAGACGAGGAAAATCTGCCCAAAGAGGATGAGGAGAATAGTTCTGGGGATCGAAGGTGTACAACTCTGTGCATAAATTGATGCTGGCGATTCCGGGCACCACACAGATCGGTCATAAGATAGGTTTGAGGGTAGAGAGAAAAGGTACGGCGGTGAGCCACACGAAGGTAAAGATGTACAATACTTTTCGGCAAGCGGAAGTGAGTCCAGGTCCAGTCGCCACCCCGCAAAGGGAACGAAAGATGGTTCCAGTCATGACGAAGGTAGGGGCGATCAAGAGGAAGGCCGTTTTAGAGAAAATGAAGGCTAGTCCGATAGCCATCCCGCATAGGGCACGAACGACGTCGCCAACCATGGCCAAGGCAGGTATGTTGTTAGGAAGAAAGTCGAAGAACGTGACGAAAGTCAGAGAAGGCATTTAGTGGATCTGGGGAGAAAATTCGAAACGACGACTCTACATTTTATTGTGGATGAAAAGGCGTACGCAGGACTATAGAGGTTTGAATAAAATCTTGGTGTATGCATTGTAGTGTTAGACAAAGGCTAAAGGCTATAGCTACTTCGATTTGGTCGCAGTTTTGGTTGCATCCAAAGGTCGATTATCCGTAATATAATATAATCGGTGAATGAGGTGAGCATCGATCATTTGCAATTGCAATGTGGATACCGCCTACGATCCGGTTTTGGACAAAGCAGTGTCGGACAAAGCAGTATCGGACAAAGCAGTAAGATGTTTGGTGGTTTTCCATCCTTTATGTAAATGGCCAGATCATCGGTAAATCCCGTGACTGCTTTATAATTACATATGCACAAGTCTGCGGCCGCGGTGTCCAGCGATCCTTTTCGTCAAACCAATTCAACATGGAAGATCACAAAGGGGGGGGCCGTGCCACTCCATTTCGTTTCCTTAATCGTTGCTTTATGCTCTCAGATACATAACGGATCTGTGTCGCATTCGTCTGTCAACTCATCCTTCTGTTCTTTTTAATTACTGCAAGCAATCAAGACTCCTCGCAAACCTCAGCACGAATGCAACTTCAATTTTGGTAATCTTCTCGATCTTCGAAGGCGCCACGTCCATTGATTGTTTCCCTTGCTTACTAGGGCCAAAAACCTCACTTCCGGGTCCACGACTGAAATCTTATTCTCGCGCCCATTGTACATCACCAACATATCCATATCCTCTGATCGAGGCCTTATTTTCGCGCCCACGTCTTTAATGATGTCAACGATCTTGGGCGAGCAGACATCCCCGTTTTACACTATAGCTACTCTCATAGCTGGAAGTGTACGTCGCTTGTTAGATCCAGTGGCATTCATCCTTACACCTTACAGTCCAGTACTTTTTGCATCAAAGTCCGACTCGATCAAGGCGTGAAGTATATCTTTAAGGTAGATGGTCCCAAGTGAGTCCGAGAAACTTACGCTCCAATTTTAATGCTCACAAGTGAATCTAGCATGATTTCTCTTCTAGGTTATCATCCCCAAGATATCGGTACGTTACGACTTCTATGACAATGAATTTACAAACTTAACTTTTCTAATATTTCAGAGGCCGGGGCTCAATTGACCCCACATGCTAATACACCCATCGCCGATGTCCCAGTGTCGCCTCATGGATCTGTGTCCAACCCCAGTCGAATGGAAAATTTGGCGCACTCCGGCAGCCGTGTACCTAGTTCTGCATCCACTACTATGCCTGGACCTGATGTTCCAGCGTCGCCTCCTAGATCTGTGCCAAATCCCAATCGAATGGAGCATCTGGCCTCACAGTCCGGCTATATGTGGACATTGTATAATAGGGGTCCTGCCGCGAAGAGGGTGAAGGGAGAGGATGGTTACGCCAGAAGTCAATCACTGAACTACATCGATGATGGTGACGAGTTCGAAAAACCCGCAGGGTCTAGTAATAACAAGAGGAAGGCTGCTCAAAAAGTAGACCCATCTCGCTCCTAGACATTCCATGGTCCGTAAGCAAGAGTCTTCCTCCCGCCAACTAGCTACTCCTAGGCATGTTAACTCGAATAATTGTGAAAAGGTTTCAAATGTATTCAATTTGATTTATTACTTATGGAGTGAATTTCTTGAGAATGCTGGAGAAACACAGAGAACGTGTAGGATCTTGATATACGCACAGCGTTTTCTTGTAGCCTCTCAATCTTGTATAGGGCCGGTTGTATTGAAGAGCGTAGGGCGATCCAGGCGGCACCAGGGCGCGTCAAATCGAAATTGAAATCGGGCGCGAACGTGAGGGCAGCTAGGGGCAACTGCGAAATTCATGTACCATCACGTCCTTGAAAGATTGTACGCTAACTCCAATGTAAGCACACGTTTTGAACGGGCCTTTTCCTGCCTACGGAGTTATGTCTGCCGCTGTGTGAAACTGTTTTTTCAGCCAGCCTATTCTTAATGTACATAGATACTAGAACATTACAGCTGTTTCCACAAAGTATGTACACGGAGCCGCGTATCATGTGTTGTTTTGACTACTTCAACTTCATTTAGCTACCAAACGAATTTTGAGAACGCTGCTTGAAGTGGCCAAACTAATTAAGTCGTTAACATCATCCATCAAGCACTCTTCTGGAGGGATGCGCAGGTACAAAGTTTGGAGCTTAGGAAAGATCGCAGATGCCGGGGTCATGTCACGGAAAGGAATACATCCCATATGAAGAACCGAAATATCCAAGTATTCCAGAGACGGTAAAACTTCGAAAAGTGGCATCATCTCAGAGGCATGGAAGTCCACCTCGCAGTCGAGTGTCAAAGAGACAAGGCTACAACCAGATCCCTGAACAAAGTTTCGCAGAAATTGGATGAATAGTCTTCCTGAGGTGACAATATCTTCGAACCTATTTTCGAGCTCGTCATCTGAATTATCCAAGGCATGACAACCAGAAAACTCTATTTCGGAAAGTTGTGGAGCTTCGAAGACCAGGAAATTAACTACGCCAGGGAATATTCCGTTGATTTGGATTTTCAAGGTGTGGAGATGAGGGAGAATGATTGGTATATCGATGTTGGCCTTTCCTGGATCTGAATTCATCAAAATGCCCAATTCAACGAGGTTCAAAGCCCTGTCAAGCAAGGAGTATACGACCTGAAGTTCACAATCAATGACAGATAACCCTTTCAACTCCGTCAAAACCTCCGATCGCGACCGATCACTGGGAGGCAAATTGTGAGAAATCTCTGAGACGCACAACCTGGATAGCGTAGGAGTGTTGTCGAGTAGAGAATGTAAACTGGACAGTTCGATGGACTGACAACGGAGATGTGTCAATCGAGTCCAGGGAACACAATGTTCCCGTACCAAATGGTCATAGAACCAGCGAAGATCCAACGATTGCAAGACTGGTGCATTCTCGAACCTGGATAGTGGGTAAGCATAAGCTTCGGGATCATCCACAGTAGCGTGTAAGGATAGGCGCTCCAGAAGAGGAAGTCTACCCCTTATAGAGGACAAACATATATAAGATGAAGGTGGAATATAGAGTGTTACATCCTCCCAACGTTCAGAATGCTCTGCCAAAAGAGACAAGACTCTGTTATCAGGTCTTGCTGCTTGATACTCAATGACAAGGGGACATCGTTGAGATCGTTCAAGCAATAGACTGATAAAGCAAAGGCCGTAAGCAGGAGCAGCAATATGTCTCCAGAGCATTGGTGTTCCGATTGTAAAGTTGCGCCAGCGTCGACAGACCGAGGCTAGTACAAGGACTTGCCAAGACCAGTGTGAAGTAGGTGAATATCGAATGAGTTGCAACACGTATATGAATACATCGCCAGGCAAAGATATCCCAGGATCTCTCTTCATGGGTGTTGGAAGCCGTCAAAAGCACCAAATAGCGAAAGTGAAGAGCGGTGAATGATAAGGTAAGATTGATTGGAAATTTATCTTATTTATTTAACGCTCATCGAGCGCCTTTATTTATCAGTACCGCTACAAATCCAAATAATCTCTCCACCATGAAGAGAAGCTGCGGAAAAGGTCTTCTATGCCAACAACGTCACCATTTTCGAGGTACACCTCGCGATTGTCGTATACGAAGAGGGTATTCTTTGATCCAAAAGCTGGAACAAGACCACAAAAGACCATGGCCAAACCCTTTGATAAGATTACGCGCCCCTCGTCATCTACTTCTCCATAGACATCATCCTGTAGCTTGACTTCACAGTTGCCAAATCCGTGTTGGGATAAATCTATTATGAGCGCCAGGTTCCCCGTATTAAATTCGTCGGCAGACAACTCCGTAGTAAATGGTGGCATTTCATTCTCGAATTTCTGCACTGCCGCACATAACAAACTTTGAATATAAGAAATCTCGGTAGATGCGATGACAAACTCGAGAGTTTCCGCATAGAGTGGATGCTCTAAGATGGTGCAGATTGTATTTTAAAAACCATGATGAAGAGTTTAAGCGACTCACTATTCATAACATTAGCAATTTGTCTGCACTGCAATTTATGTTCATAATGTCGGCTCTGACATTCGACACCACAGTAAGCGTAGGAATGGCAGCGTGAACAAATACGAGGAGGGACAATATCTAAAGAGACAGGTCTGAACTTGTTGGGACACTAGACGTTTCAGTCAGCGGTATACATAGTTGAAATATCGGGCAAGACAACTTACCTCGTCAAATGAGCAATGCAAAAGCCTTGCACAATCCCACGACGCTCTTCTCAAAGCAAGAGCATCTTTCACATAGAACTCGAGCTGCAACATTTGCCATTCATTTCGAAGAGCGATATCAGGGGGACTTGCCCTGATCCGCACCAGGGTTAAACGCAGACTCTTCTGAAAGATTCGTTTTTCGCACAGATCCAGATTCAATTTTATGCGATGAGAGACAGAGAAATATGGTTTGTAACGGCGTATACACAGAAGAAGTTCACAGATTGTGGCCAATGTGGCGCGGGTTGCATTCTCACAACCAATGTCATCATCACGAACACCTTCGAGAAAGTCGCATATTTTCATCACCATGAATATGAGGTTGTGATTCAGGACTGCAGCAACCCATCGAGCTCCACCAGCTAACCAAATTTGATAGCAACGCAATGCAGCATTGATGCATTTAATACGAATCTGGTTAGGAGAGTAGAGAGCTGATCCCAGGATAGAGACTTCAGGATTCATTAAGTATTTCGTAAGGTGGTCTAGACAAGTCATAGCAGTATTGGCTTTCTTGAGATAGAGGTGAAAACTGTTTCCAGGAACCTCGTCCACAAGCAGTAAAAGCAGATAAGTCTGCAGCCCATTGACCAAGGATGAATTGCGGATGAATTGTAGGCATTTGTCGTTCGCTAGGTGTATCCAATGGTCGAGGGAATTACCCGTGATCGTTGTGCAACACGCTTCAAGCTGTTTTGCGAGGGATTCCAGTCTATGGCTATTGACCAGTTTCTGCAAGCTCGTTCCATCCAGCATCTGCATGACCTCATCAACGTAATCCTGATGCAGAGGATGGATAACGGCAACAGCCCAAGCTAGGGGTAGCAGTTCCGCAAAATTGGGGGAATCGAAAATCTTGCAGGCCAGGCTGGACTGCGTTACTCTGACCGAGGAAGAGGAAGAAAATATTTGAGTCAACACCGAGAGTACCGCCTTGACACAGAAAAAGGCTCTGTCGATAACTTCCGCTGAAGGATGCCCTTGGTGCTCGAAAACACGATTGGCTTCAAGCAAGCGCCTCATCCAAGGCCATAAGCGCTTCCAATTAGCAGCCACTGCGCAGTCAAATTCTTTGAGATCAGAGGGCAATCTCTGTGAGCGTAGCTGGTCCAATTCCCGAATGAATTCCCAAAATTCGAGAGGGATGCCTCTGTGAAGGTCCAAAGAGGGAGGAGAGTAGGCGTTGATTATGTGCTGCAAAGACAAAGAAAACGTATACATTCTAAATATTCACTAACATTCGGTATTATTAGCTAGCGATTGGAGAATAGTGGACCGTACCCCTGGCTCGAGCAGTGTCAAAGTAAAGTGGTAAAGTAAGAGTGGCGTATGCACTTGTGGTAGTAGGAAGCAGGTTTGAAGATAGATCACATGGTCTTACCTAGATGACATGGTCAAGTAAGTAAAATTCAGATGATAATACTCTAGCAACATACGATGATGCGGAAGCGGTATTTTCAATCCATCGTCTTTGGTTCAATTTTCTTGAGCTCGCAAGTGGGAAAGCCGATATGATGTTCAGGCGACGTTCCAATCGCTAGACAAGGCGAACCCATTTGTACAACGAGGTTGTAGCGCGTGCAGTGCGGAACGGTGGGCGGACCATCAACCGTGACCGTTCTGTTCGAATGGCACGTACTTGAAACTATCTTGTCGCGGACGCTTTTTGCAGCACGATTTCGGGTCCTGGCAAATAGCTGTTATAAATATGGAACGGGACACAGTGGAAGCCAAGATTTTCAGCTCTCTGTATTCTAAATTCACTGTACACGCACAAATGAGTCCTGAATAACGAGTACATCAAGTTAAGGTGATATCGAATGAAAGAACCTGAGCGCTTTTGGTCGAAGTTGCTGTTAATTTGAGCACTGGCAATGTCAGCGAAATGCCTGTATGTTTGTGATTGTTTGTCCGTCCTGTATGGTTCTTTCGGCTAATGCTCACGTAGTAAATGAGGTTTTACCATCCGAAAAGTTACTTAAAGGCCAAAGTTCTGCAGGGAAAGCTGTTCAGAAAGTAAAGTTACAGGGATTCTCGGAAGCAGATTTTTGATATCTTATGTTTGTTTTTTACTGAACTTACAATCACCTGGAAATGGATTTGTTCCACTTGTGAACACAAAAATCAAGCCCCATACATCCCTGTAGAATTCTGCTCTGAAGAAGATACAAATTGTTTGAGAAGGATCTGGGTCATGGGCGGAGCACAAATTACAGATTACTTACAGATATTGAGGAGCACATCAAATAGTTACGTAACACACCAAACGCATCTCTTCACGCTCGACCGCTCTGCCTTATATGTGTTGTGTGAATGGTTCAAAGTCCCAGGGACGTTCTTCTTTTCGATATACTTTGAGGAAACCTGAAAAGTCGCGTGCACTAAACTTCCTGGGATCCGGGAAATCCAAGGAAAATCACCAACCTGTCAGCAAAAAGAGGACATCCATTGCTATTCCTTCCTGTGCAAATATCACTATCGAGGATCGGGTCGCCGCCGAGAGAATATGTGCAAATAACTTCTATGCACAGCTTCGAAACTGTCGGTGGAATACCTCTTGTGCAGAGGCAGGACGCAATGAATGGATCCAATATGCACAGGATCTTGAAGCTCAAATATCGGGGAATGAATCTTCTACTTCACCGTTTGTGAAAAACCTCCAAGAGGAGTTGAAGGAAGCTCAGTTACAGCTGTGGAGATTAGGTAAAGAGCTGGAAAAAGCAAAAAAGCAGAGTGAAAGACTTTTGAGGACCAAAGATGGTGTGAAACAGCGTTCCGGAACGGTTACAGAGGGCAGCAATGGTTGCAGTCAAAAATTTCACGCACCAAACAATGAAGAAGAAGAACGTCGTCACCCCAAAGATGTGTCTGTGTATAATGGACCTGGTCAAAGAAGGAGCGTCGCCGGAGAAAGTGAACAACATCATCCATAGTGTTGGGAAGTCACTCAGGATCACAGTAACCAATAATATTAGTGGAAGATCTGCTCGACGCGTAGTTGGTCAAGCTGAGATTGCAACGCAGCTACGAGCTGTTGACTTAATCACTCGTTCAAATGGTGTGAACAGTTCCACTTTAACTCCGTCAGTATATTGAATCAGTTATTTCAGGTGTGATACTTAGCTCAGATGGAACATCCCATAAAGGCTTGAACTATGAGTCACGTCATGCCCATTTTCTTGACCCAGATACCAATGAAAAGATGACGTTGTTTCTGGGTATCAGTCTTGCACCAGGTCACACCAGTGAAGAACAACTTGAGGGTTGGGTACGCACCATTGATGGCCTATATGTTACTTATATGGCAAGTCCAGTGGGTCAGAAACGACAAACACGAATTCTATTGAAGGTCATGGGCATGCTCACTGATCATGCCGCGGACCAGAAAAAGCTTTTTGCATTGTTTCGAGAGCTCAAGAAAAGAACAGAACGTGAGATTAGAGGAGAACAAGCAATAAAGATGATCACACCTGATGAAGTTCTCTGCATCGCACTAGAACATAGTGCTGCAGCAGTTGAAGCTGCCAGTGGTTTGAGTGCTTGGGATGCACTATCAGATGCAGACTGTGCAGTGCGTAGTTCCGAGATCACCAAAGCTGTCATCCTTCAAATTGGCGAGGATGATTTCAATAAGCTGACCCCCGGGCAACAGGCCGAAGTCGATTTCTGTGTATGGTGTGGATGTACTATGCACAAAGACCTGAATGCACATAAAGGTAAGTTGTGTACACTCCTGTTGCAACTATTTTACTCAATTCAAATGCACGCTAGGCGGAATAGCAAAAGCAATTACCTACTGGGAGGTGAATCATAAGATGCCGCCTTGCAGCCTCCCAAACAAAGACAATGAAGCTGCTGCTTGTCTTGGGAATAATGTCGAGAAGGCTCGGGTTGCAAAGATGACTTCTCGGGGAGGAATAAAGACCTGTGAGTTGATGGGTCTGCTCCTCAAGCACAAGGATTCAAAGAAGGGACAACAGGATCATCACGGCATTTATCTCGAAGCCCGTGAGCATGTTGGATTTTTTGCTCATTTTCCCGACACTTCAAATACATGGTATCAATCATACTGTGATGCTGCTGCTGAGATTATTGTTCATTTGCCTGTTTATCGCGAGATGCTAGAATGGATCCGTGATGAAAAGCAAACCGGCCACTTTACCAACATTGAACTTAACATATATCGTGCCCTTAACGACATTCCTACACTCACAGAACTTGCTGCACATGCTCTTTACGGTCAGGCAATCACATATCCCTATCTTCAGGTCGCTCGAAAGCAGGGGATGACCCATTTTAGCCTTGCTCCTCTCCATTTGAACCTTCTTGACCATATTCAAAAGCTTATATGCCAGCCAAAACTTCTGTATAGTCCAGACACTGACTATGCAACTGGTTCCCTTGATGGACAAGGATGGGAACGTCCTGAGGCTGTCTATTGTATCATGGCAATGGCTGGTCAGCTGCCCGATCTCGAGGGGGTTCTTTTGTTTCTATTAGAGGGTGCATTTGAAACCTGGAAATGGTTTTCTCATGATGTACTGCACCGGGAAATACCTGCACATCTTCTAAAAAACTTGTATCCACCTGCTACGAATGATCCCAATGAAAGCACACTAGGAGAACTCAGACAGGAAAAGTTTCGAGCCCCAAATGCCACTCTCGAGTACTCAAATAGTAAACTTATGCTTCAGCGGAACAAAGGAACAGTTGATTATCTCGAGAACAATTTGTCAGATGGCTTGAATCAGACCTTCTTGCGGAAACAGCAGCGCAAGACAGAAAGACAAGGACTTAAACTCAAGCATCGAAAGGACCTTGCTTTAGCATCACAGAAGAAGGTAGCTAATGCAACAATTTATACAAAAAAACCTCAGACATTCTCATCATTTTCTGTGTGGCAAACATGTGACAAGTGTGACAAGTGCAACCATAGAGGATGTGACAAGTGAACAGGTGCAACAAGTGCAACCATAGAGAATGTGACAAGTAAAGTACTGCAACACAAGTGCAACTAGTGTGCAAAACATGTGAGAAGTATGACAAGTGCAACTACTGTGCCAAACATGTGACAAGTGTGACAAGTGCAAGTGCAACTACTGTGCAAAATATGCAATAAGTATGACAAGTGCAAAGGATGCGACAAGTGTGACAAGTGTAACCACAGACACTAACTACATAACTGGTTTTAAAAATGCAATATTTTAGGACAGACAGATGGATGAATGAGAGTGTCAACATTTGATATGCCTTTGGAGCCTCACAGCATTTCAATCATCTTCCCAGGTTCCTCAACCATGCAACCTGATTGGTCTATTAGACTGAGTCACAGTCTTTTAGATTATGTCATAAAGTACACAGCCCCTATCATTTTTCTTTTCCCACCATCACGACACCTTTACTTGTATGATACATTTTCCCATCACTATTAATTCTCATCAATTATTGATCCACCTGACCTACCTTCTCCTTCTACTGGCTTCCGCCACCTTCCTTGCCCCTGAACTGTACAGTATTACATCATTGTTTCTCGCAGACCAAATTATGTATATATATAGCCAACCCTCCACAGCCTGGTCCCTCATCTTAACCTCTCTGTCATTATCTGGGACCAGGTATGTGTTCACTTACTATTACCTATGACTACAATGCTCAATATATCTCTGTCATTATTTGGAACCAGTTTGTCTCTGCTCCACTTCACTGCCTTGCTTGGTTGCTCCACTGTTCTGCTCCATTAGTCACTCCGCCTCTACTGCTTCGTGACAGATTAATGCATGATATTATTCTAGGAGGTTTATTTGACAATTTTTGAGTTCTAGAAAGTCATTTTGAGTCAATCCTTGGCTCTATGTCATTTGAGTAAGTTCTTCCAAACATAAAAGGTAGATATCAGAAGGCCGAGCTTTGGAATGATGCATCAAGACTGTAACAATATCAAAGCAGTGTAACTACTGTGCCAAACATGCGACAAGTGTGACAAGTGCAACTACTGTACATGCGACAAGTGTGATAAGTGCAACTACTGTACATGCAACAAGTGTGACAAGTGCAACTACTGTGCCAAACATGCAACAAGTGTGACAAGTGCAACCATAGAGGATGCGACAAGTGTGACAAGTGCAACTACTGTGCCAAACATGCAACAAGTGTGACAAGTGCAACTACTGTGCCAAACATGCAACAAGTGTGACAAGTGCAACCATAGAGGATGCGACAAGTGTGACAAGTGCAACTACTGTGCCAAACATGCAACAAGTGTGACAAGTGCAACTACTGTGCCAAACATGCAACAAGTGTGACAAGTGCAACCATAGAGGATGCGACAAGTGTGACAAGTGCAACTACTGTGCCAAACATGCAACAAGTGTGACAAGTGCAATCATGACACTAACCACCTGTAGAAATATACCATTGATCTTATCTCAGAACTGTGTTGAAGGTGTAAGACCTGGGTCAGAATTGGTCTTAGGGGTGGATTTAATATCAGAGCTTGAAGGGAGCTGCGGGAACCACAACCAAGGATAGGAGTGACCTAGTAGTGCTGATTGTGAGATATGACCCTTGAAGGGGTTCCTAGGAGGTCTAGAGAGGTCCCTAGGGTGATAACCAATAAAGGTGGATGCAACCAGGGGCTAGGAAACATAGGAGAATTGTGTGGTACAAATTGTAATAGTTAGAACGTTAACATAGGAACATTATAACTAGTAGATGAGGTGAGCTTCACACGTGAGAGCTCCCAATGGAATGTGAGCCCAGAAAGGAGGTCCCGGAAGACTTTGCGACTAGAAGTCCGCAGTTGCTCCACCTCTTGTTGCCAAGATTCGAGGGCATGAGAAGTATCCCAAAGAGCAGTCATAAGGGAGAAATTCTCCTGCTGGGACTCCCACAACCGGACTCGAGCAACTAGGTGCTGATTTTCAGCACGGTAGGGGTAAGCAGTGAAAGCACATGGTACCAAGGTGGAACAAGGTGTGGAAGGCATATTGGCAGAAAGGAGATCAGATCCTGCACCCTTTATAGGCATTTGAGCAGCGGGAGGGGAAACAACTCGCTGAGCCAAACCAGAATATGCTTTGGCAATAGCTGCCAGCTGAACCAAACCACTGGAACCCTGCACCAGCACATCCCTGGCAGGTACCTCCATTAGGGAAGGGAGGTGCAAGGAGGAACAGGGTTGGTAGCAGATGCTACTAACGGTCAACCCGGGGGAACCACCAAGCGGACACGTCCCTGTCATGAAGTCTCATGATGCGCCCTTTGATGCGCCATCAGCGCGGTGTGTTCCCATCAATCTGTTTTCACATGTTTATGGTACTTCATCACACGATCATCCCATTAGTTCCATTTGTTTCCATACGCTTCCATACAACTCATCCTTATTCATTGATTAGTTCATTATGGTTCATTATCGACTCATTATTACTCGTATATATTGATTCCTCACTCTTGTTCTATATTGCATCGTTATTTACAATTGCTTACTCAGTAGACAAGAGTAGTATATAAAGGACAGTAGACAGGCCCTAGTTCCCCATCTCGACCTCTTGGTCATTGGGCAACTAGGCAAGTACTTGTATCCTTTTAGATACTACCTATCTAACTTGGTCATTGGGCAACTAGATTCCCTTTTGATTGCTGGTGTGATTGGCCTTTGACGCTATCCCACTGTTGTTCGAGATCATTATTTCTTTCATCTGTGCTTTGTGCTTGTTTCTGTGCCTCTTCGCTCTGCCACTGTCGCTCCTAGGCATATCTGGACCTCCCGCCTCCCGCTTCCTGCCTCGTCGCGACAGTCCCGGGAGGGACAATTCATTCCAAAGATATGTCTTATGGTAATAGAATTAGACTGCACGTGAGTGAGGTGCCGCTGAAAAACCAGCCGGCACCCTATTGCTATCATTCATCCCAGATCCATTCTAAACTTAAAGTTATTGTTATCATCAGTTATTATCAGGGAGAAAGGGTCTGAAAAGGTGTGGCAGAGTAGGGCAGAGTGGAGGTATGGAGGAAGTATGAGAGTGCATATTGTAGAGTTAGTTGTAGTAGTCCCCGTAAAACACCGTTGTCTTTGGTTATGAACACTCTAATTTCTTGACGCTGTGAGTCGATAGACCTGATTGATGACTTGAACAGTGTCTCACCTGAGTCCAATGTAACGGTTGGTTCGTTAATGTCGGGATCTGACAAATCAGTTGATCTTCAGAGCATGTAGGCAGAGGCGAAGTACAGATTGTATTCGTGACGGTCCTCAAGTTTTATAATTGATCTGAGTCGGCGAGGCATTGAGACATCGGCTTCAACATGGGAACGGTCTCGCTGTTCCTCAGCTAGCGCAAGATCTCTGAAAGCGGGGTACGAGGTATACGAGCACGCAGAGGAGGTACTGTTTTGATAATACTGGGAGAACCACATCCACTAGGTTCAGATGGGAGGGGCCGAACACTACCAGGACGAGAAGCCAAAATAATAGGAGGACCTGTATGATGGCAAATTTTGTTCAATATTCCATGCTCTTGAATTGATGCGCGTGATGCATCAAACATCAGTTCTCCGGCACTTATTGGTTGATCTCCGGCAATTATGCGTTGGTCTCTAGTAGGTTGTATGTTGGTCTCTAGATAAGTAGTACTGGCCATTACCCTCAATCCTTGATCAAGCTTAGAAAATGTATTAACAGGATTTAAATATCAGTCTCACAATCAAATTTCTGCCATTGCACAGCCGGCCGGCCGGCTCACAGGGCTTCCATATTTGCGGTTTCCACCAAGGTTCTTTGACTAATCTACTTGAGCATGTTCTACTCATAGAGCAGTGAGTGAGATAGGTACAAATTTACAGTCACCACTGCAAAAATTGGTGCTACAATACATGGTAAGAGCATCGGGATCTTCCAAGAAATATTGCGCACCGCCGTAAACTTTCTCGGCAATCAGCTCCGAATTTATAAGTCATTTCGCAAATTCTAAAACAACAGCCTGCAAACTAAACCGGCAGAGTACATTACATCTAGAGTGTAGAAATATCACTGAGAACAGCACCTAATTACTGATAAATTGTGACCAAATCATTAGAGGACTGACATTAGCCTGCAGAGGGTGATATCAAGAGTCGAACAATTCACGACGTTGGCATCACATATCTGCAATGCGAAGCCGGAGACGGAAGGAAATTGATGGAGCAGAAGCACAATGCAGAGGTTTTGATGCTTACTGAAGCTGAAGGCCAAGGAAATCTCACACGGTCAAGAATATTGAATGAAAACTAACTTCATAGACCTGCTCGCAGTGGACGTCCATCATCAACAAGGAAGCTGTAGCCATCATCATCACAAAGTGTGGGACCAGTACCATGGGGTACAACCTCCGGTTCGTCCATACGCACAGTACGACCTGTTGATTACTCCGAATGATATTATGGATTGATACGAAAAGTTATACATTATAATCAACAGGCATAAGAGTAAACATGATATATCTTGTAGCTATAGATCTAGAGATGGATGATTTTCCGGGAGCGGAGGTGTTGTACGATGGTTGACATGGTGGAAACGTCTAGCAAAGCTGAAGGGGAGATACAGCTGAGTTATATAGGGCAGAGAAGTTACGCATAAGCACTCACCGTACCTCTTCTTGTGGAAGTGTAAGGGGGACATCTGGACCAACAGCTAGGATTTCCATTCGGGAAGGATTGCGCATAAGCCAAGCTGGGTTGTACCAATTCCTTGGAAGACCACGGGGTGCTATGTCTGAATCAAACATGGATTCCGGTCGCGATGACGGATACCGAGGGTGAGGAAAACGACCATTTGAATACTTCCCACCTCCTAAATAACGAGATCCAATATGCCAAGCACGAAGCAAGTACAGGAAATCTGCGAACTGTTGCGAAATCCAGGCGCGATTTGTTCGATAATATATCTTATCCGAAGTCGCCTCCGGACCAGGTTCGGATTCATCTCCACTAATGCATTCAACAGTTATATATTTATGCATCTCATGTAGTTCCTTTGATATATGGATTGGGTAGCGTGCAAGAATTGTTTTTAACGATGATATGCGGCGATGGAGTTCCTGGAATCATTTTGAGATGATATACAACCGAAGAATTAGATAGCTAATAACGAACCGCATTTCGTCGACGCATCCTCCTCATTCGTTGTTCTGAATCCTTTTCATCTATGGTTTTGGGTCGTCCCTGAAGTTCAAAATCCTTTTTGAGTTGCGACAGATGTGCGAAAAACGCTTCCTGCACTGATTTGATGGCATAATCTTTGTACTCCTCCTTAGAACGAATATAAATGGAAAACACCTGAGCAGCAGCCTTGTTCCAATGTGTATGTTTACCATCGCACAGTTGTAGAATAAAATTTTCGAGTGTAGGACCATCAGTGCCACCTCTCCTCCATGAGTCGATCGTAGTGCTGGGAACGGTCGAAAGCGGCCTCGCAACAAACTCGGGATCATTTTGATCATTGACCCGTCCCAAAAGAACGCCCATTTCATAACGAATGTACTCAGCGAGGTCAACTTTACTCTGCGGTCTATGTTGAGGTGGCTTGTAGAGTTTGGGCTTGGGGCTTGTATGAAGATGACTAGTGTCAACTGGGATATCAGGAGAGGGAGGAGGTGGGTTGCAGTTAGTCAGTACACCAACGTAGTGATAACAACTGTCCAAAAGTGACCGAATTTTGGTTTTATCGAAAGGGTGTTGGTTCATTTGAGAGCGGAAGTGAGATTTCTGCGAACATGCGTTTATAAAAACAAGTTATGAAGCAATTTCAAAGTGGACGTACCATCGAGACCGATTTGACGTTGTTGTTTATTAGAGACTCTAACTCTGTGCGTAAGCACATTTCATCTTCGGCTGACGTATCTGCGACCATTGGCGTGTCCGGAATTTCTGACAAAGGTGAGAGAGGTGGTGTCCCTTGTTGATAATTAACGCCGCGAGCACCGCGAGGTCCAGACATGGAAGTATCGCCTTGTATTGATGTCAGTGGGACTCCCAGGTAATTGTTGTCAGCAGTGGTTTGGGTAGTTCGTCTGTGAGGATCGCCACGAAGTTTAGATTCCTCTACGCATTGTAGATGGTGCTCATGGGTGCGCACATAGGGAGATATAGGGGTAGGAGGAACTTCCTTGAAGTTATTGTGATCGGCAAACGTTTGGGTCCCATTCCCATTGTCAGCCATACTAATATCCAAGTCTGAACGAACATATTCGTATTCCATCTCCAAATCTCCGGCATCGTCTTTCACACCTTCATCGTCAGCATCGAATTCTGTATCGTCAAGATTTAATTGAACATCCATAGGTTCTTCGCATGCGGAAGTGACACCGAATGCAACAGGCATGTCCAAGAAAGAAGGGGTATCGCTACCGATTCCATGGTACGAAGCGGTGGGCAGACCTTCACGTTCGTATGGTGAGGACTGCTTGCTTGTCCTGTCTTGGTCAGTTTCAGACGAGGGGCCTTCAAGAGTGATATCAGGTAGACTGTCAGAGACGTCTAGCTGTTCTTGAAAACACTCATTGACTTCTGCGTCGAAGGGCTGAATATAGTCGAGAGAGCCTTTATCCTCGGATTGAATATAGTAGTTTTCGCATGAACTGGGAGCACTCGCATCGGAACAAACAATATCATAATCAGAGGTACGTTCGCCCTCAGGTTGGGTGCAGTAGGAAGGGACTGTGTCACGGCTGAAGGACCCATCGCCGTTGTCGGAGCCATTGGACTTTTTTGGATGGAAGAAGGTGGCCTCGGAATAATGTGGACCAGGAGCAGATATCCCCTTCTCGTTCTGCGAGTCCAGAACTGCACCATCCTTTAGTCGGTGTTGGGAATGTTCCAGACTCAAGACATCGTCACCATGAGCATTAGGCATTTCATGATGGAAATCGTAAACGGCGCCAGAATCATGCTGATGCGCGATAGACATTCCGCTGTCGAACTCCATGTTCAGTTCAAAGCTTCGGACGAAGGAAGACGTTTCAGCATCGTCATGGCATAAGGGACGCAGGCCGCATTTTGGGAGACAGGATCGGCAGAGGAGGAAGGGTTTGGCTGAAAGCCACGGCACACACTCCGGGAGTCAGAATGGACGTAAGAGGAATCTGGCTCGAGGGCGGAATCATGGCAAGCATGATCAGAATGTGCCTGAGTCTCAGGTTGAATGTATGAGGGCTCTGCGCCATGGCTATAGAAGACGGTACCGGCATCAGCGTAGGAGCCTAAAGCAGTATCAGGAATGTTAGCATCAACTCGATTGAGAGTAGTACGAGAACACATACCATCGACCTGAACATCGAAAGTCCCAGGTTCGATAGAAAGCGACGCGTTAGAATGCTGCAACTGAAATTCATTCTGATCGTGACCAAGACTTTGGCTTCCGCCATTTTCTTCGTCTGTAATTTGACCATGGAGGTCGGAACACGCAGTATGTGGAGCATCTTCAAGAGACTGTACAAGAGTAAACAGATCACCATCGTTGTAAGATTGAAGGCTAGAGGATGTTTGCGTCTCATCAACGAATGGAATAAGAGGAGACTCGAATTCGGGGTCGTGCGGGACTTTATCACAGGTATTAGGTGTAATATGGCTGATATCTGGTTGTAGTTGACGATGAAGCTCAACACCAACATCAGGGCCGGTTTGTGAAGCATGATCTATAGACTCAGTATGAATGACACCATTGCTGTCAAAGCCAAATCCACTGGATAAGTATGGAGGAAGAGATTCGAGTCCGGGATGATCAGCTTGGGTTCGGTCAAAGATAGTGAAACGGGAGGAAACGGGAGGAAAAAGAGACTCGAGTTTGTGATAACCAGCTTGGGTTTGGTCAAAGGTAGCAGATATAGCTTGGTCGGAAAGGGATGTATGAGTCTGTGCATAAGATTCTTGATCACAATGAGGACCAAAAGCCACCCCTTCGCCTTCTTTCCAAACACCAACGTAGGATTCGTTCTGCGCAACATCGTCCAAAGAAATGACGTCGTCGCCATTGCTGCCGAAGTCAAAGCCAGACGTTCTATCGTAAACACCGCACGGAACGAGAGGAGAGGACTCGAGTTCGGGATTGCCCTGGACCCGGTCAAAGGTATCGGGTGTGACGTAGTCCAAAAGGGAAGCTGCGGGCTGTGTAAAATAACCCCCATCACGATGAGGAAGGACCGACTCTTGGCTTTCATTCTGAGCGATGCCTTGTTGTGAAACATCGTCTGAAGATTGTGCGTGAGGAGCAATGCTATCATTGTCAAAAGTGCGGGAGAATTGGATCTCGTCATGAGGAAGTGGTAGAGAACGAGGATCAGTTTCGGAAAAGCCTCGGACTTGGTCGAAAACACTAGGTGTAGTATGGTTGGAAATCTCGCCAATTCTGTCGAAGCCAGAGCTGGGAAATGGTTGCATTTCATCATCCAAACAAATGAGGGGCTGAGTATCAAGATGTCTTGATTCAGGATCGTGTCGGACCTGCTCATATGATTCTTCGAACATAATGTTGGAGCCATACCCAGCCTGAAGTGCTACCCCAAAGTCTGAATCTTCGACAAATGCAGGACCATGTTCATGAACACGAACGTCACTGGATGCTGAAGGAGATATGAGCCCATGAATTATCAAGATACTACAACTAAGTGGTACGCACCTGTAGAGGCTCGAAAGTATTCTAAGCGACCAGGCCTTGAATTTCGAAACCTCCTTCTACCAGTCGAGGGGAGATCTTTTCGAAAGTAAGAATCAATTTTAAATCTTAAGCTGAAGTCTAGAACAGGCACACCTAACATGTCCTTGAAACGCTTGGCCATAGAGTATTCTTTCTCCTGCGCAATCTCAGAGCCATCGTCAGCGATGTGAGGGTGTAGGTCTTGACGTTTGCGGCCAATGATGTGTGGGATTTCAGAGTCCTTCATCGTGTTCAGGAGAAGTCTTCAAGCAATGTTGTGGTCCTTAAAGGATGTGGAGTGGCCACTGACATCAAGCAACATGGCCAAGTTAAACAAAGGGGATCTGAATTGCAAAAAGTATACAGTTTGACATTCTGTGATAAACGGCGAATATTTGTACATGTACGCGTTGAGAGATCCAATAGCAGTGTGGCGTACCAGAAAGCAACATTTTGACGAGGAAGTAGACTGGCAATACTCTGACGAGGACTGCTCAGCGCGACTGCCGATTATTCTTCTCACGTTTTACATAACAGGATCTTGCCTTCATTTTATCACATGATAATGATGATCTTGGAGGCTACTAATACTTTTGGAGAAGATCGACGTTCAAGTTCATCAGCGATGAAACGCTATAAATTGGACTGCGTGCACTTCTGCTGAGCCTACTCAGACATAGTCGTAGGACACAATTCAGGGAGGCTAATTCGAGCAATTCAGTTGAATGAGCATTTGATAGTATTCCGATGTTTTGTGATCATCATTTATTATCTATGAAGAGGATAAACTGGCTACGAGGAGGACCGCAAAGCTAGGAACCAGGACAGACACAGCCCCACCACTGACGCGGTGAAAGCCGAGAAATTCATCCTGGTGAACTGTCAGTGTACCTCAATATGCCAACGTCGACGCACTCACAGACAGTTTGGGTTTGTGTCATCTGTAACGCAGTCAACTGCTTACGAAGTATCGTATTTTCCTCCTTCAGTTGAACATTGCGTATCGCTTGCTCCTTCAATTTCTGACGCAGGTCCAGAATGAGGTGCTTGGCGATCTCTATCAATCCTTCCTGTCTTTCGATCAATGACGATGATTCCTGTTGAAGTTTGTAATTAAGTGAGAAGATATAGTAAGATGCAGATTAACTCACCAGACTCATCTCGTCTAAGTCTCCTTGCTTCAATTCTGTATTCACAAAGTCCAGGCGTTCTGGAGTTGCATTCACAATTTCCACCCAACCCAAAGCAACCTCGTCGCGATTTCGAAATCTGAGTCCGTCCATGATGTGTATCAAAAATGAAAGAGTAGCGGCAGTCAAAACACGAACAGAGAGTTAGGTAGGAGGTGTAGATTTCTAAGGAATAGTTCTATGTCAGAACATTGATCAGTGGCTCTAAAGACAGGAGAAAGGGCACGAGAATTTCTTTGTTTACCTCCGCAGAATAGGCAATAGGCAAATTAAGATCGTTCCCTGATTTGCCTCGCAAGTTCTACCAGTGCGTGCAGAGACATCGGACGTTCCTGTGTCGATGGAAACTCACAAGCTCATGGGATTCAATGGTCCTGGATGATGTACAGATTTTAATGAGCAACAGAAGACCCTCGACGACGTTTTACCTTACTTCTCCGTCGCGTCTCGTCGCTCTACTGTGTCAATTCAGTCGTAGTAGGCTAAAATTTGAGCTTGATTACTTCGTATGCATCAATGCGCTGACAGTAATTAGGACAGATAGACAGATAATAAATATTCATGGGCAAATAATACATTATTTAGGATTGGTAATTTCAAAAATAGTAGACATGCATAAGATGATATCATCGTCACTGGGCGACGTTCTCACTGTGGAATGAAACTCGATGAAGGCAAGTTGATTCATCGCCCCAATTATCAAGAATCTCTACCAAAACAACCGAAGTTCGGATTGGGATTTGGGTAGGAAATATCTGACGGCTTCCATCCGAAGGCTTGAAGATAAATCTCGCCACCTCCATGAAGGCGCAAGAGGAATTGAAAATCGATGAGTCAAGGAGTGCCTTGACAGTGACAAATCTGTCCCAGTCGGTGAGAAGGCTACGAGCTTCGACTTCGACGTTTTCTGTCAAGACAAGGGCCCACATGACAACTGTTTTGGGAGCCTGTCTAAGCCTTACTTCTGTTATTCCAAGATAGTCGGGAAAGTGAACCGCGAAATGGCTCCAGATTATGGTGTCCGACAAGGCAATGGCAATGTGACCTCGCGATCCAGCAAGCTTCCAACAGTTGTGAACAGAAAGCTGTTCCTCGAGTACGACACGCGGAGGATTAATGTGCATCTGTGTCGTATCGTAGCCCCTGATGACAGCAATGAGTCTAGCCATGTAGGAAAGGGAGCCTATCCCTTCAGTGGGTGAGGTGAGGGCCAGCAGTGCTTTGGCACCACTATCAGCAAGCCCAAAGTCTAAGGAAGGATATATAGGGTCCAGCGAAACGAGTTGGTTTGAAACGTCCGAGTCCTTGTCAGCCTGTGCAATCACAGGAGGAAGGGGTATGCTTGTTGTCGGTAACAGAGACAAGGAAGGTGTTTCCAAAGGTGCCTGGGATGAAGGCCCGATGCACAGACCATGGTAATAATCCGCATTACAGTTGATCGAACTCAGTGGCGCAAAGAGGTCTGGGAGACCACAGCTGCAAATGAGCCCTACAGTAGTGCATAGAGGTCTGATTAGATTCTCTGGTGTGTGCACTGAAGGGAAGAATTCCTGAACGAGATATGTCGAGACAAGTGGCAGGGTGATCAAGAAAGTAGCTCGATTGTTGCGGACGATATTAAGCCCAGTGCGCAATGTGGTCACTACAATCAACCAGATAACACTGATACTACATTTGTCCCAGTAGCCTGCTACGCTTCGCTCCTGATTTTCACCTGTAGTCGGGCGGCGTGTGCTGAATTCAGTCTCAGAAATGACGGCCTCGAGGGTGCTGTTGGTGATCGCAATTATACGTCGTTTGTTTTTGCCCTGGAAAGATTTAAAAGTAATACGTTACAGTAGAACTATCAACAAACCTTGTAGAGATCGGGTTCTGAAGAGTCTGGTAGTGTGAATCGTCGAGCGTTGAGTCCTGGAGATGACATGAGATTGACAAAAGGCGTAACGCGCGCCGCGTGATAGATAGGCGCTAGAGTGGCGTAAGTTCGACCACCATAGGCCATATTTTGATCAAGCAAACTATCAACCTCAAGAGCTCTCATAATTGGCCCGCCCCTGGACTGCCTTCTTCTCTTTGTTATTTACATACAACCCTAGATCTAGACGCCAGAAACATGTACAAGACCTCCACCTTGTCAAAGCTTTTCCTTGCACTTGATTTAAAACCTGCACCTCGATCCAGCTTTAGGATAATAGCATGGTACGATCATTATACCAACCAATCTCAGAAATTTTGTGACTGTAATTGCTTTCTCCTTCACAGTCACCTCCGGAGCTTCAAGATACCACAATGCGCTCTACCAATGCATCAAATTCGGCGGATGCTTTATTTCAGACATTTCAACAATTTGAGACCCTACAAAATGATTTCCAGAAGGCACGAAATGAGTGGCTCCACGAAGCAGGAGTTGGGGTACTTTCGACACTACGACATGCGGAGGCGATTGAAAGAGATTTGTCGGGGAAATTGGTCAGCACTATGTCCCTTCAAACTCAAAATACTCATTCTAGTATGTAGAAGCAATTCGATGGAGTGCTTGTCAGCTTTTCTGCACAGAGTGAGACAGAGATCAACAATATTGACAATGTCGTTGAGGCTCGTCGAACGCGATCTACAAACGTCTCGCTCAGTGCAGGAATTCAGATGGAAATCTTGCGCTTGGTGGAAATGAAGGTACTACTCCCAGAGAAGATGTGGCACACAGAGACTGGCATTCTAGAAAAAGTGCGTTATCAACCTCATCCTCGATATGGACCATTCTGACTTTTGAACCTAGCTAGACGAATTCTTGATCAGATCCCATCACGACCCGAATATCAATGACTACGTTGCTCTTCAACAAGCCTCATTGGAAATCTTGGGACGAGTTTTCGAATGTATTCTGTCTAACAATGTGATATAAGTGGTAACAACTCCGGGAATTTATGTGATACTACGCTTGAATATTTGAATGTTCATCTTGTATTTCTACATCTATTAGCAAGTCTGATTTTACCCTTTACCGTCATGTCTTTATGTGCTTTAACCCTTTTCCATCGCGTATTCATTTGGTCAGAGTAAGGTGCGGACCACGACCTAACAAGTTAGGCTATAGGTACACAAATGCAAAACACCTCGGACATAGGGTAATGAGAGTTGACGAGATAATCTCAGAGGCTGACGAAATACTTGCTAGGGAATGGCATGTACATCGACGGTGATAGATATTATTGACATCTACAAAGTAGGTAGATGTTAGGTCGAACTCTAGATCTGATTGGTTTGAGAGTAAGTGGCGAGTGATGATGATTAACAAACTCTGCATTGTGATTCACGATTCTTTCTACTGTTCCCATTTCCTGCTATGCCGTCTTGCAAACATGGATTGCCAGTGCAATCAGCAGATGTTTCACCACCCAGACAGTCTACTGTTTTCCAGAAGGTGACTTCAGAGCCTTGCGCAGTAACGATCCAGCCTGTATCTTCCTCAGCATTGTAGGCCGACTGTCGAGTACATACATGATCAATTAATTAAACGAATGACTGGTTCATCACATAAACTGGAGGACTGACACAGATATGAAACGCTGCGACCGCAGGGTCTGTCTCGGAAGTTGAGCAGAACAGACGTTGAAAAGGGGCATGACTTACCTTGATTGCGGAATACCAAGTTCTGTAACCTATTGCCAAGATCTGCATTCCAAAGTACTAATTGTCCAACCCCTGCCCCAACTATGAGATCATCTGAAAGAAATCTAGCACTTGTTACAGCTTGTGGTGTCCGTTCCAGTGGATCGCGTGGAATGAAGATATTCTGAGCTGTCTTGGATCCGATTGAAAAGACTTGGTAAGTCCCGGGGGCAGTCACCAAAATGGTTCCCTTTTTCGAACAAACATCATTTCTAGACCTGGTGAATATCTGTATTATATGACCCTGATATGGATGTGCTCACATAATACCTGGGAGTCTGATCGTACCCTCATACTGGAAAGTGAGCTCAGGGGACTGTGACTGCTGGAAGTTCCATATGCTTTACGGTTTATCACATTAGAATTTGATTCATTCAACTATGAAATAACCTACATTGTGGTCCCATTGTCATACGCAAGCAGAATTCGATGTCCAAGCACATGTATTGACTGTATATCGCCAACTGCAAGGGACTTGCCTTCCTGGATGGGTTGTGGAAGTGTTTGTAGGAGTTCCCAATGAGGATGATCTTGTGCGAGAAGGCAATGAGGATGATCTTGATAATTAGGAAGTGTATACTTACCATCGTCGTCAACGACACAGTTCCGTATTTCCACTGTATTTTCCATTGCTATCGCTATAAGGTCCTTATTGAGAAATGCGGCAGGAACTCGGGCTCGCTCATGCCGTCCAGTATGCTGGAATCCCGCGATCGTTGAAGACCGTTCATTCATGGTCACGATATACACTGAGCCACCTTCAAAAGACATCACAAGTCGGGGAAGCTCTGATGTCCATGCGGTGAAGGAGATTTTTCTTTCGTTAGGTCCGGAATATCGAGCCAAAGGATTGTTCACGTTAGATTTTAGATCATAGATATCCACGCTTGTGCCAAACGAGACTGCAAGATAGCGGAAGTCCATCGAAAGTGCGAGACCTATGATGGACAAGTGGGGCTCTGTTATCGCGATATGGTGACATTCTTGCCACTGAGAACGCATTGGAAAGAGAACAACTAATTAGCGCGCATAACGGGGAAATTCGATTACAAAGTTGTATAGATATGGTATGTACATTATATCTATCTATTCATATTCATCGACAACATCCATCTTTCTTCGTCGTGCCTTAACATCTGTCGGAACTCGAAGGAGTGATGATTGTGTGAAGCCTCTAACAACAGACGGTCTAGATGTACCTTCAACTGTAATACGACAAAAAGTCCAGCAAAGAGAAGAAAGACAGCAGTCGAATGTTTATAAAGAAAAGATACCCGAAGGCCAAAACTGAATAGGTTGACGCTTCCCAAATGAAACAGTCTTGATGAGAGAGATTCCAAGTTGATCGAGGCACAGCTTGCATATGACCAGGGGCCAGTCTTTACCATCCAGACCAAACACGCCATTAGGACATGCGCACATCGATATATGGTCTGAGCGTAACTGAATCCTGCGACCTCTGTGATTACCCATGTTCGGGGTTGTTGTGTTGAATAAACAAGACAGTAGACTGTGAGCCTGTTCGTCATGACTATGAGAGATTCCATCGACAAATTGGAAGCAAGGGCAATCCAGAGATAAGTGGTCTCAATAAGGTGAATAAACGAAGTCACAAGATCTTCCCCAATGCATTTGAAGGTATTCCAGCAATACACAACGTCTCTGCGGCAGATAATCGAAAATTTCGTGACTGCATTCAACCACCAGAAAATAGCGTGATCGACTGGGGTGTGGTTTGCAGCAAGACTACCCTCTCTAGGATAAGAGAAGGTGACCCGCGGGGACGCAGTCCTACTTGAATGAACAGAAGGCAGAAAAGTTGTCTCGAAGAAAAAGCCCCTCCAGCGAGACCTGTTGTAAAGGCAGGCTATGAGACTACAGATTGCTTCTGTCAGTACTTTGCTTCGTTGCTGAAAAGCCACTGCTTCTGCATTGTCCAGAGAATTCAACAAGCCTGCGGGGACGACGCGAGGATGAATTTGTGAGCTTCCAGAAACATGTACAGTGGAGATTATCGACAAAGACTTTATTCCTGAACCAGATGGCGGAATTGGCGAGGCAGTCAAGGATGTTACAAAACCCGAGAACATCGAGGCCCAATCGATTGCCATCAGTGAGGGACTCGTCACGCTACTAGGTTGGTAGATGTCCATGGCTTCGACAACCAGTAGTTCAGTCTTGGCCTCAACTTCGACCCCCTTTACGCTGTTATCACTCGTGGTTCTCGAGTGTACGCCAACTCCATACTGAGGAATCCTTAATCTGGGAACAGGAATTTGGTTTACCAATACACATTGGCCCTGAATCGAAGTTCGCCTTATCAAGGATCCTTCGAGCTCATCCGCAACCGCTTTAGCGTAAATATTCTCCGTCTGTGATGTGGAACTAGATCAGAATTTGGTCAATGAATGGATGATATATGGATGAGAGCTAATACAATGACACGAAGACCTCTCTAGCAGATTGATATATATAGAGTGTGTACAGCTGGAGGCAGCACATCCGAAGAATCCGATATTCAAAGGAAAACTCACTTCAGGGAATTCGATACATCTGAGCGAAACTTGATTTTAGGATCCACGTTATACATTGACATCGTCTTCCCTACATCTTCACCTCCAGGGGAAGTAGATCGCGGAGAATTGCAGTAGAGAAGAACGGACTACGCAAGTCAAATGAGATCAGAAATGCGTGAACAGAAAAATAGCTTATTACAGCGGCAGGTTTTTGTGCGTGCACAACTTGCCTAAGCGTCGACAGTAACCTGATGATCGCTGCAGATTCGGAAAGATGAGTTGACTTGGCTAGTGGGTTTCTGTTGTGCTATGATCACAAACTTCAACATGAGATGAATTCGGTTGTTCTGTTACTTTGTACTGACCATATTGTTTTCGAATGTAACCAAATCATTCGGGTCAATCTCGCCGATGGACGCACTCATGTTTCGAGTTTTTGATGCGTGTTCGACGATTAGTGCCACTTCCATTGTCGACATTTCGTACGAGTGAGATGAAGCGTGATTGAAAAGCGTGGCGCTAGTTGTTCGATTTTGTGAAGCGGTCCTATGGGGAAAAATAGGTAAGAATGAAAAAGAAATGAAAACTGGCTTTACCAGAATACATTGTTCCAATCGTCCGACGACCTGGACTTGGCTCGTGTTTTGATCAGCCTAGCCACCAACGTCTCGCCCTTTGCATTGGTCCTAATCGGTAGCTCATCGTGGGTCCGTCGCGGGATGAGTAGATGTAGTATATCATTCTGATAATCAATATAACCGAAATGAACCTGAACCTCATAGCTTGAATCCTCTGAGTTGCCCCTCCCTGCCTGCCCCATCTGGAATAACACTCGCATTGACCGAGTGATAATTCTAGACTCTGCGAACAATACTGCTATTCTATCAGTCTCACCAAATGACGCCGCCGGCCCATAAACAAAATTTGCTAGAGTACGAACTGTCAATAGAGGCTCCAGTACCGCAGTGGTGTTATAGAGCTCTAGTTGGGTTGTATCAGGTACGAAAGCAGTCTGAAAGAGCGTTTGCGGGTTCTGGACTTCAAACGAGTCTGTTTTTGTGCCAGTCAAGGACACCGATATCCAGGAAGTAGTTGAGATAGGGCGAGCAGCAGGAATCGAAGTAATAGATAAGGTACCATGAAGACACCCTTGAAGACGGTCGCAGTCTCCGATGGTAGGTGAGAGCTGATACTACCAGTATTAGCTCAACAGGACTGTGATATGGTATCAATCTCACCTTCGGAAATACATAATCTTGATTTACAAAAGTAAATTCTTCAGCCTGGCGACATTTAAGGGCGAGGTGAGCGATATTCAAACCTTCATCAAGCAATTCCACTTACGAGCGCGCGCAGTGATACAGAAAGTCCGATACTATCAGAGCTATGCGAATCCTGAGGTTCGAGGGCGTTATAAATAGTGTCGTCGTCCAGACAAACAGTAACCTTGTGTTTCCTCTCCGCATCAGGACATGACTGAAAAACGGCTTCATTTGTAGGGCGATCTTTGACCCGCAGGTTCTGACAGAAGCAGGTCAGTAATGCACAATGACATGGATCTCGATTTTCACCTCCATCATCGTTTCGAAGATTGAGTCATTCTGTGGTTGCGGAACAAGAGATTGAAGTCTTTCCATAAAGGACAAGTGCATCTCAAAATTTTCAGAATGAGAAGTGATTGAATCGCCTTCTCCAAAGTTAGCACAGATAGCATGCCTATATCTGGTAAACTCACCGAGATGGTATAGTTCGTTCAGAACTTTGTTTCCTGTGTTCATGGTCCCTTGTGAACAGAGAAATCGAAGACCGATCCCCCAAAGATTGCCCAAATATTCCGTTGTATGTCCTGCGCATTCGAGAGAAACACTTGCGGTCATATGTTTGGAGTGTTTCTCCTGGAGCAGCTTCAGCTTGTACTCTAATCGGTCAATCATATTGTCCGTGTAATCATTCAATAGGTCCTAATAAAGAATGGTAATAAAGAATGTGGTCGGTGATCATGCCTTGAGACATCTATAACATAGAGACAAACCAAGTGGTCTTGATGAGATTCTCAATAGCCCTGCAATCTTTCATTCGCTTCCAAGACTTGTTCAACGATCCTCTGTCCATCAGCTCGAAAATGATCCACGACATCAAGGACCAGTTCCAACTGGTGCTTCTTTAAAGCAAAGAACATCGACACCATGTCTTCAGGAGATCGTGGTGAACGAGCTTCCTGGAACATGTGGATGAGCCTTAGGAACTAGTCAATATTGCAAAACTCACGAGTTCCTCCAATAGAACTGAAATACACTTCTGATCGGTATCTGAATGATTTTGACCATGCGTTTGGAATTCACATGGAGGTGATGTATCCACTCGTAACAAGGAGGAAGAAGCGACAGTGGTGTCAAGTACTGGACAACGCTGGGCCGTAGGAAGGAGCGACAGAGTTGGATGTTGTAACAGAAAGTTTATGTCAATAATAGCAGCAAAGGTCTTCAGTGCTTCTCGACAACGTGTTGTGAACATAGAGTTGCTGATAATACTTTCTTTCAACCTTCCTTTGGGTGGAAAAGACCCGTTCGAGTTTCCAGTCTCTAATGTACGTAGTGAGAACGATACTCCTCCAAATATGTAAATAACTCACTTAATTGATGGATGAGTGTTTGTCTAAGTTGCGGATCCTTTAGCACCTGTTGAACGATGATTGAAGGTGCTGTGAAATGCGAACGAAACACCTAACCTGTTCTCGTAGTCGGCATGATTGAGATATGAGTTTCTGAAGATCTTGTGCATTTTGAACGATTTCTCGTTCGAAAGGGATCCTTGACACCCAGACCTTTTTGTGAAAGGAAGCCAGTGTTACTCCGTAATTTATCAGGAACGATTCTGCATACACCAGAAGTTTGTTCTGTTAATTTTGGATCAGTGCTTGCGCAAGACATTGGGTCAAAAGCTGAGCCTTACTGTATCGATGGCAAGCTGGGTAAGAGCCTTTCGTTCTTCTTCCGTCGAGTGGCGAAGTAAAGACATTGTTTCTGACCTCTGTTCTGCCGCTTCATTCCAAGCATTCTGGGCAATACCAAGGTCAGCTTCGAGATCTTCAATCAATTGCATGATACAGAAATTGGATATTTCCAAGAGTTTGAGACCGTCGATAAAGTTCGTGAAAGGGCGTAGATACTGACGTCATCAATCAACGTTGAAGTTGAATGGAAAGAGTGATATTAATAAGGTCATTTTGGGGCTGCATTATCCTGGTATCATCAATCTATGTATTATGATGATTGTTATACATGTACAGTGGGATGTAATTTTGATAAAATCCTTCTCATAGAATTCGGTGTGACCCACATAGGGCGTATAACCTTGTAATATCTGAGAGAGATACAAAGGACGTGACCATCGCCCACAATTCGCTTTTCGCCATAACAAATTTTTTCCCATTTCGATGATGCCTGATTCCAAATCCACATTTGAACACCCTCTAACAGTCTGGAAATCATCAGCTGTCCCCCACGAGAAAGAAATTTCGCGGGTTGAGCTTCATGGATGTGCAGGAAGATGTCGTTGTGCTTGAGTCCCACATGATTAGCTGGGAGGTCAGGAGGACGTTCGAGAGGGCTCGAAGTATAATGCGTATACCATGAAGTGGTGAAGTCCTTGAGCCGGACTTTGTCCTCCCGGTATTCGAGCGAGGCGTAGCCAAATGTACTGGGGGCGTCCAGTGTCCATTCCCGGCTTTCAGACGAATACTTGCGTTGGTCGTTCCGGACGTATTTAGTATTTATGTCTTGACCAGTAGAAGCATCCGATAGAGTTTTGCTACGGGTCTGGTATGGGCTTCGGCGTGACGCTTGACGTTGAAAGCTGGATACGATGAGCACCAGTTGGGAGGCAGGGTATCAGTATGAATGGCTTACTGAATGGCTGAGGATATTGACTGAGGCTCATTTTTGACCTGTATATTCCTCTCACTATTCTCTTGAGAATGAGCCCGGGTAATTCTGTAATAGAACAGATGTGAGCGGACCAGAAAGCCACGGGAATATATAGATTGTTACCCTTCCATGCTATCGACAGGATGATGATGATAGTTGTTCTGATGCACGACATCGTCGATTCTACAATTGTTGAGAACATGGACCACATGAAAACAGTAGAGAAAATCAGACCTGCTGGTGAAGCTAAGACGGAGTTCTCTTTGAACCTCAAACCCTTTCTTACAATGATCTCCTTCGTTCGCAGGTATATGTGATATACTGTCAAGGGAGTTGGCGATTGAGCCACTGGATGCGAGTTGAGTATGCTAATCGAAGCATCAAAGGGTGACATACCCATGCGAGCTTCCGTTAGGTTGTTGGTTCGATAGGGCGTGAGGACCGGCCTCATGAGTAAGTGAATCGAGGAAATGAGGGGCATTTCCGCTATGCTGCTGGATCGATGGCTGGTTTGATGGCTGAAAGGGATCGTCCTTACGGACGACTGGTTCAAGAGGTTGAATGAATAGTTCATGGCTGAGTGCTCTATATGCAAAAGTTCAAATAACGACTAGATTGCAAAAGGGAAACTGTTACCGGTCTGCAGCAGTGAGAGGTACAACCTCGACACCATGCTCTCCAAGTCCCTGTGTCCTATAGTTCATACAATACGTCTTCAGTTGCATGAGTTCAAGTAACGTTTGATACTGACTTGGATATCGTTCGAGGGAGCGAAGGTAGCACAACGTGAGTGGTTGAATTAGTGTCGTCAAACTCGATTAAGGTGGCAAAATGAGGATGCATAGCAAGTGATGAAGTTCTGTTTCGATGATCCTGCCTCTTTATAAGAACCCGAGACCTTGACAAAGAGCAAAGGATCGTTTGTAAACAATGAAATCTTGCACATAGATAGACCATATCCACCCAATCAGCCAGTGATGACCATGCTTGATCAAAGGAAGGCTTGAAGCTTTTTGGGAACGATTATTGGAATTGATGAGCAACCGACAGAACGTTCCTAGCTGGTTATGCGCATGATGAATGATTGAATCAGAGGATGATGGGTTGCTGGATTGACCCTAACCTAGGTCACCCTCAATTTTTGCTTCACCCATCGAACTGCTTGATTCAGATGAGGTTGATGCAGAGCTCTCGATGTACGCCCAGCAGGACCAGAATCCGGCAATATACGACCAACTTGGAGCACAGATTGAACAGCTTGAATTGCTCTGGCGATTCAGCAACATATGGCTGCCTTGGCTGCCGTGCCCGATATCGGAAAGAGCGTGAGTGTCGTTAAATCCTCTGATGAACTCGACTTGAGTCAATCTTGCCGCAGTTCATCGTGTCTTTCCACCAGGCAATACTTAACAGAGATCTTCCTTCCATCACGATGTTCCACTCAGCAACATTCCCAAAACTTACAGATCGATTCTATTTACGCGCGGAATGGCCTAAACCAGAAGTAATTACGCCGCTGCTTTCGTCGAATAATGCAACTGAGGATCAAGTTCATATCTTCCTTGTACTGTTTCGCAACCTGTATTACCGTCATGTTTATTCTCGGCTTCAACCCAACATCAATGACCGTTCTCATGAAAACTCACATGCGAGCTGTCCAATCATTTATTCAACTCTCCCGGCACAGCTAATGATGAGTCGGATGAACCTGCGCCTGTCGATTTGGTCCTCGGAATAGTGGCTATGGGACGTCATCGACGGGTTTATCTACCCGTTCCAGGTATTCTGCTCCTGGCGCTCGAAAGTCAAGTCCAAGACGGACGATGAGTTCATGATGCTCGCGGACGGAATAGGTGTATTGTCTTCTTACTCTGTCCTCGACGTTCTTTATTCACTCGTCCAAAATCGAACGAGTATATGGTTGCGTTGAAAGAGGAACAAGGAAAACAAAATTCTAGGCCTGCGGAGGAAGTGCTGCAATCCATTTCCCCCTATACGGCTCTTCTACCGAACCCCTGGGTATCTTTCTGTCCATGGACTTCAATCCGTGTGCATGTACCTCGGCGACTTTACCCTTAGGCTCAAAGTCATGGATGTGGGGGAATTCCTTTTTGGTGGCTCTAGTTTGGGCTCCAGAAACGCAATTTCCTTCACCGCCCTTTCTACCCTTCCAGTAACTCATATCTCAACTCATTATTATGTCGACTTTTACTATATAATGCTGCGCCGATACCCTGAAGATATTCCGGCCTTCGTCACAGTTCTCGACTTCTTCCGACGTATGTAACGCATGCGAATGCACTGGTTACGAACGGAAAGACCTACGATCAAATTGCGCAAGGTGCCGACCGGATTCTAGCATTGTATGCAATGTGCCATTCTTTGGTTCTACCGGGATCACCATTCACTAGACTGGATGATAACATCACTAACACTGCGAAAGAAAGATACGGGGATCAAATGGGAAGGATGAGTAGGGGAGGAAGCGATTCACTTGTAACATTCGAGGAACTATTCCTAATAAGGCATGTACGGTGATCGGAGGGTGAGTCGGATACAACACTCCTTCTTCTCATGAATTTATTCTTAGTTTTCTTGCGATCACAGCAGTCTTTGGGTATCAGAAACAGCTACTGCACAAGCAGTGAGCTGGATATGGTCAACTCAGAAGGCACTCATGGTTACGCTCGGCCTTCCGGCTGGGCAACTTCTGAATTTGGATACTTTAAAGCAATGATCGTCATAGGATCCATAATATATGTGTTTCCGTGCGTGCCCGTAGTCTGGAAATTATTCTTCGCCGTTGATCCAATTTCTGGATAGGATTTTTATGCTATCTATTGCGCACAATGACAAGTAATATCAACTCTTCTTTTCTCAAAGTCTAGCAGCAGGTATTGGTGCTGGGCTCGTGTACGTACCGCGACGACGGTCAAGGCCTGTAGCATTGAGTATCGTGATAAATGGTAAGCGATAAATTCCTGATAGTTTGTTTTGAACAAATTCCCTCGTTCTGATGTTGTAACCGTAGGATCTTTTGTCGGAGGCATCACTTTCCTTTCCTGACGATGTTCAAAACCCTTATCGCGAACCCGAATGTTGGGCAGTGCAAGCTTCCGCGTTCGTGTGCCTTGGGTTGTTGGTTACCGAGTGCGCTATTCGTGTCTAAGTCTAACTCTCCTCTGCCTTCTTCAAGTAGTATGGGTTTTGCATCCCAGTTGAATGCTTCTGCGGAGGAATTTAAACCTGACGGTTTTTTCCTTCAGTTGCCCCTTTCCGTCCCAAGTGTTGCTCTTACAGCATCTCCTTCCTGTATTTCAGGAAAAGGTGCATTACAACAGTGTCGGTTTTTCGGTTCCTTCGATAGAGATCAAGCTGCTGGACGTCAAGGAGGTTGGGTACCTATCGATGAACAAGCCTTACAAGGGTGAAGTTTGCATCTGGGGTCCACACATATAAATTTCGAGCGACCCATGCGATGAGCAAGCTCATGGAAGAAACGAATATACTCTCCGTTCTTCACACATTTGCCCGCATAATCAGAGAGTTGTCTGTGATGAAACTAATTGACATAGAGAAGTTAATGTATCACAGACTGCTTGATTTTTCTCGCACTATCTGAACCTCTGTCTTTTCTAGTTCTCGGGAATTATCACATAACCTTATCGTTGCTCTCACGCGCGCGCGTTCGATACAAGCACATCAACGAGAGACTGTCACTGTCACATCCTTCGCCTCACCAAACGTTTATCGGCGGCGCTTTTTCTTTGCGTTGGGAGGGATTCTGGTCTCTATCCCCTTACTACGGTAGCCATGCGTCGGTCGTTCGAGGAACTGCAACAGCGCTTCAACATGCGCCAGATGTCGAGAATATCAGATGCGGACGGAGAGGGTTATCTTTACGCTTATGTCCATTTCGATATGTGGAAGGTGGGGATGTTGAAGAATTTCATTCGTCGTCAAGAAGAATGGGATAGAGATTGCCCTGATGGATGGCGGATATGGCTTCCACCAATCCGGGTCGCGAACAGGCGAAGAGCAGGTGAGTTTCTCATCTTTGAATATCTCTGTGTGTATCCCATTCGCGTGTTAGAGGCTGTAGCGCATCTTCTGCTCGAAATGGCGTGCATTGACCGCCCGCGCGTGTACTGTTATCATTGTATGTATTTTCTTTGCTATCCTCTTCGCTGCCTTTTCATGTCCAATCGATAGGTCAACGGACACATACCGAGCAATTCCTTTTCTCCGGATCTTGGCCCGTTGTCTGGACCACGATCGTCTATCCGATTATCCTAAGGGCTGCTGTTGCATAAAAGTATGCAATTTTTTCTCTCTATAATGTTCTCGCTGACGCCACAACAGTTCCAGTAGATTTTAGCATATAGATACGCGGAATCCGCTGTTCTTGGTTCCTCAATGAGTCCTCTAATTAGCCTCACCTTTGCAAATTGTACAATATATATCAATAAGAGATGTACGTGTAGGCTGCTGAATCCTGTGTCTTTTTGTTGATCGCAAGTAAATATCTACTCTTCAAATCCACAGACTCAAATCACTCGCAATACAAGCCCTCAATAATTCAAGCCGTATAGGTTCAAAGCCTCAAAGATCTTCGAAGTCTCAAGAGCCTCAATTTGAATCCAATGGAGCATCAGTGCATTCTGATGTGTACATCCTCCCGAATCCTCAATATTGTCAACAAGTCATTATACCAACGCTTCGCTTCAGGATTCCTCCTCAACTTAATTATCTGCCCTCGTCTCCTTCAATTGCAATTGCCTTTCCACTCCACGCTGTCTCGCTCGAATGGACGCCTAAGCCAAACCACCGGATCAGTAAATCACAATAAAATTTGTGTAATCATTCCTTTGTATCCCAGAATTATCTAAAAGTTATCTATGTAACTGTAGCGTATGTTTACTACCTTTCCATGGTCTAGTTTATGTATCGTTTGGATATACTTAAAATTCTAATTGCTTAATTTGTGCAACATATTGAATCCTTATTGTCTACTTGTTTTGGTAAATTCAGTGTAATTGGTCACGTAAAGTTACCATAATTGTAAGATTTTTACGGCAAATAACGCAACCATATTTGTGACAAAACGTCACAATAGGCAAATACTATCTTGTATGGTAGGATACGGCCCTTACTTGACCATTTTAATTTACAAATCGATCTATCTATTAAAGTAAATTTTGACCAACAATAGTGTATCTGGCAAAAATTACGCTCCAATATTTTGGCGTTTATATAAGGTAAGCTCACAGTAAAGAGCTGAACTTACGGTAGCATGCGCCCTGTGAGGATTTTTACCAAAATTCATCAAAAATCCTGGGCACGAATTTTAAAACTTTTCGTGTGGCGATCAGGTGGCGATTATTGTGAAGCTATCGTGAATTTGGCGGGGGGCCGTGCTTATTTTAAATTATCTTTTCATAATTTTACCATAACCTCAGCTCAATTCCTTCAAAATATCTGCTGCCATATTTTTGTACATAACCTCGAGATAAAACCCACATTTTCGCCTCGAGGAAATCGGCTCATCCCCGCAGTGACAGTAACACCATGGATTATGCAGAACAACGTCGATCCAGTCACGAGACTTGATGTACGCAATAACCTACGAGCGCCACAGTTAACTATTAGTCAAAATTTAAATATAAAACACAACCTCGTTTTTCAGAGTCGGTTTGGAGAGTGGAGTTATGAATGTTCAAGCAGGCACGGTCTCCTGCTGAGGTGTATTGAGCCAGACAGGTATGTAATTTTTAATCATTTCAGCATTGAAAATTGAGCCAGTCTCGCCTGTTTTCAGAAGCACCATGGCAACACCTACATCCAATCCGAATTCTTCTCGGCTTTCTCGACTCATTAGTCTCCTTCTAGAGATTCACCCGAACACTTTATCGTTGACTTATGCCAATAGTAGTAATAAATCTCCTTCCGAGTCCTTTTCTGGCCCTCAATATCCGTTCGACCTCGAAGGCATTGCTGAACTGGATCAGGAATTCTGCCTTGGTCTGGGATTTAGCGAGAAGAAGAAGAACACAGCAGTTCACGAACTCCAGAGCGGGATCTTTGCCGAGAATGGAGTCGGAGGACAGTCGGATAAGGTTGAAAAATTCGAGAATTTTGAGTGGGAGGATGTTCTACAAGCATACGTCGGATCATCGACCACCTTTCTTGTCACTTCTACAACAACAACACCGACAACCTCGACATTCACCCAATCATCCCCGAGTTCTAATCCTCCCTTACTTCCTCCCGCCATCCGCCAACTACTTGCTCACGTCCATGCTCACTCTCTTCTTCGAGCACCTATCGACCTCCCGTTCTACGACCACAACAAGCGAATGGTCGGTATGTCCCTCAAAAAAGCTCACGAAGTGACGCGGATGGCTGCATATGTTGCATCCATTGTCCAGAACCTTCGTGTACCCAACGGTGTATACATTGTCGACGTCGGTGCAGGTCAAGGTCACCTTGCTCGTGAGCTTCTTGACGTCGTTCCGAGTGTAAGAGGTGTGTTGGCGTTGGATGGCGATGCTGTTCTTGTTGAAAGACAAGCAAATGCGCGTCCGGCCAGGGGTAAAGGCAAAAATTACGCTGTGGACTCTGGAACCGATGGCGGAGGTGCTACGACCAAAGTAACACATAAATTCTGTCACGTCACCTCCCCGGAGAAACTCATACAGGCTGTCGATGAGTGGTTTGTGGAGATAGAGACATCGGAGGTCCTGCGTTCAGATGTCCTGAAACCCGTCATCTTGATATCATTGCATGGTTGTGGTTCTCTCGGCATTGATGTACTTCGAGCTTTTGTCGGCAACAGCCATGGAATCGAAGAATTCCAGCGAGGAAAGCGGAAATGGGGTTTCATTGCTTGTGTTACGGTTCCATGTTGCTATAACCTATTGAGGGAAGGGGAGTATCCGTTATGTGCAGCACCCTGTTCCTCGCTTTCATCTCATCCTGATTCTTGCGGTGAAGCTTTCAATCAACTTACTCCGCCTTTTCGGGCCGCGACGTCTCCCATCACAAAATACATCCTCCCTCACCCTTTGACACCGAATGCATATCACCTCGCAGCGCAGGTACCTGATACCTGGGTCTGCTCCGAACCAATGAAAACGTCAACTATGGAAGACGTAACCTCAAATTTTACGGAGAAGATTGTCGTATCTGCTGCTCTCGCGGTGCGCAAAGTCGTTTGGCGGGCTTTGTTGGAGTGTGTTTTTGTTCGGAAAGGCATCAAAATCAAGCTGGGTGGTGATTCGGAGGATACCGATAAATCTTCTGGACAGGGATTTATCCCGCCTATGGAGGCGAATGCTTATATACAGGGTGGTCTCAACAACAAACATAGCAAACGTTTGAATAATAATGATAATAATTCCTCTCCCAAGTCTTCCTCTGCATCTACGACGTCTTACGCAGGTAAATTAGGCTCCAACCTCGAACAAGGTCATCTCGGGAAGATCGGCCGCTTTCCCTCCTGTGCGTACGACTCGTGGTCGACGTTTTTGGGTATGGCTGGTTCGAGGTTGGGGGTTGAGCTCTATCATGAGAAGTCGTGGACGACAAGCCCAACCTCGCCCAGTAGTCCACTTTCGATGTCCGCTGTTTCATCTGCAGTCCAGCGTATGCCCTCGTCTCAGTCGGGTACAAATCAAAGGTCTACTTCCGGTACAGCTCAGAATCACTCAATATCCGCAGCACTCCCTCCTTCTCTCGCCCCTCTCGCTCGTGCATTATCCATATTTTATGTCCTTCGATGCATTTTAGGCCCACTTGTAGAGAGTGCATTACTCGAGGATCGGGTGCAATGGGTACGGGAGCAGCTAGTAGCACGTAAACCAGACCTTCCGGCAGCAGAGGGCCGAGAGCGGGAAGTGACGTTAGTGAAGACTAACATCGAGATGGGGTATGAGGCCTCACTTGTTCCGCTTTTCTCACAACTCGGGGAGGCAGGAAGTGCACGGAACGTTGCGGTAGTGGTGGTACCAAAATATATTTCTGGGTAGAGACAGTCCGGTCCCGACGTTGGTTATTTAGACGTTCAAACTTACTCCAGTGTGATTGTTTGAGAGGCAGACTCTGGTAACGTTGTCGGTAAAGCAGTGGGTAGTTGTCGCTGGGAAGGCGGAGAAGCGAAGGCCTAACAAAGGACGTGGTGAGTAGGCAGTACACTTTCTCTGTCGATGTTATCTTAGTGACGTCTTCTCCCAGGTGGCTTACTCTCTGCCTATGAATTGCCCAGCGTCAATGTAAAACCTATGCAAACTTGACAACTGCAGTGACTAATAGCGGTTTCAGCGGGATGATGGTGATATGCAATGTGGATTTTTGACTGAGTACAGTACTGCTTATCGGTCTCGGAAGAAAGGCAAACGCCTTAAGTTCTGGAGGGTTATAAAGGGGGGCATCACTTGTATTGGTTTTTTTTGAACTTGGGATCCTAATATACTGATTCTACACCAATTATCAACTATGGCCATAGGCTATGTCTCAGCTATTCATGATATAGAGGTCATTCAACTCACAAATTGTGGGTACAGCTTCTACTTGCTTTAAACTTCCATATAGATGATCATACTTACACTCTATGTAGTGGCTGCCGGCACGGTTATAATATATGATCATTGTTAGTATTTTCCAATAGTCCTCATGCTTACGATTTTCGATCCGCTCACTGAAATCACAGTACTAACACTGAATGACGAGGTGAGTGTGCATATTTTTACTTAGGCATCCGTCGTTTTGATGATCACATGTTCAATAGTTTGAACATATCTGGGCATGGATAATTTCAAGTTTGTATCATTATTGGTTTGCCGCTGACATACCTGTTAGCAAAATTCGTGGTCAATGGGAAAGGCTCTGTTCATAATCGTGAGTCCGCCATAAGCCTATTTCAGACATTTATGTGTCAACTTCCTGAATTCACGTAGAATCGTTATTACTCACTCATCGCCACGGTTGTGTAAGTTGCGGACATTCATCATATTGTTAATCACTCATCAAGTTCGAAAAACTTCTGATGAATCCCTCTTCAATGACGACTTCAGAATCAACAATTACGGTGAGCCAAAAAACAATGTCCTTGTAGATTGTTTAATATTGGAGCGAAGCTCTTTTCGGAACTCTAAATGAAGCAGTAAGCCGTCATATTCTGTGGTATGGATGAATCATCTAGCTCAACAATCTTCAGGGGTGAGTATCATCTTCCGGCTTGATTCACTTCAAGTACATGTAATAACCTGGTTAGATGTATGTTTCCAGGTCTTGTGAGCCAATTCAATCCACTGAGGATGTTCTCTAGGTTTTCGATATTTCCACTGGGAGGGAGGGGGTGGTCTCATTACCTGCATAATAACAGAAAGTAAGCCCACAGTTAGACCATCAAAACAATCACAAACCATATACAGCAATCCTACTAATGCGATTATACGCAATGTACGCCCTTGACAAGAGGATCTTGAGCTTGATGCTTGTGGGTTTTGTACTCAGCATAGCAAGTCAAGGAGCAGTGGTGGGCGTCGCATTTAAGGATGTTAGAGGTGAGTTTGGAATAAACTCTCCTCTTGTGCAATCTCAGTCTGATCCCACTCGAAGCATATAAGGATACTGAAACACTTTTATGTGTGCCTTTACTCCCAACCTTTTCCTATTCCTTTTGGATCCCAAGACTCGCATTCGAGACGGTTTTGTGTATCCTCGCTCTGATCCGAGGATTCCAGCTCCAGAAGGATGAGATTGGGGATACCGATTGGTCAGGTAACGATCTTATGAAGATGTTAATCAGAGACTCCATTGGGTATTACATAGTGTAAGTTTCTCGCTCCTCTGGTTTGTCCTTAGTGCGGACTCACTGAATTACACTCTGAATACTCAGGATGTTCGCAATCTATCTGATGTGCTTGGTGGTCTGGATAACAAATGTCAGTAACAATAACTATGTGAACCAGCTTACGCTAACACGGCACCAAGACTGACCTTGCTGGAATTTCCTTTGGAATATCGGTTTCATTTTTGTGCGTGCTGGGAAATAGATTTATTTTGACCATCAGAAAAGCCACATATAGTAGTAAAAGGGATTGGATGTCTACGTCGATGGCAAGAGGAGTCGAAGCAGATCTTCTATATGCACCAAGTGTTGAATAATCCATTCACATATAATGATTTCCTGATCAGCTATAGAGGAATGAAAATTAATGAAAGTTCGTCCACACAGAACCGGGGTCCCGGAAGAACCATTCATACCATCTACATCTCAAACTTAAATTGCCCAGAACGAATGATTATTAGTTTCGAGAATTTCTATGGTCCTTCTGCCATCAACGTCTTAAGTTGTGCGAGCTAATGTTCAATATTTTATTCAAAGACCTTGCTAATCAGAGGGAAAATATTGTGACTTTTGACGAGAGACTGCATCTTTGTTCCATAGATGAAGTATGTAGTAAGTTCTTCATACTGGCGGATCATACTGGCGGACAAGGGTCAATTGAGTCTGACAGCGAGAATGGTGTGCTCGTGGCCAGAACCGCGGTCTTGCTGACATCCATAGCTTCGATACCAAACACCCTAAAGACAGCCAATGAGCTCCCATTGTACAACGTCAAGAGTGAAACTCACCCTGGAGAAGCAATAGCAAAAAGTACTGTTTGAGGAGTCAACCCTGTATCAGTGGGTGTGGCAAAGAAGCTCGTGAACTGTGGGTCATCTTCGATGATATATGCCAAGGCAAACGTCTCTGGGTCATCTTCCGTCTCACGCGTGAAGGTTATGGGTATTTCGCATCGACGTTCCCATTCGGAAGGGACATCTATCTGGAGGGAATGCACTTGGGCTATACCAGCTGCGAGCAAGAGGACAAGACGTGCGCTAATTACACAAGATGGGTTAAACCGTTTGAAAACGGATGTAGAAGGGGGGCCACGTACCAGAGTGACGCTCGCATGTTGGTGGGCAGTGGACACAGAAGATGAATGGCACCTTTATAAACCTCAGACCAGACGGCGATTTATTACCGCGATTTGACCATGAGGAGGATAATGATCTTCCCGCTGTGCCCGTCTATCATACATAACCTTCAACAGACCTCGAGTTCTCGACTCGGTTGTCGTTTGATTCCATAGGACCCAGGTCACAGGTGCCTCTAATCAAAATCTGTACCCATATCAGCGGTTAGTGTTTCGAGTCCCCTCAAAGATAAAACAGCACTGGATAGGATTTGCGTGAAGGTCAAGACCTGGATCCCGATTATTTAATCCTCTTCGACAAAACCTGCCCCAAATCCCAAGTCGAGTACCTCTTACTCGGTGCACAATATGCTCCGTTTGATACAAATACCAACTTTCCAAGCCGTTCTAATTCGCAAAACCTGTATATCTACAGCACAGCACCTGTGCCTACCTGTGCAATCCTATAAGTGACAGCAAAGCACCAATGCTGTTACAATACATACTGGGCCGCTGCTTAGTGTGAGATTGTTTTGTTCTCACTCAGTATATATGATAATCTGGGATTGCTCGCTCATTAGTGGTTTTGCTACTCATTAATTCTGTATTCGAAGTCAGAATCGAAGGCACAATCGGAATGGGTTCAATACAACCGATTGCGGCCTCGAAGTCTGGGGAAGCTGGGGACTCGAGCCCCCCTGCCCCGCAACCATTACCGCCGCTTTTTCGACAGGCTCAGCCTGATCGAACAAGAATCTCATTGCCTTCGACGTCAACTGGGAGACTCACTACCACCTCTGAGTTGGATTCTGAACCAGCTCCCCGTTTATTACCGCTACGGTTAGGATCTCAATTCGCTCCGGAATCTATATTATTGCAGATGCCTCCTCGAACAAGTCTACTGCCTCCTCGCTCTATTGGACCATTCTATGTCGTAGAACCCGAGTCAGTTTGGGATTCATCCAGTAGCAGAAGTTTGTCACTCTCTTCGTCCTCTGGTGAAACCCAGCAAGACTTTCCGATAGCTGATGTGCCTACTACACCGACACACCGTACGTTGTCTAAACACACTCACCACGGCATACAAATCACTATGTCGCACTGGCGATGGTTCTTGACAATTGTGGTGTTCATACTGGGTATAGGCTCGGCCTTTGCTGGATACAAAAACAACTCGATAGCTGTAGTTGTTGTTGGAGTTGTCACCGCAGTGGCATCGCTGATGTGAGCGATTCAGTTCCTTTGTAACGCGTTGGATCTCAATCACGTCCAATAGATCGTCTATTATTTCTCAATGGTCAGAGACTCATAAAACGAAACAGGGCTCATCGACATACCCAACACCTCATAACCTTGATCAAACACAAGCACCCGCCCGCGAAACGATTAGGTTGCCTGAGCTGTCATTCAAACATGGACCCTCAATTGAGGCTTCGAGCACTAATCGCCTGAATCTATCTGAGCATAGGGTCTTCCAGTCGGCAGCGGGTAGAATATATACTGGTTCGTCAGGCTTGGAGATTAACGGAGGAGAGTCTAACGAAGTCAGGAAGCGTAATAATCAGTCCGAGAAAAAGGAGGTGTAGTTTACTTCATGAAATTTCATAAAATATAGAAGTTGACTGTAGGGTTTTTTGATCGAGAGGCTCTGTATTTGTACAACCAATTAATGTTATCTGAAATACGTCAACGTTCCGACACTCAGCCAGTCTCTATGTATATATAGTGAGGGACATACCTGGTCATTTGATAGCAGATACCGTGGCAGAAATAGAGAAAAGCACGCATTGTACTGTAGCATGCAGATCCAAAGGTCACAAGCATACATACTTGACCGTGGGAAAATCTCCAAACAGCGACAACGAAGGACAGCGAGGATTGTACCATTGGGAGTGCCCATACCCAGTACCAAATTTCTACGTTTCTTTCTCCAAAGCTCAGGCCGTCTGTATCTGAATAACGAAATGACGAAACATAGCAAAAACAACACTGCGTCCTCAATTTTCTCCTACGCGGAATATAAGAAGTTGGACTATGGAACGAAGAAGGTACATCTTTTCTCTTCTGGGCTTGCCCGAGTTTGAAACTGTCATTTCCTAGCAACGTCTTGGAAATGAATCCATGCGCCGCTTTGACGCCTGTGCGCTCTGTTTGAACAGAGCTCGAGAACCTTTAGCATGTAATGAAGGTCATCTATTCTGCAAGGAGTGCGTTTATACAGATTTGTGTGAGTGCTATCACTCCAAGCCATGGTGAAACAGAATGCTTATCGTTCCAGTGACGCAGAAAAAAGATATCAAACGGCAGAAAGAGAAATTAGAAACGATGAGGAGAGAGATAGAGGAAGAGAAGGCGAAGGCGAAGCTTGCTGCGAGGGAGAGGGTCCTCAAAGAGTTTGAGAAGGGTCAACTGGGCTTAGGCAGTCATAATGCTTCGGCGATTAGTTCTGGAACTTCTATAAGTTCAGATAAGGATGAAGATGGGGGTACGTCCTATTTTTCAGTTCACCGTCCTTGACTGGAATCAAATCTTGTTAATCTTTAGCAAATTCGTCCAATCCCCTCAAACGTAAATTCAACTTCTCTTCCTCGACCGTGGAATCTTTAGCTCTCGAAGCCGAGGAGGCTGCTCTACGTCAAATCGAAGTGGAGCAGCGAGAGGCATTGAAGGCGAAGTTGCCAGACTTCTGGTTGCCTTCGTTGACGCCCACGTATACAGGAAAGGGCGACGCGGAAAGTGTGAAGAGTCTGGAGGATGTCAAATTGCAAACAACATGCAGAGGAGGAAATCCAAAGCATGCGCTGACGTGAGTTCCCATATGCACCTGTTTTCTCAGATTCGTTCTGCAGCGCCTTTCTCGTACTCACCATATTTTTGAGGTAGCATGAAATCACTTATACCTGTCAAGTTCACATTTGAGACCTCCAGCAAGCCCAATTCTAAAGATTCGGACCAACAAGCGATATGCCCCTCATGTAAAAAGGTGCTGTCAAATAATACCTTGATCTTTTGTGAGTTGATATATTCTCGTTCTCGGACGTCGACTATTGCTTGCGTCGCACCGTATCCGCTACATATTCCACAGCATTTCACTTTCTTGTATAGCCTGCTACTCTCCTTTCGCGTAGTTTGCGCTTATTTTTTCCCCTAGCGAGCACTTGAATACGCTCTGCGCATTTCCCCTCACTGTTCACTGTTTACGGGAATCGTGCTGCTCCTCCTTTTTCCTTTCCCAACATCCACCTCGTCATCATGTTAACAAACTTTCTCTGTTGTAGTATCCAAACCATGTGCACATGTAACCTGTAAGACATGTACGGACACCCTTGTTAAGCCCGCGAAGCAGTGTGTCGTTTGTGACACCACTTTGAAAGTTCCTGATGATAGCAAAGGAGGCAAGGAGGGAAAGAGTGATATCATTGAGCTAAGAAGGGAGGGTATGTTCACGTCCTTTCTCTGCCTCTTCATTGTGCCCCCACTCTTATTGATTTATAAACACTTCTCACATTCTGATTTTTATATCTCACAGGTACCGGGTTTGCAGGCGGTGGACTGGCCGAAACATCGAAAGCTGGAATTGCGTTCCAGGGTTGAGAACGGAACAGTTCGGTCTGGGGTTTGATCACGAATACAAAGCATAAGATGCGTCTGGTGTAAGACGTGTCTGCATCTAACTGCCTTTGTTCTGTAATCTATGTCCTCTGAGATCTGATGCGGTCCACAAGAGAAATAAAGAGCAAACGTATGAAGAGGATGGTTGAAGACCGACCTCTCAGTTACTGAGAGCCGACCGTCAAGGAGCAGTCAAGGATCTCTGGAATTTCTACCGAGTGCATCGGTGTATCAAGCTAAGCTAACCGCGAAACTGGGCTAGTATTGTCAGAGTTTCTTTGGCTTATTGTAAAGCAGCAGAACCTTGGCATACTTATGTGGCTCAATAGTTGTTACGGCGCTTTTCGGTTCTCACAGACATCATATATGTATGTGCATCGCACATCGCGAAGTCCCGTTAACAACACTTTCATGCTACATTAGGTTACTATCGTACGCTATGTCGACTTCATTGAGTCGAATGATTCCCGGAACACTTTCTCCTAATCATTCCTTCATGTTGTAGCTGACTTATTGGATAAATTCACAGCTACCTGCAGTTCATTATAAGGTTTCGTATCATATAGGATCATAACTAAATGGCAATCGGCCCATGCTCTACCGACAGGCTTTATAAAAGCGAAATGGGACAAGATGAATGATATTCTTCACCCACAGCTCTAACCAACATTCTGGTAGGGCCGGTTCTTTTCATGGATATCTTTACATTTATTTCGGATGGTTATGTGGATCGATATGCAAATTGTGAGCACTCCTGTTTTGGCAAAATTTGCGTCTGTATCTTCATCATTGAAATAAATTATTCTCAGTGGCTGGATGCACACTCCTACTCTATGACTATTGTTAGTTGTACCAATGGTTGAAGCATTGTAAAATCTACTGATTGCACTTCTTGCGATAGTACTCACCCTAGATGATGAGGTGCGTTTGTCAATCACATCAAGTCATAATTCCTTTTTTGATACCACGAACTTACTGTAGATTGAATTCATCTGGGTAGGAAGAATTATGATACCCATACATCTCTTCCTCATTATAATGTCTACAGAGAAAATCATGGTCAATTGGAAAAGTGTTGTTCATAATTGTGAGCATGCTTGTGTGTATAATTACCAATGATCCAACAATGTTTATTCAGAGCCGTTATTATTCATTGATAGTCACAATTGCGTAAGTCGACTATCATGCAAACTATTGAAATTATCTTACTTTCAAAAGGGTCAATAACTACGGTAGGCAATCTACTAAGCTCAATACATGGGGAAGAATGTCCTTAGAATTAACTTACAGCCTTTTTTGGAGGTTTAAGTGGTTCAGTGAGTGATGTCAATACTATTATTCTGTTAAATGCTCATTATCATCCAGGGGTAAGTGCTAGATCAATCTGCCTAACCTAACTATAAATATCAACCATATAGATGTGTGTTTCATCTACCATGTGTTTGTTTTAAGGCCTGACTCTTTGGACTTGCAAGGCTTCCAATTCTCTCACTGGCAGGGTTGGAGTGGACTCATCACTTGTATGATAGTGGAAAGTGGGTCTCGGACAATTCATAAATTCAGCTAACAGTTGCATGCTCATTTTCCATATGCAGCCATTCTACAAATGCGTTTATATGCATTGTATTTTCTTGACAAGAGAATTTTGTCATTAATGATTGTAAGCTTCATTGTAAGCTCAGCAAGTACAGCTGCTGTGTGGGTCATATTGACTAGGGGAAACTTTAGCAGTGAGCCTTTTTTTGCAAAATAATAGGGCTCTGACTGAAGTGGAATTTTCCAACCCAAGCCCAACTTGAATTTCCTTTCTGTCTTATAAAAATGCCAGATTACTGCTATGCAATTTGGATCCCACGACTTGCATTTGGTACATTGTTATGTATTCTTGCACTGATACGTGGATTCCAGCTTGCAAAAGACGAGAGTAGTGTCTTTGAATCCTCCACACTCCCTTCTGGGAGGATTCTCATGAAGGTCTTGATCAGAGATTGTATCGGGTCCTATCTGGTGTGAGTCTTCAATCTCTTTCATTCACTTTCATATAAATTTCAACATCAATTTACAGATTGTTTACGGTTTATTTGACATTTCTAACAATCTGGTTAAAAAATGTATGTTATCCTTATCATTCAAATGATCAAGTATTAACCAATATAGACCAATCTCATCGAAACTTGCTTCAGCCTCTCAGTCGCGTTTGAGTCCATTGTTGGAACTAGGACCATTTTGAGTATTAGGAAGGTCACAACAAGTGGTGGTCCTGATGTGTAAACATCAATGGTGAATGATATCTTGACTTAAAAACTTCCAGACACTAGAACATCTATCTGGTCATAGAAATCACATTGCTACACTATCATACCAAGCTGTAATACTTATTCCTTCACCTCATATGTAGTGATATAATGGACCCCTCGAGGGAAACCTCAAGCTTGAGCTGTAACGTATCAAGGTCTTTGGCCTGCAGTGGGCAGGTCTTGAGTCAGTAGATAACAGCTCATATCTTTGGGTTGTAGCATGACTCATTTTTTGCTATGTATGTATCACCAATCACGGGAGCGTGATGGAGCCACCCTCAAGCGATTTTACACTTCAATGACCGACCTTTTTATTATGCCGGGGATTTGCAGGCAGAAAAGTCTGAATTGGTTGAAGATAGATAGATAAAGTATGTGATTACTGTAAGTGACGATATTTTTCATTTTACCAGATTTAAGATGGCTGATTGTTTGCTTTTAGACGTCCACCGATTTTACAATAAAATAATTGGCTCCAACGAGCTTCAAGCCATATTGGGTTCCAAATTCAAACGCATTCCAACTCCGTCGCTCTTCTAACGCAGCTCCATGCTCCTTGGCACCTTCTGGAATGGTGAAGGTATTCCCTGCGGGCTCCTGGAAGAGCAGAAAACCTTTACATTTCGAGAATGAGAAAATTAAAATGACAACTGTTGGAAATGGCATACAGTATCTGTGGGAGCCGCTCCCAGGTGGAGGACCAGGTGGACGATAAGGAGTTATGGATGCTCTGGTCTTCAATGCAATCAGGCTGGAAGTTCCGCTTGGACTTGAAGAAATGGCAGGAGACTTGAGACCGGTTATCTGTGATATCAGCCCAAGTAAGCATATTGAATACAGTTCTGTGCAATCAATGACAATACTCACTACCCAATGTCTAAATTGTCTGTATTTAGGATCTGCTCTGGACGGTGCATCGGGATCCGTCATCACCAAAGTGTAAGAGGTCTCTCCACGGTCACCGGTCAAGTCTCCCGCTGTTTCATCGCTGGTCACCATTGGAGTGAAGTTGATTTCTGGTTCTTCTAAGGTATTATCCCGCAAAAGCTCAGTGCTAAGTACTGCCTCTATTCCCCCGGGATAAATAACGGAGAACAACACTGTTGGGACGAAACCTGAGGTTTTGGGAATAACGTCAGGTATGATGGATTCTCGCTCGAGCGCGGTGACAACTGCAGAGAGAGGGTCAAGAGCCATAGTTATCAGTATTGTACGTTGGTATCGTTGAAGGCAGTCGTGAAGATAAGAATTGAATATTGAGCGCCAGCGCCACGTAGACTCGGCCCGGTTTACTCCGCTTCTCAATCAACGACGTTCATAATGTTACGTCCGCTTTGAGTTGGAACGACACCAAAATCGATGACAACGATGGAGAAACTGATCCGATGGAAGAGTATGTCTTCGCCTCTCGCGCGGCCGCAGCTTCTACACCTGGAATTCGCGAGAGCATCGAGCGACTATGGGTTGATATCGCACGATATGGGCCGACAATTCCAGCTTCCACCAACGTCGCTAGGAGGAGCGCACGAAAGCGAACTCCTGGACCAAGTGATTTTGAGATCCCACAACAGCCAATGAGTTGGAGGGAGAAGATAACCGAACGGGTAGAAAGACATCCGTAGTTTGTTGGTGGGTTCGTTGTTGTAGGTTTGGGCATTGGGACGGGGCTGTTGGTTGGATTTCGATATCACGGGAGAGCGCAAAGGAGATCCCGAAGTCGGCCAGAGCACAGCTATAGCCGTCGTCAAGTTGTCGTTGTCCTTGGAGGCGACTTACCCTATGGTCCTCCACTCATCCTTAACCCTCATCTCTGTTCTACGGAACCCATAGTCCCTCATCCCGAGCCAGAACCGATCATTAGATGTTTACCAGCTGCCGAAACTCGGGGCGGGTCGGCGTTTAATGGTGTTCAAAGTATGAGTGCAGTAGGAACACTTCGAGCCAGCCGAGGTGTTGAGGAAGGAAATTAGGATAGCAGCGAGTATGGGAAAATCCGCAGAGATGATGCGTGGTGCCAGATTGGTCGTGGCGAACGTTGACATCGAGGGATCCAATGCCCGCTATGGATTCGGTCCGTATTCATCCAGTGCCTTTGGTATGCAATTCGGTGTCGGGATGTTTTCGAACTGGATGAGAGGGGGGTAGGTAATTTGTTGAATCTAGTGGTATGTTCCTTGCTTTGTGTCCTTATAGTACACTACTGAATTCTGTTAACCAGTATATCTCTGCCGCCACGTATCACAATCTCCTTTGTTCTCCGTTCACTTCGGAACTCTTTACTCTTGATATGCCAACAATCTGCGAGACGAGGTTCTTTCTTCTACCAGCACCGCCACAACCATTGACATCGGCACCGTCAGCAGATCCTGTGGTTGCTTCCCAACTCGATCCTATCGCTACTAACCAACTTCCCAATCCCGATTATCCTCCGCCTCTATCTCCATCACCTCTGCCTGCGCCTCTACATCTTTTGATTTTTCAGCAGGTCTCGCTTCAGAAGAAGAGGCGGATGTTGAGGGTAACGCTGGAGAAACTATGGGCGATAGTATGGTTGAAAACAGTTGGATTACCTTGCCCGTTCAGGGTGAGGGAATATAAGGAATGTGCTGCGAAGAAGTGTCTTTGCTTATTAGTGCGTCTCCTAGGGCGTGCTTTCGGCTCTTGAAAGCTCCTTGAGCGCTAATTCTAATCAACTCTTTTTCGATTCCTTTTTGCAGCTTCTGATTCGTCAGCGTACGTCGTCGGGATGAGAACGCCGGGATCCACAGCCATCGGGCAGCATTGGGCTTGTGCAGCGAATATCAGTCATAATAACTTCAGCGATTGGTTCCGAAACTTTAGAGGCTGCTCTACGTCAAATTGAATTCGAGCAACGAGAAGTATCAAAGACGAAGTTGCTTTCGTTGACGTTCATGGATACTTACGTATTTTCGATACAGTATGCAAGCCCTTATGATAAGTTCAGCTCGAAAAAATCAAACGAACAAGCGATATGTATGTCCCTCATGCAAAATGCTATCGTACGACGTTGATCCATTGTGAGTATGGCGCATCGTCCTTGGCCGTTGACGTCGACGTTTGCTTGCGTCGCTCCGTATTCGCCGCATATTCCACAGCATTCTATTTTCTTGTATAGCCTCTTCAGTCTTGGTGTCGTCTAGCCTTTTACTCCTAGTCATTCCCTGCTTGGAAGCACAAACGGCGGAAAGGAAATTTTTCACAGGACATGGTCAAAGAGCTAAACGGGCGGAACATGTACTGCTCTTTTTCGGCTTTTGATTCTTTCCGAGACTCAATGCGTACAGCTGTGTACTCGCTTTCAACGCCGATCTCCACACGAATTATACTGACAACTGCACTATTCAAACCAGTTCTAACTCATGTGCACACTTGAGATCAGCCAAGACCCTCGCGAAGCAATGTGGCGTTTACGATACGGCTTTGAGGGTTCCTCATTGAGCTACTAAGAAAGGAAGGGACGTTTACATATTCTTTCTTTGTCGCATTATCGTGCGTCGGTAAATTCCTTATTTTTGGTTCGGCTTATAAAATACTTTTACGCCTATTAGTGATGTTAATATCTAACAGGTACCGAATTTGCAGGTGGTGAACTGTGATGAATTGACCAAAACGTCCCCAGCCGACGTCATGTTCGGGCTCAGAACGGATGTGTTCTGTTCGATGTGTTCATGGATACCTGTCAATGTACGACGTATCTGCATCTGTCTGCATTCGGTCCTTAATTCATGTTCTCAGTGATGGATCAAATGTCTCGACCGTGCCCCTCAAAGGCCTCCAACCCCAATAACTGAGAGCAGCTAGTCAAGGAGCAGTCAAGGATTTCTGGAATCTCAGCGCAGCCTTCCTCTCACAGATATTAAGACCAAGTGAAATCGTGAAGGAGATAGTTCACTTTGCGCAGCTTTACAAATGATCCGTTCGTTGTCCTGCGACCAATCATGCTCGAGATACTGCATTCAACTTTGCCTGTTTGATCGCTTTCCATAATATATGATTACCGTAAGCTATGTTGACCCCCATGGGTTCCCGAGACTCAGGTGCGGGAGCGCCTTCTTTATCCACTTATGCGGTTTCAAGTTGACTTATTGGATAGATTTACTACATGTAGGTACAAGCTTTCCTGGTGATGCGGGAGCGGTTGAATCAAGTAAGATCATATAGAATACCGAGCTTATAATGATTGTCAATCACTGAGTCAACCTTCATTAGCCTTTACTGTGTGGCCTGTATAAAGGCATGCCCCCGGACAAGATGAATGATCTCCTTCACCCATCACTCTAGTAGGAGATGGTATTTTCCACGGACCTATCCTCAGTCATCGAGGATGGTTATGTGACTCGATATGCAAACAGTAAGCACTTCAGTGATGACTCTTTCTATCTTCACAGATTTGTTCAATGACAAGACAAATTGTTCCCAGTGGCCGGAAGTGCTCTCCTACTCTTTGACTACCGTAAGTGATACAGATATTGCAATATTGGCTACTTATCGTGATCATTTATTGTGATAGTGCTTACCCTGGACGACGAGGTCTGTTCATCAGTTGCATTCAAACCATGCGTCCTTTCTGATGCTACGGAAACACTGTAGATTGAATTTATCTGGGTCGGGAAATTTCTGGTTCTCATAAATATTTTATTCCTCATTTCTATCTCGGTTTGCAGCAAAAATCATGGTCAATTGGGAAAGGGTTGTTCATAATTGTGAGTGGGATTGTCATTCTTAATTTGCTATACTCATCACTCTCTATCCAGAGCCGTTACTATTCACTGATAATCACAGTTGTGTAAGTCGGTTATCATACAGGCTAGTAACTAAGTTCAAGATTACTGAAATCATCTTGCTCAAAAGGGTCAACAACTATGGTAGTTATCTAGCAAACTCAATACACCTGTGGAAACTCTGCTGATCATCGGGGTCTAGTTCTTTTTGGACATTTGAGTGCCTCAGTAAGTCGTGTTCGAAGCTGTCGTTACTATAATGGGTGTTTATTTTCTCTTACCAAGGGGTAACTGCTAATAAATCTAAACCTGCCTGAAATTAACAAGCCAATACCAATTTTTCTGATTGATGTAGATGTATGTTCTATTTTATGTCTATGCGCTGAATTCTGACTCCTTCAAGGTATCCATTACTCTTATTGGCAGGGTTGGAGTGGTCTTTTCACTTGTATGATTGTGGAAAGTGGGTTTTCAAACAATATCAAGTGAATTTCTTTTTGTTTGATTCCCAACACAGTGATCCTACAAATGCGTCTATATGCATTGTACTTTCTTGACAAAAGAATTTTATTATTGATGGTTGTAAGCTTCATAGTAAGCTCAGCAAGTACAGCCTTGGTCTTGGGTTTAATGTACAGTGGTGGCATTAGCAGTAAGTTTTCCTTGTAGATCACAAGGGCTAGGGCAGAACTAAAATTTCTTGACTCAAGCACAAATTGAAACCCCTTTCTGTCTCACAGAATTGCCAGATTATTCCTATGCAGTTTGGATTCCAAGATTGGCTTTCGATACCTTCTTGTGCATTCTTGCACTCATACGTGGGTTCCAGCTTGCAAAGGAAGAGAGTGATGACTTTGAATCATCGACACTTCCTTCTGGAAAACATCTGATGAAGGTCTTAATCAGGGATTGTATTGGATCTTATTTGATGTCAGGTTTCAATTTTTTCCATCTATGCATACAACGTTGAACATTCACTTGCAGAATGTTCGCTGTCTATTTGACATTTCTAACAATTTGGGCAAAAAATGTATGTCAAACTAATCATTCAAATAATTCTTACTACATCCATACTAAATACCCAAAACCCGACTCATAATAGGGCAATCTCTTTGAGACTTGCTTCAACATATCAGTTGGATTTGAATCCATTGTTGGAACTAGGACTATTCTGAGAATCAGGAAGGTCACGAACAATGGTGGTCCCGATGTATCAGCATCAATGGTGAATGACATTTTGAAGTAGAATTTCTTAGATGCATATACAGATAGAGATCCAAGTCCTATTTCACTACTACCCTACCAAGTTATATACTTATCCCTACCTTTAATAAGTACATACATAGTACCCGTAACATAAGGCACATAATGATCTGCAAAGTGTACATCGTACTCATATTGTACTCGGCCTTCAATACACACATTTGAATGCACACGTTCAAACAGAAATTCAAAGTCTTGCACTCATTATACGCACAACGAAAAATTCCGCACCATTGAGCACGGACATAAGGCTGTTCCTCAACGGGATTACCCTGGGATCCTTTCCATAGCTGTATGCTTCAACGCTTCATTGAACGACATCTTCTGAGAAAGGAATATTGCAAACAAACACAGACATTAGAGTCACATTGAACACTGCCCCAGACTGTCAGGATCGACCCCAGTGCGTCTCGCAGTCAACATTTGAGGTGAAAACCTGTAAGGACTTGGTAATTGTTGTCAGTATCAGAGTATTTGACAATCCTGTGTCTGCGTCAAGCGGTCCGCTTCCAAACGACAATCCTGTCCTTCCCCTTATGCACATCCAACAACGTGTCATCATCCGGTATCTTATTCAACACCACTTCCCATTCACTGCCGCCGACACGCAAAACCTCTTCGTACGAAGTAAAGTTACTGTAAAAAGGTGGTCCGGCGGCATATGGCTGCGGATCGTGAACAGGAACGTGTGGAAACATCAAGGTTATGAGGTATCCTCCAGGTTTGATCAAAGAGTTGATTTGGGAGCCCCATAAAGAACGTTTCGAGGGTGGGATGGCGACGAAGAATCTATACGATCAATGAGAAAAGAGTGAAAGATTTTAAAACGTGGAATGACCAAGAACAACGTACGTATAGTCATAGATCAAGTCGAATTTTCTATCCTCCGGAACCTCATACTTGAAGAAATCGGCGACTTCGAAATGGATTTTTGACACCAAATCTAGGTCCAATGAACTCGATTGAGCTAACCTAAGATAAACTAAGTAAAGTTTTGAGCAAAGCTCTGACCAACTCACTGATTGGCCGCTTCAACAGCAGTGGCAGAAGCATCGAGACCAATCGTGTCGTGTCCCAACGCTGAGGCAAGATAGATCGTGTCATAGCCCTGGAAAGATTCAGATACGAATTACAATCAGCTAACTGGGTCATGCGAATGATCTGGCAGACGTACCCTACCGCACCCAGGAACCAGCGCCCTGCCACCTTTTGTGAACGGAATTTCACCGCTCTCAACGACCTGTCGCAATGGTGGCTGGATTTCACCTGAGTCCCATGGTGTCACTTGTTGCTTCCTGTGAGTGTGGTGAGGTATGCCTGAGAATCATGAACATGGACCTACCATAGGATATCCCAGGTCTGAGGATCCTCCGTGAGTATGCTGCGCATATCGCCGACCCGATTCCCAAGAGGATGGTCGTCTGCCATGTTTAAGGTAAGGTAATCGATAATGGTTCGCTGTTATCGGTGATGTTAGTAAGGAGAACAAAGGAGCAACAGTTGAATCTGGGCTGATTATATGTTGGCAAACTCGTGACGTTCTTCAACCATTTCCACCGATCATCGTCGGAGGAGTCCTTGTCAGTTCCTCGAGACCTCTGGAGGGACCATACTGGCGTCGAGAGTGTAGAATTCTTGCCGATATGATCATAGCTGAGTTGAAAGCTCAAGCTCAGGCGAAAGGTAGTTATAAGTAGAACTTGGAGCGAGAACCAACTTGAATGCCGGTGGCATATCGTGCCAGATTATGCCGCTTGTCAATATACCGTGCACTTCAGCGCTCTTCAGCAGATGCCCTCATGCTTTCTTTACTTTTGATGATTGATTTCCCTTGACATACTCGCTGATAAGATGCGTCTCACTTAACTCCAAGACTTATAGACCGCTTGCGCTTGTGCAACAACGACTTGCATGAAAATATCCATGGAAATTCAATATTAATGACAGCCCGTGTTACAGCTTCGATAACCAAAAAGAAGTCATAATTTATACTGTACAAGCTATGCAAAACTCGGCACAACTTCTCCAAACTGATCATATTCTTCCCGCAGTATAACGATACGTCAGTCAGAGATAGACTATATAGCGTGCAACTACGCTTGTCGCAAATCTCCTTCCTCCTAATCATGCTTGGGAATTCATCTAATTGGCATCGATGGCTATCTATCAGGCATATGCATTTTAGTTTCAAAGGAAGTAGCCCACGATGGCTACTGAACCTCGTTATATTTGCCCTGGGGATTGCCTCTACAATTGCAGGGTACAAAAACAATACGGTACCCGTCACTGTAATCGGGGCCATTGCAGCACTGGGATCTTTGATGTGAGTTCGCGGCCTCCTGCCCCCTCTTCTAGCTCGCTCTCCAAAACTTATCTCAACTCCTGACCTCAGATCATCCAGCGTAACACCGTTGTCAAAGATGCGAGGTCATAGTATTGAGTTGGATCTGGAGACACAGGATTTAATGCTCGATGACTTTTCCCCATCCACATATCATAATCTCTGGACTCTTCATCATTATTCTGATTCCCCTTCTGGCCTGGATGCCACCCTTGCACCCTCATCCACACTGGTTGAGCCAAGGCTCTCTGTTTCCTCTCTTGATCATCCTCTCCCCGATGATTTACCTTACACAATCAACCCCACACTTCCGGACTACCGGTCCCCGTCCAGTGCAAAAGATTCGGATTCGGATTCAGATTCACTCTACAGTCCCACCGAATTGGATACCGTACCTTCGCTGCGACTACCTTTTCCATATACTGACTCATCTGCCACAAGCACTGTCTGGGAACCATTCTCACTGACAGACGATCTCATTGACTTTGAAAGCGTCCTCCGGGCTGGTAAGCCTTCATTGTTACATCATCGCTCCGAGTCTGTGCCAGCATGGTATGTAAAGGGGACTTCCCCAAGTCTGGTCGAAGATGATGGACTAGGAATTGGACTGAACATGTACCGGGAACCACGGCCTCTCGTTTTCGACGATTATCTGGTCGATGACTCCGGATCAATTCATCTTTGAAATGGAACCGTTACACAGGATTTTAAGAGATGATAAGTGTTAAACGCGAGGTTAATACGAGACGATTGACCAAGCCTTGCAATCGAAATTGGGACAATGTATCATTAGAATTCCTGGAACCGCATCATACATAATATTAGACCAGCTCGAAAACTGTGAGTTGTGTAAGTATAGACGTCCATAAACGCGTGGGGTCATTGACAAACCCCAGGTGTGAGCGCCTATTGAGACCCCTTAGCTCAGGGACGACGATGACCATACTTGGTCCGACTTTTACTTGTCCCTCACCTACTGGGTACGATTGAATATGTCAAGCGATTCTGGCCCAGTAGTCTTCATCACTGGATGTACTGTTGGTGGTATTGGTGCCGCTTTGTATTGCCGTTTTCACTGGCGTGAAATTTCCTGCTAACTTGCTTCTTTTAACAGAGCTGAAGTTTTCGCAGACCGAGGTTGTACGGTCTACGCGTCTGCACGGTCAGAGAAATCTATGGATGGCCTACAACACCCGAACATCCGGAAGCTTCTCGTCGATGTCACTTCGGACGAATCTGTGAAGAATGCAGTAGAAGAGATATATGAGCAGGCTGGGAGGTTGGACGTAGCTATTTCGAATGCTGGGTTACCCGGGATAGGTAAGTAGGGGCTTTCGCAGCGCGCTGTACGATTGGTTGACCGGTAATCTTCCAGGACCACTCGTAGATCTTCCCATTGATTACATTCAATCAGTGATAGACACCAATTTCTTTGGTTTCGCCCGCCTTTGCAATTACATCGTACCCCGAATGGCCAAGTCAAAGACCAAAGGACTTATCATTCCCATTGGCTCAATTTTAGGTGAAATCGGAACTCCATGGACGGGTATATATAACGCGTCAAAGGCAGCACTACATTCGTATGCAGAGACCCTTGAGATGGAGTGTAGGCCATTGGGTGTAAAAGTCATGCTCGTTGCTCCAGGAAGTATCGTTTCAAATATTGCAAATGTCAGTCCCTTCCTTCTTCCAATGATTTCTCTTTCCTCATTCCCCGTTCGGTCTATAGAATGCAGCCAAAGTTCAATTCCACGATCCTCCTCCTGAATCTCTATACAAGTCCTTCTCTTCCTCCATCAGATTCGTGATGTTCCAGTCTCAGACAAAGGAATACGGAGCCATGCCTACGCGGGATTTTGCTACTCAACTCACGGACTACATCGTTACACAAAGCGGGCAACTGGTTGCAAATCCAGTCAAGTATGTTTCTATGGGAGGATCGACTTGGGTGTACAAAGCCTTGAAGTGGTTGCCGAGACAGTGGTCGTATGACATGATATGGAATGGCTTGAGTAAGAAGTAGTACCTTCGTTTGGAGTATTGTAAGTGAGTAAAATGAAAGCTATGTAGCTAACAATTTTTGTACATGGGTATATAATTAGAGGGTTCCATATCCGTCATTGGAGAGACCAGTGCTATCCTGGTCAGTGATGATCGCGCCCTCCGTCCCCAAAGATTGGACGGTGGAAACAACAAACGCGTCAACCTCATCGCGGGGTGAAGCCCCAGCATTAGCTATCACCAATGCATATGCTTCCGCTGCGGTGAGACTGCCAGCTATGCTAAGCGAGGTCGGAGCCCAGGGCGAGCTTAAAACTTGTGCGCTGCCAACTGTATTAGCTGCCGCGCCATTTAGCACCCCATCCTGGTTGCTGTCTAACAAGTTGCCGGTGGCGAAGACACTTTGGTTGTCGTCGATTTGGAAGTAATCGTCGGAAGCGCTTGTAGTACTGGGTCCAGCGATGAAGTAATTGCTGATTATATCATGGGAAAAGACGCCCCCGGTATTGGCAACAGTATAACCAGCTTGGTAGTTATAGATAACCTTCGAGCCAATATCATCACTTCATTCTAGGGTGGGTTCTATTTCCTGAAAATGCACTCACATTGTTGATATACTGCGTGTTAGCCTTTGACAGAGGCTGACGATTGTGTGCGCTAACCCAGAGGTTTGCATACCACGTAGATGGCCCCGTTTCCAAGTGAGCTCCGAACTGCTGTCCAATAGGCAAAGCAATAATGGAGTTTGAAACCGTGACATTAACCGCACCGACAGCGTCGACAGTGTCAAATACTCCATACTCGAGCGAACAATGGTCTAGGATAATATTACTTGCGTCACCCATATTGAACGCACTCTTCCCGTCATCTGTTTCCTCCGTTCCTTGCCTCATACGGAAGTTCCGTACGATGATATTAGTCTTTCCACTCGCAGAAACCTCCCTTCCCATGACTCCAATTCCCGGAGACGGTGCAGTTTGGCCGTTGATAGTGAGGTCACTGGAAAGCGACACCGGAGACTCCAGGACGATGTAGCCACTGACAGAGAAGGTTATATTTCTCCCTGACTCGCTAACGGCGTCGCGGAAAGACCCCGTACCAGAGTCAGCAAGGGTGGTTACAGCGAAGGGAGAAGTTCCTCCGGTTGCTATTGAGCCAAAGCCAACAGCTCCCTCAAACGCTAAGGCTGAGACCAAACTTGGGAGGAATATGAATGCGAAGGAGGCGAGGATACGTTTGCTTTGTGCCATGACGAGTCAGATATCGCGAAAGGCGTAAATATCATTGATCCTTATAAGACTTGAAGTTTCGAAGATCGCACGAACGCGTGAAATCCGGGATATTTCTGTATACCATTTGACATTGAGCATCTGGACACAAGGCAATGTCCTCGCGGTTGTAGAGATGCTGGACGACGTTCTGTATCGTCTTCATTTCAGAGGTTTAGCCGCGGACCGCAACAGCCTACCAGGACCGCAATGACGAAACAAATTTCTTCCCGTGTCGTTATAATTTTGTCAGGGCGTATAATAGCCATATGGACTTTTTTTTATCATCATCGACTATTCTTGCGCTATAAATTGCCGGTTTCCAAAGCAAGATTAAAGGTTTTAAAAATGTTGTTGTTGACCCAGTACAACGAACAAGGATACAATGAATGATATACAGACTCGAAGACATTAGAGGGTTCCATACCCGTCATTGGAGAGTCCGGTGCTGTCCTGATTCGTGATGATTGCACCCTCCGTCCCAAGAGATTCAACAGTGGAAACAACGTAAGTATCAACCTCGTCACGAGGTGAAGCTCCAGCATTGGCTATCACGTAGGAGTAAGCCTCCGCCGCTGTGAGACTGGCCATGCTGAGCGAGGTAGAATACCAAGGCGAACTCAAGACTTCCGCACTTCCTACTGTGTTGGCTGCAGCACCATTGAGCACACCGTCTTTATTACTGTCTAAGAAGTTTCCGCTGGCATAAACGCTCTGATTATCGTCAATTTGATAGTAGTCGTCGGAGGCGCTTGTTGTACTGGGTCCAGTAATGAAGTAGTTGTTGATAATATCATGAGAAAAATCACCACCAGTATCGGCAACTGTATAAGCAGCTTGGTAGTTGTAGATGATCTTTGGGGCAGGATCAGTGAGTAGATCCCCGCATGGTAACTAGACCTTCTTAAAATACACTTACATTGTTAATGTACTGAGTGTTGCCCTTCGATAGCGGCTGTCGATTATGGGCACTGACCCAAAGGTTGGCGTACCAGGTCGATGGTCCAGTTTCCAAGTGAGCTCCGAACTGCTGACCTATGGGCAAAGCGATGATAGAATTAGAGACAGTAACATTGACTGCACCAACAGCGTCGATTGAGTCGTACACGCCGAAGGCAACAGAACAATGGTCGAGGATGACATTAGTCGCATCGCCCATGTTAAAAGCGCTTTTGGTGTCATCCGTCTCCTCGTTTCCCTGACGCATGCGGAAGTTCCGGATGATAATGTTGCTCTTTCCGCTAGCAGAGATCTCCCTTGCCATGACTCCAATCCCCGGCGAAGGCGCAGTTTGACCATTGATGGTGAGGTCGCTGGAAAGCGACACCGGAGATTCGAGCACAATATACCCACTGACGGAGAAGGTGATGTTCCTGCCAGATTCGCTCACGGCGTCGCGGAAGGTTCCGGTGCCAGAGTCAGCGAGAGTGGTCACAACATAAGAGGTAGTACCTCCAGTTGCGATCGAGCCAAAGCCAACAGCCCCTTCGAACGCCACAGCTGAGACCAAAGGAAACAGTAAGGATAAGAGAGAAGCGAAAGCGATAGCACGTTTTATTTGCGCCATGACGAGTCGTAGCGAGCCACATTGAGCGAATTGAGATGATTCTTTTATACAGTGAAACACATAGAGCCTTGAACCTTGGACAGCGCATCAGCGCGCGAACACCGGGGTGATTTTGTTCATCATTTGACCACGAGCACAAGGCAATGTTGGGGTTCCCGAGTGCCAGGAGGAATCGAATGGTGTTCAATCCACATCCCTTCTCCGAAGTTTTGGCCGCGGGCCGCAGTAGGACCGTAGAAATAAGCTGCGAGTCCCGGTACATGCACAATACCAAGAGGCGAGTGAGATTCAGATCGCGGGTACTTATGTTGCCACGAGAAAGGCCCAAAGCCTAGAACTTTATGACGACACCAGCCATTCTCATTGGCTTTTTGTGGCACAAACTCTGCCAATTTCATTCAATCATTGATTTTTGAATACTCATAAACTGTTTGTACAAACCCAGCAGAACCTATGTAGGAAGATGTCGTCAAATTGAAGGATTTGTAGAAATTTGCTCTTGTAGTCAACGGGCCTCTACGGGCCTTTCCATTCAATTGGGGGGGGGGGGGGGGTCGTGAGAATCGTACCCGCGATCTGAATCTCACTCGCCTCTTGCACAATACACTCTGTAGCCAAGTCGTATCCCATAGAAATAAATCTAACCATTTTCGATGGAAGTTTTGTGGTGTACGTGTAACGAGAATCATACTTGTCAGTGCGGTGGTTTGAAGTGGTCTCTAAGAGTTTTGCTAGAGGTCGTCCAGGTTTCAGAGTCCTTAGCATCCAATGAGTTTCTTTGAAATGAGTAGGATATGACTCAATAGTAACGACACGTGCTTTTGTGACCTTTATAAAAGGACCACGAGCACACCACGAGCATGAAGCGACTCTATCGATCTCAAAATATCAATGGCTCGACGATCAGCTCGTATACAAGAAAAACAAGCTGAGAATCTGTCGCATGATGTAAATGCCATTCAAATATCATTCGCAGAGGTCGGTCATGAAAAGCGGGAAGTTGAAGATCAAGAACTTTCCGAAGATGATCGTCCTCGGAAACGGGCTAAACGGCCTACGGAGGGCAGCCAGAAAAGGAAGAAAAGAGTTGTACCGAAGTCATTCAGAAAAGTTCGCGGCAGACTGGGTTTGCTAGAAAGACTGGTAAAAGATGTGCCACTGGAAGTTAGTCTCGAGGTATGTGACGACAACCCCTGTTTCTCATTAATTTCCTCTCATCGTACAAAGATTTTCTGCTATCTTGAGCCCCGTGATCTACTTCGTCTTTCAAGGACGTCCCACGAGCTTCGAAATATCCTAATGAGCAAGAGTTCAGAAGATATTTGGCGCGCCGCTCGTCAAAACTTGAGAGGAGAGCTACAACCTCCCCCTCCAGATCTCAATGAGCCTCAGTATGCTTATATTATGTTTGAGCCCTTTTGTCATGTAAGGATCTTTCTCTTAATTTCTTTGTCACTAACACATTGAACTTAGGTATGTGATCGGCGCGTTGAAAACGTATTCTGGTCATTTCGCATGAGGTGCTGCAAGGAGTGTGCACTAGATCTGTATGATACACAGTTTTCATTCTCGAACTCATGCAATCACTGATCAAATTATTGAAAGATTTGCTATATACGATCCCACCGATTATCCTGAGGAATTTCAAGCCTCCAACATCCTACTTCGGGAGCGGATCGATACCGGTTTTTACTTTGTGTTTTTCTTTCATGATTGTATTCCATCAATCTCCTTCATTAGGCGACAGGATCATCTCAATCCATCATGGTGAAACAGGCGCTCGATTGAAAGCACAATTTCAAGCCTTACAATCTACGGAGGAACGAGACTCATGGCTGAACCAAAAAGTCGAAGAAAGAAAACAGTTATACAATGTGAATGATGTCATATATAACCACCAAGTAATTATCTAACTTGGTTTTAGCACGCGCTCCGCTGTACCAGGTGGTCTTCCTTCAGGATCCTCGCACGCATGCGAGAACTGGATGAGATACGCAAACAAAGGAAGGAAGAGTAAGTTAAAACAGTAGTGTCCTTGAATAGGGATGCTGTACTCAATTTCCCACTCAATTTCCTCAATTAGCATTCTCGTTCGACTAGACAAAATAGGATGGCGTGAGGAGGCCCAGATTATAATGGCAAAGCCAAGGTATCCTCCAGGTTCCAGAAGAAATGCTTTCAGTCAGCATAAGCTAGTCAAACAGTCAAAGAAATTGACGGACTACGGTGAGCATTGTCTTTGACTGATTTTCGACTGGCGTTTGACTTCCACTCAAGGTTGGAACGCCATTAAAAACGAGTTGGTGAAGATATTGTCAGATCATAAGAAAGAGCGTTTGAAGTCTGTAGAGTGAAGGTTTTCCTTTCGTCTCCTCTGAAGACTAATATCAAGTAAGCATGAAATAATACCACATGTACAACTATGTTAAAAATACAGATACATATGCTGCACAGATCGTAAAATAAAGGGGTGATAAAACGTGAGGTCTTATAGTTAGAGATGAGAAAGACAAAACACCGTATCACACATAGTCCTGATCCCCAGCAAGCAGCCGTAAACTCGTACACTATAGATCAAAAAAAATCAAGCAATGCCTACGCTCTCTCTATCCCCCCCGTTTTCACCTCGATGATCACGATCACCCCCAACACTATCATTCGTGCCATCATCTATGGTCGTATTTATAGTCTTGACCGTGAACCTTCTCTGCGGTGCCTCAGGCATTCCAGGAGTGACCGCCGTCGTATGAAGCATCGGAACCGTATCCAATCCGCCTTGACCACCACCCGTACCACCACTGTTTCCAGCTCCAACCCCAGGTCTCGGTGTATTCGCCGACGTCTGGTTCACATACGCATCAATAGCAGCAAGATCAGGGCCTGCGATGGAGCTATCCTGCGAAACGTGAATCGTTTGCGGGACTTGTAAATGCTGTGACTTCTCATCGACTGGTAGTCGGACAGCGCTATGACCCGTCCCGTGTGTTTCGCGCCGTTGAGCTGCTACGTCCCTCGAGTCAGAAAGTCCAGTAGTACCAACGGCGTCATTGTACGCTGGAGGATTCATTCTTCGGGGTGGGACTGGAGCGAACAACGAATCTTGGGAGCTTTGTCGAGTTATAGCAGCTTCGTACCCTGCGCCGCCACCCTTATGCATCGAAACAGAGGAAGGCATCGTCATAGGCAGTACAAATGGCTGAATAGCCATCTCGTGCCCAAACGAAGAATCGGGGCTTTGGCTTCTGGCCATGAATTGCATACTTGGCGACGGTGAATCGTACCGAGTGATTCCGGTAATGGTACTGGCGCGAGCATTGTACGTCGATGGAGGAGGACTACTGCTGAGTACGATCTGATGAGGAGGAGTGGAAAATGCGCCCATGGAGTTAACCGAGCCCATATTCGACGAAGATCCAAATGGGGACGGCGAGAACCCAAGCTGTTGCATCCCAATGGAGCCCATATACCCATCAATGCCATTACCTGAACTGCTATTTCCAAAACTAGCCTCTCCGACATTCGACGGGTTCGCATGATCCGATATCAACCTCGTGTGTCCTTGCTCAAAGGCATTATACGGAGTAGAATCCAGTTCCTGTGGTTTCCCACTCTGCCTCTTGAGGCCAGTGAGACCCGAGCGACGACGCCTTCGCAAGATCCACCACGCTGCTAATGCTCCGAGTATAAGAACGACTACTCCACCAGCGACACCGCCGCCAATAGCTGCAGCGTTATTGGATTTGGAAGAAGGGGCGGGTGTAGATGAAGGGGCAGAGGAAGTCAGAGGAGCGCCGTATACGTCCGGATGACCTTGTTCGGAGATATTTTGAGCCTGGTTGACGTTGAATATTGCGTTTGGCCATGTTGAAGCTGAATACGCAAACAAAAATGTAATCAAGCCATATATTGAACGGTCATTTGTTGTATAATGAAGTAGGCAGAGTGGACTTACGATCGACAGTAGCGTAGAAGGGTATTGAGGTATTACCAAGGGTTACAACGTCGGAAGGGTAGTATCTGTGACAAAACAGTTGAGAAAGAACTTGAATTCTGGATGAGACGACAACGAAACGCACGTGGTATTTGAGAGAGAGGAGCCGCAACTGGCACGAAACTCTACCCATCTGGAGTACAAGAGATCGTATTTGAGTGTTGAACAAAGGAAGTGAGAAAACTGCGCGCACGTTAGAAGGCTACTATCCAGACCTTGACATGCAGTGCACGCGCTATACATATTGTATGCCGCCCATGAGCTACATATTCCCAGACGAATTGAAAGAATGGAGAGATCAGACGACAAATTCGAAGGTATTTTCGGATCGGAAGTCGAGGGTCCAGAATCCAATAAATTTGGGCGATTTCCGAGTATCGTGTATAATTAGATAGGGTGGTGATTGCATAGATTTTTGGGGTTGTGTGGTGTGCCGAAACCAATGGACAGTTGGGCAATACCGAAAGATGGAAAGAGAAGAGGAGGACGGTTATGTCCAGAAGTGTGTAGATAACGAGGAAGCTCACCAACTACATCCATTGATTGGCTGTCCGTTTATTCCAGGAGGGTTATAATGAGATCCTGAAGTCAACGCGGGCACGGTGTAGTCTGTGAGAGTTGGTTAGCAATTGTTCAACAGTCCACCACTTCCTATCTTTGATCCAGTCGGCCAACTGCCAGAGTCCCAGCTCAGTGAAACTCTCACTTTCTTCCTGCAACTCCCAACCAAAACCAAACAAGACACTCACCAGAACTTCCACATCCACCCACAATAGCAGCTGCAATGAGACAGGGCGAGAGCTCTGCTGCATCTTCTGTCCATTGGTATCCTGTTTCGCATGTAGCGTTGGTATTTGGTCCACGACGAGCCAACGTTGACGTTGCTGAAGGCATTTTTTCAAATCGTCAAACACACTTGGGTTTTTTGGTGGTGGCCGTCGTAACAAAACAGGATCCGAAGGTACCCTGAAGGGATACAGCTGGTTGTTGTACAAGCTGTTAAATGATGCTTTGTCGTGGGTCCAGAGCCTCCAGTCACCAGAACAGCGGGGATGCCGGAAAACAGAATCGAAGTCCTTCGTCTTATTGAATCAGTGTGGGTGTTACGGTTTATAACATTCCTCCTGCAAATTGCCTGTACATAAACGCAAACCTTGCGCGCGCGTTTATCATTCTTGTTTCGGAAATTCCAGTACATCCGGATGCAGTGCGGAATCTTGCCGATTGTTCATCAGATCTCCACAGATCCTGCAGGCACTCGGCATTGGCAGTTTGTGGTAGTGGGCACATTCTCAGCTGAGCTTTCTAATCTTGATTCTGTGCACTCTAACCAGTGATCCATCTGCTCATTCCGATCCATGTCAAAGGTCGATTGGAAGTCAGCTATGTACACAGAGTTTCGACGGCGCAACTCATGCGTCTTCTCGCCGCCATCAGTTGCTCCTGCGTTCAAGTTGTCGGCCTGTAGATGTAGACCAACGCAGTGGTAAAATTTTACTAAAAGCCTGGGGATCAGACATCCCGTTTCGCTGATATCACCCAGGTACTGTCCCTGGTCCCTCTTTTACTCTTTTCACTGGCATGCTGGAGCGTTCAGGATGTCTCCTCTGCTTCTCAAGCCATCTAAAAGTATGTCAATAAGTCTACACTTCCCCTGCCCGAAGCCTCCTCTACCCTTTTTGAAGCAAATTTCTCAATACCGCCTTCATTTTTTTTGGCTCTCATATCCCCCTTACCTCTCAAATGTCTCACTAGTTTGCGATATGATCCTCGATCCCGGTGTAACCAGTTCGGAGATGATCATAGAGAGAAGAAGGATATAAAGGATGTTGGGGATTGGGGGCTGGGTTGCCCGAGTGTCGGAAAAAAGAAAGCTCAAGGCGAGTTACATATAGAATGTTCAGGATGATTAGCTATTGGTGACTCCGTATGGCTATCGTTTTTCTCGTTTATCCCCTTCACTTTACATGGACACTATTCCGATTTTCTCCAATCACCATCATCACAAAACAGTAATCATCAGTCGATCGAAATATTAAAGCCTGTCACTACACGGCAGCTAATCCCGTCTTTTTATGGTCTGATAACATCTCTACCAGCTTGTCTTTGATATTATTCCAACCTGCAGTGAGACTGTCATGTCACGATAAGATGAATGCAAAATCTAGTCCTTACCGTAGTCCGTTAATTTCCTTGGCTGCTTGACTAGTTTATGCTCACTGAAAGGATCCAGGCTATAGTTACTTGTTTTCATCATCGCCTCGGCTTCCTGACGCCAACCAATCTCATCCAGTCGCATGAGAATGCTAGTAAAGGGAGGGTTGAGGACCGAAGAGAACATACTGAACAGACTCACTCTTCCTTCCTTTGTCTACGAATCTTGACTTGTTCGTGAGCACGTTCGAGTTCCTTTTGAGCAAACCAATCTTGGCAAAGGCGTCTATGCTAGAACATTCAATTGCGTGATTAGCTTCAATTAATTAATTTGTAGAAATGTGACAACACTTGCCTCTGACATGCGATCACTTTCTTGAGTTTTTTGAGCTATCCACGCAGTACGTTCATTTGCACTTTGAAGTGCCTCAAATTCTGTTCTCAATCGGTCTGCTATTTCGGAGTCACAGACGAATTTCCATTCTTGGCTGGCTAGAATCGCGGATACACTTAAAATTGCAATAGCGAAAAGAAAATGGGAGAAATACATACAGGTATAGATGAGTTCCCGAGGCAATATCGCACGAAATCCTTCGGGCTGTTCGGCATAGAATTTGGCATTGCATAAAGGTAATCTGTGCCACAAGACATTGTTAGTGATTCAAAGAAAGAAGAAACATTTTACAGTGGTGTACTCACTTTGATGCACAATCTTTGCAGTATCTCACGCGAAATGTCCATAGTACACTTGCGACGCGGCGGCTACATACCTGGATTCAGATGTGTCAGTTACAGAGCAATGCCAACCCAGATACTACTGATCTCTTACATGGCAGAATGGCTCAAAGAAGATATGTGCATATTGAGGTTCATTCAAGTCGGCTGGACAGGGCGGAAGGCCTTCGACGTTTTCACGAGCCGCGCGCCAGATGCTTTCCGAAGTCCTGCTCATTAAGATATGGCGGAGATCAAGAGAGGTTCTGGCAAGACGAAGAAGATCCCGGGGCTCCAGGTAGCAGAATATCTGTGTATAGAGTGGGAGAAGCCCGATGGTAAAGTCAACAATCATAGCCTGATAGACAAACCAACATACCTCAAGAATAACATCCAGTGGAATGTCTTTTGACAGTCTTTCCAATAATCCCAGCCTACCGCGAACCTTTCTTGATAACTTTGTAACACCCCTTCTCTTCTTCTTTTTTCTAGGACCTTCAGGATTACTTCTGGCCCGTTTACGAGGACGTTCATCTTCGATAAGGTCTTCCTGGTCCTCGATGTTCTGTTCTTCATCCTGAAATGCTAACAAGGGTTGAGCTGCATTCGAGTCCTGAAGTTCACTAGAGGTATTGGCGCGTGTTTGTGCTTGAATTCGAGCCGACCGTCAAGCCATCGTGGTTGGAGTTAATAGAAGGAGTCTATCAGTATTTACTCACGTGAAGGGCATTTTTCATCCGGCGCCTATCTATGTATCACACTTGTTTTCGCGACTGAACGTACTCAAGCTTGTCCCGTCTTGATTTTCGCAATTTTGGAATCATCCTCACGATCTGGCGGGTATTCCGGGAAATCGAATGGTGCACATTTTTCGGAGGACCACCCTCATTCTTGCAGAAAGGACAATGCAAATGAGGGTAATAATGAGAGATAAGAGTGAAGAGGAGTGAACATCGATGAAGAGCTTGAAGAGGCTTCATGCCAGGCAAAGGCGAGGTATGTAGGTTGCTCATTCCACTGGCGGAAATCTCCGATTTGACGGTGTCGTACCAGCAGGTTAGATTGATCTTTCAATAATTCCATGGAATACGCACACGCGCTCCAATATAAGACTATACTATATCCTTATTGTGCAACTCCGAGTCTACCTTATTATGTGTGTGCACTGCAACTGTGCACCGCTGAAGCGGATGATTAGTATGAAAATGATGCACGCCTACCTGACATTTGAATGGTTGGTGGCTCTGTCAGCCAACATACCAATAATCATGTACTATAGAAGTCATGACGCTATTAGGGACCGGGTTCATATCGTTCATTGCTTTCCGCCACCATCCCCTGACCACCATGACTACAGCCCTCCCCATTTCCCTTCCAGGAATGTCTGCTGCCCCTCAGTATGTCTTATGTATCGTCAATATTCTCAATTTTACTAAGCTCGAGTTATATGGTTCCAGGTTCTTTCCCTCTGCTTCTGGGTTCGAGATCAAGGGCCCTGTCTTCAATTCTCACATATACCCTCTTCCAATTGAAGCCCCTCCTCATGCATCTACCCTCCCCTCGCCCTCAAAACTTACCAGTCTTGCACATGATTACAATTCCGTTCCACTGGTTGAAAGCGAAATTTACGCCCAAATGTTGCTCCTTCGGAAAAAGGGATATCCTTTGTGGAAACCCAAATCGGACAACTCACGCCTACCAGAGTCGTACAAAAGAGAAGGGATTCACATCGGAGATGTTGGGATACTCACGGAATCTGGAGGGTTTGATTATCTTTTCAATATTTGTCAAGGGCCAGATCATGAATTGAATTTGGGAAGAGTTCCCGAGGATTTTAGACCTATTTTAGATTTTGATTGTGACGATACAGAGGATTACACACAAGAATATGAATTGGGCTCTCATGTTGCGAGTGACCCTAATCGTATCCACCAGAGAAGAATACCAGCTTCGCCAACTCCAAACAACCCATTCAAAAACCGACTGCATTCGTGAGTTCAGCCCAGGTTCCGCCTTTCTATTTACCAGGAATAGTTGACTTATTCGAGATTTAGAGCAATACCCGATGAAGTCGGCGCAGGGCTATCTTATAGCTCGACAGCTTCTAAAGGTGCTCTTCTCGTGCTACCAGAAGGAGGAAAAAGAGTCGATCACCTGCATCGAGCAAGATTTGAAAAATATGCTGCTGAATGTGCACCTTCATGGTACATGCATGTCAACGGAGCGCTAGGCCGTACAGCTTACAACGGATCCTTGTATCTTGTCACCGGCTTTGACAAGGCACGGGCATGGGGAGTAGCATCATTCAGCGATGCAATACCAGAAAATATTCAGTTGGAATATGTGCCCAAGTCCACTCATAGCGAAGATCGATACCCAAAATATTGGTTTCGTACATGCAATTCTGCCTCATCGTCGAGCGGCGCCGATGACAGGTATGGACAACAATCTGGATGTGTCTTTTTGCGGGGTTTCAAAATTGCTGTAAGAGAAACCTGGTTTCGCGAGAAGGTTACCGAGATACTTCACATCTATAACCTGGATGCCGATAGTCTGTTCCCTAAAGCGCCAAATCCAGAAGCTCGTTGGTCGTCGATATTGCGACGGTGGCTGTATCCTCTTCATCAGGTACCTACCCCTTCTGAACATAAATTTGCGCTTAATGAAGATGCAACGAAAGTTGATTTGGATTACATATCCAGCATTCATGTAAGCCGTGAAATTTTGTTGTGGTTATGTTTTGGCAATGATTTCGCATTATAGATATATCATCCTTCGGACATAATCAACCATTGGATTCTACAGAACGTACGTTCATTGCTTTCCACCTGGTATGATCGTATGAGCTGTTCCTCAGAGATTGTTTTACAGAGTAGCGAACTAGATGTCGCCATAACTCATGATGATGATTGGGCGACTGACATTCAAGATGTAGGCACTTCAGCAACCTTCTGCATCAGAAACCCTATGGGCTGACTGACACGTACATAAATCACCATAGGATGATCAGCAGATGCCAGATGACGAGGAACTGATTCGCCGTATTCAAACTAGCAATCTACATGTCCAACACGGTCTCACGGCTAGCAGTATGTGTGATTCGGCCGTCCCACATGTTCGTGTACTCAATGAATGGCAGGCTATACTTATGCATGTTTCGTTCTCTCCCAAAAACCCAGAATATCTATTCACAACCAGAAACTTGGGGATTTAACTGCGCAAGCGAAAATTCTTCGTGGTGACATCCACATGCAGACTCTGCAAATGCAACAATTGCAGACACAATACGCTAGTATGCCTAACCATATAATGATGGCAAGGATGCGTTTCTTGGAAATCAACATCGCCGAGAAAAGACAAGATTTGGACGATATTATGACATTGTTGTCACAGTTGAATAACAGAGGTAATAGTAAAGGGTACGTCGAGGTATTTTTTGGCATTGTGATTGATCCACTAACACTTGAACCAGCAATACTATACATACCAGTGCTTTGCGGGAATTCCCTGATAGCGGAAATCGACTGGGGCAATCCTCTTCTTTTGGAAATGTGATGCAATCACCGGTTGCTAATTCTTTTGCGGGTAGCAGTCGTACTCTACTACCCACTGCTGATGAACACACTTCTAAGTGGACAAACCCCGACTGGGAAGCGGTTGTCAAATCTCTGCAGAATGAAGACATACACCACACGGTCGAAAACGTTGAAGAAATTGAAAGAGATGATACTCTTCCTTCTTATTCAACCATTATGTTTCAGGAGAACTTTGATGCATATTTACTTGATGCATCTGTTGATATTCAAGATGAAGATGAGTACAATATGGGAACGCCTGACTTAATCCCATCCTCGTCAAATTCGAGCCCCTTTTATGGTTTTGGCAAAATGGATAACCACACCCTTGCTTTACTAGATGTCAAACAACAAGAGTACAATCAGTTGAGGCTGGGTGTATCTAAGGAAATTGACGGAGGGGAATCAGCTAACAGCACTCATTGGGATAGCCACGCAACTACGCTGCCATCTTCAGAGGACTGGGAAATATATAATTCTTAGTTATCTTCAATTCTTTGTATGTTACAGTTAGTAGATAGTTTGCAAGACAATGTGGTTCACATTTGCTTTCAACCACCTTCTAAGGCTTGCTAAGTCCTTGCCCCCTTCTCAAAGCCAAATCACATAAATCCTTTTAACACATCTCTCTCGACTCACTTCAAGCTCTGATTCCATTGGAATATGAAATTGACATCCTCTTCCCCTCTTTCTGTAACCCTCACAATCTTGCTTTGCTGTTCATGTAGAGCAGGATTTCAATGCTGACATATAGATATAGGTCCAAGTCCATACACATCCCATTATTCCAAAATCTCGGCAGCCATGAGACACAAAGTTCGGCACAGGTACAACCCTGGCCTGCAACCTGGAAAAATGGATAATTTCAGATAGTTTCTCATCGGTTAGCGGAGTTATAGCGAAATCTGAAACAACCAATGTTATAGAATGGATCGAAGTTAATCAGAGACCGCTCTTCTCGATCACTCACCACATATCTTAAGCTAGTGCTGGTCACTTTCAAGTCTCTTTTCGCTGGCGAAAAGAATTCCGAGCCCGCTATTTGTTTTTGAGATAACTACACACACAGTTAAACTCGAACTGCCTATACAACTCAAAACCTCTCTTGTTCTTGTTCAAGTAAGTCCATTTTTTGCACCTCCAACTTAGGCTCTAACATCTCTCTTCTCTGGAAGGCTACCTCGCCTCCATTGTGATGCGCTTTTCCATATTTCCGCTTGTGTTTCTCGCTCTCATATCTGTTGCTTCGGCCGCACCTTTCAATGTTCGTAAACCACTATCATACTGAGATCATGGATGAATTATTGACCAATCCCTTTTCATTAGGCAGCATCTATCAATGACCTGAGGATTCGTGGTCCTTCAGCGCATGTCCCGGGTACTCCCAAATCTTTCGAAAATTCAGCGCAACATTCATGCCCGCCATCCAAGAAGCTCTCGGATTCTTTCAAGTCAAAATTGTCGCAGCTGAAAACAAAAATTGCAACACTGAAGGGAGAGGTGAAAGAAGTTACATCATCCCCGAGGTGGAAAGAGAAGGTTGACCAGCTGAAGAGGCTCAAAGAGGAATTCGGGGACTGGCGGAGGTCAGGAAAAGGACCACCGCCTCAACATGACACTACGACGATCATTGTCATTGACGACAACAACAACTGTCCAGATGATTCGCCCCGCCTCTTGGATCAGGTAGGGCGAGTTAACACTGAAATTTCGAGGTTGGAGTTGCCCGATCAGATGGATCCAGAAGTGGTAGATAAATTCCAAGTACTCGCGGATGGACTTGGTCAGATTATGAGTCAAATAGGAGACAGTGCAGGACAGTTTGCGGGACAGGCAGCGGATTTCGCAGGACAAGCAGCAGAAGTGATTGGCGAAATATTGAGTGCATTAGGTGATACTCCATAATCTCAGGCATTATGTTCAGGATCTGGTTGTTTGGTAACTTGTGGTAAGTGATGTATGTAACACCGCCAGAATGAAAAAATATTGAAACTGGAATAGGACATCATGAACATCACGATATATCTTACAGGAAATACACTCTGATTCTACATATGCTAACCTGCTTTGATGACCAAAACTTGAGTGACCATATGTTCACTTCATACGTCTTAATGTGCCAGCACAAGTTCGGGCACGTAATTTTCAACAATTTTGACTCAAGAGTTCCTCCTCGCGGTAGTGCCATCGACCACAATCATTTCTAAAAGGCATATATCAATCAGACTGTCCAGGCGAAAGCGATGTAGCGAAGAAAAGAACCACGCTACCAGTGAAAAAACGCACTGCCGTTGTTGAAATCGAACCCATCGCAAGTGAGTGAACAGGATGTTAATTATGATGCATTTGTCAAGCAGTCCATACTCTTGCCAAAACACCGAAGGGATCATTAAGTTCCCAAAGAAGTTCCGAAAGTTGGTTTTCCGTGACCAGCATATCGAACTTGGCAAAGTACATGCGCTGATCACATCCAGAGGCACCGCGACTGGCCAAAATTGCAGAAGCCCTCAAGTCATCCACCTTCACCAAACCAGTGCCCACAACCACCATTATTGACCAGCCTAGGTGGCGCCGAGCTTGGAGGGACACGATAGATGCGATCTGCTCTACACCCGACTGTCGTAGTGAGCTCATTGCTTATGAAGAACACATTGGTTAGCTCCAGTCAACTCTTCGGCAACAACCTCACAGTATCCACCGGAACATTATCAAAGCCGTACGTCAACTTATTGAGTTTCGACGAGATATCCTATTCGATGAACTTGAACGTGCCGAAGGTGCAAGATCCAGGACAATGTATCTCCTCCCTACTGGAACACATTTCTCGGTCTCAACTTTCTTCGCACCTAGGCCAGACCAAGGAAGTTCATACCCTCGCGACAAGACCAGGGGGGTTTGCAGGAAGTCCAAATGGGGGGAATGTGATAGCCACATAGGAATGAATGTACTTCTGCACTACATGTGTTGGTACACAGAGCACAAAATTGCAGAAAAGTGACTCGGAACATGTCTGGAAAGCTGCAGTAGATTTTGTCTCGAGTTTTGACAATGAACACGGAGAGGTCAAGGTTGAGAGATCAGGAGAAGCAGAGACCAAGCAAAGGTCGAGGCCGTAGTCGTCAGGTCGAAGAAAAGCTTCCAGTGTGATTCTATCCGGATTATGCATGAGTCGCCATCAACTTCATCATTAGAGAACTCGACAAAAGTACCCTCACCGTTGTACAACACCGCCCTGCTCACCTCATTCATCCCAAAATCATATCTACTCTCTGTACATGCTATACAACAGGTCGTCCCGGCGTTCAACGATGCCCTTGCTTTACTTCGTGTGTGGACAAATCAGAGGGGGTATGGAGAGAGCGGAGAAGGCGTTTTTGTGCAAGGATTCGACGGTAAGGGACCCTGGTGGGTCGCCCTGTTGATGTATCCGGTTTTCGGTGAAGAAACGACTAGTGCTGGACGGAAATTTGGGGGACGAGGGAAAAAAAAACAGCTAGGAAAAGGGTTAAGCTCGTGGAGAGAGAATCTGGATGCTGGATTACGAAATTTGAGAACACACGCCGTCATTATTCAAGGGTGGGAAAGCTCTCGATGTCTTCCTACCCGGTATCGACCTTTCTCTTTGCCACAGCGAACAACTGAGAAGGTATCCGTCATGACAGGGAATACGATGTTCATGTTCTTTTCACTGCCAATAAAGCTCCCAGCCATTCACATTATTTCCGTCCGTTAGTATTGAATTCCCGGAATTGCGCCTCAAGGAGGATAGGGGTTTTAAACCTCCGATGTCAAAATGTGCTCTAAAGCCTGAACTCTGTCATCCAGCTGCGCGGGCGGGAATTTAATTTGAGTAGTTCATTCTTTAGCCCACTTAGTGGTAGTGATCGGGGGACGTTCACTTTCAGAAATCGCCCATTTGTCTAATAATGATGTTACTTCTGCAATTACGCCGCTTTTAACCCCTTTGTAACCATGCAGGATTACCTGGTATAAATGTGGGCAATATTTTTTGATTCTCCATCTTCAAATCTCCTTATCACTGATCCACCATGTCTGCAAGTAATGAGACTGTCGATGTAGGCAAGATTGTGATTGGGTTTACAGAGCCTACTTCCATTATGGAAATGGTAAGCAGGACCTCATATAACTGTACTTCCGATAGTCTCATTCTTTCAGTAGTTTGTGTTACCTTTATATGGTCAGTCCACAATACTTACATTACTATGACTGCTGACGGAACTTGTTATACAGGGGTGTACACGGCATTGTTTGGTCTCTACATGTACCTTCAGATTCACCAACAAGGGCGGCGGCGCTGTTATCAGTTCTCGCTCTCCCTTCTCTATATCTTGGCTTCAACAGCTGTGGTCATTTCAATCTTGATTGGAAACCAAATGACTTTGTTTATACTTGATGCCATCTTCACCAAAGACATTGATAGCCCACTCACAGCCTTCCATTTCAACTCCTATGCAAATCTAGTGTGATTGTCATCTACCTTATCCAATCCTTGGTATCTAATTTTGATTTCTAGTGTTGCAGCAGAAGGCATCTATGTAGCAGCAAAGTGAGGCCTTGCTATAATCACAATAGTTAATTCTCAATATTCATTATCTGACTCTCCCTACAGTTTTATAGCAGATGCTCTACTAGTTAGTAACTTCAAATGCTTTTTTGTATTAAACTGACCACGTTATCCAGGTGTATCGCTGCTATGCCATGTGGAGTTCAAGAACGTATGTTATTTCAGGACTGATTATCATTTCTCTGGTCAATACTGGTGAGTACAATTCCTAATGAAATCTAGAAGTTCATATTAAAAACATCAAAGCTGTTGCCATTTTTGCAACAGTTCTTACAAAAGACAACATAGCCAACTTACTGACAACCAAAGGAAACAGTATATCAATCCAAGTGGCAGATACAATCATTTCCTATGCCTTTTTGTCAGTGAACCTGTTCACAAATCTGCTATTGACCGGCCTAATTGGTAAGAGAGTGTTTCATATTGTATAGATTTAAATTTGACCTGGGAGTGTTCATCAAGCTGGAAGAATTTGGTGGATGGGTCGAGCTATTCAACGGTCACTAACAACTGCCAATCATGAGACGGATTTGAACACCATGGTGGCTATAATGTTTGTCCAATTCACTTGTCATCCCCCTGCCTCTGATACGCAATATTATTTTTTACAGACTGGAATCAGGCTTACTTTATCCTATTGCCCTAATTATCTGTCTTGCTCTATCTGTCTATGAAGGAACAGTGGAAACATTTTCCTTACTCACATTGATAGTGGTATGTATATCTTTCAACTGAACTAAACCCTGACTCAGTGAGACTTTAGGGAATTGCTGCAACTCTTATAATAGTCCGGACTGATTTGAAAATAAGCATTGAAAATGCCTATTGCCCTGGTGTCACAGAAAGTTTGGCAGATGAAGAAGAAATTCCATATGATCTTGTAGCCATACACACCAGGCCTCAACCATACATGCTACATAAGGAAAATCATTTTAAGCCTGTAAAAATGGGGCAACACATTTGATTGTAATGTTACTACTACCTTAGGTCAAAATTCATTTTCCCCTAGGCCACTTTGTTACCTGCCTTCTGAGTCCCATTAGTCATTGTCCAGTGCCAAACTCAATTTTTCATTTTCTAGGTATGTGTTTGAATACTATCCCAACATGAAAACACCTTTTCTTGCTCAAGAATGACATTCACAGTTGCAAGGAATGTTGCTTCTTGCAGAATATGTCATCAAAGTGGGATTGTGGGCCACTGTACAGTCTTCACTGTATGCATGGTGTCAACTATGTGAAGAAATGATGTTCTAGTAGCTAAGTCAGTCAGTGACTCAGACATTGTGAATACACAAAGCTGATGTACATAAGGACAATAAATTATCAGCCTTGTAACTGAGTGTAGAAATATGCAGAATGGCAATACTGCATATAGTATGTGAGAAGCTCAGAACTAGCTGCAACACGAGATAAATCATAACAATTTCTCCCCCATTATCATTTGATTGTGGTGTTTATACCATGATATATGTATTGAAAATGAGATCCTTGCACAGTCTGAGGATGTTGGAAGGTGCGGCAGTTACTGATGGCACTGTCGATGATTGCCTAGGAATCATCTTCATCATGATCTGCCATCACTTCTCATCACACTTGCAACCAACAGATATTGTGTTACAAGATCTTGATGACATTTTGGCAGGCATGTTGCAGAGATTTTTGAACCTTATAAATTCAGGCTTCCCCACCTTATATTCCTCACAATGGCGCCCCAACAAATGCTGTTTTCCGAAATATTTGGGTCTGTCCAGTCCTATTTCATCCTGGTGATGGTGAGTCATACAAGTCATACAAATGAAGCTTGAATGTTTGAAAATCATAAACTTATCCTGCAGTTTGAAGTCTTATTCCTTGGTTAGTAGGCATAATTGTGACAATTCCTCACTAGTACTCAAGCCCCAATGTAGGTGTATACACAATGTTATTTTGGCTCTACGTATACCTCGAGTTTCAAAAACGCCGACAAAACTGTCTTCAAATCTCCCTCTTACTGCTCTATTTGTTGGCTACAGCAACCACAGTTCTCTCAATCATTGAGGAAACCCACTTAACTGTGTTGCAAATAAATTCATACTTGGAAGTGCATACATCAACATTGGGCCTGAGTTTTGATGATGGTTCCTTGTTTGAATCATATTCAATTTTAATGTGAGTATTTCCTTCCTTGCAGTCACAGTCCCTGCTTTCTAAGAAGAGGAAGCATCTGCAAAACCTGTATTGTTGGCTAATTCCCCTAGAGCAGCTAAGAGCACTTGCCAGCAGTCAAAGTAACCAGAGCAAGCTGAACATTTTGCTCTGAAAACTTTATATGCTGGAGAGTGCTCTCCGGCTAGTATCCTTGATCCAGCATGCATACAGGTTTTGAAAATGAAAGGACTTTGTGGAACAAGTATGCCAACCTGCTTGTATGTTTTCATCCAGCAACATGTGCAGGTTGGTATGTTTGTGACCTGAGCCACAAAGCATCTACCCCTTGCTCTTATGCCTTTTGAAATATTTTAATTTCAGTGTTGCACAACGTGGCATCTATGTAGCAGCAAAGTGAGCTTCACTTTATGATGAAGAAAGCACCTGAGTCTTAAATCATCTTATTCTCTTCCTGCAGTATAATAGCAGACACTATACTTGTTAGTTGGTTCTTTTTTCATAACATGATCTAACCATGAATTAACCATTTCACCCAGCTGTATCGCTGCTACTTGGTGTGGGGCTCAAGGAAATATGTTACTCCCAGTTTAGCAATACTTTCTCTGGTGAATACTGGTGAGTATCAAAATGTAGTACAGAATTCAGTGTGATAACTACCATTCTGGTGAAGTTGTTGCTGTCTTTGGAGTGGTATTGGTTGCAAAGAATGATCAAGAACAGGTCATAGTGCAGACTGAGCATGCCCCAGCAGGACCGGCAATTATATCCTTGATTTTCCCATCCATTAACCTATTCACCAACCTCGCACTGACAGGCCTCATTGGTAAATTACTTTAAACTTTGTTCAAGTATTCTGATCTGTGTCACAATCAAGCGGGAAGAATGTGGTGGCTAGCCCATGTTACACAACAGTTGCTGGGAGTTAGCAAGTCTCATGACAAGAGCATCAGACAAATAGTTGCATTGATGTCTGTTCCATTCTCCATTCTCCTTTTTCTGATTGTTTTAAACATATTTACATCTTGGCAGGCTGGAATCCAGCTCGATCTATCCTGTTGCTTTAATCATAAGCATGGTTGTAAACCAACTACTACTGGTAGACACACAACCCTTCCTCACAATAATAGTGGTATGTGTATCATTGTTCACCTGCTTCTCTACTCAGCAAGGATGAAGGGAATTGTTCCAACCCTCATGTTAGTTAAAATAGAACTCAAGATCGGAATTGAAGATGGCTCAGACAAAAATGTAGCTTCAAACGATCTTGAAGCCTTGGTACAAACAGTACCTCCAAATGGTGTTGACACCATAACACCATATTACATTCAACCCCTACATATTTCGGACCAGGATAAACTGCCCACTGCTACGGAAGAGCATGTCCGTATCAGTCCAAGGAAGGTCAAAGCTGGACACAATGCTTGATCATGGCTTTGTTTTTATACCTAGAACCAATAACTTTATTGTTGTAATATTTATTTATTTATTTCGAATTATGTATAAAGAATTTGTGTATCTTCCATGCTGCATTCTATGACCACAATGCAATTCCTGAGTCATCCTGACTCACTTTCATAGTACCATGTGACACAATGTATGCTGAAATGTACAATGGGGACTGACTGGTCATTGATAATTAGCAGTAGGATTTGTTTAGCCATTTCGAATAGAACATGATGAGCAGATATCCAAGTACAACATTACAAAGAGGGCCCAAAGAGGACGCAATAAATCTACAAGCCACGCCGACCAAACTTCTTCTCCCACTCAAGAATAACTCAACAGCTGTAAGGAATGTTTCTTCCTGCGAAATATAACTTGTCATACCTAACACCTCTTTCGCAAATGTCGTTTCTATGGGTGCACTAGTCTGGGGACCAGGGACCGACGTCTCTTTCGGCAAACGTCCTGCCAGCTCAGGCTTCCTCCTCCGTATCAATGATGCAATGTCCTTCCACAAGAATGTCCCATTACTGATAATAAACCGCTTATGACGTCCGGGCACAGGCGGGATGGAAAGCGCGAGGACGTGAGCACGAGCTGCATTCCGCACGTCAATCATATGTCCAATTGGAATTGGAGGGTATTCAGGTGCAAAAAGCATCTACACAAAGGCGTTCGAGCCAAGGCTGCTAGCAGAGGAAGTGAGTGTTACATCAGTGCTGAATTGAGGACCGAAGATAGCTGGAGGAAGGATGGTGAAGTCGATTTTGGGGTTCGATAGGGCGAGATCCCATATTGCCTTGTCTGCGAGAGTTTTCGCTTCTTGGTAAACACGCATCCCTTCGTGGTTGAGGTCGAAAGTTTCAGCGGTGACGGAGCCAAAATCGGCTTCTGTTAAAACGAGGGTACCGAAAGTTGCTTGAAAGTCAGCTAGATAGAGGAGTGTCACTCATTGAGTTCATTGAAGATTGCAATCGAAGACGGTCGACGAAAGTTCCAGTGAGAATTATCTTTTTCACTCCACTCGCAATCGCCTGTTTCACAAGAGAGACTGTGCCTTCATAGGCTCCCTGAAAATCAGATGTAAGTGCTCAGCTCATAGGCTCGAAATGACGGACACTCGCAGAGTACAAATCCTGCCCAGAGACTCCTCCACCGAAAATATGCGAAGCAGAGTGAATTAGTGCATCGACTTCCTTCAATGCTGTTGAATGATCTACAGTCAACGACGGTACTGCGATAACTTGAACTTGTTCTGATGTGGCTTCTGGAAAGATTGTTTGGAGTTTGGAGGGTGAACGGGCTGTTGCGCGGACGATATATCCTTTCTCGAGAAGCTGGGAAATGATGTGGGTACCAAGGAATCCTGTACCACCGGTTACCTGGATGGATGTGTGAATGGTGAAAAGGAGAACATGAACGGGATGTAGAGAACAACGCACAAGGACTGTTTTTGACTCTGAGCCTTCCTTAGAGAAAGGTGATTTCAACTTGTAACATCGAATATTGTATGAATGTTGGAGGAGGAAGGTTGGATGTAGAACTGAAGATGATGTTGAGAGCAAGAAAGCCTCTGGATTTTATACTGACCATTATTCATACATACTGCAAGGAGTAAGCACAACTAGAAGCAGGAAACTATTCGCAAAAAATGTTTGATCATTCATGTTGATGAATCATCACGGAGTACCCCCGTTGCTGGCCATTCGTACTAATTAGACATACACAAGCGAAAGCGGCCAAGGACGGTTGATTGTCAGGAGGTCATTATACTTTGACGTTTCTCCTGAGGGGTTTCAAGTTGTTGAGGGTCGGGCTTTCAAGGCGCATCCTCCCAGTCTTTTGCATGAACACCTTGAACGGCGGCGACGGCAGAGAGACGAAATAGAGGAAATAGACCATTGATCGTGATAGCTCGAGCTCGATTGAGTATGCATGTATAACAGTATCTTCATAGAAAAAATTGTGAACTTGACCATATGAAGAACCTGCTGAAGACCGCTCGTAATTAGCGCCCGATTCCCAGGCCGTTACTGTGACAATCTGGAAAGGAGCTTGGCTATTCAAAGCTTCATCGCGCTGTAGACAGCTCGTTGCGATCACCAAATTTACTTTGGCTCACGATCCAAGCTCCGTGGCCCACCTTGAACAGTAAAAACTTTCCTCACACTGGCTCGCGAGACTCGGATAGGATAGTGGAAGTCTGTGGAAGTGGAAGTGGTACGTCTATGATCATTCGCACTGAACTTCCAATTGTCTGCCACAGAACGTCAATCTGGATCCTCTATTCCCCGTTTCCATAAGTCAAACAGTATCTTGAGCATCTTTGTTGGTTTCTATAATCATACATTTGCAAATTCTCGAAGCCTTCAACAACAACGATCATCAATCTCTTCTGGTGTATCATTCAAAGAGTTCGTACAGCATCTTCTGCCATGGATATCATTGAAGGTATACCTGTTCACTTGAAGTCACGACATCGGAGGCTTCTGGGATTCCACAAGATGCCACTCTGGATTCTATGTCCATCTCATCTCCTTGCCAGTATCGCCAGGTGGCGCTTCATCTTGCTATCAATGCTGGATCCGCTGCTCATGCGTGCAAGAGATATACATTCATGGATTTATTGCATCAACAGGTGCTCCTCCATCGTCCAGTAATTACTATCTCTTAATCTTGTTTCAATTCTCATCATTCTATTCTGATTGATTTCGATTTTCTGCTTTGTGTTGACGATACAAGATCGGTGAGAACGTTAACTTGACGCAGTTGTAGGTGGAAATTGCACATGAGTCCATGGTCGTAACCTTGAAGAACCGGCAACCTCATCAGATCAAATCTGTTGCTTGTATCAGTTCTTGATTCTCATCTGCTGCACTGGTGGCTACCATCTCAGTGGCACGTTCTCTCAGGAAATGATAGCAATTTTCATTCGAGCGAGCCTAGTGTTCTTTATTATTAACGGAAGAGCTTATACGATCAAACTAGATACTAAGGAGGACTACATCGATAATACTGGGATCGGAAATTCCAGCTGTTGAACACTTTGAATATCCGGAAGTAACTAGCAGGAGCATAGGAGAATTGAAAAAAATAATCAGCTTGATCATCCAGCGTGTATGTGAATGAATTGTTCGAAACAGTGCCATGTAGTGGACGTACTCTATAAGTCACTTTCTTCGTACCAGAAGGGGTCCGAAGAAGCAAACGCAGAGCTCTGAGAGGCAATTTCTTCCATTTTTTTCCGGATCTCCTTTGGGTCATGGCGTGGAAGTTGGCTGCAAGCTCGATGCCATCGAAATGTGTCACCAAAGCTACATTTCCTCGCATGCCAACAACGGTCACAACTAGCTCGGTCAGAAGACCAGACACAGACACGTCCAACCTTATAGCAGTGGGTACACGGAGGCTATAACAAAAATCGTCAGTGACCATTCAACTTTACGAAAAAAAAGTGTAAAGGTCGGAACCAGGAGTTGGTAGTACCTACCAAAGTCTGGGATACCTCTTTTACCCATGCTTCGGTGGCTTGAATGCTTGACCCAGGCGTAAAATGATATTTAAGAACGCTAATGATGTCCTGATCCTGATCTCTGCTCAATGGGTTTAAATGTCTAAATTTAAGAGCTAACTGGGCTTCTTCTGATAACCCCCGGTAGTCGAATGGTAACAACGGGTGTGCCACAGGCGTGGACGGCGCAAAATAAACCTTTGGACCAGCAATTTTACAACCGTCCTGGGCTTCATCGTCTATCATGAAGTGGGTAATAAGCTAAAGAGTTTTTGGAAAACTGATAGTTTGCTCACCATTGTCTATTCGAGGTCGTTTCCTGTCACTAACATCATCATTTTCATCGTAATCGCAAGTCAATGACTTTCGTTTCTCCATTGCCATAGAAGGATCGGATACGTCCGCGTTTCCTATGATGCGAACTTCAAGGGCTTCATTTGAGATTGTCGTCGTTGGAACCGTATCCTTGGATTGAGATATTGAGTTGTTTGAGATAGATTGGTTTTGTGATGGACTTTCTTTGACAGAGGTATCCACAATTTTAGATGCCCTTTCGAGTGAAGTTCCACCCAACGAGGATGAGGGCGAAGTACTGGATCTAGACTTGACAGCTGATCCGTCCTGAGAGTTATCGTCTTCAAGATCGGTAGAGTAATCATATTCTAGATCCTTATTTTCCAAGTTGTAAATGGCCCACGCATGCATGTGAGCCTCCTCGACTCTCCTGCGATCTTCTTCCTTTCGCTTTTGTTCTTCAATCTCCAAACGCTGTTGCGCTGCCTGTTTCCACCGAGGATCTACCCATTCGCCTTCCCAGGAAACTTCAGAGCGAGAGAGGACAAAAAGGTCACCCGTTTGAAGGGCATCTTGGGCACGCTTAAGATTCTGTTCGCTGATTGCAATTCTGCTTTCTTCATAGATTTTGACAATGTGTTTGTAACGAAGCTAGAGATGGAAGAAACAGTTTTTGGTATTAATATATGCTTGCCATGCATCCCTCGTAACTAACGCTCAAAATGCTGTAGATGGGGTTACGACTTACTCTGCAGGCTGCAAATCTCGCTGCCCATTCGACCATAGTTATGAGGTTGTCATTGACAAGCTCTTGGGATTCATGGCTGGTGAGTTGAACTAGGTCCACCAATGCCCGAGTATAAGGATCAATTGTTTGAGTGGTCACAGAAATACTAGTTTTGGGAGGGGTAGACATAAGAGTCTGAGAAAAGGTATTACAAAAGAGAGCGCAAATTGGTTCGGCATTTTCCGACACACAACTGGCGAACGACTTTCACAATCTAATTTCTGATAACATCTTTACATACACAAGAAACAGGTTAAGCTTTGTCCCCGAACTTCCTCTCCCACTCGAGCACAACATCCACAGTAGCAAGGAACGTCTCCTCTTGCGGAATGTAACTCTTCATACCCAAGACCTCTTTCGCAAATGTCGTGTCCATAGGCGCACTAGTCTGAGGTCCAGGGACCGAAGTCTCGCTAGGCAACCTCGAAGCCAACTCCGGCTTCTTGCTACGAATCAACGCAGTGACATCTTTCCACTGGAAAGTACCATTGCTGATAATGAACCTCTTGTCTCGGCCGGAAACTGGTGGGGTGGAGAGCGCGAGAACGTGGGCACGAGCAGCGTCACGGACATCTATCATATGTCCAATTGGATTGGGAGCATATTCAGGGGCGAAGAGCATCTTCACAAAGCTGTTCGTGCTAAGACTGGATGGGGAGGAAGTCAGAGGGCTGAGTTGGGGTCCAAAGATGGCAGGAGGAAGGAGGACCGTGAAGTCCACGTCAGGGTGCAAATGAGCCAACTCCCAGACAGCCTTGTCAGCGATAGTTTTAGCTTCTTGGTAGACACGCATTCCGTCGTTCTTGAGGTCAATGGTTTCGGAAGTAATGGAACCAAAGTCCTTTTCGGTAAGGATGCGCGTACCAAAAGCGGCTTGAAAGTCGGCTGCGTACAAAAGGAATTCAGTGAAACATGGTCGTCAAAGGTAATTTCGGAAGATGCGCACCATCAAAAAGGTTTACGAACGTGCCGGTAACAATGATTTTCTTCACGCCAGCGGCGATGGCCTGCTTGACAAGCGCAACAGTTCCTTCGTACGCTCCCTAAGCGAATCGCAATCAGTAAGTTTTCGGGCTTTGGGGATAGTAAGCTCACGGAATAAAGATCCTGACCAGAAACGCCTTGACCATAGATAGGTGAAGCGGAATGGATCAACGCATCGACACCTTTCAGCGCTGCTGAGTGATCTGAGATCAAGGTCGGTACTTCCACGACTTGAAGTTGTTCGGCAGTAGCTTTGGGGAATATCGATTGGAGCTTCGAAGCTGACCGGGCAGTACCGCGGACGGTGTATCCTTTCTCGAGGAGCTGAGAGATGATATGTGCTCCCAAGAATCCAGTACCACCAGTGACCTTCATAAGTTCAGCCTCAGTCAAGCCTTATCTGAAAATAAAGGCAAACATGCACGTACAAGAACAGTTCCTTTAGACATTTTCTTGGATATAAATCGGATGTTGACAAGCGTAAGAACGATGTTGGTTTGCGAGTTCGAGTGATGAAGGTTGAATCGAGAAAAATAGGAGTTTTTATAGCTATAACCAATTCGATATGTCGAAATTGCGAATGAATCATCCTGACCCCCGTCCCTGGCCGTTGCACGCCTTGGAGCAGCTTGGAGCTAGAAAATATTGTCTTTTGATTACTGATCCAATTTCTTGCCTGATATAGCTTCGCCAGCTTATTCTGCGATGAAAGGGGTGTCCTCTGATATTCATGACTGATACAGATTTGGGTGTATCAGTCAGCGCATTGTTTGGCACTCCGAGGTCGCCCTGTTCTGCTTTCAAATACGGTGTGAACACTTGACATGGATTGAAAGCCAGTTACGCGTAGGATATTTGGTAAGAAGGGTTCGTGAGTATTGACAGAACAGGAACAAAATTGAAGTTGCAAATCGGAAGAAAGTAAGATGTCGAAAAGGGAAATGATCTCAGGGCCGTTATTTAAGCGCGCAAAACCATTCTTCAAACTTCGATAACAAGTTAAACTTTGCGATCATCTCTTTTTGGAACTGTTCATCGCACCGGCCAAAAGTCGACCTCAGAATCAAAAGTCCTTGTTTTATCGTTAGAATCTACGTTTGTGACTCCCAAAACATGTAGCTCATCGAAAAATTACGCTCTTTCAATGCCTTTTCAGGCCTTTTCCAAGTTGGGCACAACCGAGCCTTCTGAGGCACGCAACTGAGGTGCTCTCGAAATCCCAAAAGGACAAGATCCAGTGTCGCATATTGATTGAACACTTGTTCTTCCTCAATCTCTATCGAGAGTCTTGATCAGTAATCATTGGAGATACTGGACTGGTGTATGGCTCATGACAAGCCGCAATCTGTTCTTGACTTTTGATAGAGGTCAGTCATAATAGGACTCGAGCTGACGTTGTCCTAATACTGAACTTAGAAAGTCCATATATATCGTCATCTCGAAATCCGGCGGTATAATCCCTGCAGTGCTGAACGCTGAGCTCGGAGCCGAACCGTTCTTCTATGAGGGACAAGCTGGGTTAAGGTGATTCCCCTATCTCAGTATCTTCGGATTTGTCGCTTTTTTGCCAAGCGTTTAGTTCACTGCATTCTCCTTCATATAGATGTGGCTACGTCTAACTTTATGACATGGATTATTTTGTGATAAGTCCCATGAGCCTTAATCCACATGGCTCGACGGCGAAGAAGACTACCTCCTTCAATCACCTTGTTATTTCTCGGCGTTTGACAGCACATACCCGATGCAGGGGAATACTACTCCACGCACTACTATACTCCTCCTTTACAATAATTATATTCAGAAAAGGCATCCACAACGCATGTGCGTTTCGACGCTGCATATGTTTCCTCTGATCGCCGAGTTCTTGTGTTCTTCCGCTGTGCTTTTATCCTGTACGATGCCATATGCAAATCAACGTGCTCAAGTTTTCGACTTTGGCTTTGCTTGAACCTTCCAAGGATCCCTCGATGCCTTCGTAACTGATTGGACCTTCTCCTATTGATAATCTATCGGTCCCGTCAAGAAAACCTGTCTTAAACTTATCTGCCAATGGTCAGCAAGTATCAGGCATGCTCTCACCAAATATCTCCAACGAGCGGTGTATAAAAGCGTCGTCAAACAAGAATGTTCTCTAGTTCTTTCGAGATCTCCTTCCCAGGTCAACCAACATGTTCTCTGTCCGGACTCTCCTCTTTGCTTCCTCTCTGATCGTTGCCAGCGTTTTGGCTACTCCGGCCAACTTCAAGGTGACTCGTTCGCTGCCTGAAGGAGATGTTACCTGCGGTAGCACCGTCTACACCCTTTCCGAAGTTGAAAGTGCCGTCTCTGGCGGTTTCAACCATCTTGATGACCCCATCGGTGATGGTGAATGTTCACTGAAGTTGCGCTCCCAGATATCTGTCTAACATGGAGAGTTTAGACTCCTACCCTCATATTTATCACGACTACGAAGACCTCGATATGTATTGCTCGGGAAGTACTTGGTACGAGGTGAATTAATTCATGATCAAAGGAATGGGAAGAACGCGACTGACTCATGCTCTCCACAGTACCCAATCTTGAAAGGCGGGACTGCTTACTCCGGTGGAGACCCTGGTGCTGACCGTATCGTGTTCAACCCCTCGGGCACCTACTGCGCGTGCGTAATACCATTCCTCGTATCTCCCTAATCCCGACTCATATATTCTTTGTAGTGTGATTACCCACACTGGTGCTTCCGACGACGACTTCCTTGCTTGCAAAGGCGATTGAGATCGTAATGAGAAGAATGAAATAAATATGTACCATACTTGTCATATTCAATATAAACTTAGAGGAATGACTCCGAATATCCGGCATGACATCCTAAAGAGGCAATATTGTTCCGGAATATTCTCGAATGATTTACGCGTGATCTGTCGACGGTCACGGAAAGCTCACTAAGCTCTTGTCATGATCATGTTGAACTTCCCTCAGCTAGATTTCGAATTCATGGTGATCTTACACCTTTCATTCCAACCATCATCATATTATGGCTGCTACTACAGAAACTAAAACTGCTGGCACCCTCGGTATCCCAATCGAAGTATCATCTGTCTCCGAATGGAACTCCATCCTTCGCAACGCCTACGCAAATAACCAAACCGTCATCGCAGATTTTCATGCTGAATGGTGTCAGCCATGTAAAGTTATTGCACCAGTATACGCCAACCTCGCTTCTCAGCAGCCTTTTACTTACTTCCTCCGTGTCGATGTCGACGGAAATCGTACTCGCCCTATCGCGGCAAAGTATTCGATCTCTGCAATGCCTACATTCGTAGTCATTAAACGCCCGCCTGGAGAAGAAGGAGCCGCAAGCGCTACAGGAAAGGGCGTAGTGGTCGAGAAACTGCAGGGAGCTGATCCACAGGGTTTGGCGAGGATAACGAACACTCACGCTAGTCGAGCATATGCTCCGCCTTCGGCTTCACGAACACCAGCCGCGGAGAAGGCGAAGAACCTTGGTAATGACCTTTTCAAGAAACGGCAATATGCTGCTGCTGTGGAGGAATACTCCAAAGCCATCGCGTTATCCCCAGACTCTGGTGTTCTCTACGCTAATCGCGCGTTAGGATATTACAAATGGATTCAGTCCAAAAGAGAAGGGGCGGACTCTGCTGAGGCAAGGAATGCTTTGAGGGTAAAACAGATGCAAGACGGTTTGAAGGTCACAAATATGGAAGAGAGATGGGGCAAGGGATGGGTGAGGCTGGCCGAAGCTCTCTTGGAAAGTGGCTGTGAAGAGTCTCTAGAAAATGTAGCAGAAGATAAAAGGTCAGAAGGGAGGAGGGTTTCCCTGGAAGGCGCTGAGGAGGCATTGACAAACGCGATCCAACTGTCTGAAGGCAAGGTTAAAATTGGTGAGTTCGTTCTTCATATCTCACCGCTCCGGCTGTTCATGTTTCTCATGTTTCAGAGGCACAATCCGTCCTTGAGAATGTCCAAAAGGCAATGGCTGCTTTACCATAGATTGTGTCTCAAGATTTGTACTATGAACTTTTAACTCCTCAGCCGCGATTGGGCGTGCACTATTGTTGTACTTACTAATGCGTAATATCTAAACTATTGAACTCCAGATCTCCTCGCAGCCAAGTATCTTTTCCCGAAAACCTCTTCAATCGCTGTCACTATGACTGTCATCCGAATCAACTAGCTGGGTATGGAGAGCATCGGGCCATCGAGGAATTCCCCAGTCTCTCCATTCAGCGATTTCTCTCACCCTCAAATACTCTCCTTCAGATCCCAAGTGTCAGCCGAACATATCGCAAATGCAACAAAAATGCTCACTAGGAGGAATACACTTTGCACGTAGTCCAAGGCTGTTCGATCCATGCTGAGCTAGAGGATTCCTCTGCGACTTTTCGAGATAATCTGACGGAAGAAACATGATGACTTGTTTCGGTTCTTTACCTAGGAACGCGGCTGACAATGGTTCGCCAAACATGATCGTATTCCGAACATTGAGTTTTGCATCCTTGATATAGTTCTCTAATCTTTGAAGGCCAGACCAAACGTTTGCTGATCTGTCCGTAATGAACAACTGCCGATTTCCAGGGATTTAACGAATGCACATTTTATGACAACCGGAATGACTGTACTTTTGGTGCTTCCAACAGGTTTTCTAATTGGTGTATGCGTATTTCACACTGGGAAAGTCGTCTGTAATCAGAAAGGAGCACCAGAAAAAAGACAGAAAGGCTCTGACCTTCCAATGACGCTGGTGGTCACTGAATTAAAATGAGTATCGTGCTCAACACTAGATGAGTATAAATAACTCACGAATCCATTGGGACAGGATGAATGTGCTTGTAGCCTCCGACATCGCTGGTGAGTGTCCCCGCTTGGTTATATTCTTTGGCTGCTGTCTGCCGTTGAATGTGTAAGAAGTTATACCGCAGATCGAAGCGAAAACTCACTTCGTCGGTGTAGTGAAATCCGACTATCTTGTCGAACGTTAGACCTCGTTTATCAATCACTGGCACGGGGCAGGCTACCACGAGCGAAAAACGGATCAGAAGCAGCAATGGGGCCAGCACATTGAGAGAAGGGATCATTGATCAACTCAGAGACCAGCTCTGGAAGCTCGAAAATTGGTTTAGTAAAGTTAAAACAGATTCTCAATCCCTTTTATAAGCCTCTCTTCGACAGAACTTGCCTTATCTATGGAGTGACTTTCTAAGCATCCTCTCCCGAGACCGGGGCTGATTTACCAGTAGATTGATATCTTTTCTGTCGGAGAAGAGAGGGTATAAGTTGAGGAGATGAAACCCGCGGCATGCAAGCTTGCGTGCAGTACGCGTTTATCAGCATTGAGAAAGTGCCTGTCCGGTGGGTCCATGGAGGCTTGTAACATTGGTAGTGCCATTCGTTGTTCATTCCTTTAATGCTTTGTACACATACACCGAGACCGATGCCCCACATGTGTGTAGCATCAATGAAGTACAAGCCCACAAGGCGTAGATGGGACAAGCACATTGCCATTCACTTAGTCAATACTAAACACCTTGTACATTCTAAAGTATCAATGTAACCCTCAAATCCAAGGGACTGCTAGGAATGTCACTTTGCCAAGTCCAGCTTTGACATGCTCAATACGACTCGTACTAACCAAAAGTATCTAAACCAAGCGTTCATTGCGAAGAAAATTCCATATCACCGAGCTATGCTCACGAACTTTGCCATGTTGTAAATATCTCAAATTGAATCCAATACTCAACTATCTATGCATTGATGGACATATTCTATAATGATTCCTATAGGTACTGAATTATGAGCAGTAAGTATTGCCTTTTCGAGTCAAGGATAAGATTGGCTTTATCCTTCTCGTGCTACACGACTCCTCCGCGAAGGGAGTAAGAAGGGTTATCCAGATTGAAAATAAGTACTGGAGGCATGAATGAATCCTAATCAGGTTCTGTACTGACTTGTTACGATGATACTCATTCATCCATTGTTGGGGGATTGAGCACAATCAACCCCTGAGGTTGTTTCTCGTTCCGGTGAGCCGGAGGTCCCGAAGAGATAAGGGTAGATGTGCCTTCGTATTGACTTTCTGAAAAGGCAGGAGGAGGGGCATCGATATCGCGCACAGGATCTGAAGGTGATAGAGATGTTATTTCATTTGAACGCTCTTCAGTCTCTGGAACATCTCTTTCAGGCGCCTTTCCTTTCATATCAGCAGTCCAATTATATCCATGTGCTGGTCGTTCGAATTCTGGAAAGTTCTTGTATGCCTTTTCCTTGGGCGTTCCGTATGGATCAGATCCAGTGGCCTCCAGATCGTACAAACCTACCGTCTCGTTTGGATCTGTATTGGAAGCATTTTCAATGCTTATCCCCAAGTCAGTCCTAACCATTATCAGCGTCGGAGCGATTCCCTGCAAACTCAACCTTCAGACTTTGTGACAATCTGGCGGTAAAGACACACACACACCACTATCAGCGTGAGAATAGCCTGCACGTCCACCGTTCCCGGGACGGTGAGCGCAAGTCCTACAACCAAAGCAACAGGATACAATAGTCCCGATTCTAGTCTGCGATCATGATGAAACAGTCAAAGGACGTTGATGACATCGAGCTGAGAAATTATACGAACACCATTGCTGCGATACCGCCGATACTCTTGTCACTAGAGTTATCAATCCCCAATGATCGTCGGGTATCGCGTGCTATCCACCAGATTCTTCCAGCTGAATCATGTCTTCATATTCCCCTTCGAAATTTAGATATGAAGTGAACGTACCAATGAGGCCCGTTAGCATAAGATTTGTGAACAAGTTGACCGAAAGGAACGCGTAGGAGATGATATCTGCAGCCTGGAGGGAGGTATTCTCAACTCCAGCTGTGTTCAATAAGCGGCCTGCATTGTTTTTTATAAGTGCCGCTGAGACGATGGCAATCACTTTGAGTCAATGGGATGGTAAATATACACGCTCTGACTCTTTATTCGGCTTCGATACTCACCAGTATTCACCAGAGAAATCACGATTGGACCCGCGATAACATACTTCTTTGAGCCCCATACCACGTAACAACGATATAGCTGGATAGGATGGTCAGATTGAACTGTTACTGTAATTCTGTGAAATCACCTACCAGTAGAGCATCCGCAATGATACTTTGACGATAAGTCCAATCAGAAATCAAAGATTTTTGCTGGGATAATTGGTTGAGCTCACTTCGCTGCCACGTATATACCTTCCGCTGCAACGCTGAACAGCAGAGTGTGTCAGACGTGTTTGGTAAGAGCAAAGATTCAAAAGAAATATCCATACGTCAAATTGGCATATGATATGAAATGCGAAGCCACAAGTGGGTCACTCAGATCGTCGGTGAAGGTCAAATCGAGGGTAAACAAGGTCATCTGTTTTTCAATCAAGATTGAAACAACTACAGCCATTGTTGCCAGTAGATAGAGTAAGAGGAGGGAGATTTGATAGTAACGTTGTTGTCCTCGTTGGTGAATCTGGAGGTATACGTAGAGACCGAATAACATCGTGTAAATGCCTGCATAACTTTTTCAGTCACGGTCGGCACTTTTGGGGTTATATCCCGGACTGACCATAAAATAGCAGCACGAACTAATTGAAGAATGAGTCTCGGTTTCGCAGAGCAATTTATACTACTTACCATCTCCATAATGAAGGTAGGTTCCGTGACACCGAAGACGACTTTACCCAGATCTACTGTCTCGGTTGATGTGTTGTTAGAGGCCATGAATAAAATGCGGAAAATCACTGGAATGAGGATATGTATGCAACAATGTTTTTAGCATATTTATATATCTCCTTACGAGAAGACCGGAGAGGAGTGTACAATTGAAATGGCTGGCTGAGGCTGTGACAGTGATGCGCTCGCGCCACTACTGAAACACCGCCCGCGAGGAGCCGCGAGCGCAACACAAGGCGACACAGGCTCAGCACGGGAAAAACGTACAGGGGCGATACGTACTCTACCTATAATAACATAGATTAGTATCACAAACTGCCATCAGGCTCTTGAACACTTCACCCACAATAACAATATCCGGACATCGATTACAGGATTTCCACCAGAACGGTCGTGTCATCCATCCACTTGTCCTTGAATTCCAATGTTAACAAACTTGACACCCGATTCAAGGCTTCCTCTTCGGACCAAATTTCTCCTGTATATGATCGAGGTGGACCACGAAGACCTCGATTGAGGAGGAACAGTGCGAGATTCTCCTTCGGGTCGAAGCTCTGTGAGGATGAATCCAATTTCTCTCCAACGAGGTCTACCCAGGTCTTGCACAACTCCGCAATATCGATGTGTTTTTCCTGCCAATTTTCGCCTCCGTAAAGATCAAGAAGACCATCCGAACACATGAAGAGACACGCTTCTTTCCAAGAATTCGTATCAATGTGTGTGGCCTCGGGGAAAACTTGAGGATGAGACAAACCTCGCGCGCCATCATGCAGCTTCACATACTTGACCTCCGGTATTCCACTCACATAAGGGGGAGTCAGATTGCGTTTCACGATAATTTGCGTATGGTCAGGACGATTCATTCCGGGTATTGTGAGCGAAAATACGCGCTTGGTGTAAATACTAGGAAGTTTGAACTGGTGATCTCCAATCGCTGTTCATTAGACGAAACTCAGCGGACGAGATTCAATACGAAATGAAAAAGCGAACCTCTTGTAACGGCAATGAGGCCTAATACTCGGTTCTTCGCCACTGCACTCTCTTCTTCCCCTGGATGGTCCAACTTGAGACGTGCGACCTCTGAAGGCTCGGAAGCGTTGTGATTCGTACTAAGTATAGTCGTAGTCCAGAATGAAGATTCTTTTTGACCAAGGACTATCGCGAATAAACGACATTAGCTAGCTCATGCGTGAATCAGAAAATGTATAAGCACTCACCAGCCTGACAATCACCCAAACTCGCGGTCCAGAGTCCTCCATCGGAGTTGATCAGTACTACGAGGACCGTTGTGCCACGCATTGCTCGTGTGACTTTGATATTATTCGGGCCTCTGCCAGCATATTTATTGGCTAGAGTGGGAAGCCCAATTTTCGAAGGTAGTACCGTCGACTGGTCATTCACAATCGCCCGAATCTCATCATCGGAGAGCTGATCAATATAATCCGAAGAGGGAAAGAGATCAAGGACGCCTTGTTTGATAGAATTATCGATAGCAGAAATGGTTTCCTGCAGAAGGGATGATACCGCCTCCACGTTAGTGCAATGGGGTATAGATAGAGTAGTCAACGATGATCTGATCTTTGAAGGCAGAGTAGTGAAAACGTGGTCGACTGTTTCATCTCCATTTGCATGGCCTAAAGGGAAATTCAACGCAGGATCACAGCTTCGATTAACAAAACGCACCGTCGAACACTGCTCTGAATTTCCATGATCCACGTTCTCCAAGATCCCACTGCTCTGCAACCAATCGATCTTGACTGTGCTTTGCTGGATGTGGTTGAAGACTGGCAGTGTGGAGGGCGCCGTTGTTGATGATTTTTGGAGCACTCAAGCGGCTTAGTTCAGTTAATATTACCTCCTCAGACAGTAAGAAGTATGTGAAGTCATGTCCAGGCAAGCCCATGTTAGTGTGTCTGCGTTGCGATTCTCCATCCTTAGATGGAGTTCCTGCTGGTTGTTGTTCGATACTGAATTCGTTTGATGAGTTTGATTCTTCACGGGGACTTGGAGGCGCAACTGTTATTTCTGGTGACGGCGAACGAGATGCAGAGGCAGATGGTGGATCAGAGTTTGTTAGGATATTGTCAGTAGACATGATGGACAATTGTTCGATGGGCAGACGATGTTAATAAATTTATCACGTTTTCGAAAGGCAATTCTATACGACATGAGATTGGGAATTTCAGGTGGGTCGCTCCAAATCTCTCCTGAATTCGGTATGTATCAACGGAATGGACGAGGGAAGGACCATAGCTGGTAACACCGCGCGCGTCAAATGTACATAGTACCCTCGTTCCCCTCAATCATCCAGGTGTTATTATTCTACCATAGACAGATATTCAACTGCAACACCAACGAGCTAAGTGGTTCAGCTAATTACATATCATTCTCATTCAAGCAGTCGGTCACCTCTCCTGCCAATGCAGCATTGGTCGCGCATGAGCCAGTCTCAGCCGATACGCGCTCCAAGCGTGGTGCAATATAGGATTGTCCCACAGTAGCTCTGTTCCAGTGGAATAAATTCCCCGAAAAGTTTCTTCTCCTACCCTCTCCCTGTCCATCTCCCCGTAGTTTCGCGGACTTCCTTCTCCTCTTCTGTTTGTCGTTTTCCACGACTTGCGTCCTTTCACTATACTTTCAAAAGAATCTATTACCGTTTAGTATAATGTAACACGAATGTTATGAGCCTGTTCACCTTCAGGTGTTATAGAACTTGACGATTCTGGGGATACGGAACTTGAGCTTAGTGTTGGAGGAAGTGGCGAGGGATGAAATTCTTCTTCTGCAAACCAGCCTTGAAATATTTGAGTGTTATCAGTAATATTCTTCTCAACCAATGTACAAGGCTCACCGTAAAGCTGATCTTCCTCTTCAGTTGGAAACAACGAGCTTGAGCCATAATCCGCATCAAGTTGCTCAGTTTCAGTGAGAGTTGGAAGATATTCGGTAGGATCGAATGACTCTCCTATATGACCAGCATCAACCGGACCAGCCACCTCCCCCCATTCGTCTTCATTCAATGAAAAATAACCGGAAGCAGGACCAAGCACCACGGGAGTCAAGCCTTCCGCCCCATCATCGACATTATCCTCGACCAATGATCCAAGAGATTGAGGTTGATCCGGGCCAGCCACCTCGTCCCATTCTTCATCCGATGAAGAATGACCGGAAGTAGCACCAAGCACCACGGGAGTCAAACCTTCCGCCCCATCATTGACATTATCCTCGACCGATGATCCAAGAGATTGAGGTTGATCCGGGCCAGCCACCTCGTCCCATTCATCATCATCCGATGAAGAATGATCGGAAGTAGCACCAAGAACCACGGGGGTCAAGCCTTCCGCCCCATCATTGACATTATCCTCGAACGATGATACAAGAGATTGAAGGAAATCGGAAGCAGGACCATGATTATCACTATAAGAATCCACCTTGGTAGAAGATTTCAGGATATGAAACACAAGATGAAAGAAAGCATTTACGGAACGATGACGAGAATGCGAAAATATGCGAGAAAACTTTGCTGGTCGCGATCCCTCAATATCGGTGGATGTGGATGAGGAAGTAGCTTCACTTTTGCGCTAGTACAAGGTGCACAATCAGCGATATCAGGAATGCGGAGATATGGGTATGTACCTTGAGGTGGCCAATCGTATGAGGTTTTCTTGGTTGCGGCTTCTTGGCTGAATCCTCGAGCTGGAAGATTAAATGAGAAGATGAATATAAACGTTAGCCACATCCACTTACTGTCGAATCTGCAATTGGCGCACTTGCCAATTCCACAAAGTTTAGAAGTTCACTAACAGGATCTATCTTGCTTGGTAGACCTGGTGACACACACGACTGGAAAATGCTAGAGAATGGTCATCGCCGGATTCCGAAAAATATAGGAAAGGATAGACGAACTCGTGGGTAAGAGTAACATTATTTTCATGATGTATTGGAGGATGCCACTAAATGAGTATCCATCAGATCATATGGATGATAAACGTCGCCCAGGTAGTTGAAAAGGTACCACTAACATCAATTTTGGGAACTTGCAAGTGGTCTTGCATGCGATGCAGAGACTCTAGTAAGCCTTCTGCGTCCGGCCTCTCCATGATCTGTTCTGACCAACACGTATCCAGCATCCGGCATATTGCATTGTAAATGGTTTCATTTGGAACGACTTCCGTCGAGAGTACGGGTCGAACACCGTTCAGAACATCAATAGCAACCTTAATGTCCAGATTGTGATGATAAAACGGGGGTTGCCCTGTTAAGAGCTGAAGAGTGAACGGGGAGGTTAGAGAGGGGTTCCTATTCAGAAATTGAAAGGTCCACCTCGAACACGGTACATCCGAACGCGTATATATCTCTCGAAGTCAATTTCCCCTGATTATCCTGTGGAGTCGGTGTGGGATTTATGAATTCCGGGGCCAGCCAGCGAAGAGATCCCTGGACAGTAGCTGTGTGCGTTGCATTGATTGACTGGGTGTCCAAGACGGAAAGCCCAAAGTCCGCCAGGCAGCAACGACAGTCGTCAGATATCAAGATATTGGCCTATCGTTGTGGTAAGTAAGTACGTACGTAGGCAACAAAGCAGCTGATAGACCGACCCCTTTGATGTCGCCGTGCACGACAGGTGGATCAAGTCCATGCAGGTAGGCGATACCTTCGGCAATTTGTATAGTCTAAACGAGTAGGCATGAGGTTTTATGGTATGATAGAAGGAAACGAGAATGACATGTTCCAGTCTGGTACGGATATCCAGTGATAGACGACGGGAATAGGACATGACATCGCCGTTCGACATCCAAGGCGAGATGATACAGAAACTTGGTGAAAATAAGTCAGCGTTGACACCAAGGAAGGGGAGTATGTTCGGATGCTTGAGCTGTCTCCATAAGAGCACCTCCTTACTCAAATCCTAAACGAACAATCGATTGAATACTCTGATCTCATGCGAATGATATACCAGCGCACCTTCAGCAATTTATCTCGGTCTGATCCACGCTGGAAAAATCGCAAGACTTTAACGCAAACACATTGATTCTCCCAACGGCCAATCCAAATGTCCTGAATGACATAAACGACTCAACGGAGACCATAATCGAATCATATCCACCCTCGTACCGCGAATCCTCCTCCATTAACTGCTGTAGTGCTTTCGCATACTAAATCCTTAAGATACATTGAAGGAGGCAAGACGCCATACGAGCGATTCAAACAGCGCATTAAGTTTAAGCATCTCCACCGGTACTGTGTGCTCTTAGTTGAATAAGCTCGGTCTAGCTCCTGAGCGGCGAGGGTCAACGGTGCTTCCGCCTTTTTTTTGTAAAACACAAATATTCTGACTCACCGATTGTAAAATTTCCATTACCCAAGACGCTTCGTCCAAGTTCGAAATAGAGAGGTGCTTTTCATGGAAATCATCAGCAGCGACCATCGAGAAAATCTCAGTCTTCGTCAATAGATATGGTGATGTTGATTTTGGCAACAGCATTTCGATGAGGTTGCAATGTTGAAAGTTTATACATCATCAATCAGGAAGGCTAGAGGCTGGAACCATTCATAAAAAGCTGTTCACTGTCATTGTGGTTGGATATAATTATCTGGGCGGCTCCCAAAATCCTTAGCGCCGTGCAAATTGCCGCCTTGCGTCTACTTATACATGGGGAAAAATATTTGTTACATTTGTCTGTTTCTCCGACTTAAAGCACTCATAGGAATCATGGACAAATCCTATGTACATATGGAATGTCAGAAATATTCACTTCTTTCAAATTTCCCGTGGTCACATCAAGAACAAATTACTGAGAATCAATACCTTGCAATGCGGCCTTGAAGTCATCCTATAGATGTAAGTACTATCAGTACTGCGTATAAGGTGACAACGAATACTCACAATCATCTGCATGTACTTATGTCCCCGGGGCTTGTATTCTTCAGCATAGTTTACTTCATGAACATGAGCACCGCAGTAAGAAACCGACTCCATTGCACCAGGTTCAGGATCAGCATTGAGCATGTCGGTGTCAATAAAGACATTCTTTTTCTTTTGCAACCTAAGACTGGTTGTGGCGACGACTTCTTTACCAGCCAAGTCTTTGGTGAAAAGGACATGGTCATACTGCATGTCACTACGGAAGAAGAATGGTTCGAGAGCTGTTTCACGTTCAAAGTTAGTTGTGAAAGGGTGCATTGAACTCTCAACAAATGGAAGTTGTGCGTAGAGGACGGGATTGGCATTCCAATCGTTTTGAAGATGACGTCCAATGACAACTTGTTCAGCAGTCATTTGTATGTTGGGTGAAGCCGTATAGACATGGTCTATGTGCTTCTGAGCATCTGAGCCGTAAACATAAAAGGGCATTTTATCAGTCGGGTAAGGAGTAAGGAATTTGCTATTGAGCTTCTTCTGAACAATGACCTTGATGTTTGTAATTTTGCCTTTGACAATGGGTCTGTCGAATAAAACATGGGTAAGAAATGAGTATGGAAAAGACACTTTCTTATGACGGTACGCACGGTTGTTGGCCTCTTGGGTTAAAGGGCTCGATGCGCGCTTCAAATTCCTTCGCCGCTAGAATCTTTTCAAGAGTGGTGGGAGTATCGTTCACCAGGAGATAGACAGTGTCGGGGTTCTTTTCACGTGCCCCAATATAGGCAAACCTCATCTGGATGGGAATTTCACCCGTGATAATGAGCTGGAGGCGATGGTTTTCCATGTTAAACATGGGAAGATGTACAAAGAAGAGTTTGGAGTCAGTGCCCTGCATGATAAAAGCATGATAATCTTCCGTGAGAGTATTGCGGTACACAGAGACTTCGCACTCCTTCACAATGGTTCCCTGTAATGACTGAGCAACCTCTTCTGTGAGGCCGATTGCAGTAGGCCATGGAGACATAACAGCGTTGACAAGTGTGTATAGATCTTGGCTTCCCTTCAAGCCCAAACGATCTTTGAATTTGAACAGACACTCGCCATAATTTTTCTGGGAAAGGACAGTGGAAATGAGGAAAAGTGGAGGCTTCTTGCCACTGTCGTCGATTGTGGACAGTTTCTCGTATATGCGCTTGTTAAGGTAGTTAGCCTCAATAACGTCTTCGTTAACGACGTCCCCTAACTTGAAATTGACAGCAAAGGTGTTTATGGAAAGATCAGAGCCCATCTCGACGACAAGCTTCCAGATCTCTCTATCTGTGACAAGCTTGTGGTTAGGGACATGAAGGATCTTCTTCCGGATGAGTTCTTTCTGGGCTTCAACTTCTCCCCTCCGGTTCCCTTTGATTTCAGCAGGAAGCATATTCAGGGGACGAACAATGAAATTTGTTTTGTTTGTTGACATGGTCGCTAGATGGGCATACATCTGCCAAAGACTATTGAGTTCTTGCAGAATGCACAGAACACTCGACCTCTACCTTGACAGCACTGAATAATGCTTCACCCAGCAATTGGCCATAGCCGTCAGTGTCAAGACCAAGAATGGTATGCGAGAACCACGTTGCCACGGGCGCAGCACCAGGCTTGCTAAATGGGAGGAATATCTTTGATGATGAAAAAACAAGTTGAATCAAATGTCTGCTTACCTTCCTTCAACACCAAAGACCCCAATACTTTGTAGATCATTGCGGTAAACGATGGGGCTTGTCCAGGTCACAAGATAGCGCATACGCTCATCACGGTAAAGTAAACCTCCAGCAGGATATTGGATATATCCGCTCTTATGAGGATCAACAGTGATAGAGTCGCAATCTCGCATACGCACAATGCTCTCGAGAGTTTTTGTGTTGAGTGGGACAGTAGGTACGAAAATATCGAGCCTGGCCTTGTCATACTCTACAAGATCCATCCTGTTCTTGGCGAGTTCAGATGAGAGACGAAGAGAGTCCTGAACTATGATTTCGGGAATTGTAGTCGCAAAGTAGGCACCCCAAGCACCGTCTGCATGTAAAACAAAACTGAGACCCTTTCTTCGGAACTGTGTAGAAAGTGTCAGAGATCTTCTCTTGGATACAATAGAGAAGGTATTTACTTCGTCGCGGACATCAAGAATATCCTTCAACGGATCGCAGGCACCATGTTCTGTAGAGCCAACTATGGCTACGACAGCGTAAACAGCTCTGGGAGCAGGGTTCCCTTGAGCATCCTTGAGGTTCAAGCACTCGTGCAGCAACCTTCGCAGGTCGTTCGGGTCCATTCGAGCGGAATTGTCCACTGTGACGGAAATCACGTTTTCGCTGCCAATCCCAGTTATAGCTGGTATGATTCAGTCAGCACATTGATTATACTCATAGGGACATGACTGACCAGCTCCTTTAGGCCATGAGTAATGCATTGTAGCACTGGCAAAGTACGCCATTGGCTTAACATGAAACTCGCGCTCCAGACGCTCCTTTCCTACAGTCTGTATGAGGTATGGATTCAATGCATCCTGCAAAAATTGAGCTGTAATGCTGTATTCTTTGTTGAGGCGGGTCGGTATGTCCAGAACATCAGTCGGAAGAATGTTCAGAAGCTCCCACGTAGTGAAGTCTTTGAGAAACTTCGACTCATGGGTACAGGTGTCAACACGGAATGTGTCCGCAATAAATTTGAGTTGATTCATCATTGCCAATCTCAGGGAAAGAGGATAGAACTTGAGATTTCGAGCTGAATTTCAAGATGAGTGACAATATGGTCACAGGAGTTAATGGGAAAATGCATGCTCACCAGCCCACATCGACTCCAAATTAGCGATAGAACCATCTGCGGTGATATGGCCCCAGCCAATGGGGTCCGGGTTGTGCAACATTATATTATACCCAACCATTTTGGCAAGTTGTTTTCCAACTTCTATCTCGATGGCAGTGGTCAATGGGGATGCTTCAAGAGCAACATTATTTGCGTTGACTGGAGAGAGACTTCAGAAAATTTATTTAAAAGGTGAGCAAACAGAGATTACAGAGCATTGCCGTGAAATATCCTAGAATACCAGGCATTGATGTATCCATGAGCATGTGTGCATTGTATCGAGGGTTCCAGAAGGGAACAGAGCTTTTTGTAAGGTCTCCTGATAACAATTTCACAAGAGTAGTTTGTTTCTGAATTTGCTCTATACACAACACCCGAATGATCAAGTTGGTGCGCACATTCTATGAGTAGGACCATAGATCACATACTTTGAAATGCAGCAGTAGCTTTAACCTCTGGTGTGATCACTGAAGGATCCCCTGGAAAATAATCAATGCGCCCTTGGACATGATATTCAAGGGCTTCTGTCAGTAGCTGACGCAAAGACTCAGCATTTTCGCCCTTAGGACCAAGAAACCAAGCAGCAACAGCATTGCTTTTGTCTTTTTCAGACATGTTAAGAGGGTGACTGGAACAGTGAAGAAAGAGAGCGCAATCTCTTGGAGAAACAAAACTCACAAGGATTGCCTTTTTATTCCTTTCCACCCTCAGATAGAGAGATACGTGCCATTAGGGTGCAATAACATCATATGATTTACGCGGGTTCAAACTGAACAAAAATTCAAAAGCACCCTGCTAAAGAGTGACAGACACAATGGTCTGCAGTGTACCAAGTATATGTATTTGTTAGACTAAATTTAGAGCAACAGGTAGATTGTTCACCTTGAGAATGAAGCTGAACTGCAAGAAGCCCTTCTTGGGTTAGAGTTTGGTCTTTGTAGCCATTCGGGACTGGTCCTGTGGCAGCAACTATTGTGACAAAGACATGGTTCAATCCGAATATGCTAGAAAAGAAAAATCGCCAACCACAAGATCCCAAAAACCAGAATACAGTGATGGCCAAACACTTACACTAAGTTTCCGGACACAGCGGAACTCTTGCGCCACCCCAGCCAAATTCCCCACCTAACGACAACCCAGATTGGTTGATAACATACATGTAGCTAGGACACAGATGAATATGATCCCATAAACCTTATAGTCAAAAAAAAAGTGTAAGTGTAAACAGTTATTTTGTCTGCTTACAACGACATAACTGTTATGTTGTCATTCAGAAAGGAACCATCTCTGTCTATAGCCCATCATAAGGAATCGAATGAAAGTCCAAGTGACGGCGATGCAAGACCAGTTTATGTTGGTCTGTACAGATGACGGGAATTGTAGCTACCCATGGAATGTTATCCAGTAAGCATTAACCCAGAAAGGCCTGGACCATTTGAAACACATGAACCATGATACTAATTCCTGAACAGTTTGAATTGGGTCTTCAATTGGTGGGAGGTTGAAAAGGGTCAGAATACAGGCACCATTTGTTCCAGGGTGAAAATTCTTGACCCCTGCTCACACACCCACTGTGGAGTCAGCTTAATGCAGGCAAACTTTCTTCGAGAATAAGAAAATTTCAAAGCTATTTTACACACGTGCTTTCTTGCTTGATATTGTTTCGGTAATTTGGATAGTCTGATGAGTGATGATAAGGGGTTACAATGCAAATGATAACAGAAAAAGAGCGACGAATGGTTGACACCGCGGAATTGGAGATTGTTCAGAGGCATGAATGGTTCCGTAACCCCCACGGATCTTGAACGTACGATTCTCTTAGTGACGCATCGCATGAATGAGTTTATTGCGCACACCTGCAGGAATCACGGGGGAACGAAATAGTTTTTAGCTTGAGGAATGGTTCCAACAGTTTTCGCTATCCACGGTTATTTACCTCGGTCTGATCCACGCTGGAAACTGATCGAGAAAGAGGAATGAGAATCCTCATTATAGAATCACACCCAGCTCGAATCCTCCTGTGACTGCCGTTTCGCGATCGCTTTTGTAAGAGGCAATGCGCAAGCGTTTTCAGATAGCGCATTGATTGCACACGGCAAGCATTTCCTTCGAATCTGATGAATTGAATCAGCTAGGTCTTACTCCTGTGCAGGGACTAGTGCTTCGGCACTAGCCTTCTGTGTAAAGCAAGTCTTCACACTCAGTAAAATTTCCATCCCTACAGACGATCACAATTATGGGGAGAAACACCCAAGATGTTTCGTCCAGGTTCGAGACAGTGAGGTGCTTTGCATGGAGATCATCAGCGGCGACCAGCGAAAAGATTCGAGTCTTCGTCAATGAAGACAGTGGAGCTGATTTTGACAATGGCATTCTGATGAAGTGAAAATTTTGTCCATCAAGGTCCATCATCATTAATGTGGGAAGGGAGTAGGCTGTGTGGGCGTCTGTGGGCGTCTCCGTTTGAGCGACTCGGAGTCTCCCGGGACAGCATCGGACAGATCGAGTTTCGAAAGCAATATATTGTTCCACTAACTATATACACACCAGAGCAAGTTGGAAGCCTTAGTGCCCCGTCAACCATCCTAGACCTGTCCATCGTAGCGAGCCGGACGGACGAAACAATTTGCTAGGGGCGTCATTTTTATTGAAAGTGACAATTTGGTCAGAATGTACATCGAATTCAACGTTCGTTCCTTTCTTGTTGCTGGTATGTGTCGGTAAACCTTTCTGAAAACAGATGTGATTACCATCGCAGAGAAAAGACCCTAGAATATTTGTTACTACTTACTTGCACAATGCCATTCACAATATTGACAATGACCATACTAGACCTTGACAAGTGCCCATTCACGGCATTACTCGAAAGGTTGACCAACCCGTCATATATAGTCGCAGGTTCATCTTTCAGAGGAAGGAGAGTAATTCTGAAGTCGACATTTCCCTGCTTATTGACAACAGGAAACCCTTCGACCTGCGAGATTTTTATTGAAGAAAACCCCAAATCTAGTATGGCAAGGTTTAAAAGAGCTTGAACCGCCGTGGTAGCGACTTGCTTCTTCTTCTTCTTCTCGTCGCTGGATCTACCTCGGTCCCGGAATTGCAGCTGTACCGAGAAATGAGGATAGGTTCCCTTTTGACGAGGAAGGATGGAGGAACCTAATTGTTGCACAGAGTTAGCCACGCCGGCGGGATTCAGGTTTGGAAGTGACTACATTGGACTCAAAATTAGACCGTCAAAGTAACTCAGATGTTAGACTGACCGAATCCTGGTGGGGTACAGCGGTGGTAAAGATTGAAAGAAAGCCGAGAATTACGATGAGGTAGGCTTTGTAGCCCGAGGAATAATAATGTAAATACATGGTCGATCGGTGTAGAAGAAAGAGAGATTGGGTAGGTATCGATATCTGAACAGAGTTTTGAGGATCTGAACAAAAGAGGTTCAGGATGGTCATGGCCGAAACGAAGAGGGATCCTACCTTTTCGACCAGCGAAAATAAGTTATTATGAACGACTCGCGATGGGAGAGAAAATATTTCTATGTAGGAGATCCCCACTTGAATAACCAGTTTATATACACATGCGATTGTAGGCCACTGCACTACCGTGCATGGCAAAAACTCGGCTCCTTCCTTGTGGGTTATTAAATATCAATTAAATATTATGGAATCAAAAAAACGGGGGCGCCTTTCAGGCGCCGACATTGATTCTTTGAGAAAAGCAGAATAAAAGTAAATTTACTTATCTACATATGGAGTAACAGGGAATAACACTACGGCGGACCCTATAATATTCACACGAAAAAGATATCAATCCCAATGACTAAAATAGTTTATCTTTTCCTGTAAAATACTTGCCTAAATAACAAAAATGATTTCACACGAACCAGGCAAATGATAATATGATCTTTCTTGGCTGCAGATTTGCATTATATATGTAATGACAAAGACAATCTTTCCTACGCATTCAAAAAAATCTTTCTTGATCTTAAAATATTACTTGTTTCGGGCAAACAATGTGGCTTAAAAAATTATCAATATCGCTCAAAACTGATATGATTAATCATGTAATTAAGATAATCTTATCCTTCATCATTATCTCGCGATCAAGATTATCATTCGCGCTTGAGAAATAAAATGGACGCTCGACGGTCATGGATTGGGAGTGCGTCGGGAATCGGTCACACATCATTCGGGCACCCTAGCAGACCTTCATCATGCGATCGGCTCCCTCATGAGGGCATGGGTCGCCCATTCTTCACTGCAGCCGGCTCTACTCGGATGTTCTGCACTGTTCTGTGGTTAAAAAACTCGCAGCCTGGTGACCAAGCCCTCCTGTAGGTTGTCGGTGTTAATACGAAAAACCTCATCCTCGTGTTAACGCCGACAACCTCATGGAGGGGGGTGACTTTAGGCCTACCTCTCTCGTTCCGTTCTCAAAACCTTCAATGCGAGTTCAATCAGAAAAACATCATTCAACTTCAACGGGGTCACATATAAAAATAACACAATTTCAGAGCGAGTAACCAAAGGATGGACATGGAGAGCCCTAGGGAACGACCAGCTGTACTAAGAAGCACCGCAGTCCAATGCAAAATCACTCATCCTCTCTTCTCCAGTTGTAGCTCTTTCCTAATATTTCTTTTCATTCTCTTCATCGGAATCTTGTTCCTCCTCAGATTCGATGTGCATTCGAGATTGTTTCGACTAGATGATACCAACGTCAGCCATCAATGGTAGAAAACGGAGCGACAGGATGCACATATATAGAAGGCTTTCGATGTTGCCGCGACAATGAATTCCGGTGTCTCACTTTCGAGGTAGCCGGTTGACTGGAGGGTTTCATCTCCTGTGGGTGAATATGTACAATCAGTTTGTGCGACGATGACAGTCGCAGACATACAGAGGCACACACCTTTGACGGTCGCAGAACATACTCCCGTTTAGTAGTCATCCGAAGTTCTGCCGCAACAGCAGCTTTACGAAGAGACTTATTGAGACTTCCAAAGTGCATTCCTTGCATTGGTGGTATTGAAGCCTCGCCGGTGGATGGCTTTGAAGGTTGTATCAACGATCATAATTGGAGAAGATCTGTTCAAACAACGTACAACAGACCGCATGGGGGATCGCATCTCGGCTGACACTGAAGGAGACGAAATTGGGAACAGGTTTCGTGAAGACGATGAAGATGGCTGATAAGTGACTGATGCAGTAGAATGTGCGAATTGGCCAAGAGCGGAAGATGTAGCACCAATCGCTGTGTGAGGCACTGGATGTAGTCGTGTTGCTCTGGAGCTAGACTGTTCAAAAGGACGCGCGATCTTTATGGACGAGGACAGATAGGGACAGATAGATACAAACGTACAGATGACACTCGAAATTGATCAGCCTGCATAGTAGATGATGTACCTGTCGAAGTCGAGTGATGGTCGATCTACTGATAATCAACTCTTTGAACGCAGCACACATATGCGAGGAAAGACACACCTTGTGATATTCCAATAAATCTAGTAATTCTTTGATTCGCAAGGCCTTCGCTAAATTCTCGTCTTGCAGAATTGAAACTGTAGAGTGTATATCCTTGCTCTGAGTTCGTCGTTGCGCCAGTTCGTACTCAAGCTGCATTATTTGGCGTTGCATTTCCTCCCCTTGAGCCTGTGATTCAGCGACCTTTTGCTCGATTCCAGCGATATGATCCTGATATAACTATGAAAACATCTAGTGTTTTGTTCGACTGCATTGACTGATCGTACCTTTGATTTTACGTTCTTTTTATTTGCTCGAATGAGTTTTTGATGTGTGTCTTTGAGTTGCGTCTGTATAATGAATTCAGAACCGAGCGCTACATGGGCAGAAACTAGGCTGGCACCGATTCAAGTTCATACGCGTGTTGTAGATCAGTCAGCAGGGTCTGGATTGCCCGGATTCAGAAATCAGCAAGTATTGATTATTTTGCTGATAACGAGTCCACACCTTGGAAACTTTTGTTTGGTTATCACGACGGAAGGCAGATAAACGATCCTATTGTATATGAGCAATGAGAGCAAAACGGAGGAAAAAATCTAGAACGCACCTCCAGTGATTTGCAGATGATAGCATGATCTGCTTCTTTCTGGAGTAAAGACGTTTCTCGGTCTCGTACTTTGACTTCTTCAGATTGTAGGTCTGCTTCCAAAGAATCGCGAGATGCTTCCAATTGCTCAACAGCGTCCTTCAGAAAAATAAACGAGCACAACGCAGATAGACAGGATATTTAGCAGACCTCGAGGTATTTGATATCTTCTCGCAGTCGCTCCACCTGCATTTGATGATCAGTCTGTGTGAGTGGAATGAGACAACGAAGAGAGTAGATCAATACAAATTACCTCTATAGAATCTTCATAATCATTTTCCTCCTCCTTTCGCTGCAGACTGGCGTTTAATCTAGATATCTCTAACTCGTTTCCTTGGATCTGTATCTCTTTCTGATTCAATATTGTCTGCTCAGTTTCTATCTTTTCTTGAAGAATACTGCATCCTCGTTGCGAATCCTATTCAGTAGCATCGTGAAATTGTTGGCAACAAACAACAGGCCAAGTTACCTCAAGTTCCTGATTCTTGCATTCCCAGGCCTCTTTGAGAGAAATTTCGAGGAGGTCTTTGCGACGACTCATATCATTAAGCCGTTCATCAAAGGATTGGTACGCCTTCTGCTGTTCTTGCAATCTTGCCTGAGGAGAGTGTAGTGACATATTAAATAGCGCTGTTGAGAGTACTGACCTGAAGCGAATATTCCATGGCCTCAAACGACAATTGCAACTTCTCATTCTGTGCCTCACATAGATGAACTTCCTGTTTGGTGGCAGTAAGTTCCTTGACAAGCTCTCTATATCTCGTAGCACGGACCTGTTCCAGACTTTGATAACTCTGCAGCGCGCTGTCAATTTCCAAACGATGCTGCTCGTTACTCTGAAGCTGTTGGTCCTTTTCGCCGAGGATGGTCTCGAGAGCTTCTAACTCCTTCTTGAGACTATCAAATTCTTCACAATTCCGCTGGAATGAAAGCATCAATTTGAGTTGCAGATCACGGTAAAATTAGACCAGACCTTGAGTTCCGAGTTCTTACACTCCCAAGCTTGCTTGAGAGACACCTCAAGAAGGTCTCTCTGTCGATTGAGAGCAAAAATTTGAGCTTCGAAAAAACACGCTTGCTGTTCTTGTTGTGTTTTCATTTCTTGCATCGCATTCTACAAGTGGTCTGAACGCGGAGCAACTTACCTCGGAGTAGAAAGCACATACCTGCAATTTATTGGAGCTCGAAGCTTCGCCGACCTGAAGCATAGACTGAAGTTCCTCCTTCTCCAACTGTAGTTTGTGTACTTTTTGTCGAATGGCCACTATTTCCTTTTCTATCTTGTTGTTCTTTGCCTGATATGCTTCATCTTCATCCTGTCTCCTGATTTCCGAAGAACGTTCCTGAACAAGTTCCAGCTGCTTGTTCTTTTCGTTAAGCAGCAGCTTCTGAGGTTTCAGAGCATGAACCTCTTCATATTCGTATACCCTCTTATGGCAGGTCCAGGGTCGCTTTAACCTCCAGAATTTCTTCGGTCACGAATAGACTCACCTGAAGTTTCTCGGATTTCTGTTCTTGACTGTCCTCCAGTAGCAACAGGAGAATGCTGTTTATTGCCTTAACGTCTCCAGGTTTCAAGACAATCACATTTGATGACCTCTCTGTTCTACTGTTTATTTCCGTCAGAGCCTTTATTTTCACGTCCTTCAAATATTCCAGCCACTACCATGACTATTCAGAGACCACGGATCATTATTACTCCGATGAATGGTCTACTCACCGCAAGCCAACTTGATACATCTGCTGAGGACTCTGGACGTTCTCTAAGGAGCTCTGGAAGCTTCACGATGTACATCTGATAGAATTGAAGATTCGCATCCCCAACGTCCTAGACAAAACATAATGAGTATGATTGTGGTACCCAGGAGGGAATAGTATGCACCTGGTGCAACGTATGATGATGACGATCTGGTTCTGTTGTCTGAATGCAAGCTAAAACTGACTCTTGAGCACGAATAAATTCGATTCGAACTTGTTCATAGTCCTAAAACAAGTTAGTCTCGGCAAAATACCGAAGGGATCAACGTTCATAACGGGCTACCTTCCAAAGTTCAGAGTACATGTGGTCTAAGTCTTGTATCTCATTCAGCAATCTGATCGACCAAGAAGTCAAGAACTGCCAAGTAACCCATAAGAAATTCTCAGTAATATTGATATCTGGTCAAACATACCGAGTTATCCTCTTCTTTCTTGAGGGACTTTTGACTTTTAATCGTCCTTTCTGTGTTAAGACATACAAGTACTTGCTTGAGGTTCTGAAAGAGTGCAGTAATCAGAGGCGCAAGTAACATCTAGTAAAAGCTATGGTGAATACGTGAATGACTCCAGCCACTGCACTGGATACTTCTGAGTCAAATTGTCCAAGCTGGTTTCGTATCACCGTCATTGAATCAAAAAAATCTATGGCGAAGGTTGCGATATCGAACTGACTGTTAAGTTAAGTCTCTTCTTGTATTCATGTATTAACACATTTTTGGTTTCAAGCTGAGATTTTGCAATGGTGAGCTTCAAGGATAATTTCTCGGCGTTGGATTTCGCCTGTGCAACAGAATCCTGGTGACTGGTTACATGAAGCAACTGAGCACGAAGTGATGTAACTTCGTTCCGGAGTTCATCAGTGGGGTCTGTGTAAACTAATCTGATTTTCTGTTTGAAGCATCAGTATAGAGAATGTCTACTAGAGGGAATGGGCGCGCACTGAATATTCTGGTTCTTCCGAATCACTATCGTCTTCAAAGTTCGCCGAGAATACTCCCCTCTTCTGCTGAGCCATTTCACTGTAGCGTATAAGTAATGAAGGGGAGGAATTGACATCCAAAAAGCCTGATCAAGAGAACAAAGGAAGCGGATCCAGAGCGGATCAAGCCGACACTCATTTCCATGTTGCTCTGCGCGCGCTCCAAGTCTAGCTGCTGATACCGTTATCACGTCTTAGTTTTTCTCTTCCCCATGGCCGGTTGCAAGAAAGTCATGATCAAGGGTCATATAGTACGAATTCATAGTGTGTCGCTTATAAAGACTAAGTTTGTTAATCCAAGGCTGAATCCCGGAAACTCTCAGTTGTTAGTAGAGTGATAATATTTTGATTGAACACAACTCTAGCCTCGTCGTGACCTATCAGTCAACTTCTTCCTAATACTTCAAGGCGCTGCTCACAGGAATACTGAAAATGTCGCTGCAACTCGTCCGAAAACCGAAGCTTTTCACTTGTCACGCCACCGCATCATTCTGCGATTTATGCCTTGGAAGTTTTCTTCCGTCGACAAAGCCTCGATGTAATGTCTATTCACCGAAGCGATTCTATTCCTCATATGAACAGCATATATCAGAGTTGTGAGCAAGCATCCTCAAAGACAGTCCTGACCAAAAATAATAATTAGCCACGGTTTGCATTAGGATAAGGTTTTGTACGAATTTCATCTTCCCTCTCATGTATTCTGATCCACGAGACTAGATATTCTTGAAGTTTCCAATACCTTAGAGTTTGTTTAACCCTAGGTGACACTGAATGCCCGCCAAAGTTCGCGCATCCGGGCGCCCGGTCCATGCCAATGTATACACATCACAACTGTCCGATAATTAACAAGCTTCGAGGGTCACCCTGAAAACCTCAGTGACGAAGGCTGAGCAAGGGGTTGCGGTTGATCCGAGGTGAGATATGTGAATGACTACCTGGAGAGTTAGAGGAAGATTAGTTGCGCTACTCATGTATATTATACCAGAGCTTCTCGGTCTACATACAAATTGCTTGAATTTCTGCCGCAAAACCGTAATCTCCTAATGATGAGCCCCATGTTATAATCAATTGTAGATGCAGGTGTTCTGTGAAAGCAGAAGCAGGTTAGCATCGAGATCGGGTGACCGTACACTGAGAGCTCGAAAGGAAGACATGTCAGGTCTGTGAAAGCAGAAGCAGATTAACATCGAATTAGATGGGAAGAAATATTAGGTAGACGTCGAGAGCATCAATAACTTCAGGAGCTAAGGGACTTGTATGAGGCAAATAGAGAAGAATATTTGGGTATTAAATCAACATGTACAAGTGAGAATCGTGAATCATGAGACTAAAGGGAACATGAGATGTAGATGCTAAAGTCGATGGGTCATCGTCGTAGGAACGATGGTAATGAGAAGTGGCCGTGTGGGTCAATGAAAACAAGTACGGTATCGGCGTTGCAAGGCAGAAGCTCCCGTTCGTACAACATTGAACGCAAAACACAGAAGCAACAAGACGAGAATCTATATGGTTCTAATGTGAGATGGTATATATTTGAGTGAACATAACGCACGATATCCCGAGTTTGGCGATCGATATTCAAAAAATCGAAAGTATCCGCAATATAAGTGGTTTTCAAGACGCTGCGATAAACAAAGGACCCGAAGTCTAATGCCTTTCGGTGGATGACTAGCAGGTAAAACGTGAGCTTTAGAATATTTACGAGTATGGGTGAACTTACGGGATCCATGGGAGGTTAAACTGGCCCCTGACAGCATGCCAACTACGAAACACAACGACGGCGGGATTTCAGGCCGAGCAACCAAAAAGAGAAACAAGCAAAAAACCTACACAATGTCAGAAATAGTTTGGGATAAGTAATCGAAAGACGTACAAGGCTTTGGACCTGATATATGTTATTCAAGGCATCGATGGCAGTGTCCTTGATGGCTGTAGCAATTTGTGATAAGCAAACGTGAACGAATGGCGGCAAATCCAAGTGGTTCGTAAGACTCTGAAGATTGAATGATCCTAGACCGGTTTGGGAATCGATTCAGAGTGTCGCAAACCTTTCGAAACAGTCTTACCAAGGCTCTCAAAACGTAGAGACGCGTAACCGACCCCTAGCAAAACGCCAGCCGTAAATCGGAACGACGAATATTGGTTGGTCTTGGTGATTTTCGGGTGGACAAATAATACGGTGAAATCTTCTCCTGGCCAAGATATCGTGGTGCAGCATTCGTGAGGATTATCGTCTGTAGGAATGTCGTTGGCAGCAGCAGCAGGGGAAAGAGTCGGTATCATCATTCGAGATTCTGTACCACCAAACCGTTTCGAGTCTTTGGTGATTTTAAACAGAAGAGCGGGGATTGAAAGATTGCTTTGTAGAAAGGTTTGCGACACTGCGGCAGTATCAAGATTAACGGATTGAAAGAAACCATTGTGGTGGCGAGCAGAAAGCAACGGCTCGTTTTCGGGGCAGGCCTCCCATTGAAGAAAACCGGCATTCCCGGCAACGGCAGAAAGTCCCCGTTGACCCATTGATCAATATTAATGAAAGTCGTTTATATCCTCCTCCATCCTAAGAACTTGTTTGAACTTCGACCTTTGTATCATGAACCGTTTGTTCTTGCGCGAATGAGCGACAGACTTGTATATAAGCTCTCTCCGCGATCCCTTAATATCCTGTCAGTGTCCTCACTTCCTACTATTTCCCGCGTATCGTCCATCGGCAACAAAATGGTTGCAAAGAGCGCAGCGAAATCTCGTGCCACCACTCCTGAATACTCTCTTAGATCTCGATCCCGAACCTCCGACCGCTCTGCCAAGTCTCAGGTCTTCGGATCGCCTCCTCCTACTCCCAGCAGAATTTACGGGAGGAAATCCAAAGCTCGTTCTTATATGAATACACCTTCGCGTCTTCGCGGGCCTTCAGCAGCATCTACTTCGAGCACGCCTTTACACTATCGTAGATCCCTAGCAGACCCGATGCCTTCCTATACGATGCAAAGCCTGGCGCTTGACTATGAACTTCCTGTTCTTCCTGAAACACCTTCAGACTCATCTGCTTCGTCGTCGTTTGACTTGACCTCTATCGCAAGCTCATCTCCATCCACGAACTCGTCGGACTCAAACAGAGTATCTCGGCTTCACTCTTCGTAATGTCTCTTACTGACTTCTCACAGGTTGAAGAATCCGGGCTGGACGTGGATTCTGATTCTGATGACGAACCGGTGTTCATTTCGAGAGTGGGCAACTGCTTCTTCTGTCAATATACTGATGCTTACTTAGCTTATCGCTATAGATTATGCCAATCCAATCGTCGGCTTTCCGCGACAGTGACATTATGGACGAGCTTCGCCAAGTTCGTTTGGATCTTGAGAATGCCCGTGAGGTACGCAGTCCCTAGATTGCTCATTCCAAATCCTCCCTCAGACAATCGTGATCACAGGTATTTCGATCAGCTGAAGAGAACTGACACAAATGTCCCTGTTGCCTTGAAGTTATGTTGCAGCCTTTCATGTATGTATCTTCTACCTAATCTCCTGCTCAACGACCTGAAATTTTTTGTACCAGTCTCTGCTGTGGCCATACCTACTGTAAAGATTGTCTCATCAGATTGGCCAATATCTATCTGAACGCGAAGATGAATCTCGTTTGTCCTGATTGTCGCACCGTTCAGGGATGTTTCACTCCCATTCCTAACTATTTTATTCAATCTCATCTCGATAATATGTTGCGGCTGGAAGGCATCCCAACTCCCTCTCGTCAGCCATTGCAGTGGCCGCTCAAATTTCAATCTGGGCCCACTCCATTACCCTTCCCACCCAGCGCTGCGACGTTCCCAGTCTAACGCCTTCCCGTAATCATCTCAGTGGGGCGATATCGATGTTCCTATGTGTATCTGTCTGTAGTGTTCAACAAACTGCGACTGTCTCTGAATAATTATCGGGGCTGATTCTTAAAACTCAAAATTACGATTATATACGTTCTTGCTTATATCGTTCCCTCTGTAATCATATAACATATTTCGCTTCAACATGTTGTTTCGTTCGTACACAGTACAGTTAGAGTTTGATGGCTATCTAGTTCGCACAATGCTATTTGATATTCCGAAATTCAAACCATTCAAGTGTCTTCCTGAGCGCGCGCAAGCTTTCAGTGAGATATATGGAACGGTGGAGCGCTGAGGGAAGGTAGCGTGATCTATCTGGATCTTGTTGAGCTTGACATATTTTGGAATCGTGAAAGGTGCGTAAATCATCACCTTTGTTGGAGTTGAATGCTAACATTTCGTTCCATCTACGTTCCACAAAAAAGATCGAATTAAGGTCATCGCGTAGCCAAACATGTGGTCGGAATGCACGCGTCGTTGCCCCCTATGAATTTTTCCTCCAGAATGAACGTGTTATCTCTGACTTTCTGCTGCATGACAAGTGCCGTTATTACGCTAGACGAACTATGTGAGCCCTCTGTTATACACGTCGGCTCTAACGCGATTCCATCCCGAGAGGAAGGAGGTTTTTTCGAATATCTGCAGAATGATCTTTGCACGAGCGCGTAATGCTTCTTCGTGAATTCGCTGACAATTCAAAGGCAGCTTCACACATAGGGAGACCATGAAGAGAAGAAGCGGAAGAAAGTCAGCATTGGTGACGCACCGGCGTCCCTCCCGTTGTCGCGAAGATGCTCAGAGCCAGTCACCCCCGCGAACTCAGATTTCTCTCGTGCGACTGGCTTTGTGGTGCGACTGGCTTTGTGGTGTATTTTGTTTTCTTATCAATTGATTACTGGTCCGCAGGATAAACCAAATATCGACCAACGAACTTGAGCTAATCAACTGCCCAAAGCTCGAGAGGATAGGTAAAACATCAGGAGCTCGCCTAGGCCTTAATTCTATGACGCCCGCTACCAACAGGCATCCTCGGGACAGGAGTACGTTGATTCTAGGTCGTCAACCCACGCTGCATAAGCTTACTACAGGGAGAAAAGACTATTAGGATGCACTACAAACTGGTCTGAAGTTGACATGATAGTCAAAGACGGTCAGGACTGACAATCAATTCGAGATTATTCGCCAGAAACTGAAAGTCATTTGTCTAAAGGGTATTTTTCCTTGACGACCCCACTGTCCAATCATTGAATGCACGCTCGTCAAGAACCCCTGATTAGTTTTGGCTGTCGGTGTACGACCATTTGGGATATCTTTGGAGACCTTCGCGGATGCTTCGAGACACTCATACGAAGAATAATCTTGATGAGTTGATCAAATGGAATGGAACTTCGAGAAAACGTGGAGCAGTAGGGAGACACCGTTGAGCGCGGACACTTTCGTATGCTTATGCTGGTGAAGATGTGGAGCTCAGTCGAGCAGGGGGAAGTGGTCGGTCTGCGAGATGCTGATATAGTATCGGAGAGCCCATGGATATAGGCATCTCCTATAAATGGGACAGCATGCACCAACGCCCATATTCGACATTTGTCCCCGGATGTAAGATACATCATTTCCTATCGATTGTAAGCTTGAAGCTGAGGCCTGAGTATTGCAATATACACTATTAACTCAGCACAGAATTCTAATAGACTTCAGTCAGTGTGATTTATTCGCTGGAAGACGTATCGTTTACGCGAGGTCTGCGTTTTACTCATCCTCTCGATAAATCTTTAGCGACGAAGTAACAGTTCACATGATGTTCAATATTGAACGAAGTCTACAATTGCACAGTCACATCCCTCAACATTAATATTAACTACTGATCAAAGAACCAGGTCAACAAGTGTTTGATCAAGACGAATCTAATCTTCCACTTTGATCCATCTGTTATATAAGCAACTCTTTCAATGGAAGCGTCGAGTTTGTTGGAAACTGTATAAGAGGGTGCGGGGGTAGTCATGACACAAGGTGTAGAATCGGTCGCGGCGGCTGAACATTTACCTTAGGTTTTTGTCGGTTTCGGTTTAACGCGAGACTCCTGTGTCCTCGCTGCCATTGAGACTTCTCTTGCTTCGGCCTCTGGTCTGAATGACGCGATAATCTCTGGGAGCTCGTGTCATCGGGGCCGTTGTGGCTTTCTTCTTCAAGCTGTTTAGATGGCTTTTGATGAAGTCGTTCACCACCCATTGATTACAATAATCTCTGAGGAACGGATATTTCTCCAGTGCCTGAGGTACAAGGTCAAGAAAGAATGCTCAGTAAGAAAATGATGTACTCGCCTTGTGCTGAACTTGTTTGATGTTTATCGAGTTTTGTTCACTGAAAGATTGGGTAATATCGAGTATTTTCTCGACGGCACCACCGATATATTTCTACAATGGACGGCTTTTGAGTTAAGGGCTGGTCAATTTGATGAATATTCAAACCTCGACGGCCTCGAATTGATCCTCCGCCCATTCAAGCTCGATGCGGAGGTTGTAACCGCCCTGACCAGGTTTGCCCACATCCCCCGGTGGTTTTGGGATTTGATTGTCGGTGGGACCCAATCCATAAACATCGTCTCGTGGATCCAAAGTACCATTCTGTGCCAACGAATTCACAAAATGGGCTGCCCTCGGGGTATTAGTTATGCGAGCCTTGCCATGACCTACGGACATTGATCGAGCTTCCTCGCTATCGCTGGTATGAACAGAAGGTCCACGGCAATGATGGCAGTCGGGATCTGGAGACAACGAACGGCTATGATGAGAAGAAGCTCGCATTTTATAAGGACTGTATCATTGAGCAACTCTAGAATTTCTCGTGGGGGATCTAAGGACGCGACGATCCACGGAAGGCAGACGGTTTGGGATAAGTAGCTCAGTGTGAGCGTTGGCATGTTGGTGACTATGATGTGTGGCACTGCGAATGGGGTCCATGATGGAAGTGCAAATGAAGAACATTCCGTGTGGATCGAAGATTTAAGTAACTGGAAAGGTGAACAAAGAGCCTTTGTGCCATATTAATTCTGTGAAGATGGTATTGGAGTATTCTAGAAGCGTACAGGATAATCGAGTTTAGCGTATGCATGATGGCGTGCTTAAGACAAAAGTTCGAACGAACAATGGGTGTGAAGCTACTAAATTAAACGGCCTTCGGAACAACCGATGATGACCGGCATACATACAAACGAGTCTAGATTCTACCGATCGCCAGGCGACCGGTATCCGATCAATAGGAGAGATAAACATGTTCCACTCATCGTGTACTTTACTGACGAGGCTCTTCCGATTAGCTAGTCAACAAGCGCAAAGCCGGGGATGATGTTTCACATAGTTCAAGTATATGAAGTAAGGAATGAAATTGTTTCTAGAGACTCGTCAGCTCTGGTTTTGAGTGAATTACAACCCTCGAATAGGATATACCTGAACTATGCTCCACTGTCATGAACTACACCTTGCTTGCAGTGGTGGCTAGTGTACTTGGAGATCAAAATGCGGCGCGCGCTATCACGCCATGAGTGGGTACAGGGCCTCCGTATGTTAGTCAGCAAGGCGGAATTTTGTGATGCCTACTTATTGACGATGGCGTCGCTGAGGCCTATCAGATGCTTCAAAAACAATTTAGGAGATTGTTGCTTCTTCATCTAGCATGGAACAACGACGTAAAGCCATGTACGCCGTATTCCTCAATCACCACTTACATGGAATTTTCCTTTATTTTACTTTGCCTCCCCTTATCCGGTATCCAGCTCATCATCAAAATTGATGTCAGCTCGGGAACGTTTCGAGTAAGACCAATATGTCAGACCGTTACCCATGGGAAACGATGGAGGGTACATAGATAGCAGACTTTCTGTGTTGGGATGGAAGTTGCGGTGTTTGGAATTCGATATCAACCGATGATTGGAGGACCTTAACTTTTCCATGGAAAACACATTCAGCGCGTGCCAGTAATGAAAACGGCAGACGGAGGCACATACCTTTGACAATCGCAGAACATGCTCTCGTTTTATAGTCACCCGAAGTTTCGCGGCAACAGGAGCGTTACAAAGGCTCTTATTAAGACCTCCAGGCTCCAGATCGTATTCATATGAAAGCTTGAGCGAAGTCGCGCATGGATGGAAGATGTCCGTATCCTTTTGAGGTACTCCAGTACGGGTTCGCTTGTTCATATTCCGCTTTTGAGAGCGAGGCATTGCGATTTCTCAAAGACGATGAATACCAAGAATAAAGTCGGCAGCCTGTTTCAGATTTCATTTAGGATCAAGAGAGGATGATAGAGAAAAAAGAGTTCACCAAGGTAGTGTTGAGGATATTGCCATAGCGAACGCGAATTCAATCCAAATGCTCGATAAGACTTCTGCGATTCGACGCCTACCAGGGATGGACTGGCAGTGTACCCTTTTCATTCCGAAGGCATCATTATCCATACGAGAGGCAGCCCTGTTTTGAGGTTGAATAGTATTGCTGTACCTTTTGAGATGACGTGGAAGTTGGAGGATGTAACATCATCCAGAGTCACCAAGAAATGAAAGTTCCGCTGAACGCCAAAATTAAACACAGGCGACTTCACACATTGATTGAGAAGTTTATATGAACTCCAAATTAATTCTGGACGAAAACTTTTGCGACACACCGAAACTCTGTCGTCCAGATGCACCATACCATATATCGTATAAGTAGTAGTGAAGAGCGAGTGCAATGATCACATGCAAAGAGCAATTGTACATATGAACATTATATTATGGCAGAGTCTAAAGATACAGGATAACTACATGATCAATATTCATAGAATGAGGTATAGTTCCGCGACTAGTCGAAGGATATATATGCTGGGAAAGTGCGTCTGGTCCTGAGGATTGGGGCAATGACTTGTGAAAATCTACACGCAACGAAAATGAAATGTCAGCCTCACTTATAAACACAATCTTAATGCGAATAAACTCACTGTCGAACAGCCTTATCTGCCGCACGCAGTTCATCGCTACGAAGGTTTCGTATCTCGACCTTTGAACCACATACAAGGACTAATACGTCCCCTTCCATCGAGACATTAGCTAACCGCATGATCGCCTGATTGACCGGGAGTAGCTTATGGCGTTTGAAAAACAGCCGAAATTTGTAGCGTTTTCCGAGATGAGAGATGCTGACAGTTGTATCGTGAACATAGGACTGCGTTTTGGGATGGGATAATTCTTCCGAAGCAAGCACAAATCTATGGCTTTGAGCATCTTCGCGATAGACCACGTCGATGGGTTGCGATGACAGGTTATTCGCCCGGTAAATACGAGCACGTAAGCTGCGGGTAGTCGTCTAGTGGACATGAATGAACTTTAAACATGAGCAGTTTCTTGTTACTCACTCTACGTCCAGTTACACATCGCAATTGATTCATGCCCATGATGACAGCGAAAACGCGCAGAAACCTATTGTCAAAACTGGGCGACGAGGGAGAGGCGAGATATGAAGGAGGTACCATGGTGTCCCGTTTTGACTGTTTTGCACAATGGGAACTGATCAAAGAAACCTAAGTAATGAGAGGTATCAAAGGACCTTTGAACTTCAATTACGTCATCACCATCACATCTTCAGGTCGACATTCATGATACAAAGGCAGCACTCCGGTCGTGCCCTGATGGGACGGTGTTAATTTTCTCTCTTATCCTCCACAGTCCAACGAGATGGATATGAAGGCATTCTTCAAGCGACGTAGCTCTATTGACGACCTGGATGATGGTCCCAGTGTAAGTGTCACATGCGAGAGCTTTTACAGATCTCATGCTCATACAGCGAACGATTTCCTGTCATTGTGGGTACATAGATTGATTGTAATTCGAGCAAGACATTCCTGGTGTTACATAGCTTTTTATATATAGATTTATTGAATACTTGCTGGAATGGACGTTTCAATCCTAATTGAAATAGTCCTCACTATGATCAACAAAACTATGCACCAGCAACAAAGTACTCACCCGCGCCAAGGAAAGCATTACAGCATACTCCGGAGTAAGTTCCCATCTTGCTGCATGTCCCAGAATTGAATCAACCGTTACGATATCATGAACATTTGAAAAGGATGGTGAAACAGTCCTTGCATCGAATCCTTGAGTGGAAAATCGTGCAAAAATATCTGGGATGGGTCCAACGTAAGGCTGGCTGCGTACAATAGCCATATTCGTGGTGCCTTCATGTTCAAAGATATATCTGATTTGTCCCATGAGGGACGCTTCTCGTGAACTATTTTTTGGTGGACGATAACAGACGTAGCTATTACCGACAGGCCGTAGTGCGGGAGTACCGTAGAAGCCCTTGGGTGCCGGGACTTGTGAGAAACAAATTGCATTAAGGTTCCCTATCTTATTTGCGACGTCCATAGGAAACTTGATTGATACCTGTCTGCGAGCAGTTGAATCGGCAGAGTACTCTAAAACCTCCTTTGGGTTTGCACCTTGCAAATCATCCGCATCGTTCTGAGCAAGCTCGTTCCGCTTGTCATATCCGTAAGCTTTATCCAAAAGAATGCGACAGAACTTGACAAGTTCAGGACAACCGGGAAGCATCATCCACCGGCGAAAGGTTGCATTCTTGCAGATGGATTCAAGGATGGTTAACTCGAGTTCACCTGTGTGTGCAATGAGAATAGGTAAAACATGTTTCTATTTACTTACCAATTTTGTGATTGGTTGAAATCCTTTGCATTTTACCGATCAGAGTTTCAAATGGAAAAGCCCACCAATTGCGGACATTAGAGAAAGAATCCATGAAATCGAATATGTGGAACGAAAGATGATGCGAAGGTAGCATGAATCCAGGGAAGTTCAACTTCAGGCCTTCGATGTGTGATCTGATCGATTCTCTGAACAAATTGCGACGCTCTAGAGACAAGTTGTTGCGAGTCATCGCAATGGATGCACAGGTAAGATGCATTGAGGTTTGTAGCACAGGCGCCATTTCGTTTGCGTTGTCTGCTGCAGAAGGAGAATCTTTATCCCAAATACTAATTAAGGCCAAAGGAAGATGGATCGAAAATAAAGTTCGCCAATGATCAGCTTTCAGAGTACCCGCTCGCTTCAGCCCGACTTCCTCTGGCGGCCGGGTTACCCATGAAGGAGTTATAATTTCTCGTACAGCTTGTTGAAGCCTTTGCAAAACAAATGTCGAGTCGATTTTGACTGGAACCAAGCGCTTTAAGGGCTTGTTCATCCGCTAAGCATGGATGAGCCTATTAACGGGTAATTCTGGTCATGGACGCACCCATTCAACCAAATGCTGAACGAGATCTGATTTCCCAAATTTTCCTACCGGGAGACAATCAAGGTCTATGCAGACAAAGGCTAGAGCCGTAAAAGGCAGTTTGCCGATATTACTCTCAAGTTGCGCCGTGTCTTTTTCTATCGGTTGCGTTAGAAACCGGTGTATAGCCCCGATTGCATGTGCACTATGCAAATTCAGCTGTTTGGTCAGTTCAGCTAAAAGCTCAAAACGGTCTTGCAGCGTGAACTGATGTACTTTATTGAACCGTTGCTGGTCCTCGTACATACCGTGTAGGTGGAGCCATGGGATTGAAGGTAACTGCTTATCCTTGGGTATGAAGTGAGGCCACTTGAATCGATCCGGCTCAACCTTGTGCAACCGCTGTGTATTAATCGTTGAATCTAAATCTGCACCGAAATTCATGAATTGGCATACCCAGTGAGATAAAGCTTGGGCAAACATCTTCACAGTTACATCCCCTTTATGAAGCGAGGACCGAGAAAGCAAACCACTTGCTTTTTTCTCATTCTTGCCTTCACTGTCTTGCTTTGGAGTTGGAAATTCAACCAAGTTGTTGCAAACAAAAGCTAGAACGATCCACCTGTAAGAAGAAAGCTTTTTCAGAAACTTCTGTTTTTCCGCTTCTTTGACAGGCGCAGGAGAGGAGAGTGATTGGTATAGATCATACACTGCCTGAAATGCTCGAGGATCACCCTGAATAGTTGAGACAAACTGCTCATTCCTTGACAAGCGAGCTGAATTCTGTTCAGGGGTAAGGTTATTCCATTCCAACAGTGAAAGACGCTGATCTTGAACCTCAGGCTCATCGAATAATTCCCGAAGGGCATCGCTCAGTCGACCAGTCTCGGTCCCCATGCCCAGCGGGGTGAGATCGGAAGGATGCGGAGGGGGAGTGAACTCGTGATAGAAAGAAATGTAGGCCATTTTCTTCTTTTGTAACTTCGCTTTTTTACGCTTCGGATTGCCCTGTTCAGGCTCATCAAGAGCGACGCCATCAGGTTCTGGATTATCAAGGCCAAGCGCATGACGAGCATATCGTTGCTCCAAAATGAGGAAGAGGGTATGCATCGGCTCGATAAGCAGCTGCAGCGTGGGTTTCCAATATGGTAATCGCCACAATTCAGAAGATCGTGTACCGAAGAAATTTTCGACCTGTTTGCGCTGAGCGATAGTCGGAGCAGTGAGCCATGCCTGAGTTCCTTTCTGCAAAAACGTGATATCTGCAGGTCTCCAGTTTTCGAAATCTGTCCTTCCAATGTGACTGAGATGCCAGCATTTACACAAGAAGCAAGTGTGATGTGAGGTTACATCGAGAAAACCCCCGAACGGACGAGCTGCTTTGAAGTCCATTGATGCTCCTGCGATTGCGACACGAAAGATGCGTTTGTTCGAATCCAGACCCATCTGATGGGTTGTGTGTGTGTGAAAAGGCCGTAGTCCTCGAGAATACCCTGCTTCAAACTCAGTGACAAGGAGACGCCAGTAATGGCGGTGCTCGCTCTGCTTGGCATCTGGTTCCTGTCTTCCTTGGATAATACCAGGAATGTACACCCAAGCTTGGTTATTTCTCATAGCAGGCGGGAGATTGAGACAAACAAGACCAGTAACACCGGTTGAACTAGTTTTTCCATGCAAACTATTTCCCTCCACGTTGAAAAAGTCAGCAAACAGGAGAAAGAGCCATCTACCCTCTTCTCCTCGTTCTGTGATGTAAAGCTTCCCGTCATGACCCTTGAATGAACGTACGAATGTGCCGTCTTTGAAATCCCTTTTAACCTCCGGGACTTCGACGGTTGCCGATACATCGTTACAAAATTTATCACCGTACTGCTCGATTTCGGGATGTGCAATGAAGCGACCGAACCACTCATAGAAGGAGTAATAGTGATACGTTTTGACAGGTTTTCCATCGAACAGAAGCTCTGTTCCACACGGTTCTGAGTCTTGCGTGATGCGTTCAGTGCAATGAGTAGGATAGACTGGAGTGCGAGAATTTTTGGGATACGTAGGTGGATATGTGAAACTGCAGCAAGGGCACACTGCATGTGGAATACTGGGGACGTCCATATTCAACCTCATTTCTAAGGTTTCGATCGACTCTGGGATGTCCTCGAGTGCTTTTGTCTGCTGAAGACTTGGTCCCCCAGTGAGCAATGTGATGGAAAGGCCATAGATTTTCAGCAGTTTAAGCAAGACACTAGAACCTCGCCTCGCCACTCCTTCGAAAACACGGCTGACGAGAGCAATGGTATAAGCTATGAGCGTAGGAGTATTCCATTTGTCTATGGTATTCACAAACAATTTACCTGGGAAACAATATGTGAGATGCATGTAGCTGAATATATGACACGTACTGTTATCAATCTTGATGGGGGAGAAGTTATCCGGATAGTCTCTTCGCCATGTACACAGAACCTGCTCCAAGCCTTCGATCTCTTGGGTTATCGCGCGCACCTGGCCGTCTGCATCTGGGTGGTGGATTTCTTTGATTTTCTTGGACACGTATGCAAGGTGTAGCTCTACGTTGTCTAACGTAGTATAGATCAGCTCAGATACGGAATTTTTGGAGAGCATATGAAGATCGCGTTTGGCACCGGCAATAGTATCATGAAGACGTTCGGCGGTTATAACTGCCCTTCGTCCTACAGCACTGGGAGCCTTGAACGGAGCACGGGAGGTGGTTGAAGGCGCATCTGAAAGATCGGATTGTAATTTAACTCTCGTCTTCTCCAACGCATTCTGTGGAATCAATTAGATTGAGATTTGGACCAAATTTTGGAGCAATACCGCCAATTCATCCACCAGATTGTCATCGAAAAGGGACGGTGAAGAATAACCTTCTTCTTGAGGTAAAGGAGTACCATCCCTATTCGCAGGTGCCGAAAAAGTACGTTGCTTCTTACCCTCCTTCTTTACCAAACGTGATACAGGATTCGAGGAGGATTGGGTTGAAGACAGTGCATCTTCATTACTGGTGAGTAGATCTTCTGATGCAGATACTCTAGGGCCTTCAGCGAACTTGGATGAGAGGAATTGTGCATAGCCTTTTTTTCGTGGCATCCTTAGGAGAAAGGTGAACGTAGTGGATAACCTTGCGATACGATCCGCTGAGATAAGATGAATTATAAGATGAGGCAGAAAGGCAACATCCTGTCAGTACGCGGCCACCATCAGTTCATGCGTCAGAGCAGTCAACTTAAAAACTTGAGAAAGCTTGGGCAAATCGTGATGATGAGAATTATACGCAGTTCTACAAGGTTGGATAAAGTCGGAAGTAGATAGTAAGAAAAATAAACGCTCAGCACCCGCCCATCACTCGCTCCTCGCCCGGTAAACACCTGAATCGTGCACCGAAAAACCTTTCTGAAAACTTCATTACATTTGATAGATGGATAGATGAATACACGGCTCATTTGTATATCAGGATATATATGAGTCTCGTCACATAAGAATTTCAAATTCCCTCTCCGCAAATTCGAGATCCTCAAGCTCAAACTCAAGTAACCCGTCCAGGTACTCTGTACGCAGGATTCCTTTGGGATAGCCACGAGGAGGTTTGCGATAATCAATGATGTTCGAACGAACCCTCTTCACCGCGACTGGACCCTGTTGGGTGAAGATTGTGTTTTCGATCTTCGGGGTTTCATCGACCTCCTGGAAGAGTGCTTCGAAAGTCTCGTTCCGGAACCACAATTTCTTCACCTTTTTGACATCCTGTTGTGTTGGAACACCGTCAATTATGACATTCTCGACACTATCTTCTTCGTCCGACATGCCACGCTCCCCGAGTGTCTCAACAGCGTCATGGACATAGGTCCAGAAATGTAGCAATTGCTCGTCCTTGTGCTGTTGGGCAAAATCGATCATGCAACCAGAAATCCTCAGTCGGTTTGACCACTTCTACATAAAAATTCAGTTTCATTAAAAGACAGCAGACAATGGAAGTACGCCTGACCCAATGACGTAGACTCGAGTTCTGCCGGCGTTGGTACTCAGCTAGCAGCCTTTCTTCCCTTTGGATGTTCGTTTCGCCTTGCAGCGGGCGGTTCTTCTCAATTCTTTTGTAGAAATGAGAGAACCTGTCGTGAAAAAGTTGCTTCCACTCGACGTCTTCTCCAAAACGGCCGTCCTGGCAGTCTGACTGAATTCGTCTAGCTTCTCTAGCTAACTTCGCAACTAAGGCCTTATTCCATTTTGATTTCCTCATTCGGGAGGCTGAAAGTCCGCGCCAATGGAGCGACGTGCCGAGAAGCTTAGGTCCCACACTCTCGTCACCTCCCACAAAGGCCCTCAAACGACTAGGAAGAGTGGAGGGAACATCCACTATCTCATAGTTGTTTTTAATGGCCAGCGCTCCCTGATACAGGTCACGAGAGAGATTCTAGACGACAGCTAATTGTTAGACTTCAGGCCAAAGGAAGTAAGTGCAGCATACGTTAATGTTCTTTCTGATTTCACTCTCATCATAGTGCGTTTGGACGGCCTTTAATTTCCAGCTTTCCGCAACTGTTCGTTCGTCGCTTTCCTCTCTGTCGTCCTGCTCAACGTCATCTCCCCCACCAATTTGCCAGTTGCTGTTCCCTTCGCCACCACCGGCTCCTTCATCGTCGTCACTTTCATCACTGCTATCGGATCCATCGTCACCTCCATCATCACCACCAGCCCTATTCAATCTATGGGGAGTACTACCGTTATTTTGCGTTTGACCATCCTGTTCGCCACCGTCATTACCGTTATTCTGTGCACTACCGGCATTACCGTCATTCTGTGCACTACCGGCATTACCATTACCGTCATTCTGTGCACTACCGGCATTACCATTACCGTCATTCTGTGCACTACCGGCATTCTGTCCATTCTGTCCATCATCAGCATCGTTCCGCTCATTCCCTCTTTCGATGGGTTCTTGTGCCTTAAGGTCGATTTCAATACGCAGAGGAGCATACAACGAACACTTCCAGCTTACCTGAGTAAATCCATCATCACTGGCCCGCGCCTTCTCTTTGCTGTGGTGTACACGCTATAACAACGACGTAAAACCATGTACGCCGTCTTATTTGATTTTGCCACTTACATGGAGCTTGCCTACATTTTGCTTTGCCTTCCGTTCTTCGGTGTCCAACTCGTCATCAGAATCGACGTCAGCTTGAGAACGTTTCGACTAAGACCAACGTCAGGCCGTTACCCATAGGAAATGAAGGTACGTACATAGATGGAAGACTTTCGGTGTTGGGATGGAAGTTTGCGGTGTTTGGATTTCGATATCAACAATTGGTCGGAAGGCTCCAACACCTGCATGGAAAACGCGTCAATAATGGTAACGATAGACGTACGGAGGTACATACCTTTGACGGTCGCAGAACATACTCCCGTTTTGTGGTCATCCGAAGCTCCGCGGCGATTGGAGCGTTACGAAGGCTCTTATTCAGGCCTCCAAATCGGATTCCTCGCATTGATGATGCCGAAGCCTTGGCATTAGATGGCTTTGAAGGCTGTATCAGCAATGACGATTTATGAAAATCCATAAAAACAACGTACAACAGATCGAATGGGAGATTGCATCTCAACAACTGTGGAAGGAAACGAGATTGACGGGTTTCGTGAAGATGAAGATGGTTGATGGATGCTCAATGAAGTGCAACTATCGAATTGACCACGAGTGGAGGATGGTGCACTGAAGGTGGTGTGCAGCTCTCCCTGCAGTCGTGTGTCTCTCGAGCTAAACTGTTCAGGATAATCAATATCATTAGTATCTTGCATAATGGAGGGAGATAGATAACAAGCGCACAGAGGGGACTCGGTATTGATCAGCCTGCATGATACAGGATTTATCCACAAAAGTCGAGCGATGGTCGATCTACAGATAATAAACGCTCGAGCGCAGCATACACGTGTGAGGAAGAACACACCTTGTGATAATCTAGTATGTCTTGTAGTTCCTTAATTCGTAAGGACTTTGTTAGATTCTCGTCTTGCAGAACTGACACTGTAGGATGTATATCATTGTTCCGAATTTGTGATAACTCGTGCTCCAGTCGCATTATTTGGCATTGCATTTTCTCCCCTTGATCCTGTGCTACAGTGAACTTTTGCTCGTTTTCGGCGACGAGATCCTGATATAACTACAAAATATCTAGTTTTGTTCAATTGCATTGGCAAAACGTACCTTTATTTTCCTGTTCTCATTACTTGTTTGAATGAGTTTTTGCTGTGCGTCTTTGAGTTGCGTCTTGAAAAGAATTCAAAATCCAAGCCCAAATAAGTAAAAATTGGCTCGCACCGATTGAAGATCATATGCGGTTTGTAGCTCAGTCAGGAGAGTCTAAGGTCATGGGATTTCAGAGATTTGCGGAAGCTTTCAATGCTAACCAGTCCACACCTTGGCAACTTTTGTTTCGTCGTCACGACGGAAGGCAGATAAACGATCCTATTGTATGTGAGCAGGCAGTAATAGCAAAACGAAGGAAAACATCTGAAACGCACCTCCAGTGATTTGCAGATGATAGCATGATCTGCTTCTTTCTGGAGTAAAGACGCTTCCCGTTCTCGTACTTTGACTGCTTCAGATTGCAGGTCTGCTTCCAAAGAATCGCGAGATGCTTCCAATTGCTCAACAGCGTCCTTTAAAAAAATAAATGAGCACGACGCAGATAAACGGGATTTTTAGCAGACCTCGAGGTATTCGATATCTTCTCGCAGTCGCTCCACCTGCATTTGATGATCGGTCTGTGTGAATGGAATGAGACAACGAGGAGAGTGGACCAATACAAATTACCTCTATAGAATCTTCATAATCATTTTCCTCCTCCTTTCGTTGCAGACTAGCATTTAATCTAGATATCTCTAACTCGTTTTCTTGGATCTGTATCTCTTTCTGATTCAATATTGTCTGCACAGTTTGTATCTTTTCTCGAAGAATACTGTATCCTCGTTGCGAATCCTGTTTGGTAGCATCGTGAAATTGTTGGCAACAAACAACAGGCCAACTTACCTCGAGTTCCTGGCTCTTGCATTTCAAGGCCTCTTTGAGAGAAATTTCGAGGAGGTCTTTGCGACGACTCATATCATTAAGCCGTGCATCAAAGGATTGTTGTGCCTTCTGCTGTTCTTGCAATCTTGCCTAAGGAGAGTGTAATGACATATTAAATAGCGCTGTTGAGAGTACTCACCTGAAGCGAATCTTCCATGGCCTCAAACGACAATTGCAACTTCTCATTCTGTGCCTCACGTAGATGAACTTCCTGTTTGGTGGCAGTAAGTTCCTTGACAAGCTCTCTATATCTCGTAGCTCGGACCTGTTCCAGACTTTGATAACTCTGCAGCGCGCTGTCAATTTCTGAACGATGCTGCTCATTACGTTGAAGCTGTTGGTCCTTTTCACTGAGGATGGTCTCGAGAGCTTCTACCTCCTTCTTGAGACTATCAAATTCTTCACATTTTCGCTGGAATGAAAGCATCAATATGAGTTGCAAATCACGGTATAATTAGACCAGACCTTGAGTTCCGAGTTCTTACACTCCCAAGCTTGCTTGAGAGACACCTCAAGAAGGTCTCTCTGTCGATTGAGAGCAAGAATTTGAGCTTCGAAAAAACCCGCTTGCTGTTCTTGTTGTGTTTTCATTTCTTGCATTGCATTCTACGAGTGGTCTGAACGCGGAGCAACTTACCTCGAAGTAGGAAGGACATACCTGCAGTTTATTGGAGCTCGAAGCTTCGTTAGCCCGAAGCGTGGACTGAAGTTCCTTCGTCTCCGAGTGTAATATGTGTACTTCTCGTTCAAGGACCGCCGCTTCCTCTTGTAGCACATTGTATTTTGCCTGATATGTATCATGTTGATTCTTGATTTCCGAGAAACGTTCCTCATTAAGCTCGAGTTGCTCGTTCTCGCAAATTTGACCGGTGTGAGGGGGACCTACCTGGAGTTCCTTGGATTGCTGTCCTTGACTGTCCTCCACTCGTTCTCGAGAGATATCTTTCATGACACCGATATCTCTAGACTTCGGGACGGTTGCGTTTAGAGAACTTTCCGAATAAAGGTTGATATCCGTCAGGCCCTTTAATTCAATGTCCTTCATGGAAACTAGTCTCTGAATACCTTTCAGTTAGCAGCATATAGCATCACTATACAGTCTCTGCTTACCAGTAGCCAGCTCTGTACGTCCACCGGTGACTCTGAACGTTCGGTAAGTGACCTTAGTGACATTTGAAGCTTGACAATGTATTTCCGATATTCATCGATGATTTCTTTGGATACATCGTTTTGAACCGAAGCCTGGATTCGATACATATAATCAAATTCAGTCGCGCAATAAAAGCTTCTCACCTGTGAGTTGTCTGGACACTGTGTATTTTGAAGGTTTGGAAGGGAATCTTCGATCAAAATGTCGGGGTCCTGCTTTACTACGTGGTCATCTGATGCAATAGTAGCGTTCTCTCGCATGTAGACCAATTCAGTTTGGACTTCTTGATGAACCTAAGACGCTAACATGAACGGGAAGTCTGGGAAGGGCGAATAGATACCAATTTACCTTTAGCAACTCGTCATATCTATGAGTAAGATCTTGTAGTTCGATCTGCAACTCGTTCGACCAACAAGACAAAAACTGTTGTTCAGTTGGGAAAACTTGTTCGTAAAACATGAAAGGCCAGCGCGATCACGAACCGAATTCTGTTCTTCTACATCGTAGAAATGCTCTGTCTTGCTGGCGCCTGAACGATTGAGGGCTTCAGTAATCCTCTGCTATAGTTCATTAGCTTTGTAGACCATGAGATTGCGATCACACACCCGAATTGCACCGTCCATTGCGCTGTATCTGGCTTCAGCAGTTGAATCAAAAGACCCAGGCTGTGATTTTGCATGTCAACAAGGTATACGGTCGTGAATTTCGGACTCACCATAGTGCACGACTGTTTCTGCAAGTCAAGCACCAGCGCATTTTTTATGTCGATTTCTGCTTCTGCGATAATAAGTCTGGAAGACAAATCGTTATTGACTGCTAAGGCCTTTGCAACGGTGCATTGTTGACTGGCGTAATTGGCTAGTTGAGCGCGGAGGGTGATGACTTCTTGTCGAAGTTCGTCGGTGCCAGATATGTGAACCAATCTTATTTTCTAATGGATAGTATCAATGAGTGCTTCTGTGTTAATCAGTAGACGGCGATGACAGCGTACTGGATGTCCTGGCTGCGAAACAGTATCTCCTAGTGGGGAGTCTGCTCTCTTTCGGGAGTTCATGGTTGTGGTTCTCTTTGTGTCAGGAATGAACGGTTGGGTGGCTTGCTGGAGGGAATACGGGTATTTCCGGCAGAGAACAAAGGAACACCTTAATTGCTACCAAGACAAATTGTTCTTGTCTCCATTCAGCGTACATTTTGAAGTACAGCTCACGCTGAAAGGGTACTTTGTTGAGGATATGAAAGTCCGATCGAAGGCACAGATCTGGTTCCTTTCGGGCCCAGCGTCTCTATATAGCTCTAGCTACTTATTCCGTGGAATTTATTCTTCTTAGTCATTGATCGTCAGTTTATAACTCATTGATCGTCAGTTTATAACTCATTGATCGTCAGTTTATACCTACTTAACAACTTGATAACGGAGGCAAATAGAGAAGAATATTTGGGTATTAAATCAACATGTACAAGTGAGAATCGTGAATCATGAGACTAAAGGGAACATGAGATGTAGATGCTAAAGTCGATGGGTCATCGTCGTAGGAACGATGGTAATGAGAAGTGGCCGTGTGGGTCAATGAAAACAAGTACGGTATCGGCGTTGCAAGGCAGAAGCTCCCGTTCGTACAACATTGAACGCAAAACACAGAAGCAACAAGACGAGAATCTATATGGTTCTAATGTGAGATGGTATATATTTGAGTGAACATAACGCACGATATCCCGAGTTTGGCGATCGATATTCAAAAAATCGAAAGTATCCGCAATATAAGTGGTTTTCAAGACGCTGCGATAAACAAAGGACCCGAAGTCTAATGCCTTTCGGTGGATGACTAGCAGGTAAAACGTGAGCTTTAGAATATTTACGAGTATGGGTGAACTTACGGGATCCATGGGAGGTTAAACTGGCCCCTGACAGCATGCCAACTACGAAACACAACGACGGCGGGATTTCAGGCCGAGCAACCAAAAAGAGAAACAAGCAAAAAACCTACACAATGTCAGAAATAGTTTGGGATAAGTAATCGAAAGACGTACAAGGCTTTGGACCTGATATATGTTATTCAAGGCATCGATGGCAGTGTCCTTGATGGCTGTAGCAATTTGTGATAAGCAAACGTGAACGAATGGCGGCAAATCCAAGTGGTTCGTAAGACTCTGAAGATTGAATGATCCTAGACCGGTTTGGGAATCGATTCAGAGTGTCGCAAACCTTTCGAAACAGTCTTACCAAGGCTCTCAAAACGTAGAGACGCGTAACCGACCCCTAGCAAAACGCCAGCCGTAAATCGGAACGACGAATATTGGTTGGTCTTGGTGATTTTCGGGTGGACAAATAATACGGTGAAATCTTCTCCTGGCCAAGATATCGTGGTGCAGCATTCGTGAGGATTATCGTCTGTAGGAATGTCGTTGGCAGCAGCAGCAGGGGAAAGAGTCGGTATCATCATTCGAGATTCTGTACCACCAAACCGTTTCGAGTCTTTGGTGATTTTAAACAGAAGAGCGGGGATTGAAAGATTGCTTTGTAGAAAGGTTTGCGACACTGCGGCAGTATCAAGATTAACGGATTGAAAGAAACCATTGTGGTGGCGAGCAGAAAGCAACGGCTCGTTTTCGGGGCAGGCCTCCCATTGAAGAAAACCGGCATTCCCGGCAACGGCAGAAAGTCCCCGTTGACCCATTGATCAATATTAATGAAAGTCGTTTATATCCTCCTCCATCCTAAGAACTTGTTTGAACTTCGACCTTTGTATCATGAACCGTTTGTTCTTGCGCGAATGAGCGACAGACTTGTATATAAGCTCTCTCCGCGATCCCTTAATATCCTGTCAGTGTCCTCACTTCCTACTATTTCCCGCATATCGTCCATCGGCAACAAAATGGTTGCAAAGAGCGCAGCGAAATCTCGTGCCACCACTCCTGAATACTCTCTTAGATCTCGATCCCGAACCTCCGACCGCTCTGCCAAGTCTCAGGTCTTCGGATCGCCTCCTCCTACTCCCAGCAGAATTTACGGGAGGAAATCCAAAGCTCGTTCTTATATGAATACACCTTCGCGTCTTCGCGGGCCTTCAGCAGCATCTACTTCGAGCACGCCTTTACACTATCGTAGATCCCTAGCAGACCCGATGCCTTCCTATACGATGCAAAGCCTGGCGCTTGACTATGAACTTCCTGTTCTTCCTGAAACACCTTCAGACTCATCTGCTTCGTCGTCGTTTGACTTGACCTCTATCGCAAGCTCATCTCCATCCACGAACTCGTCGGACTCAAACAGAGTATCTCGGCTTCACTCTTCGTAATGTCTCTTACTGACTTCTCACAGGTTGAAGAATCCGGGCTGGACGTGGATTCTGATTCTGATGACGAACCGGTGTTCATTTCGAGAGTGGGCAACTGCTTCTTCTGTCAATATACTGATGCTTACTTAGCTTATCGCTATAGATTATGCCAATCCAATCGTCGGCTTTCCGCGACAGTGACATTATGGACAAGCTTCGCCAAGTTCGTTTGGATCTTGAGAATGCCCGTAAGGTACGCAGTCCCTAGATTGCTCATTCCAAATCCTCCCTCAGACAATCGTGATCACAGGTATTTCGATCAGCTGAAGAGAACTGACACAAATGTCCCTGTTGCCTTGAAGTTATGTTGCAGCCTTTCATGTATGTATCTTCTACCTAATCTCTTGTTCAACGACCTGAAATTTTTTGTACCAGTCTCTGCTGTGGCCATACCTACTGTAAAGATTGTCTCATCAGATTGGCCAATATCTATCTGAACGCGAAGATGAATCTCGTTTGTCCTGATTGTCGCACCGTTCAGGGATGTTTCACTCCCATTCCTAACTATTTTATTCAATCTCATCTCGATAATATGTTGCGGCTGGAAGGCATCCCAACTCCCTCTCGTCAGCCGTTGCAGTGGCCGCTCAAATTTCAATCTGGGCCCACTCCATTACCCTTCCCACCCAGCGCTGCGACGTTCCCAGTCTAACGCCTTCTTCCCGTAATCATCTCAGTGGGGCGATATCGATGTTCCTGTGTATATCGCTACTTGTGCGCATGTATGGAGTGCTCAAATTTACAATTACATTCTTGTATATATATTGTTCCGTCTGCAGTCAAATATCGTGTCACGTTTGTTCAATAAACACATCTTAATTGCTCAAAACTTGATCCAAACAATCCAAACATTGAGAATATATCGGGAGCTCTATACCAACCTCAACTCAAAATAGTACTGTCTGCTTTTGGAAGAGTCAACACGAAGTTGATTACTTTACCTCTCTGATTCATTCTGAAGATTGGTAGTCGTAGTTATTGAGACGTGGCGAAATCATTCATCCGTTCGCTGCGACGTTAGAAGGCAGGTCCACAGAAGGGTTAGTGAAAGTTTTACATCTGCGACTAATGGAATCCAGAGAATAGTCGAGATGCCGTTCTTGTTGGTCACTCAGTCGGGATTGCCATCAAAGGAGTTCTTATTCGTGGTCGCAGGATAGTTTTGAGAATTTGAATGTTGGATTTGTAAATGAAGAGTTTACAGTAGGTGGGTGAGGTACCAAGACGGCTTCTAATTTGTTCGCATCGAGGGAGTCACAGCCACCCCGCCGTGCTTTGAATAACGAAAACACATAATCCGGAATGGTTCCCTCCGAGCAATCATTCCGGGTATCATGGGGTTTGGCTGAAGAATTAGTGGGATTGTCTAAAGCTAGATATTATCCATTAGCTTCCTTGACACTAAGGAGTTGAAGCAACACGTACCGAGGGACAAGTAGGGAGGACAGACATTCCATACCCGCTTCACCAGTTTCGCCACATTGCGTTCCAAACTTCAAAGATTTTATGGAAAACAAGAACGCCCGTACCGCAGTAGAGTCATGACTTCCTAACGGGGTCAAGTTCATATCGTGATCATGGGCGAGAGGAAATGAGACTCAGATATTACTCAAGGAGACTTGGACGATGTAGTTGGACAGCCACGACATCCTATCAAACAGTGCAGACGTTGGCTTGCGGCTGGTTCTTGAGCGCACTGCTCACGTTCAATCATATCCTCCTGTACAAGGTTATCAATCAAATCACAATAGACCTGTTTGAAGAAATAGATTCACTTGAAGGTTAATCCATAAAGTCATCCCATTTCCCCAATTAAGCTTGGTTGCATCACAGTATGAATCTTCGTAGCGACAACTTCGAGGGCTTTACTCCCAGATCCCTGGCTCTCAGATTGAATCTTGAAGTCGATGATAACGAATGCGCTGTGTTGATGTCTTTTGAGCCCGAATGAGTGAGGCGTCATGCTCAAATGTGGAGCGAGAGAAAAAGCGTCTGAGTAGTAGTCTCAGGTTTTGAAGAAGCGGGAGGAGATGGGAATCCTTGGATCGTGTCTGCTGGGTCACCGCAAGCAGATCATTGAAGGTAGAGTAAGTATTCGAAGACTTTTAAACAGCGAGGACTTCCCGTGTGCACATGAGGTTGAATGCGACCGCTCAATGGATCCTAGTTCAAGGCTTGAATCAGAACGGAACGAGGGTAAGACTTTCCACGTCTGCAAAGATATCACAGCTTGTCAGAAGATGAAGGTATTGACTGACTGACCTCAAATCATCTGCAAAAATGTTTTGTCGCCTCCCGGATTTCAGATGGTTGTCATACATTATAATGATAAGCTGACCGACAGGATCGATATCCTGGCCATTGTTCAGAACTCCGAGGAATGCTTTTAAGTGCTTAATGGTCTTGTTTAGAAGGATCTTACGAAGGTTGTCGGAGACGTGGTGATCCGATATGGAGCTCTCGAGAGTAGCAATGGGTTGACGAGGAAAGGAACAGGATGTATTAGATTTTTTAATGGCATAACGAGGTATGATGAGACGGGCGCTAATCGTTGTTGCTCTTTCATTCATTCTTTTCACGTTCTCTCATCTCTCGTAGACACCATCCCCTTCAGCAAAGGCAAATGAGGTGAGATCGTTGCTCTGCTTTATACCGCCCTCTCCAGCCCATCCACAGCTTCATCCTGGTAGCGTAACCTCTTCTTCGGGGCAACCTTTGAAGCACCGTAACATATTCTACGAGCCTGTGGAAGTAGCAAGATCTATATTAACGCATTCTACTGGCATATATATGCAGGCATTTTCGTGCCATGGACCGGGCCATTGAGTACTGTGCGAGGCACCTGGAGCCATAGCTGGCAATAGCGTTGTCAATATGCGAGTTCTCAAGTACCTCACTCTTGTGAGGGGACGTTCAAAATCAGAGTACGAGAGCTTTGCTCGTTTCCAGCTTCTTTGGCAACGTCTCTTTGCATTCTGAACAGCATACCAATAGTATTGCACTATGTGAGGTTAGTGATTTTTATGATTATGGATGGCCTATACTGATCAATGGACATAATTAGATTGTAAGGTCAATATCGTTCCTCGGATGAGCCAGTGTAGTGCCTGAGCGAACATCCACGGAAACTTCAGGATTTGCAGATTTGAGAAATGAACACGAACCCAAAAATACCCCTAGGAAAAGTCATCATTATTAGACCCCCGACCGCTGGCGAACCGGAACACTAGCCATCCGTACTAGACAGCTACGCCCATCGTTGAACCACACAGACCGTGGTCAGAGGATGTGGACGTCGCCAGATGTGGGCAGAGTAAGTATCAAGAATATCCAATTCTGACTCAACTTTCTCGCAAAAATCAAGTTCGCCCCAAGCACAACGGTCCCCCTTTAAGAGATTAATACGGAGCTCCTGTCAACGTTCTTGTACCCTTCACAAAAGCCGGAATACTACGGATTGGAGGGTCTCTGCTCGAAGTAACTTCGTCGTGTTTGTGCTCATTTGTCTGTTGAGTAATCGCGAGACTCTTTTGCAGCGTTTTGTCCTCAGCCTCGCACAATGGCCCGTCGCCGTACTCATCAGCTGCAGTCGCTGTATCGCCAACGAACTTCGCGACCAATCTCACCTTCGGACGGACCTGGTTGGATTTACGTCTACATCGACAACGGCAACGAGTTCAAGATTGGAATGACAAAGAACTTCGAGCGCCGTCAGCGGGAATGGGACAGAAACTGTCCTTGCCTGGATAGGATTTGGTTTAAACCAATACTGGCTGCGAATAGACGTAGAGCGGGTGAGTTTCCTCTGTATCACTCTTGCTGATTTCTTCATGCTCTTTAGAATCTGTTGTCCACATTCTTCTGGAGATTCAGTGCGTCGATCGGCCCCAGATTTATTGCCATTCGTGTATGAAGTATATGTAAAATTCGTTTCGATTTCTAACGCAACTCAAATCAGGCTGTCGGGTACACGTCGAGAAATTTGTTTTTGCTGGTAATCGCAGGGATATTCGGAGGAAGATCTTGGGTCCAGCGTTGCGGTGGGCAGTGATGATTTAAAGGTATGTTTCATTTTGTGTATTCAAACTTTCAATCAGCTTACGAGCAATTGATTAGGAGGAAAACTTGTATCTATAGACGTTAATGCTTGTATGTATCGAAGTACGAAAACTTCTGCCTCGCGGCAATGGCAAGATCACTTATTAAATGAGAAATAGTGTGTTTTACTCAGTCAAGATAAGTAGTTCGTCAAAACTTTTGGAGTTCACAGTAAAACTCATACATGTTCTAGTTTATTCTGCGCTACGATCGGGTGCGTTTTGAGGATACCGAGGGTTTCTTGTTCTAGCTATCACCCGGATTCTATCTTCGATTTTTTTCTTCGAAGGGGACCTCTCACGCTGTGCAAGCCAGAGACACAGTCAATCATCTGGTTCTATTTGTACATTGCTGAGTTATCGATTTTCCTTCTTTATGTCTATGTACTGATTGCGGTATTGACAAGCTGTCCATTCTGTACAATTCCGACTACGTATGAAGCCCCACTGTATAAATGCTGCAGGCGGATTTGCTACGCAGTTACGGTCAACGCCCGAAGGATTGGTCACTCACGATGGTGTTGAATGTTCGATGAAGGTCTGCTAGGGTGCCCGAATGATGTGTGACCGATTCCCGACGCACTCCCAATCCATGACCGTCGAGCGTCCATTTAATTTCTCAAGCGCGAATGATAATCTTGATCGCGAGATAATGATGAACGATAAGATTATCTTAATTGCTTGATTAATCATATCAGTTTTGAGCGATATTGATAATTTTTTAAGCCACATTGTCTGCCCAAAACAAGTAATATTTTAAGATCAAGAAAGATTTTTTTGATTGCGTAGGAAAGATTGTCTTTGTCATTACATATATAATGCAAATCTGCAGCCAAGAAAGATCATATTATCATTTGCCTGGTTCGTGTGAAATCATTTTTGTTATTTGGGCAAGTATTTTACAGGAAAAGATAAGCTATTTTAGTCATTGGGATTGATATCTTTTTCGTGTGAATATTATAGAGTCCGCCGTAGTGTAACCGAATGAGACGAGAAAAAGTAATTGTGACAGAGGGTGACAGTCCCGTGATATCCCGTGCCGGTCACAAGAAATCAATACAATTCAACTCAGTGTTACATTTGGCCAAATAAGGTGAAACTACTACCATAAAAGGAAATCAAAATTGTATGCAGCGGCGTATATAAGGACGATACTTCCGTAAACTACAGCCTCGTAACCTCGTATCATCATTTTGCCTCATAACCCCGCGATGATGATACCGGGCGATTAGAAAGAGTGAATTTTGCATGAACCTTGTAGAAACATTGGGATAGCACCTGATCGCACTATGTATACATAATTAGATTGAGGTATTTCGTCGATGAAATTCGATAGTGCGCTGAGCCCAGACCTTACACAGTGACCATACATAGATGAGCTGGATTGAGGTCAACATTAGGGGAATCGTGGCGGTTAGCTTGAATCAAGCTTGAACGAAGAGTGAAGAGTTGGGACATACATGATACTTGAATGAGATGACATATGCCTTCGGAGAGCTCCACCATAAGCGAAAAGCGAGAAGTTTCAAGTCTCAGAGATATCATCACAGATCATTATCGGAGCATCACAAGGGAATCGAGTGAATGCTGTGAGTCGCCATTTGCAAAATCAGTGCGGGGACCTGTAAAAGCCTGTGAAGGAGGCGGAGGTCATCGCCCATCGATCGCCTACTCGGATCAAGTTGTTGCCGGATTGCCGTCTATTCTAACTTCCAGAACTTCAAGTCTACACTCCTTTTACAGTGTACACTTTTGGCCTTCATTCGATGAGGAAGACTGAGGTCGGTTCCATTCGCTCAAAAGGACGTAAAGCTGCCTCACAGGAACTTGAAGAAGTCCCCTCTGCAGTAGTCTTCTCAATTATTTTGAAACTTAAATCGCAAGTCCCGACGCGAAATTTCACCCCTCCGTCGGGGTATATTTTCACAATTTAAATGGCGCAAGCCCCAGTTCATGATCATTCTTCCACTGCGACTGGTTCTCTCTCGCTAGCAGGTCTAGTCTCGACTTCGCGGTTTGGTCTGATTTAACATGCTACTCACATACGGCCTTCTCTTATTCTTATATGTCTTTGCCCAACTCGTCTCTGGAGCTCCTCTTCCTTCCAAAAGGAATCTCGTCTCTATCCGTAACGATCTGGATCCTTTGGCCAACAGCAAGACAATTTCGGACAACCTGGAGTTTGCCTCGTTGCACAAGTATCCGGACCCAGATTCCGCTTCGGTCGTGTTATCTACGGACAAATTTCTCAGCATGAACAGAGGATCGGACTATTTCGCTAGGAAACCCGCTATGGAATTTTACCCAGCCGACTTTGAGCGCAGCGACGTCGATGAAATTTCGGCCATGGATGACAATGAATCCATGCTTCCAGAAGGCGAGACAGATCTGGTTATCCGTTCTCGCAACGACTTGGCTATACATGCTCGTACTGTGGAGTCCCTTCAGACAGCCGGTAAAGGAATGCAGTCAGCCGGCGAAATTATGGGTAAAGTCGCTAAAGCGGCCGACGCCATACCTGAAGTGGGGGAGATCATTGGGACGGCCATTCAAGTCGTGGCTACTTTCGTGAAATACATTGGGAAGCTTTTGAATGAAGTAGCGGAAGCTGAGAAAGAGTCTGCTCATGTGAGTTTTTTTCCTATCATGTTTGTGACGCTTGCTTACCTTCTTTTGTACTACAGGCCCGGTGGGTTTTCTTCATATTCTTAAACGCCCTCTTTTCAACGCCCTCTTCAGTGGAGAGTTTACGAAGAAAGTTACAGACCAGACTTTGAAAGGTAAGTGACTTCAAGCTCTAACGCTTCTTCAGCTTGGAACGCTACACCCTAGAGCATCCTGGATGGCTTATAGTCACCGTCCATCCCAAGCACACCGTCTTCTTTCAAGGCCAGGAAAACATCGACTGGGCTCATGATAAAACTCATATCACAACCGTGAGTTTTTTCACTATTGATCCATCAAGGAATCCAGCTCTCATAGACTTCATTTCCCAGAAAGTCGGCTTTTTCGAATTCGATGTTTACAGTGGTAGGTGTTCTATACGACGTGCGACTAGACGCAGGTTGATCGTGTCCAAAACTAACTAGCTCGCGCCGGCATTTTCATGAACGATGGTGATGGTGGATATCAGAATGTAAGCCGACAACTTAACACTGCTGCAAAATTTAACGTTACCAAACCTAGTGGGCTTTTTCTGCCCCGCAGAATAAACTTCAAACATATGGCGATCAAGGACATCGTCTAGTTTAGTGAGTGAAAATATCTTGTACCGCGAGAAGAACACCCGTTTGTTGAGACGATTCCTTTCCATAGCACAGGTGGTCCGCCCAAAAATTCGAAACCCAAGTCAGGCAATTGCGGTATCCACCTTTATCAGTACCAGAAGAATGAAAAAAGATCCAATCCGACCAACCACTATACGCTTGTTGTGGTCATCAAAGATGCAGCTGGGACCATCGTAGGGTTTGAAGGGAACGGTGATACATCCAAACCAGTACTCGTTCGCAGTCAGTTGCCTCTGGCCCTTCAGATTACTGCGGGCGAGAAGGATAGCTCGCCCTTGACCTTCACGTACGGCAAGGACACGTGGAAAAGCAACGTCAAGTCCCACTGTACGGTGGGATCGTATGCGTCTGGCAGTAGGCAGATGGATTGCGGTTTCCAATGTACCTTTTAAATAGGTGGGGCATCACAATCTCGAAATCCCTTCGCCGCCTCTAAAAATACAATAACAGGTCAATCAACGACGAGTCGCGTTCCTGTCCGCGAAATGTGCGATTTTCAGTCTTCCGACGAATGCGTGTCGAGCTCCTCCAGATTAGATAATGGATCTCGGACAAAGGATTCCAGGGCTGGTCCAGGGAACGTCCGCTACCATATCTGGTCACATTCAGTATTAATACCTGCCTGGTGATTGGAAGGAGGGACTGGGGCCAAGTGTCACCAGACTGGGTTTTCATCTTGATGTACCATAATCTTTTGCTGGAAAACACGATTATGACTCTTAGTTCGGCTTCGGACTTGGATTGTCGTTATCACTTGTTACAGTAATCACACCAGAAGGAGAAAAAATTCCGCTCGACGGAATTACCAAAATTCAGTGCAACTGATATATCATGTGACCGCGGATAAACTATATCGGGTATATCGCCGGTCACATGATATATCAGTTACGCTGAATTGTTATGATTCTGTCGAGCGGAATTTTTTCTCTTTCCGGTGTGAATACTAGAGACCCGATAGGCCACTAATATATATTATTATGGCACTAGTAAAGTATGTAAGGGAGCGTACAGTATCTACTAAAGATGTAGTGTAAGGTAGCAAAGGTGAAGATTCACTAAAACGACAGCAGAACAGTGTGAAGTGCCAACAAGATGCGCGACGAAGTGAATACAGCAACACATTTATAGTGAAAAAGGACTAGTATACACTGGCTCTTATTCAACGCACGATGATGGAAGTATGAAGAGTAAGGGAACGCAAGAAAACAGCCGAGTAACGGGTTGGTGGTAAAACATCGACGAAGGACAACAGGGGTGGAAGGGGGAAGTGGGACACTATGATATAAAGATCATGAGAGTGTAACGGATAACAACATGATTGAGAGGAGCTGATACAACACAATATAACAGGAAACAACCGAAAGAGAGAAGCGAAAGAAAACACTTTCCGAATGAGGAGCTAATACTAATCAGGAAGGATTGTTGAACGACGGGACTTGAAACAAGGATAACCTAATCGTCAAAGATCGAGATAAAATGACTTTGGGAGTGTACCCGAAGAACATGCAGACGGGTAGGGGAGGAGGCCAGGGAAGGAGGAGGAAAGTATTTGGAGGCAATTTGTTGGTATTCGGAACCGAAATGGGAGGCCGAGTAAATGTTTAAGGATAGGGAACAGAGGAGGATGGAGAGAAAGAGAGGAAGGATTTTGAATGGCAAGGAATGGAGAGAAAGAGAGGAATGGTTTTGAATGGCAAGGAGAGTGGGTGTGAGAATGAAAACAGGCGAGAATATTAACGAAATATCAGTTGGAGAGACATTCTTGAATGAAAGTAGGGGACCACTGCCTGACAGAGGGTCGGTCTTGACAATAACACAAAGAGGATTCGGGATATGAACGAAAGAAGGTCGCGATGATTTGGGGGAGATTCGAATAAAGCCGAGGAAAAGTGTGAACCACCGTATGGAAATCAATAGGCTGACAAATAATCAAGTTCCACCGTCGAATCGATAACACTATCCATACTGCTTCTTGCGCTCCAATACGACGTCTCCTCTCCACTAGTCAACGATTCGGAATCGCTAATCGCGAAAGGATCCAACGACAACATGACAACCGATTTAGGAACCTGCTCTGATCTATTTCTCTTGGGCTGCGGACTGAGAGAAAGGCTACGATCACTGCACGCCAGATTCTGTGCGTACGCGAATTGCCCGGACATTGGTGTAATTGGGCTTTGCATAGGAGTTTCTATGTCTCCATCTAACCCTAAATCCCTCTTCATCGGAGCATTTGCGTTGACTGGAAGATTCTTCGGCAAGGAAGCTACGGAAAGAGGGATAGGAATCCCTTTCTCGCCAAGGATCATACCGGCAGGTTCCATCATCATTTTCTCGAGGCGCCTATGCGCGTTTTCCAAAGAGTCTGATGTATCCGAATCTGAGGATAACAAACTACAACGTGAACGCAAAACACGCGAAGTTGCAGCAGCTGATAAATGATCGACTCCAGCGAAAATAGAGTCAGGGCTTGGGGTTGAAGGAGAAAGGATCAAAGGGAAGGGAGATCCTTTTCTCTTATGGCCCATTGGCTTCAAGTCGGTTCGTCTTTGAGCAAGGGACAATATTTGTGATGGTACAGAAGGAGGCAACACCGCGGAATCCTGTCTCAATTACATAGATATGGTATTCACTCGGGATAAAAAAGCAAAGAAAACGAACCTCGCTTCTCGAAGGTCTACTAGACCTTCTCCGTGGCATGACTTCGCTACTCCTGGACAACCCTGTATGACGAGAAATCTTCCTTAAGTTGACGAGGTCCTCATCGCTAGTGTAAGGCAGTCCAAGTGTCCAATCTTTCTCGCTTTGTCTTTTCGACAGCCGGAAAGATCCCGGAGGCGTAATTGGAGGAGAAGGTAAACTGCTGTTGCTGTCATCAGAGTACGAACTATCGATAGGAACTGATGGAAGCGGGCCTGTCGGAGGCTTGCTTTTCGGTGGAAGAGGCAATGGACACGTCGGTACAGGCTTCTGCTTGGGTCGACCTGTGGGCGAAACACGCTTTCGGCGCTCGCTTGATTTCGCTCTCGAAACTGGCGGGGTACTGGTCAGGAAATGACCGAACTCTGCTGCGGATTCATCGTTTGCAGACAACTCTTTGACTGCAACAATCGACTGCGCGGGATGACTGGATGAGAATGGATGGACGAGATTGGACGAAAAGACGCTGGAACCGCCCTGGGAGCTTCCGGCACTTGTTCGACGCGTCACGACTTGTACGCTGCCTTTGGCAAAGGGATCCAAGTCAGACGCGTCAAGAGAGTGCGAATGCATAGAAGACTCTGATGATTGCTCGGCTGGTGTTCGACGGGAGGAGTTGGTAGAATAAGATGACATCGAAGAATACCTCGACTGGGTGATGAGCGAATTAGAGACGCTGATGAGGTCGCCATGGGAAGCAGAAGACGCTGCACTTTGGAGACAGGATACTGAGGAAGAAGAAGAAGCGCGTCGATGTGTTCTGGGGGATTGAGGAGGAGTAAGCAGCGATTCTGAAAATTCGGAGTCGCCAGAGTCACTTGTGTTTTCTAGGGGAACGACACTCGAACCACAATCCGAGCCGTGTCGAGAGAAAATGGAGGCGCTGGTACCGAATCGCTCGTGGCGGTCTGCTAAGGGAAGATAGGGCACAAAAAGTGCAATTTCGGATTTAACCTGTGCCTTCTGATCGAGTAAAGACACGGTAGGAATAGGCTTTAAAGGTGAAGATGGCTCAGAGGTAGCCATTAAAGGCTCGGACCGAGTAGACTTTGATCCTGAGCTTGGCAAAGGTGGCGGAAGCGACTGGTTGAACTTGCCAGACCCATATGCCAGCAAGGACTTGATTTTGCGCAAGACGCGAGGACTACCTGGTGACGATTTGGAAGTGGAAGTAGGAGGTAGAGATGGAGAAGGTTTCGCGTTTTCTGACGAGGAATAGGATGAAGATGGAGGGAAAAAAGAATCAAAAGTGGTAAGTTTTGAGTCCAGAGAATTATCGATCTCCAACGCCGTAGAGACGAGTTCTGTGAATTCACTGAGAGAAAAGGCAGCAGACATGGTCGAAAGTGTACTAGAAATCCTAGCCGGTGGTTGTCCAATGTCCTTCTTGGCCCCTGGCATCGCTGAGGGTAGAGAAATAGAAGAAATAATTCGAGACAAGGGCCTACCATTAACATAATATACGTTATCCAGATTCAGAAATTACACGTAATGTATGAAAGCTATCTATCCGGATTTAGAAGGTGTTTAGCCCATTTTGTGTGGCATCCACGTGATGCGCATTTACTGACAGTGACAGCTCGTCTATCCTTTCTCATAGACCTCGAGTCTCGGGCATGAAAAAGAATGTATATGTTCCGGGCCACAAAAGACAAGGTGAAGATTACATATTTTTTCAAATTGAGAGTCCTCCCCGAACTCGTTGTAAAATGTTAACTGTCTACAAAGGTCCCCACAGCCGTAACAATCTAGAAATCGGCTACCAAGAAGGCATTTTATCTTTGTATCCGAAGCTATCCGAAGCATCCGACCTCCGACAGCCTCCAAGCCTTGACAGAGAAACCCAAAGCCCCACCTCCAGATGAAAACGCCACAAAGTCTAAGCTTGAAGTCTATATGCATTCCTCGAGTTCAATTCGTTCCCGAATCGGTCACTGGTAAGTATAAAGGGAACGCTAACTGCTGCTAACACTAGTAGACACGGATATATAGAAACAATGGTAAGTGGTCGGTTCTGATTCCGCCTTGTCGAGTGGCGTTGATATTTTTTTTTGAAGAACTTAGAATAGCTCGAAATACTACAAGCTCGGAAGAGAATTCGCATTCGAGGTTGATTAGGAAATTTACCTAGAAGACCTTGAAAGTACTTCTCTCGGCTGACTATCTCCTCCTGAACATTCTGCGTAACCAAATGACTCAGCTACGGAGCGCAGATCTTTTTGCTTTCCCTTAGTAGGAATTCAATTCGGAGGTAGTAGGACCAGAGACGACCTGAATTATTCCTTATTATATTATCGTCGTCCAAGGTCGTCCACTGCTATGGAAATACCTACGATCATCAAGAATGACCTCTTCTTGTCTTTTTGAGGATCGCTCTGGGGTGGGGATTCTTTTTTACTCCTCGAGCTCCCTATCGGCGCCAGTGTCGCTGCAGTGTCCTGGCCATCATCAGTGTTTTCTGTGTACGTTTCCTGTGGCGTTGAATCATCAATTTGAATGCATCACCAGGGCTTACCAGACGGCAATACACCGTAGAACCCAACATGTAGAATTGTCCCAACGCCTGTGGAACGCGGACAAATCAAGATGAATATTAGTAGTAGAATAAATGAGCAATTACAGGAAGTTCCGAGTCCTCGACTCACACTGGCGCCTTCTCCGCACTTCTTCCTCCCATACATCCCTCGATGGATTGTGGCTGAGGCTGACAGCTCAAGGTACGTTGTGTTACAAACTTTACAGAACACTCACCTCATTGCGCTGCTCCAGGCTGCTCCCTCATATCTAGCCCTCATCAGCTTCTCGAGTGACAAGTTGTTCCTGGGAGTATTGCGAAGCGCCTCCGTCCATGTCATTATCTCGTTCGACCTTGCAAGAGCTGCATATTGGCGCTCCACAATCAACTAAATTTCTCGTTGACATTGGCGCGAGATAGAAAGGATTTGGTTAAAACTAAAGTTTGGGCCAAATAAATGTCAAAATTCTGAAGCCTTCAAAGTCCCCCGCCGACTGCAACTCCGGCTGTCATTCCGGGCCATCCATGCTCCGAGTACTATTCTCCGTTTAACGTCTCCAGTGCGGTCTACTAGTTGATTGTGATGTTGGAGTTGGAGGACGTCGTATTGATTCCTAGAGAAATCGATGGCGAAAAAAGAGACAACACCTGGAAAGGTCAAGAAACAAATCATGATTTTCGCCTCCTTCGATCCTGCCACTGAATAGTCCGCGTCTGAAATCAAGCCTTATGGTCTGTTCAAGGTGGTGCGCCACGACTGTTTAGACCTGAGAAGAATATGACGCGTCTTGCGCGGTCATCCGAAAGCCTTGCCTTATCGGTGATATGTTCCTGCATCTTCCGTTCGTTTGACGAATCCGAGTCGAATGATATGGATGTAGCCTTCCAACACGAACGCGCTGTTGGAACCCATCAAAAATTTAGTCATTATTACCCAAACATAAATTCGGAACATCGAATATACGAGTCCGACCCACTATCATCAGAACTCGATCAGGTGGGTTCATTTTGAGTGCTCTTCAAGCTTTGGGTGTCTCAGCCTCCCAACACGCTCTCCTCTATGTCATTCTATCTCCTACCGGTGCATATTTCCGCATGGGACCAAAGCCCATTTCCTTGCTAGCAAAACGTTCGCGCCTGGCGTGGTGGAACGGAATTGCACAAGATTTTGGGGAACTACGCTCCAGGATTCTTCCACAGTGAATGGCAGCTCAACAAGGGTATGTCCAGATCCTGCGGCTATCAAGGGATGAGATCGAGCGGAAGGTTACAGACTCGGAGGCGGATGCGATGAACACCTTTGTCGTTGTAACGCTGGTCAATAGAATCTAACGATACCTTCTCGCATTCCAATCTCTCGCTGAATTTCTTACTTCGAAATATATCGACGGATGGAACTATACTTCTTGGTGTCACCCGAGAATCGATTCTGGCCATCGCTAAGGCTCGTTCCGAGTCTGTTGGGAAACTTATCCTTCCTGGTGTATCGTCTATCCAATGTCTACACCCGCAGGAACATATTACAAAAAATATTTCATGTATATACAACTACCGTCGTCGCACCTGTAGGACGTGTTGGGTCCCTGGACTTGAAGAAGCCGGTGAAGAACCTGGTCTTGATCGTTGTCATATAAGAGGGGTGTGTCCGTCGTGAGTAAGAGTCATCCAGTGGTTCATTCCCAGAAGCAGAACACATGTTTCGTCTATCAATAGGACTGCATAGTGTACACTGTAGCTAATGAGGTGCTACTTGTTGTGTGGGGGCGTTTTCATTTTACCACCAGCTGCGTCACCTCCCACACCCAACATTTGCCAATAGAATCCAACAAAACCTTTCCGCAGCTGCAAGCTCCATTCCGGCGATTTCACCGCCTCCTCAGGTTTAATCATCGAGTTGTAATTCCAATACTTCCAAAGATGTAGATCCTCATTGTCAATCATGTTCCACTGCAATAGGCGCTGGAGTATTTGCTCGATATACAACAAGTTCGAGTCGGCTTCGATGTCGCGCAGTTGGCTCTCTGCATTGTTCCATCTTTCTGCCGTAGAAAAAATAGCATGACCCAATCGAATCCCCTCCTGACGGCTTGGGAGGGACACTGGCAGTCCTTTCCATTTGAGAGCCGGCTTACCCATTGGAACCGCTCTAAACTCGGCATCCCCAATTCGAAGACTCCAGATCTCATCAATTCGTACCGGGTCATTGGTTTCCATCATTTGCTGATTCTTTGAGTTTTGGCGTATGAGCCACAATTCGCTGTAGATGGGCTTTGGCTGGGCTGAAAAGTTTTGACCATGAGTACAAGCATACAGAAAACGTTGAAACTGAGGGACTTACGGTCCATGCGTTGCTCAAGTTGACCTGTTGTGTCACCGACGGGGGCAGCTATGGCTCCAAGGAGGCTTGACAACAAGAAGAGCGCAGAAAACAAGCGCAACTTGAGTGGGATCGATAGCATGGGCAAAGTGAGGGGGATGTGCAAGCCTGAAATTGAAGGCAAGTGTTCAGATTCAAGATGAAGAAAAGAATTACGGCACATACTGGTGTAAGGTGTAGGAGAATGTTTGACCAGAAAACCAATTTGAAGTGTATGATATCAACAGCCTGAGCGAAACCCCACTAATTTATCTGTTGAATATAACGAGCAAGAAGAGCAGAACAGGGAGTCACATACCGAACCAGCGTGAGTGGAACACGATGAGAGAGATAGATAGAGGGCAATTTTGCAACTACTATTTATCATCACTCCAGTTGCTGTGTAAATTATATCCCTAGATATAGATAGATAAATACGCGGCTCCGTCGCGTTCTTCCTTCGCATCAAAACCAGCCTTGCATACTGGGCAAAAATCTCTACGGTTTCTCAGGGACCCTGATTATACCCTATGATCCCTTTGCCTGATCCTCAGGAATTTTGGGTGGGACTTAGGGGGGGAGGGGGGGGGGGGGGTCTCCAGCTATGGTATTGAGGCCCATATAAGTGCCCAAAATTTCTGAAGTCGGTAGGTCTTGTGCAAATTTGAGGGTGTTTTCCCGAATTTTCTATGTTGGCTTCCGCCTACGGCGATCTTTTGTCCGAACTTTCCGATGGCTACCAACCAAAAATTTTTTTTGGGGGCGAGGTGTCTTTACTTGTCTTGTCTTGCCCGAACAACCCAACCACTCCCAACCATTCATCTCGGATCACCATGTATAATCAGGGGTGCCTCGGTAGTGCCTCAGTGGCTCTCAGTGGCTTCCCTCTCGGATATCAATATCTCTCACAGTATGATGTTATTCAACTGTGTATAGCTTCAAATCCTGTTTCGTCCTGTACCGGAACAGCTGAAATTCAGGTTGAGCTTGGCCAACGGTGCTGGAAGCGTACAATCCTGCAAATAACCGACGGAAGAACAACTACCCCCTTCTATAAGCACGTAGCACTGACCTGGATAACAGGTCAAAAACTCCTCTGTTCCGTTTCCATCACAAATACCCAGTGGAAGATGTTTTCTGCGCCTTCCGCAAATACCGGCTTATAGGTCCAATCTGGCAATTGTACATTCACACCTACTCACACCCGTTCATCATAAGTGCGACACGGTTAAAGTAAAAATGGAAAACAGCTAAACAAGATCCAAAGGTCGTGGCGAGAGATATTTGTAGTGATTGGGCCTTTTGGAAGTACTCCCTGCATATGATACCTGCTCTCATGGACTTTCTGTCCCAATATCAGTGTCCCTCATCGAATTCATTGATGAACATCAGATCTTTGAGCGCCTCAAGCTCTACGTTCTCTGCGGATATCATCAGATTGCTGGGAAGCTTCTATGAACCGTGTCAAATCTCGGTGTTGAAGACTTTGTATGCTTACTGATAGATCTCTTTGAGGTTAGTTTGAAGCTGACTTGATATCTGCAGCAGTCTGACCTTCGTTGGCTTTCTACTGAGTCGATAATCGATGGAATTCGAAGGTCTTACTCGAATGAATGTGTGAGGGGCAGTGCATTGAGCATAATGAGCAGTCTTCAGCAACTTCAGGTCTTCAACATACATGGAAACCATATTTTACCACGTTTTCCGACGAACGCGAATCAGAAGGTAAACAGCTTGCACTTATGTATGTTAGGTATGACTCACGTTGAGTCTTTGACGATCAATAGTTTGTTGCACTGCGATCTGTCTATCTGTGCGTTTCATTCTGGGTGTCGCTCTATGCGGATTTGTTATTTCATCTGGCCGTAATATTCTTCCATTGAAGGAAAGCACTGCTACATTGAGGGTTCGCACAGACGCGAAGGCGCGCGTCTGTATGCACTGCCGCATAACACTGATTATGAGTCGGGATAGTTTTATTGGATGGATTTACCTTGCTCTGAGGGGTTCGAATACTGCTACAATTCAGTCGAAATCAGAACTGAAAAGGGCCTTTTCCAGCGTCGCAAGTCGTTACTTGTCCTCGTTTTCTTCCCTACTACGCGTTTTACCACATTCCTTGACGATGCCAACGCTGTATATCCACCCTCTACTCTCCAATCAGCCATTCACAATGATAGAAGGAATTCAAAATCCTTCGCTCCTTTCATGGAACATCCGTGAAGCCCCGTCGACTTTTCTTCACGTTGAGACGGTGAAAAAACGAAGATTACGATCTCACGAACTATCGGCTCCTGCTACACAACCTCCTGTCACTCACTTGCACATCCGCTGTGGCATTTTACCTGACTCGGACACTTGGTATATCGAGGCGCAAAATCCGTTGGCAGTAACGGTGCAGGACATCTTGGATGCAATATACGAAGCATTCCAACAGCCCTTCTCGCATGAAGCGTTCAATACCTTGTGCCCAAAAACTCAAACGATAGTCCTGAACACGTTCCACGCGCGTGTGAGAGCCACACCGGATTCGAGAGTTGGATGGGAGGCTGGAATACAGAGGGGTGACTGTCTGATGCAACATTCTTGGTTTGGAGGGCTGTCTCTGCCTTTCGAGGGTAGAACTAACACGGAGAATGCATGTATCTTGTCAGTGAGGAGGATTGACGATGAGCTTTGGAAGATGACATGAGACGTGCTTTGGGCACAAATCAGCAGAATAACCGACATCAGGGTTGATAACCCAATCTAATGTTACGAAACCAACTCACCATAAGCTCTTCTCGGTCATGGCATCCAATACGGCAATATCCCCGGTCCACTACAACCTACTACAACTCATTCCAACTGCTTCCTCTGCCCATTTGGTGTCTTACATCTGGCCTGAATCGAGCAAAGTACGCACGACGCTGCGATGATGGCTGTTACGAGGTAGTCCAATGGCGAGAAAGAGCAGGATGAGAGGCGATGAAGAAGTTGAGGTGAAGAAATTTCCGCTGTTGGGATTGTCATTTGCTGCGGTCGCCGTAGTGGAGGAGGATGAAGATGAAGCAGTCAATGATGAGTGGGTTTGAAAGTTAAACTGAGGGGTGCGGTCATTACATAATAGAATCCACTTGCTCTTCAATCTCTTCCCTGTTGTGCACCTTAAAGAATGACTTCTATCCAAGATAATCAATTCATTCTGTGCCGTATGTTGAAGATATACTTGCTTTATTTCAAAATTCAATATCACTTTGGGTGGAGACTAAGTTAACTTGAATGTTACCCTTGCATTGGAGAAAAACATGGCTTACCGGAGTCTTCGACGCCTTCTTATCGAAGATGAAAGAACATTTAAAGGACGATGACCAGCACACTATGAATGGAGAATCCCTTGAGTCAACCTTCATTTGGCTTAGTCGACACTATTCTTGCATCTAGTACAGCGCCAGCCCCTGCCAGCCCCCTTATGCTCCTGCTGGCTTGTTGTCATTCTTGTTATAAATTGTTATAAACTATATGCAACAGCTCGGGATTATGAGGTGAATGGTCTAACTCTCCCCTGACTCCCCCGAAGGCCCCATCATCTTCTCCTACCTCATCGCACCTCATCGCACCTCCCTGCACTGCTCAATTCCAAGGGATCAGCAGGGATCAGTGGATTACCCGTCGGATGTCGGTGAGTTGTTTTACTTCTGCTCTGCATGTTGAGATCCGTAGGTATCCGAATCTAGCTCTTATCTAAGAAAAACCCATCGAATCCAAGATGTCTGTCATTACACTGCATAAGTTTGCGTTCGATGTCCCTACGAGGTCTCCCTTCTTCTCTCTCAAGTTACCATGAGTCAGCGCTGGTCGTTGAAGGTATATATATGTTGATTCATACCTTGCTCTCTTTGCATTTGATTCTGACTAGAACCTTTGAATTCATTCTGTCCTTCCAGACTCTACACTTGACGTTGGACAAGGAATAGTTCCCACTGAAACTGCTCTGCACCATCCTTCCTTCACGGTCTGAATCCCGAATCATCCATCATCATCATGCATTTTTGTTTTGCTCCCTTCGGCTTCAATCCCAAAGTCTGTTCCAGTATTCTGATCCCACTGGGGCTTCTGTCCATATCGTATGCTGCTGCTCTGCCAAATGTCGAGTCTCCCGTGGTGAGACTCCAAAATCAGTGCGACAGAGTGCCCGCTCTCTAACCCGTTCTTTCTTCGACTTAGCAGTCGAGGCCTTCACTACTTGTTGTCAACGGCAACGGCATGCCGCCCAATTTGAAAGCTATAGTTTTCTACAATAGAAGATCTTACAAATGGAGGGGTGTTATCCGCAATGTAGTGAAGAATAGTCCACTGCTGGTCCACTGCTGGGCCAGATTCACAATTTGATCGAAAGGGACATCAAAGCCAATGAAGCCGTCCAGGCTTACCAAGTCAGCGTTTTTTTTGCGCATAGTAATCAGCCTCCGAAATTCGAGAATCACAACTTTGTTCTTTCTGTAAGATACTATGTCGACACGGTAGAGCACAAGGATTTTCCAGGCTACAAGAGTGGAACGTTTACATTTATCCCGAAATGGGAAGATCACAAACCTACTTTGCAAAATCAAATATTGGACTCCACTTGGCAGTATATCGAACATCTTTACACTGCGACTGAGGCTTCTAACTCCACTAAAAAGTCTCTCAACCCCGCAGCCCAGTCCTTCGATCCATCAAAGCAGCCCGTCGTTCCTTATGATTTGAAGTTGGAATGGCATTAAGGATGGTATGTTGAAAATTATTCCAAATTAGCCGTGTTCACTTCTCTTACCTACGTTCTCAAGCTAAATTCGTGTGGATTCTTCATATCTTCTTCCCGCCTATGCATCGGAGTAGCTAATAGGGGTAGTGGTACCAGTGGGTCGTGTGCGGGTCAACTTCTAAAGAGTTGAGTAATGTAATCATAATTAGGCCAAGCATACTGTTGGAGAAGCTATTAGGCAGAAGACAAGAACGAGAGTGAGCAAATACGTACTACAGAGTTGTGCGAGAAAGTTTGCACTTCCTTTGACCTCCTCATCTAGCTTCAACCCAGTCTCTATCCCCATTTCAATACTGGAGGAGATAACGAGCTCCTTCCCCTGTAATTCGCTCGGCGCAGCTTAGAAACTGTTGTACATGCCAAAAAGGTGCCAATATTCGCTTAGTGAATCCATCACCTTCCCGCCGAGACCTTCGTAGTAGTTGAAAAGGGGGAGCTTGAACAGACGTGAACATTGTCCTCTACCCGACTTATGACTATCTTCACACAATTATCATTCGTTCTTCGAGCACTATCTGAGCATCCGGAGATATGGGCGGAGACTACTGTCACATGCACGAGCATTTTCGAATCGGTTTCGCGTAGAAATTTGACACCCCCGCGCGTTGTATGTTAGTGTAAAACGGTGAGGAAGACAGAGACTCAGAGGTGTTCTAGTCGCGACGATAATGAGTATCAGAAAGTAAAGAGTCTGACTATGATGAAGATTCACCTCCGGAGTAAACCTAAAACGTTCCATATACGAGTGGTTCCGCAGTGCGTGGTTTGCCCAAATACATTGCCTTGAAATGATATCCCGTTGAATTCACGCATCGGAGCTCACTGCGTCGCGTCGATTGCGACCAGCTGTGAATCATATAAGAGTTGAACCAAAAAGTAGTTAGACCTCTCACCGGACCTGCACCTTGCATCTACAATCATCTTGACACCTCTCCTTTTCTCTTGCACACAGGGAAATTTGCTCTAGGTCCGAGCACGGTTCCCTTGTCGCACAAGAATTTCCAAAGTTTATATCGAGTATATGAAGATCCTCGAAGGTTCATGTTGCGGAAGTGTCGCTAGTCACATAATACGAAATAACGCAATAGAAAGGACTCGGAGGGTGAGGATGGCATGCGAGGAATGGCGCCTCGCAAAGAAGTTATGTATCAGATGGAAATGAGAAGGAAGATAAGCATCAGCGCAATTAACATACGGTGACATGGTAGGGGACGCGTCGAGTGCGAAACGGAATTAGAAAGGAACTGCGGAGCGCTTAATTTTGTCCGTGGCCGGATCACGTGTGCGTTGACTTAGCCGTAACCCGGACCGTTCTGTTCAACGAACAACAAATCAGGACCTTTCAAGTGGGAACAGACAGAGAGATACGCAGGGGATTGTTGAGGTACGTTATATCTGCTGGTCTTCTCTCAATCTGCTAAAGACATGCTCCAAGATTTTTGCAATACATCTGATAGACACTCTGAAAATTCCGTCCTACTTTCCTGCTCCTGACGATTGTGTTGAAAACCAAACGCTGTCTACAATATTATCGGCTCATTACCATAAAACTCTGCTCAGTGTACTGTCTATCCCATGTCAAGCAAATAGAATCCTCCATTGATGACCTTCCTTGATAATATATCCCGACTCCCGCTTGCGATTTGAATGCTACTTTCGAAGCTCGAAATGTGATCGATACATGTAGTTTTTCACTATCCCAGTACTATTTTGTGCCCTAGTCGGATGCAATAGGTTCATGAGTCTTCCTGCGATGATCATCGTCATCCACGCCCCTTCAGAAGGTAGCGTTATTCCTATTCTATTGACTAGCGTCTAGTCTATTGACTGTGTTCACAAAGATCCTAGAATCACTCTTACCCATTTTCGGGCCAACTCGAACTTATCTTCGCTTCAACTCAGACCTGACTCATCTGTTTGCTGCCAGAGAAATCGCTCTCTTTAGGATGTGCGACGAGCAACCAGATGAGGGACTTGAAAACTTGGAAACCGTAACTTTTCGCCACAGCTGCCTCACATAGGGTGCTCCATTACTACAAGGAGTTTTGCTTATGGAGCATCCTCACTGAGCTTATCTACCCATCGACGATTTCACGTTATTGGACAACTCAGAACGGGCCACGAAATATATCATCAATCAGCGCCTAATTGCACCTACGAAGCTAATATGGCTTCGAATTGACTCTTCGAGGCCGGTGGCGTCGATACAACTTATATATACAGGCCTCGTGTTTGCTGCGGGCTCATTCCCTTTCCCTATATCTACACCGTTGGATTCAGGCTATAGCTCAGGCTAGCTATCTTTCGGATGGGTGACCAGTATCCACTCGAAGAGCTTCACTTCACCTTGAACCATGTATTCTTTCCACCGCAACTCCCGCAGAAGAGTGACGCTAGTGTATCCAGAAATTCTGCTTTGTGTAGGACTTTCGTCAACTTGGCAGAAGAGGTGAGTTTCTTCTCATTGAAGTACTTCTACTGATCGCTATGTCAGTACGATCAACACCTCGATCAGCCTTCTCACAATGCATGGGATCATATCATCACAATGCTTCGTAACTATCAAGACTCGCTGAAGATGGAGGACTTTGTTGTAGAAGACCTGCAGGAAGTCTTCCAATACTTGGCCATTGGCGGTGGGTTTTGCACATACACCAATCAGTGAATTGGTCTAATTGACGGCATGTTGGGCTAGGCTTTCTCATTCTTCACATCAGAAAACAGAATGCGGGTCTCTTTATACGTCGACTAGCTAACGGAGATGTATCCATCGCTTCTTTCGAAGTTTCTTTTCCAAACACTGAAGTGATGCAGGCGGAGTCCCGCATTGCATGTACCTATCCTGGACCTGCAATTACGCTGCCTTCGTCGGTATGGCTCAACACGTCCTTCAGCCATGAACTTGGGAACTTTCTATATCATATGAACAGAGATGAACTCTATCATGCTGAAGCCCATACGAAAAAAGCAAAATCTACGGTCGTTGAAATACGCGACGTCCCGGATCCGAAATACATATCAGAGCTTCTCATGGGCATCTTCCACGGCATTGGCTCTCCTACCCCCATTGAGGATGTCCATTTTGTGAGGAAACGCATTGCTGATGATGTTCTCTGGAAGAACGCCCTTCTTCCGTGGCGCAGATCGCCTGTATATCTTGTCCTGCGAGTTGGTTTGCAGCTTGCACTTTCCTATCTGTACGGTTCTCTGGATGCGCATCACCACCAGTATAAAGCTTTCATGGCCTTTGCTCACGCCCGTATGCTACATGACGCTGTGCAGGATCACCCGGAACTAGAAACGGACCTGCTCTATGCTATGCGCACGAAGGTTGCAAGACGCGTTCATAAACTGGAAAAAAGTTCATCTGGTGTCTCCGCTGGTGACAGCGTTCCGTCGTATGTTTTGACTGCTGCGCAGGAGGCATCGAATGCTGTGCAGCAGGTGCTGCAAGATAGGTGGACGAAAGTCGAGAGACTACAGGACCAATCGCCCGAATGGGATCCCGATTCACTGGATTTCGAGGCTGATACTCACCTCCTCCTCACAAATGCTCGTCCTCGTATCCTTGAAGGTCTTCGACGCTCCAACTTTCCACCTCCGTCTTCACCGTTTGTACCACACCATCCTCGTCGCCTTCGCTATGAGACGGACTTTCGGTGCTTCACACCTGCAAAGCTCAACACAGTCTTCACCGATGATGCACGTGTTGCGCTCGCGGACTTTGAATATGTTATTCATACCCATCTGGGGCTGTGGGCAAAGGCGAACCTCATGAGCCAGGACGCATCGAGGATAATTTTTGAGTGTATGGAAGCCTACCTTTCGGGAGCGCGCAGGACATACACTGACAACAATCCGGAAGACCAGTCGCATATGCTCCTTGCTTTATCTGCTATGTGGGTTTCTCTAGATAAGGTTGTTGTCGCGCAGCTGCCCCTCCTTGCTCAATATTCCCCCGAAATCACCACGAACCTGCTTGAATCTCTTCTTTTGCGACAGACAAATGAGCTGAGTGCGCTGCGAGATATAGTGCAGTACATTACTGAGCGACACACCAAGGCGCAAGTGACGGATGGCATCTTCACTGATTCGGATGGTGATTCCACTTTCTACCAACAATACTTCCATTCATCCTATGTTCTTCAATCTTTGAAAGAAATGATTGAAAATGATGCATCGACAAAGCGGGAAGAATGTCGTCGTCTTCTACAAGAGCGGAATGATACTTACCACACTCTGACGGCTAGAGCGGGGTCTTTGGCCCATGTCCACCAGGAAATCAAAATATATAAGAGAAAACGTTGGAGGATATCTGAAGATACGAGCAAGTGTCGAAAGTGTTCTTTAGAAGAACAAGCTAAAAAGATACCTCCCATCAATGTTCATGAGTGGCCTTTACCATCCAATTCCAATGATGCTAAGCGAGTTTGCTTTGAGCTTTCTTGCCCTGAGTCATTCGAACGGTGGAGGGCAGCAACTTGGTTGCTTCTTTATGATGTCGGAACTGAGAAGCGCCGTAACATGGCTCAACAGTACGGGATGCTTCCGGGAAGCTATCCGATATCACGACGCTCGCCGCCTGTTCAATTTACCCTTGCCACATCCACGAAGTCATTCAAAATATCTCATTATAGTAGTCGGCCGATACCAGCCAGAGAGAGCGATGTCTTCGTCAATTGCGGAAGTACGTGGAAATTATATGATATCTGCACTGAATGTTGGGCGGCAAACCAGCCTTTCCTAGAGGCTTCCTTCTTGAAGATGTGCACGCCGTCCGCCACAGGGGCGTATGCGTCGTTGAACTTTTCCCTGGAAGGAACTAGTCACACACCTAACATGGTCATTGCAGCTCAAGCAGACTGTCACCCTAACCTCAGCCTTCACGAATTCGTTGCGTTCGGCTCTCTTCGGAGTGGTGGGAGACTGCAATGGATGAACATAGCACGTGAACTTGTAGCTGGAGATCTATCTTTCCATTGTGAATCTGTTCATGCCCTCCTAGTTCAAGCTGCCTTACAAGTTGGGAGTTGGGAAGTCTTAGATGATGGGCACTGGGTGCTGGATTGGCACCAAGAGCTTGAGAATGAGGTGTTCACTTCCAAGCTCTTTACTGCATTAGAGAATCTCATGCTTGCAATATCAACAAATTGGGATGCTGTTGTGAGCCTAAGGGGGGTCATCCTCCTCACTTGTCGTATTCTGTCTGGTAACCAACCCCTGTATGTCAAGGATCAGGCATACCGCCTACTTCGTCGTTCACGACAGATCGCAATGGAATGGATAGCACAACTGAAGCCCAAACTTTCTTCAGCCAATGAGGATCATGGCACCATCCTTTCCATGCGGCTATGTGAAATCGCAGCTACCTGTAGAGCAACTTATAGTGGCGATCCAGCCCATTCAACTAAACTTCTTCAAAACAACAATGATATCTACACCTTCATCTATTGTGCTGCCATTATCCACGAGAATTCACCATCCAAGCGTGGTGGGCTTTCGAAAGAATTTTGTCGTTTGTTAGATCGAGATGAGAGGCTGGCTGTCAGTGTATATGATCATCTTAACAATCTTTCGACAAAGAGCTGTGCTGGGGTGGATCAAGCAGTGTCATTGTTGTGGCCAGCGTATCGCCCATATGGGAGCTGGGAAAGGCTTGGCTTACCAAATGAACGTTGGGTGGAAACCAGGACAGCACCTTCATCTTTCCATGGAATCTCGCAGCGGGTGCATCTTAATTTACTCGATGGGCAGCTTTTGATTGAAGGAAAGCCGGTCGGACGTTTGCCGCGAAAGATTACGGACCATGCTTTGTATACAAGGTGTCTACAGCAGGTGAGTCTTGTCGTTCCTTACTCCGATGTTGGTACCCACGCTCCCTATGAAGAAAATACTGGAAGTAATACCATCAGACATGCCCGGGATGGAATACGCGACTCGTAATCTAGTTTTTGGGTCTGAGGTACAGTCTTTTACAGTTACGTTTCTCCGGTCTTGATAAAACCTGAATAGATACACTTTGCTTGTCAAAACACTGATGACTTGGTCATAAGGACTCGGCAAAATAATCAGATATCCGAACTTATACCCCACAATTATTTTGATCGAGATCTTCCGAGACCGTTGGTGAAGGACTACGTTCACTGGCTTCGAATATCCCAAGAGATCATTGAACTGTGTCCTCTCCGTCATCCATGGTTTTCATCATCTTCAAACAACTACATTGCAAATGTCATCGATCTGCCGTGTATGGTAATGGGTGACCAACGTCTTATTGACCCTCACAGCCGAACAGCGTGCATGATCAATTTACAACTCGAACCTCTTGAATATGCAGATGAAATCATCATTGCATACCCATACTTGACCAGTGTTGTCACTATCAATCTCCCCCGCTTCCGTTCAGAATTTCTCCTCAAGGACCGATATATTCAGAGCAAAAACATCCCGGGATTTTGTGTCGACCATCGTAGATCCACAGGAACATTCTTTGGACTCCGAAACCAACTTGTCCTCCATCCCATGGACATGCAGTCGACTGAAATGCGAAGAGTGCTCGTTCCATATGGGATAGTCCAGGTCCAGAAATCTCTTGACCATGTAACTGTGGAGATAAATCACCATGCAAAAAGTCCAGCCACTTATTATGAGTACCTGGTCAACACAGACCTAGGTCACCTTGAGTCCAGCACTAGTCTCACAGCCAGACTTTACAAGGTTTATCTTCATGCTGTTTCAAGTGGGCGGCTTCCAGACCCTCTGACTGGAAGGACTGGGACGGAAGAAGCATTGCTGGAGTACTCCTCTGCATCATGCATCACATTTCTGGACTTAGAAAACCCGGACAGGGAACTTCTTGCATCCATTCATGGATTGAGTCCTGAACGTACATTCTATCCAAAGAATTTAGAGGTCATGCAGAGCATCCTTTGGCAGCCTGCAGGCTTGGCAGTACCTCCTCTGAGCATGCACAGTGCATTCCCGCGTATTACACACAACATCCTGGAGTATGCTCAAAAGATGTCCCTCTTTCTTCCAAACAGAACATCTGGCCATTTCACTCTCTACTCGGAATCCTCCCCGTTACTCTTGAGGAAAGCTGAACTGCGTGAAGCATTATTCCATAACCCTGATCTTCAAGGGATTGGCAATTTTGATTGGTTTTCCCAAGATAGCTCTCATATTCTCCGCTCTATCAGACCAGCAAACCCTGTGTCGAAAACTTCACAGCAAATCTCTCACGCATACACAGAGGGCTTATTTAGCACAGAGTTCCCTAACCTCTACACACTGTTCAAAGAGTGGAATTCCATATCTCCGGCATCCAAATTAGATATCGACATCTCATACAATGAACATTGGTTGGCACCGTCGTTTGGCAAGACATGGTTTTCAACTGCAAATCTGCTGAGAAAACAGGGACCGAATGCTCACTATCAAGCTCTATTCACGTTTGCCGCAATGGCTTATGAAAGTCCACAGATCAACATCCCCGTCATTTCGACGTTTTTAGCCTTTGGCATTGATTCACGTTTTCGAGTTCCGCACTTTTCTCTCCCTAAATTATCCTCGCCATGTACCAGCTATAATCTCGAGTATGGTCTTGAGCCAACGCTTGGTTATATCAAAGACCTCGCATTTATGGCAGCACGCAGTATGCATTCAGCACCTTGGGAGGCCAATGATCTTTCCCAGCATGAAAGCGAAAATGATCGGGCATTCTTGGATCGCATTAACAAGGATTATGAGCATCAGCGAGATCAACTAGCCTTGGAAATTACACGGCATTATTCGTCATGTTGGCCGACAGAGAACTTGTATCCACCTCCTGATCCCATTTTAGCTCGCTTGTTTGACATGCCCAATCTACACGAATCTATGACCAACATCTTCGTAAACTGTTTTCAAAATATGAAACTGAGCCAATTTCTGCAAGAGGTTCAGGTTGCACTCCAAACCATTCCCAGCCATACTTTCCCCTTGCTACGGACAGTCTCTCTCCCTGAAGGAGAAGCTGCACATTCTAGTACGGCATACCTCCAAAAAAGGATCATGTTGAAAGTCCTGTTGAATCAAACAGCCCCGCCACAAAGAGATGCAAATGGCTTTGTCATTCCCGATACTCAGAAGCTGGGAAACCTTCTAAAAGAGTTTGCACAATCGCCCAGAATGCTTCTGCAACTTTACGGGGAGCAACTCGATACAAGTCGCCTTGCTCTTCGCTCCATGAGGATAGATGAAACCAAGCAGGACTCGCGCTACTGCCAATCGCGTGATGAGATTATAAGCTGCTTGAACCCTCGGACTGGGCCGCAGTTGCTCTTACAACAGGCAGGTCAATGGCCGAGGTTGACAGTGAGAACGCTTCTTCGCCAGCTGTCCCTCGAGATGAGAAAGGGATACCCATTACAATGGCAGCATGTCTTGACATCTCTAGCATGCGAACTTCTTCATCTTCAACGCGCCAGGCGACTCCTTGAGTTCCAGCGAAGTCAAAGTCCACATTACATCCCGGAAGTTGATGCAATTCCAACTTCGTTTGTAGACGCTAAGAAGAACCCTGAGTGGGTCTTGATCCAGGTAAATGATTTCTTTAATTTTCAGACAAAATCTCACCATACCGTTTTCTAATACAGGTGGAAAGCCATTTCACTCTTCGTCCATTACAGCATACAGTCCTGCATGAGATGATATACCCCTCCTCTAGCCAGAATACGGTATTTCAGTTGAATATGGGCGAAGGGAAGTCATCTGTTATTGCACCTCTCGCGGTTGCAACTATGGCAGATCAAAGGACTCTGGTTCGACTGGTAGTGTTAAAGCCGCTTGCGCGACAGATGTTCCATCTCCTTGCAGCTCGTCTAACGGGTCTATGTGGACGTCGGATATTTTATCTGCCCTTTTCACGGTCAATAGATATGGGACCCACGCAGATCGAGAACGTTCGGTCTCTCTTGCAGGAGTGTGTGGATGTAGGAGGTATACTTATAGGTCAACCAGAACATATACTCTCCTTCCGTCTCCTCACAGTTGAACGACTGATCAAAAACGACCGCACTGGGCCGACTCTTTTAGAGCTCCAAAAATGGCTTTCACAATGTTCTCGAGATATACTTGACGAAAGCGACGAGATTTTGCACTCAAAGTACCAGCTCATTTACACAATGGGAAAGCAACAACCTCTTGAAGACCATCCCGATCGGTGGACAACAATCCAACAAGTGTTTTCTCTCGTATCGCGACATCTAAAACGGCTCAAAGACAGGTTTCCTATGGATGTTGAGGTTCTTGATAATGAGCCAGGCTCATTCCCCTCTCTACGTCTACTGAAGCCTGCTCCAGGTGCAACTTTGGTAGAATGGTTGACCGATGATATCATGACCGGAAGGCTGGAGAACATACACTTCGGCTTCCTTGAATCCAAAGATCAGGAAGCTGTTCGGAAATTCGTGGCTTGCTTTGATGTCGATAATGAGAACGTTGCCATCGTCAAACGTTGCTTCGAATCTAGCGGGAAGTGGGGTTCAGTGCTCTTGCTTCGAGGTTTACTCGGTCAAGGTTTGCTTGCGTACGTTTTGATGAAACGCAGATGGAGAGTAGATTATGGACTGGATCTCAAACGGTCGCTCCTCGCAGTTCCATACCGAGCAAAAGATGTCCCCTCCCTAAACGCCGAATTTGGACATCCCGACATCGCGCTGCTCCTGACGTGCCTTTCGTACTACTATCAAGGCCTGAACAAAGACCAGCTTCTCGCAGCATTCCAACTGCTTCTGAATTCAGATAATACTGCAGCGGAATACGAGACATGGATTATGGGACTAGATCTTCCCGCTGAGCTTCGCCAGGAGACAGGTATCAACCTCGAAGATCCGACACAGCTAACAGAAATTCTCTTACCTCGATTTCACCAAGCAAAACGTGTCATCGACTTCTATCTCTCAGCGGTGGTGTTCCCGAAAGCTGCGAAGGAGTTCCCCACTAAGCTCTCTACGTCTGCATGGGATCTGGCGGAGAAGAGTGAGAAACTTAAAACAGGGTTCAGCGGCACAAATGATAATCGGTACCTTCTACCAACGACAATGCAACAGCAGGATATTCCCGGACAGGAAAGTACCAGCGCAAGAGTGCTTTCCTATCTACAACAACCTGAGAATGGGCCGTGCATCTCCCCGGACAACCTTGCGCTCGAATACGTGTCTCTTCAAGTCTTGCTGTCTCACGTAGCATCACTACCTACACCTGTGCGCGTTCTATTTGACGTCGGCGCTCAAGTTCTGGAAGTCAATCAGGAAGTTGCCAAGATGTGGCTGGAGATAGACAGTCAAGCTCAAGCCGCTGTTTACTTTGACGACAAAGATGAGGTTTCCGTGTTGACGCGCGATGGTTCCGTTGAACCTTTTATTTTTTCGTCCTTCCGGAACAGGCTAGGCGAGTGTGTTGTCTACCTCGATGATGCCCACACTCGAGGGACAGACTTGAAGTTTCCTCGTCAAGCTCGCGCTCTAGTGACTCTAGGTGAAAAGGTGACGAAGGATAGGCTAGTGCAAGGCAAGTGTTCGCTGACCTATATTGAACAAAAGGCTGATAGATTCCACGGACAGCATGTATGAGACTGCGCCAGCTTGGACATGGACAAAGCGTCTTGTTCTTTGCCCCACTGGAAATAGCCCGTACTATTCGCGCGGATGCCGACAAGAGTGACGGAGATACTATCGAAGTAATAGATATCTTGCGATGGGCGATGTTGAGGACATGTGAAGATATAGAGCATCACATTCCCCACTGGGTGCAGCAAGGGGTTGATTTTCACGAACGAAACCTCGCGTGGACCGTAGCAAAGGAATCAACGCCCGACCTCGCTGAGTTGAGCTCCGCTTGGCTACGTCCAGAAGCAAGAACATTAGAACAGTTGTACCTTCCACACTCTGCTCAAACCGCTCAAACTTCGTCTTCTACCGTTGCAAAAGCACATGAAATTCCGGAAATTCAGGCCCGACTTGACTTGCTTGGTATCATGAATGTAGGGGATGCCAGTGTGGATGAAGAGCAGGAGCGGGAGGTTGCACAAGAAGTTGAACAAGAACGCCAACTGGAGCGCCCGCCTCCATCCAAGGCGCTTCATCATAAGGTTCGGGATGAAGTCCGTTCCCTTGTCAGGACCGGGAACTTCAACTCGAGCTCCTTTGCATTTCTTCCTCTATTTGATGCGGTCCCGTTAGCGGTACGGAAGCGACTGCGTCAGGGCGTCTCACCATGGAGTAAAGAGCTTTGGGCAACAAGAGATTTCAATATCACAATAAAAAACAACTCGTCGAAGGCCCGGGAGCACATGCGTCCGGTGAACTGGCTTCTCTCCACCCGTCCAACACTATCATCTGCTATGAATATTATCATCCTTAGTCCATACGAGGTCCAGGTACTCCTCCCAGAAATACGAAAGAGCACAAATGTCAACCTTCATATCTATTCTCCTCGAATAAGGCGCGAGATGCAAACCTTTGAAGATCTGAAATTTTTCTGCATTCCATCCCTGGAATCTACCTGGTCTATCCCCGACACCATTGTTATTTCTCAGCTGAACCTCTTCTCTGGCCAATTGTACTTCGCCAACTACGACGTTTATCGTAATTTGTGTGCGTTCCTTGGTATGGGTGTGCATTTTGAGGGCACAGCTGGCCCGGTTATGGATACCGATGGTTTTGTGCGGCCAGCAGCAAGATCTGATACAGAAATCCAGACATTTTATACAGGCTGCCCATTCGTAGTTAGCCCGGTGCCATTCCTACAAGAGTTGACCGCTCTTCGGAGAAAGGGCAACAAGTTTTTCTCGACACATATGGGGAAGGTTGTTCATGGTAGATTTTTGGCAGAGCAGCACTTTGATTGAAATGGGTGTGTATTTGCGCAAGAATGATATGTTGATTCGTGTGGTGACAAAACTTGACAGACGACAATGGCGGTCTGTTTCGTATGAAACTCATATGAATAATCTTGAAATTTAGAATAAAATGGTCTTGAACATAGTTTATGTTGTAGTTTAGATCGTCGTGGAATTGAATACATATATGTACCAGGACCCATTGTACCTGATATTTGCCTGGTATGTGCAAGGACATGTTTCGAGAAACGACTCAAAGACTAATGCCCAGGTTCTAAGTATCGTTCCCAACATGAGCATGGCATGATCCTTTGATGTTGTCAAGCAGTACTAGTATTATACAGGGCAGCACTGCAGCAGAGTACCAGGGAACACATTCACATATAATCTACAGCTGATGAAACCGTCCGTTGAATCCAATTCCACCCATTTGATCCTGAATCTTAGAGAAAGCTATAGGAATCCTGGAAGAAAAAATCTAGCCAAAAACTTTGGCCCAAATCTCGCGACCAGCTCTTCTTCTCTCCTCGGCAGCACGTCCATTACCGAGAACAGATTTATTCTCTATCGCACGTCGACTGAGGTAGGGCATGGTTTCTGTCAGTGATCCATATGGGACAGCTCTGCGGACGGAGAATCGGCCACCGTCAGTGACCCAACATAGAAGGTGCGCAAGAATCCGAAAACTCACTTGAGGACCATTGGTGAATTGGAGCTGGTTCTACGTACAATGTAGTCAGTGAGTTCGTCGCACATACCTTCAAAGAAACACTATTAGTCAGAAATAATATAAACCGAAAGACATACCATAGAGTTGTGCCAAGGTAACTCTTTCAGTTACTTCGTCATCTAGCTTCAAGACAGCCTCTCCTTCTCCATTCTCAACGCCAACAGAAGTGGCGAGCCCGTTTCCAAGTAATTCACTCAGGATCAGCTTAACACTGGCTCCGTTGTGCGAGCCGAATAAAACACCAATATTCGGTAAACCAGAAGACTTCGCATCATCCTTCTTGTAGAACCACCTTCCCACCGAGAGCTTTGAAGTACTGGATGAAGCAGAAGCAGAGTTCGAACGAATGTCGTCCTTCACCCAACCTACGACCATCTTCACACACTCGTTGTAACAACTATCCGTCTCGTTCTTCGACGACCATACAGGTGGTAGCGCGTCCGGGGATATCGAAAGAGACTCTTGTTTTCCGTGTACACGAGCGGCTTCGTGTGCAGAGACTTCGTGTGGGTGATAGGCCCCGCGCACGAGTTTGACTCCGAGCGCGTAGTTGTTTGCCTGGGCATCACGGTAGGATTGTGCAAGATGAAGAGGGGTTCTAGATATCAAGTGATGAGCATTTGGAGGAATCTACTTGCGGCGCTGGTGGAGACTTACCTTCGGAGGTAAGCCTGGAACGTTCCATACACGAGCGGCTGCACGACTGGACCAGATTTATCGCCTTGAGATGGTATCTTGTTAAATTCACGCATCAGAGCTAATTGCATCGCGTCAATAGCGGGTTGGTACCAGCTGCAAAATCAGATATGAGTTAGGTGAAGGGGTTGTTTCTTCGGGATAGAAGTACCGCCGAACCTGTATTCCGCATCTATAAGCAACTTGACACCTCTCTCTTGTGCACGCAGCGAAATACGTCTAAGGTCTGAGTACAGTTCTCGTAAAGACGCGATGTCCTTTTCACTCAAGAATTTCGAGTCCGCGGTTGTGTTGAGTACATTGAGGTCCGTGGGCCGCGGACATCCTGGGAAGGGAATTGAAGGTTCATGTTGTGGACGTGTCGCGAGAATATGTGAAGATAAGGCGATAAGCGATTGAGCATCCGGCAGAAGTGCAGTCTGCGTACATGACAATCATTTGGGAAAGTTTGACCTAGATTGGAAAAAGATAACACACCAACTTGATCGCGACCCAGGTCCGTCTACCACTGCGCGCATGGTGGCCGACGATACTATCCTCGAAATCAGCTGCAACGTCTATTGACCTGACCATTTCATCCACACATCGTTTGTGTACCGGCTGTGCTTTCTTCTTCGACGATGTATTAGAGGCAGTAGCTTCGTTCTCGTCTACTTCTATGGAATATGAGAATAGAACACCTTTATTTGCCGCACGGAACGAGGAGAGTAATGGCAGTGTGCCTTGAGCAGTGTCGCCGCCGACGAACTAGATGGCGAAGAAACATTCAGTATATACTAGAGATCCAAAGTGCATTATATACCGGACCTTTTATGAAAAGACACACACCTGATCGAAGAATGTCACCCTCACGAAAGTCTCGGTTATATTCCGTACAACTGGAATCCCCATGAGCACCTTCAGCAGCTTTGGCGCAGCATCGACCAAAGTTGGGAAGGAGCACATCGAGTACACGAAGTACGCACGGACAAGGCTGCGTAACGAGGTTGAATCTGAGCTGGAAATACGCGGTTCAGGTTTCTGTGGCAAGTTGCTATCGGCGTGTATAGTGGGGTGCTCTGCGAGAAAGGCTGTATAGCCTAGTCCCACACCCACTAGAGCCAGAGTTCCACCCAATCGCCGGGATTTTGCATAATGTCTGTGTTGCTGTCCAAAACCGGGAGAGAATGTACGTCGGAGAGCTGTTTGCCTGGCAAGAGCAAACATGGATGGGCCCTTCTAGTAAAAGTAGAAGAACGTTGATAAAAGAACGTTGTGATAACGGGTGATCGGTAAAACATCTATAAGCATGTGATGTCGCATGGATGGAAGGAACAACGTCAAGTTCTCAGCGCTCAGCACTGGACTTCTCGACTACTTCCAGTTCTTTCCAGTTATGTACATGTGTAATAGGTGGCACGAAACGCTGCAAAATGCCTCAAAACCTCTCAAAATGCCTCAGGCCTCAATTTCCTTGCTCTGTTTTCATCACCTTGCTTGCACGGGTCCAATGGTCAATGAACATCACCTTGCTTGCAATGGTCAATGAACATCCATAACCTCAAGCGCCCATGCAAAATTTCCTTTTAAAGTCATGTTTCTCCGATCCGATGCATCGCCTTTGCCCTATAAGGCAATCATGTGACCCTTTTGTGAACCTTCATGCAGCCCTGATTTACTTTCCCTTCTACAACCCTGCGCTTGCCTGCGCGCCTATTTCATTCAATCCACTTCCTGACGTCCGACGCTGTCAATGCTGTCGTCCCCACCTGGTCCAGCAGCGAATGCGAAATATTTCACCATATTAAATGTATCTGGATTGGCAGTCCTGCGATGTGTCCTGTCCCCCCATTCCCATCGCATACTCGTAATCGCTGTAACCTTTCCATGAAATGGGCTACAATGATCATACCTCGAGTCTCTCATCTTTTGTCACTCCACCTTGTTGAACTTTGTCTGCCGCCCACTTTTCCTGCCCATCTGCGATCATTATCATCCCTTCGCCAGCTTGTCATCAGAGGATGTTGTCTTGCTGCTAATACTTCTTTTCACGAATGTCACTACCTCATTACCCGACTGCACATCGAAGGATTGTGCTGGCATGACCACACTAGCCGGTCCTTCGAACTTATCCGCGCTTGCCCCGAATGAACACTTGAAGCTCGATTGGTTCCGTTACCTTTACGATGAGGATCACGTAATTGCTTACCTGCGTACAGAGCCAACGTCCATATCAGCGGCAGCCACACTTGGAAATTAATATCAGAGTACGTTATCCGATGTGGAAGAGGTTGAACGTGTGTCGGTTTAACGATAAAGTCGCCGTGTTCATGAATGATGACATTAGGTTTTGGTTTGAGTGGGAGTACGACGAGTTTTGATTCTGGATCTTGGCTGGGTTAATGTCATTCGGAACAATGAAGTTGAGTAGAATGCATTGATAATAAGACTTTGATATCACAACGCAATCTGAAATCAATGTTGTCCGGCACGTGAGAAGCACCGCAAGCAAGGTGTATGTCCCCAACGGGGTACGTTAATTAATGAACATCCATAACCTCGAGCGTCCGTGCAAACTTTCCTTTTAGATTTTACGGCAGAACAGGGTCATATGATTGCCTTGAAGGGCAAAAGAGATCCGCCCTTTAGGCTTCATCTAACGGTGACTCCAACCCTGCACTCTACCTGCCCCACCCGGGGCCACAACAAATTCCCTCACTATTTTCAGAAGCAACGCCAGCTGCAGCCTGCACGCAAGAAAGTGTGTGTCCCAATGGAGTACGTTGATGATCAACAGGCTTCAACAGGCTGAAGAACAACAACGTGACATTCAATCACATATGAGCTTCCTTCACCCGGTTCGCTTCAAGCAACGGATCTGATGCAGATCATGGTTTTTAACGGCTATCCGACGCTGTCCGACGCTATCGTACTGGAAAAGCAAGATAAAAGGCTGGGGGCCTTCAAACTATTTCCCTCACTCCGCTGGTCGTTTTTCGTCACCTGTTTGCTGGTCAAAGGTAAGGCCCCACCGTCAAATACTACTCTTTCAACTCATACCTTCCGTCACAGATCTTGTTCACTCAAAAACCATCTAATAACATTGACTCGCTGTCATTCTTCGACGATTCTAAAATCCGAATCCGATTATCATGCATCTCCATCCTTCCAGCTTGAGTTTCAAAGTCTACTTCATCTTAATCTTCAAGATAATTGCATATGTCGCTGCTGTTCCTGTTTCCAGCGGCTCAGTGAGTTATTGCTCTTGTATCAGTGTCGAAAAATAGTTAGTCTCATTAGATCTTCCAGGGAGCGGAGGTGGCAGGTCCATCAAATTCGCGTGGATCGGAATCTCCTAGTGGTTCCCAAACCAAAGTCGTAGTAGACTTCAACCCAGATTCTGTCGAGCTCGATCGTAGTAAACCTGCTGAGGTGGTCACAGCCTCTCCCTGGGCTTTTCTTTCCGACGCTGAGAAAAAAGAATGGTCAGATGGGATCAAGAAAGTGATCGCAAAAGGTCTCTCTCATGTCGAATATGAGCTCGCAAATCAGGAAATTATTGTGGACTCCCCGATTGGATTCCCCAGCCCCGAACGCGATGGCAAGATTTATTTTGTCATCCCCGCATCACGTACAAAGGGTTATATCATATTGGGAAATGGGTCTCTCTCCTTCAGCTACGTGACCAGCCGCCACCAATCTATCAGAAAAGACCTGGTTCAGACCGATCCAACTCTCAAAGTAAGTGGAGGTTTACCTACCCACCATCCTACAAACACTTACACGGTATCAGACTGTATTGCAAACCCTCTTGAAAATTCGCACCAAGGCAGAATCTCTGAAAAAGGATGCTTTGATGGCCAAATCGAAGAATTGATGATCTTGAATGTGGTTGAGGAAGTGGAAAGAAGGCAGGAAGTTGTTATATAATTTAACAAGGAGGTAACTGAATTTTGAGAAAGCCTACGATGCTCCGAGTTGCGATGAAGTTCACTATTCTCTAAGGCTTGGCGCTACGTGGGTGAGATACATAAACAAGATGAAGCGATGGGGCGTCGAAGGGCGTCGATTGCGACTAGAGACAGTACTTCTTATTCTCCATCGCGTCACTCGCTCGTAACTGGTACTCGTTTTTCGTATAGTACCCATCGTCACTCAGCTCTGCCAAAATCACAATGCTTTTGGGCGAACTACCAAATTGTTCTTGAAGAATTTCGGGGACTATCATGGAACGATGAAGCTCTTATACATGCGGGGCAGAAACGCATTGTTCCCAGCGAATATCGCGATGTAACATAAAAACGTACACTCAACCAACAGCATACGCCTCGCTCATCGTCTGTACCAATGTCTCGAGTTGTTCAAAAGGAAGGAGCATTAGCCGACCACGAGTGTCTAGACCAAAAGATTCCGAGTCCCGAGGTTCAGCGGGAGCTGCTGTGAACGCATAGTCAATTGCATGACTAGATGCCTAGGAACCGAGTGAGTGAGCAAGGACTACATCTCCATCTACGTGATATACCTGTTTAATGAATTCGTCCTCGGGATGAAATAAATAAACTCCATCCACTGGCCGTGACATTGTCGGCGCAGTAGTGACCGCTTTAGTCTTTTTCTTCTTGTTGGTTGGGGACTTTGATTTGATGTTTGTCAGATAGGTTTCCTCTTCCACGGAAAGGTGATACGTCCGTGATATTACGATGAGATGGCTGAATTTAAAGGCTTGGTTCTACGGTATAATGAGCGATAGGCAAATAAAAAGAAGAGGACTATCGTACCGCAGTGACCTCTCCTTTCAATTCATCCTTCAACATACGGTACATCGGAGGTATGACCTGAACTGGCATGTTGATAAGACGCTCGCAGACGACCAGTCCGACATGATGCTCTGTTTGAGAAAATAGATTTTGTAGAATTGTATGCAGCGCGGGATTCGGAAGAGACTTTTGGAGGAAGTAAACAACCAGGGCTTTTATAGAAGGATTGTCCTGAAAAGGCGATCGATAATTGTGTCAGCAAAGAAGACTAGCAGTACGCGAACCTGATGCGCATGCATATTTATGACCGTGAGTAGAGCATACGGATCGCTTTCCTGCCCATCCGTTTTAACAGTCGTACCAATCGTCGGCTGACTCAGAATGAGCTCAGTAAGCTCATGAAGATGAAAGAGATCTGCATCCTGTTGGAATAATTGCACAAGCAGACGTTTTATAGCTTGATAATCGACATTGGGATTGGGATTGAAAAAGTCAAAGTCGACATCGATCATGCTCTACTGAAGAGATTTGAATGGATAAATGTTTGCAAATTCACGAAAGACTCACAACGTCCGAATCCGAGTCAGATTCATCCTGACCAGTTTTTCGTTTTGCCATAGTACTTGGTACAAGGATGTGGATAAAGTGTTCTGTTTATTGAACAAACAAAACGGCCCGGATTCATCTATGCAGGCAAATCGTTAACAACGTGAACCGAAACTTGATTTTGTTTTCCTCTGGGTATCTCCATCGTTCATCATGACGAAGACGTACCAAATGAATAGCCTTATTGAAAAAGTAAGGTTGTTAACCTTATCTACATCAATTCTCTTCTGAAATCTTGCATCGTCCTCTGCAGATGCAGTCGCCAGACCAGGACTTTCGGTACAATCGTATCGTATCCTTCATATGATATACAATAATTCTGATGATCTCGTACAGATTCATGGGCCTTAACGACTTGATGACCGAAATCAAGCAGGATCCGCAATGTTTCTTGGGCGATGAAACCGTCGAGAACAAAGTCTTGAAGCAGGTTCTTGCTTTGGTGGAAGACAAAATATCAGAAGTGAAGAACCAAGCAGTAAAATGGTCGGTTGCCAAACCTTCTGATGGGGTTTTGCCTCCCTCATACACCAACCAGCTTAGGTCAATTAATCAAGATTATTCGTCAAGTTCAAATGGAACTCGTAGTGGACAAGCTGATTGAATTTTCGGGCGGTAAAGATCAGGAATTGCGTGATATTTCTGCTCTAGGCATGTAGATTCTATCTATCCGTCTATCGCCTGACTGACATTTATCCTTAGCACTGAAGACCATAACTGCTGAATTGCCACCCGATGGACGAGTAGCTGCCTCCGCTTGCGCAAAACTGACGCCGAAACTCTTGGCCCAGATACAAAGCGTGCGTCACGCGTAGCCATATATTCTCTCTCTGCTAACGCGTTTATCCTCAGTCAGATACGCCCTCAGAAGCTCTTGTCGAAACTTTGGCAATCTTGTCAATCCTGATTAGCCGATTCCCATCCCATTTATCTGCTTCATCGTTAACGCCCCATCCACTAGCGGTTCTCGTTCCTTTACTATCTCATCCTCGGCCGGTAGTACGAAAGCGCGCGATTGTGACGTTGTCCCAATTTATCACAATATCTCCCCCTGAGCTCTTCTCAGAATTATTCACCGACAATGTACTGCCTTACTTGGGTCCATCCGCAAATATTGAAAAACAGCGGACTACTGTCAATCTAGTTGCTGCAGTTGCCAGACACTCGCCCTCTCGACTTGCCCCAATGTTGAGTGAGATTATGCCCGGTATCGTTAAGGCTGTCCAGCGGGAAGATGATGAACTACGCGAAGGGTGCTTACAGGTGAGATTTACCCTCCTTGGTTTTCAAGAACCTGCTTATTCGAGTTGTTTAGGCATTGGAAATTTTGCTTTTGCGTTGCCCTGCGGAAATTGGCCCGTACGTTCCCTCTATCGTACAAGTAGGCAATCAATACATCAAGTATGATCCCGTGAGTACCCTATGATTCTACCGACCATCTACTGACATATGAACTTAGAACTACTCCGCCGGCGATGATGAAGATGAAGAGATGGCAGATGCTGACGACGATGATGAAGACGCTGATCTCGATGAGTACGTTACCGTTTCAGGCCTCTATGAAAGCCTCTCACAACGATTTCTGCACCAGATATTCTGATGATGAAGATACTTCTTACAAGATTCGTCGCTCTGCCACGAAATTGCTCGCAGCCCTTATTGGAACACGTCCCGAAATGCTTTCCACAATTTACAAAGATGTCTCTCCTGTGCTTATATCTCGCTTCGGTGACCGCGAAGAAACTGTGAAATTGGAAGTTTGGTCAACCTACGGCTTGTTACTTAGTCAGACCGCCGTCTATGGAGGTCTCTCGCAATCCAAAGAGGATGTAACTCGCGGAAAGCGCAAACGCGATACTGAGACCATGGACGTGGAGGGTGGTCCTTATTCACTTCTGAAATCCCAAGTACCAGCATTATCTAAAGCACTACTCAACCAACTGAAGTCACAAAAAACCTCATCTGGGACTCTGCAGGCTGGATTTGGTTTACTATACTCGTTATTGAATGTTCTCCCTGGCTCGCTATCTAGTCAAGTCGCTTCCATTACTTCGACGTCCAGACGTGTCCTGTCAACATCCCCGTCAACCTCTACTGCGACGCTGTATCTCAATTGTCTTTCTTTCCTTGCGCTGTTCTTTGCAACGCACTCCCCTCCAATATTCACATCCTCCCTTCCTTCCCTTACGCCCGCGTTGCTAAAAGCAGCAGGTGAAAGACATCCTCGTGTTGCTTCAGAGGCATTCCGTGTATTTTCTGCGCTACTCCAAGCAGTCAAGCCTGTCAAGAATGCAGACTGGACTGAACCCCTGTACGATCAGGCAGTCGCCCGCCTGACAACTCATGACACTGATGCAGAAGTACGAGGATGTGCTGAAGAATGCATCGGTGACCTGTGGATCTGTGCGACGGACGTGGTGAGAAGCAAGAATGGCAAAGAATGGGAATCTATCTGTCGACAGACTGGCAAAGTAGACGGTGCAGTAAAAGTCATCATCAAAGTTGCGAAGGAAGTCAATGTTGGTGATGCCTGGGTCAATGGTTGCATGGACTGGATCTTGGGTCTGTTGAAGAAAAGTGGACGACCCGGAAAAAGTGACATTTTCCTTGCTTTGGAGGTCTTGATCAGGAGGTTTGTTGCTTTACCTTCGAGTCGAATTATCGCTGACTTTGGTCGCCAGCTATACCACTGGTGTACCTTCCGGTCTTCCGTCGGCTCTCATCAGCCAGATCAAACCATACCTTAGTGTTTCTGACATTTCACTTCTATCACAGGCATTGAGCACATTATCTGTTCTTCTTGAATTAGCCCCTTCTACGACGTTCCCTGAAGTCGAGGCACATGTTCTTTCTGATATATATGCTATCTCGCGTTCTCCTCTTGTCGGCGGAACGGCGTTAGACTCGCTGTTAAACTTCTACGCTGCGCTTGTCAAAGCGGACAAACAGATCGCCACTCATATTGTACCGAGTCTGGTCATATCGGTTGATAAAGTTCCCAAAGCAGAGTCCAGCCCTGCTAATGCTGCACGATGCGTGGCGCAGGTTGTGAAGACTGATCACAGTGTCGCTGCCGGGACAATTGCAGAATATTCCAAACATGTCAAGGTCAAGCTTTCCGGACATTTGATCTTCCATAGTGCGACATCCTGACTGCCCGTTTGTTTAGCCTTCGTCAAAAGCAAAACAATCCACGGTTGTACTCAGCCTTCTTATACTGGGTGAACTCGGTCGTTTCATGTAAACACGTTCCAAATTTGTTTTCACTTAACCAACCCGTTGATATGCGTTTCTATCTAGCGATATGTCTCCTCAACATGATATTTTCACAAACGCTATCGAGCACTTTTCTGCCGAACAAGAGGATGTTCGTTCCGCTGCGTCGTTCGCTGCAGGTGAGAAGCCTAACGCTAAGATCATCAGAACGTATACCTACTCGTCAACAGGAAATATTGCAATTGGAAATCTTCATCAATTCCTTCCAGCTATCGTCAAGATGGTTCAGAGTGATGCTAAGAAGCGGTTATTATCATTACATGCTTTGAAGGAGGTAATATACACCTCTATCTCATTTTCTGCTCCTACTGATAGGCATCAAATGACCAGGTTGTCACACACTGCTCCCATAATCAATTAGAAGGCGTCGCTGATATTTTGTGGGTGCCCCTTTTCGAGAACTCTGAAAATTCGGAAGAGACGACGAGAAATGTGGCCGCTGCTTGTCTCGGCAAATTGGCCACTACTCACCCGTCAAAATACTTGCCTCAACTCCATGTTTGTAGAAAATTCCAATCCAAGCCTAATCCAAACTCAGATACTTTTTAGAATCGAATTCACGACAGCAGTCCTGCTGCAAGAGCCACGGTAGTAGCTGCAATTCGATATACTTTTGCCGACACCGCCCCTACATATGATGAACTGCTTTCACCATTAATCATTGATTTCTTGTCCTTGATGGGCGACGCGGATCTGGTGGGTGTTCCTATTTTCATTATCGTTGATCGCCTCTTATTCTTGTCTAGACCGTCCGTAGATTGGCACTATCCACTTTGAACTCAGCCGCCCGAACGAAATCTCATTTGATCAGGGATCATCTTTCTGTCCTTTTACCGAACCTCTACAAGGAAACTGTGATCAACAAAGATCTTATTCGTACTGTTCAGATGGGTCCGTGGACACATAAGGTTGACGATGGTTTGGAAGCACGGAAAACGGCTTATGAGACCATGTATACATTAGTGAGTACCCGCCGACATTCTCCGGATTCTATCTTCTGATGTCGTGAATAGCTCGATACATGTTTGCACAAACTCGACCTCCGCGAATTCCTCGAGCGAGTCGTCCTCGGTCTAGCAGATGACTCGGACGAGATCAAAGTCATATGTCATATGCTGCTGTTCCGACTTTCGCAGGTAGCTCCTGCTGCTGTTTCGCAGAGGCTAGATGAAGCCACCCCGCAGCTGGAGAAGACAATGAAAGGAGCTACTGTTACCAAAGACACTGTCAAGCAAGACTTGGAAAGAGCAGCGGAACTACAGAGAAGTGCGTTACGTGCAGTTGCTGCGTTAAGCAAGATCGGAGCTGGTGTATCGCCCAAGTTCGACGCCTTCACGGAAGATTTGAAGAAGAATTCAACTTGGGGTGCTGAATTCAAAGAGCTCATAGGTTAATGTAGAAAATCCGCAAGTTTGACTTTAGTATTTGTATTTGGTAGTATCATCTTTTACATAGAACGAAATACGCTGGAGAAAAGACTTGAATCAATCATCTAGTGTGAAGTATCTCGCACCGCACTAAGCCTCACCAAAATTTGAATGTTAACTTGCTACAACAGCCGAACTTTGCGTGGGGTGACAACTAGCTAGGGGGTGACACCCATTATTCAACAGGATAGGATAGGATAGGATATATTACATTTCAGCGCTTTTATATTAACGGGTGTCACCCCAGACAGATACATCACACTATTGAAGTGGTGTCACAGATTGCTATCAGTTACTGTAAAGCTACTTGAGTATGTATTAGTATGTAACACAGAACTCCACAACGATTCATGCTCGTTCCAGAAAAGCAATCTCTGACCAAAGACAAAGTGTCTTCACCGTTAGCCCATTCCTCAAAAAATGGGTTGGAGAAACGAGGTACAGATTCTTCGAGGACTATCGCAATTAGTACTCAGATAACTTACTAGACAATGTTTCTGGCGGTCCCATGTCACCAGCTCCTCCAAACTACTCCATGACGGCTACAGACACCGGTTCAAATCCTGATATTGCTGGTAGTTCGAATCGCAGCTCTGGACACCTGGCGCCCAGTCCGGAATGGGTATCAGAAGCTCCAAGCCATCCAAATCATCGTTCCGCCGAAGAGGTAAACGAGTTATGCCACATTCTTCAGACCGTATGATTTGACTGTACCGGTTGCAGAGCCGTCTATTATCCCATCCCCAGTCGAACGAATCATCGTTCTCCTACCCACCGCATATTCATTCTAGCCCAATCATCAGCTCTCAGCCATCTCCCAAGGAAACAATGGTGCTGGGATTTACTGGTAGCAGAAATGCGCGCCAAATGCCTGTAGATTTGCGAGGGAAGAGAGACTGGAACTCAGGTCTGTGTGGATGCTACGCTGGGGATGATCACGAGATGGATACTTGTGAGTATACTTCGCCTCTGTCGTCAATCAACCTCATATCTTGCGTCGTTGCTGTAGGTTGCAAGGCCTGTTTCTGCCCTTGCATTGTCTTTGGTCAAAATAAGACTCGTATGGACCATCTAGCGAATCATAACTCGCCCGAACCTACTGGTGAAACGAAGGGAGGAACTTGCGCCGTACATGGCGTTATGACTTTCTTTTCTTTGGTCGGTGGATGCGTTCTGCAGGTACGGGCGCTGCTTCTTCCTTTCTTTTTTGTGAGTTTTACCTGTGCCTTTCAGGTCCCCCTACGTGCAACAATTCGCGATCGTTATTCCATCGATGGGTCTTGTTTAGGCGACTGCTGCACGTCTATTTGGTGCTACCCATGTGCTCTTACGCAAGAACATATTGAGATTAGTGCAGAAGAGCATAGTTTCCCCAGAGGCGTCGGTGGAAGCAGTGGCATCTATTACGATGATCCCAAACGGAATCGAGGGTAGCTTGAATATATCACGGAGATGTGGTTTTACTACTAGGGAAACATTCACAACCGTTCTAACGTATTATATTTTGTACTGTTAAATAATAAGCTATCACGGACATTATTATTAGAACTTACAGTAGAAGTGGAAAGGTCGCTGTCTGAATCTGGTGAGTCGTGAGTCATTTGAGCTTGACCGTGACCGTGGGGCACCTTTACAGTTCCACTCCTGCTGACAAATTGTGGCAACGCTGTTCCCATCGCCTGTAAGTCCAATTTTCCGTCGTCGTACATCGCCCGCAAGGCAAGCATATTGTTTTCATATCCAAGCAGATCCTTGATACTTACACTCATTATCTCTAGACCAGGGTTTCATCAAGATGGGTATGTTCTAATTCTCAAAATCAAGGCAAGAGAAGATACTGATTTATCGGCTTCATCCTCCTTCATTTGCCCCATTTCCCTTTAACTTATAACGAATAGTCAATCTCCGTTCACAAAAACGTCTCGCTGCCTCAGTTGCTGGCGTCGGCAAGCGCAAAGTTTGGCTCGACCCTGCTGAGCAGGCTGAGATCGGTAACGCCAACTCACGCACACACATAAAAAAACTCATCAAGGATCACCGCGTCATCATTAAACCCACCGTCATCCACTCGCGATCTCGTACTCGCGATCTTCTCGCTGCTAAGCGTAAAGGGAGACATACTGGCCCTGGTAAGAGAAAGGGTACGTCTGAGGCGAGGATGCCTACAAAGGTGCTTTGGATGAGAAGACAACGGGTGTTGAGGAGACTTTTGAGAAAATACAGAGAAGCCGGAAAGATTGACAAACACCTGTACGCCTTTTCAATATGCTTAACATTTTCATCGCTCATACGGGATGATGTTATTTCTAGCTATCACTCCTTGTACCAAAAGTCAAAGGGTAATGTCTTCAAGAACAAGCGTGTTCTCATGGAGTACATCCATAAGGCTAAAGCTGAGAAGACACGTACCAAGGTCCTCACTGACCAGATGGAGGCCCGTCGTGTCAAGAATAAGGTACGTTCATTTTGGGGTGATGTCGTTTATCATTCTGATATCGTCCTTCTAGGCTGCCCGCGAACGTCGTGCCGCCCGTGTCCTTGAGAAGCGACAGGCAATTCTCGCTGTTGAGCACGATGCACCTGTTCAGGAGTAAATGTCTTCCCTCATCTCTACCTGTCTCTGTTGTAGCGTATGGTGGGAATAAGGAATGGTATCATTTTCCTTTGCATAAATTCTCCCCCCTTATCGCTTCGTCTTCATGCCTACTCTATGCTGCGCGCGGTTCACCAAGCAAAATACAGGAAATAAATGAATCAATGTGTTTCTGTTTTTACCGCTTTTTCCCCCTCTATGTATCGTGCTCATACCTCGATTGTCTACATTTATGACCCACTTCTGTGACAATTTTACGATAACCACATGCCCATCTTGTCATAAACGCTGAAAGAACTCGATGCAATCCGTAGAAAGGATAGATTGAAAGAATGCATCAGCAGAGTGCCAGCAGAGTGCCTCCGATGATTCTGGTTTTAGAATTTTCCTGGAACTTCCTATGAGTAAAGGTGAGTTCTAAAGACAACTACATTATCGTATGTGCTTTAATCTCTGATTCAATCTCCGCAAAACTAGACTGACGAAACTCAGGTTTGAGTCACTGGATCATGAAGAGGAATAAAATGCCAGATTGACGAGGGTACTGCTTGATACAGAGGTAAATTTTGGAAGGACTTCGCTCCGACTCCCACTATGATCTAGGTGGCCGTTCAATTCCCAGTTCCCAGACGACCTCGTATTTTTCTCTCCACGGCATTCTGATCTTATCATAAGGTCCTTCCTTTGTCGTCGGAAATCTTCGGAAATACAGTGAGTAAATATCGAAATGGCTGCACCCCGGAATGTAAGCTCGCTGTTTGTTGTACATACAGGGCTCAACAGAAATGTAAATTTACGGCCGTCATCTTCAATCTCCCTTCACGGAATTGGTGTGGACTGCACAGAAAATTTCGCTTCAGTTCGGTTCCGCATTCTTTAACCTTTATATAGTTGTCGTCGTCATCCCGAGCTGTTCGTGCTTACTTTTCCAGGTATCAGAATCATGATTTTTCATCCACCCATCATGGTCAGTGTATGTGAGGAACGGAATTTTCTTCATCCTTACTACAAGACGCCAGGCTAATCAGGTGATGGCGTGCCATTTTCTCACTGGAAGGAAGCTTCACTAATCGCCCTTTCATCGACTTCCTTAGTTGGCACTATCGGTTTCCGAAATCTCCAGACCTCTATGATGCACCTGGATCCTGTCTTTCAAAAAATTTTCTTGGACCCTATCAAGTATCGTTATACAACAGACAGAACAATTTCTGGCCTTGAACCTTCTTATCCTGCATGGGTGCGTTTCTCAGCGTACGTAGCGTTGTGGGTCAGTACTGAATATTGGCAATCTACTCTTTTGTAGGCATACAATATAATGGTTCTAACAAGGCCGTTTCTGTGACAGCCCCGGGAAATCTATCTCCTTCAGTCCATCACTCGTGTATGTACATGAGTTACACGACGGCGGAGCGCGATTTTCGCTATTCGAGTTTGTCAGATGTTTTCCTATCGAACGTTTTGTTCCGGAATGGCTGCATGGGACCCAGTCTGACCCAACGTCGCCACCGGTGGCTTGTTCAAGTTTTCTAAATCTTTAACTAGCGAGATTTGCCAGTGAAGGAAGGGTCTGGAACATGCACAGGCTGTGATATTTGTGGATCTTGGGTTCGCAACAAAATGTATAGGTGGAGCGGCTTCTTCCTGAAATCCTAGTTCCGGAAACCGTTTTCTGAAGTTTTGCAGGACCCGGTCATCAGCAAGGTCTCTGTGTTCGTTTGCTATGTATTTCATTTCCTACCATGTTATGTATAGCGGAAAGTTTGATGATTATGAGTTAACCTTGAATCCATTCATGACATGTCTGACGAAAACCTTGTGCCTATGCAAATGAATAGCATCTTTCTATAGCAGAACTAAAAAGAACTAACCGAAGCAGAAACTCTTTCTGTTCGTTGGTTGACGGTTGAATAGAATTTGGGTTGATCAGCTTTTGAAAGGGCGTACGTAAGCTCGAACCTTGGGTCATTAAAAAGATTTGTTCTCACTTTCGCCTCTTAACCATATCCACCTTCGAGTCAAAACTTCACCAGTTTGTGTCTTTTACGGGCCAATAGGCTATCGGGATCTTTATCCCAGCCGCAGGCCCTGTACACGCTTCGCAGTTAATACTCTTTTTCTTACAACAAACCCCACCTGGAACCTGTTGACCGACATGATATCGTTGTAGATTCCACTTTGATTTCTACTTGATCTGGGCAATCTTGCTCTCACCCAAATTTCAACGACAATTTCCGATAATACAAAGAAGATTTATCTTATAATGTCTGCAGTACAGGACTCCTCCTCAGATACAACACAAACGGACGGCGATGGCCCTGAGGGCTCGGATAAACCGCCGCATGAAGATATATCTAACAAGAAAAATAATCAGCCAACTTCTACCACTCCAGCTGTCACCATATTGACCGAACCCCATGGCATACCTCTTCCACCACCAGAAGCAGGTACTTACGAGAAACAGCCCGGTTACACTGTTGAAGTTCTAAAGAAACTCGTAGAAGCATCTTCCAATAGCAAACTTTCTATGCAGGCGCCGGCACAAATCGTGGCAGCTCCCAGCGTGACTGCAGCATCGCAGCCCACACCCGCAATCGTGACCATTCCTATTACCACAAAGCCAAATGCCAATACACTACATATCAAACAAACCTCCATGACTTCTAACGCCGGCACATTTGATACCGCTTCTCCGACATCGTCGCCCACTGTTTCCGAGTACGATTGGAACACCAGCGCTCCCTCGACGCGGACCAATAGTCGGCCTCCTAGTCGGGCACCAAGTATGTCCAGCGGTGTTGCAGGCTCCAAACTCCAGATGAGCAAGCCCAGCGCTGTCATGACGCCGGCAGCTTCAGCTGCCAATGGAGTTCAGCGGTCTGTCTCGACCAACTCAGCAATCACCAATACCCACGCCACACCTGAACCCGCATCGCCCGCTCTCGGCTCTCGGCCCAAACCCTCTTCCATTCACTCCACGGACGGAGAGAAGCACAGATTTACCCTGAAGGATCTCCTTGCCAACGGTCCGAAGTTGGCTCGGAAATCTTCTCAACGCTCAACGGGTAGCAGGAGTAGCAGGAAATCTGATGGAGGTGAAAGCGATGGAGGTGGGTACAAGAGTGGAGGTGGGGCAAAGTCTACTGCAGGAGATAGTACTACCAGCTTGTCGAAGAAATACGGTGTCTGCCAGAAAGTCGCTATCGGAAAGGGAGCTACTTCCGTTGTACGACTGGCTCACAAGTGGGACCGCAGTGAAGAGAGACTATACGCTGTCAAGGTTCGTTACACTCTTACGATCCTTTCTTACACTGACGGGATATGTAGGAATTCCGGAAACGTCGTAAAAACGAAACTGAAAAAGAGTACGTGAAGAAGCTCACAGCCGAGTTTTGTATATCATCTACGCTGCATCATACCAACATCGTCGAGACTGTTGATTTGGTACAAGACGAGAGTCAGCATTGGTGCGAGGTGATGGAGTTCTGCCCTGGTGGTGATCTGTATGCTGCAATTAAGAAAGGTGGCATGTCGCCTAGCGAGGTTGAATGCTGCTTCAAGCAGATCCTCTGTGGCGTGGAGTATTTGCACAGTCAAGGTGTTGCTCATCGTGACATTAAGCCTGAAAACTTGTTTTTCGATACTAAGGGTCACCTGAAGGTATGTTTCCCGCGTTGTCTATTAGCAGAACCTCACCGTGTTGTAGATTGGTGACTATGGTGCCTCTACAGTATACCGACTGCCTTGGGAGGCCACGATTCACATGTCTACTGGTCTCTGTGGTAGTGAGCCTTACATTGCGCCAGAGCAATTCTTAGGCAAACGTAAGCGCATCGTGTATTTTTTTCATCCATTTTTCAAACATGCCACTTTTCAGCGTACGATGCGCGCTTAGTCGACATCTGGGCATGCGGTGTCGTTTACTATTGCCTTCATTTCTCCGAGCTTCCATGGCGAGCAGCGCAGCAAAGCGATCAGCTCTTTGCTTCTTATGCGGAAGCTTGCAAGTCACCTCAACCGTCTCAGTCGGCGTGTCCGCCCACCATTAACAACCTTTCTCCGAGAGCGTGCAGAACATTATTACGACGAATGCTAGAGCCAGATCCTAAACTCCGTGCACCCATCGAAGAAGTCATGAAACATCAATGGATACATTCTATCGAAGTGTGCCATGAGGTCCCAGAACCAAAACACGTTCATGTACATGCCAGACAGCTGGCTCGAGCGCAGCTGAAGGAATTAAGAGATGATTGAGAAATGATGATGATGATGGTCTAGTTTTTTTTGTCGCTCGTCATTTTTCCACTGTACATACTTAATTCTTGGTCACGACATATGTTATCTCTCGCTCCTCTTCTCTGGAATTTTTTCTTCAATGTTTTCCTTTGATGGAGTGTAAACTAGCTTCTGCCTATACGCCTGCTGTGAGTGATGATGTGCTTTTGGTTCAATCTTCTTGCTTCATTTGTGTTGTCTAATCGTTTTCGTTCCTTCCGGGCCCGCTTACGAACTGGTGAAGTCCTGGATGTGGAACCTTCGTACCATGTTCTGCTAACTACTTACATAAATACTTAACTGTATACACCTTTTCTTCTACTACTGCTAATAACGTCTAGTACAAGTACAACAGCTCTTTTCTTTGATACCTTACTTTGGCGGTGATGATTTTTTGAAATTCACCACGTAGTACTATAGGAAATCACAAGAATCGTTGAACCTTCGACTCTGACCCTATGTTGTACAGAATTGTACGAGCTTGTGCGATGTTACATATTGGTGGACGATGAAATACGCTTTGTTGCAATCTCCATTGTTTAATGAGTACAAAGTAAGGATTGTCTCAAATAGATAAAAAGCACGGTGATAGTACAGAAATATATTCACTTCTCCTAATCAAGTACACAATGTCGGTTTACTGCTTCACGAGCCGATATCTTGCAATGTGTCTTTGAGCTCATCCTATAAGGTTTGATTAGCGTTGTGAACCATGTACGACAAGAAATACTTACAATCATCTGCATGTATTTATGTCCCCGGGGCTTGAATTTAGCCCCATCTTCAGCAAAGTTTACTTCATGAACGTGAGCAACGCAGTAAGAAACCGATTCCGCCGAGTTAGGTTCAGGATCAGCATTGAGCATGTCGGTATCAATAAAGACATTCCTTTTCAGAGGCAGAGTGAGACTGGTTGTAGCCACGACGTCTTCGCCAGCCAGGTCCCTCGTGAAAACAACACGGTCGTACTTAGCACCACTGTGGAAGAAGAATGGTTTAGGTGCCGTTTCACGATCGAAGTTGGAAAGGAAGGGCTGCATCGAACTTTCGGCAAAGGGAAGTTGCGCGTAAAGGACGGGATTGGCGTTCCAGTCGTTTTGTAGGTCCGCTCCAATGACTACTTGTTCAGCGGTCATCTGTATGTTGGGTGATGCGGTATAGACATGGTCTATGTGCATCTGAGCCTCAGAGCCGTAGATATAGAAGGGCATCTTGCGAGTCGGGTAAGGAGTTAAGAACTTGCTATTGAGCTTCTTCTGAACAATGACCTGGATATCTGTGATTTTGCCTTTGACAATGGGCCTGTGGAAGGAAAACCATGAGTGATGAATGAATACACATTTTTCACATAAGGGACGTACGGTTGTTGGCCTTTGGAATCAAAGGGCTCAATGCGTGCATCAAATTCCTTCGCCGCCAGAATCTTTCCGAGAGTGGTGGGAGTATCATTCACCAGGAGATAAACAGTGTCGGGATTCTTTTCGCGTTCCTCAATGTAAATGGTCCTCATTTCGGCAGAGATCACACCCGTGATTATGAGCTGGTGGCGATGATTTTCCATGTTAAACATGGGGAGATGAACGAAGTAGAGTTTGTCAGTGCCTTGCATGACAAACGCATGATAGTCTTCGGTAAGAGTATTGCGGTAAACAGAGACTTCGCGCTCTTTCACGATGGTTTCTTGCAAGGACTGGGCGATCTCAGCTGTGAGACCGCTTGCAGTCGGCCAAGGAGACATGACTACGTTGACAAGCGTGTATAGGTCTTGACTTCCCTTCAAGCCTAAACGGTCTTTGAATTTGAGCAGACACTCGCCGTAACTTTTCTGAGCGAGAACTGTGGAAGTGAGTATAAGCGGAGGCTTCTTGTCGGTGTTCGCGTCGGTTATGGACAGTGCATCGAATATACGCTTGTTGAGGTAGTTAGCCTCGACGATATCCTCATTAACGACGTTTCCCAACTTGAAATTGACGGCAAAGGCGTTAATGGAAAGATCAGAGCCCATCTCGACGACAAGTTTCCAAGTCTCTTTATCGTTGACAAGCTCGCGGTTAGGGACGGACAGGATCTTCTTCCGGATGAGTTCCTTCTGCGCCTCAACTTCTTCGGGGATGCCGTTGATTTCAGCAGGAAGAAGATTGAGGGGACGGACAACGAAAGTCGATTCGCTTGATGACATGGTCGCTAAATGGGCGTACATCTGCCAAAAAAGAAGTTGAGTGTTTCTCGAGACACATAGAAGGCTGTTTATACCTTGACTGCGCCGAATAAAGCCTCACCCAGCAATTGACCGTAGCCGTCAACGTTAAGACCGAGAATAACATGCGAGAAAAAGGTCGCAACGGGCGCAGCACCGGGCTTGCTAAATGGAATAAAGATTCAAATATTGACCAAAACTAGGTTGAATGAAATATCTACTAACCTTCCCTCAACGCCAAAAACACCAATACTTTGCAGGTCATTGCGGTAAACGATAGGACTTGTCCAAGTCACCAGATAGCGCATACGCTGATCGCGGTAGAGCAGACCTCCAGCAGGATATTGGAGGTATCCGCTCTTATGAGGATCGACGGTGATAGAATCGCAATATCGCATATGTACGATGCTCTCAAGGGTTTTGGTCTTGAGTGGAACAGTAGGAACGAAGACGTCGTGTCTGGCCTTGTTATATTCTCCAATCTTCATACTAGTATGGGACCATTGGGATGAGAGGCTGATAGACTCTTGAACTATAACCTCGGGGATAGCGGTCGCAAAATAGGTACCCCAAGCGCCGTCACCGTGAAGAACAAAGCTGAGGCCCTTCTTACGAAACTGCGCAAAGAGAGAAGAAATCGTGTCAGAAATCCCGTCTTGGGTATCACAGAGGATGCACTTACTTCATCGCGGATGTCTAGGATATCCTTGATCGGATCGCAAGCACCGTGTTCTGTAGAGCCGACTATCGCTACGACAGCGTAAACAGCTCTGGGAGCAGGGTTCCCTTGAGCATCCTTGAGGTTCAAGCACTCGTGCAGCAACCTTCGGAGGTCGTTCGGATCCATTCGAGCAGAATTGTCCACTTTGACGGGAACCACATTCTCACTGCCAATTCCAGTTATCGCTGGTACGATCCAGTCAATAAATTGATTACACTTATGAAGACAATACTGACCAGCTCCTTTGGGCCATGAGTAATGCATTGTAGCGCTGGCGAAATACGCCATTGGTTCGACATGAAATTCGCGCTCAAGACGTTCCTTGCCCACAGTCTGGGCGAGATATGGCTTGAGGGCATCCTGCAAAAATTGTGCCGTAATGCCATATTCTTCGTTGATGCGAGTCGGGATGTCCAGAACGTTCGACGGAAGAATGTTCAAAAGTTCCCACGTAGTGAAGTCTTTGAGTAACTTCGACTCATGGGTGCAGGTATCTACGTGGAACGTGTCCGCTATGAATTCAAGTTGATTCATCATCGCCAGCCTCAGTGAAAGAGGATAGAATTTGAGATTTCGCGCTGTAAAGAAAAGATGATGCTGATATGAGTTCTGGCACCCGTCGAACGGAAATGCACACTGACCAGCCCACATCGACTCTAAATTAGCGATAGAGCCATCCGCAGTGATATGGCCCCAGCCGATGGGGTTTTGCAGCGTTTCGATGTTGTACCCAACAAGTTCAGCAAGCTGTTTGCCGACTGCTATTTCGATGGCAGTGGTTAATGGGGATGCTTCAAGAGCAACGTTGTTGGGGTTGACTAGTCATACAGAGATGATATATTATTTTGGAATACGAGATAAGAGGATATGTTAGCTTACAGAGCATGGCCGTGAAGTACCCAACAATTCCAGGCATAGACGTGTCCATGTTCATGTGAGCATTATAACGAGGGTTCCAAAATGGAACGGAGTGCTCTGCGAGCTTTTCCGCTAACGATTTGACAAGAGCTGCTTGCTTCTGAATTTGTTCTATGTACGATGTAGTCAATACACGTTCTGTACCGTAGGACTATGGATTACTCACTTTGAAATGCAACGGTAGATTTTACTTCTGGTGTGATCACCGAAGCATCCTCCGGAAAATATGCAACGCGTCCTTGGACATGACGTTGAAGAGCCTCCGTCAGTAGCCAAATCAAAGTCTCAGCATTTTCGCCCTTAGGGCCAAGAAACCAAGCGGAAACAGCGTCGCTCTTATCTCCTTCTGCCATCTTGAAACTGCGATACTAAGGTCAGTAAATCAAGCCGTATTTGAGGAGAGATAGAAGAGAGCACAATTTCTCAGTGAACTCATAACCTCTGACTTTAAAAGGCCTCTTATTATTGACCCTTTCCGCAATTGGATGAAGATGGAATAGATATCATATTGTGGTACCTGACGATTTTCGCGTAGAGGCAGACTTGCAGAAACTTGCAGCTACTCCAAATTCAGCGAAATGAACAAACACACCTGCCAAAGGGTGCCAGGAATTGGACAGGATGTTCTGCGGTCAGTGCTTACATCATAAATGCATTACATCCGAAGTTGGGATAGAACACGGAATGTTACACTTACAGGGTGAACGTGGTTCCTCTCGTCAGAAATCTTCAGAAACCCGGATCCGCTGACTTGGTGATTGCGAACAAGATTTTCTTGAGACTGTACATGCATACCTGCCTACATATGCATCATTGTATATCAGCGGAGGTTCTCACTCGTTGAACACGTACCTACTTTCTTTCCCCTGTAGCAATCTGCAGCAATCTTTGTGGCCGGTGGGTCTTTACGAAGATCCTGGGGTAGCAAAGTGGTAGCAACTGTTAGATCGCGTCCTGCAGGTTCGATTCAATGGATCTCGGAGAAGGATAGTTCCCGACAGGTTCCCAACAGTTCCCAACCGCGTAAAGATTCCAAAAGAATACGATGACGGGGAGACACTTCCACCGAGTTCTTTGAAAGGCTGGGTCTTTCCAAGACCTCTCTACATACGACTATTCCACCTAAAACTTCGTATGTACTTAAGAAACCACGTCCAGAAGTCCCCGCTCAGAATGGAACCAGTCGGTTGCCCCTGGTTAGACCGAAAAAGGCTAGTATAGTTTGTCGTTCTCGAAGGCGTCAAAAAGTACCTGGGACCAGGGTCGAGCAAGGAATTTTGTGAGATGCTTCATCCTTCGCCTTGGTGAGTATTCGTCGTGATGTGATCTGTCTCAGCATGCTCTGAAAGAGAACGAGTTTAGTTTTCTCAAAAGCGGTTCACATCAGATGTTTGGATGGGGCGAAACAAGATGCGAAGACCAATGTAGATCATGATGAAAACAAGTACTGAGCGCTGTGAAAGGTAGTGGCTGTGCCCAGCGTGATCGTACACGTGGTTTTTGTTGATGCGCGATAATTTAAATTTTAGACGCTGGTACCGGCCCACTGCGGGGATGAAGGACTTTTCTCATGAAGAATAGGCTGAAAATTTTAAGAATTTTGTAAAAAATTGTAGCTGAGATTATTTTGAAACAATCTGCTAAGGATTAGGCTGAAATTAATATAGGAATATTCAAAATAATCTCGTTTCCTGCCATGTCCATGATTGTTTCATGGAGAAAATTTTGAAAAGTCTCAGCGAACTCTAAGTCTCTAACAGAGAATTTTTGGAGAGTTTTGTACCTAATCTCTTTATATTCACTACGAGATTAAGGTTTCATCCCCGCAGTGGGTACTTCTTCTTCCATCGTCGGTCGCGGATGAGCACGAAATCCTCCCCATCTTCCTCAAATCACACTGTTTGGATTAATCAGCTCTCATAATAAATCCTATACAACGTCGTTTATTCATACACTTTGAGCTTCAGGGCTTGAGCGATCTCTCGAACATATGTAGTTAACACTAGTTAACGTCCACAACATTTCCATCGTCGCCACGGCATCTTGAGATCCATTTACCTTCCGTATATATGTGATGATGTCCATCGTCGACAGAAATGGACTGGAAATAAGTATATATTTCACCTAATCTCCTCGTTTCCATTTTCCCAACCGCGTCTTCCTCAAGCCCTACAAATTCACCGAGTTAATCCTCAGATCCGCTCTGGTCCATTGAGAACAATTCATTGAAATATAAGCAAAGCCAGTAAAAGCCGATCCCGTTGGTATATACATCACGAAAGTAGTAACCTCATATCGAGAAGATTATAGCCAACCACCTTTCTTCAGTAAACCCCTTATATGTGGTGTATCAGGCTTTATCTCCCCATTTTGAGGCGCAAAGTATTTGCGGAGGTTTCCGTCGAATTTGACAGGGTAAAACAATCCCTCTTTCTGTCGAAATGAAGGGACCACGTAAGTACGAAGATGATTTGCGTGCGTGTCAGAAAGGTGGAATGAATGACATCAAGCCCTACCTTTCGTGTATTTCCCTTTCGTGTAGTCTCACTGGACACTCTGCCGGAGTGCCAATTACCACCAGATGTCCGTACCCAGACTGCTTGGCCTTTCTGTCAAGGGCGCGGCAGAGGTCAATGTCAAACCGGGATGTAAGGTTGTTGTGGTAAGATTATCTTACATGAAAGGTATAAGGCCATGGCTCATCAAGATCATCCGGTAAGGTCTCATTGAGCGTAGATTCACTGTCCCCGCCATCGCTCCAGGATTCTAATTCCTCGGGACTTACAGGGTGTAGAGGATTTCCCGGGTTCCTCGATTGTGAGGCTTTGCGCGACGCAGCTTTTGAGAGTACGCTTGGCATAGTAATAATGATGATAGTCGAATGTAGAGATGAAGGCTGGCAAGCGCTGATATATAGCAGATGCAGGAGATCAAATAAGTCAATCTGATACCGTTTCAGCGTTTGATTATGATTATTCCTGTGAGGAGATGCTGTGGGGTAAAAAGGCTGAAGGAAGTTGTTGTTTAAAGCAGTGCGGTACAGGAACGGAGCGACGACAAAGCTTTTTATATATCTGTCAATGAATGCATCCTTGCGGCCACATGCCGTCTATCCCCTTTGTTTTATGATAACAACATTGTAACCATAGCTTTTAGACAAAGACCATTGCGACGAAACAACAGAGAAAACCCGAATTCGGGAATGGCTCTTTTCAGCTCTTATATTCTGGTACTGGGGCATAGTGGGGCATTCGTAGGCTTTCCAACCACAAAATCACAGCACCAAGCCGGCGTGACAATGCATATGGGGCGTGTTGTCCTCATTTGCACGTACATCAAAGTGTCAAGTGAAATTGAGGATGCCAAGCAGCAGGTCTACTGTCCACACACATAGTCATATTGATACAGAAGAATAGAACTAGCAAAAATCCATCTACATATTTTTGGTTTCATCGGGGAGTTCCAGCCTCCAAGCGTATCTAAACTTGTCGAAATCATCAATCTAAGCGATGACCAGCGGAATATGCACCGAATGCGAGTAAACATTCGATATCGAAGTGGGCCAGGTAGTCTTTTGATCAGCTTTAAATTTCCTCCCCATACTACCGCTTAATGAAGCATTGTCCATAGACTACGTTTCGTAGAACGGAATCATATATGGGACGTTCATTCGGGAGAAATTCATAGTTTCCGTTGCACTCGGTGTGGCTGGGTAGATGGCAAGCTCAATAAGCTCACGTTGGACGGTATATTCATGCTGAGGAATCCGAAGCTGAGAAAAAAGCCTGAAGCAAGCTGTTCCCGGTAATTTGGATTGAAAGTCCCGGTTTCAGATACACACCCGATATCAGTCTCGGAAGTTCCTACATTGGAGAGATTGGCCTATTTGAGCTTACCCAGAGCGCAGTTGATTCCTTCCTTGTATCGGCAGTACCTCGCAAAAATTGACATGTCTCAAGCTGTTGTATGACTCCGTTCTGTTCGCTGGGCACTCTGATCGCTGTGTTCCCATGTCTACGCCATGAGGATAGCCTGCATATATCAGAGTCGTCGTGTCAATTATTATAAGAGGATAATGATTGCTGGTGGAGGATGAGGTGTTCAGATTGAGCGCTTATTTCCTCAATCTTCCAAATCAGGATGTTTATCCTTCCGATCCAAACAAAGCTCTCCTGAAAGAACTCCCGCCGTGGTTGAGATCTGTTCAGCTCCTGTTCAGTTCTTAATTCTCCAATTTCTATCCAGTGGCAAACGATTCTTTCAAATGGCAAATTCAAACAGTCTAGACGTAAGCTGTGTCCTGTCTATCACACACGGCGCACGCTCTCTAAATGTACTATGGTTAAGTAGCGCGCTATCGAGATAGTCCAGAAAGCTATCGACGAAGATGTCAAACAGAATTACGATAGTGCATACAAACAATACATGAATTCGTTGGATTATTTCATGCTTGCGTTGAAGTGTATGTCACCTCTGGCCACTCTTATGACTCTATAACACCTTGCTTACTGCGCTTTCCAGATGAGAAGAACGAGAAATCAAAACTACTGATCCGGACAAAGATCAATGAATATCTCTCTCGTGCGGAAACTTTAAAGGAACACATGAATGCACAAAGCGAGAAGCGAGGTAAGAGTGCGGTAGGGGCCAATGGTAGCAGCACGGGTATAGGTCCAAACGGCAGACAGTGTGTATCTAACCTCGTTTCTTGCTGAGCCCATTTCCTCTTACAACCTTTATGGCAGAAAAGAAGACGGAGATGATCCTGAAATGAAGAAGTTGCGCGACAGCTTGGCTGGTGCGATTATTTCTGAGAAGCCGAACGTTAAGTGGGACGATGTTGCTGGACTCGAGGGCGCAAAGGCTTCGTTAAAGGAAGCCGTTATCCTGCCACTCAAATTCCCACATCTATTCACTGGAAAGCGTACACCATGGAGAGGTATACTACTGTATGGTCCACCAGGAACTGGAAAATCATACTTGGCGAAGGCTGTAGCAACCGAAGCGAAAAGCACCTTTTACAGTATCAGTTCCAGTGATCTTGTCAGCAAGTGGCAAGGAGAATCAGAACGGTGATATGGTTCGGCAATGTTTACTTGGCTTTCGCTCATCTTACTACATATAGGCTTGTCAAGCAACTATTCCAACTTGCACGAGAGTCAAAACCATCCATTATTTTCATAGACGAGATAGACGCGCTTACAGGGACCCGGAATGAATCTGAATCTGAAGGATCCAGGCGAATCAAAACCGAGTTCCTTGTCCAAATGAACGGTGTGGGACATGACGACACAGGCGTTCTTGTCCTCGGTGCAACCAATATACCATGGCAGTTGGACAATGCTATCAAACGACGGTAGGTAATCTGTTCGTTCCCACTACTCCTGCAGCTTAGAAGGAAACTGTCGTTCAGGTTTGAGAAGAGGATATACATCCCTCTCCCTGGCCCGGACGCTCGGCGGCGTATGTTTGAACTACATGTTGGTTCCACACCCTGTCATCTTGGCCCAAAAGACTACCGCACACTCGCAGACCATACAGAAGGGTACTCTGGTTCAGATATCGCCATCGTCGTTCGAGATGCACTCATGCAGCCTGTCCGCAAACTATTGTCTGCTACACATTTCAAGAAAATACCCGACCCCGCTGATTCTAGTGTGTTAAAGTGGACGCCCTGTTCACCGGGTGACCCCGACGCAGAAGAGAAATCGTGGGAGACTATTGAGTCAGATGAGCTCATCGAACCACCCTTGAAGTTGGCCGACTTTATGAAGTCACTGGAGACGAACAAATCTACATGCACAGCAGCCGACATCAAGAAACATGATGATTGGACTCGAGAATCAGGTACGTGTTCTTGTCATTATTCAAGATACTCAGCTGGACACGACTACAACTCATGTCCACTGCAGGTAATGATGGGGCGTGATGGTATTAGAATGACATTTCAGGTGTTGTATATAACTATATAAATTATTTTACTCTCTTGATTTTCCTCAGTACTCTACTTTTCGTTCGAAACAGAGGGCGTTTGAGTTGCGCTGAATACATTTCCCTCAATCGCACATCGACATGCTAATTTTGAGCTAATCTAATCTCGAGGTGAATAGAGACTATTCGCAATTTTCGTCCCAAGATGACGGCAAGATAGATTGCGTGACGCCGTATTTCTTGCAATCAGTTGAACAATCCGAGAGAAACCCACGTGTTTGCGACACACTTTTCGAGATAGCGACGGGCTGAAAGCCGCTGCAAATACCACTATAATGTCCTCGTCCCCGCGGAAGTGTTCCGTCAGGTGGACGCGACACAAGGCCATTAAGCGAGAAGCACTGAGACGCTACGAGACGTAGCAGGACGGAGCGTGCCTTTTCACCGTCAATTGCCGTGTTCAACCAGCGAAAATCCAGGAAGTGTTGATATGATAAGTTGTTCACATAAACCGCTCCTCAACGCGAGGACGGTCAACCAAGCCATCTAGCGGTGAACTCGGATTCCGGCGATTGTTATCTGTGCGCATGTATTCATAACCGCTGCAACTTGACGGAGTTCCCCTTGACTCACCCAAGGTTTCTTGAGATGTTGGTATTTACCCTATGTCCCCCTCCGTTTGCTGATAAGTCCAGTAGACAACTACCCCCCAGCACAATATCGTCTCTACATAGAGTTCACCGACAATTACAGCTCATGTCTCCCAACCAACAGCTAAACTCTGAGGTACTGAAGGAATCGAGCCCCAAGTCGGGACCCACAACACCAACACCAGCTCCACCATCGATTTTCACTCTCATGTCGCGACTGCCCTATATTCCTCCTGCTTCTACTGCGTTGGAACCATCCAATTCGTCACGCTCTTCAGCTGATCATACAAATCTTCTCACCGAGGATGTGCTTCAGAATCTAGACCAGGAGCTAAAGAAGGAGAAATTAGTAGGTCCAGGGACGCTAAAGACAAAGGCCTCATCAGATATATCCGAAACGACGTTGAGCTCCTTGACCATTATCTCTGCGAACAATTTGTTTTTCTCCCCAACATCAGGGTGGGACGATATCAAAATGTAAACGGAGTAGATTTGAAGTGTGCAGGATAAAGCCCCGCGGATTGGACTATGGTGGGAGACAATTGGAATAATGTTCGTTGTGTCTTTCAATTTACTTGTGTGTAGTATCAAGTTGGGGAGATTAACTATCACATCTGACTTTGAGGTCGGTCTCTGCGGAATGGCAGTACTATGTACTTGCGAAGGGGTCAACTTACATCAGCGTGCTGCGTGACGTACAAGTTAACCTTCGGAAGTCTCAGATTCCAGTTGCCTTCGACCTCCTTCGACTCTTACCACGACCATGCAGGAAGCCGACGAAAACGAAATAATCGAAAGTGAAACAATAGACCTCCACGATATCGCCCTCTTGCTCAACTACGAACGAGCCTCGTCTGAACCTCGATTCAGGAATTCTAAACTTCGTGAGGTCGCAACGCACGAATTCGATTTTCGGGGCGTGATGATCAAAACTCCCCTTTGGACTGCTCATAAGGGGTCCAAAGACGGATTCGTTTTTCAGCGAATTAAACGAGCAATCCCTGGTTCAGACGAGGAACCCGATCTTCCATCGAACATGTTGTCGCCACAGGTCAGGTCCCCGTTGGCAAGAGACATCACCCAACTAGCACCTAGTCGTCTTGAAACCATCTATTGGCAAGCTCGAGGTCATGATGGATGTTTCAAATCAGTCGCCATCCTCCAGTATTTCTTGGATCTCTACGCCATTAATCCATTGCTACGAATTAGACTTGCCAACGGACGAGAATATGTTACTTCAAGTTCTCCAACCAGTCTCTCTATCGTAGAGTACGATCTCTTGGTGGTTAAGCATCTTACCCTCGCGGTAGTATTGCCAGATAACCAAACGTATATCACGAGCTCGTCGGACCAACCAAGATTCAGACATGCTGTCGTATCGTTCGAGTCGCACCCATACAATGGTGACAACGAAATAATTCTGGATATGGCGTCGATGCAATTTGGTGAAACAGGTCGTGGCCCAGGTCGTAAAGGGAAGAGCACGTTTGTCTTGGAAAGTGTGGGTGACTATAAGAAGAGGCTCTTGACTGTTGCTGGTGGCTTTGAGAAGGCCAAAGTATCCTCTCGTATAACACCCGACCCTAACCAGGCCAACGAAGCTTGGATGTGGAAGGTTGCCAAGAAAGCGAAAGAACGTTGGGAAAAGAGAGGGGAGCATCATTGGTGTGAACATTGCGGTCGACCACTAGCCACTGGACCGGCGCTGAAGAGATGCTCTCGGTGTCGTCAAGCATATCATTGTGACGAAGAGCATCAGAAGATGGCTTGGTCGTCTCACCATAAAAGTTGGTGCCGACCAGCCTATGTAGTTCATACGTAGAATATATGTAATTGTATCACAAAAGTCCCGGATATGCCTAGTATACATTTGCTTGCACACAACTTCGCATGTCGCAAGATAACTGAAGTACAGCAGGATTGTACATATCTTCAGTAGAGGAAAGGTCAATGCTGAATGTAGGCAGTTTAAACTTTTGCGTACAGTCATGGCAGCATTCGATATTCAATAGCCAGCCATTGTTGCTCCTCCTCCTCCCGTCATACCCATAGTTTGCATATTCTGCATATTCATGTCCATGTGAGCATGGTGATGTGCACGGTGGTGATGGGCAAAGTGTATCGACTCCGGTATGGCATAAGGAGTCGGTATAGTGGAGGCTTCGAAGGTAGCATGCTGTACTAGATCACGTTGGAACTGTTTGATGCGCCGATACCTGACTAGAGCAATTATACTTGATAGCACAATGGCGACTGGGTGCGTTCTTGAGTTAAGTAGAGAGAAAGAACTTGATGCAAAAGTTAGGAACTGGCCATGAAAACTCACCCACCGCGATAACCACGAAAATAATGATGAATGTAGATGCGTTCACTGTACTAGCACAACTGAGGAAACTCATCGATCAGGCTTGGAACTTCCCCTTGAATATTTGAATACTTACTCTTCGAAGCACTCTTGACTATATGCAGGGCGTATTAAGGCTATCGACAACGCCAATAGCGCAAAAGTTGTTGAATACATATTGGGCGATGAGGCTCAATGAGCCATTAAGCACTCGCTTATATGTAGAAAGGGAGACGATCTTTATCAATTGAAAGCTGTTAAGGTGGACTAGATCAGAACGTCGACTGGCTACCCGACCAAACGACGACTTCTGAAACAACGACTGGCACGTCCTGATCTCGCTGTTGAAGCTGTAAAGGAGCGTCCATTGTGCTTGTGAGGCCGTGCGACGTGGCAGCCTAGGTATCGCGTCTCAATCAAAGGGTGCCCAGACTTTGAAGGAATGTTCCAAAAGAGATGTCATTTGACATATTAAAAACATACATATTGAGGAATTAGCAGAGGACGAGAAGCTAGTAGCCCCACCATCTCTTTTCTAGATATCGTAAGGGAGGGTATGTGACGGCGGTAAAGGCAAACGCAAGTTCGAAACCTGCGATCATGATCATTAGAAATTCACGTCCGGGTATATATATATACGAGTGGAGTCTCACCGATATCGCCACCGAATTCTGGATCGCCAATCATGCGTCCAATAACACCTACATACCATACTTGAGCCATGCCTAAAACAGCACCTGCTACACCGCATCCCAAAGCTAGGAAACTGGCAACGCCAAGCGGGAGTTTCCTCCAATTGTTGAAATCGTCGGGGACGTAATTTGACCATTTGCCCTTGCGGAAGATGAGGTGCTCCTCGATGAGGATAGTTGAGAAGATCGCAAGCCAGTAGGAGAGAATGACAAGAAGGGTGTCTAGCCATTCTTCGAAATGGCTTGCGCCAACGATTGCGAGGACGATGTAGACAACACTCCCTAAAATCACAATAACGATACGGGGTATCGCTTGGGCATAGGGATGTAAATTCTATCGTGATATGATTAGCATATTTTCTGGTAGTATGCTCTGATCTGCATGCGCAAAAACATACCTGGAAAGTCAAAGCCAAGGAATACATGTTGGGAATGTTGTTAGCCACGATACTCAATGCTAGAAGCACCAGTAGGAAGGACCCGAATCCGCCCATTGGTCCTGCTAGACCGGCACCCAAAAGACCACCCACGGAATTATCGTTGTAGGCGTCTTCCCATGTTGTCTTTTGGGCGAAAGTCGTCATGGCTGCGGCACCAAGAATTTCAACGAGAATAAGCGGAGTGTTGAGACCGAGATATGTCCAGAAAAATATCTTGTATGAAGACATGTCTTCTGGCATACGAACAGTGTAATCTGCGGCCAAGCTGATGGCAAGAAGTATTAAATCACATATGTCAGTAAGAGTACGACCTTACCTCGTCCATCCAAGAGCAAATCCAGCTGATGATCGCATAAGTACGTGAAAATATTTGCAAATTGGCATAAACTTACCGACTGTCGCACCAAAGGACAGTACATTACCAGCTTCAACACTACCTGAACCCCCGAAATCGCTCTCGGCAAATCGCGCTATCTGACCCAGATAGATAAAAAATATGACCACCACCTATGTGGGTGTGAATAGACAGGGATTGACGTTCTGCGTAGCGTCTTACCGGTATCCAAGAGTATTGTTCATAGAGGTGCACCACACGGTAGCCCATGAACGAGACCACGATAGTGAGGATCGCAATCACCACAATTCCTGCCGCGGTAGGTATCTGGTGTGACGTGCTCACGGCGCGCAATGTCTGAGCACCCACAATAGAGTTGACAATCGACCAACCGACACACGCGATACAATTTAGCACGATAGGAAGCTGTGCGGTGGCGTATCCGAAAGAAAATCGCGATAAGGTGAGCTGACGAAGCCCAAGCTTTGGTCCCCATGTGGAAAAGTACGCGACAGGAAGAGTACATAACAAATTGAAGAATATGATGGTAAGAGCAGCTTCTTTGAGTCCGAGGAAGAAGATGGATTGTGCTAAGACTCCGATCGCAAATGTTGATATCTTGAATGAAGGAATGGTTTTGTAAAGACGTTAGATATAAAACGCCGAACGATCAAATTTGAAACGTACTGTCATATTTGCAGCTAGCCACATCCAGAACGGTGCCAAAGGAGCTATTGGAAGATAACAGGAAGTTGTCAATAATGTATGCCACGAAAATTTCGGATGAGGCCACTCACAAGTCTGCGTTCTCTCGTCTGGAAGAACGCGCTCAATACCGCGAGCTTCTACTCCATATTTGTCCAAAAACAGTACTATGGCCCAAAGTTTCGCGAATTTATCCCGAGGGACATTGTCATTCATGTCCTCCAAAGCCTGGGCTTCGTTTACATTGAACCTATTCAAAACATCTGTGGTCAGTGAACAGAAGCAGAAGTACGCCCTCTAACTACACTGACAACCCTGGCTGATGCGGCGCCTTTTCCAAATCCATCTCTTCCTTCGACGTGGACGCACTAGACGATTTTCGGCCAGTGTCGGACATGGTGGTGATACCTCAGGAGGGTATGGGAAGCTAGCACACAGCCAACGAGCGGGACGAGGATGAGGAACAGAAATTTTCTGCGCGCATGGTGCATGAGTTTAAAAAGGTTTGGCAGTGGGAAAAGGATGTACATATTTCCCCAAGACGGAGAAAAGAATCCCATCATTGATGATTATTGCACTTAGTCGTGACATATTGAGTACCTGGTGCACTCCTTATCTATTGCGACGTACATGTGCTTCCCCGGTGCTTCCCTTCTGCATTTGGAGGAAGCGGATTTTTTTTGAATGTTGGCTTGGCTTAGTCTTTTGGAACAAATGCACAGTAACACACACCTGGCTATACTTGGATTTATGAACCGAAACATCGGGGACTAAAGGAGCGTCAAATTCTTGGAAGAAGTCTTCGGCCGTCACAAGTTTGGCGTTTTATGGATCCAAGACAAGTTCGGGAAGCAGATAGAATAATGAGCTTGACGAAAAAGGGGGTATCTTTGGGCCGTATGATGCACTTGAACTCGGAAAAGGCTAGAAGTCGTCGAATACGATCCAAAGATGCCTAGCGCTAACAATGGCCCACGATTTTCAAAGCTCATCTCCTATTGTCATCACCGATGATTATTTCGGGAATTCACAAGTCGTATGATAGCTTGGAACTGAGAAGGTTGAGGGGTCATGAAAATGGATCTTTGTTGCAATCAACATTCGGATTCAACTTTTTCTTAGAAGCCCAAGCATGAACAGTGTGAATGAACGTCAGATAAGTAGGCGTTCTACAGTCACCTGCACGAAGCTCGAATGGGCTCACAGAATATACGCACCGCAATACCCAAAGTGAGACAAAGACTAGAGCATGAACGAGAGAGCAGCAGAGCTATACTGCCAGCGATAACATCAACGTATCATCATATAAAGATGAACGATCGAATAACTCTGTCACGGAGGTGAATATTTGGTAGTCGATAATTTCAGGTGGTTCAGAGCGATCCATATGCTGTCGATAACGATAAGTAGATAGATGGATAGTATGTATCGTATTGCAAACTACTTTGTTCCTATGGCGCGCGGATGCACCGAGCGCGACAGAACGGATTCTCCTAACATACGGAATCTCCAGCGTTCCGCCGACAAAGGACATCGCCGATAGTTACAGCTATGGAACAATCCGTCTTGTAGCCTCATGCTTGATGAATCAATCTTCAGCGAGATCGTACAAGGTAGTGATTTGAAAAGATGAGGAATGACTCACTTAGATAGGCTTTACTGCATCGAGCATATATTTTGTGGCTTCAACAATGATCTCGTGTTCAACTTTGTGTAATCTCTCCTCAAATGACTCCAGTGGTTCCCCTGCTTCAATCAGAACTTCCCTGACAATCAACGGTTCTCCTCGATCAACCGCTTTCACAACCTTATGCACCATAACTCCAGAGTGTTTAATTTCACCTTTTTGGAAGGCTTCGTAGGCACGTTCAATGGCATTAGTACCGTCGAATGCTCCTGGTAATGCGGGATGAAGGTTGATTACCGGGATAGGTCGTCGCGAGGAATCTGTGTCCGTCTTGACGCCGTATAACAGGTCAAGGAAGCCATCTCCAAAGACATGCATCCAGCCAGCAAGCACTACGAGATCTGGACTCTCCTTCAACACGATCTTCGCAACTTCAGCATCGTAATCGTCCCGTGTTTTGCCTGGACTAGCTTTGAGATAAGGCTGCAATGCGAGGTACGCGGTAGGAATCGGGGGAATTGCGTGTTGTGCCCGGGTCAGACCATACGCGGCTTTACGATTCGATAAAACAAGAGTTATTTGGGTGTTGGGGAGTAGCGGTGTATTTTGTGCATCGATCAGAGCCTGAAGATTTGTTCCTGTACTCAAAAATTACTTGCAGAAATGTTGGAGGAGAGTTTCGAGATACCTGAGCCTGATATGAGCACTACGATGCGCCTGATGTTGGTCATAAGTTAAGCTTCATTATCGCGCTGGCTATTAGGAAAAAAATTCAGAATACTTTGCTTTGACCTCGGGCCGGTTAGCCGATCGAAAATCGAACCAAACTTCCGACACTGGGAAAGTTTAACTATGTACATAACGACTCGAGGATGAGGAAGCTATCTATCATCGAATGCTTACTTCCTATGTTGGAGAATATCTCAGCTTCCTTATCAAAAGTTGTTCACCCTATTGCTGTCACGACTCGGAATAAATTTTAATTTAAAGCGAAAATCATTCGATGAACTGGAACGATATCATAATGGGTTTTGCCTTTGTCAGTGCGATCATTGGCTTGAGAAGTTTGCTGTCATCAACACGCCTGAATCAAGAGATGACTTGATACTCTCAGTCCTTCATCGATTCCTTGATTCCAACATCCATCAAACTATCCGGGAAATCTATCTTGTTCGATACCGAACAGGCTAGGTGCAAACGGCGAAAAGCGATGATCAAATTCGAGGTCCTTGAACACTCCTGTTTGTACACGAGGTGTTGAGGGTGACGAAGACTACCGGGAAACAGCGGCCATGCAAATGTCGTAGAGGTAGATTAATCATGAATCATGATACAGTTTTTGTGAAAGTCAATTGTTTATATCTGGTTTGAAATGTCAGCACGAACAGTAGGAGGATAACGGGCGTGCGTCGCCCTCGAAAATCCTACGTACTCGAAGAATTCAGGATCTATATTGAACACTGTTCGATTATTAGATTTGGATCACCTACTAAGTCTTCCCGAAAGCAATTATTCAGGTTGATTCTGCGAGAACATAATTCTGGACACTGTTTTTGCTGTTCTTGATTTTAAAGACTGGAGAGTGTTTTGATTGAATCTACAACGTGGACAGATCGAGTATGAGTAGGTGTGAGTAGTCACTAGTGATCCGGAAACATTCGAGGACAAGCGGAACGAGGATATTCTAATTTCTGGGGTATCGATTCCGAGCTTCACGAGGAAAACAACATTATAGCAATGATATGTTACCTGAAGTGGTGCACTTTTCAGTACAAGATGTAGATAAGGATGTGTCGGATGGTGGTGGTAGACTGCCAAGATTTGGATGAATAAATAATTTCGTCATCCTCGTTCCGCCTCTGCCACTGCCAGCAATTTCCTTGAATCCTTCATCTCCACCAGATATCCCCTATTATATTACTTATTCTTTCATTTATTTCAAAAATCACTGGCTCTCTGCAATGCCAGTAACTCACTCCGTTCCAGTTTCCCATCAGGCACCTCTCCATACTGTTCGTAAACACGAACGCGACGGTGAGAATCACGATTCACACTTTTTTCACTTTCCAACATGGTAGTTTCCTAACTATTTATTTCTCTATGTAAGAACCTGTTATCATCTTGCAGGAATCGGCATCAGAAGACGAGCCTCGAGTCTACGTTCATTACGTCAATTTAGAGAAGAGAAATGATGAATGGGTACCGAAATCTTTGCTACAACCCATGCCATCTACTTCGACGTCCAACGGCGCTGTGCCGTCGAAGAAGCGGAAAAGATCTTCATCGAAAAGGCCCAGTGCATCTGCTTCGCGTAGCTATTCAGCGTTGAGTGACGAGGATAGTTTAGAAGGACGTGATTCGAATGGAAAGCCCGCGGAGGAAGTTGTTATGACTGAAGAGGAGTACGATGTCCAGCATCACAAAAAGATTAATACTCGTCGAAATTTTGCGCAAGTTTGTGTTGGAGAGTGGTTGATAAAGACTTGGTCCGTTGAGTGTTGCTTCTACAGCCTGTTTGAACTTTGCTCATGTTCCATGTTCAGGTATTTTTCACCGTATCCTCTCACTGAAAACGAAGACGCGGAGTCGAGCATTGCTTCACAAGAAAAGGCAATATCGGCTGTCAATCGAATACCCGGTGTCTACAGAATCACTAATCGCTCTCATGGACGAACATCCGATATGCTTGCAGGAGGTATGGGAAGACTAGTAGAGAAAGAGATATTATATGTATGCGAGATGTGCTTCAAATACATGACTGATGCTCCTACATGGGAGTTGCACAAGGTGCGTCTAGTGGTACATCTCATACCTTGCTCGAGCACTAAACTCTTGGTCAACAGAAACATTGCACCGTCAGTCATCCTCCCGGGCGAAAGGTATATCAACGTGGCGCTCATACTATCTGGGAAGTCGATGGCGCCAGAGAAAAGGTACATACGTTCTTCGCCTCATACTCATCGGACTGATATGTTTTCAGTTATACTGCCAGAATTTATCTCTGTTTGGGAAACTATTTATAGATATAAAAACGTTGTTCTTCGACTGCGATAACTGTAAAATGTTCCTTTTGACTTCATCTGAACACGTCTCATGTGCTCACGCTTCGCTACAGTTTTATTCTATATCCTCACTGATGCTACAAGAAACAACGACCATATGCTCGGCTTCTTTTCCAAGGTAAATTTTTTTCTACTCTTTGTTCGAGGATTTGCCTTGATGTAGTCTGATAGGAGAAAGTGTCTTACGATGATTATAACTTGGCATGCATAATCACTCTTCCGCCCTTCCAGCGAAAAGGATTCGGTAGACTCATGATTGAATTCAGTAAGTGGTGAAAGGTCTTTGAGAAGTTTTAGCATTACCTGCCCTCCTATACAGGTTACGAACTCTCCAGGCGGGTAGGAAAAGCTGGAACCCCCGAACGACCACTTTCCGATCTTGGCTTACGCAGTTACCTCGCTTATTGGGTTTCTACATTGATACGATTCTTTCGGTGAGTTTGTAACTCCGAAGTATGGTCTGATCCCAAACGCGTTCTGTATAGCAAACTCTTAGAAGTCATGCCTATGTCCACTGGCCCAAATCCAGTCATCAGCAGGGGAACGCCGCCTGATTTTCGCAGTCCATCCCGAGAGCTGTCTTCTGACGAGGGTTCTGCATATAGACGACGGAAGAGGAATAAAGGTTGGCAAGGAGAGGCATCTGAAGATGAAGTTATCGAAGATATTGATGGTATGTAAAGATCTTTAAGGCTCTTGCACCTTCTTGCACTTACTTCGTATAACACGGCTAAAATGCGCTTTCTGCTACTTACAGAAAAACTCGCTTCTTTCCGCACCTTTATCACAACTCGTAATCCCGACGGCAGTGCTTCCGTCCATCTCAAAATTCAATGCTCATTAGCTGACATTGCCGATGCGACGAATCTACGCGTAGACGATACCGCGTTTGCGTTAAATGAGATGGGAATGTTGAAGAGATGGGGGAAATTGTCCGGTTCGGATGATGAGCAGCCTATGGTTGTTTTGACTCGAGAAATAGTGGAGAAGGTCGCGCAAGAGCGAGGGGTTAAGGACGGATCTGTGTTACACTTGAGTCATGTGAAGCTTTAACCTCATGTTGTATTCTTTGCATACTGTCTATTTGTGATGTTGACTATATATTTCACCTATCGAAACAAACATGATAACCGGGTAATATTGTACTCGCCGCATGGCGCAGACGCGCTTTCCAAGTGCACGTGAACTTCACACCTCTTCCCACTCTTTCCTTCACGCCACCATCTGCGATAACTTTTATTATCTTCCCTTTCCATACGCTACCGTGATACCTTCCCAACCATGCGCTCAACTCGCACCTTACTCAGCGATGTTTCCGAGAGGAGTGAAGAGTCTTCTAACTGTTCGACTAGTGAAGTTCGTTCTAGCGTCGCTAAACGCTCAGCAAACGTTTTAATACAGCCCCGCCTTTAGATTACTTCACAGCACACAAACTCCAATCCAGGCCTCGAAGTTGAAGAACCTCGCCAAGTCCCATGTATTGATATCGAACCAATAGATGAAACGCCCTTTTCTGTGGGTGTTCATTACATGTTCAAGATTTTGTATCTGACTCCGTGAAAGGAATCGTTTTCCGGCATGCTTGACCATGGCGACTTCAATACCACAAGTTTCAGATTAACCAATGACATGAGCTACAATCTTGATGTGATTGTCAATTCCGTTCCTCACTTTCACCTCGCTCTGACATCTAGTCATTCAGCAAATAACTGACATCCAGGAGGTCGATTCTGATTGGGACGACGATGATATTGATGTTAGTGATCTCCTCCCCCTCTGTTAGCTTTATTTTGCTCAAAATTTTCTTCTTGCAGGAAATTGTCGTAATTTCTCGAAAGAGCGAGGTTAACAAGCCAGCCGCCCATAAATCATATCCGACCAAGTCCATCGCCATCAATACTCGCGACCGTAAAAAACTTCTCGACGTAAGTCTTTCATGGGTCCTTGTCGTTTTATGACGTTGATCATCTTCATCTAGAACGTCTTTTCGCTTTCCGAGTTTGATTTCATCGACAATATGATAGACTTTCGAGAAGCTACCTATGGCACACACGCTATCCGAAAGTGCGATACCAACCGAGTCTACATCATGAAAGCTTTTCCTGCAACTCCGTCTCTCAAATGGCCGTTAGAGCTGCGATTACTAGAAATGCTCACAGAGCAAGCTTGCTCTTTCCTTCCATGTATCCTTCGCAGGATCTTTGAGCATCAGACGCTTTTCATTCTTCTAGTACGTGTTTACTTACTGATTTGGAGCGGTTTTGTTCATATGGATCGTGTATAGGAGTCGTATCCAGCTGGAAGTATGCTGGAATATGTACTGCAAGAAGGCGCGTTGGATCCAGACGAAGTGTTATTCTACAGCTCCGAAATAGTAAGCTTTGTTTCTGTTCCAGGTCGATAACATCCCATGCCTATCTGTGTAGGCTGAAGCTATTTCCGTTCTTCATGACGCGAACATCGAACACTGCAAGATCAATCCTGCAAACGTGATGATTGGCGACGATGGTCACCTTGTCCTGACCAATTTCGAAATCGCCAGAGTCGACGGCATCAAATCCTCAGGAGTTGATCAGAACCAGAATCAGACTCTTCGGGATTGTGAGTATCGGGCTCCAGAAGTCCTTCTTCGGTGGGAACACGACAACTCAGTAGATTGCTGGGCTTTGGGGTGTTTGATATATTTCATGACTTATGGCAAAGTGCGTTGTCTCATCTTGCTGTAGTTGTCTTTTTCACACTTCCATTTACATGCTAGCATCCCTTTCCCCTGATTGCTTTCGATCAAGCGCAAGTGTACAAACAAGTCCTACGTGGCGGTTCCTCAACTGTCTATAACGATGGTCGAATGGAGTCCTCTGCTCTAGATCTAATGCTCAAAGTAACATCCTTCTATTAGACAGCTACCTGAAGGCTCATCGTTCCTAGTGTCTAGAACGCAACCCTCGGTTACGCCCTGACATAGAAGCGATCAAGCAGCACGAGTACTTCATTTCAATGTCAGTCGCCTTGCTTTTGGAGCATTCTCGACTGATATTCTCACAGCACATGGTCAATCATTCGAAAAAAGGGCATTATCGGTTCGTAACTTCTACGTATTCGAATGGTCCATCAATGAATTTGGTTTAGCCCCGTACATTCCTAATTCTTCGAATCCTGTAGGAGCCCCTCTCCACGATGTACAAAGTCCCCGCGAAGAAACCGATCCAGCTTTCGTTCAAACACCGAGCAATTGGGAGCTTCTGAAGTCTGCTTCTTCGAAAACATCAATTTCCTCCCTTCAAGCAAGGAATAGTGTTCAAGATATTTTACCTACGATATTCCGTTCTCCGTCTCTAGACGAACTCAAGATGAAGTCTAATCAATCACGACTGGCAGAAGATCATTCGGCCTCGCCTCAAAAGTCATTTATGAACCGCATGTCCTCATACGAATCTCTCCAGCGTAGTCCTATCGTCAATAAACTAACTCAGCAAGAACGTCTGTCGCTGTTCTGGGAATCATTGGACAAAGATGTCAACGCAGACCCACCGAAACCTGCGCGCGTTTTAGGTATCCCTGTGTCTTCCTCCGAATCTCAAATTCAAGAACCTCTGAGTCAAGTTTCAAGACTGCGTCGACAACGCTCGTCAATCATCACCCAAACCAATAATCGACTATCTCAACTTATGGCTACACATAACAAACTACGCAAACTCCGACGCCCAAAGAGCACTCCGGCTTTTACCCATCCCGACGTAATCATGAAAAGTGGCACTAAGATCGATGAGTACGAGTTACCCAACGGTATCAAGCAAATCGGGAGTGGGATTGGCTTCACGTATACGGTTCCAGCTGCTGCTAAGTCAAAATCTTCTATATGTACTCCTACAAGTATTCCACGACGGTCACATTCTATCATGCCTTCAATCGGAGTGGGTATAGGACTTGGATTGCGGAATTTTGGTGGTGGCATCTTGCGAACCAGATTGAGGCGGGAAGGGCATGTCGACCCAGACCTTGGTCGTCAGGATCATCATACTCGATTTTACAACCCACAAAATACTGGGATGAATTCAGTGCACGAGGATGTCACGGCAGAGGTGGATGCAGAGCAGCAGGACGTGTTTCGCTATGGTTCGACATGGAGTTTATTACCTTCAGAAGCGTGCAAGTGTACAACGCTATCTCCTTGTTTGGACCAAATCTCTCCTGTTACCGCAACGGATTCGACCGTTTATTCACCGATGTCGAATTTCTGACTTTTATTATCCGAGTCTGAAAAAAGAGGAAAAGAGGGTGAATTCGAGACGGAGGGTGTATGATAAGAATTTGTATGCCAAGGTTGACGTTGAGACTTCGAATCTGCACGGTGGGTATTCCGTAAATTTGAGTCTTGACGCGACGTACGGGTTACGGAGAGAGATAGAGTTGTTTCGAGAAGTTGACACCACAAGGAAGTCCCTAGGAAATCAAGGTTTAGCAAAAAGATCCAGTACTTACAAGGATCGAGAAGACGTCGAACAGCGTTGAACTCACACGGGAAGAGATGACGGTAAAACGTTCTGAAACGTCGGACAACCATAAGTTTGTGTTAGTACCACACCGGTAATGCATTATGTAGACATGCCAGAGACAGAATTGAGGCCAAAGTAAAAAAACTAAATGTGACACTGTCGTGCCGGGAAGAGGTCGTGAACAGGGTCGGCGAAGCCGCAGGGCTGGAAATTTTCCTTAATTAGTGACGTCGGATGTATGTAGCCGGAGCGGGAAAATGATACTATATAAGAAGAGATTTTTGCCCGAGCGCTGATCGAAGCGCTCGACTGTCTGCAATAGGTCTGCAAGCAAGTTTAGTTCCACCCATTATGGCACTGTCAAGAGGGCCTACTCCCACGGAATAGTCACACCTGACGGGAACGCTTTTCCCGGCCGAGAAATATATAGGGAAATGAGAAGAGCAATCGCCGATTTCCCCTCAGTGAATAAAATTCTTTCCCATAAGGAAATAATTAGGTTTTACGGACGGGAAATGAGTAAAATATTAACTGTATTTCCCAATTTAGAAATATAGTATTTTTCATCAGATGAAGATTATCTTTCGCCTTTGATAATGATTATCTTTCGCATTAGATAAAGATTACCTATTACAAAAGATAAAGATAATCTTTCGCGCTAGATAATTTTTAGATTGCGCGCTAGGGAAATGGAAAATTTCCCGGTTCGCGAAACCAAATAGCTTAGCGCCTCTTAGCGCCCACCCAGACATATGAGTGGCACTCACTCTAGTTGTCACAGCTCGACACCCATTGGCACTATCTACAGGTTGCAGGGTTAATGAATCGATAGGTTGGTTTTTGCTGAGTTTTTGGTAGAGGTGGCATGCTTAGCCACTCATGTCTTTAGGTGGGCGCTAAGAGGCGCTAAGCTATTTGGTTTCGCGAACCGGGAAATTTTCCATTTCCCTAGCGCGCAATCTAAAAATTATCTAGCGCGAAAGATTATCTTTATCTTTTGTAATAGGTAATCTTTATCTAATGCGAAAGATAATCATTATCAAAGGCGAAAGATAATCTTCATCTGATGAAAAATACTATATTTCTAAATTGGGAAATACAGTTAATATTTTACTCATTTCCCGTCCGTAAAACCTAATTATTTCCTTATGGGAAAGAATTTTATTCACTGAGGGGAAATCGGCGATTGCTCTTCTCATTTCCCTATATATTTCTCGGCCGGGAAAAGCGTTCCCGTCAGGTGTGAGTCACTCCAAGTCATCCTGGTCGATAACCCATTTCAATCCTTGTTGCACTGTACACAAGTCTACTTCCTGAAGATATATTTTTATTCGTATTAGTTATGTACAATGTACATAGACCCCTCGCGCTCCAGCCTCTTGCACCGTGGATCTAGACGGGGAGAATCACCCGAAAGTGACTCTTCTTCTGGTATCCACATTGTCTATTTACGGATCCCCCGTTTTCTCATTTCATCTAATCCAGTAAGTAGCTGCTCTCCTCTCCTGTTCTCTTGTTGACTAACCTCGTGTCTCTCATCCTTCTATCAACATTTTGACAAACTACATGCACTCGTTCCTCGCGACTACAGGTGGAAACAATCAACTCAAACGCGACTTCCTCTGTCTTCCTTATTCATTTTGTATTCGGGCTGGGAACCCCGAACGCATTCAAGTTTCTTCAAGAGGAAAAACTGGCATGTCGACGATCTTGAACACTCGGAGCTCTATCCAATAAGAATCCAGTCATCCAGCTGACCCTTGGATCAGCCAATTTCACCGTTTGTGGGCCGATTATGACTATTAGGATGACTGGCGTCAGGTATAAATGAGAATGTTACGTTCGCCCTCTCTGACCAACATATCACAATGTTTGCTCTTCGAGCTCTGACCAGCATCATCTGTGCAGCCATTAGTGTGGGCGCGGCCTCTCCACAAGTTCGATTGGGGACAACCACACTGGTCGGAAGGGATGTGACGCTCTTAAAACAAGACTTCTTTGGTGGTAAGAGTATCCATAATTTTTTTTTGTATCAACGCACTACATATTTTCTTTACTGCTGTAGGCATCCCTTTCGCGGAACCACCTCTTGGGAGTCTTCGCCTCCTGCCCCCAGTGCTGAAGACCAGTCTTAACGCTACTACATTCGATGCTAGCAATTTTGGATTTTCGTGCTTGCAGTCAGTAAGTATGTTGTCTTCGGTCAAATTTGGCACATAGAACTGACTTGGCAATCATAGGGAGTTCCTATTGCTGAATTGTCGGAAGATTGTTTGACGATAAATGTTTTCCGGCCATCTGGTGTAGAATCAAACGCTTCCCTTCCGGTGATGTTCTGGTAAGGGCAATTCCACATACTCAGTCACAGTGGCTCAACTTCCCCTATCCTGATACTACATAGGACCTACGGTGGGGGCTTTCAAGCAGGATCTTCGGCTGAGTTCAATGCAAGTGCAATCGTAGCTCAAAGTGTTGTCCGGGTAAGAATTCAAAGAATACTTTTTTCCACTGGGATCCTTTTATACTATCGTATGCAGGGAACTCCCATCGTCTACGTGAATTTCAATTACCGCCTTGGGCCCTTGGGATTCCCTCAAGGACAAGAGGCAGCGAATCGCAAAGTCTTGAATTTAGCACTACACGATCAGATCGCAGCTTTGACATGGGTTCAAGAAAATATTGGTGCCTTTGGAGGGGATAAGAACAAGGTAAACCGAACCAGCATATTTCTTCTGAGTTAATGATAATTATTCAATGCAGGTCACAGTATTTGGAGAAAGCGCAGGAGCAATCATGACGTCCGTCCAGCTCTTGAATCCTTCATTTTCAAAGTTTGCAAGAGCAGCGGTAAGTTTCCGCACGTGTTCACCAGACTCATTGTGTAATTGTTCCTCCAGATCCTTGAGTCAGGTTCAGCTGCAAGTTCTCTGACGTTTGATGCTCAACACCGACAGGTGGATTGGGATAATTTTGTCGCAGGAGTTCCTGGTTGTGCGGAACTGTCGAACACGAACAATACATTCGGCTGTTTGCAATCTGTCAATACTACAGCCATCCTTAGTGGTTTAGTCATCGCCCAGAATGAAGCACCAGAGGAGATTCCATGGAATCCTACTATTGACGGGGAAGGTGGATTTATGCCAGAACTCCCATCGTTACTCTTCGCACAGGGAACGTTTGCCAAGATACCATTCATCTCTGGAACAAACTTGGACGAAGGTTTGTAGCGTTTACGTTTTCTACCTGCCACTGAATTTCATTTGTTTATTCATCTGCCTATCTTCAGGAACATCCTTCACTCCGCCCACTGTTAATTACACCACGGAGCTCATTATGGACCTTCTTGTAGCCAACTTTTCTCCTCCAGCCGTTCCCTCCATTTCGGAAACTCAGCTGGAAAATGCAATAATGCGCTTGCTGGAATTATACCCGGACGTACCCGCTCTTGGTTCACCTTTCAATACCGGAAATGACACCTTTGGGCTCAGTTCAGGATACAAACGAGTTGCTGCTCTACGTAAGTAGTTTAACTTGTTACAGCCTTTAGGGCGACTCATTGAGTGGTCGATATGGAGTTGGAGACATTAGCTTTCAGTCTCAGCGACGGCTGTGGATACAGACAGCGAGTAATGCGGGTGTGAAGACTTTCAGCTACCTGTTCACGCAACCACAACCCACCAATCCGGCTTACCTTGGTGGTAAGTTTTCCGCCTGTCGTCCGCTTCTACACAATAGTGTTCACATGTACCAAAGTGTCTCATGGGTCAGAAATTGCCTTCGTTTATGGTGCACCACCAAACGCAACTGCTTCTGCGACTGGATTGAGCGAGGCAATGATTGAATACTGGGTTTCGTTCGCTACGAGCCTGGACCCAAATGATGGAAAGGGCATTTCTCGTGAGCAAAATCTCGTCGAACAACTTGTGCACGATTCTAGTACTTAGCCGAAATTACCTTGCGTTATCATCCTCCAGGTCCAACGTGGGAGCAGTATACTCCTCAAAACCAAGTGAAATCAATATTAAGCTTACCGCGTATTGTGACCTGACCTGCCTTCTTTCCATAGGTTGTCATACAACTGAACGGCGATAATACAACTATGATCCCGGATGATTATCGCAAAGCAGGAATTGACTTCATGAACTCAATGCCTTTGACCTTTCACCATAGACGCTCCTTGTAAATTGAAATAGGTTTTCATTCTCCTCAGTCCTCTACCCATCTCCACTGCATATACCAGAAAATACTGATACATCTAAAAAATCTAAATGGACTTGGTTTGGATTGTTGTGAGAAGAAAGGGTCTCTTGAACTGCACGAATCCCGGTAGGGCGACGTATAATCATCATGGGTCTTTTATTTCATTTATTTTGGAGCGTTAACACTTTCGGGCAAACTACACAAGGTTGTTTTCTTGCAAGGCATGACGCTAAGTTTATTTCTCAGGGGTTACACGGAGGCTTCATACATAGAAAGAAAGAAAACTCGGCGAGTACGCTGTAAAGCGAATAAACTCCACGGTGTCGAAGATAGATGCACATCGACTGGGACCGGTTGACCCTTGAGCTTGGGCCTTCACCGTGACAACGATTTCGCAACCCAGAACGAAGGCATAGAAAATGTTACTATTACCGGTTCCATGGCTAATGTGACCCAAGTGGCATTGCTTCTTTTACAAAGTAGCATGATCCTCAGTCATTCCTTACCCCCATCGACATTAATCTCGCTTCGGATGGCCATGGGCTCCAGTGGGATTTGGAAAATTTAGGTCCGGAAGTTGAGTGCAGACCAGCACACTAGACTAGCTCCTTCCGTTCATCGACTTTAGCTTCAACGGGGAAATATGCTCCGGCAGCAGTAGTGAGCCTCTCGGAAAGCTGCCAAATCTCAACGACTTGCCTCTTCCCCTCATATGGCGCCGCTCTTCGATTCCGAACCTATCGCTTCAATCCACTATCTGTGTCATTCAACTTACCATACTTCTATCTTTCGTACCAACCCTTCACTTGGCCTCTCTGCCTTCTCCTTTGTCTCGTTGGAAGGGTGCACGAAATGGCATTTGCTATTGTCGCTCTCCTCGTCCTTTCTCTCCTCATTTACTACTACTCCCAGTCGAAGTCTTCCTGCCGATGCCCTCTTCCTCCAGGTCCAGAGAAGCTTCCAATAGTGGAAAACCTGTTTCATATACCCAACGGGGGGTTCATATGGCTTGAGTATGCCCAGATGTGCCGGAAATACGGTAAGCACGTACTTATACACGTTGTGTGCCCGAAGTGAACCTTCTTTCTTCATCAGAGTCAGACATTATTCATCTGGGTGCACTCGGGAATTCAATCATCGTTTTGAATTCTAACAAGGCAGTCAACGATCTTTTGGACATCAAGTCCTCCATATACTCGAGTCGACCTCAAACGGTAATGTTGGGAGAACTTATGGGGTAAAAGCATACACCATGTCTACGACTTTGGCCATTTCACCAACTATTTACTATTGCAGATGGGGATCTTCAACTGTATTGAGGCCCAACGACGATTTGTGGAAGGGACAGCGGAAGATTATGAATCAAGCGATGCCTCCCAATGATACGCAGCGGTTCCACCCCAAACTATTGAATCTAACGCATGATCTCCTTCGAGCTCTTCCTCACTCTGACGATGTTGTAAAAACTCTACGGACGTGAGCAATGCAATACGGGCTTCCGATGGAGCGGCTTATTCCTTTCTTTCTTTTATAGTTGGGCTGCGACGTTCATCATAGATGTCACCTATGGTCTCGATGTAGAGGTGGCAGAAACATACCTCCCTACAGCTATAGCAGTAATAGAATCAATGTCGATTGCCGCAATGCCTGGTGCATTTTATGTGGATCAACTTCCAATCTGTGCGTATGGTTCTTGAGTGTTCTCAAGTGTTTTGACATGCGCTTTTCTAGTAAAATATATTCCTGCGTGGTTTCCTGGAGCAAGTTTCAAGCGCAAAGCTAGAGAGTGGTCCAAAATGCGTATTAAAATGACTGAGCTTACCTTCAATTCTGTAAAACAGAAACTTGTATGGAATTGCCCCATATGCATTGACCTCCATTGAGCACTGAAGAAAAACAGGCAACGGGGACTGCTACGCCATCCTTGACCTCGGTGGCCCTCGGAAAGATGGACCATAAGCTCGACTTGGCAAAACAAGAAGAGCTTATTAAAACAGCTTCAGTGACCGCATATGCAGGTGAACAAAAGGATCCAACGTTAGTCGCAGTTACTATCCTTGCTCACAGAGTCCCTTTATGTTTCTAGCAGGTTCAGACACCACTGTTTCCGCGTTAGGTAGGTACTAACCTCCAGCTCAACATGGCCCAATAGAAACGGTTTTTCAGGAGCGTTTATCTTGGCCATGCTCATGAGTCCGGAAATCCAAGCCACAGCTCATCTTGAAATTGAACAGGCACTTGGGCCCGGTAATTTACCCAACTTTGGTGATGAAGCGTCGCTGCCATATATCACAGCAGTCGTTCGAGAAACGATGAGACATAATCCCGTCGCGCCGCTCGGTGCGTGTACTACTAGTAGTTCATCAAGTACCAAACCCTTTGATGACTTGATTTTTCTGTCCAGCCGTTCCGCATGAACTTACACAAGATGATATCTATAAAGGATATTTCCTGCCCAAAGGCTCTCTGATCATGGCAAACGTTTGGTAAACATTGATAATCACCAAAAATTCCTTAGTGTTCATTTTTTTTCGGTTTCGGAAATGTATGTGCAGGTCGATTCTTCACGATGAAGAGGATTATCCAGAACCAGATTTGTTCAACCCTTCGCGCTTTCTTGATGCTGATGGGAAGATTGATCCTGAAGTCAAAGATCCCACTATCCCTGCATTTGGATTTGGGAGGCGTGTCTGTGTAAGTCTCCGAATCATACTGTCAATTTAAATTTACAACTGAATCCGTCTCGATAGCCCGGAAAACATATGGCTCTTGCTTCGTTATGGATCGTTGTTGCCTCTATTCTGGCTTGTTACTCTATCGAGCCAGAGCTTGATGAGAACGGGAACCTAATAAAGCCCAAAGCCAAGTGGTATTCAGGGCCAACTTTGTTCAATCACCCACTTCCTTTCAAGTGTCGTTTTGTCCCTCGTTCGAAGGATGTAGAAGTTTCTTTAGCGTTGCACTTGAGTGCTTGATAATACTCGTAGAACCCAACTGACATATACACTACTTAATACTTTATTCTGACATTTTCCTTTTGTTAAGGTAGGTAGGTGTTTGTAACGCACCAAGGAAGATCAGGCTGTTTCGGCGCAGAGTAATCGATTATGTCTGCGGCGAGCGACATGATCTACAAATTGAAAATATTGTCAAGTCATTGGCGTGCTCGCCATCGAATCAATTTCCATTCCCGCATCGGTGAACATATGCGTGCCCACCGCAGAAGCAACTTGCGAGGATTTAGAAGAGAACTCGACTAACTGATCGCTGAACAAAGAATGAATCAGAAGTTTGAAACGTCGTGGCTGAGCTCCCTACCGTTTACGATCCCTCAATGTTGTGAGCATCTCAATCACATTATCTTGATCAACAATATCCAGATCACCCCCCGGAAGGTTGTCTGCCAGGTTTTTGGCGGTCAGAAGGAGTGTTTTGAACTCATTCGTCTATGCCAATCGAAAGCGATTATGGTTGCCTTTCAGCCAGTAGAAGTTGAAACTAACCGCTTGGAGGACCGCCTGCTTCGCCTGAGGAGTGGATATACCGTCTGGCTTCTGCGTTAATTCGAGGACTGTGACGAGCTTCAACAATAGGCTGTCGTACACTGTAGATGGGATGGTGTTGGCCATAAACCACTTAATTTCACGTGCAATGAAATTTGCAGAAAATATAAAGAGTACCAGATATATAGGTCTTCTAGCAAATGCTTTACGGCCGCCTAGCGTAATGGTTAACGCGCTAGTTTCCGGAGACGTTTAGCTAGAGATTGTGGGTTCGAGTCCCATGGTGGTCGTTCGATGTTTTTTCTTTTTCGTTTCATACCTTATTCGTCAAAAGATCATCTGTTTTTACATTCTAACGCAAGGACATATCCGGTAGCTACCTTGAAATACTTGGGGCATATAAGTACATTTGGGATAAACGGCGTAGAATACTAGTGAACGGAAAGTACGAAAATAAATGAGTACAATTGGTGCTAGGCGTGCAAGATACGAAATCAGAGTTTGAAATCACTTCAAGTCAAATGTTGGTTGTTGAGCACCTGCTCCATTTCAGTACTATTTCCTTCGCGAACATTGTCATTAAGAACCTCACCCTCATCCGTCTCCAAGTCATAATCATCGATATATGTGCTCTCAAATAGAGCATTGTCCGCTGTATCATCCTCGGCGGGCCGAGAATGGAGGGAATGTAAGGAGGCGATGGATGCTTGTATTTGAGCTGAACTAGGAAGTGGAGCTGAAGGAGGTAGTCGGGAAGCGCTCGAGGAGGGCTCTTTTGCGACCGCAATACGTCAGCAAAAAAATATTAAAGAAAAAGCTTGGAGCGCACTCACCACCGGAGGCATTAACCTCTGTGAATTCGTTGGGTATGGAGGTTTCTAGCTCCTGTCTTGGTTCTTGCGGTTGGTCCACTGATATCATAGCAGGATTCGCTGCGCTCGTGTTCGTGTCGGTTATGGTGAATTTCTCCGTGTGGACAACGACTTCAATCGCATGGCCAATAGGAGGATCCATTATACTTGTGTCATCTTCATCGACACTTTCAAGGTCTCCTAGCTTGTTATTTCCTACATCAATATCTACAGAATTTTCCGAGCCCTGGTCTGCACTTTGGAGATTTGCGTTTGAACCCTCATCAACAACATCCTGAGTAACGATAGAAGGCATCGAGTGAGATGCAGTGGCAGTGGAAGAAGTGGCTATAGCTGCTGCTGAGTAAATACTGATTTCTTTTGTGGTAGACACCACAGCGCTCGCTTCAGTCGGAGACTTAGAAGACGACGAAATGATGGGTCCTGTCTCCTCCTTATCTTGTTCAAGAATGTCACCGATAGCGACACCCAACAACTGAGTAGCCGGACCTTCTGTCTTCAAAGCATCATTTTCTTCTTCCTGTACCAGTAGCCCCTGTGGGTGCTCCTGCTCGTTTTGATCTACCTTTTGTCCAGCCGCTGCGTCGACGTCCGCTTGAGGCTGTACATGGATACTACTGGGCGGAGGTATAAAATACGAAGAGGATGAATCGCCTGCCGCATTTGAAGATGCAGTGGGTGGTACAACAACAATTGTACTGTGGACTGAAGAGAGAGCAGAGGAAGAATGACGAGAAGGTGCAAGAGAAGCAGCACGATGCACTTCTTCTTTACTCTCTGGTTGCTGGGGTTCGGTGGGGAGTTCAGATACAGATGCACGAGGAGCCTCGGATGTAGTCTCTTCGCGTCCTAAATCGTTTTTGAAATTTGCCGTTGGCCGGTTCACATCGCCGGGGGTATGCATTTGTAGCGGCGCTATTCAGAGGAACGATGGTAAGAAAGATGGTTTGATTTCTTAAGTATAATCTTTCAATTATTTATAATTTCAATTTCAAGGAGAGGGTGTAGAGAGGGATACCAAACAGGAGGATAGGTAAGGGTGGACAAATGAATGAGCATCACTTACTGCTTCGGTGCTGAGCTTCTCCTTCATGGCTTTTGACTGCCCCGCCTAGCAAATCCATGTCGGTATCTCCATCAGCATCTACATCCGCATCCGCATTCTTGACACCCCTCAAGGTAGTCCTAACATTGGTCGAAGGACCAGCTTCCGAAGTAGCCCCTGCAGCATCCTGCCCTTGCCATCCTCGATTCCGACTAACCAATTCTACTCCATCAAACGTATACTTCTTTCCACCGCTACTTCCACTAGCACTAGAACGATCCGAGTTCTCCTTGGGCCTGGATCGCGCAGGAATGTATTTCGTTTTCGTGCTTGGTTTTGAAACACTCGAACGAGGTTTTCGTCCCCTTGCAGCGGCGGTATATTTAAGCGGACGACCCCTAGATCGAAATGCACCTTTCCTGCCACTACCGTAAGTGCGCTTTACTAGGGGAGCAGTGAGATAGTTCATCTTCTTCGCAGGGGAGTGTCCAGTACGGGATCGAGTAGACATCGGGCCATGGGAAGCGTGAGGAGATATGGGAGCAGGCGAACGGGATTTCCTGCTTGTGGCTACGGTTCGGAGAACTGGAGCTGAAGCGGAAGCGCCCTGATCTTTACGGGGCCGACCTCGACCGCGTTTCGCAGGTTCCTCCACTCCTTCGTTCTCACCTCGATCTGCGAATTGCATTTGGTTTTTTTGTGCTTTGCGTGAGCGACCACGGGTTCGACGTTCAGCTGAAGATTCCTCTTCTACTTCTTCGACATATTCGTCCTCGTCCTCGTCTAGAATGTGTATTTGGGTTCCTTTGCGTGGCCGACCTCGACCTCGCCGTTCGACAATGGGCTCTTCTTCATCCTCTGCATGTTCGACATATTCGTCCTCATCTCCTTCTGCATCAGCATCACTCAAGTCGTCCTGTGTGGAAGGAGCAGCAATATTTTTCGACGGTCTACCTCGACCTCTTTTTGTCCCAGCGGCGACAGCTGCGGCTTTTGCTGTTAAAGTCCGAGTGCGCGCGCTTGTCCTCTGCGAACCGAGTCCAGAAGATGATTTTGGAGAAGTAGCACGACGTTTACCACGGCGTGGGCCAGCACTGATGCTATCCATGTGGTCATCTTCATCGTGGCCAATGACATTCTCGACCTTCGAGTTGGAAGCCCGTGTCATTCGAGTGCGTTTCGCGGCACTATCTTCATCTCCAACAGAGTCATCGTTGCCTAGCTCCTTTTCTTGTTGTTCCTCAGCCTTTCGTTTTCGACCCGAGCGTGTCGGTCCCGGTGCGGACAAGGTTTTTCGAGCTGTAGAAACTTTCTGATTGGTATGCGTGCCCGCAGCCGCAGTGGACCGCGTCGTTCTCGGTACGTCTTTATTTCGTCCAATGAATTTGATATGAGAGTCAGGCCGGAAGAAAGATACTTTTTTTCTTTGACTTACCACCAAACAGTCTGTTCTTCAGAAACTCTAACATATCATCCCTTTTACCTACGTTTTTTTGTCCGAGATCGCGCACGAGCAAGCGCAATGTCTCTGCTTTGACTGAGTCAAACATATCATCAAAGTTCTCCATGATGAGAGCGAACGGTAGCAAGGGTTTTTATCGAAAGACGCGACCTAACCTATAGTGCTTAGGTCAAGTCTGGTATCAGACCGGCTAGTAGTCTGATAAATTTTTCTCACAATCAGTAATGTGGATATGAATTATGTAACTGCCTCCTATCTTTACTAATGACCTTCGCCTAAAACTCCTCCCCACTGGCAGATGTACTTGTAATGGAGAGTTCTGAAAATTGTTTGGATGACTCAACTACACTTAGACTGACTGTCGATCGAGTGCCTGCGCAACTCTACATTGTCATTCATCTTAGGCGATCAATCCGAAGTTATTGCATTGTTCTTTACAAATTGTTCGTTTATACTGAGTTACATTATGACCACCATCTCTCGAATACGTTTGCCATTCTCTCGATACCAACCTCCATTTCCTCTCTCTGTAAACGTGAATATCCAAGTCAATCATCAAGTTCCTTGTCAAACAACATTCATGTACATACCGTTTCAAACGAAAAAGCCAACCGGAAGAATATCACGTCAGGCTCTAGAGGCATACGCTCGTTGATACCACTGCCAATGATCGGGGTGTAGTACGAGCCAGGGGTAAGTAGGACCTGGAGTCGTATGGAACAATCAGGCAATGAACTATAGAAGCACAGGTAATACGTCCAACCTTTTCCTTTATCAAATCCATCCAAAACGCCTCGGCCCACTTGGCTGTTGCGTTTTCGTTCGATGGAGAGGTAGCTTTCATATTTTGATACGTCGAGGTACTTGGGAGGTATAATTCAATCCAGGCAAACATACCACCCTGTTCAAATTTGCGCAATAAGTTTCAGTCAGGATTGATGGATGGTGGACTCAGTATACCTTTGGAAAACTAAAGCTAAAATATGGCACAGCGTCTTTGGTCGAGCCGTGACCCTTCTGCACAGCAACGACGTCATCCACGATATTTGCTGGTGAGGGGACTAGGTCAAAGTATTTGGCGATGAGGTCACACTTGAAAGTGCGTGTGTACCGTCAATGCCCATCAGATATATAGAAACGTCGAAGGTACTAACCATCCAGTCTCTTCGAGAGGTATAGCTGTCCCTCAATCCCGATAACCATCGCAAGTATCCTTCTTGTCCCCAAGATATCAGTAATTCTTCAATGAGAGCCTGGATTAAACGATATCAAAATTAGTCTCTTGTTATGTCGATAGACCAACCTGAGATAGTCCAGACGGTGCTTGTGTAGTCACCTCCGTAGCTCGGAGAATCCGCTCAGCGAATAGGGGATTGCAAACAAAATACCCCAGACGGTTCCCGGGACCGAGTGTCTGGAGAAAGATATCAGCTCATAGGCAGGATGCTTGAGATTGTGTGTCACCTTGCTGAAAGTGTCAAGCCTGATCACTCTCCCTTGCACATCGAGGGAAAGGAAGGTCGGAATCAGGCTATTGACATAAGCCTGCCCATCAAGCTCGGAGCTTGAATTGGGGTGTTCGACAGGAATGTCCGAGGGCGCCGTCCCAGACTCTTCCTGCGTTCGCTGAGACTGCAAGACGTATGGCGGAAATTGGAGAAAATAATACGGATCATCTTCACAGATGATTATATCGTATTCAACGCAAATTTTGTAAATTGCCTTTTTGCGTTCTAGTGTAAGCGTTGCACCGGTGGGATTGTGACCTACGGGAACCAGATATAAACTGTGGAGGTTGTTCAGTATGTGAAGCATGCAAAAAGGAAATTTTAAACGGGACTTACAGATGAGGTTTCTTTATTCTGGGAAAAGTCTGGTCCCAGTTCTTCAACACGAGTTCCAATGCCTCAGGAATCAGACCGTCTTTGTCAATCGGAATAGGGACACCTTTGCATCCCATCGGTGCCCATAGCGCCTGTGAAGAAGGGTAGGTATGTTCCTCTACTAGTATGTAATCTCCGAATTCGCATAGGATGTTGACGACCTTATTCCAAGCATCGGTATTTCCAGAGTGCAAGAGAATTTCAAAGTCAGAGTATCCTGGAGTCATCACATGGGAAGTAAACTCCCTAATGAAGGACGACAGCCTAGCGGAGCCATATGACGATCCTGTTCCATACAACGATTTGAACGAAGGCAGGCAAGAAGTATGAATGAAATGTATATAGCAAGTGAGAATTCATTGCCGGAATTCAATCGGGAACTTCGCGTACCGTACTGAAGAGCTGCCGAAAGCGTGTTCTTGTGAGAAGGAGACGCGTTTTTGGGGATGGAGAACTCAATCGGTGAGCAATGTTCTTCGCTGGACCGCAAATCAGTTTCCGGCGCGTATACTCTGGCTCTTAATTCGCCGAACGGAAAGAGGCTTGGGTTGGGCAATCCTGACAATGAATCGCTTCAATCTGGTACGCCCTTCTCGTTCAAATTCAAAAGCACGACAAACCTCCTGCAAGACTAATCATTCCGGGCTCATGCATATCTGTATATCAGTCAATATGTTGCACTTGGGTGAAGTTGCAATTGCAAAGCTAAATTTCACGTACACTTGATGATATCTTTCAAAGGGCTGGCCACCCTTGAGAGACTGAGTTTATTAAGATGATGAGATAGATCGATAGCTTTCGGAGTTCCTGCAGAGGTCATTATTGTGGGAGGTTAAGTTGGGTGCATGCCGGTGGATAAAAATATTTATACCAAGGTCTCAGGAGGACAGCTGTCCGGAAGTATGGGTGAACACATGGAGTAACGGCATTTTCATTTGCATCTGAGTAGCAGGAGCATGCCGCAAGACACCTAGGGCCCGGAGAGGTGATCAAGAACGAGAATTTGCAACGTCTTGAACACGGTCAAGTTCGGGATTACTTTTTGAGCTGCTTATGTAAGTACCACAAACCGACTGACGGCAATAACGGATTTCTTTCTTCTTCATACCGCCAGTACTAGTAGTAGTACCCCCTCATGTCCTTGGCGGGTTATTACTCCTCTGTAAGTTGCCTTTGCAGAGATGGGTTCCCTACACCAAAGTCTGACGGAGAGCACTGCCATCTGGCCCTCACCGCTTTCCTGAGCCGTCACCGACGGCTACCGACGGGTGGTCGTTCGCATATCAGGATATATGAAGCGCCTTCTTCCTCTGTTCCTCCTAGAGCTGGTCTCTCACCTTGCTGTCTTCCCAACTTCATCTTCCTTGGGACCAATCCTGATATATCATGATTTATTCACATTCGATATCCACTGCTGTTATCGTTATCGCAGCCGTTTCCTCAGTATTTGCTGTTCCTATCAACGTCGCATCAGTTCAACCGTTTACTGCTACTACCACTACTCAGCCTGGCGTGGTCACGGCAACCCAAAAGTCTTCTGTCAGTGCCTCCAGCTCTGGCAACCTTCCTGGCATTTCTGGAATGCCTATCGGCTCTTTTCAAGCGCCCCACTCTGTTGAAGACGACGCCGAGCCTCGCAAAAGCGGGGCCAATGCAGGCGGGGTCCAGGATGTGAATATGGATCAGGCAAGCACCAAATTATCTCAACTGGAGTTCGTTTCAAACAATTGAATGTCCTAGCTTGAACATCTTTCTACTGGATCTGGCACCACCCCACGTGTGCCGCCCTTCAACAAGTCGGCTTCTCATCATACTAGTCCCACCGAAGGTTTGCCGTAGCTTCGTTTCATCAGCCGTGTTCCAGATCTTATCAGGAAATCTATGCAGAAGGTGAACTGCCTGTTTCCCAAACTGAAGTCGCCTCTGCCAATAATCCCGCCATTCCTGAAAGGCCTCGTTTTGGACTGCGCCAGGTTGATACTGGTTATTCGCCTCAAACCACCGGAAATCCTGTTCGTGGCGTTCGGCATAAGGGCGTGACTGCATACGGTTCATCCAACGCTGTTCGTCCTGTCTCGACGACCAAGCCACGCGGTTTTCGTCGTCCGGGCATGAATGCGTATTCGGGACAACAATGAAAAAACATATTTTCAAGGATGGTTACCTGCAGATGATGGTACGGATCAGGACTGAATCTTTTTTCCTCGAAATCGGACATCTATCAGCTTAGAGAAGAAAAGGAAGTTGATACGAGTTCTCATAGTCCATGGCAATATTATAGAGCGAGCATTATTGTTCCCGACACGTGTTTATCAACGTATCCAGTAACGTTTGACGCACATCCCAAAACTGTCTCGACATTTCTTTCAGATCCCCACACAACCCACTCTCCATTTCCTTATGAACAAACTTCCACAACCCCCTCACATTCCTACATCCTATCCTCGCATCTATTAGCACTCTCCTCGCATCATTGCGAACATCCCAAGAGCGTTGTCTGTTATTTGCATTCAATGCTTTCTCAAGCCCAACAACTGCCTGAGCAAAAATATCCTCGATATCTTCTAGATAGCTTTTGGCGTTGTCAAGATGCAACAACATCTGTGCAACCTCGGTGTCAACAATACCGTTTTCCTCAAAATTCATGGCCAAGCATGACAAGTCGGCCATAGCCCCAGCCACAGCTTCTTCTAACAATTCTTTGAGCATGCTTTCTGTTTTGTTTGTTATAGATATCGGTGTCTCAATCCGGGTCATCGCAAAGTTCATATCGATGATTTTCCGACAAACCGCTTTCAAGCTGTGGATTACATCTCCCAACGTGGTTTTCGTTGGTTCGATCATGACTTCGTTGAAATTCCCCCACCTCGGATTGAAACAGTTTATCTCAAATTCGAGGTCGAAGAAGATACCATGAGTGTTACCCTTGAAATAAGTGGTCGTGATCAAATCGTGAGGATATTTCCTTGAGAACATTGGCGTACGATGGCTGCTTGTTGGAGGATATCCTTATGTATCCCAACGTTGTAGATTGTCTCTTGAAGAAGTCCGGTGGCACGTTGGACGGTGGTTTCGATGGAGCTAAGGTGGCGAATCATGTTCGAATCTCTATCGAAAAATTGTTTCTGGAGATTCATGAGACTTTGTACAGCGTTAGCCAACTCTTCGATCGTTTTGACGCGAATATTGATACTGGGCATTTCCGATATATAATCAGTACGGGTTCGAATAAGTGAAAGTGGCGCAGGGGTTAGTGATTGGGCAAAAAACAGGAAAGGGGATCAGGGTTTTGCGAGTTTATAAACTCTTGCCCACAAAAGACACTCAAACTCTTTGTTTAAAGATAGTTACTATGCTGACTCTTGACTTTGTCTTTTTTGTGTTCTACGTTGGGACCGTCAACGATGCAACGATGAGGTTATAAGGCCTTAAGGGGTTGTAATTGTGAATTGACTAACTGGTGGATATCTTCTCCCACACAGCTCGGCTTTTGAGTCAACGCCTCGATATATTACGACCATATTACAATTAAGAATGGGCGCTTAACTTCAATTTATGCATTCAACCTCGAGTCCAATAGATTCCAATCCCTTTTCCTTGGTCGTTTTTTCTGTTTTTGAAAGCTAGATCCAGCACTTCGCCCTCACCGGAGGACCCCACTTGAAAGAGTGCGGCTGAAGCAGCAGACACGAGAGCGAGAAAGACAAGTGGAAATATGGAAAAGCGCATCACAACCGAGACGAAGTAGCCTTCCAGAGAAGAGATATGTTCAAGTTCAGTTAGAGCCTAAATTGGAGGTGCAAAAATGGACTCACTTGAGCAAGAACAAGGGAGGTTTGAAGGTCTTGCAGCTATATACAGTTCAAGCTGAACGGTATGTGTATCTATCTCGTAGGAAAATTGTCTTGCGATCTATTCTACTTATTGTAACACAGAAAGAATCAAGAGCTATACATTGCCCAGTCCATTGAGGATGGCAATGTAGCCGAGTGCCCATCCCAATGGGGGCCGTTAGCTGATTTCCCTCCGCCAATTCCCTTAGTAGGTACACCTAGCCATAAATTATTGTACTCTTGTTGTTTGACATCTAGTAAAGCAGTGGTGTCATCATCAATTATGCCAAAACCGTAAAAAGGGTTGGAGTTTAACGAGGACGGGATTAAATCAGGGATTCCCATATTGAACTCATTTTCATCTTCATCCTGAATTGGACTATCAATGGATGCATCATTGACACCTGCATCAGAGCTGGAATTCTGCTGAAATATAACGGTTGAGTTCAAAGGAAGAGGATCGTCTCTTTCAATTCCTTTGGTGCTATGGACCATTTGAGGCTCATCCTCATTCTGTAGAGATTTGCTGGCAACCGCTTCCCAGTAAGGGCTTGTCCACTTAGGAGTGTGTCCATCAGCAGTGGGTAGTAAAGTTAAACTACTACCTGCAAAAGTGGTAATGGGTGATTGTATCACATTCCCAAAAGAGGAGGATTGCCCCAGTTGACCGCTATCTAGCGAGGGCAATCCCCACAAAGTACCGGTATGTATAGCATTGCTTGTTCACGTATTATTAGCAAACCAAGCGCAATGCTAAAAAAATAACCCGACATACTCATTACCATCATGATCTCTGTTGTTGTTGTTTAATCGTGACAACACCCTCATAATATCGTCCAAATCTTGTCTTTTTTCGGCGATGTTGATTTCCAAGAAACGCATCCTTGCCATTATATGACAAGGCATACTAGTAGCGTATTGTATCTGCAATTGTTGCATTTGTATAGCTTGCATGTGAATGTCACTACGAAGTGTTTTTGCTCCCGCTGTCAAATCCACAAGCTTTCGGACGTGAACAGATTCTCGAGGCTTTTGGGAGAGAACGAAACATGCATAAATATAGCCTGCTATTCATTGAGTAAACAGACATCTGGATGGCCAAATCGCACATACCGTTGGCCATGACACTATGTTGGATATGTAGATTGCTAGTTTGAATACGGCGAATCAGCTCCTCGTTGTCTGGCATCTCCTGATCATCCTATGGTGATTTATGTATGTGCCAATCAGCCCAATGGGCTTCTGATGCGGAAGGCTGCCGAAGTGCTTACATCTCGAATAACAGTCGCCCAATCATCATCATGAGTTACGGCGACATCTAGTTCGATATTCTGTAAAACAATCTGAGGAACAGCTCATACTATTGTACCAGATGGAAGGCAATGAGCGTACATTTTGTAGAATCCAACGGTTGATGCAGTCCAAAGGATGATATATCTATAATGCGAAATGATTACCAAAGCATGAGCACAACAAAATTTCACTCACATGAATGCTGGATATGTGATCCAAGTCAACTTTCCTTGCAGCACCATCAACTGTGAATTTACGTTCAGATGGCGTAGGGATCTGATGAAGAGGATACAGCCACCGTCGTAATAACGACGACCAACGAGCTTCTGGATTTGGTGCTCTAGGGAATAGACTATCGGCATCCAGGTCATAGATGTGAAGTATCTCGGTAACCTTCTCGCGAAACCAGGTTTGTCTTAGAGCAATCTTGAAACCGCGCAAAAAGACACATCCAGATTGTTGTCCATACCTGTCGTCGGCGCCGCTTGACGATGAGGCAGAATCACATGTACGAAACCAATATTTTGGGTATCGATCTTCGCTATGAGTGGACTTGGGCACATATTCCAACTGAATATTTTCTGGTATTGCATCGCTGAATGATGCTACTCCCCATGCCCGTGCCTTGTCAAAGCCGGTAACAAGATACAAGGATCCGTTGTAAGCTGTACGGCCTAGCGCACCGTTGACATGCATGTACCATGAAGGTGCACATTCAGCAGCATATTTTTCAAATCTTGCTCGATGCAGGTGATCGACTCTTTTTCCTCCTTCTGGTAGCACGAGAAGAGCACCTTTAGAAGCTGTCGAGCTATAAGATAGCCCTGCGCCGACTTCCTTGGGTATTGCTCTAAATCTCGAGTAGGTCAAGTATCCCTGGTAAATAGAGAGGCGGAACCCACGAATGCAGTTGATTTTCAAATGGATTCAAGTTCGAAGTCGGTGAAGGTGGCATTCTTTTCTGGTGGATACGATTGGGGTCACTCGCAACATGAGAGCCCAATTCATATTCTTGTGTGTAAACCTCTGTATCGTCGAAATCAAAATCTAAAATAGGTCTAAAATCCTCGGGAACTCTTCCCAAATTCAATTCATGATCTGGCCCTTGGCAAATATTGAAAAGATAATCAAACCCTCCGGATTCCGTGAGGATCCCGACATCTCCAATGTGAATTCCCTCTCGCTTGTATGACTCCGGTAGGCGTGAGTTATCTGATTTGGGTTTCCACAAAGGATACCCTTTTTTCCGAAGAAGTAACATTTGGGCGTAAATTTCGCTTTCGACCAGTGGAAGGGAATTATAATCATGTGCAACACTGGTAAGTTTTGATGGCAAAGGAAGAGTATATGTATGAGGAGGGGCTTCAATTGGAAGAGGGTATACGTGAGAATTGAAGATACTGTACCTCTATGTACAGTTACAACCGTCACGTGTGCGTCACGGTCCCCATCAAGGCGACGAGCCCCATTTCGACCGTGACATGGGCGACTGTTAATATTTTAGTCCATTATTCCGAGAGGTTTGGTTAGTGCTGTGGGCATATGATGATGAGGGGAATCTGTGGTCAGAGACAGGAAATTTCAGGTAGCAGTCTTGTAGGAACCAAATCTATTATTTTAGCAATTTTTTGATGTCACGGTCGGAACGAAGGCGACAGGCTTAACTTTTACCGTGACATCACGGTAAAAAGGCGACACGACGAGGCCTCCGTGACCGTGACCGTCGCAACTGTACATAGAGGTACAGTAGGGCCTTTGATCTCGAAACCAGAAGCAGAGGGAAAGAACCTGAAACCATAAAACTCGAGCTTAGTAAAATCGGAAATATTGACAATTCATAAGGCATACTGAGGGGCAGTGGACACTGCTGAGGAAATGGGAGGGCCTGTGGTCATCATGGACAGGGGATGGTGAAGTAAATCGATGATCGATATGATTTCAGTCCTTAAAAGAGTCACGACCAGTCTTCCTACACTTCAAGAACACGTACAAAACAACCCTGTGACCCTCGACTCTACCACCATGCAGATGCAGGGACCTAGACAGATATAACCCATAGTGTCCGAGGAATGTAAGCAGGCAATGAACGAGGGGATTCCCAACTTGCTGCCATAGCTCCCCGCGCCTTAGTACTTGATCTTACTTACTTGCGGTCAATGAAAAGTTTTCTTTTGAGAAAAAAGACTAGTACATGATCATTCAGCAACCAACCATTTGAATGTCAAGCCCTTATGGACTATGGCGTGCACCACCTTCATCCTAATATTCCGCTCCAGCGGTACACATTTGCAGTGCGCATACTAGTTTTCTCATATTGGAGCATTGTGCGCGTATTCTGTGTAATTATTGCCCAAAGATCATTACAAGTTACCCTGCTGATACTTGAATACCGTCAGATCATGATCAGAGATAACCGCCAGTGGAATAAGCAACCCACCTCGCCTTTGCCCGGCGTGAAGCCTCTTGAAGCTCTTATCTCTCATTATTACCCTCATTTGCATTGTCCTTTATTGCAAGAATGAGGGTGGTCCTCTGAAAAACTTTCACTGTTCAATTATTTCTCGGAATACCCGCCAAGTTGTGAGGATGATTCCAAAATTGCGAATACCACGACGAGACAAGTTGAGTCGCGAAAACAAGATAAGCGCCGGCTGCAAAATACTATTCACGTGAGCTCTTTCTATTAACGTTAACCCAACCACGATGGCTCGACGGTCGACTCGCATTCAAGCAGAAACATTGGACCGAGAAGTATTTAGGCAAGGGAATTGAAGAAAGTTCTGACGGCAATTCTTTATGATTTGAAGTTAGTGCTAGAGCGATGTTTTGGGATTTTCGCAATGTGGGTGTTGCCGTTCACCGCACCATGTACCTCTCATCGAATTTCATTCAGACCAGTTCCCGTAGCGTTGGAGTGCACACTAGTGAATATTGAGTGCGTTGGGGCACTATGGAGCTTCTTGCGTAAGCCATCATGTTGCTAGAATTCGAAACCTTCAGTCATGTATAGTCAGGCGTTAAGCAACCGAAGAGCGCTTAATATCAACTGGTCGAGGGGGGGGGTGTTAGTAAGCAGTCTGCCAGGTGGTCGGCAACCATCGGCATTGACAACGTGAGGCAGCCTCGAGTTAGCTCGAGTTCGTCGTCCGTTCATTGTTTATGCCCATCTCTTCGCTGCTATGTACCAATGAGAGCCTTGATACTCTACTTAGCAGAACTCAACTCACAGTCTATTGTTGCAAGGGCACGAGCAAACACTGCCTCAACTTCTCATAGACGACGGAAAAAGAACAGAAATTAGATGGAATTATATCTAACATGTCATTTTTCTCCAAGAAATCATATGTACCCACTTTTTCTACTTACTCGAGTCTCAATAAACATTCTTTAACTCAAAATGCTGCTCAACCAATTTTCGGCTTTACGGCCAGTGTCACTGTGCCGCAACCTCGGCACTAGAAAACCTTAATCAGATATGAACCCTGAGTGAACCAGTCAATTTCAGGAACTTCTCGGTTGCTTACCGCCTGTGTATAGTCGAAAGTACTAGTAAGTGACGGTCTTCTGACATCAGAGATAAAAGGGATGTAAAACGAATAATAATACCGTGTCTATTGAGTAGGGTGGTGCGTTGTACTGCATATATCGTACAAGGCGGAGAATGCGGTCTACATCGGTCGTCTAGTACGCAGGTCATGAAGTACATAAGACGAAAATTAACCTAAAATTCCAAATGTCGAGGAGGTGGATGATAGTCCATGTACCGTGGCAATAAAGACGCAACTTTAAGCAGTCTGTAGAAAATATGTGAGTATTTCTGTAGAGACCACAATGAATGTCACAACGTACCGAGCTCTTTAGCCATGTAACAAGGTCGTTCCTGTCTTTTTCCTTCTTCAAGCCAGCAAACGCCATTTTTGTTCCAGGAATATACTACGACCCGAGAGTTAATATCGACCCAAAGAGTTTTTTGAATAGCGACGAACCTTCTTCGGGTTTTCGAGATACTCGAATAATGTCTCCTCGTCCCATGTAACGCCCTTGTTGACATTAGCAGCGGTGTATGAGAAACCTTCAGCTTGACCAGATTTACGACCAAATATGCTGAAAGACGAGCGAGCAAAGGTAGCAGCGTAAGTGAATCACATAGCAATATCAAGTTCACCCCAAAGAAACATACCCGTGGAGGTTAGGACCAACTTTGTTAGGCTCGCCAGCACCAACAGTGTGACATTGTGCACAGCGAGTCTTGAACAGCCCGGCACCTTTCTGTTCATCACCTAAAACAAGGGAAGGTTAGTTTCCTGGCTGACTTTGTTCAACGCAAGACGCGTCGGTTCTGCTAAAAACCTACCTGCTGAGTAACCCATTTTCTAGACAGAGGAAGTGAAGAGGGGAAGAAAGATTATACAAAAGTTAAGGGTTTAAAGGGTATGAGTTCGTTCAAGACTGGACGGAGTAGAGGAAGAGTAGATAATCCGAAATTTTTCGAAGCGCCCTTTTATGGACGGCAATTTTGACCCGGATTGCTCCTCGCGACTGACCAATAGGATTTCGTTGATTTTAGATCGAGGACGGACTGAATTTCCGTATGCCGTCGCCACTTTGCCAAGACAGCACTCAAATTATGGTCTTTCGTAGTCCAGACTCGATTCGGAAAAGGTCGGGACTAAACATTGCCACGTAGACTACAGTACTGTACAGAGTAATGTACCATTGACTCTACGATGTTGACAGGCAAAACTGCCCAAAAACTGCCTGCTCTCTCGTGAGCTCTCGTGAGCAACTGATATGTTTGTCAGTCCTCCGACTCCAACGTGTCCTTTATATCCAACAACTCATTGGGATCCGACTGCATCACGTAAATGAAAATCACTCTAAAGCTATGTATGTACATAGCCTCTCAAAAAATTTCCATTACAGACCTGTCGTGTAGTTTAAAGTAAAACGGAACCAGGGAAGCATGACAAAATGTTAAACAATATGTATCCCAAAACCATGTCATATGCTGAAATCAACCAACTACAAGTACATCCCAGTAAGCCAACCAACCAACTACAAATCAATCAACAACGCTTCTTTGCGTTCTTCCGTCTGCGCTACTCCACTTGGTAACGAGGGCGTCGGTCCGTATAATGGGAACGCCTGTGGTGCAGAGGTTGGCGCTACAGGGAATTGAGCTAGAGAAGTAACACTGGGATGGGTCGCGGGAGCTGAAGAAGTTTGATACTGATTCTGATACGGGTACTGTTGAGGTTGCGCGTGAGACGGATGTGCCACAGTGTTGCTTCGGGCCAGCGATGACGACGCAGAAGGCCGAGGGGTAGCGGAAGGCGCGTAAGAGATGGTATTTTGACGCGAAAGTGAAGACGAGGCGGGCGTGAATTGAGACGGAGATTGGGCGGGTACTGCAGCAGGTGTGGCATATTGTTGTCGTTGTTGTTGTTGTGGGAGGGCCGAGTAATGTTGAACTGGAGTAGGAGAGGAGTATTGTTGCTGTAGAGAAGCCTGCGGCGTATGAGGCACAGGCGTGGGCGAAGAGGGCGCGAAGTAGGATGAAGACTGGACGGGAGGAGTAGGAGTAGGGGTGTATTGTAGTGGTTGTGGTTGTTGTTGTTGTTGTTGTTGTTGGGGGAGAGTCGAGTATTGTTGGACTGGGGTAGATGAGGTATACTGTTGTGATGGAGGAGCCTGAGGAACATAAGGTACAGGTGTCGGTGACGATGCCTGATATGATGTCTGAGGGTATGAGGCTGACGATATCTGTTGGACCTGTTGAATCTGAGGCGAAGTCGGTTGCTGAGCATACCACTGCGTCTGTGATTGTTGGGTAGGTGTATTATTGATTTCTGGCGGAGGAACATAAGATGGCTGAGGTTGAGGCTGCGAAGATGGGACTTGATAACCATTGGGAGAGGCCCATTGCGTGTAACCGTTTGTTGGTGGAGCATAACTCATGCCGGGGTTTTGGTACATCCCGGGAGAAGTTTCTGAAGATCTCCAACGCGGATGTGCGACTTGTTGGGTTAAAAGTTGGTCGTAGAGCCTCACTGCTTGGGATAGCTGCTCATGCATCTCGGAAAGCATTTCTAAGTGAAAAGGATAATTATTCGGACACAGATATGAAAGTGGCTAAACAACTCACGTTCTTTCCTCCCCGTGTCATCCACACTCATCGCTAGTTTGGGACGCAAACTATTGGCCTTGTCATATAATTCGTTCACTGCAGGATAACGAGACATATCACGCCCGCCCTGTGCTTGGACTTGCTCGACTGTTTGACTGAAGGTCAAAATCGCATCTGTCTCTAGTGGCTCCAAATCATAATTTGGGATATTCGGAAGTACGGGATGCGGCGGAACTACCCCCGGTGGATATGACTGAGAATAACCAGGACCATCATATACGGGGTATTCGGATCGTGGCGTCTCAACGACAATCGGTGCACTAGGCCTGGGAGCATTAGCTTCGCGCAGGCTGGCTTCAATGGCAGCTTTGAGATCAGGATCCTCCTCTTCCTCAGACGTAGTAGTTGGATGGGTTGTACGATCAACAATGGGAGGTTCGGAATACTGGTAAGTGGGCTGTGAAGGGACGTAACCAGGTCGAGCGTGTCCGTTGGCAACTCCAACTTCCTGGAGAGAAAGTTGTATGGCCCTTTGCAACTCAGCATCGGCAAGATCACGAGCACGACTATGACGCCCACTATGCATGCTGACGGAGTGACGGTGACCCTTGTCACTGCAAGTTTCGTATGAGGAGCTAGCAGCGAACTAGAAGGATACTAACTCACCTCTTTTCCGCTCGTTTGGCCATTTTATTGTAGCAGGTATCACACACACGCACTTCTTGAGTAATCCCAAAGTGAGGTAGAGGCATTGTTTTTGAAGAACAGGCTTGGTCGAAAACTTGTCCGCAGTTACGACAGTGATGCTTTCTGTTTGTGAATGAGAACGCAGTCCGGCAGCGTAGACAGACATCTGAGTCGATCCATTCTGGCGCTGTTTGGGTATCTACCATAGCCGAGCTTGCTGCAGTAAGGTCTTTGGGAGGGAATTTGAAACCTTGTTATCGAAGGGGAGAATGAGTACGTAGAACGCAGAGTGGAGTGAATAAATACCTTCGTTCTGGATATTTCTACATACTTGTGCAACATATCCGAGTGATGGTTTCCCTTCGAAAGCGACGCTCCAATTTTGCAGAAGTCGCAGTATCATATTCTTAACATCCAAGTTCAGAGATTCCATTCGAAGGATTGAAACCAGATTATCGATAAATTCTCTCGATCCTACTTCAGTCAGGAATTGATCACCGCCATTCTTGACACATATATCAGTCAACTGAGGTATTCTGTCAGTAAAGAGGGCGACACGCCGGAAATACAGCAGATACATATACATACCGCCAACGTCAATAACTGAACATTCGGATTTTTGTGGTCCAAACGACGCTTCAAAGCTCGCATAGCATCCTTCGCTGGCACAGATTTGGATCGAATTTGGTCACATATTTCGAGATTTAAAGCAATATCTTCTGAGCCTGCGGGCAGTAGTTCGGACGTGGCCTTGTCTATGTGAAATTTAGTAAGCAAAGTTATGATGTTACAACTGAGACCTTACCAATGGCTTCATCGAGTTGGGAGGTCCCCCAAAGCCAGTTACTGATTAACGACATTCTAGAGATGAAGAGACAGGAAACAGGAAAGATACGTAGGGCGCTCTCAGCTCTGCCGATGGAGGAACCGGGTCACGGTCACGGAGGCACGTGCTTGCTGACAAATTTGTGTATCGGAAAAGCGGCACCGGCAAAGAGTCAGTCAGCTTACAGGTTCTCTTGGAACCGTCACCTTGCTGCTGTTGTCATTGTCGAACTCGAATCTCATACCACTCATCCGTCTCGTCATTCTCGTCAAAAATCTTGCCGCGGCTCTTGACTTCTTTGGCCGGGTTTTCATCCATACACTTGCTCTTTTTTCTCCTCTTTCGGATTTTTCCAGTTCCTTTTTCTTTTCAAAACAAACAAGTTCTACCTCCATCAGGACGGGTCAAGCATCTCCCACATAGAACACAACATCTTCTAGCCGCTTTCAAGACGAAGAAGATACACTATCCTCATTAAGACTATCTGTTGCCAGACTTATCCTCATCATGTTGGGCCATCAATTCGCCTTCTCTGCAGCACCCGTTCGGAGAGTGAAGGAGGTGCAATTTGGTATTCTTTCCCCAGAGGAAATCGTGCGTGTCTGTTATATTTCCTGTCTAAATTTGATACAATGAAGGTTTTACAGAAAGCTTATTCAGTCGCGAAAATTGAACACCCCGAAGTTATGGATGAGGGTACGCACAAACCGAAGATGGGAGGTCTGATGGATCCGCGTTTGGGGACGATTGACAGAAACTTCAAGTGCCAAACATGTGGTGAAGGTATGGCTGAATGTCCTGGTCACTTTGGGCACATCGAGTTGGCAAGGCCTGTTTTTCATCCTGGTGCGTAGCTCGCTTTTTTTTGAACCACTTCTTCTTACATGTACACTGTAGGATTCATCATCAAAGTCAAAAAGATATTGGAGTGTATATGTGTTAATTGCGGGAAACTTAAAGCCGATATCGTGAGTTGCCTCTCTTTCCCTACTCGTTTCGTTCCCCCACTACCCAATTTTCTGGGGGCTCTCTCCATATCCTGGAGAACCCCAAACCCCTACCACGTGAGTGCCTTGACAATCGAGGCCTTCAGCTTGCTCTGCGACGGGGGTTGCGCGCGTTTTCGGTCGCTTGATCGCCGCGCGACCCATCATATCCGTTCAGAGTCGGTTGGACACGAGGTTTGTGGTGAAATGGGGGGCTGAACGAGGAGTGCGAAAACATGCATACGGCACGTATGCGATGGATGGTCCCTCCATGCACAGCTGTGACGCAGCCTCGTGGTGTGAGCGTGGCCGGCACTTGTTACTCGATGTTTTTTGCCCCTCTTTTATTGGTGTACAAAGTCTTGTCGTCTTCTTGTAGCCTAGCGTTGCTGACTCTTTCATTTTTATGTCTTCGAATACCTCTCTTTGAACGAAACTGTTGTCTTTGCAATGTAAGGCGGACCCCAATTTCGCGGACAAAATTCGTCATGTTCGTGATCCCAAAAAGCGGATGGCCGTGGTCTGGAGTCATTGCAAGTCAAAGATGGTTTGCGAACCTGACGATCCCAAGGAAGAAGGTGCCGAGCCTGAACCTGAAGATACCAAGAAGGGCCATGGCGGTTGTGGCCATATTCAGCCTCTTGTCCGGAAAGAAGGATTGAAGCTTTTCTTACAGTACAAGAAGCCGAAAGATGACGACGAGGTTAGTTTACTTTCTTATCGGTCTTTCAGATACTTTTATACAGGTTGTAGGAGATCAAGTCAATGCAGCCCGACAAGCGTTTGATGACCCCGCAAGAGGTCTACACCACCTTCAAGAAGATGTCCGATTCCGATTTACACCTGATTGGTCTTTCTGAGGAGTTCGCTCGCCCGGAATGGATGATTCTTACAGTCATGCCAGTCCCTCCCCCTCCTGTTCGGCCCAGTATTGCGGTTGATGGCGGTGCGATGCGAAGTGAGGACGATCTGACATACAAACTTGGTGATATCATCAAAGCATCTGCCAATGTACGTCGATGTGAACAAGAAGGCGCCCCCGCGCATGTGATTACGGAGTTTGAGCAACTACTCCAGGTTGGTCCACTGAAGATCGTCTGGCGTCGGATGTTTGTTGACCTTATTGCAGTTCCATGTAGCGACCTATATGGATAACGACATCGCCGGTATCCCTCAAGCTCTACAGAAATCTGGACGGCCTGTTAAGGCTATCCGTGCCCGGCTGAAGGGTAAAGAGGGCCGTTTGCGAGGTAACTTGATGGGAAAGCGGGTTGATTTTTCTGCTCGAACTGTGATTACTGGTGATCCCAATCTGGAATTGGATGAAGTCGGCGTTCCTCGCAGTATCGCCATGAACTTGACATTTCCGGAACGAGGTGAGTCTGTCACGCTGTACACATTCCTTTGAAATCTAATTGTTTCGTAGTGACACCGTATAATATCACCTATCTACAGGAGCTGGTACGAAATGGTCCTACAACGTACCCCGGTGCTCGGTACGTTGTGCGAGACACTGGCGAGCGTATAGATCTTCGCTACAACAAACGCGCGGATGCGTTTCTTCAGTACGGTTGGGTAGTCGAAAGACATTTGAAGGATGGAGAGTAAGTACAAAACCCAGAGTGCCTTGACTGTCTACTAATAATAGGGCAGTTTCGTTCTCTTCAATCGACAACCGAGTCTGCATAAAATGAGTATGATGAGTCATCGAGTACGTCTTATGCCATATTCAAGTGAGTTACTGGTATTACATTGGGCCTATTCTCTTCTGATCCCTCGCTAGCCTTTCGATTGAACCTTTCCGTGTAAGTATCTATCATTGCCTCCAATGCTTATCACCTCATCTCTCGGGTTAGCACTCCGCCGTACAACGCTGATTTCGATGGAGATGAAATGAACATGCAGTATGTCATGCCTTTATTCTCTTTATCTTATAGTTCCCATGTTTTATTTCTTATATTTAGCGTGCCTCAAAGTGAAGAGACTCGTGCGGAATTGAGTCAAATAGCTTGGGTGGCTCGGCAGGTAAATGAATAGTCTTACATGCCTCGCTTTATGCTTATGCAACGCATAGATCATCTCTCCTCAGGCCAATAAGCCTGTCATGGGAATTGTGCAGGACACGCTGTGCGGAATACGCAAATTTACTTTACGGGATTCCTTCCTTGATTGGAATCAGGTTCAAAATATCCTTCTATGGGTCCCTGAATGGGACGGCAGCGTTCCTATACCTGCTATCCTTAAACCAAAACCGTTATGGACCGGCAAACAGATCCTCAGTCTCGTTATTCCTCGTGGTATCAACATTCATCGTAGTCCAGACCCAAAGTCTTCCAACCCCGTTTTTGACGATGGAATGCTCATCGAGAACGGGGAGATCATTTTTGGTATCGTGGAGAAGAAGACGGTTGGTGCTTCTCAAGGTGGCTTGGTCCACGTCGTGTTCCGAGAGAAAGGCCCGGAAGTAACCAGACAGTTGTTCACTGGCTTGCAAACAGTGGTGAACTACTGGCTCTTCCATAATGGGTTCAGTATTGGTATCGGCGACACGATTGCTGACAAGAACACTATGTCATACATCACGGAAACTATCGCGAGTCGCAAGGCTAACGTCTCAAAAATTATCGAGGATGCTACTCATGATCGACTCAAACCCGCTCCGGGTATGACCATTCGTGAATCGTTCGAGAGTTTAGTAGAACGAGAGCTCAACTTGGCTCGTGACACATCTGGTCAACATGCGCAGAAGAGTTTAAAGGAGGATAACAACGTCAAGCAGATGGTGGTGGCTGGATCCAAAGGTTCATTCATCAATATCTCCCAGATGTCTGTTTGTGTAGGACAGCAATCCGTGGAAGGGCGTCGTATCCCTTTTGGCTTCCGTCACCGCACGCTGCCTCACTTTACCAAGGATGATTTCAGTCCTGAGTCCCGGGGTTTCGTAGAGAACTCTTATCTACGAGGTCTCACCCCTCAGGAGTTCTTCTTCCATGCCATGGCGGGGCGAGAAGGTCTCATCGATACTGCAGTCAAGACTGCCGAAACCGGATATATACAACGTCGATTGGTGAAAGCCCTCGAAGACGTTATGGTTTGTTATGATGGAACCGTACGGAACTCTCTTGGAGATCTCATCCAATTCGTATACGGTGAAGACGGTATGGACGGTGCTTTCATCGAAAAGCAGAACATTGACACCTTCTCTCTGAACGATCGGGAGTTTGAGCACAACTACAGGGTGGATGTCACTGATCCTGCTGGTGGTTTCCTTCCCGGTGTACTACAAGTTGGTATCGATGACAGTTCCCTCGAATTGCAGAACAAACTCGACGAAGAGTACGATCAGCTCTTATCTGACCGTCGACTCCTTCGAGAGTTCATCTTCCCTCAGCATGCCACATCTTTTAACCAATATCTACCTGTTAATCTATCTCGCATTGTCCAAAATGCCGCCCAGATTTTCCACATCGACCGCCGAAAACCGAGCGATCTCGACCCCGCCTTCATTATCGACTCCGTCAAAACTCTCTGTGATCGCCTTGTCGTTGTTCGCGGCGATGGTCCGCTCAGCCATGAAGCTCAAGCGAACGCGACACTGCTTTTCCGTATGCATTTACGAGCGACATTCGGTTGCCGCCGTGTTCTCGAGAGATTCCACTTGAACAAGGAGGCTTTCGAATGGGTGCTTGGAGAGGTGGAGGCCAAATTCAATCAGTCGGTGGCGAATCCTGGCGAAATGTGTGGTACTTTGGCCGCACAATCCATTGGAGAACCTGCCACGCAGATGACACTTAATACCTTCCATTATGCCGGTGTATCCAGTAAGAACGTCACGCTCGGTGTTCCTCGTTTAAAGGAAATAATCAACGTTGCCACGAACATCAAGACACCTTCATTGTCGGTCTATCTTGAACCCGCCCTTCGGTTTGATCCTAATCTGGCAAAAAACGTACAACAAGAGCTTGCCTATACATCCCTTCGCACGGTCACTGCCGCTGTCGAGATTTGGTATGATCCAGATCCAAGTTCCACTATTATCGAGGAAGATGAAGTGTTTGTGGAATCCTTCTTTGCCATCCCTGATGAAGAAGTCGAGTCGAAGTTACACTTGCAATCCCCCTGGTTGCTTCGCCTTGAACTTGACCGTGCGAAGATGCTTGATCGCAAGCTCACTATGGCATATGTTGCCAGTCGGATAGCAGAAAGCTTCAAGACGGATCTTTTTGTCATCTGGAGCGAAGACAATGCTGAGAAACTTGTTATCCGTTGTCGAGTGCTCGGTGGTGCGGACAAGGACGAAGACGGAACGGAAACGCTAGAAGAAGATATATTCCTTCGACAACTAGAAAACACCATGTTGAACTCAGTTAGCTTGCGCGGTGTTCAGGGTATCAACCGAGTCTTCCTGACGAGGCATGATTTAGTTGAAACAAAGGATGATGGTAGCATTGTGGCGGAGAAAGATAAGCAATGGGTGCTTGAAACTGACGGTGTCAATCTGAAGACAGTGATGTGCATCGATGGTGTCGATTTCACTCGCACGTATTCCAACAGTTGCGTTGAAGTTTTCAATGTCCTTGGCATTGAAGCCGCGCGTGCTGCCATTCTCAAGGAGCTCCGCGGTGTCATTGAGTTCGATGGTTCATATGTCAACTACCGTCATCTAGCTCTTCTGTGTGATCTAATGACCCACAGAGGCTCCCTAATGGCGATCACTCGACACGGTATAAATCGTGCCGACACCGGTGCGCTCATGAGATGTTCATTCGAAGAAACGGTTGAAATATTAATGGAGGCTGCTGCCGTTGGAGAAAAGGATGATTGCCATGGTGTTGCTGAGAATGTCATGTTTGGACAAATGGCACCTATGGGCACTGGTGCATTCGATGTGGCACTCGATATTGACATGTTGAAGGACGCTATCGTGGATCACCGACTTCCTGTTCAGTCAATGTTGGCTGCCCAAGTGGATGGCGGTATGACTCCTGGACAAGTTGCTATGACTCCTTACGATACCAATTCGCCGATGTGGGACAATCATCTATTCAAGGGAAGTGACCAGGCTGCCTTCTCGCCGTTGGCCGTCAACAGCAACGAGGAGTCCGGTAACTTCAATTACCTTCCTTGGGGGCAGAGCCCAAGAGGTGCAGGAGGTATGTCTCCAGGTGGACCTGGATACAGTCCCAGCTCGCCGAACGCCTATTCTCCAAATTCTCCCGCGTTTGCTCCTACGTCTCCTTTCGGCGGTGGCGCCACCTCGCCTATGGTGTATGGTGGAACTTCACCTTATTACGACCCGGGTCGTGGAGTTACTTCGCCGACCTACTCGCCGACGTCACCCGCTTTCAATCCCACGTCGCCAGCGTTTTCGCCGACTAGTCCAAGATACTCACCTACCTCACCGTCGTTCTCGCCGACATCCCCACGCTACAGTCCTCAGTCTCCCTCATTCAGTCCTACATCGCCGCGCTACTCCCCGACGAGTCCCTCGTTCAGTCCTGCTTCGCCACGATGTAAGTCTTGATGTAAATCATACTTTTGCATGTGCTAACATCAAAATCCCTTCATTTACAGACTCGCCAAGTAAGTATTCACATTGTGTGTTTTCATTCGTTTTGCTGATCGATCGTCGTTTACCCGGAATTTTATCTTTCAGCTTGTGAGTGCTGTCACTTTCGCTTCGCTGCCTTTCATTGCTAATTCTTTCACCATAGCCCCTGCGCAATTATCTCCTTCATCCCCTAGATATTCACCCACTTCTCCGATGGCCTCGCCAACTTCGCCCAGATATTGTAAGAACTTTCATACTCTGCATAACACTGAACTTTTCCTCACATCTTTCCAGCTCCTGCTTCTCCCGCGTACTCTCCTGCGTGTAAGTTGCTCAGTTTATATCTCCGTGCTCTGTACTGAATTTGATGTTACTTTAGCGCCCGCTTACTGTGAGTTCTGAAAATCACCTCCGAAAGTATATTATATCCTAACAAAATTCTTTCAGCCCCCGCATCTCCCGCATACAGTCCTACATCTCCACTACGCTCACCCTCGAGCCCTTCTCAGAACGGGACCGCTCACCGCAGTCACTCATACCAGTCATCTCCTTCTTGGGATTGATCAATCGTGGTGATTTTTACCCCCTACATACACATACATTTAGTATAATCATGCGAACTACTGTTTGTTGTTATCTTATCACGCGGTGTTCTTTTCACTGTCGTTTGGTGCCATTCTCCGATTGGTAGATGGTAGCAGGAATTTTCATATCTAGGCTCTTGTGCTTTAGCCCACAAACATCGTGTAAACTATATACTGTTATCATTATCGAGCTAGATTTGAGCTGAGTGTCAATTAAACAAATTTGGCGAGATATTGTCAGCTTTGACCTGCTTCAAAATGGAAACGCGACGCTGGCGCTTCTTTAGTCCTTTACCTCTTTACTTTTCCCATTCATTTTTTCATCTCGCCTTGACGGCGCAGGCTTATTTTTCTAGTCTTATTTCAAGAGCAGGCTCTTACATTCTATTTCCTTGACCATCTTTGCATCCTTTTCTCAATATGCTTCTCAACAAGCCTGGTGCTTGGCCTGTGATAATTTGCCTTCTTTGGAATCCTAGAATAGCTCTAGCCTCAGATAAACAGCCTCAAGTTCAATGGATTAGTCCTTCCGCAGGCGACGTCTTTACCTCTGGTGATAGCATCCTTGGAAAGTGGACTGCCAATACCGCCGTGGTTTCTCCTGCTTTCAAGCTTTGTCCAGGTGGCCCTCAGTCTAGTCTGAAGTCGCGCGTAGATGGTACCGGCGATGATGGATCGGATATCTCATGTGGAAGTAAGGTGTACCCCACAGTTCAGCAGTCCTCAGGGACGTATTCAATCTCGCTGTGAGTATTTGTTTACTTGGAGCAACAGTATCTCATCTCGCCTTTATTAGCGCTATCCCGAATACCACAACGGATCAGACATGGCACCTGGAAATGTCGGACGACTTTGCTAATACATGGTCATCTCCATCTTTCTCTCTATCTCGTGAGTAGTCAGGTCCGATTCATCCTTAGATATACTTATATATTCCTTATTTCAAGCCTCTGGGTCTCCGAGTTTAGCTCCTGCCGTTGGTGCTCAAGCCCCTCTCTCACCTCAATCTCAAACACCGACCTCTGCCTCGACCACGAGTGGCCCCGTTACCGCGAGTTCTATTCCTGGCGTGAATCCCGAGGCCGCTTCTGTTGCGACAATGCTTGCCACACGTACGCCTCCTCCCACTGCCGCTTTTGCTATTCCTCTGTCTATAGTCGGCGCCATCCTTCTCGTGGCGGTGTTCCTTTCTCTCAAACATAATCGTAAACTCGCAGAAGAGCGAGCGCAGGACGTGGAAAAGCTTGTGCTGTCAAGGAAATCTAGTGTTGCAAGTAGCTTCAAGTCGGGCTTTAGCCGGCAGTCGGATATCGAGCATGCACTCAACGTACTTTCCAAAGCTCAAAGTCAAGGGAATGTCAAGCCGATGCCAGTCCCTCTATTCATGCCAGTGGAGGTTCCTGTTCCGAAGCGAGAGGCGAGGCGAAGTACACGGGAAGCATACTTCCCTGAACAATACACAGAATACAATCGACGACCGAGACCCAGACAAGAAGTAAGATATCACGAGAGGCCTCCATCCTATCACACAGCTCCTCTGTCACGATCGCAAAGTCGTACGCGCTCTCTGTTATCGTCTGATTATTCCAGTTCCCGGGCTTCGAGTCGTACTGCCGTTCATCCACCCTCACATGGACATCACTCTGCGTGCCAATCTTCTCATCGACTTCCGTCTCTACGAGTTGCCTCTCCACTTCAGTACTACGAGCATTGCTCTGATGGACATCGAAAAAAGGATCGACACTGTGATCAACGCCATTCAAGATCGCAATTCGAAGGACGTGACCACGACATAGAATGTGCTACTCATTCCGTGCTAGATGATTATCTCCCTCAACCTAATCCTCATGATCATTCACCCGGTCCTCCTGTATGCCTGATGCCGGCACCACAAAGGCTTCATGTTCGAAACAATAGTGCGATGTCTTCCAGGTCCTACGATGAAGAGGAGGAAGAAATGATGGAAGTAGATTTATATGGTGCAGTGGCAGATAGTTTGAATCGAGCTCGTAGACATTGAAATACTTCTTACGCATTTGCAATATTACAAGTTTACAAGATGATATCTATCTATGTGCTATAAGAACTAAGGCTACATGTAACTTCATGTGAGTACTGTCAATCCGTGTCCGTCGAATACAGAAACACTTTTGTGATGTCAGCTTGAAATCTTCCAATGTACGCAAGAAGTTCCTCGTCTGGTAGAGCAGAGTGCTCGAAAGCTTGCGTAAGGTTGGTGCGGAGCTAAGGAGAGACATGATTTTAGTTACGGACATTGATTCGCTCACAACAGTTGTGTACCTTGAGCAACGCTTTCCGCCGCATAGCAATCTTGCTACTATCGCTTTGCGCTTGGTGACGGCTTTGTAGTTCCGTCAGATGCTTGGAAACTCGACTGGCTTCGATCAAAACATCATTTGGAAGGTCAGCAAGTCGAGCCAATTCAAGGCCTGGGAGAAATTGAATGGCTCAACGCGCTGTAGGTATCGAACTACGTTTTTGAAAAACTCACCGTAATGGGTAGTCTCTTCTGGGGCTCCGTCTACGATTCTATGCAAGCGTTTTTTGTGAATACCCCATAAACGTCAGATTTGAATCGGCGTACTTGTATTGGAATAACATGCCGAAGTTGGACGCCGACTGACGAGTTCTCTGGTTCCAACGTAAACCTCAAAAACACGCATACACGGCATAAGGGGACGGTTTTACCTGAACAGCTAGGTGAAGACTTGGAAAAGAATTGCTCAGACTCTTCAAATTGCGTTGATCAAGCCTGAACAACGTACTTGACAACAGAAGGTTGGCGAGAGAGCGTTGTGCTCAATTCAGCGAAATGTCTAAAGCAAAATAGGTGAGTGTCCTACTGGCTCAATCGAGATGGTAAACCTACGTGGCGAAAAACACGAAACACTATGAGCAGAAGACAGGCATTAGACCACAATATGAAACATATATATATAGATCATACCTTCTGCTCTATCAAGCCCTCTGCGATAGCATGAGAAATACCGATACCCTCCCTTGGGGATGTTCCCCGTCCTAATTCATCTACAAGAATCAAAGACCGTTCAGTAGCAAGGCCTAGCGGATGACTTCAAGTTTATCAAAGACGGTTCATAAAGCAATCGAAACACTCAACCTAGTATCATAGCAGATGTCGCCATCTCGCTCGCAAAGGTGCTGAGATTCTTCTCCAAATCATCGTCATTTGACAGTCGGGTTAGCAATGCATCGTGAATCCTTTGAAAGAATTTCGGTGGATCAGATATTATCTAGCAAAAAACACGTACCGGAAGCTCGCATACTCTGCAGGAACGAAGCTACCACACATTGCCATAACCGAGAGAAGTCCAACCTGACGGAGGTACGTGCTCTTTCCAGACATACTGCAGAATTCTGGTCAGCGAAAATAGCAAGTCCGTCAATCTTAGCGCTTACTTTGGACCTTGAATAATTTGAAAAGAAGAGGAATCGTCGCAGTAAATATCATTGGGGACTAATGTTCCCGCTGACTGAACTGTCTCAAGGATTGGATGGCGCCCAGACTTGACAGCTAAGGTCCCAGTAAATTCGGGTCGCACTGAAAGTGTATAAGAATTTGCAGAGCCCTAGCTTCTATATCGCGGAAGACACGAACCATAATTGCGCACTGCGGTGGGGTCATGGGTCAGCTAATAAGGGTAGAGGAGCTCGAGGTGATATTCACTAATTGCAGAATGCGAGAATGACCATAACATATCCACTAGTGCCACCTGTAAAACACAATGTTTATCTCGTGAGCGCACAATCTCAAGATCTAACCCACCGCTTCTGAAGCTTTATACAGAGCACCGACGTTCACCAGAATTTCGGTCACTAGATCCTGGATTATTCTGAACAAATAAATGACCTCGGACAGCGTTCCCACAGCAAGGAAAACTACCAACTTATCACTCAAGATCAAAGTCTCATCCAAGGCGTCTTGCATACGGGCGTTCATCTTTTTCTGCGATACTCAACTTAAACCCAGGGCACATATGATATGATAGAAGAGAATTTCTTACCAGCTCCATGCTGCTGAACTGCCACTTTCCTTTCTTCAGGGTAGCATTGATAAAACCTTTTGGGAGCTCGCCTTCGAGGTCAGTCTTCTTCATTGAAAAAACAAAACCGCTTTCTTGGTAAACCAACGTAAGTGGAATCTCATGGGTCTGAGTAAGAGCATTGCAGAGACTGTAAATGTCCCCAACATTCTCTTTGTACGTTTCGCGAGCAACGTCTAGAAGGCGATTGTGATTCGCCTTAGGATAGGATATGTCAAGTTGTGCTGGAGAAAAATGGCTATAGCGATATATGCACGGACCTTGACTGCATATACACGGGCATTTACTGCTGCAATCCCGTGCTGATAATACCGACTGTCAGCCTTGGTTGAGCATACACCTAGAGGGTATTACCTTTGTGGGTGCTGTGTCTTCGTTGAGGCTAGCACGAATCAGTGAGTCAATCTTTTCAAGTCGTTCGTCCAACAACATCTGAAAAAGGGGGTTTGAATGGGCATGATATTCAATGAAAGCACAAATACATCGTGTATGATCCTTAAAAGCTGGGACTTGGTATTTTCTAGTGACTTTTGAAGGAGCGGAAGATTCCGGACGGCGTTGCGAAGATTCAGCATCTGAGTGACTCTGTTTGAAGCAGCTTTGGCGCTGTTTGTAAGTATGGTTTCAGACGCAGCAAGCTGGGGAAATAGTTGATGCGAGGACGACTTGAATGCGGAAAGCCCTCACCGTAGCAATCAACTTGTCAAAGTCCATGCTATTCAAGGTTTTGAGAGCGCTACGGACTTCGTTGAACAAATCTTCGTCTTGCACGAGTTCCTCAACAACATCTAGGCGCGCGTCGATGGATGTTTGCACTGAGAGGCGTATTATCAATTGACGCAGAACGGGACTAGTTCCGGTACTAATACATACCTGTGATAGGTGCTAGGATATTGACACGAAGGAGACGAGCCGCCATTGCGGTGTAGGTGTGGTTCAAGATACTGATGGAGAGTGAGCTTCTACAACATTTTGTCAATCATGCTACATACCCGAAGACTGAGTGATAAGATTTTCTGTGAGACATATTTCCGACAAGTTCGAGGTTCTTAGCGCTCTCTGGATCAATCATCATCGTTCCGTCCACAGGGGAATACTTGATACGTAGGGATCCAGCAGAAAATCGCGTATTCTGACGAATTTCCGCATATTTGAAGAGTGCAGAGCAAGCAGATAATACGTAGTATCTATCAGAAGATAAGGAGACAGAGCAAAGCGCGCATATACGCAGGTCAAGGCAAGAACTCACTTGCTTGAGACCGCGAGGATTGTCCCTGCTCTCTCTTCATCTTCAACACACAGCTGTTGGATGAATTCAAGGCCTGTACAAGTAAGAATAATAGTACAAGCTGTATTGAACCATAACTTGTACCTGATGTCTCATTCCAATACTTCCTGGAAATTGGCTCTAGCTGGGTATCAGGAAACTCTTCCCGAATGAATTCTACGAGCAAAGATGTGTTGGTAGCCCTTTTGCCAGAACTTCCAATAGCGGCCATAGCAGTGTCGGATGCAGAGAGGAATGTATCAGGGACTAGAACTAGGCTTGGCTTATGAAGATGCATTTGGTGGAGCGTCTTGACGTAGGTTTGACAATCTGAGAGCTAGATACATAATTGAGTACCTCTTAACAAATTCAGGTCAGAATATCCGCACCTGGACCAAAACTACACGTCCTATATCTTTGTCCAGTGCCGCTAGCCCAACCTCGCGTCCAACACCTCTTCCTTCCAGAACAGCAATGACAAAGTTCCCTTCGTGCCGTGTTGACGCTGATGTCTGCGGACGTGCTGTAGAAACTCTTGACTGTCCGGTCCAAGGTCGGGATTGCGCAGTACGAGGTTGATTCTGGCCTGTAGTTGGGGGCCGTCTGGAGGCTGGCCTCGATGAACCGCTCGTTTGACGAGACCACATTACTGTGGTAGTAATCACTGATTGAAGTTGATTGCACGCGTGACGTCACGCGTATTTCTGTTCTTTCATCTTCGCACAGATTCGCACACAGTTTATATTTTCTATGCATATCATCCATTGAAGCCATTTCACGCATTGATCACGAAAGATAGGAATAGATTACAGGAAAGCCACAGCCCTTTCGCAACTTGGTTTTCAGATCAAAGTCACTCCTAGAGACGTTTGCACATCTTTCGAGCGAGGAACGAAGCGACATTTGAAAGGAAGTGGGTGATTGAACAAAGTCGGACCTGGATACCACTCTGCTTTGGGCTTTACCGGCTTCCCATGTTCGTCGAGCTCTGGCTCAATCGAATAGCAAGTCAAGATAGAGGCAACGGCGATCCACAAAGAGGCGAGTGCGATGTGTTTGCCAGGCTATTTGAGGTGTAGTCCTCGGTGATCAGGAACGGCGATGTGATTACTTGGAAACACTCACGCAGGCACGCCTTCCAAATCCGAAGGCTGCAGTAGCAGGATCCTTGACCTTGGGGTTTATCTTCCCGTCAACCCCGAGGAAGCGTGAGGGTTTAAACAGATCCGGCTCAGGATATTCTTCTTCGTCATGGAGGATGGACCTTTACAATCGCAGTATGTTAGCACAACGAATTATGTAACAGGTATTCGTGCATACCAAACATTGGGCATGATAATAGAACCCTTGGGGAGGAAATAACCCTCATAAACATCATCTTGAGTGAGTGCGTGTGGAAAAGCTAACTTTCGAGGTCAGCCCCCCGAAGTGGAACTCGAAACATATGTCGATACGCACCAAGTGGCGTGACAGGATTATGCCTCAACGCTTCCTGAGCAATCGCTGTAATATATGGTAGTAACGGTTCATCGCTAAAGCTCGGCAAGTCTCCTGGTCCTAGAACCTTCTCGAGCTGCTCATGGGCCTTGGTTTGAATTTCCGGGTTCATAAGCATATTCAAGATGAATGATCCTACGAAATGACTCCCCGTCAGCAACATGCTTGAACTCACAGTCGATCTCCTACCTAACGCAGCAACAATGGTGTCCGAACCCCCTGCAAAGAGAAAGAGTAAGTAAGCCTTTAAACAGAAGCACGGTCTGTTTATTCACCCCCATAAGCCGTCACCGACGCTTTTTTAATGACCTCTTCTTGACTTGCCAAGTTTTGGGTGCGATCCATTTGTTCAAGGGCAGCCAAAGTCAGAGACGGTGTTGCAGTCCCCATTGCCTAATTTTGAAAATTCATTGCACGAAATGGAACTGATGAAGACTGTAACCCACCATTCGCTCCTTTGTTACACTGAAAGCAGTCTCAGTCATTTTAACGCGCAAGTCGGACCATTCTCTTGCTTTGCGCTGGAAATCTGCACCCGGAACCCATTCGGGAACGTATTTTACTAGAGAATCACGCATCAAGAGTGATAAGATGCTCGATTAGAGTGCTACGCACGAATAGGAATTTGGTCAACATAAAATGCGCCAGGCGTCCCAGCAATGGACATGGATTCCAGTGCTGCCATAGCTGTGGGGAGATATGGTTTGGCCTCCTCTGGATCAAGACCATAAGTGACATCCATAATGAATGCTGCAGCCCATCTAGAAACAGGAATGAGCTTCACCATGAATAGTTAATTCTGCCGCATTACTCACACTTGAAGACTCTTCATGACATTATCAGAATAAGGGAGAACTCGAAGAAGATCATGGGTCGCGCTCAATTGTTTTGGGTGGAAACGCTTCGGATCGGTGGGGGGTATAGCTTGATTTATGATCCGCCTCTGTGCCTTCCAGGAGTCGTCATTGGGTCTAAAGATTAGCGTGGATCCCCATCTTTGATGACAGTGTTAGAGCAGCTGAAAGGAACGTGATAAACCATAAATTTTCACCCCATAAGCTCCCCCAGCATGACCGTTGGAGGTCGACTCGAGTACAATGAGGATCGCTTTTCCAGAAGATCACCGACTGTCTTGGAAGAATTTAAGATAATGATTGAATTCCCGAGCGCGCTCAAATGGATGATGTCCGACTCTGGCGGATGTCGCGAGTTTAGCCTTTTTACTGTGTCAGTGTTATACGTTGTTACTCACTATATTTCCGGCACAACTCAGCATAGTCAAGCCAAATGAACCCTCCCCTCGGTATTTGAAACAAGTTTTCTACTAACGGGAGCTTCGTCGGACCAGGGGGGAGAGGATACGGAGACGATCTCAAGCGAGAGTAGAAGATGAGAGCAGAAACGATGGCGATAGCGACGAGGATATACGCCATTTCTGCACTCTGAGAAGGCAGGGGGAAGAAGGGGCGACGACAATGGGCAACGCGAATGTCATTGGCTTAAAGCTAATCATTAGGCTGCCGTAATTGATACTAATGCCTGATGAGGAAAATCCATGGGCTTAGGCGTCACCATGAAAGTGTCACCCTCTCGGGGATCAGAGCTGTCAATTTCGGATTGAGGTCAGGGATGTAGGCGAAGGAAGGCGGAAGAGAAGATGCAAGAGGGTACAAGCCTCTCAGCAAGGGACACCCGTTCGAGCATGAGGGTCTATGAGGGTAAGAAGGGAAGCTGGGAAAGGAACAGAAAGGAACACTCTCAAATTTCAGTCCACCTACAGGTTCATCGAAGTCCTTTGCAGGCCCTTGATTTCGCTTAAACTCGTGAATGGATAAGCTGCCAGGCGCTGACAACGCTGAGCGTTCAGCAATAGCAAATTATTCAAACAAAAATTTCATTTTCAAATCAGCTCCGAACTCGAAACTGCGAGCATGTGCGGTAATAAACACAATTCAACACGGCACGGAGACCTTGCAAGAAAGGACACGTAGGTACAGGGACTAGATTCTGGTCTACAAAGGATAATCATCTATATGATAGACATGTAGAATGATCTCGAGATGCAATCTTGTAAGCTATCGTCCTCCAAGCACGCCTTATGCTGATCGACAGAACCGATCCTAAAGGATGACAGTGTAGATTTTATCTGAAGCAAAGAGCGTTAGACGACATCGGGATAAAAAAGGGGGGAAGAAGAATAGGAAAATAAATTCAGTTGGCTGTTCTTAGTATTGTTTGAGAAATCTCCATCGCCAGTGGCTTCGGATGTTTGGTGTAAAATAATTCATCACGAAAGTCGATGCTTAGACAGGTTGACTCACCGTGACTTGGGAAGCCAACGACATCTCTGAGCGTTGCACTTCGGATATGAGAGGCGTTCATCATGCCAATGCCGAAAAAATATGCCGAAAACAATAGACCTTATTGCATGTTATTAGCAACACCTATATGCAACGAAGAAAAAGGTCAACATATTGCGATAAAAAAAGTTAGGTGAGAATGGATAATTTTTAGCAAGAAATGTTCAGAGATGCAACTGTTTGGCTATGTGCTCTGCCGTTCGTCACTGCACGAGGCTACGACTGGGGCGGCAAGAAATCATCATGAAGAAATTCGAAAAAAAAATCGCAGAAAGAGACGGAAAAATAAGAGATCTTCTGAATATGCTCACCAGAAAGCTGGTCACAGCGTACGCAGTCAAAGAACGACTGCAGAAACCCTCTACAGATGTGTATGATTTAGAGACATGGTGTGATGGTTGTTCAGCTTGAAAAGAGATGGAGAAAATTTATAGTCGAAGCGTGGAAAAATATCACCATAAACAGTAAGTCGCAGCAAACCTCATCTAATACTATCTCCGTGACCGTTGACGTTAATCCTGTCGCGGTTCTCCTGCTATACCGTCCCTACGCCGTTCGACTGCGCCCACCATGGCGCTTCCAGTAGCGGAGGAAGGAAAGCTTCTCAGCGAGGCTCTGAATACCGTGAAGATCCAGTTTCAACAAATGAGAAAGAATCTTGTATGTCCTTCCTTACTTACTCATAGAATTATCTTGATGATACACATCACAGGAACTGGATCAACTTATGGATGCTCTGAAAAGTGCAAGTTTAATGCTTGCAGAACTTCGCACCTCTTCCTTGTCGCCGAAGCAATATTACGAGCTCTGTGAGTTTCAATATCTTCATACCAACCGGTTCACTCAATTTGTATACTCCTCTCCATTAGATATGTCCGTATTTGATGCTCTACGACACCTCTCAAATTATCTTTATGACGCCCATACTCAAGGCCGACATCACTTAGCAGACCTCTACGAGCTTGTGCAATACGCAGGCAACATCATTCCTCGACTCTACCTCATGATCACTGTTGGGTCAGTATATATGTCCATACCAGACGCTCCTGTAAAGGAAATAATGAAGGACATGATGGAAATGTCCCGCGGGGTGCTTCACCCGATCAGAGGTCTTTTCCTGAGGCACTACCTCAGCGGACAGACTCGGGATCACCTTCCAGTCGGCGTTGACCCTGGGTGCGTCGTTTCAAATGTCATTGCGCGTTACCCTATGCTAATCTTCCTCACAGTCCCATGGGCAATCTCCAAGACTCCATCACATTCGTCCTCACCAATTTCGTCGAAATGAACAAGCTATGGGTCCGGTTACAACATCAAGGGCATTCGCGCGATCGCGAAAAGAGAGAAATGGAACGGAAGGAGCTGCGCATACTCGTTGGGACCAATCTTGTTCGACTCAGTCAACTAGATGGTGTCGACCTCGACATGTACCAACAACTCATTCTACCAAGTATCCTTGAGCAAGTCGTCAATTGTAAAGACGTTATCGCACAAGAATACCTCATGGAAGTAGTCATCCAGGTGTTCACCGACGAATTCCACCTTTTCTCACTAGGTCCCTTCCTATCTGCTACCGCCCAACTTCATCCAAAGGTCAACATCAAGGCAATCGTCATTGCGTTGATTGATAGGTTAGCTGCGTACGCAGCGCGAGAAGCAGAAAGCGAAGATCCGGAGGAAACGAAACGACAGGAAGAAGCTGCGGCGCGTCGTTTAGCCGAAAGAGTCAGGATTCAGAAAGCAAAAGCTCGAGAAAGCACTTTGTCACTGACTAGCACAACAGACGCGCCGGATGCGAGTGCTTGGGAATCTACCGCTAGTTTTACCGCTACGGTGGAGTCGGAGACCCCGACAGTCGTTGAAAACCACGGAGTTGAGGAGACGTCGAGCGATGTCACCCATGAAATAAAAGGCAAAGATAAAGAAGGTTCTCCTAGTCGAAAATTCCGAGGTGTACCCGAAAACGTACAGCTTTTCGAGGTCTTTTGGAAACAAGTCGTTGAACTGATTAAGGTATGTATTGCTTTATCCAGATAATACTTGAGTTTAACAGTGTACATAGGCTCGACCGGACTTGTCGATACAGGATATCACGGCGCTTTTCGTGTCGTTGACAAACCTCTCTCTCAGTTGCTATCCTGACCGTTTAGAATATGTTGATCAAATCCTCGCCTACGCGGCAGAGAAAATCAAAGAATTTAACGATAATCCTGATTTGCACGCTCAACAGACTAGTGCAAATCTCGCTGCGCTTCTGGTCGCACCCATAAACTCTTACCAGTCTGTCCTCACTCTTCTCGCCATTCCAAATTATGCACCTCTTTTGTCACGCCAACTTTTCTCCACTCGACGTTCCATTGCTCATTCCATCATATCTTCTGTGTTGAAGAATGAAACCATAGTAGAAACTCCAGAAGACGTGGACGGAGTGCTAGAGCTATGCCATGTTCTTATCAAGGACCAATCGGATTCGGCTTCGAATCCTGCGAATGGCACTGGTACTGCGGTGAGGCGGCAAGGACCTCCTCATTTCATTGAACGGGAGGAGATGGCCGAAGAACAAGGTTGGGTGGCAAGGATGGTACATTTGTTTAAGGCTGAATCGTTAGATGTGCAATTTGAGGTGTGTTCGCTATCATCACTGGAAGATGTATCTTTATCTAACAAGTCACCACTAGTTATTACAAACAGCGCGGAGACATTTCGATCTCGGAGGAGAACGTATGCGCTTCACCTTCCCTGCGCTCATTACATCGTCGATCAAGTTGTGTCGAAGGTATCATACACGGGAGCACCTGGTACGTTTCCCTGTAACGAAAGAAATCTAGTCATGCCCATACTGCCTCTAGGAAAACGACTGGCAAACAAAAGTCAGTACCATCCTCAAATTCGTACGTCAGCTTTCATCCATCCTCGCCAATCAAGTGGAAGCACCATCTATCGCTCTTCGTCTATTCCTCCTTGCAGCCCAGATATCCGACGAGTGTGGGTTCGAAGACCTAACGTATGACTTTTATGTTCAAGCATTCAGTGTATACGAAGACAGCATATCAGAGTCTCGAGCTCAACTACAAGCGATCACTTTGATCATTGGAACACTTCATGGCGCCAAGGTGTTCGGAGTAGACAATTATGATACCCTGATCACCAAGGCGGCCTTACATGGTGCCAAGTTGTTGAAGAAGAGTCATCAGGCCACAGCGGTCGGGCTAGCTAGTCATCTATGGTGGCAGGAGGCGCCCCCGCCAACAGATAGCGAGGAATCTCAGCCCACAGCCAAGGAACCTAAGGATGATGATTCAGAAAACTCAGTCAAAGCGGTGAGCTTACTCCGTTGTCGGGAAGCTGTCAATGTCAGGCTCATATCTGTTTCAGTATCCACACCAAGATAGCAAGCGTGTACTCGAGTGCTTACAGAAGTCTTTGCGTATAGCAAGATCTGCGATCGAGGAAATTGTCACTGTGCAGCTGTATTGCGATACGTTAGATCATTATTTGTACTATTTTGACAAGGGTGCTCCAGCGGTACGTCCTTCCCAACTTAATTTTGATCTTGGTTATGCTGATCAATGAACACAGGTCGCACCGAAATTCATAAATAACCTAGTCGAACTTATAACCTCCAGTATCGACAACATCCAATCACCAGACGTACACCCTTCACAAAGGGCTCCTCCTGGGTTGATTGAGGGTGTACAAACACCGGAAATGATTATGAGGCATTTTAAGAATAATCTATATTACATTCAACGACGGAAAGATACAGCAGCGGAGGGCAACTCGGATAGTGACTCGAGATGGGATGAGGTCGAAGTAGTGGGTGCCTTGTTGAAAATGGGCATTCGTCGGCTCTGACCTATTACATGGTTATGATTCCTCGATTCGTGCATTTTACTTGAATACATTACTGGTCGTGTATGATTTTTATGTTATTTGCGGACTTTTCCCCTCTCCAATTCTCAGTCATTATTTTCGAATTCTCGAGCTACAGTGCAAAAGGCGGATCGAGTTGATCCGCGGAATCCACTTCCATCTGAACCATCATGGCGGATGATCCTACGTCTCAGGCCAACTATACAGAGATCGCTACAGAACATGTATCATTCAAATGGACTATCGACTTTGCGAACCAGAAAATTGCTGGCTCTGCAACTCATGATCTTAGAGTCTTGAAGGACGACATTGGTGAAGTGATGTCAGTTTGTGCTACAGATGTTGAGAAATGACCTTGACTGTCATACCGTAGCTTTGACACAGCAGATCTGGTCCTTGAGTCTGTAGAAGTAGAGGGGAAGTCGGCTTCAGTAAGTGTTATTGGAATTATTATGGGCCAAACTCTTCAGATCTAGCACTCACCGCCCGCAGTATGAAGTCAAACCAAAGCATCCGATTATGGGCTCTGCGCTCCACATTCCTCTTCCGTCTGGACTCAAGTCTGGATCCTTAATCAAAGCGACGATCAAGTACGAAACTACGAAGGAATGTACGGCTCTCCAATGGCTAGCGAAAGAGTAAGAATTTTTCTGAAATCGCGTACAATTGTTGCTCACTAGTTTCAATTGATAAGACAAACGCAGGGAAAATCGTTCCCATATCTGTTTAGTCAGTGCCAGCCTATATACGCGCGAGCGATGGCCCCAGTACAGGACTCCCCATCAGTCAAGATCGTATGTCGATTATCATCCTCGACTGCTTCCCATGTCGCTAAAGAAGTCAGAAATACTCTGCGGAAGTCACGTCGATTCTCCCCGCTCTTATGTCCGCTATTCGTCAATCGCCCCCATCGGATGGACCTGCCCATGACGGAAAAGTCATCGGGAAAGATGCAGTCACTTACGTTTATCACCAAGTGTGTGGCACCCTTCATTTCGTAGTACCTGGCTTCTGATCTTCAGTACCTTCGCGCCTCTAGCCAATTCCAATTCCATCCTACTTGATCGCCATCGCAGCAGGAAATGTGGTTTACCGTCCCTTTCCTCGTCTCCCTGGCAAGGAATGGACTTGCGGAATCTGGTCGGAGCCAGAGTTAATTGAAGCTGCTTACTGGGAATTCAGCGAAGATACTGCACGGTGAGATTTTTGACGCCATGTTCCCATACTCAGTGTTTATTCCCTTTTGTTAGCTTCCTCGCATCAGCAGAAGACATCGTGGTTCCGTATCGCTTTGGCGTGTACGACTTGTTGGTTTTACCTCCATCGTTCCCCTACGGAGGAATGGTCAGTTCAAATCACCTGAGAGTCACACAATACATAGAATTGAACATTACATATAGGAAAACGCTTGCTTGACGTTCCTGACTCCTAGTGAGCTTCTCTGTTCCGTTACACTCGTGAGCAACCGTCTTAACTATCATTAGCTTTACTTGCTGGGGACCGCACCCTGGTAGATGTCATTGCCCATGAACTCACCCATTCTTGGTTCGGAAATGGCGTAACGTGAGCGCCATGCCTGATCCATCTAGTAACTACTAAACTTTCCAAAGGCACGCGCACGCTTCCCACTTTTGGCTCAACGAGGGATGGACCACCTATATCGAGCGACTCTTGTTGCAAGTCATCCACTCACCTGCTGAACGAGGTTTTTCCTTCATCATTGGGAACAAAGCTCTGAAAGACGATTTGGAGATGTATGTCGACCGACCGAAATATCAACGACTCGTGATCGAATTCGAGAAAGGAGAAGACCCAGATGACGCTTACAGTGGGTGAATGACCATTTTCCAAACTGAATCCACGATCGAGTGAAATCTGATTTCCAGGCAGAATTCCATATGATAAAGGTGCCAATCTGATTTTACATCTCGGTGCGTCTTCTTCATCGAGCGATGGACCTTTTTAAGTTTGAGCCCAAACGTAGAGAGGACCCTCGGCGGACTGGATGTTTTTTTACCATACGTCCGAGACTATGTGTCTACTTTTATGGGGAAGAGCATTACAACGCAACAGTGGAAATCGCATCTATACGGGTACTACGAGAGGAACGGCGGCGCGGAGAAAATCAAGGCCCTCGACAGTATTGACTGGGAGGTAAGTAGCTGGTTGCCGTTTCGGAGGCACATTTCGGCTTATCTTGAGTTGTATAGGCTTGGTTCTACGGCGAGGGCTTGGAACTCCCCGTCAAGATGGAGTACGATTCGAGCTTAGCGGAGTCAGCTTACAAGCTTGCTGAACGTTGGGACTCTTCTCGATCAGTCGAAATTTCGAAGTTGGCGTTCCAGGCAAATGATTTGGACGCGTTTAGCTCTACTCAAAAAGGTATGCCTCCCAAACTTTGGACTGACTGTATCAGGAAAGCTGACAAAGTTACTGGAGTTGTCTTTCTGGAGCGCCTGCAATCTTATAAACCCCTTCCTTCGAGCCACATCGAGCATCTAGCTTCGTTATACAAAGTGTCCTCTACTCACAATGCAGAAATTCGACTGCGATTCTATCAGTTTTCACTGGTTGATCCATCGTCTCCTGCTGCTCAGAAATATGCGGCGGAGGCAGCGGACTGGGTCATCGGTGGTGGAAGTGGTATGGTCGTGGGTAGGATGAAGTTTTGTCGAGATGTTTTCCGTGCGGTGTTCAAAGTGAACAAGGATCTTGCGGTAAATGCGTTTCAGAAGGAGAAGAATTCATTCCATCCTATTGCGAGAAAGTTGATCGAGAAGGTAAACCGCGTTTTGGCTTCCTTGTCTCGATTTGAACTAGCAGTAACAATGAGTCTTCACAGGACCTCAAACTTTCAAGCTGATATCAGATGGTTATTTATAGGAAAGCATGCGCTTGAGAATGTTGTGATAGTGTACATTAGGCAGATAATGAGCCTAGTTTATTACAGAGGCCACATCGGCATTATGAGAAGACGAGCGACTGTGTACTGATAATTGAACGACGAAAGACCATCATTCCCATGAGTGAACGAAATTTTCTTCACTCATCGTGAATTCTGGCCCGCGAGAATACATCATGGCAATATTGAGGTTATACGTTCAAAATCGCTACATGAAATTTGATGTGTTAGATCAGCACATAAAGATTAGGAACAGCACACAAAGATTAGGAACAGCACACAAAGATTAGGAACAGCACACAAAGATTAGGAACAGCACACAAAGATTAGGAACAGCACACACCGAGCTCTCGAGGTAGGTTTGTTGGGTGGAACGAGATCCGGATACCACTGGACTTCCCCGCATTTCAGAATCTTCTACATCTTCTCAGCCTGTGCCGGGGTAGGCATCCTCGACCTGTCAGAGTCCCTGTTGGAAGACAGCCCAACAATATACATTCCGCTCCCTGTGTCAGGATCCTTGCCCCAGCCCTTAAATACTTGAGGCCAGAGATGATCGATGACGGCGCATAGCCTATGAATGAAGGTCTGAGACATTATCATCATCTTATAATCAGGTTGAGGAGATTGTTGGCTAAGTTCTCGATACTCTGGAAGTCGCGGTCGTCCCAAAACCAAAACCCATTCGAAAGTCGCGACCGAAGGCACCTGCCTATGAAAGACATGGGCCTCTTGTCCTGGGGTTTGCGTTCTCTTACCGTGAACTCGGTAAACGAGCGTTCGAACGACTTCCAGAGTATCGAGAACTTAGCCAACAATCTCCTCAACCTGATTATAAGATGATGATAATGTCTCAGACCTTCATTCATAGGCTATGCGCCGACATCGATCATCTCTGGCCTCAAGTATTTAAGGGCTGGGGCAAGGATCCTGACACAGGGAGCGGAATGTATATTGTTGGGCTGTCTTCCAACAGGGACTCTGACAGGTCGAGGATGCATACCCCTGCACAGGCTGAGGAGATGCAGAAGATCCTTCAATGTGGGGAAGCTCAGTGGTATCCGGATCTCAGCCCACATAGCAAAACTAACTCGAGAGCCTCGGTGTGTCCTGTTTTCAATCTTTATGCGCTGGTTTATGTAACATAATTTTTTTTCAGCGATTCTGAACATATTACTTCGACATATGGTCTTTTGCGGTTCAACGTATTCGTACACACTCAGGTGTCCTGTCACACTGCCATTATGCACTTCGGATTAAACTAGGCTCATTTTCTGGCTGAGATATACTGTCACGGAATTTCCAAGCATGCATATGCATTATGTATCGGTTATGTAGCGAAGAGCATATTTTCGAAAAAAGGTGGGGGGGGAGGCGTTGGAATGAACTTAGTTTATTCAGCTTGCTTTCGCTCTTTATTTCATTATATCACTGAACGCAGGACGCACCGAAATTCAAATGATCTACATACAACATGAGCACCATCTCTGATCCATCTTGTAACTACTAAAGTTGCCAAAGGCAATGCTTCCCAATCTTGGCTCGATAAGGGATGGACCACCTGTATCATGCGAATACTCATTCGCTCACCAGCCGAATGAGGTTTTTTCCTTATTATCGGGAACAAAGATTCACAAGACGATTTGGAAATGTACGTCTGCCGAGCGAAATATTAATGACTCGTTATCGAGTTCGAGAAAGGAGAAGACCCAGATGACGCTTACAGTGGGTAAATGATCGTTTTCCAGACTGAATGTATTATCGAGTGAAATAATACACAGGCAGAATTCCACACGACAAAGGTGCTAATCTGATTTTACATCTCGGTGCGTCTTCGTCGTCGAACAATGGACCTTTTTTGAGCCAAACTCAAAAGGACCCTTGGCGGCCTGGATGTTTTTTTACCCTACGTCCGAGACGACTATGTGTCTACATTCATGGGGAAGAGCATTACAACGCAGCAGTGGAAATCGCATCTGTACGGGTACTACGAGAGAAACGGCGGCGCGGAGAAAATCAAAGCCGGCATGATTCCAGCTTAGCGGAGTCAGCCTACTAGCTTGCTGAACGTTGTGACCCTTCTCGATCAGTCCAAACTTTGGACTGGCTAATCCAGAAAAGTTGACAAAGCTACTGCAGTTGTCTTTCCGGGGCGCTTACAATCTTATAATCCCCTTTCCTCGAGGAACGTGTAAACCCTCCAGCTTTGACGGAGATTGATAACCGGTTGTGCGCCCTTCGCAAAAGCTACTCTTGGACTAATTGAGGACGTACAAATGCTGAAAATGATTGATGAGGCAAGAATAAGCTATACATATCACATTCAACAACGTAAATACGCTGAAGCAGAACTGGCTCGAGATGGGATGAAGGGAATGTCTTGGTGAAAACGGGAGATGATGAACGTTTGAACTGTAGACAGAAATGATGATCCGAACGTCAACTAGAATGGCTTGAAGAATCATTTTAGATCAACATGAGCAGCTAAGCAAAACAGACATACAGAGGTTCGATAGTGAGTTTTGCTGCGTGGGACGAGATCCGGATACCACTGGGCTTCGCCACACTTCAGGATCTTCTGCATCTTCTCAGCATGCGCCGGGGTAGGCATCCTCAACCTGTCGAAGTCCCTGTTCGAAGACAGCCCAACAACATACATTCCACTCCTTGCGTCAGGATCCCTGACCCAGCCTTTAAATGCTTGAGGCCAAAGATGATCGATGTCGGCGCATAGCCTATAAATGAAATTGTGTGCCCTTATCATCATTTTATGATCGGGTTGAGGAGATTGTTGGCTAAGTTCTCGATACTCTGGGAGTCGCTCAAACGCTCGTTTGTGGAGTTCCTCGAAAGAGAACGCAAATCCTAGTACAAGGGGTCCATGGATTCCATACGCAGGTGCCTGCGGTCGCGACTTTCGAATGGGTTTTGGTTTCGGGACAACCTCAGCGTTGACTTCAGGGACTTCAGGTGGTGAGGCGAAATGTACTGAGGACATGATCAAGCTAAAAGCGAACAGTGTTAGGACTTTAGCTACATTGAAAGTTGGGTAAGGACACATACATATCTGAGCGTAATGGACAAACTAGTCGGGGAAGCTGGTACACAATCAAATGACCTTCTTTGGCAAGTTATTTTCCATTAAGGGTCGAGTCACGTGGTACAGCTAATAAAATTACGCCTCGTTCTCTCATCTATACACTCCTGCCCTTGCCCATGTCTGCGACAGTACGCTTTGCCTCCGCACTGGAACCCGATACCCAGGTAGCTCAAGGACAGAAGCCTGGCCGAAATGCGCGAGCCAAAGCACCAGCTTACGAAACACACGGTCGTCTTGTTCTCGGCTTTGCATTCTCTATTGAGGAACTTCAGAAGCGAGCGCTTGAACGATTACCGGAGTATCAAAGTCTCAGTGAACAATCTCCACTGCCTTTAATGAACATGATCTCAAAGGCTCAGAGCTTGGTCTATCTGCTTTGTGACGATATTGATCATCTTTGGCCTCAAGCATTCAAAGGCTTGGGAATGGGCCCTAACCGGAATGGGCTTCATATCGTTGCACTGTCTCATAACAGAGACTCTGATAGGCTGAGGATGCCAACTCGGGAACAGACTGAAGAGATGCGGAAGATTCTAAACTGTGGCGAAGCAAAGTGGTATAAGGATCTTGCTCCACCTACTAAATTTAACTTCAGAGCTTCAGTGCGTCCCCTTTTCAATCTTTATGTATCAATATAATATTGAATCTCTCCAGCGATATTGAACATTCAATGTACATAACTTCGACATCATCGTTCTCAAAGTTCAATGTAAATTACTGCATACATTCCTACGATCGGTCATCTTGTCATGATGCTGCTGTTGTCGTAGCCTCTATCATTTCTGTCATGAACTAGACTCATTGTCCGGTTCAAACAAAGAATGTTATCAGCATTCTTAAGCATAATAACAATTCGTGTGATATCAGCTTGAAAGTTTGAGATCCTGTGCAGGTGCATTGTCACTATTGAACTGTGGTGACGAGACGCGATTCACTTTCTCAATCAACTTCCTCGCAATGGGGTGAAACGAATTCTTCTCCTTTTGAAACGCATTTACAGCAAGATCCTTGTTCACTTTGAACACTGCACGGAACACATCTCGACAAAACTTCATCCTACCCACGACCATACCACTTCCACCACCGATGACCCAGTCCGCTGCCTCCGCCGCATATTTCTGAGCAGCAGGAGACGAAGGATCAACCAAAGAAAACTGATAGAACCGCAATCGAATCTCTGCATTGTGAGTAGAGGACACTCACTTTGTATAACAAAGCTAAATGCTCGATGTGGGTTATCTATAAATTTCGATGTGACCTGCATTGCACGGGTAAACTACAAGATAGACAGGTTGGAATAAGATATTATCGGAGCCTGATTTGATAAAGAGACGACAGCATGATAACAAGACGATGGTGTTTGTAAAGATACAAACATATCCTATGCTATAATCGAACTACGAAAGGCCAAAATGACAATGTCAAAATTATACATTCAGAACCGCTGGAGAGATACAATGTTAGAACAGTGCATCAAGTTTGAAAACAGGACACACTGAGACTCCGGAGTTAGTTTTGCTGGGTGGGATGAGATCCATATACCACCGAGCTTCCCCACATTTCAGAATCTTCTGCATCCTCTCAGCCTGTGCCGGGGTAGTAGGCATCCTCAACCTATCAGAGTCCCTGTTGTAAGACCGTCCAACAACATACATTCCACCCCCTGTGTCAGGATCCATGACCCAGCCTTTAAAAGCTTGAGGCCAGAGATGATCGATATCGTCGCATCACCTATGAATGAAGGTGTGGGCCCTGATCATCATCTTATGTCGAGGTTGAGGAGACTAAGTTGTCGATAACCTGGAAGTCGCTCGAACACTCATTTGTGGAGTTCGTCGCAGGAGAATGCAAACCCAAGAACAAGAGGTCCGTGCATTTCATAGGCAGGTGCCTTCCGTCGCGACTTTCGAATGGGTTTTGGTTTTGGGACAACCTGTGCATCGACTTCAGGTGACTCGGAGGAGGTGGAATGTACCGTGCTGGACATGACAAGAGCTGTGCGTACACATGATCAGACCTCGACTCTGCGAAAAGTTGGATATGATGCATATCTGTCTATTGTGAACGATATGGAGGTAGTCCGAGTCGGGATTTCAGAACTTAAAGTGGTCGTACCACGTGACTTGACCCTTAATGGAAAATCACTTGCCAAAGAAGGTCATTTGATTGTGTACCAGCTTAATCGACTAGTTTTTCCATTACGCTCAAATATGTATGTGTCCTTACCCAACTTCTGATGGAGCATAAATCCTGACACTGATTACTTTCAGCCTGGTCACGTCCTCGACAGTACAATTCGCCGCACCACTAGAAGTCGATGCTCAGGTGGTCCCTGGTGGTCCCAAAACCACAACCCATTCGAAAGTCGCGACCAAAGGCACCTGCTTATGAAACGCACGGACCCCTTGTCCTAGGCTTTGCGTTCTCTTTTGCTGAACTCCACAAACGAGCGTTCAAGCGACTTCCAGAGTATCGAGAACTTAGCCAACAATCTCCTCGACCTGATCATAAAATGATGATAAGGTCTCACAATCTCATCTATAGCCTATGTGCCGACATCGATCATCTTTGGCCTCAAGCTTTTAAAGGCTGGGTCAGGGATCCCGACACCGGGAATGGGATGTATGTTGTTGGGTTGTCTTCGAACAGGGACTCTGACAGGTTGAGGATGCCTACCCCGGCGCATGCTGAGAAAATGCAGAAGAACTTGAAATGTGGGCAAGCCCAGTGGTATCCGGATCTCATTGCACCCAGCAAAACTGACTCCTGTGCCTCGGTGTGTCCTGTTTTCAAATTTCATGCACTGATCTGACAATTCAATCTTTCCAGCGCTTCTGAACGTATAACTTCGACATTGTCATCCTGGTCTTTCGTAGTTCAATGTATCCATACACATTCGGTCGTCTTGTTATCATGCCGATGTGCCCTCTGTAATAAACTAGCGGTTAGCCTCATTTTCTGGCCAACATACGCTCTCACTGCATTCTCAAGCGTCTGCTTTACTCCAACTCCTCGTGTGATATGAGCTAGAAAGTTTGAGGTATTGTCGAGTCGCATTGCCACTGCTTGTGCAAATCGGGAAGGGTCATAGATTAAGCGCTGCGCCTTCGGGATCATCTTCATCAACGGAAGTGGAGATTGTTGGCTGAGTTCTCGATATTCCGGAAGTCGCTCGAGCGCTCGTTTCTGAAGTTCTTCGATAGTGAAAGCAAACCCCAGAACAAGAGGACCGTGAGTTTCGTATGCTGGTGCTTTGGCACGAGGCCTTCGTATGGGCTTTCGCTTTGGGGTGACCGGAGGATCGAGTTCTGGTGAGGAGGCGAAATGTACTGTCGCGGACCGGGACATGACCAGGCTGCAGTGAAAGTAAACATCAACAAATTCCCCACTTCACCAGAATATGAATACGGCGACACACCTCTTAGCGTACTCGATATTGGAAGAGTAAAAAATGATTGAGAAAGGTTACAACAAGCTAACAAGATGAGTGGCTTTTATTACAGCAACTTATTTAACCGAGGGCGGGTCGGAAAAACAATTGAACTGATGACCAGCCTTGGCCAGGATGTGGCAGGGATGTGGCAAGGCAGATTTGGCCAGTTGTCTCGACGGTGAATGAAAACCTCAAATTATATACGCAATTCACGCAATGAGCCGCACTCTTCTAACCTTCGACGGCCGTTGCTTTTACAACAATCAAGGTGGAGTGGTCGGAACTCTGGAGCTGGCAAGTCTGCCGTTGACGACACCAAGTCAGTTCAGCATTTTTTCCCTCCCGCCTCTGACAATTTGCTGTCATGAAGGAAACCCAGAGATCACGGTCCTGCCGCCCTCCTTTATTCAATTAAAGTATCCTGAACATGCCCCAGGCGACGAAGCCTCTGACGCCAGCTCAAACATAGTTATGATCAGGTTGAGGAGATTTTTGGCTAAGTTCTCGATACTCCGGAAATCGCTCGAACGCTCGTTTATCGAGTTCGCCGAAAGAGAACGCAAAGTCAAGAATAAGGGGTCCGTGCGTTTCATACGCAGTACCCTCGGCCACGACTTTTGAATGGGTTTTGGTTTCGGGACGACCTCAGCGTCGACTTCAGTAATGAGGTGAAATGTACCGAGGACATGATCAGGCTGGAAGCGAACAGTATCAGAAGTTGAGGGTGAGGACACGTACATATTTGAAAAAGACTAGTCGAGGAAGCTGGTACACAATCCAATGATCTTCTTTGGCAAGTTATTGTACATCAAGGGTCCCAGTCACGTTGAGTTTGGAACCACTCGCGCAGACGACGAGTTGAAGAGTGTTATCGAGGTTTCGTCGAATGTAGTACTCATTTCGAAGCTCTTGAGGTCTACTAGTACGAGATCTGATTGCGTCTGATTGTGTGATCAACGTTGTGAGGCTCTACAAAAAAATTGAGCTCCTCTAAAGCAGACAAGCGTCACCAATGGCTTCTCATATCCTCTAGCATCTTCATTGGAAGACCGAATAAGAACACGCCTGAGACCAGGATGATTGATAGAGAGAACGAGACGTAGATCTGATTAGAGCAGAAGAGCAGAACCAGAACGTAGCGTATCCCCAATGGGTGCATGCAGATCGAGCTCAATCGCAGCTTCAGAGAGGGCCGGTACTTCCTCCCTCTAATAGGATCGCGAAATCGTACCAGATACACCGTGGTGATAGTCTGAAGCTATCGCCATCAGCTGAGAGCAGATTTTAGTTCAGCGGATTATTTTGCTCCTGGATAAAACATTGAAGCCGAACAATGTCAGCAGAGTGGTTTCCTCGCCATAGAAATGAGTTTGCTGAATCTTAACGATATCTGGGAGTCCCCGCGCACGGATGGGCAAGAATGTTGTAGAATAGGAAAACGGCGCAGCTGTAGCCGCCGTAAGTATATACGCCGGCGTCTAAAATTCAGAACGCGTCACCTTCGCCTTGACTCTGTTCTCTCAAATACAGAAAGATAAAATTCCGCTCACTTAAATGTCCACCTCACAATCAGGAAATTATGGTAGACGTAAACACTACATTCCTCTTGAATCCAATCCGGAGGTCTTCACGGAACTCATCCATACACTGGGAGTCTCCTCCTCCCTCTCGTTCCAGGACGTCTACTCTTTGAACGATCCCGATCTTTTATCATTAGTCCCACGTCCAGTGTTCGGTCTGGTTTTGATCTTCCCTGCTATGGAGGACTACGACAAAGTCTTGGAAGAGGACAAAAAGACTCGACCGAACGCGTATACTGGTAAAGGTGAAGATGAACCTGTGATTTGGTTCGAGCAAACGATTGGCAATGCATGTGGGCTGTATGGTTTGTTGCACTGCATTTGCAATGGGCCAGCGAGGCAGTATCTCAGTGAGTAAACGACGAGGGAACTACGTTTCAAATTATATGACGGTATATTCGACCACAGAACCTGATTCGACGATATCAAACCTACTGAAGATATGCGTACCTCTTGATCCCACCGAGCGTGCACTCGCGTTAGAGGCATCCGAAAAGGTAGAATACGCGCACGCTCATGCAGGCAAATCAGGTCATACTGCAGCCCCAGACCCCAAAGATGACGTTGAACATCATTATGTTGCCTTTGTTACCTCTAACACAGGAAACGGTGACGTGTACGAAATGGACGGGATGAAGCAAGGGCCATTGAAGACAGATGTGACTCTAAAGGAAGGAGAGGATCTCCTCACTGAGGCTGGCCGAAACTTGATCAAGGCTTTCATTGAGAGAGAGCAAGGTCGGAGCATCGGCTTTAGCTTGATGGCGCTGGTCAAAACATGATGAGAAAAAGAACATCCAGCAATGTAACGTATATAAAGCCATGTCAATGACATCAAGAATCATACTGTCCGATGGTACTATCCGATTATCCCTACTTGAACCCTCCCCAAATATCTCCAAACGCATCGTCCTTTTTGGGCACTGGAGCACCAGCCGTCGAGAATGAGCCAAACAGATCCTGACTTCCCCCAGTTGCAACAGGCGCGACCGTAGATGAACTTCCCCAGATATCGTTACTGCTTGCATATAGATTAAACTGCTGCTGAGGGACGGCTGGAGCAGCAGAAGCACCCCAAACGTTCGACTGTGCAGGCACTGCAGGAGCATTGGCCCATCCTGAACTCGTCCCCCACATTCCGGTTCCATTTGAGCCCATCATGCTCGTCACAGGAGCCTGGGCCGCAACCGGAGCGGCGCCCCAAGGAGAAACTGCCTGCGCTGGGACCCCAGATAATTGACCAAATCCAGAGTTCATAGCAGATGATGATTGAGGAGGAGCAGCTGAAAATAGGGACAGGATATCTTGCTTGACATCTTTTCTCTGCTCGGGTGTGGAGTTATCCGTTGTGGTATTAGTTCGAGTTGGAGGTGCATGGAAATCGAGAGAGAACAAATCATTCTGAGGAGCTGGAGCGGGAGCAGTGACAGTAGGGGCGGCTGTAGCTGGAGGCGAGGGTGTGGGTACGGGACCTACAGGCCGGTTCACGAGGCCGGTAGATAGTAATTGATGCCTCGTGGACGTGGTAGAACGTGGAGCAGAGATACTATTCGTTGGAGTATGGGTAGCCTGTGAAGGCGCCGGAGCCTGTTGTACAGGAGTTCCAGGTGCCGAGGGTGCTGCCGGCTTGGACGGTGTACCGTTTTCAAGTACGGAAGGGTCAGAGGGAGGGGGACCATCCAGTGCCCATCGGCGTGATTCGTATTTCGAGCGTATAAATGAATCCATTTTGCTGAAGTGAAGATCAACCTAGATACTCATATAGAGTAGATAGACTAGGATACGCACTGATCTGGTGGAATGTGCCCTTGTTTAAGATGAGCTTCCCAATAAAGATTCGCCAGGCGATTCCCCCACTTCTGAACAGACTAGAACCCTAGTTAAGTATGCTTCACTTGTAAAGGTCAGTAACAGTCGTACCTGCATTTGCTCAGGAGTCCAAACATCGAGGTCGACCGATTTCACTTTGCTGATGTGGGTTCCCATCGAACGGTGGATTCCTGAACACCGGATACAGACAAAGACACCTCTATGAACATAATCAGAGGAGAGAGCGCAATTCCAAGGCTGGCGGTGGCTCACATATTCCATGAAGCCCAACGTGCATCTATAAATGAAGTATCAGACTGATGTTTGTGAATTACGACGACAAAAACTTGCCATTACGCTTGCAATCTGCACACAGCTTGTTTTCTGGGATTTTGACGAGCTCTCTGAGAGTTTTTGCATTCCTTTCTGTTGTGGCTTTATCTTGACGTGACATTGCTGAGACCGGGAAGATGGAAGTACAGGACAGGTACAGAATCTGAAAACAGAATTAAAATGCCAGCGGGCGCTGGCGTTAAACTTAGAGATTTGCTACATATATTTCCTTTTCAGTACTTACTTTCTGGACCCCCGAATAAAAACTTCTGTACTGTTACCACCATGTCCGCTCACGAACATAATGCTTCTCATATCTTTCCTTCCCTCCAGGATGATGATACTAACGATCCGAAAGATATCCAGAAGACCTTCAACTCTGCGCTGCCAGAAGACACCCCATGATCATGCAAATATTTCAGAAAAACCTTCCAGCTATGGTTCTTCTGCAGAACTAGAAACTGCTCTTCAATCTGCCATTAGACATGCAAATTTCGAACCTCTCGTAAGTGAATCCGACGTTTTTTTAGGATTGAAGAAAAAGGACTTCTCGCTACAACAAGGTCGGTCAACATCAAGGTTCTTAGACATATCTCACTATGCATGCTAACTAAAGCTCAGATGTCACAGATATATAATTATGAGCAGAGGTTCTCGGAAGATCCAATTTTCAAAGAAACTGGGCCAAACGAGCATTGAACCTTCCTGTTCAATGTGTTGTCACCCAAGCAATTGGAGGACTTCCTATCACAATGAAACAAGAGGTTGCCCAGATTTTTAGTGAAATCCACATATCTTTTTTTTATCTCTTATGGATTGTTATACTATGATGTACTGACTCTATATCGCAGTCTGATATTTGAAGAAAATCTTCCTTCAGATTTATTTGAAACGGCAGGACTGGTGGTTTCTATCGTTGCATCGAAGAATGATCATCGCTTGAGTGGACGGACTATTAGCAGGAGCGATTGATCCAACTCTGCATGAAGCATGCTTCGGCTACGTGACTGGCAGATTGACGACGTACCATTCTGCAGATAGATGGACTCGATTACGACAAGCGATCCCTACCTATAATTTATGGCCCGCCAGGAGTAGCTCGGTTCAGGAATCGAATCGGCCAGAACTGCAATCCGTATGACGAATGACAATTTGCGTTACTACATGATGTACAAAGTTATGTGTCTGTCGCGTATATATTCCTTGGTACTTCTGCTAATACATAAGTTTTGGGTCAGAAAGATTATCGATTAGTCCAAGCCGAAATCGGAACACATACAGTATTTAGTACACCTGCTCAAACCTCCAGGTCTGATTCTTGCCCTCCCACTTTCCCCACAAAGTTACGATCGTTCCGGGTGTGGGATTGCCATGGTCAGACAGATCGATGTTCAACGCAGTTGGGGCACCTGGAACGTAAATTCTGCAAAAAGAAAAGTGACGGATTAGAATCAAGCACTAACACGACGTGAAGGAAAGAGAAAGCTAACCGGAAAACGCTGGAGTCTTCGTCATCAGGATAAATATCCCATCTGACGGGCTCATCGACGCTGACAAGAGGCGTGCCATCCTCGAAGGGTCCCCCGACGCCGAGGTACTGACCAGAAGCGGCGCTACGGAAGGTCCAGTGACCGCCTTGACCTTGTTCGAGTTGCCACTGAGTGAGATATTGTGAGCCCACGTCGGGAACAAAAAACAAAAAAGTATACCTTCTGATTGTCACCGCCGTTGTCGGAGAAGCCAGAAACTATGAGCGCAAAAATTAACAGGATCATGTGTAATGCATATGGGGAATACATACTGGTCCTTCCGTCAGTGCCAGAGAGATCAAGGATGGTGCCGGATTTGCCGTTGTAGATTTTATAGGTGTTTCCTGATTGGATAGACATTATGGTGTTTTGTGGTGGGATGGTCGAGGTTTGAAGGAGAAATGGAACGATAGAGAGATTTTATACCATGGTCGTACATTCGACGTCATTTTGGGGTCTGCTCGGAGTCATTAGATCGAGGTTAAATCTTGTCAGTCAATCAGATTTGGGGCACCAAGTGGAAACTTGAAGCAGCTCTAGCCGAGAAAGCACTCAAGAGCACCTCACGAAGAAGATCTAGGCGACTTCGAAGACCAGAGCTTGGCAACTTCCTTGTAGCTGACTCAGCAAATAATAATAACTCGAATGTTCAAACGTTCATGAGTGGATGATCAGAATACAAAGGGTACAACAAAGAGTGCAGGACAATAGAGACAACAGCATTTGACGAAATGAAAGATACATATAAGCATGCAAAGCGTCCGCAGAAACGCGCAAATCACACCAATCTATCACCATCGATCGCCAACAAACGGCGCAATCCACTTTCTACATGCTTCCAATTGTTCCTACGCGATGAAAATGATAAGCATAGCGTCATTTGAGACAGATGTAATGAGAAACTATCCGGAAGTATGTCAAGAACAAAGAGAAACCTGGTGATAACTTACGTCTGCGATCCCCAAAGCCGCTTGAATATCCAACATAACCCCTTCGGATTCGATCTTCGCCTTGCGTACACGTTCCTTCGCTTTACGGAGCGCAAATTCATCTCCACCACGATTGACATATGGCATGTTGTGAGTGGCTTTGGTATCATGGCTGGACGATGACGATGACGATGATGGAGAGGATCGTCGCAAAGGAACCCTTGATCTTACGAATTCGAGATAGCTTCCTTCTGCTTCTGCTTTTTGCTTCTTCACCGCCGATAGCCTCCTGCATCGGAAAAGTTCATACCAAGGGTCTCGGGTCTGATACTGACGGATAAGCGCGGATTCGAGGCCTTCAATAACGGCAGCTGCAGTAAGAAGCGATAGCGAAAAGTTCATGATATCTGGCTCTGCAAAAGAAAAAGTTTAGACCATCCTGACCAAGTTGATGATTACTGACTGACCACAAACGACCTCGAAAAGGATAAGCCAAGTTTCTTGTAAGACCGAGCTCCAACCTTCATTGAAATCGAGGAGCTCTCTCAAAGAGGGCAATGCGATCCATAAGTCATCAAGGACAGCTTGAGGGGTGCTTCCTAAATTGTATGATAGGGCCAGGAGTATGTCTCTTTGAGCGGCCTTGTATTAATGAAATTAGAAAGGAACCTCGAAAAAAAAGTCTGTGCCCACCTCAAGATCCCCATATCCCATTTCATGAGGGGCAAGTTCCTCGTAATCTGACGAGAATATCGGATAAAGAGGCGGAAGAAAATCTCTGTGTATCTATGACATTGACAAAACATTTGTAAATTTCTCGTCGGGCTAAATACACAAACTTACCTTGACGCTCAGAGCTAAACATCCAACTGCAACGTCCCAAGTCACAAGCTCAGACCCATCAACATCCAAGGCAAATCTGCGCGCAAATTCCTCGAGCGCCGTCTCGCCAACATGTTCATTCTCTTCCGAATCCGACTCATATGCTGCTTCAAATATCAGATGGAAGAACCTCATGAAAAGATAAGCTGCATGGAATCTAGTCTCGGGAGAATTGAGCAGCTGTTCACAGAGATCAGAAAGCCTTTCGCTGTGTGAAGCTGCATTAGAAGGATCAAGAGAGTGACTGGAACTCGACGAGCTTGTTCCAGAACAGGAAGAGGACGATGAGTTCGAGTTATTTTCTGAGCCTGAGGATGAAGTAGAAGGTAGCGCCTAGATCGAAATCCAAATGAACATAAACGCCGGGAAAGGACGGGTTCTGTCGAGACAAACCTCCAAAATCCATTGGATCATCCTCGTTCCTGACCCATGAATTCCTGCGCATCTCTTATAACTGGTTCTACGGCTAACTTTGGAATCCTCTGCTTGCAGCTGATCAGTCTCATCGTCAAGTTCTTCAAGATGCATCTCAACATCCTCACTATGCCCTTCATTCACGACAACAGATCTCATTTCCGCTGCTAACGTTGATGGGGTAGAAGGAGCCAAGACGTCAGCTGTCTTGTGCATCATATCGAAATCGGTGTCCCTCATCATTTGTTCGCGTTCTCGAAACCGTATAAGTCTCAACTTCGCTTGTGACGCTTCGCTCAACGGCGGGGAATATACATGATTAGGTGGCGGAGCAATGATTGGAACTTTGGAAGAAAGGATACGAGCCTGCTTCTTGGAAACGTCGTACGCCTTTTGAGCGTCTTTCGCGATAGGAGAAATAACATCTGGGTCGAAAAGTGGGTCGCGGTAGTTTTGAGCGCGCCGGAGAGGAGTAGTATGTGCTGGTTGTTCAGGCTCGGGACTACAAGGAACAGTAGGGATCCAACCTGGCGAGGGTTCCAAATCCAGAGTCGAACAAAGACTACTGGTCCCCGCATTCAGCGAGGCAGGCGTCGGGATGACAGTAAGATGGGCTTTTTCTTGAATGTCCGGCGCTTGAGATCTCAGCGAAAGAGCACGTCTGAAAGACGCTGTACGGGTTGCGTATCTGTTCGGATCAGCAATCGTAGCGTGTCGAAGAAGACGACGCTTCTTATGGTTGGCAGAGTTAGCAATCAAGTAAGGGGAATGAACGTGAAATGACGCGGATGGACGAGGGCGTTTCCTTGTTAAGGGGGATGGAGTACTTTGATTTTCAACGGAAAGCGGTTTCATTGATCTATCAAGAGATCTAAAATTAGAGTATATGATGAACAGAGATGGCACACCTGAAGGTTAAGGAGAAACTATCGCTCTTTGTCCGTTTATATCGAAACTGGATAATCGAGTCCGTCCGGTGCATCGACAACGTACTTGAAGTGGTTGATGATTGGGTTCGACTTGATGGAGGAATCGAAGAGGTGTAGACAGTTTCGCTACCACCGGAGAGTTTCGCCAATCGACCGTGAAGATCTTGAGCGAACTGCGCCTCAATTGTTGAAGAGCTAGAATCCTTCAAGACCTCATCACGAAGAATATCAGAGACAGACGTAGCAGAAGATTGAGAAAGAGGCAGATCAGAGTTGCAGAAGTCAATGTCAGACGAAAGTGTTGGAGAGCTTGAGTAAACATCTTGAAGTACGGTTTGTTCGAATCCGTTTGAATCTCCGCCTCGTTCTTCTACTTCATGTATAACATCGAGATGTGGATCCCCGGTGTGCTGAAATGATACCTTTCGTGTTCTAAGGGATGAGGGAAGCAGAGAAGAGCGCATATAGACTGTCGTAGTAGTTCGTTCTCAAGACGCAATTCAAGCAGATCGCATCGTGCTACCTTATGTAATCATGTGACTGTCTAATTGACTCATCACTGTTCTGCATTACTCTGACTCAGTACCATGACGATCTGCAGCTAACTTCGACGCCTTTTCGACTCAGTATGAACCCAGCTGTGTCTGTCTCTATTTTTTGCTGACTCAAATATCAAGGCTCATTTCCATACCTTCGATTGAATGATGTCTATACTCCTCGAAAGTCTTGTATTGGTTCTGTTCCGGTCAGTGGAAGGATATTGGCAAGAACCGCACATCATTTGCTCAATTTGATGTCAGAGCTGCACTTTTCCTCTCTTGTCGCAGCTTCGTGCTGAATAGACTATATTCCGACTTGCAGAACATCTCCACGCCTTCAGATGAACATGACGATGTAGAACTCGACGTTCTTCCTACACATGCCAAATCCAACAGCGGTCGCGCAACTGATACAGGCTATTCACAGTCTACTACAATGCACTCGAAGATATCGCGGACCGTATTTGCTGGCTGTTTTTCGGAAAGCTGCATCCTTTTCGTGTTGCTCATGTGTCAGGGACTTGGCTTATTCGATCCAACGTGAGCTTGAGCTTTAATTAAACACCGTTAAGTGTTAAAATATGTTCAAACTTTCCAGGACTCGTCTTCTTCACTGGAAATTCTCACTATTCATTTTGCTTTCAACCATTCTCGTCCTTGGTCCGCTACTTCTCAGTATTTTTATAGCCACCGATTCCCATAAAACCAGTCGCAGACTTCCATACATTCGTATCTTCATTTCCCTCATTCCAGTCACCCTGAGCCTATTTGCAATCTCGCGTATACCCCTACCCCACGCCCTCCGCAATGATTCCAAAATCGACCTTATTACATCCTCGTTAGCCCGGCTGCTTGTCGTAGGAACCATCATTTTGGGCCTACTCTCTGGCTTTGGAGCTGTCAGTAGTTCATGGACATTCTTTCCCTCATGTATCTCTTCCTCTTCTACCCACGGTAGTGGCGTACCCAGTGAACGAGACATCGAACAGACTGAACGTGCACTAGAACGAGTCAAGGATGATTTAACGACGCGTAAACACCAGCTTGAAGCAAAGCGCAATGCGACTTCCTCCTCGAATGGTGGTGCGCCTACCAGTGCTGGTGCATCATGGTATTCCAGAATCGTCCCGAATTTACGTGGCAATGACGATGAAGCTGAGGTGGCGGGGCTACAGATGCTCTATGAACAAATGGATCACAATCTGAGTGACCTGAAGAGAAGGAAGCAAGACGAATTGTTCCAGAGGACAATATGGGGCCGCATGTACGGGGTCGTCAGGTTGTGTATGGCGATATATTGGATAGCGAGGATCATATGGGTACATCCTCTATTCCATTCCCCTATTAGTTCTTACACAGCCCTTCAGACGATCGTCAAGGTCCTCATTTATCAGAATTTTTTCGCTTCATCCTTATCACCATCCACAAATTATCCGGATCTCATAAGCAAACTTCTCGCGGACCTTCTCTCCTTTATCCATCGGCGCCATTTCGGGGGTCACAATCACGACCTCTTGTCGGGGTCTGACAATGGTCAAACACCCGCCGACTTGGGGGAGACACAAGAAAAGATCAAAGTCATAGCACGACAGATCAGTCTACTCTTCGTAGGCCTAGTCGTCATTATATCCATCCGAATGGTATTGCGCGGAGTATCCAGAATTCTCTCTCGAATGACCAAGCTCAAACTTAGGCGCAACTTGGGCGCTAGTGTGATGTTGGTGCTCTTGGCGCAACTAATGGGTATATACCTCCTCTCGACTATTGTTCAGCTGCGAGCTTCCTTTCCGCCTCCAGCGGTATCATCATCTTCGATTCCAGAATTAGCGTTTGAGTCCGATATAGCCACAGAGCAATCGACTAATCTATTCACCACCATTCCTCCGTTCGAGGTATTTGGCTCCCTCTTTGATGGGGCATTCCTTTTGGCTGCGACACTGAGCATTCTAGTCAGATGGATGGGAAACAAGATTGGTGCGGAGTGGGATCCATAAAATAGCAATTCGTTTATTATGTTTGTATGAGTATAGTAGCCAGAATGAGCTGGTTGCAAGCATTACTTTCTCATGGGATCCGATGCGATTCTTGACCTGAGCACAACAGTATTGTGGGACCGGGATCACCCAGGTTTACGCCAAACTGGCTTATTCGACGACGTCTTCGATACAATCTTGTTTTAGGTGATAGTATGGCAAGAACAGAGAATGAAAAGTAATGAATGACAATGCCTTTGGTTGCATAAATACGTATTACCTGAGTAAATGGATTGAGTGAGAGTTGCATTGAATGAGTGATTGTCTAAGTCCATTCCGAGCCTTTTTTGCAAATGAGTGAACATATGAGATATGTATGATGAGTTATGATGGGTAAGTTAATGACACGACCAGCGTCACACACAAAAATGGAGACGATGAGACGAGAGGGAACAGATTGGAGCGAGAAGGGGCAGAAAAGAAAGGCAGAAAAAGAAATTGACCGCGAAAGCAGAAGTGGCTCAGAAGAAAGTATTTAGAAAGCGAGAGGATCAAATTGACAACAATGAAAGAGATAAACAGGATTAGGATTGGATTGATCTACGCTCTTCGCTTGGAGCAACCACCAACAGGCAGACAGGCCAGGATATGCGCAATAACATCATTACACGTGTGTGGGTATATGTCATATAATTCTGAACTTGACAACGAAAAGAAAGATGTGAAGATGGGGCGAGGATATTATGCGATGCGATGAGCTCCGAGAAGTGAGTGGAATCATGACAAAGAATGTACTAGTTCGTCGCAACGTCGTAGATCAGATCAGAAAGGAAAATTATGAGGATAACGGCTGATAACGGCCGTGTCGGACGATAACTTTTGGCTGAAGAGGCAGATATTGGACACGTAGAAGAACAGGTCAAACGAAAAATTGCGTACTGTGAGGCGACAGTCAGGATATGAACGACGAGAAAGAACTGCGAAAGAGCTCACTGAATTCGACTGGCAGCGTGAACCTCCATTTCCTCCATCTTGTACGAATTCAATTCCTCCTTTATTCTCTGCGCCAGTGCTGGCGTTAGCCGACTCCAGGTAGCCGGTTCACTTCGTCTGTCATAGACAGAAGAAGGAAACGTGTCATACACCGATAAGTTATTCGCAAAAGCAAGCCGCTTGCTAGGTGTAGTTGCTGACCGATGGGTTAATGTAGGCGCCTTTGAACTGATGGTTGATAAGGCCGGAGCGGAAGAGTTGGAGTGACTGAACAGTAGCGACGATTTTTCGGGAGCGTGTGGGACGTGCGAGACGGTTGATGTCGAGTCAATGGAGTCTCTGGGTGAGTCAAAATTAGTCGCTCGTATTGGTGAAGGAGCCGACGGTTCAAAGGAAAGAGGAGGAATGGTAGGTGCGGCAGTAACGGTAGAGTTTGAGCCATGCCCTGACGAATGTGACCCATGCCTGTGAAGACCATCGATATGATCGGGATCTGGCGAAGGTATCCGTGCTAATGGACCGAGTTCTGCCTGATGAGTATGAGAATTATACGAATTGGATCGCAGTCTGTTGGCTGTGACGTTCTCGGTCATATAAGATTTCTGATCATAAGTGGCAGCATCTAAGTATTGCGACAGAAATTAATTGGAAAATCAATGAAGATAATGAAAGACGCATACGCTTCAGTATGCCTTTCGCTGGCACTCGTGTTCGTTCTACACTCCTCCGGATATCAGTCGCCCAAGGGTCCGGTTCTTCGTACTCGTTATCCAGACTAACCCGCCCAATCCCCATGCGTATCGTCACATCCTCATCGTCCTCTCCATCCCAATCCTCATCATCATCCCAGCCCTCTGGATTGTACTCGCCAGTACTTTGTGTAGGGACGCCATAATGCCCGTCATCACTCCTATCCTCATCATCATCTTCCACCAACACTCTTGTCCCGTCCTCATTTATCCTGAACCCACCGCCGCCTTTAACAGGAGAGACTGATCCTTGCCTCGTATGTGTATTCTTCTCCCACGTAGGCACTCCGGCTCCGGATCCATACCCGTTCGGCTGGGTACTACTGACCGCTGCCGCTGCTGCTGCTGCTACTGCTGCCTCCTGCTGAGCCTTGGCCTTCGCAGCTGCTTCGGCGTTACTCTTAAGCGTATGCTGCCGAGCCAACTTCGCAGCTGGACTTAACCCGTTCATCTCGGGCCCACCCCAGTCACCAGCGCTGCGATCCAGTTCGGCGGTGACGTGAGAGACACTAGCTTCGCTGGCTTCAGCCTTTGCGCTCTTCTTTTTCTTGCCCTTCTTATCCGCAGATTCGCCTTCTTCTTTCTCCTTCTCCTTGTTTTTCTTTTCCTTGTCCTTGAATAAAGACGTGATCCCCGCTAGAGAGTTCCGTCGAGCAAGCTTACCCATGCTTCCTAATTTCCGTATCATCACGCTGGCACTACTAACTGTACTTGACAGCGAGATGTTGTCCGTGCTAGCGTTCAGGCGCGAGTTAAACAACGACGCAGCACGACTCTTCTTCTTTGTCTGCACAGTAGCGGTTGATTCAGCATCATCAATGTCGGGACTAGGTACTCCACCTCCAGGGTTGGATTGACCAACAACTGTGTTGATGGAGTGTGCACTTTTTGGTTTGAGTTTTGAAGAAGACGAGCCGAGGGCAGAAGCTTTGATGGAAGCGTCATCGTCATCCTCCTCCTCCTTCAACGCTTGTTGTTGTGCATTGAAAGTGAGAGCACGACGTAGTCGTCCCTTAAGACCACCACTCCGAATCATCGCAGCACTAGGTGTAGACTCTAACATAGCAGCAAGATCACTGTCATCGCGAGACATTCGTTTTTCGGACGCAGTGAAAGTACCCTGTGACAATGGCGATGGTCTAGCAGGACGGAGATTTGTGGAGGAGGAGGCCGAAGAAGGAGGTGTAGAGGAGGTTGTGGACATCGGAGGAGATGTGATCGACGGCGCTAATCCACTAGGCCGACTGGACGCTGTAGACGAGCCTGCACTAGAGGATGACAAATTCCGATTATGGGGAAGCTTTGGTGCGGCAGGCGTAGCGGAGCTCGTCGATGAAGTAGAACCGGAAGGCGATGATCTAGCAGCAGTAGCAGGAGACACGGGTTGTTGATTACCCGCGGCAGCTGGCGAACCATTTCTACTACGTATGCTCCCTCCAGGGGGAGTATTTTGCCCACTGTTTCCGCTCTGATTGCTGTTCGTGCGTTGACGCTGACTATTGGTTGAGTTCACAGAGGAACTCGAACCTGACGCATCTGGACGTGCATAAGGAGGAATTGGCATGTTGGCGGGCCGCCAATCACCGTCAACTGCATGTGGATGACTTTGAGATGATCCTTGACGAACAGGCCTCCGATATGGATGAAAGCCAGGATATTGTCCGTTCTGTTGTTGTTGCTGTTGTTGCTGATCAACGGAAGCAGTTCGGTTGGGGTGAGGTGGCGGTGGTGTTCCGCTCGGGAACGGGTTAAACATGGGATTCATCTGATTTTGAGCAAAGTAATCAGGCGAAGGACCTGAACCACTTCTTCCTGAAGATGAACGAGTTTGCTGTGGAGGGATAAAGCCTTGTTGGGCGTTGAACATCATCTGCTGATAGGCCCATTGAGCCAACTGCGCATTTGCCGGGTCGAAATAAGGAGCTTGTTGTGGTAGTTGTGGATAACCCTGAGGCGATTGTTGGTGGTTTTGATAGAAAGAAGGATAGAATGGCTGAGCAGATATGGAAGGAGTCCAGCTTCCCTGCGGTTGCTGCTGGACCGGATAAGGATAAGGCTGTTGTGGTGGCTGTTGTGATTGCTGATGATTCATCTGCTGAAACTGAGGATGGCTACCGTGGGGTGGTGCTGTTGTAGGGGAAGGCGAAGTGCCGTCGTTAGCAGGCGACGACCGTTGCTGTCTGGAGTTGTTGGAAGGTAAGTCCATTGCGTGGCTGTCTCTAGGTAAATATTGCCAATCCGAAGGTGCAAGCACGGCCATCGACCTGTAAGACGACTAGCTGGGGTTTGCGTCGTCTATAACAACCTGTTGGTGGACCAGCGTATCGAGTAGGAAGAATGAAAGACGCGCAGCAAAATACAATCGGTGAATAACTTCCAATGTATGACAAATTTCGACTAAATAACGTACGAACAGCTTTTAGAAATGAAGAAATGAACAAGAAAATGAAAGCAGGAGCCAGCAGCAGATACAATATCTCGCCGCTGGTATGGACGTTTCGGATGGGAGCTTGACGATGCAACAGCGAGCAAATAATCTGTTGCATCAATTGGGTTTTATCAAAAGACACGTGCTCGGCGTAACAACGCCTACTACTTACTCTGATAATTCACTTACTGCCGCAAGGACCTGGCTATGTACTGACATGGATATTTGGGTCTCAATTTTATCTCTCCTCAAGTCTCTGCTACAGTGGAACTCCATGCAGAATGGCTACAGTCTCTCTCTACGTGCGAACGGCTTCACATCGGCACCGGGCAATTTTACAGACGGAATCAAATCATGAAATTATAAATATCATGTATATGATCCTTTTCTGAAGCTAAATTGGCGCAGTTCCCGAACCGACCCATTGTACATTTCGGCCTCTAGCTAGTAGCATGAAGAGGTGAAAGTGTCTTCTGACTACGGTCATCATGACCGTCGACACGACCCAGAGACGGTTTCATTTGTCGCCGTCCCGCCGGATATATGGTGTGGAACATCGGAGTTCGGAGAGGGAATGCGTATTACTGCAATTGATCTGGTCTAATTTAGCTCCTGCTCATCGCTCCTCCACGTTTCGCCTCGTGCAATATACTTCTAGAAACTTGCATAGTGTCAATCCAATTCAACCTTCTGCAAATCCGTTGGTTGCAACGCGTCGGGCGTCGCGCTTCTTCGCGATTTCCCCCCAATATCTTCGGGAAGTAAATGCGGTCTGCTGACTCTCCCATGGCAATGTGGACATCCAATCGCAATACATTTGATTCATCTTTCTTACACCTACCGTCTCATGAGAATGATACAAGCGAAGGTCAGGACACTATCGCGTCTAAAAGAATGTTCGACGCGTTGTTCGACTCACGGTTCACATCACACTCCACTCCTTCCCTTGCGCTCATCAATAGATAAGGAGCCGCAATCAACTATCATCAGGCATCTTTTTCCAGGCAGTCACTAAACAATCAGTGGAATTCCGGATATGATATTCATACTTCGTCGGGTGATACAACTCGCATTGAATGATGCTCAAGTTGTTATCAAGCTCCAAAATCTGCACCCCAGGTAAGCAGAATGCCAATGATTCGTCGTCGTCAGAATCGTTTGTCAGCTTAAATATATCACAGGTTGGTGGTGGCTCATCTCTAGTCTGGCATACTGTTTTCTCTAATCTAAGTTCAACAGTCAACAGCGCGGACGATACGGAAGAATACGGGCTTACTGGACGTCGCCGGTTCGAGACAGTTCAAAACTGCATACATAAATATGAGTCTCCGAGGTTATTATCGAAACACCGGTCGAAATGGCCGTCAAATGCCAAGCTTCAGCCTTCCTTGAGCCTTCCGAAAGGCTTCAACACAAAAGACCAGCCAAAATTTTCATAATTTCTTGAGTACTGCATATTCTCCAATCCGAGGGCGATTCCAAAATTCCCTCGGACGAATAACTTGAAGTAGGAGACGAGCTGGTCACCGTCTCATTATGAATAATTATGGATCCCGCAGAAGCCTACTAGAGTTCGAACAGCTTCTGCTCCCCGTAGCACTTCTCCGAATCACATCTTCTCCAGGCCATTCCCCCGACTTTGATGCGCTATTGGCCGACATATGTAATACTCGCGATCGGCAATTTAACCCATACGAAGTTGATTATTGCCGTGTTTCTGAAGATTTTTCCCTGAACACAACCACGGTCCAACCGTCTTTTCAGGTTTCTTGCGATATTCTATTTCTGCGTAGGATATTGGGTGTGTGCAAGCAGGAGAAATCAGCGGAGTGTGGCCTCGTCAATTGGCACGAGTATCTAGTCTCTGATACCAGTTACAAGGGGGAAAAGATGTGTATTTTCAAGTACTTTTCTACTCGAAAGAGAAACCTGACTCGTTTCGAAAATTACCAAACCTCAGGCCGCATCCAAACGCTGAAGTAGCGTTATATGGGACATACATCTGCATGCTACGCATATTGAAGGCTTCCTGGTAGTTAGTGATGAGCTATAATATCATGACTGACTAATTATATTCGTTAGAGCAATCTTTCATACAGGAAGGAAATTAAGGGCGCATGTATGGCTGTCGCTGGGATCCTACAATCCGGTAAGTAAAATAATCTATGGTAATCAAAGAACACCTTCAAGTTGCGTTGAGTCAAATCATGATAGAAACTGGGATGTTGCGTCAGAGAAATTGGCGATTCAAGATAACAGATCTGGTCTAAGGTTTAGGAGCATACGCGCGCACTCACCATAAGTAAGTGAAAAAAATTAAACAATAAAGAGTCCAATCCTTACATCTTGTCGTCAAAAATGACCTTAATCGACTTTCCAGCCGAAGGTCGCTTTGCTGGCTGTCTCGTTTAGATTGCTCTCAGTCAACAGGCGAGCCTATCGTGAAAGACACACTATGAGGAAGAGGTTATCTCAAAAAAGGCAAGTAAGCGCATGCTATCGGGCTAGATCGGCCGATGATGGTCCGCGGAAGTTCCGCACCGTCTTTTTGTTTTATGGCCCCGTTCCCCATTGGCCTCGATGCGCAAAATTGATGCCTTATTGTTTAAGACCAAGCAAAAAAGGCCTAAGAAAGCAGAAGAAAGCCGGCTCATATCAGCTAATATCCTTCTTATTGTCTATGTGTCTTCCAAGGCACGACTATAGCCCAAAACGACAACGCTAAAACACAATTAGAGACATCGCTCTGCAAAAGAGAGTGGTATAAAACCCTCAGCTATTCTTGGAAACCTTCATCAGGTACCCATTTGACCTACCAACCCCTTCCGAGCTTACCCACCGCTCCGCTCACCTTCAAACACCTCACTTGAACTCGAGAAATGGACGCCTTCACTGCTCTTGCTTCTTATTTCGCCGCATCCCCTTTGGAGGATACTCAGATCGAGACGACTTCGCTTCCTGCAGACGAGGAAAGCGGTAGCGGCGCGAACAGCTCATGCGTAATCGCATGAACAACGAGCTCACTATCATGCTTATGATTCGCATATTTTTGTGAGTAATGTCCCACGACCTTTATTCACAACCTTGCTCACACATCAATACTTTCAGACACGAAACACCCTTTATATCAACAATGACCCTTTGTACGCTCTACTTATAGCGACTTTGGGCCTCCACATTTGTATATTTATCCACTTCGACATTCATATTATCTGTCCTTTTTGGACAGACACCCTGTTGGGATTTCTGGAAGTACTCGGAAGAGCGTCCGTAGAAGGGAAACGGGGCTTGGAAGGAGAAGAAGAAGAGAATACTTGAAGCTCGCACCAGTCGACGAGAATCCATTAATATCACAATATAGTGTACTTAACAATTCTTTCGCTCAAAAGGAGCTAAGTTGTCTGATTGAACCTGATTGAACCTAGCGAAGCAACTACAGATTTCAGAACAGCAAATTTCCGCACACATAGCCTTACATTCCTTAATTTATGTTTCTCTTTTACTGTTTTGCCATATCAAGTACTACTCGTCCCGCAATAGTACCATTCATCATCCCATCGTAGACATCTTTCAGGTCTGCCAACGGTCTGTTCACAAAATGCACATTCACCAGACCCCTAGCAGCGATATCGATCGCTTCTATAGCGTCTTGTCTGTTGCCGACATAAGAACCGCAGATAGTAATGGACTTGAACACGGTGAAGAATATGGATGCAGACAAAGTTGCAGAACCGGGAAGCCCGTTGCACATGAGAACACCTCCTGGACGGAGATATTCGACGGCTTGCTCGTATCCTTGGGACTGAAGAAACCAAGTTTAGACGACTGAAGTAACAGGAATATGATAAAAGAACTCACAGAAGAAGCAGCGACAAGGGCCGAATGAGCACCCAACCCGTCAGTAGCATCTAGCACTTGCTTGACGGTATCTTTACTTTCCTTGAAATCTATCCACTTTTCTGCTCCAAGCTTGAGACACAAATTTTTCTTCTCAACACCAGTATCAATAGCGATCACACGAAGACCGCGGACACGAGCGTACTGGACAGCTAGATTTACAGCAATTTGAGGAACAATTCTTGACGGATAAAATGTGTGAAAATGTGTAGCGCATACCTAGATGTCCTAAACCTCCTCCGGCGCCGGGAATGACGATCCAATCACCAGGGTTTGTCTGACTGTTCTTGATAGCGCGGTAGACCGTCACTCCTGCGCACAGGACAGAAGCAGCAGCGTCGCTAGGGAATCCCTCCGGAATGGGCGTGACGTAATTCACATATGATACAACGTATTCCTGGAAAGTTCCATCGATGGCGTAACCGCTATATAGGGCTTTGGCGCAGTCTATTCGAAAGTAAGTATCAAAAGTGGTCGAAAGTATAGATCGCAAAAGAAACAGAAAGAAACATGGGCAACCCAACTAAGGTCTATAGCTAGGATACTCACTCTGCTCTCTTCCTTTTCTACATTGTTCGCAATTCAGGCAGCTGTTTGCAATCCACTTGATTCCAACGCGGTCACCAAGTTTGACAGGAGAGTCAACGGTATTCCTACCAATCGCAACGACGATTCCGACACCTTCGTGTCCTCCGATAAGAGGCAGGCGAGGGGGAACGGGCCAGTCGCCGAGTGCAGCATGCAAATCACTGTGGCATGCACCTGAAGTAGTAGACACCTTTGTTAGATCCCATCCACGACGAGCGCGAGGAAAACACGAACCAGAACATTCGAGCTTGACAAGGCATTCTCCAGGCGCGAGCTCTTCTGGCCTCTTGACAGGGTGATCCTTCTTGATTTTCAGTTCACCTCCGGCTTCTTCTATCACAGCAGCAATCTGAGTTTGGGGGATAATATACTCAGTCGACATCGTGTATAGTCTGGATGTGAAGTATACTGGAATGAGGGCCAGCGGTAACCGTCGAAACTGAAAGACGACGATTATTTATGTGCCACATTGGTCCCGCTATTTGGTAACGATTCTTGAAACATCCTGATTTTGGGGAAGTCAGCTCACTAGGATCACGGAGTAAGATTGAATGTTCCAGAATTGGAAAGGTGTTGCATCTTATTGCATCTCCGCTCCTTCTCCAGACTCAGTAGGTTATAGGTTCTGTCTTCGGGAAATTACCCGCTTTGGCTCTTTGTCCCACACAACGGGAAGCGCTTTTGAACAGTATTGTAGTATTCCCGTGTTTGCGGCAGAGTTCAAAATTATGTTGAAGTACAACTGACCCCATCGAGGTCGATGGAGGCTTCGAAATTACATCTAGAAATCCAAGGGATCAAACCAGTAAAGGAGACTGAACAAGGACTTTCCCTGATCGCTGACGGGATAGGATGGAATCCGACGTATAGGTAGGCATAGGCCAGCTAAAAAGGTTCAACTGGGAGACAGACAAACTTTTGCACATAGAAAGTCCTTGATAATGATTGGTCCATTATTGAAGGGATATATGCAAGCGCCCTCTATATAAATATATTAATGCAACTATAATTAACATGAGCATAGAAAATAGAAACTGAATGGAGAGATAAGTAACCTACTTCGATTATCTAAATTTTCTCTTCAGAATCTTCACCAACACATGGACAGCCTTCTCTGTATCTGATTTTGACAAGGCGCTGGACATTGCGAGGCGAATGCTTGGCCTTGCCTCCGTGATTTCCAAACCCCTAACCCTCTTGGCTTTAGTTATCATCACCCCTTGAGCCATCGCTTCCTCTACTACTTCTTGTAATAACCGCTCCTCCCTCTCGATGTCAAAGACGGGAACATCCCTTGGCACAGGAGATGAAGGATTAGACGGTTTACTGCTAGCCATGGAAGCCGCAGATGAAGGATGTAACAAATTATCCGTATATGCGGTGTTGCGTAGGTAAATATGAATAATAGGGGAAGCGCGGTGTGAAGGAATGGAGATACATTCGACCTGATCGAGAAGCGCACGAGCTGCACGGATGTTATCTTGAAGGCGGGTGAGTAGTGATGGTGTATCTCTCAGAACATTGATCCCTTCTGACGCACTAACAGCCAATAGCGGGGGCATCGAAGCTGAGAATACATATGCGGGAGCATTAATACGCTAGGTGGAAATGATGAATACGATGTAAAACGAAGGAACAGGGTATTGTTACCTGGTGTTCAACAACATTCTTAGATCCAGCACAGAAACCACCGGTAGCACATAGTCCAATGGCACAGGAACCCACGAGCATATCAACTTTAGAAGCCTGAATACGAAAGTTAGAAGTAGCCTGTGTACAGTAAATGCTGACGCACCTTCACATTGTATAATTCGGTCAATCCGCGACCTGTGCGACCTACGGATCCGAAGGAGAACGACTCATCAAGAATGAGACGGTATTTGTACTTCTGCTTGAGCTCAATCTAGTTACATGAATATGAGCACTAGATGGATAAACACGCGAACCGAGTAATATTACCAATTTCGGGAGGTCAGTCATAGTGCCATCACGTTCGAATATCCCTTCAGTGATAATGAAGCGGCGTGTCAAAGGCCCCTTGCGTTTGCGCCTTTCTTTCTCTACGCTTTGCAAAACCTCTTCCAAGCTATGCAAATCGTTGTGGTCGTACCAGCGAATAGTCGACCGGGATATCTCCATACCCTTTTGAATAGATAAAGTGACGGCACGGTCAACGACAATTATGTCGCCTCGCTTGCAGAACGCTGGAATGACCGAAGAAATAGTGGAAAAGCCTTGCCAGTAAAGGATAGCACTCTCTGTGTCGAGAAACTCTGCTATATCCTTTTCGCATTGGATATGCACGTCTAAAGGTAGAAGAGTCAGTTATGTTGAGAGGAAAATTGACATTGCAGCCTACCGAAATTTCCGTAAAACCCAGTAGGACCGCAACTGCCAACGCCATATTTCCTCATAGCCTCGAGGGCGCGCTGCTTGATGTGTTCATTGTTGGCCAACCCGGTGAAATTAAGACTAGCCAAATTGATGGCTGGCTTTCCAGTGTTGACAAGGATAGGATGAGGACCATTAGGACCTGCAACAACAGGTACAGCAGCGAGTTCAGCAGCTTCGACATCATCCAAAGGCCTCGAAAGAGGTTCCGGTACCCAGTCTTCTACTAATTCGTCGATTTCCTTGGTTAAAGCAAACCAAATGTCAATACACTACGCTTCGTTTGAGAGCATGGTACGACACTCACTTTTTCAGTAAACTCGATGAAATTCTTTGCGTTATTACTGTCCGCACGTGTACGCGACTGAAGAAGAGTCCTTACGACGAGAAAGAAAATAATAAGCTCGAGGAACGTTCGTCCTGGGTCATTTTGGTGGGAGCTCCGGACGTATCGTTCGATGATTGCGGAGCCAGGTAGCTTATAGAACGTCCGCTCAACTGCCGAGAGAGAGTGGGCAATAGTGAGTACCACTGTATCCAATGGTGAGGAAGCGCTAGCCATTGTGAGTTTGGTGGAGAGAGTCGACTAGAGTCGAGATCCCAAAAATGATTTACTGAGCCTCGGGACGGTCTAGGCCGGTCCAGCGCCTTTTCTGAGCCGATATCGGCAGCCGACGGAGATTCTTATCACATGAACGGAGTTGACGTCATGACTCATCTTGAAAACATTTATTGATTCAACTTTCCGATTAGACTTTGTCTTTTTACCACCATGAGCACCTTGCTCCAGGACGTCTTGCGCTCAAAAACTACAGCAGACTCGAAGCTCATCGAACGAAAGCTGAACAGCCTCAGCTTTTCCTCTATACGAGGCGCTAATAATAATCCACCGTCACAAAATAATAATAGTGACGACTCAGACGATGAGCTAGTGAATGTGGTGAGTTTTTTCTCTTAATACAGGGTTGTGCTCAAAATCAATGACTCATAGGTATCTGTGCCTGGTACACCATCTCGAACTAGACCTCCATCACCCACTCGAGGCGGAGCTGCTTCTCGACCTCTCAGACGACCTCTGCATATATCATCATCCCCAGCGCCCAAGACGGATCCGCTTAAAGCTCTGCCAACAGAAATTTCACAGAAGATCTTCACCAAATTACCCGTAAAGGATCTCGCTAAATGCGCTCTAGTTTCGAAGAAATGGCATAGAAGTCAGACTATAAATTACGGTATGCTGGCAAACTTTTGACAGGCGCACGTTTTTAATTATTTCTTTTCTTGATCTAGTTTGGTTCCAACATTATCGCAAAGAAAATTTCCACGATGAAAGTCTACCGCCAGGAAAATGGACGAAAAGAGAGTCTAAACAAAATTGGGTAAGTTTTCGTGTACATTTCTATCTGATCCTTACTGATATGCGCACCCAAAACAGCGCACAACTTACCTCAAATCAACCTCCGAGCGTTCTCCCACCAATGGCTCTTTTTCATCTCGAGGGGGCTCAGGGTATTCTACACCTTCATCCAACTTCGCATCGGGGTATCAAACTCCTCGTGAGATTAAAGAGGAGAAATGGAAACTCGAGAATGAAGCTACTGCTTCGCCAGGAAAGGTTGAGATGCGTGCGATCTATAAGGAAATGGGAGGAAGGAAGGCCAGAGGGAAAGCGAAGATGGGCAGTGCCGGCGCGAGGACCGTGAGGGACAAGGGAGGTTGGGTCGAAGATGACGGGTGGTAAAGACCTCATCAACTGTGGATGAAACCAGGAAATCTATATGTGTAAGTTATACACTATCTCTTGGATACAGATCGGAGTTGCATGTATGAATAGATAATCGGGGCCAAGTGTACACGGATTTTAAGCCCTAGCGTTGTATGTATCATCCACAATATGGATAATTTTATTGATCTTTAAGGACATGCTTTGAGATGAGTATCTCCGAGTTTTCGCTGTCGTATGTCGCAGATTTTCGCAAGCCTTGTTGCAAAACAGATTATTTGAATGCGCTCAAACTCCCTATAGTCGGAGGACTCCGCCTGCACACTCGACTACACTGCCAGAAAAAATCGATCATGATGAGTTGAACTGCTAGCGGCGCTTGCTACTGAAGGATGTTGTTGCCATTGTACCATACCTAAACTTCGTGGGACATAACTGTAACTGCTCCTCATTGTGCACAATACATACACGTTTCCACAATCGCCTGTACTACAACTTAGCCTATAACCATAGGATCTCCGTGGGTTCCCGTCCCCACATCCATCTCATCAAGTACAAAATTGCCTTCAAAATCCCCGATGTAGCACCCCAACTCGTTATCCCAAACATCTTCAATACTAGCCTCGTCCTCGTTTTCTTCAACGGCCTTATCGTCTTTGGGTTCAGCATTATCACTCTGAGCTAACAAAAACTCTCTCTGGAGCTTCTTGAGCGTATTGTAGGCACGAATATTCGCGAATGGAACACCGGTGCGTGGGTCGAGGTACTTTGCGGGTAAGCCCGTGATTGGACAAGTGGGTATGTAGCGCGCTGCGAGAATAGATTGAAGGGGAAAGGGGGGGAAAGAAACACAGCGATCAGTCGATAGCACGAATAAAAGTGGAAGCGATTGGATACTCACTCAAAGGTCGATTTTTTACGGTATAAACCTTCATCCCTCCCCACTTGACATGATTCCCAAACATCGCTTCCATCGTTTCTTCCCAACTCGGCTTTGAGTTATCTTCTTCGTCTTGATTTAATTCATGAACGAGATAGCTTTTAGCGACTTTTACGGTTTTGTATTTCTTGATTTCTGGTTCCGGTATTGGTCCTGATCCGGGCGCAGTTGGTGGCGTTGACGTTGGAGGAAGTTGGAAACCCAATGGTGCTGAAAACTGTGTGGATTGCGGATATTGTGAGCTCCGTGCTGCTGTACTTGGAGGATTGGTTGTCATCGATGCGGGTATGGTAGCAGCGGTAGTTGGTGAGAGCGTGTATTGAAGGGGGTATGAGGACGAATTTGATGTCGCCGGTGGCCAATTCGATGGAGTTGAGTTTGGAATCAGAGTAGATGAAGCGGAGGCTGTCGGAGGTACAGTTATCGAAGTCGAGTTTGGTGGAACCGTTGAGGTAGACGAATTTGCCACAGATGCAGGCAAGAATGACTGAGGCGTATATCCTGGCTCTCGTCCGGATGAAAGTGTAGAAGGTAAGTTAGAAAGACATGGATCGTCCGCATACCCAGGTGTTGCATTGGCTGTATGTCCCTCTTTCTCCTTCTCTTTCTCCTGAACGATCTCGATCTTGCACTCTTCAGCCTTACTTACCCACCTCAACAATGGTCCAGTAACAGTAACCTGATCCCGTTTGTTCCTCGTCCGTCGTTTCTCTTCCTCAAGCATCAAGTAATCCCTATGATCCACTAGATTTCCTTCCTCAGTATCCAGTGCACGCGCAAGTAGTTCAGCCTGTGTCGGTCTTTTATTACTCCTACTACGTTTGCGCGAAGGCTGGAGAGCCTTTTGTTGTTCCGATTTGAGATAACGTGTGACAGTGTCGGTGGTATTTTTGATAGTTGTTTGCCGTTTGCTAGACCGTTTCCTCCTTTGAACCGCTGTTCCATCACCGCCGTCTTCAACATTGGCTTCACTGTTACGATCGTCCTGGTCCTGGTCATTCTCCGCAATTACTTCACCCGTCTGGGCATTTATTGTGAATCCGAGGGAAACGCGACGCTTGCGTTTAGGTTTGGTTTTGGACGTAGATGCAAGAGTAGAGGTGGAAGCGCCTTCAGTCGCCGTAGGATCGAAGGTGACTTTTTGACGGGCGTGAGCAGCAGCTGTGGCTCGTTCAAGCCGAGATCGTGCAACCTTGGGAGATGGTATGAAGGCTCAGAAGTATCACAAAACTTTCACAATAAATACCTTTCTAGCCTGTTTTTCCTCATTTTCGACAGGTTCATGTTCTGCAGCCGCAGGTTCCTCTTCGTCTGTGCTTTCGAAATCTGATTCGAATACATCTTCTTCATCTATATATTTCGTAGGATCAGAAACAGAAGATTCACTAGGTGGATTTGGTACACACACGTTTCTACGATAAAGTCTTTGTCTTCTTCAGCGTCTTCTTTGGATAGATCCTCGACTGCAATTTCGGCTAACGCTGCTTGCATTCTGAATCATGGTGAACATTTACTACTTTCATACTAAGCACCATTCTCACCGATTTCCGGCTGTGCTCCGCCGGGATCTGCGGCTGACGAGTGTATCTTCTTCCATTTCGCGATGAAGCGGGTAGATAGTGACGGTGGGAGAAAGAGCTTTATCGGTGATCAAAGCTGTTTCTACCAACAATAATAAATTGCAATTTCAAAGTTCTTACATGATTTTCATGCAGGTCCATTTGTATGTAGCCGAACAGTATCCTATGCTTCACAGATGATTTTCTGATACGCCGTCTTTTGCGGCTCAATGTGTCATAGACGAACAGGATGGCCGTTCGTACTGCGAGCATGACACTCTTGAGACTCGAGGCGCGGCTTTTTTAATAAAAGGGCTGTTTAAGCCGGGTTTAAGCGTCCACCCAGTTTGAGTTGAAGTCTGGTATTCACGCTGCGAAAGGCAAGCCAGACTAGTTTGCCTGTTAGACAAGTTAGAGAAATTAGTGTAATATTTCAAGGTAATATCGCAGCCGCTCCAGTCTTCGTTCGTAAGTTCTCCAGTACCTCTGCAGACAATTCAGCCACATGAACCTCCGCTGCTTTCTTCTTTTCTTTTTCTTTCGCCTTCGCTTTCTCCTTCTTCTCTTTCTCTGCCTTCTCCTGTGCCAACGCTCTCGCCTGCGCCGAATCACGCCATTCTTTCAGGTTCATGAACGTTGCAGCGCCTCTATCTGGAGGAGCATACGCAGTAGCTTTCTCTTCTCCTGGCAACAGAGGAAGACCTCGTTCGGACCTGGTACGTTTCCATTTCGTCCATGGATCACCGCCGGAGATGTCGAGCAGTTCTTGGAGAATTGTTGTTGACCATTTGTCGTGCATATTGATAGTCTTTATAGACCCATTATCTTTGGGAAGGGGAGTAAATCAGAAGTTGTTATTCGTAGTAGGCATCATACGGACGCACCAAGCTGTAACTCCATTTCTGGTCTCCAATGTTCCTCCTTTGTCTTCAGGACTCGGTCAACCTCAACTTTTAAATTTGGATTTGCGTATTTTATCCGTGGTAGTTCTTCTTTCACGAAATGTCTACATAATATCGCGTCAGACGACGTCGTTCTGTGAATAAGTGTTACAGACTAACCGAGCTCCAAAGTGGTCATTTCTAAAAGCATAAGACAGTTTTAATGACCGGACACCAAATAAAGATAATTTTGGCTCGGATTTGAGGAGTTCAAGAACCTTGGATAGATGTGACGGGCCTACGGGAACTTTGCCCATGGGTGGAAGGAAGGAGATTTACCGCCCATTAGAGGCGCTTATTTTGTCAAACGTTCTTAGGCTTATTATAATTCTTTTCCTTTCTACTTTTGCAGAGTCCATCCCCATCCAAGAACAGGAGATGTCTGATGAGATACGCCGCCCTCCATTTCTCCTATTGTATAAATGTATCAAGGCCGGTACAGCCCTGAGGATTTTTACCGTATCCAACTGGCTTCTGTCTTCAATTTACACGTTCACCCTGAGGAGGAAAAGGCGCGTCGACCAGGACTCGAGGACCTCATCGGGAGCCTTATCGAGCGAACGACATGATAGCTATCTAGGTCACATTCTAGGCCTTAGGCATGCGATCGAACAAATTCTTCCACGTACAGGGAATTATGTCTCCGGATTATTATTTCAAATGCAATCATTCCATCTTACCGTTTTACACCTTACTCTATGAAGCGCTTGCGCACTTATATCCAGAATGGAAGCGGAAAATGCGACCAAACGTCGGAGGAGGGGAGTCAAAACAAAGGAACCATGCAGCGTCGACATCCTCCTAGTGCTGCCCGAAATGAAGCGTTTAAATTCCCGAGTCCTCAGGCCAGTCGCTCCAGTAACGATCTTCAATATGGTCGAAATCCCATTGAGCCCAATACTCGGCCGACTCTTTATCTCGCAGCCACCAGCTCTAAGACAATTCCCAATCAGCGTTCACTGCATGTCAGCAACAATGCTGATCCGATTGTGACACCAAAATCACCTACAATCGTACGGAATAACGTCGCGTCCTCCCCCAAAGCTTCTGTCTCTGTTCGAACACTGAATGGCAGAATTCGCAAACCCGCACCAGTATACAGCAGTGGTAGTCTCAGCCCAGGTGGTTCAGTGATAAACTCTTCTCCTCGACCGGCACGCACTACCCCCATTGCTTCCAGTACTTCGGGAGTATCCACAATATCAGATGCACTGGATATTTCTCCAGGTGCTTCACTGCTTCCCTCAGCTCCCCTCCGCCACAGTAGATCTAAATCCGTGCGAATTCTCGTACCGGACGATGCAGTCTTTGGCACCTTCTCCAGGTCCATCTCGTCCCCGGACTATCGCAGGGCATCCGGCAGGTCAGGTTTTGGTAGTAGCTTTGTGAATTCGAGGCAGCTGTCAAGCTCTTCCACTCCACTACCTTCTCCGCTAGAGGCAGTTTTGGAGTACGCAGACGATAGTGGCGTTGGGCTTGGTCCCGACCAGGGCCGCGAACATGATTTTGAGCAGACAGAGAATTTGTTATCGTCGTCCTTCTCAGATTCGGAAGCAGAAGAAGCCGATGAGGGAAAGGACGGAGGCGGTGGGGACGGCACCGATACTGACGACGACCTTGATGGAAACCTCCGGGTGAGTGGCTTCTTACTTGCCAACGGGTTGTGTCCCAAAATAATAACTGATCTTTGGTTTGCATTTTGTTTTCAGACTTCCTTCACGGAGACGCAAAGCGTCCGTAATATCACGCACAACAATTGTAACACCAATGGCCTTGACATGCCGCACAACTTGCCTGCATCTGGTGTCGGCGTTGCCCCCATAAGTTCTCATTCTCATTCCGTGTCCTGGGTATCGAATGTCTTGAACAACCGCGAATCTTGGGCTCCCTCAGACCACCGCTCAAGGAATGATTCTCCTCTGACCCAGAGCTTTGTTGACCCTAGAACTAACCCCAGAAATCAAGAGGATATGTACACGACGGACCAAATCGCGAGCTCTGGTGGAGGAGGAAATTATTTGTATATCCAAAATTCAACTTCCGGCTCTCCAAGTGGTACTCTTGGAGAGCTTACTCCTGAAACAAGGCCCAGAACACCCGAAAGTCATCGTCATTCCCATCCTATCTATCAACCATCTACCCACATTCGAACATCATCCTCTACTTCCCGAAACATTTCGTCGAGACTTTGTCACAATTATACACCTCTTCTCCCGGGAATGAGTTCTGTCGTTGCCCTTGAAAAGACTGAATATCTCATCATCTTAGAGTCGTTCTTGGAAGGACCGTCAGAACTCAAGCATAGGCATTCTTCTCCGGGTAACGTCCGTGTACGGATAGTCGGAGGTCGTTCTACGTGGCGGGAATATCTCCATCCTGGCGCATATGCGGTGATGTTTATTGAAGACCAGGAGTGTCTAGTGAATATTGTCAAAGAACTTGGAGTGGAGGATCACCATCGAACCGAGACTATACCTCGGAACACTTTGGCTAAGCCGCCGAATCCTGCGTCAGATACGAGTGATTCCAATGTAGCGATTAACCATAACGCTAACCCGCACTACATGTCCTGGCGCCCTGGAATGCATATTACTGTCACTCTCGCAGGAGTTCCATTTCTTGTCGTTCAAGTCAAGCGTTTAAGGCTTTTGAAGAACACAAAAGACGCCGTTGCAGGTGAAACCACTCCCGCAGCTGAGTATAATTATCCAATGGCACAAATCGCTGGCATCAGCGAACAGTGGTGGGCCTTACCTGAAAATGGGAGCCATGTCGTTTTGATTCTTGGTATTGAGAAACGGAGGCGGGAATATCTGGTGCGTGTGATCCGCAGGCTGACGACTACAAGTTTGGCACTGGTGGTGCCTACAAGTTTGAATGACGGAACTCAAGCTGAAAGGGCTTCGGAGTCTCCTGGGTCTGATTCCACATTCAAAGTGATGTTCAAGGAGAATCATCATACCCATGTATTGAGTGAGGATTCACAGGAGCCCCAGTCTCACAGCCCTGGTCAACTTCCCCCTTCGACTTCTTTCAGCTCGCCGTCGCTTCCCTCTTCCCTATCGTCGCAGCTTCCTATGCTTCCTCCCAGTGCGGCTACCTCTCCAATGTCGGACGTCCTCGTTCTTGCAAAGGGATATCGATATCTGACTGGCTCTACTAACGGGAGTGGAAGTCTCCGTTTTGAGCTACTGCTAGAAGACAGAACCAACGATTTATACGCATCCTACATGTTACCGAGTGCCGATATCGCGGACGGGAGGCGTCAGTCTCTGACGTGGTTTGTATCTGGAGGACAAAGTCGTCATGACGCATCGTGGGTGTTCAAGAAGGATGGGAAAACCCTTCGTAATACCGATGGACGGTCGTCTCAAGGTAATCGTAGTGTGGGTACGGGTGCTGGCGCCGCAGACCTTCCGCACCATTTCTTGTTCGAAAAACAGGCGCCAAACGACGCATGGGTGTTCAAACCAGCGCTTGAGGGCCAGATAGTGTCATCGCATCTTCCCTTCCAGTCTCCTCCTGAAGTCAAAACTCCTCCAAATCTGGACGAGTTACTGGCCAGCGAAGGGTCCACTTTTCGGAAGAAGATGAGTCCGGCGGTTTTTGTCTCGCGTCTTGTGCTTCGGAAAGATCGTGATATGGTCGTGTTCTATCTATCCCCAGCTTCCAAGGAACAAGTGCGGGAGCTGAGTCGGAGAATTGGGAAGAAACGAGAGGAAGCCCATCTAGAAAGGCAGAAGACGGGCGAACGTCGGTGTGATATACCTGGGACTGAAGGGACAAATACCGATGAAGTGGCGTTGGAGAATATGATGATTGTCAAAGCTGAGGAAAATCACCCGCGGTCTGCCGAGCAGCAAGTACCAGAAATTCCAGAGACCCCAATTGCTAATGATCAATCACAGCAAGAAGCTGCTCTTCGAGTCCTTCACTATGGGCGTCAAGGTGAACTGATCTTCGTTCCTTGGGATTCTACCAGGCTTCGGACGACGAGTTTGCTGGTGGAATCTGAAGTGGCGATTCCTCAATTATCCTCTGCTATCGAGGATTCGCCACTGAGCATACCGTCCAGTGAATATCTTGTGTATGGCAAAGTCGATTCGCCGAGTGCTGTCGAATTGAGGCAGTACATCTTCTACCCAATTGACCACGACGACATCAAGAAAGACATCAAGAAAGACTCGACCTCATTACCTGACCGAAGCTCACTGCTTCGGAAATTTACTTTCAGGACTCACCAAGAAGACGATGCCTGGATATTTGTCTCCCTTGATGGGCATGGACACGTTGACAGGCCTTCCTCAATGGTGCCACCTCATGAAACCACTGGGACTCAGTCTGTTGCAGGTGTCTTGTTCCGTGCCTCCATAGACGGTGCAGGAAAAATTACTCTTCATCAAATGCCGATCAAGAGCTCGCTCACCCGACCCACACTCCATCGCTCCAACAGTGCCAGCCCACAGCTTTCGACTGTGCTACATTCTGCAAGAGACAGTATCGGGTCAGTCCAATCGGAAAGTAATATCCTTACCAAACGAAAACACAGGCGTCGTCCAGTGAGTTTCAACATCCTTACGACAAAGAAGTAACGGCGTTGATTGAACATCTTTATTTGATTAGCTTTCCGAGCAATTGTCAGGGACGGGTCTCAAGCTTTCGACTCTTGGTCATAACATTAGAGGTTCGCTCAAGTCGTTGATTACTGAAAGTCGGCCGACATTAGCAGTTCACTCGAAAAGTGACTTACGAAGTAAAAAAAATCTTTCGGCCGCGTTATGATTCTACCTATCTCTTGATCTCCCACGTTGTTCAACATATATATCAGCGTGGATTATACCTTGCTTGAATGTACCTGGACCGTAGATAATGTGGCGTGGCGAGTGGGTACAAGGAGGCCTATATGTGTGTAACTTTTAAAACAAAACAGGTTCAAAGTATAAATTCACATCTTGAGTCGAGGGCGTGGCAAGGGTGCAATCTCTTGAAGTATCACCGCCATGGAATTCTTGGACCCAAATGATCCTGACTCTACCATTCCAACCTACAGATGTGTATCGTGACCGCGGTGACCACTAGCCCCGAGACATCAAAAACCGTCCATTTTCGCCCTTCTAAACAGGACACTGCGGGGAACCAGAAAAGAGAATTTGTGGACGTCTTGCAGACACATTTGACTACTTCTTTTGCAGACGTTAGGCTTGCTTCTTCCGAGTCCATCCTCCTTTATGATACTAAACGGCGGGGCTAAGCGTGAGTTTCTTCTTCTCGTTGACTTCTCATGGCATTCAACGATCAATCAACGCTTAGTACAGGACTCTACCCTGCTTCGCTCGCGAAACTCCCCGTTCTTGGCTGTTGTTCACACTCAATTGCTGAACCCGGAGGATTCCAGCGTTTATCGTCTCCTTTCCGCTTTTGAGCCCGCCAAACTCTCCCCACTTGCTTTGCACCATAGTTCCCAAGACAACAACATGAATAGGGAGTCTCTTGTTGGCCAGCTTGAAGAGAAAACAGGAGTGCTTGACAAGACAAATCAAGGGCACTACAAGGCAAACGCGAAGCTTAGCGGAAAGAATACTGAAATAACCGAGCAGAACCAACGGCTTGAGGACAAGCTAAGGGAAGTCGATGACATTGTCAACGAACTTATAAACTCGCGGGTGGAAGATAAAAAAGAGAGGATGAGGCTCGAGATCGATTCGTTATGCGATGCTCAAGAAGCAATATCAAGAAGGATAATTCAGGTGTGTTTTCTCTTATCATTACGGCCTTGGCCCTGGGCGAGTTGATCACTCTACTTATTCCAGCAAGATCCTCTTTGCAAGCATTGGATCAGAATCTGACACCTCCTGAATGTGGTTCAAGACCGACTTGCTGAGCTCCTGCAGCTCGCCCCCATCGGTCACAAGAAGGACAGAATGTTTGCCTTTGCCGGGCGCTCTTGGACTCGGGGCAAAACAATATCTGAGGTCACGGATTCTCTGCGCGCGCGCCCGAGCCCTCCAGCCCATCATCTTGTCGGATTTGGCATTGACTCTGCTGACGGAACATCCCTCCCTTTACCGAGCAGTGATGGACCGGTACACCCATCCTGAAGTCCGAAATAGTAAACTAATGCGCGATGCCAGGCAATGCCATCAACACTGTTGCCAAAGATGATGATAAATCCACTCTGCTTCTAATGCTTGAATTAATGTCGAATTAGTTCTGTACTTGGAGTCAAGTAGAAATACCGAATGACATCGCAATGTTCACTAGAAATGAAATGTATTGTATGCTTGTGTCCTCTTGTGTCCCGCTAAAATAATCTGCGGGGAGTCATCCAACGCGTTGTCTAGCCACGTGCAGCGATTTGTTCCGACCAAATAATCAGCACGCGTTCCCGATTCGTATCGTTTCGCCTAAGCACTTGCCACGTACAATTTGCCAAGTTTCCTCCTGGTCATTTTTTCCTCTATCCAGATGTCTGCGGCAGCGCGTGCAGAGGCTAGACGGAAGGCCATCTTAAGCCGTGGCTCTGACCGTCTCTCAAAATTAGCAACGTCCGCCCGAGGAGATTCGCCGGTTTATGTGCATGATGGTAAGTAAGAAATATAATTTGTCAACCCCCAAGAACTGTTCACTCAAGCACAGGATGAATCTCAGATCCTCCACTTCCTAGTATCTCCCGTACCAGTAATTTTGTCGGCGATGAAACTCCCACTATTCCTACTCCAGCAGGAAATTCTGCAAGTCGACCGACTGCTTCTTCTTCTATACACTCGGATACCTCTCCACTAGCTGGCCCTGATCCATCCGTATGGTCCAACCAGCAGCAGCAGCAACTCATGCAGGCTCTCTTGGGAGGCATGGGTGGTATGGCCGGAATGCCTGGAATGCCCGGCCTTACAGGCATGGGAGGTGTCAACCCTGGTCAGCAAGCGATAGGCTCGAGCGCCATAGATCCAGCTTTTGCCGAGAATCCACTTGCAGCCATGCTCATGGGTGCTCAAGCTGGTCAAAACGGCGGAGCTCCACCATTCATGCCTCCTGGCATGGGCTTTGGAAAAGCTCCTGACAAGCACGGAAACGGAGCCCAAGTAAAATCATCACCTTCGCTTATGCAGAAGCTGTTACCGCTGGTGCATCTAGTTGCGCTGTGGACTCTTCTGGCATATTTTGTGATATATATTGAGCCACGCACGCAAAGCGTGTTCGCAGATGTCAGTGAGGTGACAAGTTGGTCAGGAATAATAACGAAGTGGGCGGAATTGGCGAAAAGAAGACCTCAGGCAGAGATGATACAGGGTTGGAGTGTCGCTGCTGTGGTACGTTTCTCTCTAAATTTGAGGGTCGCGCATTGGCTTATATTGTTATATAGCCTTTCTTCTGGGCATTCATCACGCTCGAAATCGCGCTATATTCGATAAGGATATTCTACGGCTTCGTCAGTCTCTTCAAATTTCTCTTTTGGCGTTATTAGACCTGATGAATTATGCATTTGTCTTTCAGGATGCCGTCCAACCACCAATGCTTCTTGCGATGGCCCTTCCGCATCTCCCTCCTCCTTTCCCTTCCATCATCATTAATGGAATGAAGTATTTACAACTAGGGTCAATATTGCTTGATGACTTAGCCATTTTGACAGTAGGCATTGGCTTTTTCATTTGGATTGCTGGGCTTTTGAGGTCGTAGGCGCTGGAAATGTATGTCCATATTGCTTGTTATGTCAAGTCTGTTGTTCTTCGGGCTCGAAGATAAAATGAACAACATCCTGTTGAGCTAAATAGGTGTCTCCACCCGCGTAGTGAAGACCGAAGTGTGGAGATGAATGCCTCACCTACGAACTGGATTCGTTACTCTCATGATCCGCCGTGCATATATACCTACCTTATTTCTCCCGCTTCGATGTGTTCCCATGTTGGCCTTGGGAAGCACCACAGGCCAATCTCTTACCACCTTGTTGCCACTGTTGACAATTTTCTGTCCTCTTTATGTATTGGGTTCCCCTGCGAACTCATCGTATACTATTTCGAAATCTCAAACTTTCGAACTCAACTGTTGGGATGGATGATACTCACGAAGTCAACCAATGGATCGGCCTTCCGAGCCGCCACTAATGACCATCGATATCTTGCCTTTTTCCTTTCCTCGTTGTGTCTTCTGTCAAAAACATTTCACTTAGACTCCTCGGAGGAATGCTGCTAACCTTTTTCAAACTGGTCTCAACATGATTATCAATGATAGCGGAGTTGGTATGGAATCACATCGCAATGATTGTTAGCGTAAGTACACTCGAATTTAAACTCATCATCATGATATTTAGGTTCACTTCTTGCTCGGATTTAGGCAATGAAACCAACCCATGTTCCTCCATTTCATGCAACCTAAAACCCTATCATAGAGATGGCGCGGAAGAAGACAGCGACGCGTTGGCAATCTCGTTTGGAATGGACTCGCCAATTTGTTCATGAGTAGTCAGTGCCTTCCTCCAAGTTTATAAATACAGGGCACGCAGTTTTATTGCACCTCGGAATTTCCACTACCTCAATTTTGAAGAATCCCACCAGCGAATATCTCTCACAGAATGCCTTCCTCCTCATCTTCACCCCCACAATCTAGTGATAAAGGCATAAGTTCGGGCACCAGTCTTCATCCACTAGACCAAATATCCGGGAATGCCTCACCTACCATCAAGCAGACCTTTCACAACCCAGTCATGATTTTTGCTACGCTAGACCATGAAGGAAAATATCGTGTTTTGGGATTTGCGATGGAGACCATTTTCCAGAGGGTGCTCGTCACTACTATTAGTTGCTCGAACCCTCATGGCGGCCAGGGCGACTTATTGCAGTCGAAATCGAATATGGATGCTCAACCTTCATGCGACGGAGATTTGAATGAAGGACATCCACAGAGTATCATACTTGTGTGTGAGGTGGATGTTTATCCCGGTGAGTTCCTCTACAGCATCTCTTGCCGTTTGTGGTTCAATCTTCATAACTGCTACTGGCTACCACTCATAGATATGGCAAACAATTATCATATCTTGCATGGGGGATGTACTGCCTTCCTCATTGACATGTCAGTGTTTTATTTGAGTACTATCTAAATCAACATCGGTTTGCGGCTCAAAACATGAACTCCTTACTCGGCTATATAGGTGCTCATCGCTTACTGTCGTCGCGCTCACCATGACCATGAACTCGAAGCCAACCGAAGTTGCCAGCTTCCCGCCCGAATTCAATTGGCTTACGCAGACGCTCAATGTTGTTTATCATTCGCCCTCACCAGTGTAAGTTTTCATCGTATCCTCTCAGTGTGCATGGTATTAGATTCGTGGTGGGATTATTCTAGTGGCGACAAACTACGAATTGTCTGCACTACGATGCCATTGAGGGAGTTGAGCTCAAACGTGTGTGTCCGATCCGAGGTGAACTCCATCTTGATGTACTCCTCGCATTGGTTTCACCTGTTTATTTATGTTATTCTTCTTTTAGATTTGGAGCACCAATCGTCATCGTTTAGTGGCATCTGGTGTACACAACATGATGAAAATGTCGTCGAAGTTGAAGACCAGCATATCGCGTTTATGATTACATTTCCGGCTTCATCATGTTATGTACATGGGGTTAGATACTCTATTACCGACTTCGCCTCCGGTTGTATCATCTTCTATGCGATATGCCTTGAACAGGTTCTGGCCGCTTTCAGATTGCTTCCAACCTAACCCCGTGCATTTGAAAGGGGTGCGGAGTCACTCAGTCGTATGGAGCGTCAGGAGATTTATAAGATGAAGTACAGTACAAGTACTCTACTAGGATGATGTTCGGATACAACCAACAAAGAACCCGGGTTCTGAAGAATATCGAAGATAATAAAATAATCCCACTCGGAAACTTGCGTTCATGCACAATCTCGCCTCGCTCAACAGACAGACAGAAAATTCCTTCCCGAACCCCCCAAATATGAATGATATCAGTTGTGAGAATAGTCGGTCGGTCGGTGAGCATCAGTAGATTTCACATGAGTATAGCGCAGCAGTGGGTAATGGCAATGAACTGTCGAAAGCAGGTGTAAGAGATGTGAAAGGACGAGGAGGAAGAATAGAACGTACGATGAACGAATAGGAATAGAGGAAAATGAGGGCCAGGCCGTGCGCTCATTTAAGCGACGACACAGGAGGAATTGGCACCGGAGCCAGAGTCTTCCTCGTCACGGGGAATTTCGACAACGACATCCTCGACAGCGGCGGAGGTAGTGAAGAAAGTAGCGATGGTGTTGAAAGCGTCCATTTCAGATGAGGGTGATTGAGATTGGGTAGAAGTGTGAAAGGACGGTGTCAGGACTTGGTCGATTGAGGAGTGTAGACTGGGTCTGAGGAAAAATTGAAGAACTGTACCGTCCTTTTATAACCTCCAGCGGTAGGGAAAACTGTTTCGGTTTCGGTAGGCGGGGGCGGCTTTGAAACAATGTTCTCATTGGCAGACGCAGAAAAACTTTATTGTCCATACGGAACTCAACATTAATTTCTGGCCCTCTATTGTTATTTTGCGAAGCGAATCTGGATCACGACACAAGAGGACACAAGGCGCAGGGAAGTACGGAAAGTCGGGGTGGCGATCTTGTTCGATGATTTTTTGGAGGAGCAAAAAAAACAATAAGATGTCACGCCCCGAGACATCGACACAAGATTAAACAAAAAGAATGCTTGATAAGCCATCGGATTGGTTTTTGATGAGTGAATTTGACGAATGCGAGCTGCCGGAGGCTCTGATGGGCCCTATTTCATAGGATGAGTGCTCTGCAAGGATCCGGATCCGGACAAAGCAATTATAGTATCGCTTCCAGATATGGCACCCGGGTATTTCCTAGGTATTCTGGATCGATGAGCCAGGGCAGACTTGTACAAAGGTAAAAGGTTAACTCGAGTACCTGTTTGGTTCCTGCCGACATGGGAACCTGGCCCGCCCAGGTGTGGATGTTTCACTATAATGACGCCAGTGCGAAGGATCGAGGAAACCCTCTCGAGATGGCAAGGTCAATTAATTCCGAGACTTACAATCTGTAAAATCCTAACCTGAGCAGTGGTCTAGTAAAATGACAATAAGTATCCAATCCACCAGGAGCCTCTTAGCACGTAGGCGAAAACTTGTATAAAAATGGTAAGCCTCGAGGCAGGTCACATTCGTACAGCTCGAAGCTCCGTGAGGAATAAAAAATAAGGTTCTTTGTTCTTTGACGCATACCGGGACAGTAAACGGCACCATATCTAGCACCAATAGGGTGATATCATTGGAAATCCGTGGACTGCCAGCAAGATATGCAAAATGCGAACGGTGCTCTGAGAGCCTGAGTAATCACTTGGAAAACTTCTTTGGTGCGTGCGTACACAGGTTGGTCAAATTAACGTTGATTTATCAAGATGGCAGCTTCGGTGGTTGAGGGTGGTCGGGGATGGTGGATAACAAAGAACCAACGGTGATTGATTTATGATTGACTGCACATGGCGCAAAAGGCTGAAAAATTAGTATTCCTGTCATACACTTGGAGGCTTTGGGAAATTTAGATTGTGGCTTGGAATATTACTCGATACCAGCTTGATTCTTGAAGTTCAATGAACGCGATGGGAAATGATGACGTCTAGATTAGCCACGTGGTCGGTCCGACACATCTGGGCGCTAATGAATTCATTTCTCAGTGTTCCCCAACTAACGATGCCGACAGTGTTGACGGCGTCGCATGGGGTGACTTCCATGCCTTCCTCGTCGTTCTCGTCTTCTTCCTCAACACTTTTAATGCTACCTCCTTCCATGTCGCCTTCTCTGTTATCCGGCTCATCTCCGTCCTCCTCATCATCGCCACTCGACCCTTTGTTGACATCGATTCGTCACCTGCTTTCTCGAGCACTGTCTCTACCATGCTCTACGGCGGCACAAGCCTTCATACAGCTCGTACAGCCAACCTTGAGGTTCCAAGTCGCTCTGGACGCGTTGTTGCCTCTGTTAGATGGTGATCTACAGACTTCTTCAGCCACCGCCAACGCCGATACAATCAACCGCTCCAGTAATAACCAGGTTGCTCAAAGAATTCTCGTCTCATTCATCTTGTATTCGCTATATGCGCCTCACCCAATATCAATCAACCCATTCAGATCAGCGCTATTGATGACGTTCGTAAATGAGCGAGAAAGGGCAATTCGCGCAGCCAACGTCCATGCAGAGACGAATATTGTAACTCGAGTGACAGGAAACCCGTCTAGCGAACAGCTCGTCTGGGTCCTCTGGAAGATTTTACGTGGAGACGGGAACGATATTGGGCCGTATACCCCATCAACCCTTGCTCGCTCCCCATTGCCACCAAAGCTGGCAGCCATTAATTTGATTTTGGACGAGTCTGATGATAATGACTTGTATGTTAACGTTCTTTATCTCAGCACTTGATTGTTAACAGCACCAGCAGAGATAATTATTATACTGCCGCCCGTAACGCAGGCTCTGGCACATTGTTTAACACAGATTCAACCACAAATACCTCTCGTGCAACTACATTCGTTACTCCTTCAGAAGACCTCGAAAATGCTGTGATAAGTCGCGGTTTGACTCTTCTACTCGCCGCTCGTGAACGAGTGCTGTCTCTCTCCGAACGACGGACACTTGAACCAATCTTTCCTGCGCTCGCTGCATCCGATATTATTACGCCTCGCGATCTATCCTCCATCGTGACATTCAACCCGGATGTTGCTTATCCCTTGTTTGTGGAACTATTGACCACGTCTGTTTCTTCTCCCTCTACCTTCATTGATCTTCTCGACATCCTCCCGTATCTCCCCTCTTCTCTATCCACCTTCGATTTGATGGGAAAACTCCTACGGGATGCTCGCCTCATTCCAATACCGAACGCTATAGCACACTTGCTGATCATAAATGGTCACGATCACGACGAAAATCATACGCCCGAGTCGCGCGTTCCACTAGGAAAGCTTATACGTTATCAGGTCCTCGCCAGGTTCATGCACGAATGTATTGAACGACTGGAGAAGGAAGAAAAAGAGCGAACATCACTCGAAGGATCTGGGGGTAGTAGCGATGGCGATGATACCTGGGGTAGAGGAGTACGGAATCTTTGCAGATTCTACCTCTCCCTTATTAAACTCAACATTGTTCAAAACCCTAACTCCGCAAATTGGGAAAATTATGAGATCGAGTCTTTCTCAGCAGATTCGGTGGAGATGGCACACTTCGCTTTGAGGAACTCCAGGTTCGAGGAAGCGAGAATGCTTTACGGTGTGCTGGCGACCGGAGGGTTTGATATGTAGGCATATCAGGGAGTTACCTCTAATTATCACACGACGTGGGTTTCTGTGAACTATCTCTTCTGTTGTATTAGGACGACTAACTGATCACTTATGCATCAACTATTTATTCTCATGCGGCCCAGCGTTTTCCCTGTAATACGAATAACCACAACGCCTCCACGTTTACAGTAGTATATTCTTTTTATCCTACCATTACATTTACTCACCTCATGCTGCTTTCAATTCTCTTTGCTCCGTTACTTACATATGTGTCCGTACTCAAGCTCTATGCCGTGCATGATTTTTATGTTTTATTGACTGATAGACAAATTCAAAATATGCAGGTTCTAGTCAACGATTCTTCGAAGGTTGTTTATGTATGTATGTATGTACAGGAATTTAGTTTCCCAAATCAAGCTCTTGGCAATATTGAGTAGGTATGTACGAGAAGAGCAAGGAGTTTTTTTTCCTTACTAAACGAGCATCCTAGTACCTACCTCCATTCCAACGTCCTCTTCGCTTCTTGGTCATGTTAGCCTGCACAGCATGACATACGAAGCAGTATCTGGAACCAAGCGGCGGAAATGAGCCTCGAGAGAGTTTTCGTTTACATCCGTTACATTCTTTATCTTGTGGGTACCCCTGCACGAGGATCTCCAAGGGAAGAAGTGGATGACTTCGATACAGATTGTTCTCGGACGCCTGGGGTTGCATGTCGGACCAGAGAGTGATGTATCGTTCGCTCTGCTCGGAGAGAGACGGTTTGATATAGCCTCGTTGTTGAAAAGCATTGTAAATGAGCCCGATGAGCTCAATGTCGTATGCGGCGTAGGAAAGATGTTTCCCTTGGATGGGACGTCTGAGCCAAGCCTGGTGGTCGACTATAAAGTTCACTCAACAATACTTCAACATAGAATGGGGAAAAAACTTACTTGAACCTTTGGGCGTGGCGTTGAGGACATGGTCCTTCAAGCAAGAAGCCATTCCGCCAAGCATGTGCACCTTATCATACATTGACCTCTCGCGGATGACCTGACTAGGATCAAGGTATCCATGAAGCCTGCGATTCTGAGTTTGTATGCTCTGGCCTCGAGCAGAGCGCGATAAAATATCAGCCAGTTGCAGATCGATGACATTCCGCATACGGACGCCGCACTCGTAGAAAAAGGCACAAAAGTCCATCCGGCCGTCATAAACAATTTTCTGAACTGACTCGCTTTCCACGAGTGCAAAAAAGCGTTTGAGAGATTCGCTACGAGTCAGTGTGACAACGTCGATGAGGAGAGTGGTAGGAGAGGGGGACGGAGGTAGTAGCGCTCGCACAGAGATAATGGAGAGTGTACCACCTTGCTGACCGAGTTTATCACCTTCGCAGTCGAGAGCTAGGACCTGGCAGCCCGAGAACGTCGTGGCCAGCGCTTCATCAAGTAATTCTTCAGTGTCGCACAGAGACCAAGATTTAGAAGGAGGAGTCCCTCCGGTCTGAAGCCTCAGGGACTGCAGATTAGAGGAGAAACTGTACATGTACAACGTTTCGTTATTTTGCTTTGGGGGACGAGTTGGGGTTTTTGCATTCCAGTTTATTGGAGTTGCATTTATGGCAGACACGGAGACAACCACATATGGCCTAGTAAATACATCTCTATACATCTACAGCTTAAAAAAACATGTATTCGAGGGAAGATTCTGGCTTACCTTTTTCACGCATTTTAAATCTTAAGCTAGCATCTATGACTTGTAACCATCAAATTACGTCGAAATTGCGACCCACAGACGTTAAGTATGCTTTTTGGGAGGTGACGAGTTTATTTACTGTCAACTTTTGTCAACTCAGCACCTCTCAGCACCCTCGGAAATCAGAACTGAATAGCTAAGAATACTCACCACGAAGATTCGCCTCACCTTGGACAAGTCTAATTCAATAGGGTTCGTTCGGTACATGCCTGATACACGACTGAATGTTCAATGTTGGCAAATAGTGTGAACGCAGGTGAACGCTTGTGAAAGTTATGGTGTGCTTATCTTCCGCAGTAAAAAAAGCTAATTGAACAGGAGGTATGGTGAGATGGCCGAGCGGTCTAAGGCGCCAGACTAAGGAGACCAACGCATTTGATGCGCCGAAATATCTGGTCACATTGTGGCGTGGGTTCGAATCCCACTCTCATCAGTTCTTTTTACATCTTTACTACACTCATCAACTGCGCGGTTGCCTGCCCTGGTCTGGCTCATATATTATTCTGTCGGCATTGATAGGATCTACGTACACATCACCTTGCTTGCAAGGTCTATTCCACTCGGTATTTGACCTCTTGATGTGCAAGCACGTTTTTGCTATGTTTGGTTTCAGGTTATCAGCCAAACCTCTTCATCTTGCTTATAATTGGATAGCAGCGCGCATAGGGTGCGCCGCATTTTTTATCGCAAGCAAGGTGTGCAGTCCCCACAACAGTGGGGCCTATTTATTACTTATGCTATTTAGACTACTTATAGGCTTCAGTGAAATCTAAAAAGCAGGCGGATCCAAAAAGCAAAATTTAGATTAGTCTTCGTCTGAACTCTCCGTTTCATACTCATCTTCGTCCTGTGCCTTGCCTTTTCCTTTTCCTCCAGCCTTTTTTCGATCTCCATTAACCCTAGAGTTCACTATTTCTACAACAAGCTGACCCCCAGACACCGCCTTGATGTTGCCCAAGAGAGTATTCGGTGACCAAGGAATCAGTTGACGGGGATAAGCAGACACGAGAGTGAAGCCCCACCACTCGTTAGTTTTCGGTACACGCGTAGAAAGGAGGGTGTGCAGCGTTTCGAATGAATATGATGACGATGAAGATGAAGATGAGGAGACAGAAGTTGAGACTAGCTCAGTATCCACATACGCATACAAGGTATCCAGGGTATCCTCGTGCATGTCGAACCTCCTCATTAGTCGGCGACCATCGGGCATACGTATTGCAATTCTGATTGTTTCGGTCGCATTAGGTTCGGCAGGTAATACCTTCCTGAACCAGGTTCTCCAACGATCCCGTTCTTCTGTCTGTTCCTGCGCTTCGATGCGTTGTCGCTCACGAAGCTCGTTTTCCATTCTCATCTGATCTTCTTCAGCTTGCTTCCGTTGCAGTTCTACCTTCTCTTCTTCCATCTTTTTCAATATCCTCTCTTTATCCCGTCTCTTGGTCTCTTCAAATGCTCTGTCTTGAGCCTCTCGTAGTTCACGTTCTCTCGTTCGTTCTCTTTCTACTGCCTCTCTCTGCATCCTTGTGCGGTCCAAATAAGGTTTTACCCTGGGTAGCAGTGTTTCTCGTAGATGCGTAGTCAAGGCAGAGGATGTACAAGCAGATGCCCCAAGGTGCCGCGAAAGGACTGTGAGCGCAGGGGTAGATTGACTCGCAGTTGTTGTTGTTGTTGAGCCAGAGGATGACGTGAAATTTCTACTTGGCTGCATTCCTATGAAGGCGACAAACGGATAAGTCGTCGCTCCGAGTTTCAGACCCGCTTCATATGCCTCTTTATCTCGTATATCACCACCCCAACATACTATGTTGTTATCGACTAGAATTTGCACAAGTTCATCGTTAGTAAGCGTCGTGTCCTTGAATTCTGCCGTGGAATCATGTTCTGCTGAAACGAGGATTATGCACCCAATTCGGAATGAGGATTGGCATAAACGAAGGATGGAATCGTATGTTCCAAGCTGGAACGGTGGAAGCAATTTACTTGAACCCGAGCCAGTAGCTGAGGTGTGTCGGGAAGTCAGTGTAGACGGACCAGCTTCGGCTGATGTATTCACTTGTACACCTGTCGCGTCTACATTGTCCGCGGAACCAGCACAAATAGCACCGGTTTCTTCTTCTAGCTCACGTATCCATCGTTCTATTCCTCCGCCGGCACGTCGTACAGTTGTACGACCAGGAGTTCTCCGGTAAAAGTTGAGTGATAGGAATGGGATATATGGAAGAGGAATACGCAATAAGTTGAAAATGAAGCGTACGAGTGAAGAGATGAGGTGTAGGGGGTAGGTTATCAAGCTCAAGATAGAAATAGGTTGACGAGGCTAAGCGAGAAGTATTCTTCAGCAATCAACCATAAAACATACGTACTATGAATCAATGCATAACTCACTGGTTCTCTCGGTCTCAACAAGCCCTGTTCAGAGTCGTCCACGTCAAATTCCTCGTAACGTCTTCCCTGTGAGTCTTCTAGGTTAACACGACTACTGATATTGTTTCTGCTTTCCCCTGTTCTGCTACTCTCTGCTCCTGTTTGACCGTCAAAGATCATCTCCGCGGCTCGTTGAACGTCCCAGTCTACACTGCGTAGCACACCCATGGCAACTTCGTCGTCCCCTCCATTTGTCAGGTCGCGTAGTTGGCCCAAGGCACGGGTTTGTGAAGGTGTTAGCGATGTGAGGTCTGCCATTTATAACAAAAGCCCTCCTCCGTCAGTCTTCTGGGGATTAGACTTTTTTTTCGCAATTCGTGAGTCGTGGACTGGTCGTGGATAATTGCAGGATTTCAACTTCTGTGAACGCCAGGTGAGCGCTGTTTTAGCGCGCATTCCGCACGTGCATAGCTTGCTCAGCTCTGCCCTTGATCAAAAGCTTGAAGTTGCACTTCTTGAACCAAGTTCGAGCTTGGACAACCGACCGCATTCTTTGTTCAGTACTGCGCGACGTTGAAACGGCTCTTCTGAACTTCAAAAAATACGCAACAGCGCGCTTACTAGCTGCTTAATTTCTCTGACTCACAAGTCAAGAATACATTTCAGTTTCTGTGACGTGGGCGCAAGTGTAAAAGTAGTGGGTTGACGGCGGGCAGGAGCCCAGAGATCGACTGCTGGCCAGTCCCGTTTACTCTGTTAATCCCCACATTTCATTTTACACTTTAGACAGCTCCACCTTAGGAGGAGGGTGCTATAAATCAATATCCAGCGGTGTTGAGGCTGATGGGTCAGTCCTTGAGGGGACGTTGTCATTCTCAAGTTCGAAGAGAAGCAGAATTCAGAGTGATGGATTTCCAGCATGTACACCCTGTGGTCCTGTACTTAGCCGTAAAGGAATTTCATCATCACCTTCTATACTCTAGCACTGCTCTTTGCCAAGCAACCCGGCATGTACATTGTCTGCAATGCTTTTCAGCTTTCCAAGTATAAATTCATAAATGGAAAGATATCTTCACCGACAAAAACGCGGACCTGGCTTTGATATAATGCATCAGTATGATAGGGCAACAAGAGCGATGGACATACCGATCAATACACTCATTCATGTTCATCCCAGTCTGTAAATGACGGAAGGTAGCCCTCGCGCGAAAGAGAGTTATGGAAGATATATTGATCCGAGAAATGAGCGCTGATTCCTGCTAAATAACATATTCATCATAGTTTGGTTGCGCTCTCGTCCTTGGCTGAGGCTGAGCAGTCTCCTGCACCTCGATCTTCCGTATAATCTTCCACGGAATCAAAACTTGGCCTACAAAGCGTCCAGGGCTTGGTTCGCGGTCGTTCTGCCCCGCCTCTAGGCTCTCTATGCGATATTCCTCTGTATCTGCGAGAAGGATATTCATTGGTTGGTCCGTTCCGATGAAAGATCCGAGAAAAATGCGCCCGTCATTAACGGTGATACGGAGGGTCGAGGTAAGGAGTTGTCGCAGCTCATCGATTGGAGATATTTTGGTGGCGGACGATGCCATAGATTTGGTTCAGAACGAAGTAGGCGTTACATACTGTCACAAGCCAGCGCGTCAGTCACGTAGCTCACGTTCCCATACGTGTCACAACCCGCTCCTCTCCCAGTCTCTCGCCGAACTCGCAAAGCCAATGTCTTGCGCACTCCTATAAATCATCAATTCGAATTTTTACACCGGCATTGGATTACTCTTTTGCTCAATTGAACACCTCCCATCCAACATCATATGAACCCATTTGCCTCTAGTGCAGCTCTCGACATGCAAGGCCAATTCTCTACCCAAGATACCCATATGTACTCCGTTATACTTCCAACATATAATGAAAGGAAGAATTTACCCATAATTGTGTGGCTGCTAGCGAAGATGTTTGCAGACAAGTATGTAGTATAGGTTCTCCTTGCTCAATCCCATGTTAACTTTGAACTCGAATAGTCAGCTTGCATGGGAAATTATCGTCGTAGACGATGCCAGTCCGGATGGTACACAGGAAATTGCGAGGCAACTAGCTACAACATACGGAGAAGATAAAATTGTGAGTCTAATGCCTTCCCTTATAACCATAGATCTTGAACATCCCTCAATAGATTCTGAAACCTCGTGCAGGCAAATTAGGTTTAGGGTAGATGCCTGGATCCTTTACGCTCATCGCAAGGATACGCTTGCTAAATCATCGACCCGCAGGACAGCTTACATTCACGGTCTCAACTTCGTTCGCGGTGATTTCGTCATCATTATGGACGCAGATTTTTCGCATCACGTATGTGTATCCTCCTTTCTATCTATCTATCTCCTGGCAACGTTCTATCCTCACGTTCCCCTGTCATCTTATGCATCACGACAGCCAATTGCTGACGATCCTTACCTATTCTACAATTTTTCATTTGGATAGCCTAAATTCATTCCACAATTTATACAGTAAGTATACGTCTCATGTCTTCGTGTCTTGTATTCTTTCTTATCGTTTTGTCAGACAACAGAAAGCACACAACTTCGACATCGTGACTGGCACGCGATACCGCTCATCTGCGGCACCTTCGTTGGCCAATGCCAAACCTGGCGGTGTGCATGGGTGGGATCTGAAGCGAAAATTGGTCTCACGAGGGGCGAATTTCCTTGCAGCCACGGTGCTGAATCCTGGCGTTAGTGATTTAACCGGGAGCTTCAGGTGAGTATCTCGACGGCGATCACTGACTTTCGTACCCTGAGGATGGATGGATCCTGTTTCTTCTTTTACTTATTGAATCTTTGAAGATTATATAAACGCAGCGTGCTCCAGCATATCATCTCAGTCACCCAATCCAAAGGTTACGTCTTCCAGATGGAGATGATGGTTCGTGCGAAGGCGTTGGGGTACACCGTTGGTGAGGTACCGATCACATTCGTGGATAGGCTTTATGGCGAGAGTAAGTTGGGAGCAGATGAGATCGTGAGTTATGGAAAGGGCGTTTGGGGACTTTTTGTTGGAGTCTAACATGTTTCGATTGTGAGTCTACGCATGACGTTCTGAGTTAAAGTGATGTGTACTATGAACTCAATGATTTTTAGGTTTATAAACTCATATACCAGTGTTATCCCTCTTGAAGAATGGAAGTGATGTCGGTCCTCATTTTGACTTCCACCCAAAGTAAAAATGGGATAACATAGTCGACGCAAGGTCCTTATCATTCAATCTGATACGACAGTTCAATTTTCTTCTATATATATATGCCTCTATCGACCTTTTCTTGGTATTCTGTTCAGTCAACAACACTCATTTAAGCATCTTAGCATCACAATTCTCCAAAAACCTCAGATGCATTCAATTTCCACACGAAGGTGAACAATATCACCTATGTGGACAGGCTTGACATTTTTGCTTCTGGTACGTCTACACCCCAGCTCCTGAATCACCGTTTGAAAGGTTTCCCGTCTGTCGTCCAATTCGAAACATGGGTTCTGCACAATACCGCTACCCTATGCCGATGTCGCTCCGAATTCACATTAGCAAGGAACGAACAACCCGCTCTATAGACAAAACAACGGGAACAAGGGTGATTTGGCTGATCTCCTTTCGAAATGCATATCTTGCTACGTATACGAACCGTCATGTGCGCTATCTTTGACAGTTCCCAATGCTTGTGTACGAATCTTAACTCTGTCAGGACCTGCTGGAATGTCTGAGCATGCTACTAGCAGAGAGCTTTGAGTTTTCCGAAAGTGTATGTACGGTCAAACGTTCCGTTTCCGCCGCACTTTGTTTATCAGGATTCAGAAGAGGGTCCGAACTTTGAAGTCGAGTTTGGGCGTCCAGGTGTATGCAGACTGGAACATATGGCAATGAGTTCATTTCATGCGACTCATATGCAGCCTAATTCCTTCCTAAAGTTGGAATAGCAGCGTTGAAAATGAAAAAGGGGGGGATTCAACGGCTTGGATATATCTATCAGATATCTACTGCATGCTAATATTATACTTAGGACTGTTTACTCAAACTCGGAGTACAAACGCTGCATAATCAATCAATTCAACCAAATCTCACTCAGTATGCATACTTCGCGATAGCATGTCCGCATGATTTCGGATTCGTGTTCAAGATGATATGTACAATCAGTGGAAATCATTTATGATTTATCGATTTCTCAATGAGGTGCGAAAAAAATAGTTGACAAGGAGATGTTAAAAAGTTGAGGTTACCAGCGATGTTGGACGAGGAAGAACGCAAGCTGGATAATGTCGGGACCCGGAGAAAGAGATCGTACGCTTCGATATACTCGAAATTCAGAAGGAACTAGAAAAAGTTCAACTGATTGAATAATCTATTACGTTGTTGTGATGGGGTCCCGCTCAAGCCATATGTTCTTCTCCATCTCCGGACCATTGCCTTCCATCGATTTTCGGCCTGCTCATCCCTCCTCAGCCTTGTCCTTTATCCCGCTGACGGTCAAGGAATTCCGGATGGGCAAAAAAATCCAGTAACAAGCCGCTAGCGTCATACTCGTTTCAGAACGCAATTTGACGGTCTACTATGGAACTCTGTCAAAAGTAAATCGGTTCTTTAAATGCCGATAAGCAGATGAATACGTATACATTAGATCTAGAGCACGCGCTATTGGGGTGCCACGGGGCCTACTTCCCTTCGTGGTTGATTGATCCATCCAGAGTTGAGTTTTTATAAGTACTGAATCCGATGCTAGCTTCGTAGGTTCTCGCCCTTTTCTCGGTACCCTTCTCCAAGCCAAGAAGTGCTCTAGCTTCAAGCCTTGACCGATATGTCCTTTCACGACGAGAAAGCTGGCAGTGAGGATGGTGCTGAGGCTGTCATGCATGAACAGCGTACCGGTTGGAAAGGCACATACTATCACCCTTTAACACAGGTGAATTTTTTATTGATCTTCATCGGTGTCTCTGGTCCGATTGCTTGCAGATTGTCATGCTTGGATTTGTGTGCTTCATGGGTCCTGGTGAGGTCTTGTGCCGAACGATTGCGGTATTCATTTGTTCATCTTCCCGTTCATTTTAAGGGTTGTTCAATGCTGTCAACGGTTTGGGCGGTGGCGGTCAATTGGATCCTACTACGAGCGCAAATGCCAACGTCGCAACATACTCCACGTTTGCTGCTGTGGGCTTCTTCGCCGGGTATGCATCCTTAAAAATAGACATATAGGCATCTATCTCACCTTCCTGTCTTCGCTCAGTTCTATCAATAATAAATTGGGATCTAAAATGACGTTGCAAATCGGAACACTCGGATATTGTCTTTACATTGGTTCCTATCTGTATGATTCGTTTCTGATTGAAATCCACGAACACTTGTCAACTTATTGTTTAGCTCATTGAATATCCACCCACATTCAGGCGCATTTGTGGTCGCAGCTGGCGCTATACTCGGAATTTGTGCGGGTTTGTTATGGGCAGCACAGGGATCTCTCATGCTAGCGTACCCAACTGAGGCTGAGAAGGGAAAATACATTGCTATTTTCTGGGCGATCTTCAACTTGGGAGGTGTTGTTGGTTCAGCAGTTGCTCTTGGTACCAACTTCAATAATACGGTACACTCTTCCAATCGCATACCTTATTCTGTTACTAACATACGGATGTATAGGCAGGAACTGGTGAGTTAAGATAATTCAAGATATTTTCTGCTTCTCAATTTATTGTGTTTGAAAGTGGGAAACAGCACCTATGTACGAGTCCATTTCTCTTGACGTCTCCGAACCGATCACTGACTGTCTTGTAGATTGCTTTCATCGTATTGACTGCTATAGGTATCTGTATCCCGATGCTTATGGCTGACCCTAAGAAGGTCATTCGTTCGGACGGCGCCAAGGTCATCATACCTCTTCACCCTTCATGGAAGACACAGTTTCTAGGTCTTTGGGTCACTTTAAAGACAGATCCTATGATTCTCCTTCTCTTCCCGATGTTCTTCACATCCAACTGGTTTTACACATGGCGTGAGTTCCTTCTGTGAATTTGCAAATAAAAAACTGACCTCAACATGGACAGAATGGAATGATTTCAATGCTGCATTATTCGACCTCCGAGGTCGTTCGCTGAACAGTTTCCTGTACTGGACGTCCCAGATCTTTGGTTCTATTGGAATCAGTTTCCTTCTTGATAGCAAGCTTTCACGTCGTGCTCGTGCCTTTAGTGGCTGGGCTGCTCTGATGATATTAATATTCATTACACACATATGGGCGTACTTCTACCAAATGTGCGTCACTATTCCAATTTATTTGACCATCCGTATTCTAACGCTCGACAAAGCCAATATGTCCGTCCCGGTCCAAGCGACATTGATATCCATAACAAACGATTTATCGGAAGGGTTTTTCTCTACATCCTCTTTGGGTTCTTGGACTCGATGTGGCAGACAACCACCTACTGGCTCATGGGTGCCATATCTAACGACGCTGGTAAATTGGCTATCATGGTTGGATTTTGTACGTGGAGTTTCTCGGCATTAAGATGGTTTGATGGTTACTGATATTACCCACGCGACCTCGCCCGCCCCCAATAGATAAATCCCTCCAGTCTGCTGGAGCAGCCGGTGTCTGGCGTGCCGATGCGGTCAAGACTCCGTACGCCAACTCCATTGATGATGCTGTCTTCCTGTACGCTGATGTATGATCCAGGTTCATGAATCTCTTTATTTCAACCTGGGTCCTTCTCGTTTCAGGACTTCTTTTTGCCCTACCTATGATTCATCTTCGGGTTAAGAACCATACTGATCTTGCTGATGAGACTCTGTATGTTTTTTTGTTCTCCTCAGTATCACAGATCCTGACAACCCTGTTTTTAGTGTGCGCATGGACAGCAAAGGCCATATTCGTGATGTTGAGCAGGTAAAGAAAGAAGAACAACTTGCTGCTGCGACTGCTTAACGACGAGATTCGGCTTGACGTTTCTTCTACGAATGAATGTTTCTTTGATACGAACCTTCAAGCTTAATACCTTACATACTTATTGTCTGCCTTTTGTAGCCTAGCACTGTTCAAACTACATATACACTCGATTTCACGGGCTATTTGATGGTGTTATGAACAATGAACAAAGCTAGAACACCGTGATGATCTTTCAGTCTGGCTCCCTTATCAGACCCTATCTTTGACTTTGAAGAAACTCATTTGACAAAAATAATTTTGTATTCGCGTCAAACAAATTGACATGGCATGTCATCTCATGCCATACATGCTATCGAGGATTCGAGGTTGAAGCCTTGTATGTTCTTCATTATGTAACTGTCGGGACGGCAACAATCTAAGAATCTAGGACCACCGTCGCCACTGTGACTTTTAGACCAGCCTTGGCTGCATCGATTTACAAACCGACATTCGGGCTAAATAGTATGTGTATGAATAGTCGTCGAGCATTGTGAGATTCGGAGTCCTGAAGAAGCTGAATGCTATGGGGATTCCCCCGGACTTGTGAAAGCTTTAAGTTTTTGACTTGCGAACTTCTGCAAGATCTTCCAATTTCGGTAAACGGCAGGCAATGGCGCGCTCGGCGCCACACGGCGTTGCAGCGACCGGCTATCACATTTCCAGTAAGGGTTCGCCCAACACGATACGTCGGAGAACTTTCAATGAAGACATATCGTCTTATACAGCTCTTCCCTGCCCTTCTTTCGCCCTTCTTTCTTCCTTCCGCCCTCATGAACAATGTCTAACCTCACACCCTCGTGCGTTCTATTGGACTCATCTTAATGTTGCAGAGAATGCAGAGAACTCAACACCGTTTACAGCTCCCTGCTGGCTGGTTCCTGGGTTAATATGATTCTGTATGGCACAGAAGTCGTCCTGGGTGGTTTCTATCTCCTTAATTCGCGTCCCAATGCTTTCTTTCGGTGGAGTTTGGCCATTTCTCTGTGTATTGACACGGTGTGCACGGGAGTTGTGTGCTATAATGTGTATCTGGTGCGATTTTTAGATATAAAGCCATGCCAGTAAACTTATTTGGATTTTAGTATCTGATTTTGGAACCGGGAGGTAACCTTCGAAGTTTGATTCTAGAAAAGTGCTCAAAATCCAATCAGCTCTAACATCTAACACTCAACCTTGGACACTGCCGGCCACGATCTTATGTACCTACCATGCCGCTCTGGTAGAACAAGTTTTTTTCACTTATCGTTACTGGCGAATGTGCGTATAATGACTTTTTTTTCAAACCTTGACTTACGTGCTATCCCTGTGCCATCCTTTTCAATATCCAGCACGCACAACAAATTCATCACTTTATTGATCTCTACGATAACGGCTTCGCATGTAATGACACCATCTCGCCAAATATCTAGATGATCTTGAAGTAACTAACAATTCTATTTAGGTTGCATTTGCTTGGGTGTTGGGCATTGGATTGATACGAGACCCAGTCGTTTCGCAATCCGGGCTTAATCTTACAATGTGACGCTCGATTGTCATACAGTTTATTTTGTTTGACTGACTATTTTCTCGCGAAATGCTTTTAGTATTGCTGCTACATTATGTGCAGCCACCGACCTTCTTATCGCTGTCATCATGTTCCATACTATGCGAACAATTAAAACGACATATACGGCGACCCAGAGGTGATGATATCTACTTCGTTATTCTATCTTATACGCCACTAACTATGAGTACAGCTTACTCCGACGTATATCGATACAGTCTGTCGCCTGTGGTTCTACCACCTCGGTGTTCACAATCATCATGGTTTCACTGCTTGTGACGCATAACCTTGAGCGTGAGTTTCACCATTCGTGCGAGGGAATACTTTCCTAAACCTTTCCACTACTTTTAGCATTCACTGTGATATTCGATATACTAGGGAGGCTTTACACATTGACTATACTCATAAATTATATCTCCTTGAGGAAGCCAATGGCCCATGCGAGCGCTGCCGCAGGCGGCAGTGAGCAGAGACAATCGAGGTCAAGGTCGCACTCGATTGTCTTTGGGGCAGCACGTAGGCTTTCTCATTTCCATTGTATCCTGCGAAGTAAATTAACTTTCATGTTCAGAGATTGCCCGATCCTTTACTGTTCCAGTGGAATTATCGACCATCGATGAGACGAATTCGATCCAGGATGTGAGTATCGGGCTCTCAGCTGTGTTGTTGTATCTCATTATCGTCGATTCATTTCCCAGCTCCAGATTCTTACCTCTTCGAAAATCGACCCTCATTCGGAAGTAGATTCTTCTGGCTTTTCCCGGCCACAAAAATCTCATCCGAAGTCTTTCATTAGACATACATCTTCAATTGAATACCTCCCTGCAACATAGTTATCTTTGCACCATGGATTTTCTTGGCTATCATGGGACTGTCGAATTACTTTCATGCATTGCACAACACGCATGCGCTGCTTGTGCGGACACACGCTTGTAAAAGGATATAAATATCCCCCTACTTATTAGGGTTTACCGTACATGCGGTACCGAAGGTCGAATTTCGTCGAATTTGACCATCGTGTGGTTTCTCTGAAGTCGATTTTGGGGCGGAAGGGCGAAACCTTATCACACATGGTGGGTGCCTAACCAGGAATATACCTATATGTTCGATGGAACACAAGTGAAAATGGATGGGTATCATAGGGTATCATCGAAACGACTTACGTTTGGACTTGGACTCCATGTCTGCATCTGGAAAGGTGACTTCTCATCCATTTATCACTCGCAGCTAGACAATATACTCCGTCCAGAGACGGGGTCCACCCTGGTCCTCACAGGGAGATAGCGAAAAGGCCCTAACCTGTGAAACAATATTTCTTTCATGGGAGTGAAAATCATTTCATCGAAATACAAAGTATGTATGTGATGGCAACGGAAGATTGACCTGGAAGTTTTCCCCGTATGTTGTATCACTGACCTGGTTGAAAGCAAATGTATGGCTAAAAGCATAAACACGCATGAAGAAGGTTCTAGTTATTTGGTGACGAAGCCTGCTTTCCTGATTCTCTGAATGTCTCCAGGGCCGCCCAAGCGTTGCCGTTTGTAATACTCTCCAGTGCCAACCTCGTACCTTCCTTGTAATCTGCCGCTACGCCTGCGACAACCAACAGTGCAGAAGCATTCATGCAAACGAAGTCCAAGACAGGCTTTAGCCTCGCAGGGATGTCTGTTCCGGAAGTCAGTAGCGTTTTGAAAGTTGCCGCATTTTCCTCTGGTTTTCCACCCGCGACAGATGACAACGGGTGTGAGTTCAGACCAAAGAGGGCTGGTTGCAAAGTCAACTCTGAGATTTTTCCGTCTTTGAGCTCCCAGGCCCAAGTTAGACCCGCACAGCTGATCTCGTCTAACCGTTCCTGACCACATACAACCAGTGCTCGTTCCACGCCTCCATCTCGGAGAGACTGGGCAAAGGGTGCACCAAGCTCTGGCTCAGCGATGCCTAACACCATGCCCTTTGGGCCGGCAGGATTGATCAGGGGACCAAGGATGTTGAACATAGTTCGGAAGGGAAGGGCTTTCCGGTAAGGGGCGAGGAACGCCAATGCTGGGTGATAGTGAGGAGCAAGGATGAATGTGAATGGAACTCGGGGAATCGGCATGGGAATCCCCGGCGATGGTGCAACGAAAAGACAATCCAGTGCTTGTAGAAGGTCAGCTGAGCCTGATGAGGACGTCGACGCTCGACTTCCATGCTGGAAGCAATCTGATCAATCAGGACGGCCCAAAAGAAAGAGATTTACAAACTTTGATCACCCTAGCACCTGCACCAGCAGCTACAACAGCAGCAGCAGTACTGACATTGAATAGATTGTGCCCATCGCCTCCAGTTCCAACGATATCAACTACAAAATCATTCTCCGCGTCCTGTACAACGGCTTTCAGAGATCGTTCTCTGAGGATCGCGGCCGCGGCCGCCAATGATTCTGGACGTCGTTCGACTCGGTGGAGATGTAGAGCAGTCAGAAACGCTCCGATTTGTTCTGCCAAAAGAGTGTTAGGCGTGAAAAGATGGTTTAGAGCAACTCTGAGATCATCAGAGGTGAAGTATTCCGGTGTTTCCACTAGTCTTTTAAGGAGCGGTTTGAACGATTCGGAAGTGTAGTCCCCCATGAGATATTGAAGAAAGAATCAAGGAAGCATTTGCACTGTTTACTTGTGGGAGTTATATGTCGTTCGAGTCAGAAAATCGAAAATCGAAAAATTCGCCATGAATTCTCTTCACATCAAACATCCACAGCTGAGGCCTGACTAGAGCTGGATTTAAGCCTAGTGTAGATTCAATGCAGTATTTGCGTTAAGATGTGCAAGGTACATATAGCAGATTCTTTGTCAAGTGGGCGAGGAGCGCAAGTCTTTCACCGGCAAACGGCAATCATTTTCCCCGCATTTCACTATCCTGACTCTCTATGAAGACTGGGAATTCAACGGTTACTCGGCTTCCTTTTCTTCCTACAAGTTCAAGCTTCACAATCTCAAAACCTCAACGATGGCAAAAGGAAGACGAACATTCTTAATTGGTGGCGGATGTACCGCTTTCATTAAGGCAAGCGTGTTCGCTTTCGACGAGGATTACAGGCATGAAGAATTCTCAGTAGCCGAGAGCAACCAGGACTACAGAAGATATGGGCTTAGAGGCTGCTACCAAAGCCTTACTTGATGCTGGTACAATTCATCCATGTTTCCAGAATTGTAAAAACCTGCTCAATGATATACTACTATACAGGCATTACTTATGATACCATTGAGACAGCAGTAGTTGGGTATTGCTACGGAGATTCAAGTAAGCATGTAATGGTCGTTCATCTAATGTGTGTCGGATATTTATCCCTCTTTGTAGCCTGTGGACAGGTTAGCCACTCCTCAAGTTGTTGGCGGTTTGAATAATACCGATTTGTTCTAGCGTGCCCTGTACAACCTTGGTCTCACCGGGATACCAATTACCAACGTGAACAACAACTGCTCAACTGGGTCCACTGCTCTTTACACAGCAAACAATGCTGTCAAATTTGGTCAAGCTGAAGTTGCTCTTGCTCTTGGCTTCGAACGCATGAAACCCGGAAGCCTTGGTACAAACTGGCCTGACCGACCTTCTCCAACAGCTCTTCTTAACCAAAAAATGGAAGAGGTTGAGATCGCTGGTTTAGGCTTGAACCATGGTCCCGGTGCCCCCAGGATGTTTGCGGATGGTGCCCAAGAATATTTCCAAAAGTATGGAGGAAATATTGAGCATCTAGCTCGAATTGGTTTGTTGTTTCGCCGTTTTTGAGCTGGCAGTACCTGATATGCTACGCCAAGCTTCAAAGAATCACAAACACTCGGTCAACAATCCGTACTCACAATTTCGTGATGGATGGAGCGTAGAACAGGTCTTAAAAGCTCCCAAGATTACAAACGAGCTTACAAAGTTTATGTGTAGTCCAACTTCGGTGAAACTACTTTTCGGTCTAATCATTATTAAATTGAGAAACTCATTTCTTGTACTTACAGGACGGCGCCGCTTGCTGTATTGTAGCTTCAGAGGATTTTGTCCATGCTCACGGTCTCGAGAATCAAGCTATTGAAATTGTTGCCCAAGCATTGACTACAGACAATCCTTTGGCCTATGAATCCAACAGCGCGATGGAAGTTGTTGGATATACTATGTCCAAGAACTGTGCCGATCAAGTGTTCAAAGACGCCGGATTTAAGGAAGGTGAAGGCAGAGACCAAGTAGGTGTTGTCGAACTCCATGATTGTTTCTCTGCCAATGAGGTTAGTCGTCTGGATTGCGTTTCCGTACATCTTATGATTCACATTTGCAGTTGATCATGTATCCGGCGCTGGGTCTGTGTGGTCCTGATGAGGCTCACAAGATGGTCGAGCGCGGGGACAACACGGTGGGTGTTTCTGACGGACACCCAAGAATTACTCATGAATCACGTCTACTTTCCAGTATGGTGGAAAATACGTTATTAACCCTTCTGGAGGGCTGGAGGCCAAAGGTCATCCGCTGGGCGCTACAGGCCTTGGCATGCATTTCTACATCATGAGTGGGTTACATTTTGGATTCCTTCTTTTCCTATCGCACTCCAAATTTAATTGTACCCTTCACTCTTCTAGTGCAACTGCGGAACTGTGGGTATCTCGAACGTTCAATTCATATGTTCTTCAATAACTCAAACATCCACTATCATACACAATAGGGGCGGGACCAATGCAAGCTCCTGGCCTGTTTGACACCAATGACAAGCGAGGCAAGTACGGCCTAGTTCACAATGTCGGCCTAGGTGGTGCTGTCGTTGTTTCGCTCCTGAGACGGCCCGAATTTTACAAAGAAGGGGGCAAGGATGGGCGTGATAGGTGAGTATCCGAAATTTCCAATGTGTGAACGGTACCCTAATGGAGCTGGCAATCAGGCTTGGGTACAACCATGCTCACCAATGCCATCCAATTACTATGAAAGATGTTGACAAGGTCAAATCGGTAAAGGAAACCTCTCCCTATCTCATGCAGCATGCCAAGCTTTGATTAAACATTTTCTGCTGGCAAATATCAGCTTTATATATGTACTATGATTGTGTTATGTATCTGTAGTCGCAGTAGTTCTTGCATTGAAGGATTCAGCTCTCAGCTATATCATATTCGAAAGAATTGCCTGGCTCTGTCAATCAGTGGGTTTGATGGGCTGTTGAACTGGGACTTTCTTGTATGACATTGCGTTCAGCATCCCGAGGAACGGTTTGCTTCCATCGCCCTTCAGTCAATGGTTTAGTTCATATTGTATCTGCAGAATCGATAAAGAGCACACTGACAAGTAGATTATGAGGAAATCCGGGGTCGAAGGGAACAATGCTCTCCAGGAATTGAACTTGTTCCACGCTAAGGGAAATTCCGAGTGCCTTGATGTTTTCTTGAAGATGTTCAATCTTTCGCCCTCCGATGATTGGGAAAACGTAAGGGGTCTTCTGCAATACATACGCAATTGCAACTGGGTAAGGTGGGCAGTTTCTCAACTGAGGAACAACCAAGATCGTACAGATTGGACCTACCGGCACCAATATTACTGCCCAATCCAAGCTCACCAGCCACTTTTTCCAGAGCACGAGATACTTTTGTCTCGGCTTCATTCCTTTGCCAACTCGGGCCAAGAATCGCATCGGTGCGTCCATTCTCCCCGCTCTCCTTCCGCCGTTGTTCTTCCGCGTCGGTGCGTAGTTTTCCTTGACCCAAAACGCCCCAAGGGGCGAGAGCCAAACCTTGAACCAGACATCAGATTCAACAATGTATAAAGTTGTAATTTCAAACCTACGTACCTAAGGAACGAGCCATGGGAATGATATCACGCTCGAAGGAACGGTCAAGGATGTTCCAAAGCCCTTGGTAGACAACGAATGGGGTTTTGCCATTGCTTCGAGCGTATTCATTAGCTTGGGATACTATCCAGGCAGGGGTATCGGATATTCCCTGGAAGTTGTTTTTCGTCAGATGTCGTCTGTTCTAAAGCGAAAACCAGCAGAAATCACCAGATAAAGCACTTTCCCTTGCATCACGAGGGAATGCAATCCGTCCATGACTTCTTTGACGGATGTATCATAATCCCACCAATGCACGTATAACAAGTCGATATAGGACGTTCGGAGCTTCTTCAAGCTGGCTTCAATGCTGATGTGCATTGACTTTACATTATTTCCTGTATAATTCGCTTTCTGTGCGATTGATTCGTTTCCGCGTTTGAAATTTGTAGTGTACTATTACCGATAGTTTGAATTTATTTGAAGAAACGGGGTCGAAAGATGATGGCCTACTTTTGTGGCAAGAACAATTTGATCTCGTATCCCGCGCTTTTCCATCCACTCACCGAGGAATTGCTCAGAACTTTCGTCTTGGTAGTTGTTTGCGGTATCGATGAAGTTTCCCCCCATGTCATAATAAGCGTCGAGAAGCTTGAAGCTCGAGTCTTTATCCATAGAACCGAATAAATCACTCCATTTGTCTCCAATGCTCATTCCGCCAAGGCAGATAGGTGAAACGTGCACGCCTGCATTGGGAGAGAGCACGCGGAGAACACCGAGCTTGGTGGGTGGAGGAGGAGCAGGCTGGAAGAGAGACATGAGAGATTTCAATTATTCAAGTCGAGATATCTGCAATAGTAGGAATGAGTATTGGTACAAACCGGGATGTCTAGTTTTTATATTTCAGCAACTATGGATATGCACCCACCTACGCCCACTTCGATGAAGCATCATGATATGCGTCGGGCGCCCGCACGAGGCAAGGAATCGAACCTTGTTCAAGTCTGTGTAGTAGAAAGCATCATGATTGCAAGTGAATTTGTACGTTAATTGTTCTCGGATCATCAAGCATTGAAGCCGTCCCCGAATTACCCACCGACGAATCATTTCATCAGGCCTGTCAGCACCCACAAAAACCAAACTATGTATACACTTTTGGGCAGCCTCCGTGTACGTAGTAGAGAGGAGCTGAAGATCGTATCCCGTAGTAGTCTTAACCAAACCTCTGAAGTTGAACTGAACAGGGAGAAACGCGCTAAGACTCGGAGGCAACATCACCTCCAGTTCACCTACATAGGTAGTTCAATTTTGTAATCGAAGAAGATCTAAGCACATTTGTGGTGGTACAGATAAATTACAAGATATGTATACATATGTAGTTTGAAAGCGATATACAGATGCGAGGGATATACCGATGGCAAAAATACACGATTGAGAAGCTAGTAGAATGATAGAAAATCATGAAAATCATATGAACATCAGACGGTAACAGAAATTCCGAGGCGAAATGTCTGATTGAAAAGATATGCTCGCCAACGATGAGACGTTTGTGGTATGATGGTCTCCGAGTCATTACTCGTCGCGCCTCCTGGAGAATGCATGCACGATACGCTCTCTGTGGAAGAAGAAATCAGCAAGGGAGAACCACTAGCTCGATACAAAACATCTTACAATGCAGCTCGTTCTTGTAGAATTTCCGGCTCATGGTAATTGCCAGTTGGATCAAAGTCTGATCATGGATTGCTCAACTGGATATGTGCATAGTAAAGATCAAGACTGTGCGTACAATCGAACTTTGATGGTTTGGGTGCAGGCACCACATTTTCCGATACTGGTAGGTATATGACAGACGTTTTTCGAGTGTCCGGGCTCACGACGAGAATCGAAGGATTTGGGTGGGCCTAGGTTAGACATGGGTATTATTGAGGCGCAGAGAGATGATATATATACTAGGCTTACCATCAAGGTGGAAGTGGACATGACGGGCTAGAGGAAAGGGGGGTATATCAGAGTATCGTCTTCGCTTGATATAAATACGATGTTTAGGCCCTAAAACAGTAGTGAGCACACGTCCGTCTTGTAAGTTTTAGGAACTGACCTCATCGATGACGGAAAGATAGGAAGAAATTTGAAATTGGAGCTCGAGTGTTTTTTTTTTGACATTTGGCCTCGTTGAACCCCTGAGGTTCTCCATGCCAACCAAGTTATATTTGCCACTAGACCAGGTGATATCGAAGAGCCTCAAGGTCGATACCGTCCCAGTCCCACTGATTAGTCGTACTCACCCGTACTCAATAAAGAAGAAAAAAGTACTTTAGACCAAAGTAGAAGAGCAACTTACAAAACTTTGGAAAATATGTAAGAAGAGAATAGGAGGCATTCGGAAGTAGACTGAAGTGGAGCGACTATCTGTGCCCAGACCACGCTGCCCCCTGCTGCCCCACGGCGCCCGCCTCGCGTTGATGTACAACTGCCATCGAATAACCGACGCCGGACAGATGTAGTTTGCTTGACGAACACGGCCTGCACCGTTGGAAGGGCGCCAGGTGAAAAGAGTGAAGGGGGAGCGATATGGCCCTGTATGATTGTACGGACGGCGGCGAAGGATGATGGCCTACGCATGTCACCAGGAGGTTCAAGGTAGATGAGATACCTAAGAATTTCAAGTTTTAAGAACCGCAGGTAAACATGTCTCCCTAGTACTGTCGGCATTGGCAGTCAGCAGTAGCGTAATCCACATATCGAGAACTTTAAGAGAAACATTCATATATCGATTCCTATCGATTCAAAGAGCGTTTGACGTACATTTTGCATAAAGTGAGAGAGAGGGAGAGTTGATTTAACCGCCGGGAGCCCATTTCAAGCCAACATTGGTCCAGGAGAAAACTCTGGAAAATTATGTACTAAATACAAGTAACACCAAGTTTAGTTAGTTTGGCGCAGGTTTGGCGTAGAGCTGGTTGAATTTATAGGCGTCTGACGTAAGTACGACGAGGCGCCCATTGTTCCGAAAAATCCGCATCTAGAAACCATTTCTTCAACTTCCATGACTTCGACGGACGGCAATGATTTTACTCATCGTCTCGCCATTAAACTCTCCAGAGCATTGAACACGATCAATCCCAATGATCTGCTAGCTCGACGAGTAACGGACATCGCTAAAACGAGCCCTTTAGATGGTTTTATAGCTGGTAAGCCTTCAACATAGCAATACTAGATTCTTGTCTCAATATTCCTTTCAGCCGCGAAATCATTTGGCAAATTTCAAGACTCTTTCCTGGCCGAGATACATTCCGATATATTGTCGCATGCGAAACAGGAAGAAACAGGTTTGGCACCTGAACCTGTCCCTGGAATAATTGTGCATGATAGTGATGTGCTACAGCCGGAGACCGTGAGGCAGGGAGGGCTTGTTAGAAGTGATATGGTGAGTAATTCGTTCTTCCATCATTTCGTTCGAGTGCTGATTGATTGTACCAAGCAACACACATTCACGAAACCCAACAAACCGCTTGAACCCCCAACACCTAGAACCTCTGTTCTTGGTCTCGATAGACTTGCTAAAGAGAAGAGGGCTGCCACTGCGGATGAAGGGAGTAGGAAGAAGGCCAAATACGATGACGATGGAAACGAACCGGTATTCAAAGGTGCGTGTGCCTATTCGTTTCAAGTCAATTCCCGCACTGATAAATTATATCAAAAACAGTACCCAGCTTGCCAGTTCGTAGTAATCATCTACGTCGAAGAGGCGAGGACACTCCATCACACCCAGGGGGTCTTGCCGAGCCAGCTCGCAAACGATTGGAAGAATACAGAAGGAACAGGGACAAACAGCGAGGTCCGTGACTTGGGCCACTTGTACAAATAATCTATACTCACCTGCTGCAGATGGAATTACCATTGCCCGCGGAGAGAAAGAGGATGCGCCTAAGGGTCTAGGAGACTTTCAACGGCGCTCCAACCGGGATAAAGAACGAAGCAGGGGCAGACGTGACTTTGAACACACACGAAACAATCGCGGAAACAGTTGGGATTCGACTCCCCGGTCCGTGAGAGGCGGTCCGGCAGATGCTCCAAGTGTAAGGGTCCCAAACGTTGGGTGGGACTCCACTCCTAGAAGTTCGCGCGGAGGCGACGCCTCCGGCTGGGGTGGTGCAAGGAATCGTGGATGGGATACTCCTACTCCCAGAGTTGCCAGAGGCGAAAGCCCCGAAGAAGATAGAGCTTGGACTGTAGACGCTAGAGAATGGGAAGAGGAACAAGTTCGACTTGACAGAGATTGGTACACCGGAACGGAATCTGGAATGGCTGGCGACGACGATTACAATCCCCTGGCACAGTACGAGGATCTCAGTATTATCAAAGAAGCTGAGATAGCAAAGAAGCAAACAGTTCGTCGCTATGTTCCGTCTATCCTCGTATACGGTCTGATCCTCAAAATGTTGTAATTCTTTACAGAAAAAGATTTCTGCTCGTCAAGCGCAATACGTGCGTGTATCTTTGGAAATCTTTGGCAACTTCGGTTTTGACACTTATTCAGAATGCGGACAATGATCTTTGGGAAGCCAACCGAATGCTGACTTCCGGTGTTGCAACGCGTAAAACAGTTGATCTGGACTTTGAGGACGAGTCGGAATCTACAGTACACGTCATGGTCCACGATCTTAAACCACCTTTCCTAGATGGACGTACGGTTTATACCAAACAGCTAGATCCCATCAATCCCATTAGGGATCCAACTAGTGACATGGCAATATTCTCCAAAAAGGGCAGTGCCCTTGTTAAAGAGAAGAGAGAGCAAGCAGAACGTGCTAAAGCCGCCGCCAAACTTGCCGCGCTGGGTGGAACTTCCTTGGGTAACATCATGGGTGTTAAGGATGAAGAAGCTGAGGCCGAAGGTATGGCAATATCCTTCTCTATTCCAAATTTTTCGGAGTTGCACATTCACGTTAGTTATCGTTCTTTCTTCCTACAGCCGAAGCGGAAAGGCAAGAAAAGGAAGCCAAGGAGAAGGGAGAAGACAATTACAAGGGCGACTCCAAATTTGCTTCGCACCTCAAGTCCTCTACTGGTGTCAGCGCCTTTGCTAGATCCCGGACATTAAAGGAACAAAGAGAGTATCTTCCTGCATTCGCATGCAGGGAAGACTTGATGAAAATTATCAGAGAAAATCAAGGTCGGTGCCGGTCTTGTACTGCATTTGGCATCTTTTAAACAATGGTTAACAGTCATCATTGTCGTTGGAGAGACCGGGTCAGGGAAAACGACACAGTTAGCCCAATTCCTGTATGAGGACGGATACTGTCAGCATGGCATCGTAGGATGTACTCAACCTCGGCGTGTGGCTGCTATGTCGGTAGCTAAACGTGTTAGCGAAGAAATGGAGGTTAGTTTTTCCTTCGATTGAGCTCCTCACTTAGCGTTTGGCGTTGACAGTCATCTTCAGTGTAAGCTGGGATCAACTGTAGGCTACGCGATCCGGTTTGAAGACTGTACATCGGCAGAAACCAAGATCAAATGTGTGTTCACAGCGTAAATCCCTTTGAATATTATTATTTGACCAATGCATCTAGATATGACTGACGGTGTACTGCTTCGAGAATCATTGAACGAGGGAGATTTGGATCGATACAGCGTCATTATCTTGGATGAAGCACACGAACGGTCATTGAGTACTGACGTTCTAATGGGCCTATTGCGCAAAAGTGAGTGACTAGGATTTATCCTCTATCTAATCTTTATCAACGATATCGAAGTTCTTTCGCGTAGAAGAGATCTGAAACTGATCGTGACGTCTGCCACCATGAACTCTGAGAAGGTAGGATATAATTTGAAGTCCCTTCTATCTGACTCACCTTTTCCTGTGTGCAGTTCTCGAACTTCTATGGGACTGCTCCATGCTTCACAATTCCCGGTCGCACCTTTCCTGTCGAGATATTCCACTCCAAATCCCCTTGTGAAGATTATGTCGACAGCGCAGTCAAACAGGTCCTGCAAATACATCTGTCTCTACCTCCTGGTGATATTCTAGTGTTCATGACTGGACAAGAAGATATCGAAATAACTTGTCAGGTCACACAAGGCACTTCTTTTTTGTCGTCCTCTACGCGTCATAGTACTAATATTTGGCATAGAGCGCCTCGATCAACTCGACGAACCAGCACCACTAGCTGTGCTTCCTATTTACTCACAGATGCCTGCGGACTTGCAGGCAAAAATTTTCGAGGCTACAAGTGATGGACGAAGAAAGGTCATCGTAGCAACAAATATTGCTGAGACGTCTTTAACAGGTTGGCCAATCTTCTTTGTGAATTCTATACATCCTCATTTTTTTCAGTGGATGGTATTCTCTACGTCGTTGACGCCGGGTACTCAAAATTGAAGGTTTATAACCCGAAAGTGGGTATGGATGCGCTGCAGATTACTCCTATCAGTCAGGCAAACGCGGGTCAGAGGACTGGTCGTGCTGGTCGGACAGGCAGCGGGTACGTCATAATTGTTCCTCTCACCCTTCGCGAAGCTTCATCATTCGCTAGGTTCTGTTACCGCCTATACACCGAGATGGCATATCGAAACGAAATGTTCGAAAACACCATTCCTGAAATTCAAAGAACGAATCTTGCGAACACCGTCCTACTTCTCAAGTCACTCGGAGTGAAAAACCTATTAGAGTTCGATTTCATGGATCCCCCGCCTCAGGTAGGTTTCAATGGACTTGCTACAGAATTTCTACTAAGATTCCGGGTCAGGCAAACATTCTCAACTCTATGTACCAATTATGGGTCCTTGGTGCATTAGACAATGTCGGCGATCTCACTTCCATTGGTCGGAAGATGTCGGAGTTCCCTATGGACCCTTCAATGGGGAAGATGCTCATCGCCTCTGTGGAATATAATTGTTCATCTGAGATGTTGACCATTGTCTCCATGCTATCGGTTCCGAGTGTGTTCTATCGGCCCAAAGAACGGATGGAAGAGGCTGACGCTGCCCGGGAGAAGTTCAATGTGCCAGAGAGTGACCATCTCACACTATTGAATGTTTTCAACCAATGGAAAAGTCATGGCTTCCGTGACGAATGGGGGATGCGCCACTTTTTGCATCCAAAGCTCCTTCGAAAAGCCCGAGAGGTCCGTGCTCAGCTCGAGGATATTATGAAGTTTCAGAAGATGGAAATCGTTTCTGCTGGAACTGATTTCGATGTGATCAGGTATGTGTGTGTATTCGAGATCGCTTGTGGATAAAATAACTGAGCGTATTGCATAGGAAAGCGATCGCCGCCGGCTACTTTCACCAAGCTGCCCGAGTCAAAGGAATCGGCGAATTTGTCAATATTCGTTCAGGACTACCGACACATTTGCATCCAACCAGTGCTTTGTATGGCCTTGGATGTAAGAGGGTTTTGCCCGCATAAAACTGAACTGGTTTATGTCCCTAATCTTTCTCCTTAGATACCCCCAGTTATGTTGTTTACCACGAACTTATTTTAACATCGAAAGAGTATATGACCCAAGTGACTGCGGTCGATCCGTATTGGCTTGGTGAGAATCTCTTTTGTTGCTTGTTCCCCGTATTCTGATTTTGCTCTCTCCACAGCTGAGCTTGGATCGGTGTTCTACTCTGTCAAAGAGAAGAATTTTGATCAGCTTGGTAACAGGCGAACTGCAGATCGCGAATTTTCCAGAAAAGCTGAGCTTGAGACCGAGATGGCCAGGCAACGGGAAGAGTGAGAAGACCCTTCTAAATGTATCCTGTGCACGGTGCTCATGTGTGTGTTCACCCCCAGATCTGCAAAAAAGGCCTCGGAAGAAGCACTAGCAGCGAAAACTGTCAGTAGCAGTAGTTCGAAGATAATTGTTCCTGGGACACCTCGACAATCCGGTATTGGGGCGGGTTTCAGAGTCAGTCAGACACCTAGGAAAAGCACGGGTTTATGATGTCGTATCGTACAATTGCAACATTCGACGATGTGAAGACCGGATGAAGCTATTTCATACCAACGTTCTTACTGTGTTAATTAGATGTATGTATAATCATGGTAAAGGAACCATCGGTAACCATTTCTGGCGCCTAATTCCCTGACTCGGGGTGTGAAAACCTTACAATGCAGCTTTTCACACCGACACTGGGAACAGAACTCATATTATTGTCAATGACACGGGTAGAACAGATATAGCACCCTTCCATGTTCCCCTAGTTCAATTAGCGAGCTAAGCTAGGACCCAGGTAAGTGTAGTCAATTGGCGTGGTACAGGTACAAATCAAGGTATCACCTGTTTCACCAGGCTGTTCAGAATGTTTACAAGTTGACAAGATGATATTCATCTGTGTCCTAAAGGGACTGGTGCCAATGAGGCCCTATACCGTGCTGGTTAAACTGACCCTAACATTTGTACCAATACAAGGTCGAGCGCTCCCTTCTAGATGCAAATACCATTCCTCGTCGGGATCAAGAAGTTTCTGACGAGGAATCAAGATGCAGAAAACTCACAAAAAATGAGTCGCAAAATTGGAGGTGTAGGCAGGTGCAGACCTAAGGTGCAGATCTTGATTTGTCTGATGACCTATTGAATGATTCTCTCAAGAGTCTGTATTCATTAGATAGTGAAGCAAATGAGCGTTGTGACAGGTTGTCATAGTTCAGCGGGTCCGTTCATCGCCAGGTTGCAGAGGGCTGGGCTATGTAGAGTCCTAGGGAGACTCTGTGGCGGGAGGCACTTTATTCATCATGCGTGATACTCTGCGATTCTATACCATGATGAGACATTGGCTAGCACGGTATATAAGCAATGGTCTTGCGTACTTTGGGAGTCCACAATGTCTACAGAACTTTCTTCCATCACCGAGTGGGCGGATAAACGCACCGCGGCAGTGTATACTGCGAAAAGCAAAACCCTTGCAAAGCTTGCCGTGGAGGAATTATTTGCGCCCCACGTAAAGGCTTCGATTAACGGAAGGAAAATTAGTAGGGAGGAAATTGACCAGCTCCTTTTGGATATGCGACCGACCGAGGAAGGAGCTTTAGGTTTCTACTGGACAGATCTAGTGGGTGTGCCCCGGGATCCATCCCATCGAGTATGTCCCAATGTATTGTCGTCGTTTGTCTCTCGTCTCAACTCGTGCACCCAGGATGGCTCAGTCAGTGGTATGTTCATCATCAGTGGCCTTCAGATTCCGGATCCTAGAACGGGGGAGTTGGTTACTTCGTTCAGACGAAAGGGAGTAGCGGTCATGTACGTTTTGCCACTTGAAAAACATTCTGGAAATTCTGTTGATCCGTCATACCCGTGATAGAATTGAGTCGCAATTCCAGGACCTAACCATAGACAGTCGGAAGATTGTAGAATTTGTAGCTGTAGCAAACAACTTCCCTCTAGATCAACTCGTGGATCAGGAGAACGAACGGAAGACGTACGTCTCCAGGTATGGCTATAAATTGTAACAGTAAACTAGAGCGGCATTAGTCGAAACGTTTTTTGTCTCTCCCTGGTCTTCATTCGGGAGTCGTAGTTAAGGAGGGAAGTTAAGGGGTGACTATGGATTGTTATGGACTGCCCAGTGCGAACAGGCGCGAACGAACTTAACAGTGGGACCGAAAAGTTGGGGTACCTCGCCCCTTAGAAGTCATAAGGGGTACGACTGGGTACGAGTAGATGCTTCATCAAGATTCTGGTGGCGCATTTGCCTAGATTTGTCTGCATCCTGTACAGTATACATACAGTGACTTGAATATAAATCACGGAATGATTTGAAAGCGTGAGCATGTTGTCTATACGTTTCGGCAAGTACTACAAAAGGTACCATTGGCGCCTGGCTTCAGTATAGTCGGAACGTTTTTTGCACTGGACAGCAATACCGTCGACTTCGATTCCGACTATCTAATTTCTTGAGTAGGTTTATTGAGGTTCATTTGATACCCAACTTGGGGTTATCTTTGAGCTATTTATCTGCATTAGATAGATTTATTATCACCTGGGCATACTCCAGTCGGTAACCGAACTATTACTCGCAGTCTAGTAATTCCAGAGTAAATAACTCCAATAGTGGTCAATTATTAAATCCCGACTTTCTTCGGGAAAGTGGTAATGCTGAACACAACAAGGCAAGAACGTACTTTGTCATTCAGCCAAGCATACACATCTATGTAGTGCCACCAAACCCTGGCTCCAAATCAATGGCAGTCCTCAAGTTGCCCACAGAGTATAGAACAGCTCCCGGTTTGGAACCATGTCACAACAGGTCACAACCTGGTCTTGGGCAGCTGACTTAGGTATAAAAGCTAGTGTTTTATCTCGGATAGTCTAGATAATTTTGAAACCTCATAATGGCGACAAAACTTTGTTCACTCTCTGAGTGGGCAGATAAACGTACCGCGACAATTTATGTTGCCCCAAACAGAGCGCAAGCAAAGGTTGCCATCGAAGAACTATTTGCTCCCCACGTCAAGGCCTCCATAAATGGCAGGAAAATTACCAGGGAAGAAATTGATCAGCTCCTTCTAGCTATGCGCCCAACTGAAGAAGGAGCGTTGGGATTCTTCTGGACGGACATGGTGGGTGCGTCCAAGGACCCATCTAATCGAGTATGTGCCAAGTCGTCATGGTTTTGCATTCTCTCTGTGTTCTCACTACCGCGAGATAGAACGGCTCACTGAGTGGAACGTACGTTATCAGTGGCCTCCAGATTCCGCATCCAGAAACAGGGAAGTTGGTCCCCGGGTTTAGACGAAAGGGTGTGGCAATAATGTACGTCTTCCACTTGGGTTTGTCAAATGTTTATTGACCTCGTCTTTTATTTTTTGCACCAAATATCAGAATTGAGTCACAATCCGAAGACCCAACCATAGATAGTCGGAAGATTGTAGAATTTGTGAGCGTCGCGAACAACTACCCTCTAGATCAACTCGCGGCTCAGGAGAAGGAACGGAGGACGTACGTTTCCAAGTACGGTTACAAGTTGTAACCATAATCCGGATCCCAGTTAATATTTGGAAGTTATAAATGTATTTCTTTGGGTTATGCTTGCATTCAAGCGGCTGGCTTCGTTACTCAAAGTCGAAAAAAGGGTGCAATGCAAGAGCTGCTGTAAATTGTACTCTGTCCACAATGAGTTCCCGATTTTTCCACGCCTCATAATGTGGAAACGATGGTTTGGTCGAACTTAGTTCATTGTTGTATTGAAGGCTTCCGAAAAATAAGTATGCTTGACCGAATCAGATACATATAGATGAGTATGTATTACAGGCAACCATCTAAGCAAATTTAGTCATTCTACAACGTTTCACTCAAAGTATTTGCACTCACTGGGGACAGCTTCACCCGCACTATTGACGAAATTCTTGAGCGTACTCTCTGAGCACAACAACCCTCTAACAAACGCCTCTGCGACTACGTTTGCACCAGTAGGGGACGTATGTAGGTGATCTACAGGATAAAATGTATCGACGGTTGTTTCACCAATAGCCTCATAAGCCTGTGCGACATAGTCATAGTGGTCGATGTAGACCAAGCTATTGTTCCCAGCCACCTCTTGTGCGTAAGGAACGAACCGCGATGGTGCGGCAAGTACATCACCATCCCATATATTATCGGGAGTCTGAGAGGAGATGATCGGGATGGCCCCCTTTGCAGTCAGAGATAAAGCGGCGTTGGTGATGTAGTAATTGAAAGTATGGATGACTTCGGTACTACCACTATGTAAGCAAGAATGAGATCTGTGTTGGACTGATTTTGAAAAGATGAGACTCACTCTGATTCTGTCACTGTGGCTGTGAGGTTGTACGCGTCACCTGCGAGAGTCGACGAGAGTCATCAGTTGAGTGATACGAAATACATCCCGAATGCACGCACCTACAGCATCTTCGTCGCCATTGTCTACACTGCCAGCCGACCCATCGTTATGCCCAAATTCGATGACTTCAGGACTACTAAGGCTCTTGAATATGGAAAGGAGAGATCTTTACCCACCGACATAGTCCCCCGAGCCTACTTCGTCGATTAGAGAGGCAAAAAGACCTAAAGCGGTGAAACTGCGAGCACTGGTTCCCGCTACCGCTTTGTTAGTTACAGGTAAAGTGAGGTATTGGCTGAGATATTGGCCCCAGCCTATTGACTGCATCAGCGCCGTTGCAAGATTCCAGCTTGTAAACAGCTTTACCGTCGGTGTTAGTCCCTGATTCCCGGTATGTCAGTTATTGGGTTCAATCAACTATTAAGATATGCACCTGCACCATCGCCACCTGCAGCCATGGTAGAATCTCCAGCAAGCCAAACAGTTTGACCTAAAATTGAGGGTATCAAGGAAAGCACAGCTGCGGTTGTTAGAGAGAACATGGTGTTCCGGGGGAGTTCCAATGACAAGGTTCTAATTTCTCTTCCAACCTAAATACCAACGACGGCGAAATTATCGGTAAATTATATTTTTCGACATTGTGGTGTTCAGGCAAGTGACCTTCGATACAGGAGTATGCAGGAGTATGCACATTGCAGGAACTGAGGGAAACTTTCTCAGCGCGGTCCGGAACGGGGATATCGACGGATGATTGTCGAAATCCATCTGCGCAAGTTGGTACAAGATTGGACGCGCACTATCACAACAACAAGGTTTGTTTCGTACGGGTTTCGTAGTCGGACCAACTGTGATCAGGTGTGCTGTGTATGGAATGTTTGAGGATCGCAGAGAGGAGTTCTTTCAAACATGATTTGGGAAGTAGGGTGATTTGTTCTGCTTTGCACTGAGCACGGCTTGGATGCGATGGATCATCTTATATATCAAGATGTATAATCATAGCGTTGAGGACCTGAAAAGGACTGTAAGACCGTGAAAATCATGACTGACCGAAGATGAACTCACCAATGAGTCCAGATTAAAGTCACATAATTGCATGTAGGACTGAGATCAGTTACTGAAGGTTACTGAGCATATAGAAGTTACACTTGAGCTTGAACGATATCACTCAAAAACACTGTTCAAGAGCCTAAAGCCTAAGGTTCCAGACGAGGGCGTTGTTATGGGGATAAAGAACAAATTGACGGGAACAAGCGTAGCGGGAAAATCATTATTTTACGTACATAAGTACCGGCGGCGGCTGCAATATTGCCCAGATGGTAATCTTCGAACATCGTAACACCGAACTTATTACTTACTGCGCTCATCCTGCAAAAGTCTGCCACTACAAATACTGTAGCCTAGTCTTGGCTGGACCGGCCTTTCAGCAAAACTTCCAGAGGCAACTTCATCACTCTTTTCTACATTTGTTCTTATCCTGAACGTCGATCTGCATACCAACACACTCTTTTCCGTGCCAGTTTTTCTCACCCAGCATGATGGCTGCTGCTCAGAGGCAGCCCTTTGCTACAAACTATGCTCCCAGTTCATATGAGTTTCAGCCAGCGTCTCCCTTAGAGACATTGGTTCGCCGGACATCCTCTCGGAGGAATGCACCTAGTACTCGGCCTCCAAACGTAGTCATTCCCTCAAATTCCCCGGTCTCCAGGAATTACCAAACCTCTCAGCCCCAGATGAATCAGCATGGGTATACCATGGGTCTTGACACCCCTTCAAAGACTAAACCGCAGATTTCACCCGTTTCACCACTTATCCATAGTCACTTCCGCAGCGCCTCCAACGCCTCTCGATCCTCTAGGGGTGATTCTCCTAGTGTCTACGAAGAAAGTTCATTCATGGATATGGGTGATGACAATCCTAGAGACGTGTTTGCTAGGGATGGCAGGGACTCATTCGATTCGAGAAACTCGAACATTTATGATATATATGCTCCTGACGCGCAGCAAAGGTTCAAATATGACGAAGATCAAAACTCATCGTTGGACTCTGCATCTGCGCTAAGGGACTCGTGGCAGTCAGGTTCTGTCCACGATCTTGGGAAGCGAAGTATCAATCAATCGGCATTGCGGAACGTTGAAGGTCAGCAGTATGTGCCCGTGTTTGCACCTGAAGAACCTTCTTCACCATCATCGCCTGTTCCTGCCGTGGTTATCACATCTCCAGACGACCTTGTTCCTCGAGCCGGTGGTCGAGTACCCATTGTTCGGAACGTAGGAGCAGTGTCGAATTACTCAAGACCTGTGCGAGGTTCCTCCGGGGAACCCGAAGACAGAAATTCTGGTCATAATAGCGAGGGGACCATGATGATCCCTGGCCGACCTCGCCATAATTCGAGCGCTGCCCCTGTTCTTGACGCAGACGTCTTTGATCCCGAGTCGAAGAGAAGGGTGTTGGAGAGGAATATCAGTAAGAGAAGACTCAACGCTGGATCACCTTCATCTACATCATCATTTTCTGGGACACGAAGTGATACTGGTTCAACATCAACACCATCATCATCATACTACGCACAAAACATCAACCCAGGCAGCGGTCGCTCTACTCCCTCCCACTCATCTCTTTCACCCCCAGGTAATTCACTTCCCGTTTCTCGTGAGATGTCACCTTCCCCCCTATCGCAGACTTTACGGTCGCGATCGCCTCAACCTATGGCACCCTCTTCGCTTAGAACTTCGCAGAGTCATCCAGAGATAGCTTTGCCACGACGACCGCCTTCCTTACGTCCGGACTCGCCAGCGAGTCTATATTCTGACGCGTACTCATTCTACCAGCTAGATAGTGCGTCACCGTCGCCGAATGGGTCAAAGTTTAAGTTCGACTCCCCGAGCAGAGGTTTCGGGTCCCCTACGAGCCAGACTAATAGTAATACCCCTCCACCACCTATGGTTGTCGTAGACCCTCCAGATGAAGCGAAGAGCAAAGCCGACCACTACCTCCAGCTTGGTATCAAGCATCACGAGGCCAACCGTTTACAAGAGTCTGCTATATGTTTCGAGAAAAGTGCTAAAGAAGGTGGAGGATGCGGAGTAGGGATGTTGATGTGGGGTTTAACTCTCCGACACGGTTGGGGTTGTAAGAAGGACGAAAAAGGCGGATTTGTATGGGTGAGGAGGGCAGCGGAAGGAGCTGTGGCGGATCTGGAGAGAGCAAGGATGAGTGGAGGTACGGGAGATCTTGCGGAGAGGGGTGTGGTGAAGGCAGAGCTGGTCCTAGCAATCTATGAGGTGGGACAGTGCTTCTTCCATGGCTGGGGTGTGGTGAAGGATCAAAAGATGGGAGTTGTAGGTTATTTCGGTTGTTGGTTCGGCCATCACTAATATACTTGGCATATAGAGCTATTATAGAGTAGCCGCACGTCTTGGGGATGCTGACGCTCAGAACGATCTCGGCTTCTGCCTCGCGAATGGGAAGGGATGTAAAAAGGATCGCAAGGAGGCGGCGAAGTGGTATCGGGCTGCTGTGAGTCATTTTTCTCATGCTCTGTCCATGTTACTGAACTTAAGAACTTGAATGTAGGTTGCCCAAGGGCATAGCGATATAGGACTAGCGTGGATTCATAAGGAAAAATTTCAATGAAGAAGGGGTAGTAACCAGTTACTTTACATATATCTACAGTTATGGATTGTACTCTACTTTCAGTCGTTCTCGGACATCATCAGTTTAGTCTCGGATTAATATACTGGTATTCTCCAACACCTCAAGGGTTGAAGAGCACCGACTCCAGTGAAGACTCATCGAGTACGGTACTGTACGGTAGTTGCTCGCTGAAGAAGCACGTGCTTATATTTACGTACAGTCAACGCACCGCCACAGGGACCTACCTTTCCCTTTGATTTCTACAACGATGATGTCGGTGCAAATGCAGCCTGCAGAAACGGACATGGGGTTCTTTTCCTCAAAGTCTTCGAAATCTAAATCTGCCTCAACGACGACAACGGCCACTACCACCAGAGTTCAGGTTACGCGCCTCGTTAAACGTAAATCGGAGCCGTTACCTAGTTCAGGTCCAGCTCCTTCTCGCTCTGTGTCTTTGTCAACTTCGCCATTATCATCTCCACTATCATCTCCAGGAACTACACCTCCCCCCAACCTGAAAAACCCAAGGAAGAAGAAAAAAAGTCCGGAGGCGGGTCCCAGCACGGAATCTAGTAGATCTCGCGTTTCGAAGAAAATGCGCGTCGACAAGCCTCCGAAGCGCGCCTCGAATGCAAATTCGAGAGCTTCCAGTCGCTCGACGATCAACTTGGCCTCATCTCCACTAGAACCCATATTCAGGTCTAGATCCAGTAGGTCGCGTTCGACTTCCACGTTTCCATCGTTATCATCGGTGTCGACTCGGAATTTGGCTTGCGAAGGAGACGGAGAACCTGGGCCTTCTCATGTCAGCTCACAGTCTGTAGTCCGCAATCTGCACAAGTCATACAAAGCGTGTAAGTACTTGCGCCGGACACTATTGTCTTCGTTCCTTCTCACGTTGTCTTTAGATTTCAGTAACCCCGCCGATCCTGATGACAGTTCGTTTGAGCCCGAAAGCTATCCTTATGTGGACCTGGAGTACCCAAATAACGCCGCTACTGAACGGTTAGTGTTACCAGAGGCTAATCCGCCGATGGAACTCATTCCGCGCGCGTTGCAGTTACCTACTTGTAAACGCTTTCCTGTGTTCTGTTTTACTGATCTCTTGAGATTTTTGTAGATTTTTATTACTTGCTCCTAAAGACAAAGACCACTATAATCCGATAATGGACCTTGAACAAACACTGTATACAATCGTGGATTGTTAGTTTTCCCTTTTTCGATCCTCTGCGGATTGTTTCTTACCTAGTTCGCAGATTATCTCACACCCAGTCAAAGAGCCCTCATTGGCAACGTACCCAGTGACCTATTGACCGAAACCGTTTCTCCTCCTCTTTCTCCCTCACCTTCACCTCCGAATTCCACCGCATCACATGCTTCCTCTGGCTCGATGTCTTCTCTAACATCGCTGGAATCATCTTCCCATAACGAATTTCCACAACCTCGCGTAAATTATTGCCGTGCCGTCCAGCGTGCGATAAACACCAAAGATGGTCCACTTTTTATTAAAACAATCAAGAAGATCAACAGTCTTCTCAGTTCTTTCAAGTATCCGACACCTCCGTCTGATCCTTTCGAACCTGTCCCAAAAAACTCCCTCAAAGAACGGGTAGCGACATGGTCGAATAACGGAGGTTTACCTTCCAAGGTTTTGATGAGAATTATCGACGAGAACTATCAACGTTGTGTTGGTCCGCACATTAACAAACTTCGAAAGTATGAGGCTTTCACCAGTAAAGTCTATGGAGAAATTCTGCCAAGTTTGGTGCACGAAATTCTTTCGTTGACCAAGCTCAATCAGGATTCCTTGTTCATGGACTTGGGATCAGGAGTTGGCAATGTCGTCATTCAATCTGCTCTCCAAACAGGGTGCAAGAGCTACGGAATTGAGCTTGTTGAGGGACCTGCACAGGTAGCCAAGGAGATGGCGGAACAATTCAAGGCGCGATGTCGGATGTGGGGCGTGGCTTGTGGAGAAATTGAACTGGAGGAGGGTGATATGCTGGAGAGTCCGAGAGTAGCAGAGTTACTTCCGAAAGCTGACGTCGTGCTGGTGGATAACAAAGTTTTTGAAGAGAAATGTGAGAAATCGCTCATGCTTGTCTGTGATGTGGACTGAAAGTTCCTTTGTTGCGTTCAGTGAATGAGGCATTACGGCCCAAATTCCTCGACTTGAAGGAAGGAGCAATCGTGATTTCCCTGAAGCCCTTTGTCTCATCATTGAACGGGTTAAATGCTCGTGTGACTGAACGCAATGTTCGTCTTCTTTGTGGTTCTTTTTCTATCTTTACTGAAAATGAACAATCGTACAGGTCGACGACATTTCTGCCATATTCGATGTCACTGAAAGGCCATACTATCCGGGTTCTGTTTCCTGGGGAAACAATGGAGGGTCATATTATATCCACCGTGTTGACCGGGTGGGATATGCGGAAATTCGACAAAAATTTGAGAGTACTACGAGGGGAAGACGGAGTGCGGCCACTGCGAAATATACCCCGTCGAAGAATACGGACGAAAGTGATTGGTTTGGACAGTGATGCTTGCGAACAAGGGAGCTTTTTTAAGCTAGTTTGATGCGTTCGTCATTAGAAGGATCGTTTTCTTTTTTGTTCAGAACGTATTTATACATAAGTACATATTGGTTCTTGCTCTTGCTCTGATTCGACTTTTTCCGTCTACCTACTCATATTCTCCTAGCATTTAAACTGGAGACGCAGTTTCAACTTCTGCATCTTCCTCGTTCTCTTTCAAATGCTTCTACAGCTACTCACTGCTCTTTCAATATTCAACCATAGGTCATTTAGACCCTCTCTTTTTGGTCTATGTTTTTCTAATCTGTCTTGCATTATTATATATTTGTCTAACCGTAAATCATTGTTGTAATGGCATGTAACAGCAGTTGTATCTCATTATCTCATTGTCGATTCTTATTTTTGTGATTCACTCGTTTGTCTTAATCTCAAGGAATTTTTATGCTGAAATCTTTAACAGGCATCCTACGAGACGCAAGCTTCCCAGAGCCCCGATATACCTATTCGTACGAAAGGTCATCATAGTGGGGAGGAATCATTGATTTGGATATTCCGAAGAGATATAATGATAGAGTGACCAGATGAAATGTAGGATGCAAGCATCCAGCACAAAGCAGAACGTGTTTATACGTAGACTCCCACTGTGCAGAAGAGTGCCACCACTCCAAACCCGCCAAGAATACTGGCCGTGACTGCCAGCGGAATCTCCTTCCCAGGTATTGTAGTCTTCGGAAGGCTGTTGAGCGATAGAGCATTCAGCGTAAAATCTAGAGAGTAATTCCAAAGGGAACTAACATAGAGGAGTAGAAAGCCAGAGCAAAAGTTGAAGCTAAAAGGATAAGCGCGAGGTATGGAAGGAGCGCGACGCTAATCAGAGGCCGAAATGGGGGTAACGAGTCGTGGAGAGCCTAGACAAAGGGTTAAAAAAGAGCAAGAAGAGAAGGAAGGCGAACAAACCTTTATTGATTCATACTCTGACATGGTGATAACCAGTTTTGAACTTGAAGAGGACGTGTCAAATAGCGCGCGTTGCTGACGTATGATAAAGACTGTGGGAAATTTGACCTAGGCTTAGCCGAGCAGTGTGACGCAGTTGTGGAAAACTCTCTCTTTCCTCCACCACGACTTGCTCTTGCATCCTAAGATATTGATTTACCTGTAACATCTAAATCTCAACTGTGAGTTCTTTTTGGCGTGCTTATTCTTTCCAGAAACTTTTTCCTCCACTTTTTGCTCCGAATACTTACCACTTTTCGTGTCGGCCTTTTCCTCGTAGATGAGCGCCGCCCAGCACCCCATGGTCGTTCAGGCCCAAAATAAAGCCGTCTACTATCATGACCAGCTCGACAAAGAGGTATGTGGCCTAACCTTGTTTGCTTTGCATTGAACGTGTGTCTCATGCATGTCTTATCTTTTCTCTGACGCGCTTCGTGGTTTCGCAGCTCACGAAATACCCCGTGCTTATAAACTTTGAGCAACGCACACAAATTCCGAAAACATACGCTGTCCTCGGCGCTAGTCTGCTGGTCGTCATTCTCCACATGTTCAACGCTCTTGCCGCACCTGTCTCCAATCTCGTTGGTTGGGCCCTCCCTGCTTACCTGTCTTTCAAGGCCCTCGAGTCACCGTCGACACAGGACGATGTTCAGTGGTTGACGTATTGGGTTGTGTTTGGTTTCTTCAACTTCCTTGAGAGCTTTGCCCTCCGACTCGTGCTCTACTACGTCCCATGGTATTTCGCCTTCAAAACCCTCTTCATTCTCTGGCTCCAGTTGCCTTATTTCCGAGTAAGTGTTACCTCGCTTTTACCACATTCTGGTTCCGTCCCTGTCCGATTATGTGTTGTCGTGTGCTGTCCTAATGATCATCTTTACTTACGTCATTTTTCGTTGCTGCAGGGCGCACAAGTTACATACTTTGCAGTGTTAAAGCCTGTCCTCGCTAACATCAGCAACTCCGCCATTGTCAAGCAGACCGAGGCAACTGCTCCTGCGGGCGCCGCTGAGTAAATGTGTTGTGCCGACAATACAAGGGAGTTTAGAACATCTGGCAGGACTTTTTCTCGTATAGTTGTGCCAATGGCTTTCATCCCTTGTGTTATAGAAAGGACGTTCCCTACTTACTCTTCATCCATTTATTATTCAATTCCCTTTCCCGCTGGTTCATCTTACACGCGTCAAATTCAGTTCTCTCAGTACATGTGGTGGTAATCGCTGCTCTTTTACGATGTAACGGTCTCTATGTGCAAGAAAATGGATTGTGAACCTCTTATGTGTCGAGTATACATAGGTGACCGAGCCTTTTCAGTAAAGCTCTGTAGGGGACCGAGTGTTCCTGAAAGAAAGACGGTTGCTGAAATCCGAGCTCTCGTCAAGGCAACCGATAAGAAAATTCCCACGCCTATTATATACTAACTTTTTTTTTGCGTTGCATTTTGCTCTTCAACGCAATCACTCCATCCATCTCCGTCGTTATCTACATTGTTTCCCAGCGGTCGGGATACTTATAGAAGTGCGGGATGTGGTGACTTTCCTCTTCTTTAGAGTGATGACACCTTATGGGGTGGGACACTCGATGCGATGGTGAGGTGGTTTTATGCGTTAGAGCAAGTAGGGATGTTCTTTTCTTGTGTGGAAGACGCTCCTGTCGATGCTGGGAATATCGCCTCTGTATCTTGATGAAGAAGGGATGCAGTGGACTAGACGGCGTCGGATATCCTAATACGTGATATGAATCAAGTAGATTTTTTCTGTTTATTTTTTTGTATACAAGTAACCGTCGAAACTCTGGACACCGATACCCTTTAAGGAACACTCCGACTCATATTGCCGCATCATTGTATTCTTGTAGAGAGGTATGTAGATGGAAGTTTTTCAAATCATTGTTGTCCTGTCGCAACTTGACGACCTTTGACGACCATGTTCATTACCATCGCAATAACTGGCGTGGGTGGCTGGATTTCATCACAAGTTTTGCAGCAGTCTTGGTCGTCTTTGTAGGTCTTTGGATTAGAACCAGAAATTCTTTGTTGCGGGAAATTAACACGGCGACAGAAAATCTTGAAACATAATGATTATTACGGTCAACTTGGCGGCGCAGGATACTCGTGTTCATTCTAAATTTACCTTTCTGAGCACCCATAGACTTGAGGGCGTATATAGACCAGGTTCGCGGCGCTGTAGCAGTTGCAGACAATGCAAAGGAATCGCGGTCGTCCTCGACCAATAGATGCAGGGGACCTGAGAGCTGCCTGAGAGTATGTTAATGGAAGACTGGGAATTTGATGAAGGGGGAAGAGACTGGTAATGACGGTTACAGATGATTTTGAACCGTGAATCACACTTCCAGTTCAAAATTCATGTACATGGTTACGCTAAAGCACTCAGCTTCATGGGCTTCGTGCGGATCTACTTTTTTGGGACCTACCCTTGGGACTATAACACTGCCAGGCGCGAAACCATCGAAAAAACATATAAAGCATTTAGGCTTGCCATCCCTAATTATATCTTTTCATCGTGTCAGTAATTGCATGCGTACCCAAAGACTTACTGGAATACCAACTCAAAAATCTCAGCTCCCGTCTCGTGTAAGCAAGTCAAGTGTCTATTACTTCTGTTTAGCTGTACCATGTAAGAATTTCTTTGCCTCATTCCAATCCATACGCTCTCGCTCCTTTCCACCAGCGGAAGCCCGGCGCACTTCTTCGGCATCGACAGCCAGCCAGTCTTCGTACGTGGTTATATTCGCAGATGATAAACCGTCTAGAATCTCAGACGGAGGCGCATCCCAAGGTGAGGATGAGATAGCCACGGGATGCGTATTGGAGGTGGTTAATGATGGCGTGAGGTTAGTCCAATCTTCCAGTATGGCTTCCGCAACAGAGTACGCGTTCATCATGGTGCTGGCAAGTACACCTTTCGCACCGGTCGCGGCCCATCCGGAAGCATAGATTTTGGGTTCCTCAGTATCAAGATTAGTCGTTGACACTCGTCCGCCAGGTAAAGTCTTGATATGTTTCTGGTCTAAATCATACCATTGAGCATAAGGTGCTGCAGACGAGGGTTCAGCATGAAAACCCATGGCTGGTACGATGAGAGATGTTGGGAGGACAGATGTTATGGGAGCGCCATTCGAGTCAAGTAGAGGTCCTGCGCGTTTGGTTGCAGCATCGACGACAGTATGACCAAGAGTTAGTGAATAAGACGGAGAGTTTGAACTGGGGACTGTTACACTGATAGGATTTCGGTAAAAATCCAAAGACCAAGTTTTGAGTGTTGTACCAAATGCTGCTTTGGAGCCTTTCTTCAGTAGATCCAAAGTCCGGGACTGCTGCCTTGTGCTGGCCTGAACGTCTAATACGCTTTTCTCAAGAGGTCGCAGCGCGACGTCAGGCAAATTCATCATTTCACGCAGCTCCTTGGTGGTGAATGCTGCCTCTAATGGTCCTCTCCGCCCAATGACTGACACATGTTTAACTTTGGAGCTCCTGAGAGCATCAAGTACGTGGCTAGGCACGTCGTATTTCTCCAAAAGCGAAGGAGGGCAGAGAAGCATACGTGCGACGTCTAGCGAAACGTTACCCATACCGATGATAGAGACGTGATTTGTGGAACTAAGAGGAGGCGGGGAGGGATTTGATGGATGTCGCGTGTACCAATGGACTATATCTAGCGCAGGGATGATACCGTCGTCCCTCGGTAGAAGTGGATGCAGATTTGGTTCTGTGCAACCAGTCGCGAATACAAGATGGGTATAGTTCTTCTTCAGTGAGCTTAACGGCACACCGTTAAGCGCATTCTCTCCATCCGACGCAACATTCACATTTCCGAAGAATTTCAGTCTCGGGTCAGAGGCTGCAGAATCGAACTTGTGTGTACAGTTTTTTACTTCGGGATGGTCCGGAGCAACGCCGTAGCGAACGAGCCCATGAGGGGCCCATAGGCGATCAAATATATGGACTCGGAGTGAATCTGCGTAAGATTGCGGAAAACGAGAAAGCAGACGAGAAGCAAGGTAGAAACCAGAAGGTCCTCCACCGATGATGGCAAGTTTGAGAGGTCTAATCATTGAATCGCAATGCCGGCGGCAAAACGCACCTCCTCTTCCATCCCATAGCCAATTCAGAGCCAATCTATCGACTAATTGCTCTGCACATCGAAGTTCCTCAATCTAGGTCACCAATACCACATCAATGAATTTTCAACTATTTTCAACAAGCAAGGCAAAAATTATACTAGATACAAAGGTAGGATATAGACAATCGCGAGCTATAATACAGGTATGTTCGAGAGAAAGCATACTATTGGATACATGGTGAGAAAAAGAAAGCTTTCATAGAATGGGGTTTTTTTTAACTATGTGGAAGGTAAAAGTTCTTAAAAATGGCAAAACCCTTCGAAAATCTGCTGCTCTTCCGCGACGGGCGTGTCGAACATCAAGTAATCCTCCGGTGTCGATTGGTCCATCAGACCAATATTGTAATTATGGAGAGCGGCGCTTTCTACAACGACGCCTGGGTTCCAGTAAGAGGCTGGGGTCATAGTAGACGCGTATCCTTCGGGGTTGTACATGTGACAGTTGACTTCCGTCGGAGCGGTTATTGCCCATCCAGGAGGCGCGGAAGAGGACTCGGACATAGGCGAGGTCGACACCGTCTGGTTTATTTGGGGAACCACTAACCCATTCCAGCCTGCGAGAGAAGAGGAGACTGTCGCTAGCGGAGGCGTGGCTGATAACTTCGGTTCAAGGGTAAGGGAAAGAGACCCGAATCCGAGGGCAGAGTCATGATCTGGATACTAAAATGAAATTATTTTCTTGTTAGTAAACAATGGAACGATCGTAAACTAAAGCAAACGTACCTCGGGATACAGGAGCTCAAATGTACTGATACTGCTACCAGGAGACGAAAGGGGCGAGGAAGGCAAAGTCAGAACACCTGACTTACTAGTCCTACGCATTTCAAGTCTTTCCTGTGGAGTCAGGAGAAGAGGCGGGAGAATAGGCACCGAGATAGATCTGCGCTTCAAGAACCTAGGTGTACTTTCGACGACTGGTTGCGAAACCTCAGCAACTGGAGGAACGTAGTCATCGTCGTCAGAAACTGTGTTCGAAGACTCCAGACGGCTATCCGCAGACTGTGAAGCTCGAGAAACAGGATTACCACCATGACGACGTCGCCGAGAAGACGAAGTGCGCTTTTTAGGTCGGTAACGATACCCAGGATGTGCGAGTGCATGAACCTTTTTCTCTTGATCTGCGAGCTGCTTGTAGTAATTTTTCCTGGATTTAGAAAGCGACTTCCACGCATCGCCTGCCCTTTTGGACATTGTCTTGTCTACAGGGGGCAATCCTCGCTTTCCACCCACGCCAGTGTTACGAGCGTTTTGCTTGGAGTAGTGGCATCGGAAGATGATGAATGCGTTTCTAGGGCGGGCTACCCAGTTCGGGTCGCCTCTCCTCGGTCGGTCATCATCGTCTGCGTCGGGGTCGGGGTCTTCTTCGGAAGGGGAACTAGAAAGCGGACTGGCGGCCCAAGATTTCGTATTCGAGCGGCGATAGAGGTCAAATTCCTTTGTGATAGTAGAGTCGGTTGATGGCGTCCAGCCGAAAACCTGAAGGGGCATTGCGGACGAGTTGAAGGAGAAGGAGGGGATAGGACGTTTTAGGCCTCGGGACCTTGCCTTTTATCCTTTTTCTTTATCCCCAAACCAATGATGTCCTATTATCCCCAGTTCTACAAACAAGTAAGTGCCTCGCATCTTAGATTTGTTCGATCATCTTTTTTCTCTTCGATCGACCAGGCCAGAGTTTGTTCAAGCGTCCTAAGCGTCCAGCGCAAATGGGTTTCTTCCTGTTTCTTTCTCAGACAACTTTGAATAGTTCTTTTGTGCTCAATCTAAGATACGGAGCTATCTTCCCTTGGTAGAGTGCTGTATCCCTTAGTCTTGGTTCGCTTAATGCTGGTTTGCTGCTCTCAGCGCCGTTCGTTCTCGTTTTTGTTCTAGATTTTAAACAAAATCCAGAGATAACCTGCCTCTCAATCCTTATGTCAGGAAATCGCTGCTACACGAAGGTGAAGAGAGCTGAAGATAGGTGAAGGTCCAAAGTCAAAATTGCACCCAAATCTCGATAAACTTCCGCGAACAAAAATTTGCCACGTTCACTAGAATTTTGGTTCCGCACAATAAAGCCCTGTATAGCCCAGGTCCGTTATGAATTAGAAAGCTCCTCTCGACCAATGTCTCATACCACAGATTTGGTCACCCCCGCAGAATTTGTTCTCAAAGCTCCGAAAGGCCTACCAAATCTGAAAAGAAAGTCTTTTTCGCGACCCCGTCATCAAGATTACCCAGGGATACTTAGAGATACCCTGCATAGAACACCCTGGAACACCCCAGTTTGAAGAACGACTCCGAAAGGAGGCTCCTATAATAGCCTATAATCCCAATTTTCGATGTTAATCGAAGTTCGGCCGGAACAGACACACCGATGCGCACTTCTTAATCCAAATATGGAAAGCGCTGTTCGCTCTTACGGAACAGTGGTTACGAAGAAGAGAATGTTCGAAAAAGTTTGAAGAATGTGCAACGAAGGAAAATCTTGGAATTAGAAAGCTACGAGTGACTCAAAAGAGCTCGTAAGGTCTACTCACGAAACTTTCGAGAGATCAGGGCCTTCCGTCAATCTCTGCCATTGCCTGTTGTTGTAAAATGCAAAGCTAAATCAAAATTCTGAAGTTGTCCAAGTCTCTTCGAGAGTGTACCACTAGGCTCCACTGTCGTGGACCACACCTTGCTTGGTACATATTGTAGATTTAAAACGCGGCGCGCGCCCTGTGTGCGCAGCGAGTGGGTACAGGGCCTCCGGTGAGTTGTTCTGGAACCTTCAAACAAAAACAAGTTCAAAGTGTGCCTGCACATTAAAAATGTCCAATTCCGGGGTAGAATTGATCTTGCAAGCAAGGTGATGTATCAAAAGCAGCTTGGATGGTTGTGCTCGCAACTTGTCCTTACTATCATCAAAAATACTCTACCACGACCGCTAAATTATGACTGCTTCCTTAGCTCAGTCGGTAGAGCGCCAGTCTCATAGTTGATTATGAGCAGTGGAATACTGCGCAATCTGGAGGTCGCAAGTTCGAGACTTGCAGGGAGCAATTGGTTTTTTTTGCTTCTTGTTCTTACTTTTTAGACGCGAAATAAGAGTTTGTGGAAAATCATCAACTCGCAAATCCGTAAATTCAAAGAAAAAATCAGGTCACGTGGAGCTATTGCTATTGGTAGATCACATGCACATGAGAGCTACGTACTGGAAAAAGTTAAAATTACCAGTCACTGCGGGGATGAGCCGATTTCCTCGAGGCAAAAATGTGAATTTTATCTCGAGGTTATGTACAAAAATATGGCAGCAGATATTTTGAAGGAACTGAGCTGATGTTATGGTAAAATTATGAAAAGATAATTTAAAATAAGCATGGCCCCCCGCCAAATTCACAATAGCTTCATAATAATCGCCACACGAGAAGTTTTAAAATTCGTGCTCAGGATTTTTGATGAATTTTGGTAAAAATCCTTGCATTTTCTCTTCATTTTCACTGTGAAGACATTGGCTCATCCCCACAGTGAGTGGCACATTCTAACTTACATCCCCTCCTATTTTCATCTCTGATAAGTTCAAGCCTTGCAGGGAGCAGTTGTTTTTCTTTATCCTCGCAAATACTTAGTACTGTGTGTGGGTTGGGGGATGTGTGCAGTAATTTTTTCAGAAATTTCAAAAGAGTTCTGCCATTCTTGAGCTTGTCCAAAATAGTGTCACTGAGGCTGAAAAATATGCTGAAAAATATAGCGACATTTAGGTTACAATGTCGGGCAGGGTTCAGTGGCCTTTGATTGAATTTAAAAAGCTGTCTACAAAAGTCTAATCAACGAGGCAAGAGACTTGATCTCCTCTCATCCCAAGTTCGAGGGAGCAGGTTATTTTGCTATGTAAACCATTGATCACAACGTTCGCCCAGAATGCTTCCATTTATTTGATATCATGTAATAAATATTATCAAAATCAGGCAAGGTCAAAGCTGTAAATATTAAGATATATGTGGTCATTGCGGTCAAGAGCCAGCACATATTCCAGGGCATCGAGGAGGTCAGTAGTTTTGGGTGACATGTTGGGGTTTTTCATCCTCACAGGCGGCAGGGCCAGTACAAGTAGTGACCCCAAGACGAAATCATGTGAATCACATACAGCAAGTCATGTTATCGATAAGTGAATGCTAATCATAACAACAGACATTCAACATGGAAAGTGTAGACTGTAGAAGCGCCATGTAATGATTCTGATGATAACACTTCCCACTCACGCCAGCTGTCGCCGCCAATTGTGAGCTTCAAGTTGGGGGTCAATTGCATGATATGAGGCACCTTCAGCGGAGCTTGAGGGTACTTACAGCTTACTGCATGCATGCAAGTTAACAGCTGATTGTGTTTGACGCGCGCCACAGGTACTGGCCTTCAAGGATGTATTTTAATAGCTTATGCAAGGACAGAGAAAGCATATGAAGCTTCATACACATACAAAAAATCATGCGACTCTCAGAAATTGGTTGGAGCGGCCTCAAATTGGTCAGAATGCACTAGTACGCCCCAGGGCAGAAGGTGATTTGCAACCAAGGTTCCAAGAATAGTGAACTGTGAGACAGACTGTAATAGACTGTTGTTACAGTTGTGACAGGTTCTAGTTGATGGAGAAATTTCCCTTGCATCAATATTAAATTTGTTGTTGACTAGGCTCCACTGTTGTGGATGGCACCCTGCTTGGTACCAGATGCTTTTCATTACATAAAGATCAGACAAAGATAATAATTTTATTGCGAGTACTACAGATACAAAGAAGCATGATAATCAGTACATACATTGTATTGCAGGCATTTACAGTTTTGACATGTTCTGCTGTTCCAACACCAACCCCTCTACTTCTTTGCCCAGTCCACCATCTCTGACAATGTCTTTTGACCACAGATGTCTGCCAGTACCTGCATCAGTGAATGTGCACCATAGCTCACTGCAATGCCAGCCACAATCCAATGTGTTCGATGCCTTGTCTTCCATTCTCAAAAAACTGTCTTTGCACATGCAGTGGAGGCATCACATATGGATATTGCCTGCACAAAACAATCTAAATTCCGGAGTGCAATAGACCTTGCAAGCAAGGTGACAATGCATTTCGATCCATCATACTATGTGCAAATCCTCAACTAATCAACAAGTTGACAACAACCCAGTTGACCGAAGTGCGACAAGCGCTTATCAAACTTATTTTCCATTTTTAGAGCGGGCGCTAAGAGATAGTTGACATGATATGGTTGTGCCGGTTCCTCTTCCTCTTCCAAGGTTTTATCTCTCGAGATGCCCCCGCACTTAGGTGAAGGAACCTGAAAACTGTTTTTATGTAGTCCCCATGAGCTTGCCTGAACTGCTCAATGGCTTTTGGTATTATTAGGTAATCAATAAGCGCCTACCGATAGCGCCCATTGTTCTCTTTATAGAAAGTTCATTGTTCTTTTTTATTGTCTTTTACTTACTTACGCGACGCGAAGAATGGCAACCGCAGCCTTTTGAGCGCATCATTTCTCTATCCTTCTGTCCACAATCTCCTCCCTTTCGTTTACGATGCTTGAACTTTCTTTACTGCCCATCGGTGAGAGTGCCACTTGTACATACTTGTACAATCTTTTACTGACATATTGTCCTTGTAGGCAGCATATTCTTACGACTTGCACTTTTCTCCACGTTTCACGCTGCTACAGCAGGTAGGTCGCCAAACTATACTAAAGACAAGCTTTTCTTACCACTCTTTTAACAGCAACATCATCCACCCCAACCGTCGTTTGCGTTGCAGGTCAATGTCTGGAGGGGTTTTCAAATACGACCCGTACGCTATGCTTCGTTTATTCTACACCTTGAATACTTATCCATAACCCCATAGTCGGAATGACAATATCTGCCTCTGGAGCGCAGACAAGTGCATTGTTGCTTCCTGGTCAATACACAACGACGACTGATCCAGAATTACTCCATGGTCTCCTCACCTCATCTTCCTCATCATTATCACCATCCACCGGTTTTAATTCCTCTTCCGTCTCGCTTCCGTTAACTGTCGCTCTTGAACCCGGTTTAGCGATCTATTCTAACTCTTTGTACGGTGGTTCCGCTGGATTTTCATCTCTTCCTACTTCCCCGGTCGGTAATTCTTCGACTTCTCTGAGTGCACAGTCGCTCGCTCTTTCGTCCAATATCTGGGCCGCCATCAACGTCGGTTCTACGAATCGTGTCGTTTTCTGGGACTCCGTGCCAGATTTCTCCCAACTTGCGGTATCAGGCTCGCTATCCCTTGTAGACATGCAATCCTCTGCTTGTGAGCCTGCTTGCTCGAGCAATGGTATTTGCACGTCGTCTGGTACTTGTTCATGCGCGGCTGGTTTTACCGGAGCCTCTTGCGAATCTTGCGAGTCTGGTTTCTTCGGTTTGTCCTGCCAGGCTTGTCCTTCCGGCTGCCTCGACTGCGACGATGGCATATCTGGGACTGGAAAGTGTCTTGCTTTCAACATCACCAACGCGCCTTCTTCTTGCAACTGTCTCAATGGTGAATGCGGGTCTAATGGGCAATGCAGTTGTAACGCAGGCTGGACCACTGCCGACAACGGTACAGCTTGCGCTAAATGTGCTTCCGGATTCTTCTTGACCTCCACCGGCGACTGTAAAATCTGCGAGATTGGATGTTCTGCATGTGCGGATATTACAGGAGACTGTCAGACGTGTAAGAGTGGTTTCACACAGGACGCCAATGACAAGACCAAATGTGACGCCGAACCGACTACTACCAGTTCTGGGACTGTTTGTCCAGATGGCAGTTTTAGCTCGGGTACAACTTGCTCTACATGCTCTCCAAGTTGTCAGACCTGTAATGGAGCAACTTCCAACGACTGTATTATTTGTGCCAGTGGAAGCTACGCGTTCAATGGAAGCTGCATCACTGCAGACTCTAATGGTGTCTGTGAGGGAACAGGACTTATCGCCGACAACAACAAGAAGGAATGTGATAGTGAGTTTAATCTTTCTCCCGACTTTCGTGACCATTCTTAATCATACTTCTTCTAGCCTGTGGAGCGAAGTGTACATCGTGTGGGATATCCGGTTTTACCACCGCATCCACCGTCAACCAGCTACAATGCACAGGCTGTCTACCCGGTTCGTTCCTCTCCAACGGAAGTTGTGTAAGCAGTTGCCCTGCTGGTACTTTTATTTCGTCACAGGACAACACTACCTGTTCCGTCTGCGACTCTTCTTGTTCCACCTGCGCAGGCTCATCCACATTCTGTTTAACTTGCGCCAACGGCGAGCTTGCCTCGAATGGTCAATGCGTCAGCACCTGTCCCGCTAACACCGTAGCCTCTAATTCGACGAAAACCTGCCTTAACTGTCATCCCGACTGTGTATCTTGCTCTGGAACCGCTTTCAACCAATGTTTGTCATGCCCTCCGGATCGACCAGTACTGAATCAAGGACGTTGCCTCCCTGTATGTGGCAAATCGCAGTTCTTCGATAGTACGAGTGGAAGTTGCCAGGCTTGCGATTCGAGCTGCTCTAGCTGTTCGGGATCTGGATCGTCCGAATGCCTTGCATGTTCGAGCTCTTCGCAGGTGCTGAAGGGCGGCTCATGTGTGTCTGCTAACTGCAATGGCACTACTGATGTTGTTACCGGCTTAGGGGTTTGTCTTTCGGACCTTGTGGTAGTTCCGCAAGCCTCCAGTAGTGCGGCACCTTTACCTACCATCACCGGACTTACGCAACCCACTGTGGTCACGCAAACTTCCTCGAAACGTCTTCAGTGGTGGGAAATCCTTCTCATGGCTCTCGGATGTGCCTTCATTTTCCTAGCAGTCATTTGGTGCTGGAGGAGAAGGGCAAGGAAGCAGAGGGCGAAGCGCACCAAGGCATTCGCACAAGCCAAAAATATCGACCAATCGACTAGCTGGAGATGGAGGCTTGTGAGGTTTGGGGAGAAGCTCTTTGGTCACCGAGCTAGCAAGCGCGCGTACCCGGAGCCTACACCGGATGCTAATCCAGGATTAGATTCGGAAGCGCTAAAGTTGATGAAACTGAGGAACGCAGAGGAAGCTAGACATAATCAAGAGATGGAGAAACTGATGCTTATATCGGATTATCAGTATCCCCCTGAGAAGCGGTCGAGCTACTATCCTCCCTCTGTCCTTCCTTCTTTATACGACGTCGGGCATTCTCGAAAACACCTTCATGCAGTAGACTCTGCCACCAACAGACTTTCTGGACCTTCGCTGTACTCTCAGGTCACGGGTGTACCACGGAATGGTCCTGAAGCAAGGCAGCCGGTCAAGAAAGATCTAATCACTTCAAGGTTTTCAGCATCGTCGTTGAACTCTTCAACTGCCCATTCTGCCAAATCGAGGGATCTGACGCGTCCCCATACTCCTGCTGAGCAGTACGCTATGGATGTGAGGTCTGATCTACTTGTGGATACATCCACCCCGGAACAGTCATCTCACCACGCTCATTGGATTCAGCCTACCCACACGGGAGCTACGGTTTCGTCTAAAAATCCTTTCCGAAGATAGAATCAGAGTCATGGACACTTTCTGGATCACGAACTTTTTTTTTGTCACGACCTCTATTTCTCCATAGACTGGAACTCATCGCATACATATACATTAATCTCTCTTTCTCACTCATTTACTTGACCATCTTTTCATCAGGTGTTTTTATAGTCTTCGTAGTCACTACACTTATGTAGCATAGTGTATCCTCCAACTTCAGTTACTATCATTGGGTCGTAATCGCAACTATTTGCATTGTCCATGATGAATCCCCCCAATGCGGTCTTCCTCATTCCTGATTGATAGCCTGACTGTTGTGTCAACTGGAAACGCCGCAACTCCCGAGGCCTGAGTCCTGACTGTTTCCTACTTCTGCAGATCAAAGCGTTAGTCCTGGCCCTTGGTTGCCATTCAATTCAGATGACATTGCCCGCGAACGAATGAACTTTATCGTTGCTCCATCCCTAGTTGCTTTGTCCTGCATCTGTCCTAGACGAACTGATTTCGATTCGGTGTCTCGGACGGGACGAGATCATTCGTTTGATGACTGTCCTGTCTTCGCAGTTGCTACTAAGCAAGACCGAATATATGAGCTCATGGGCGATGAAAGGTAGTAACGATTGGCTCTCGAGTCTCGTCCATAAATTGCACAGTGAATGCTCCTCAGACCTGTGTATTCGCCTCGTATATTGGCCCTGATTCTCTTGAGTAGTATTGAAAACGAATGACAGCGGACAAGATGCGGGACGTTCTATCGTTGCATTGCCTTTGCCCCTTGTTTTCGATCCGCGAAGATGTACGAAGTCTCAAGAAGTGTTTCACAGTCGGTGGGAGTGAAACTGAAAGCTAACTGTCAGCCCATATATCCAAAATAGCACTTCTGGACCAGCCAAAGCCTTTCCCACCTTTGTGGGCGACTTCCATCATCCACATGTGGAGGAAGCCATCGTTTATAATTATTGTCTTCTCTTCCGATCCTATCGTCTCTGATCATGGTTGATATTAGATTAGTATGCGAAGCATCGCTGGTTAAGTGAAAGAGTGAATAAATTCAGATAAAGATTCGAATGAAAGTCGACGCCGTCCTCTGATTTGGAGAACAATGAAGAGACATAATCCGATAGTACTAGACCAGAAGTGACCAAAAGTGACCAAAAGTGACCAAAATAACAATAACTGACAATTGGGCTGCAGTTTGAGCGAAGATGAAATCGATTTTCCTTGCCCGAGTATATCATCATCAAGACGATTTGGGGTCCTGTAATCTTTTCAAGGTATACATATGCACCGACTATCACAAGAGATTTTGTAAGATAGCGAAGACAATTAGAATTATTGATATACATAAACCTCAGATGCTATGAAATCAAGTTCCAGACATACTTGGAACCGCCGAAGGGTTTTGTTGAACCGTTTCGGTTGTTCTTACATAGTATGCCACATTTACGGAACAGCCAAGGCGAAGGGGAGCAGCGGTAAGGCTTAGTTGTTGACACGCCAACCATGCTTGCAAGATGCACACTGGAACAGAGTATATGAGGACTCGGTAGAATTAAGGAGAAAATTCGTACGGTATAAAACACCGTTGAGCCTTCATCTGCACTTCGGAGCTGACCGTGTACGGTTGAGACTATAGCTAATGAGCGTACAACAATCATACAACGCACTTGAAGAGCTTTAGAGTAAGCTTCAGGATGATTACATGCTGGACATTTTTCGGAGACCTATTAAAATTTAACATCGCCGACAGGATTAGAAAGCACTCTTCTCCCACATACCAGATCGCCCAAGTTGTCGGAGTCGTGAGTTTTCGTTTGAGTTTTTCTTTTCTGCCTTAGAGCAGATGGAAAGGCATCAGGATGTGATCTTGTGGTGATCTTAATATTTTCGTATGCTGTAAAAACATGAGGAATGTTCAATTTTACCTCAAACTCGCGGATACTTACAGGTAGCAGGTTCTTGATGACCACATTGTTCGCACAAGACGTTCGGTTCGCTATCTTTCGGAAGATCGAGTAATGTACCACAGGTTGGACAAAATAGTAGCGATCCTGGAATATTCAAATAGTAAGCAACAAATCGGGTAAACAAGATAGCACGAACCTATCTTCGTCGCCATCTGGTTGGGTCAAAGCAAATTTATCTTCACCAAATTAGGAAGAAAAACAAGATCGAGATCACGTGGTAGAACGTGAAAAAAGAACAATAACAACCGGAAGACGAATTGGGCACAAGTACCAGGCCCCGGTGGTACCCGAAGGAATGTGTACAGGCGCTAGAACGTCTCCCGAAAGGCGCGCTCCATTCAATTTTCCACAAGAAGAACAATTGCAACCCCAAATCGAGAAGTTATCTATAGGATCTATAGGATTTCACAAGATTTGACATAGCGCATCGTTGATTCTTTTGTCTTTTTGCGTGTCTTGCTTCTGTCTGTGGGTCCAAGCTTGTCCTTATATCTGCGTCATGGAAAAGGTCCAAGCTCGCTACTGGTACACCCAACAGCTGTACTCCTCTCTAATATCCCTTCTGTTCTCTGAATTTTCTTTCGTCCACGTCGAACGTGACGATTTACTTGACGGTCCCCTCACTAGCCCTCTTTTGTGAACGATTTTGCACCTACGCCACATTACTTCCACATATAACCTGCTCAGCAATGTCTTCTTCCGCCACCACCACAAACTATCATGTTCCCATGCCAGCTCATCACCATTTTAACCTCCGTGTGATACTCCTCTGTGCCAACGAGCGATATCGTGTTATTGCAGAGTCTTTCCGCGAGAACCTCCGCTTATCGCATCACGCACGGAAACGGGCTCAAGCCAAGGGTCTCAAAATCGATACTGCTAAAGCTACTCGATGCCCTCAGAAACTTGTTTCCGTGCTTCCGTTGCATGAGATTGACACTTCAGTAAGCCCGACTATCAACAGGGCTGCCTCGGAAGACTTGCTCCCAGTGATTCCTGCTGCACAACGCCGCCCTGTTATCCCTCGTATCACCATCCCCGCACCGTCAGCTCCCAGGCCTGTTATGGGATCTGATGTATCAGTGTCGAGGATGGCAGTTGGCCCTAGCAAGATTTTTGCTCCTGTCGCCTTACGTGGTCAGGGTAATCCTTGGCGTGGCCCTACTTCCAGGTTTTCCATCACTCCGAACAACGAGCTATTCCAGGTCAATCAGCCTGTCATTCCGGATGTCCCTCAAGATATGACGGAGGCTGAAGACGATGCCTCTTCCGGTTCTTCTGATGCATCCTCCTCTGGTCCTTCTACCCCTGTAAGATTTATCTGTGACCTACTCGCACTCTTTCTGACAAAGAAACTCATCTTTACAGGATGATTTCTCGTCGCTGATGATACGATTCAAGCGCAAGTCGCTTGAAGTCGAAGATGAGTCCGCTGCTTTTGAAAAGCGACCTAAGGCACGTAATATTTTTTTCTTCTCGTTTACAAATCAACTGAATAAGACATCACTCGCAGTATGTACGCAAGGAATGGTCTCAACCTGATTCCAGCCGAAGTATCGAGAGGAAGCCCCATTCTCGTTATCCTTCCACACATTACCAGGTGGCCGCATGAAAGCCGAGTTCAACTCACTGACATCGAGTTTAGTATGCGTACTTTCGATTTCCCAACAGCACTCGATCTCAAGCCACGTTCCTGACGCCTTTCCGATGACACAAACGGACAATCCAACGAATCCTATGTTCTCGCTTTCGAACTTCATTATCACAGTATCCTTTTAATTCGTTCAATCTTCCCAATAATATGGTATACCAACGTCCTCATCCGACAGAGTCCTGAGTTTTTTGTGTTTGATTTCTTCTGGCTCTTGTAAATCCTGTGTCTTTCATTGCATGTCCTGTTCCTGCTATTATTCAATCATGTATCTATTTGGAAGAGATTGTCACCCTCCTTGTACAGCTGTTCATGTCGTAGCCTCCCTCCTGTCTTTTCGCTATCTGTAGCTATAACCAGTAATAATGGATTTTCCCCAACATTAGCATCAAGTACTGTTTCCCTTTGAGTTCCTCAAAAATCTTGGAACGTTTCCTTTGCGAGCCGTCCCCTTGAACATGTTCTGCGCAATTATATATATATTCCAATACTGCGTGCTAAACCAGAAATTGAACGCTCCAAAATGTTTTGGGTATCAGAATATCGTCGCCAGAGCGCCTTCATCAGCATATGCATCTCCCAACCCACCAAGCTTTCCAACATTAGCCCCAGGCCCGTTCTTCCCGAATGTAAACCCAACCCAAACGCCTCGCCCAAACGCCTCCTCCTTCTCCTTTACTTTATCCACGTTCTTCTGCTTTTCCCGCACCTCGGCGTATTTGGCCATGTCCTCGAGTGAGGTAAAGTCATCGTAGTATCCAGTGTCTACTTCCGAGTCGAGGGCTGGAACGAAGGGTGCGCGCGTGGAACGGAGGTCGTCCCAATGGACAGGAGGATTGCATTCTTTGAAGAAGGGATGAGAGGTGACTTGAGATAGAGTAGAGTAACGGGAACTAGCGTGGGCAATAAGGCTGAAAAGAAGGATCAATAAGTTTCAGCGGTGCTAAGAGACGACGTACTGAGTGACTGCATCCCATGCGACATCACTCAAGTTGAAGATCAAGTCCTCGGGCTTGTCGTATTCAGGTCGGCGAAGTACAGTTGTCCAATTTTTCAGATTCGTCCATGTCTCCTCAGGAGTACTTCCACTAAATGGAGGGAACCCTGCAAGAAATTCGAAAAAGATGCAGCCGAGCGACCAGTAATCTACAGAATAGCTGTAGGGCTTTCCGCGGAGGACTTCAGGGGCCTGACAGTACTAGCGTCAAATCGAAGTAGAAAAGCTTCAATTTCTCTTACCATGTAATCGGGCGAGCCAACAATCGAGTCTGCGTAGCGGGGGTCTTCATTCCGGATAGAACGGTATATTGATCGACGTTCGAGGGTGGATCTATGCACTACTTGATTATCTTTGACCTTGTCCAGCTGCAGATACCGCATGTAATCAGTGAATCGCAGTTAGACACCCATCTGAGACTAAGATGCAGACCTTGACTTTCAACGATTCAATACGTTTAGGGTTTAAGGCACCAGTAGCCAATCCAAAGTCAGTGAGCTTGACGTGACCGGTACCATCGACAAGGAAGTTCTGTTCGATGATAGATCAGTTATCTGAAAGTCGGAACAAGAGTAGCAGCACGCGCCTCTGGCTTCAGATCACGATGGATGTATCCAAGCTTATGGAGTTCATTCACCGCAGCGAACATCTCGCTGATGTAAAACCGGGCATGTTCCTCTTTGAGTACACCAGAGTTATTGAGAAGTGTCCGGAAATCGCCTCCTGGTACATATTCCATGGCAAGATATACATGTTGAGGGTCTTGGAATGCATAGAGAAGACGAACAAGCCATGGCGTTTTTGTAGCGGTTAGGATATCCCGTTCAATGAGTACGTGGCGGATCTAGGGTTTGGTGGGTGTTAACCGTCAAGGGGAAAGTCTACATCTCTCTCACCTCGTCCATCTTGTGTAGTGTTCGTTTCTTCATCTTCTTCAACGCGCATACCTCTCCTGTTTCCTGCTTCCGCGCAAGAAAGACTTCACCATATCCACCTTGACCAACTTGAGCGATGATGTGGAATTGATCAACACGCAGTTTAGCACGGCGTTTTCGTAGAATGACACGTTCTCGTCCACAGTAGGATTTGAATTCCTTCGCCGTCTCCGATGCAGTCAAGCCACGGTCTATAGTGTCTTTGTCAAATAGCGCGCGACGTTCCTTGCGTGTAGCAAGATAACCAAGTGTCTGAAAGTAATAATCAAGGAAGTCTAGTTGTTGAGCTGATCAGTACAGATCGGAAGCATATATGAGAAATACACACATAGTTGAGCCACAGTAGCCTTCCGTTTAACCTCGCTGCTCTCCAGGAGTTCCCTATCCCTCAAAGGCAGACCAGATTGCTTGATAGTCGATACAGAAGAAGTCGAAGCTTTGGCGGTGTCCATTCGTATGTCGTTTCCGAAAGTCATGCCCTTGGCAGTACTCATCTGATAGTCGGTTAGACCAGACGGTGGAATGCCTTTGGCAGTCTGCATGTGGATATCGTATGGGCTATAATCATCTTCGGAGTACTTGGGAAGACCAGAAACTTCCTTCTTGGGTGAACGGGGTAGGGCTGGCATCAACTGTGAACCAATATACAGAGTGGCGGGACGCAAGTATAAATTGGGCCGTAGGTGCGCGCGCGGCGCGAGGGGACATTCAACAGCACGTGGCACTCATGTGCCGGATGATGCCGGCACAGTCCCATTGATCGCACACATGGGGACCGTGGAACCACTGTAGTCTCCCGAACTTAGCACGCTCCAGGAAATTGGTGTAAAGAAAACTCTTCATTGACCGCTACCTATGTACTTACCAGCTATACGTGTGCATGCGGAATGAACGACTTGCGCCCTACTCATGACTCGCAATAACGAACAGACCATATATCAGCATATATCGAGGAAGATGACCATCAACGCCTACTATCCTGTAATTCTTGTCTCAGCTCACAGCTGGCATGACATTCTTGGAACGTTAGAGCTAGCATTTTGGATTGGATTGCTTCACCTGCCTTCGGACATCTCTACAACAGAATCGACGCGACGCGCCCGCACGCGCCCTAGGAAACTTCCAACATTCCCGCCTGACCCATACTAGCCCGTACTCCGTGTCTGGTACCTGTTCTGAGTGGACATTGATATTAGGTTTTTCTTCGTCAATACACTTGACTCCCTTGTTAATCCCATAGGTCGACGCATCGGGGATACCTATTCAATTATTCTCATAAATACGAACAACCGTGTCAGCCGCAACGCGTACATTTTCTTCCCCGTTTTTTCTCCCCAAGGACTGTAATTTTGGGCCGATTTTTTGGGTTGAGTGTATCGACTAGTATTGGGATGGTCCACGTTATCACACCGCCTCCAACAGACGTTAGTCGAAACAATATAATTTGGTTGTAGGTTGTCTATTAAACTCAAATCAAATCCTTCAATCGATACAACGTATTTTATCCACAGGGCAGGACCCCGCCTCATAGGCATCCTGTTCAACTGGTCATTGCTTGGCGTCCTGACCACACAAGTATACATATATTACCTCAACTTCCCAAAAGATCTGAAGTGGCACAAGGTTTTAGGTGAGCGCTATAATGATGACTTCAATGCTAACTTCGGTGACCTTATTTTCTATACCAAGTATACATCGTATACCTTCTTGATTGGGCTCAAACGTGCTCTGCAACCTACGATGCCTTTCATTGGTTCGTATACGGTTGGGGAAGTATAGACGCGTTGTACGATTTATATTCGACATTTTTGAATGTACCAATCTTGTCTAGTGTCATTGCCGCGATCGTGCAGGTAACTACTAACCTTATATATCGCCTTGGTACCCGTACACGGTACAGTACCTGGCTGTGTTTACCGCCGTTCGCGGTCTTCCCTCGTTGACAACTTATTTCCGCAGGCTTTTTTCGCATGGCGAATTTGGAGATTGACGCAGTCCAGGATTATTTCGATCTTGATAATATTGCTTGCACTGCTACAATTGGGAGGAGGGATCGCTGTTGGGATTTTTGTAAGCACGTTGCGTTTGGTGAATCTGAATACACTGATGTTCTGTTGGTCTTTATACTTACAGGTCTGGAGAGATTCTTCCGAGGTCGCTCGTTCTGATGGACTGGTGAGCGCCGTTGGCGTAAGACTTGCGGGCAGCGCGTTTGCGGACACGGTTATTGCGATCAGTATGACATATTTTGTCAGTGTTGACTATTCACGACTTGACAATTGCTCACGCGTTCACCGTCTCATTCAGCTTTTGCGCAGCAAATCTCAGGTGATGGGGCATATGAACAATGTTGTAACTCGTCGTGAGTAAGACTTTGCGGCGCGAGTAGCCTCTATCGCTGCAGAATGCTTATGACGTCAATTCCATTCAGTGATCCGACTTACAATAGAAACCGGTACAATGACCGCCATCGCTGCCATCGTTGACCTCGTCTTCTTCCTCAAAGCAACCAATGGCCTTCACCAGGTATCCGGTGTCATCCTATGCAAATTATATAGCAATAGCCTGCTTGTTTTATTTAACAACAGGATGATTGTAACCTCTTCCAAGAAAGATCAAACACATTTTCTGTCTAATAGCAGTGGCACGAATACCTCCGAGGGAGAAAGCTCGAGGGAGCTAGAGACCTTCAAGGCAGCAGTACCTCGGGTCAGCACATTGGATTTGGACGGCGGGATTTCGGTCTCAACTAAAGGAGAGTGGAGGTCAAGATCGCAAATCGAGGCTATACCTTTGGATGATTTTACTTGACATTAACAGGGAGGGGTTGTTGCAGTATTCATTCTGTAAATTATCATATTTTAATAGCTTAGTACATGTGCTGGGATTCTTTGGATGAATATTATTACTAATGAATCGATGGCGTCGCGTACAAACCACGCTACCTGATAGCGCCTCGGGCGCGAGCTCAGAAAGATGCGATGTATACACTCACCTACATAGTAAAAAAACTTCGTACTTCATACATAGTATCAGTCAACCAATGTTGAATAGTGATAGTTCGCGAACGTACGGACGCATATCATCGCTGGGTAGAAACCAAGTCTCCTTCGGTACTTGAAGCCAAAGAGTCATTTTCTCCATCCTCATCTCCACCTCCCTCACCTTCCCCATGAATTGAATCAACTTCACCGTCGAATGTACTATCATTACTAATATCGAGAATTGCCTTCACATCGTTATCCATCATCTCAGCGTCAAAGGCGGTTTCGTCTCCTCTTTCACCAGCGTCAACAGGCTCCCCTGCATTGACGTCTTCAACCGATTTGGATTTTGTGTCTTTCTTTTGGTTCTGACTCTAGAATATTCAAGACCATGTTATCCTTTAGGCAGTCACGAAAATATAAAACGTACATGATACACAGCCGTCCAATATCCACTCCAGTATGTTGCTTCCAGCGCACGCTTGAACGCCTCGTCCTGGCTTACCATGGACCCGAGATCGCTCGATAGAGCGGTAGTATAATACGATGATAAATCGGGTTTGGAAACACCATTACTACCTTCTGGCATCATTCGAGGTGGTGCAGATCCAGGAAGAGACAATCCAGCATCGTGAGTGGGAATAAAAGTAGCAAAATCGAGAGGTTTTGAGTCGGATTCTATTGCTACATCTGCCTCGGTGCCGGTACTGACGGCGGGACCCTTGACAGAGGTTGTCGCAGCGACATCGACAACGCTAGGGGGTAATGGGTGAGATGTTTTTTGTTTCTTGGAGGAAGGTGGAGGAGTGTTGTACCATCTGTAACACAAATTTCAGCTAGCAGGAGAATCGGCATGAGATCAACTGACAAGGGGGACTTGTGAACGGGTTCGTTTTTCCAGCCTTTATCTGGACCGTGATATGCCTGTAGAACTCACGTTCTTTAGCGATCCTTTCATGATATAAAGTGAGCTTTACTTTGTACTCCTCCGCCGCAGCATTCCAAGCCTCGATGAGCGCCGAATCATCCCATATTTCCTCATGAGTAAGCTCTCTACTTTCTTCCACTTCCAAGTAAACTGCATCTTCGTCCTCTTCACCGTCAAAACTAGTATTGTTTCCTATGTTACCGTGATTCCCTGAGGTGGCGGCAGCGCTGTGACGCGACTTTCTTTTACGTTTTTTCGAAGATGAAGATTTATTTGTTGTGAACGTCCGATTGTTATTGTGAGCAGCAATTCTAGAAGTTTCTTGGACTACCGCAGAAACCGAATCATAGGGAAGAGTGATATCATCGTAAGAGACCACTGGCCTCATGAGTGTTGTAAGAAATGAACAAGCGCTAATTAGAACGCGTCCTTGGGCTTTTGATCCTTCCATGACTTTCCTCGGCAGACTTTTTCTCGTTGAAGGAATTCTCAAAATCCTCGGGGGAGCGTCTTTTCTTGCTCTCCCTGATTACTATCTCACCAAAGCTCTGCCAATTGTACCACCAATCACACCTTCTTCTGTCACTTTATTCCGAAGCGTTGGTTCGCAAACACTTGCCTTCAGCGTTCCACTGCTCTTAGCATCCAGAGACACTCCGACAGCAGTCGCCAGTCGCCGTATCGTCTACTGGACAATACTTGCCAGAGAAAGCTTTTTATTTATCACACTGTTATTACGGGAAGGAAATCAACAGGGAGGCTTTTCTCAAGAAGCTATACGGAGCTGGCTCATAGAGCTGGCGCCGTTCATATTGGGGAGATTGTGGATTCTTATGAGGAGGAACGAATGGTTTAACTAAACTACGTCGGGCAAGGATGGGGTGGATTGGAATGGTGTTGTGTTTTTTTACATCGTTTAGGATTAACGATTAATAGCCCAATGTGCAGCTAATGTGTTACATATTGATATGCGCAGCACTTCTATAGTTCAGTCACAGTGCGTAAAATTACCCTACTTTCATCAAATTGGATCTCACATGTACGGTACGGACTATGTATGGACTTGTCTGGTCCTGTGTAGACATGCGGAACGATATCAATGCCTGTGACATGTCTGATGCCGGGAACGAAATCTTGTCAAGCCTTCACGACATCCATGTTGTCCTCACTTCCTCCAGAGCTACTTTATAAGGTTGGACTTGAGGTATATGTGTCATTGTAGTGCTTTTGTGGCATTAACTGACTAGACAAATTGACAGACTACGCGACTTGAGGACAGGAAAAGTCTTCGCAGGACTTGCTCCTTGTTTGCAGAGATCTTCAGAGCTCATGTCCTGGCTGAAGTGACACTAAATATTCACGGAGATAAACTGGATCCCGGTATCAGCTTGTTACAAGCCCTTGTCGACGATCAGGATTCAAAGTCGGGCCTTGCTAAATTCATCAAAACCCTCTGTATTGAGTCACTTTCGCCGTCTTATTCTCTCGAATCTGAGCGGGAATTTGAAAGGAAGCAGGGAGAGTGTAGAATTTCGTATCATGCGGAAACCCTAAAGAGGTCTTGGGTGAAGACTGAGTCGGACATAGTTTCCATAGCAGAGAGGAAGTTGCAGCTGTTGCTAGAACCTGCTCTAAAGTCTTTGTCTTGTCTACGGTCAATCAGGTATGTGTACTTATCACTGCTGTGCAAATTTGCCTCGATACGACTCATTATGCATAGATGGCAATGGCTTGGATGGAAGGAATCTATATGGACGTTGAATGCCGTAGTGGCATCATTATCGAATATTCACAATATCGAAGATTATGCATTTCATTATGAACCCCCAAGTCATTCACGTTTCCCGCCTCTCCCACCGTTCCCAGATTTTGGCCGATTGCAAAAAATCTCTATATCTGGGACTTTCTTCAATAGCTCCATAACGTCCCTCATCGATCGACTATCTCTGCCATCAACATACCTCACAACACTGAGACTATTTCGGGAAAGGTCGTACCATCGTTTCTTCCATCTGAATGCCGTTGTCCCTCCTACAATACTTAACCTCAGCCTTGCCGGATTCATGCTTGACTTCTCTCAGATCGTCCACGGTAATCTTACCTCACTGGAACTTGGTGATGTCTACAGTCCCGGTACGCAGAACTTGGACACAAAACTGAACGCGCTTTGGATTTCACTTTTGGCTCAGGACATCCGTCTCCAGAGTCTCATCCTATCAAGTTCGGCCACCGAATTCACTGATGGGTTCTTTAATTACCTTCAGTCCTATCGTGGGCTTGAGGTCCTCTCATTCCGAGGTCCATGGGCTTATAGCGAGGTGGAATACGACGACGCTGCAAATAGGTTCTACAGAGATGTTTTACCAATGCATGCAGATTCGCTTGTGAAGCTAGAACTGAGGGTGGTGTTTGAGAGCAGGTGGTGTTTCGGAGAGCACAATGTCGAGGCGTTTCGGAGATGCAGAAAATTGAAAAGCCTTTGGGTCAAAATAAATCATAGAGGACTCGAAGAGGACCCAACACCTTACAAACCAGATATATACGCTGACAACAATTCACCACTCAGAACACCTTTTCCAAACTCTGTGGTGTGTTCTGTGACTTTTGTCCGACTTTTTCTATTCCCTAATCACTCAGTTTCTCCTTTCATATGTAGCATCTCTTACTCAAAATGATCTCGTCCTATATTCCAGATCTTGAGAGACTCACCATCGAACCTGCGCGAAACCCTGAGTGGGCACATCACCGTGGAGATGGGATCTGGCTCTTGGGAGCGAAATTTTGCTTGGGGATTCGACGACGTCTGCATGCTTCAGTCCGAAGTTTTGTTGCTTGGGATTCATCGTCTACTAACAGTGTAAGTGGAGATGTGCGAAATTGGGTGAGGATGTATGTCGGGAATGAGAAAGTAATTGTTCCAGTCCAGATTCCAAGTCACCGTAACGGTATGGTTTCTTTCAAAAAGAAGTCGGCGCTTCCAGCGTCGATTCTGCAAAAAGTTATCAGAAGAACAAAAAGCATAATCACAGTATAGAAACGGCCACAAAATACTGCAACTTAGTATACTTAGTCCTGATAGTACATACATATTTTGAAAAATGTAACATGCATCCGATGAAGTTATGAGCGTTATGTAATTATCCAACTTCATGTCAATATCTTTTCTCGAACTCCCTCTGGAGCTACTGCACCAAATAGTAAATGAGGTCCGTGGTTGTTGGCATTTGTACGCTCCATTTCCCCAATCCTTATGCTGACTGGAACATAGGTACCCCGACTTCAAGACAGGAAAAGTCTCCGTCTTACTTGCTCGTCGCTAGGGGAGGTGTTCAGATCTCATGTACTCGCAGAAGTTACTCTGAATATCCATGGCGATAATCTGGAACCTGGAATTGATTTGTTACAAGCACTTGCTGATGAAGAGAAGAATCTGAAGGCAGCTCCTGTGATTACTTCCAAATATTCCAGGCATATTCGGACACTCTATATCGACTGCCTTTGCCCAAGATACTTTCTAGAGTCCAAGGAAGATTTTGAACAACGGCAAAGAATGCTCCGTTATACGTTTGAAGTGGAAGAAGGAGCTCGGTTGTGGTCTGAAGCGAACTTCCCCTCGGAGCAGGTTCTAATAGCGGAGAGAAAGCTACAGTCACTGTTGAAGCCGGCCTTGGAATCACTATACTGTTTGACTGCTATACGGTATGTGAACCCCTAAGCTCTACTTGTCAAATCTGTAATCTCCTTTGACCCAGTTGGCGTTGGCATCATTGGAGAGACTCCCAATGGAGTTTGGACACTATTTTGGAATGCTTGGAGGGTCCTAAACTCTGTCGGAACATCAAAGAATTCACATTCGCCTATCACCCTTCTTTCATTGATATAGGCAAACCCCTTCCACTTCCTAACCTGAAGCAGCTTCGTGTTTTCTCTGTATCAGGGGCCCTTTTCGAGAGCGACTTCGAAAAAATCGCTCATCATCCGATTATGTCAAATAACCTCAAGACACTTCACTTATCTCAAGACCGGATACGTTATTCAAGTATTCCATTTGACAGCCATATTCCGGCAACCGTTTCTGATTTGCGATTGCATGGGTTGACATTGGAAAGTATCGGAAAAGTCACTTATCGGAATATCACATCGTTAGACCTCGGGACCCTTATGTCTACCAATCGAGAATGGGATGCTCTATGGGACATTTTATCTTCTCAGCAGATCCACCTTCGTGACTTTGCTATTCATCGTATCACCAGATTGGCTCATCATGACATGGACAAAATGCTGAATTATTTCCAGTCCTACTCTGGCTTGGAATCGTTTATCCTCAAAGGGCCTATATGGTATGATCCATCCTTGTATGATTCCTATGCCATCAAGTTTTATGAAAATGTCTTACCAATGCATGTGGAAACATTGGAAACATTGGAGTTGAAGCCGGAATTCGAGAGTAAGTGGTGTTTTGGGGTTGACAATATAAATGTTTTGAGGAGGTGCAAGAGATTGCGGAGCCTTTGGTTAAAAGTGGATCATAGGGGATTGGAACCGGATTTGATTCTCGAACGTTCGGTGGTTGGTACACTGTACGGCGACGGGAACTCCCCCATGCTATTTGGCTCAAGTTCTGCTGGAGCATCTTATCTAAATCTTGTGGTATGTCAGATTTTGCCGTTTCTCTGCTGATGCTCATAATGATTTCGAAACCGCTCAGCACCTTCTACTTCAGTTGGTTTCATCCGACCTTCATGACTTGGAAAAACTTACACTTGAGCCAGCGCGGAACCCATCATGGGCTCATGATCATACGGATATGATTTTTGGTGCCCAGTTCCGCCTGGGAATCCAACGACGCTTGCGTGCGTCGGTTGAGAGTTTCGCTCGCGATTTGTCCAACAATGTTTTGCAGTGGGTTCGTATATATATTGTGAACGAGAGAGTCATCATTGCACCTATTCAGGATCAGGCTGATGCTGACGGAAAGCAGAAGGAAGGCAAGATCAGGAAGAAGAAGGGTCAATCGGAAACGAAGCATAAAACTGCTTCAGTCTTTCAGCAGATATCTGGATGTGCAAAGAGGTCGTTTTAATGACGGAAAATCAGTATAAATACCCCAATGGAAAGCTAGAGTCTGCCCAACATATCTATCTATCTATTTCAATGTTTGTAGACTCGAGCCAGTACATAGCTTCAATGTTCAACACAATATCGGTAGTGACTGATTCGAGCCTATGATCCTTGCAATTGCCATGTAGATGTATACAATTGTCCACCCGCCAACTCAGACTGCGATCCACACATCTCCTTGAATTCGATTGCCTTTACATCACTTCCTTCGTAGCTGCTCAAATCATGAAACAAGGCTCTTTCAATAAACAGTTCTGACTGAGGAAAATGATGGAACAGCCTATCAATGGTAACAGGCAATAACGGTCTTTTAATATCACCATCATGTAGGTGAGAGAATCTCAAAACTATACATATACATGTCAGAGATAAATTGTATCGCGAAGCAGGCTAATTATATAGCAGGTGTCGAATTTCAGGACTTGAGGCTTGACGTTACCCATCGTTACTTGGAGCAAGAGGCGAGTGAGATTCAGATCGCGGGTACTTATGTTGCCACGAGAAAGGCCCAAGGCCTAGAACTTTATGACGACACCAGCCATTCTCGTTGGCTTTTTGTGGCACAAACTCTCACTGTGGGGATGAGCCAATGTCTTCGCGGTGAAAATGTAGAGAAAATGCAAGGATTTTTACCAAAATTCATCAAAAATCCTGGGCACGAATTTTAAAACTTTTCGTGTGGCGATTATTGTGAAGCTATCGTGAATTTGGCGGGGGGCCGTGCTTATTTTAAATTATCTTTTCATAATTTTACCATAACCTCAGCTCAATTCCTTCAAAATATCTGCTGCCATATTTTTGTACATAACCTCGAGATAAAACCCACATTTTCGCCTCGAGGAAATCGGCTCATCCCCACAGTGTCTGCCAATTTCGTTCAGTCATTGATTTTTGAATACTCATAAACTGTTTGTACAAACCCAGCAGAACCTATGTAGGAAGATGTCGTCAAATCGAAGGATTTGTAGAAATTTGCTCTTGTAGTCAACGGGCCTCTACGGGCCTTTCCATTCAATTGGGGGGGGGGGTCGTGAGAATCGTACCCGCGATCTGAATCTCACTCGCCTCTTGACTTGGAGGGTTTCGTGAAGCGGCATGATTGCTGGAGGGAGATTGAATTCAGAGAAGATAACGAGGAAATAATGCACGCACGCTATTATCACTGTGACAATCTTAATCAAAATTTTCCTTCTGGTTTGCAAGATCAGACTGCAGAGACTGCATTCTTGACACGAAAGTAGTATCAGACAAGTCATTGCCTTGTGTCTGCATTTGGGTTATCTCCAATTCTAGAGACGGAATGGAACTGCGAAGGGTCATCGCACGCTCGGTCAGATCGTCAATGGTCTATCCTGAGCCATATCGTCGGCGGTCGGCGGTCGCTGACTGAATAGAGAAGACTGAAGAGTTGGGGTCGTGGGTGTTTTTATGTTGTACGACCCGAGACGTGCACGTGACGGTGTATTTCTTTTCTTCGTCAACATTATCATGATCAAGCGCTTGTTGTCAATCTTGATATCAACAATTAGATGTCTTGCCGTTCCCCGTTACTTGCATGATCAAGTTGGGGTAGAACAATCTAGCATGGTATGTAGGTTATGGGGAACGACGAAAAAGACGAAAAGAATTAGTGAATTTGTTTTGACTATAATCGATCTTCGTACAAGAAATTGATTAGTTCAGTAACTACATGAACGTTAACACTGTTGCCGATTAAGCGGTACTTCGTCTTGGTAGATATACTTTCAGGCCAGAAAAACTTGTCAGTGAAAGTACTACCATTGTGATCGTCGTTCTGGCTTCCGTTCACCGTGATTGACGCAGCATTTTCAGTCTTTTCGTCTGTTTCATCTGTCGAATGAATAGTTGATAGTGATGTTTCTCTGTCTTTCCCAACTGGGTTTGACGGGAGATTAAAGTGAAAGATGCGAAGCAGTTCTGAAGGTGTGAAATAGCGCAGACGAAGAGGGTGCAGGATAGAAACGGCATCTTGCTGACCGGAAGCTTGAGCTGCAAGAAAGGTGTCGAATGTCTTCTTGGTCTGTCGAAACAAGAAGGTTAATTACCGCGAGATTATCGTAATATTATGAAGATAGAAACTCGCATTAAGTTCGGGATTCATTTGTATGATAGAGCCAGAGCGCTCTACGAGATGGGTATAGCCTGCACAATATTTGTAGTTGGTCAGATCATTTCAGGATCGAAAGAACTTCAAGTTCTGCACCTCGAGTAAAACAGCAAGTACGCTTAGAAGACGGAATAGCGATGTCAAAGAGTCTGCCCCACTTCTCAAGAACTCTGTCCGATACAGCATGCGCACCAAGATATAGAGAAGAGCCGTCTTCATTATCTAGATAATGTTGAATATCTCTAATGTTCACGTCGACCAACTCCGAGTCTGCTATGGGGTTCATCCGAGGATCTAGCCATGTAGAGGAAACTTCATCATATTGCTCGTTGCCATGTGGAATGTATTGATAAGTCTCGCCTGCCTGAATGTAAGGAAAAGAAAATGGTGCAGTTTTGGCTAGAAGGTAGTAACGAAGTCTCGAGTTGGGTATGCCGAATTGAAGGGGGGTGAGTAGAAATTCGGCAGTGGTGTAACCTAACGTGTGTAGCTGCGAAAGAAGTACTCGACGTGTTGGCGATCCCTGCATTTGAATTAGATCGGAATAATGGACTCGGATGCAGGCGAACATACCTCAAACCCTCCAACATTCTCCACCAGAAAGTGAGTCGGATGTGCACCCATAGAGACAAGCTCAGGGAGCACATCTTGTACAAGATGCAAAAAAGATTTTGCCCGGGGATCCAGGATTCCTTTCGCATCAGGATTCAGAACTGTATACGGCTGGCATGCAGGCGAAAGGATCCATAAATTTGCGCGGTAAGGAGCCAGGAAGGAGGCGGTCAAATCCGAAATGTCTGTCTAGTTTGTTTCGAGTAAAGATTACTTCAATTTGAACGATCTAACTGCAGAAGCGACAGAGAACCTTTGCAGTTAACGAAGGGCCGTGATTTGCGTCGTAGACTCGGGCGGCATTCTGATCCCAGTCAAAAGCCTTTATGACGATTCCGGGCACTTTGCTGCGCTTAAGAGCAAGATGAAGACCACCTACCAAGAGTTAGAAAAAGACTAGCGGCCTGCATCGCGAGACTAATACCTATTCCGCTATAGAACTCGAGCGCACGGACAGACTCAGCGGAACGGTCATGCATTGATAATGATTACATAATCCATAAAATGTTGACAAGTTGGTTATCGTAGGAGTCTCAGTCTCTTGTAGCTGAACTCTCACTATCTCTTCTTTAATCATATTTCCTACTTATCACGTCTCCACATAAAGAGGCTTTATTTACCATTTGCGAAACCCCTGTTGCCTTAAATCCCCCCTGCGAAACCTATTTCGAATCGCATTCGGTCAACCATCCAGTGTTGTTATTAGTTATGAACGATCAAGGAATCCAAGAATCCACTAGTGCTCAGCCGCTTACACCAAAGAAGAGCTCAATCGTGCTCCCTTCAATGGAGAACTTGGTTGGAAAAGCAGATGGAAGCACTGGAGCATTGGAGTATGTCCACAATGCGTGATTTCAGCTTTTAATTGCATACACTAACGATCGACAGTATAAGCAGTCCAAATGCACAGGAACATCTGAGACTAGTGTCTGCTCGATATGCTCATCTTCCGACTCCGCAAAGGTGCTATAGTTGTCTTATAGTAATTTGTTATCCTGACTGGGATCCTACAGTCCTAACGATTTCACATATTATGTCCCTGGACTCACGAATGGCCCAGATTCACCCATTTCTCATCTGTAGGTGCCTCAATTCTAGCTCAATCTCAGAATTAATGTCGCTGCCCAGTTCTCGCTCTTTTGCTTCGTCTTCACGATCCGTCATTGAACCCCCAGCAAGCTCAAGCCTGTAAGTTCGATCCGATTCAGAATACACGGTAATCTGATTTTCCGCAGTCTTGACGGGACACCGAAACGGCCTATGGCCAAGACACAACCTTTCATAACTCCGGACTCAAGGTGTGTCCAGCTTAAACCATTGCTAAGGATAGCAACCCATACATCATGATAGTCCTTTTGTTAGTCGAATTGAAGCACATAGCCAGTGAGATATTACTCACAACGCTTCTTCGATGCATCTCACTTTTACAACAGTGTCACAACGCTCTCAACTCCGACTCGTAGTCAGTTGCCACCTTCGTAAGTTTCTCATATTTACTAATAAGTATCAACCTAATTGTCCCTACAGTAACGGCGTGGATTCACTGGTTCCATTTTTTGCTCCTCCTATCCCTCGGAAGACCCCCTCGCCGTCGCCTTCTGAGCATCACTCTTCCGGTCTCTCCTCCCCTTTCATGGCGAAATCAACTCCTCGGCCATCCTCTAACTCTCCTCCTAACCTCAAGGAAACGACTTCTTTATTCACCGCCATTCCCAATGGAACTATATCTACTTCTGCAATCTCTACACCTCCTGTCTCCCCTCTTCTTGCATCAGGATCACTCTCAAATACAACAACTCCGCCTATTCCGGCCGGTGGCGAGCTAGATCGCATCCACCAGGTTATACAGCATCAACATGATGATCGAGAGAGTCGTCGACCTGAATATCTTACGCGAGCAAAGAGAAGTATTTCCGAAGTCGATTTTGGTGGATTGATGGAGGACGAAAATTTAGCTGATAGAGAGAGGTTCTCCTCTATTGGGATCACGGAAAGCCCAATGAAAGGTCGCCGAATAAAGTTGTTCCAGGAAACGAGTGAGGAAAGCTTTGAGGAGAGCCTTATGGCTGGAGGATACGGTCGTTATGTGAGCGATGTTGACTTATTTAGTTCCACACGGTGCATTAATCATATCCTAGCGCACGGCTGAATGGGTTCGTCAGCCTCAACCGATCGTTGTCAATGCAGGGACAGGAGCTCCGGTCAACGTCGTTGCACATCTTGAAGAGGTTCAACAACAAGAAGCCCCTTCTCGTCCCCTCACTGAAAAAGAGGTTCGCAAGCAGAAAAGGCTGGATGCCTTTCGCAGTTCATCTTCCTCTACATCCCGGTTATACCCAGTGGAAATCGAGGGTAAAGGTCGGGTGCTACTTGACGTTCCTACTGAACATAATGACATCGATACTTCTTTGGCTACCTCCAAAAAGCGTACACCGGGCAAGCGCAAGAGGAAGGCCGAGCCGACAGCGAAAGAAAGACGAGCTGCTGCTGCTGCTGCTGCCGCTGAAGAGTCAGCAGAGAAACCAAATTGGCCTGATGCGGAGTTTCCATGGCGGCTCAGAACGGAAGAGAGAACTGAACAAGCTAGGGTCGAGGAGCAGGAGCGTCTTGAATGGATTGAGAAGTACCTGGACCGTGACACCGATGAAGAGGATGACGGCGAAGGCGGCAGCATCGATGGAGGTGTTTACGGTGGTGCTGCGGATGCTGAAGATGATGAAGTACTTCCGTCATCGGTCTGGGGTGTTGTGTATGAAGATGGAGATGATCAGCCAATTCCGTATCGCGCTGGCAGAGGCAAGATGGTACCTTTATCAGGAGACCCAAACCAACCATTAAAATTCAAACGCAGGCGAAGCGCGTATTTTCCGAGCGATCCAGCTGACGCGAGAGCAGCTCTTTTGTCAAAAAAGAATGTCCGTGTTCTTTCCTTTCGCCGCCAACGATCAATATCCCATCGGAAGTCGATCAGCGGGAACGAAGACGATCAGATCCTGTGTATCTGTCGTGGAGTAGACGACGGGAGAGAGTTAGTGCAATGTGATTCTTGCAAAACCTGGTATCACCTCGATTGCATAGGGATCGATGATATTTTGGAACTGGGACCACCTGACAACGATTGGTTCTGTTATCGTTGTGAGAACGCAAGTGACTCCCCTCCATCTGTAGAAGCAACTGTTCCAGTACCATATACCGAGCCGACCTTTGCTCCTACCGATGAAACTCCTCGTCGTCGACAAGTTGACAACCAGTTCTTTCACCCTCCTGTTCCGGTATCACCCACACAATCATGGAGCCTCTCAGTACCACACACACCAAAGACCCCTACTCGTGGTGTCACAAGTAATATAGAATTCAGCTCAGGCTTTAGTTCTTCCTCCTCTCGATATGGTCCAGTAACCCCTCGTCACCAAGCACGCGATGTTCGAATCATCAGCGGCGGCGGCTCTACCCCCGGTGGTCCTTTCGACGTATTCGGTTCTGACGACAGCCGATTTGACCCAACATCCACTCCCTCTCGAGGAATAAAATTCGGCGTTCCGTTCGCTACTCCAAATGACAAGCACACCCCTTCTGCTCGTGTTTTCCACACTCCCTCTAAACCGAGCACGCGCACAGGCGGAGGCGTTCCGGGCTCTGCATCTTTTGGTGCCTCTGGATTTCTGTCTTCAGCTCTGAGTGAGCGAAGTAGCGGCGACGGGATTGGTCGGGTCGAGAGCGGTCCGTACCCCTATGCACGACCGTCACATCCTGGAGCACCATACGATGACTCTTCTCCCATTCGTCGCGAGGGACACCGGATACGTCGAATTGTTGATCCTCCTACCATGTCAACGCGCGCGCTCTTCATTGAAGAGTCTCCTTTGGCTCGAACGAAGGGAAAGGGACGTGCATTGGATTTTGGTGTCGGATCGCATGGAATTGCCTGAGTCAGTCCCATGCTCAGATTTCTTGCTGTTTTAGTGTGGCTCCTTTGCACGCATCGATACTTATTATTTTGAACTTCCTAGCTGCTCTATTGAGATCAAACTGTTTATCACAATTAAGTATAAGTTCCTTACCGACTGCGTTATGTTTAGATTGAGATTGCTACGTATTTGGTATTTATCGTATGTAGGTGATCTTGTAGGTATCTTCGCTTTCTGCAGTGTTGCTTGTCGTTGTATCAATGTCATGTCATGTTGTGAATATGAATCCTTAACAATATCTGTAGCAAGTCTGTAACGAAGGACTTCCATTATGCCGATTCACATAAGTCGTGCATATTTCGTTCGCTATTCGTCGGTGTGACGTGAATAGAGGAGCTATAGTGACAAGTTGAACCACTTGGCTGATTCAAGAAACAACAAATATATTTCCGCCTAATGACAGTTCAATTTATGCCCCGCTCTTTACACTCCCTGAGGTTGATCCTGAGATTTACATTCTGGAGAGTTGCCTTCCAGTTTACGTCGAAGATCCTCTAGCGACCCGAAGACGCCTTTCTGCGGCTGTGGATGTGGATGTGTATGTTTTTTCCCTTTTGATGTTTTCGAATATTTCTTGGCCTTCTGAAAGCGTGACCGAATTCTCACTTCAGGCGCGGGCTCCCGAGTTAATCTCCTTAATCGTGCGAGCTTGACGTCCACGGTGTTTGGATATGGGGGTGGTGGTGTTGGTGGTGAAGATAAAGGGGGAAAGGAGGAGCTTGGAGATGGTGTTGTAGTACTCATGGACATAGGATCTGTACCAGACCGGGGAAGTATGAGGTTCATGATATGTAGACATTCGGTGCGGAATGTCTCGATTGCTTTCGCGGGAATGTGGTCTGTGACGTTCTAGCAGATAAAAAGTACATTAGTACAAGAGCAGTACAATCAATCAAGCTTTTCTCTATATTTTTTGCCCTTGATACTGGGAAGGTTCGAGAAGGAGGAATATCGGTATACTCACTGCATGGGTAAATGGATCTATTAGTCGAACTTGGAGACCTTTCGATCGCAGCTTGTCCTCAGGATTCAGAGTGGTGCTTGACGTCGTTGACGGCGGGGGGACATCGTAATATCCTGCTCTAATGTCGACCCGACTGACTGAATATTGATATTCCGTACCCCAAAACCTACGTATGTATGGTTTCAAAAATCATCCGAGATTACCAGAAACTGATGTGTAACGCACTTGAACCATCCGTACAACGCCTCCTGCAAGGTGAGCGTCGCAGGAGGCAACCAAGCGCCAGGAGCGATACGGCGGAATTGAATGTGGCATGGCTTATTCTGGTGAATGAACACTTGTTCCGAGTCTACAGGAGTATTGGTGAAGTCTTGAAGATTTGGTAGTAGCCTGATATTCTGGAAAAACACTCAGCTTGTTAGGGTGGCACATGAGAATGATAAGTGACCTGAAGGAAGGCTATCGTCATTAATGCAAACGCATAGCTGCTAAAGGTTGGAGGGCCATCTACTATCCCAGGTTTATTGAGACCGAGAGGTGAGGCCCAGGATTTTATGAACGCTAGCATCGGCCGCAAGAGGGGCTGAATATCGCAGTAATGCTTTATCATACGAGAATTGAATAGACCCAGTCTGTCGTTGGCGTTGATATCACCGTCTAATCCGGTTGAGGGGTCGTGAAATTTGACTGGATACAATTACATTTGAGAAGTACAAGACATACAAAATGGGAAATCGAGTCTTACCTATCGGCACTTTAGCTTTAGGTATCGCAACCACTCGAGTGAAACCTGCCCTTTGAAAGTTTTTTGCGAGGTTCCTAATAACTTTCTACAGTTAGCGACGTCACAGCGAGCCAAAAAGGTACATGGTAGGTTGTTCCACTCACCGTATGGCATATATAGCTAACGGATATGATGTCAAATTAGTCAAGGAGTGTGAAGAGTGAACATACGAGCAACTTCCTGGATTTTTTGCCCTTGGGGTCTGTTTGGGTCCTGCATAAAAGCAGGATTAGAAAAGTGGTCTCGTAAAGATGTATAATTTTGGAAGAGTAATGTGAGTACTCTATGGCCTGTAAACGTCAATGCGGTTGGGATATAAAGGTTGCTCACCAAAATAACCATATCCAAATCGCTGTTTGGCGTGGAAACACCGTACAACGTACTACCAAACAATTCGACGCGATATGGGCGAACTTTATACGCGTTATATAGCATGGCTTGAACGCGCTTGAGTGTTGCAATCCGATCTCGGCGCACTTGCGGAGGGATATCGTAAACCTATATCGTCCTCAATCGACATAGAGAACCATTTTGTGGATAAGGAGTACCATCAGCGATTGCTGCAACATCCTCTCAACACCAGGGTCGGCGCAATGAATTTGTGAGGTGGAGATAGGAGTGCCAGGCCTGGAACTGTTGTCCATCTCAAGCTCGTCTGGCATGTTCACTAAGGATCTCAACGTTTGTAGGAGGTCGGAATCCCTTCGCTTCACCAGTGGACGTGTTGACGTGCGGGCAAAATTTGGCCGTAAAAGTATTGAGCTGCTTTGGTGTTCATGGTCTACAGATTCTGCAACGTTGCGCAGTTGAGATGAGTTTTCCTGCCGCAGAGAGCTTCAGCAATCGATTTCCAGCGACTTCATATGGTTTCTGTACGCACCTTATGTGTACTCTCCGAAGGTTTCCAACGTTTTCCAGAATACTGGCGGTTCAATTTCAATTTCGGATTACAGCCTCCCAATCGACGTAAGAAATTTGGTATTCGTAGCGTATTTTGTGCTGCGTGGCGCATGAAGGTCGCTGAAATAACTACAGGATATTACGTAACGCACTTTGATCCTGCCATCACTATTATTGCAGGTTGGTTTAATCATGCTGTTCGAATCAGCACTGAATAGCAAGTTTTGACTTCGAGTTCTTCGACCGGCATCCTACTTCTACATGCAAAGTTGCCCAACAATGCTACCGTTCTGACTTTTGACTTTTCCTCATGGCCGATGGTCAGAACAATGCATCATCTTTCCGCCACAGTAAACCAAACTTGATGCATTCGCGTCCCTTGTCGACTAATATTACTGGTCTTAATAAGTTTTACTTGCCTGATTGGGCCTCCTAGTAAGGGGCACATCTGTTTTTTGATTGTCCCCTTCCTTTGTCCGATCTAATTTGGACATAGTCTTTCCTCTTAACCACTCTCCCACCCCCCGCTTTGGCCTGAATTCTGCGCGAAATAAAAACCTGGGCTCTCAATGACCATGACACGTTACACCAGCCTCCACATTTGCGGCCTATCCGAGCATCTCGAATTCAATCTGCCTAACTCCTCACCTCAATCATGTGTGCTCATTGGTATCCCGAAGGCTACGTCTTACCTACCTCCACTGCATATCCTCCTGGTCCACACCATCCATCCTACACTCCAAAAGTAACGAGCCATCATGGTGCTCCGAAACCGTGGTACGCGCCACATGGTCAAGGCAGCTCTCAAGAACGTAGTCGTCCCTCCCCCTCTCCCGCATCTCGCTCGTCTTCAAGTTCGCATACACATACCTCAACCGATGGCTTTTCCGCGTCTATGCCAAGTCACACTATGGCTGGAATCGGTGATCCGGGCTTAGTTTCTGGTGTTGACTATTTCAAGGTACTGTGTGACATTCCTAAAGGATAACACTCGACTAACAGTGCGTCACCTTGATTAGATCGGAGACACTGTCCGTGTTCGACGCCTTACATCTTCCAACACTTACACAGACTGGGCTTATGGTCAAGTTACGCGTCCACATTTGAAGCAATACAGGGTAGGTATAACCTTTTCTTCGAACGTCCGTGAGGATCATCTCCAACAACCAAAATTCTTGAATATATTGAGCTGATAGTGTGGTTATTGCAGACAACAGAACCAGAACGAGTCTACTACGTTTCATACATCGATCCCCGTAACGGCGAGCGCAAGGAGAGCGAATTCAGCTGTCACCGGAAAGAAATTGCGCCTTTTCATGAACGACGAGGGGGTCAGGTATGTTCAGTTACAAATTCCGAAAATTTAACCCGCATTAATATCCATATTCTGCAGTCCCCCCTTGTATTCGCGTCCATCCCTTCAAAATCCTCCTCCAAAGGCCACGTCTGGATACCCGCGAATGTGACTGTGAGCTCTGGACCATGTCACTAGGAAGTACTAGTTCCTGATTTTTATATAGAACGTTTCCGACTCAGGTGTCGATGTCAAAGTGGCGGCTACTCATGTTCAACATGGCTCCCCTACACATTTCAGAGGCGTTCAGGCCCTTGTCCCTCACAACTCATCCGTTGTTCGATCTCTCAAGGCTGCGGGACATAAAATAATGGGCGATAGGCATTGAATATTAACCTTTCATGCCTACCGTTGATCTGCGCTGCGCCAGTGTATTGACATACCTAGGCTGTATGCTTGTTGTATACTGAAACTAGATTAATCTAAATCATTAGATCGAGCAATAAGACGTGGTCCTGTGAGGGAACAGCCGGAACCTCTCGCCTAGTAGGAAGCAAGTGTGGGTACGTTGAGAGAATAACCGTAATCTACCGATATGAAGAGTAAGCATTTTTCTTGTAACACCTCCCTTGAAGTCACTTGGCTTCTGCATCGGGAGCTCGTCGGACTAATTCTACAGCTGAACCTTCGACGCATAGGTTATTGACATGAACAGAACTGACAAATTTTGCGAAATGAACCGTACTCTACAACTCATGACCCTGCAATCACTGGTACGACGACAGCAATCTACTCAGTGATCATTTTCGATATCGCAGAGTATAAATACGCGTTAGAAATTCCTGGTCTGTACAGAAAAATCCTTATCCTTCTCTATCAGTGCTCTTTCCCGAATTCGAAACAAACCGTTCCATTCTAATCACTCGAAAGTACTCATGGCTCTCCACGCAGCACCTCCTCCACCCACCAAGCTTGGTGTCCTCCGAGTGCTCTCTCCCAATGCAGGTGTACACGTCTCGCCGTTTTGTTTCGGAGGGAACAGCATTGGAGACCAACAGAATGGCACATTCCGGGATTCTTTGAGTAAAGAGTCGAACTTCAAGCTCCTTGATAATTATTTCGATATGGGAGGAAACTTCATCGACACGTCAAACAATTATCAAGACGAAAGTTCTGAGCGTTTTATTGGGGAGTGGATGGAGCAGCGAGGGATACGAGATCAGATCGTTCTTGCGACGAAGGTAGGCCAGGTTTTTCAATATCACGGATTATACTCAAAAATTGTTATTCATTACAGTACACTACGAACTTCAAGCGCGGTAACAACTCGATTGCCCAAAAGGCAAACTACACGGGAAATAACCTCAAGTCAATGCACATCAGCGTGGAGGCCAGCTTGAAGAAACTTCGCACGTCTTATATCGATTTGCTCTATGTGCATTGGTGGGATTACGATACCTCGGTAAAAGAGGTCATGGACGGACTGCATTCTCTTGTGATGCAAGGAAAGGTTCTCTACCTAGTACGCTATTTCTTCGTGGTGTTGCCGTAGACTCACGCAGGGTAATCATTACCTTTTTCAGGGATTATCTGACAGTCCTGCTTGGGTTGCTGCTCAAGCCAACGAGTACGCTCGGTGCACTGGTAAAACCCCATTTGTTGTCTACCAAGGGTTTTGGAATATCCTTGACCGCTCTTTCGAGCGGGAAATCATCCCCATGGCTCGTTCTCAAGGTACGTGAATAGGTGCAAAGCCTTTGGATAAAAGCAACGATGGTAAATATTTGGATATACAAGGCCTAGCTTTAGCCCCATGGGGCGTCCTAGCCCAAGGAAAACTCCGCACCGATGCGGAAGAACAACGACGAAAGGAAAGCGGAGAGAATGGACGCACTATGATTCCAGGCCAACAATGGGAAAGGAACGAGTCAGAGATAAAAATATCTCATGCTTTGGAGAAAGTTGCCGGCGAGCTTGGATTGGGAAGTAACATCAGTGCTGGTCAGTTTCATTTTTCCAGACTTTTTACCTTTTTATAAGTTTGATTTGCTTCAAATAGTTGCTATTGCGTATATAATGCAGAAAGCGCCTTATGTCTTCCCGGTCATTGGAGGAAGAAAGATCGAGCAATTTCAAGAAAATCTCAAAGCGCTGGACATTTGGCTTAGTGAGGAACAGGTTCAGTTTTTAGAGGGTGTCATTCCCTTTAACCCAGGATTCCCTCACAACATGTTGGTATGTATTCCTCTCCGATGTATACTCGGAGGCGCACGGGCTGAATTTCCACCTTCAACAGGGAGACGGAACGAAACCATTCTTTGCGATGTTGAGCGCAATGTCATACAAAAAGGTCCAAGTTCAGGCCATCAAGCCTACGGATTAATTTCCTGTTACTTCCCAGTTGTTCTCGGTGCCCTAATAATACATATGATCGAGTTGGTTGTATAACGCAGAGGAGGTTATGTATCATTTTGTGGACTAATGAGCCCGGGAGGACAACGAGATACCTGAAAGTACTTCAAACCTGACAATGTCCATGAACTTTTTAGATTTATTGTATTTTGCGAAGAAGCAAAATGCAAAGGAGACACGAACATAGAGTAAGCTTGTAAAGAAAGATGAACATTTTCATGCCCTTCCGCAAAAATTTGTATCTTGACGAGTTCTTTGAAGCGGAAGAGCTTTTGTTCGGGATCTTATCAGCGAGTTCGAAGACTACAGATGACGTCGGCTCAATGGAGGAGTCAAGATTCGGTAGAAAAATCGCATAGGCCACCTAACTTGAAGCGATATCAACGCGTCGTTTGCCCATATGCCATTAAAACATGCTGGAAAACCAAGATTGGAAGTGTGGAAACATGTATCAGCGTACTAAGGACAGCAATGAAAGTGGGTAATGCTGACCTTGACAGCTTCTCCAGAAAGAATCTTCATAGTGGAGGTCAAACTTCAAAGGCTGGTCAAAGGTATCCGAAACCGTCAGGTGTGGGAATGAAACTTGCCGACCACCAACATCCAGTGCCGGATGGCTGGATACACTACGCGTCGATCTGGCCGGTTCTGGCGTCACTCGACATTTCTGCTCATCTTATACACATGATTTTACACATCGGGAGCTCGTCGGATTAGTTCTTCAGCATTGACGAGGAAAAGCACTGTCAGATCTCCTTTGTATGAAATAATTATCTCGCGCATAAATACCCCTTCAACAATTTCTGGTCTCTACAGAATATTCGTTATCGCTCACTGCTCTTAGAGGTTCAAAACACAATCGACTTGTTTACAGTTTGAAATGTCGCTCTTCCAACCAGCACCTCCTCCGGCTACCAAGCTCGGTGTCCTCCGAGTGCTCTCTCCCAATGCAGGTGTACATGTCTCTCCATTTTGCTTCGGGGGAATGAGCATCGGTGACCAATGGAACGGCGCATTGGGGTCTATGAACAAAGAATCGAGCTTCAAACTGCTCGATAGTTATTTTGATATGGGAGGAAACTTTATCGACACGGCGAACAACTACCAGGACGAAAGTTCTGAGCGATTCATCGGGGAGTGGATGGAACAACGAGGTATACGAGACCAGATTGTTCTTGCTACCAAGGTAGGCTGGCTTATTTGATATCCTGATGGGTATCTCAGCTCAACTCATCACAGTACACCACCAACTTCAAACGCGGCAACGACTCGATCGCTCAAAAAGCAAACTACACGGGAAATAATGTCAAGTCAATGCACATCAGCGTGGAGGCCAGTCTGAAGAAACTTCGCACATCTTATATCGATTTGCTCTACGTACATTGGTGGGATTATGATACCTCAGTCAAAGAGGTCATGGACGGATTGCATTCTCTTGTGATGCAAGGCAAAGTTCTTTATCTGGTACAACATTCCACACGATATCGACTGTCGTGGTTGGCTGACATAGGACCACCCTACCTTTATAGGGAATATCTGACACACCTGCTTGGGTGGTCGCTCAGGCTAACGAGTACGCTCGGTGCACTGGTAAAACTCCGTTCGTTGTCTACCAAGGACTTTGGAATATCCTTGACCGTTCTTTCGAGCGGGAAATTATACCTATGGCTCGTTCACAAGGTATGTAGATATACTCCAGACTTTCATGAACAGAACGAACTTAAATAACTGAATATTCAAGGCCTTGCTCTGGCTCCGTGGGGTGTCCTTGCTCAAGGAAAACTCCGCACCGACGCGGAAGAGCAGCGACGAAAGGAAAACGGAGAGAACGGACGCATGATGTATCCAGGTAAGAGCTGGGAAAGGGACGAGTCCGAGACAAAAATTTCCCGTGCTTTGGAGAAGGTCGCCAGCGAGCTTGGGTTGGGAAGTAACATCGGTGCCGGTCAGTTTCATTTTATATAACTGATTGACAACTTTACCTTACCTCTATTCGAATAGTCGCCATCGCGTACGTCATGCAGAAGACGCCTTATGTTTTCCCAATCATTGGGGGAAGAAAGATCGAGCACCTTCAAGAAAATATCAAGGCGCTTGATATTTGGCTTAGCGAAGAACAGATTCAGTTCTTGGAGGGTGTCCTTCCTTTTGACCCGGGATTTCCTCACAACATGGTGGTATGTGTCTTCTCTGTATATACTTTTTGTGCATGAGCTGAATTGCCAACTCGAACAGGGAGATGGAACGAAGCCGTTCTTCGGGATGTTGAATGCGATGTCATACAAGAAAGTCCAGCCTCAACAGGCTATCAAGCCTACGGATTAATTCTCAGCAGATCACTGCTTAGCGCTAAATAAAGTCCTCATGCAAAGTACCCCAAAAGTACCGCACCCTAAGCTACCCGAAGCCACTTGCTTGAAGGTCAAAATGGACCCTCAATTGTAGAAATGGAATCATGATTCTGTCGTTGTATTTGTTTGATTAAACTAATTGCCAGTGAGACTAGGTTAAGTCAATCCACTTGCTGGGGTGATTCCTTCCTATGACGTTGAGAATTATCGGAGTTTTCCTTAGTTTTCCCCACACCTTCCTCTTCACCTATACCAGATCATTTTTCTTAACTTTATGAGACATTCTTTTGCCTTGATCCCCCGCTCTGTCTTGTGTTCCGGTGCGCCTCCCACCAGCTGCACCCTCGAATTTAATTAAGGTGAATCTATTCAAAATCATTCCTCAAGGAGAAGGAGGATCGGAGGAACATGGAGGAACTGACAGTGGAGATGAGTACCGGGTGGGTATATATAGGTTGCGCAACGCGACGAGGTGTGTGTGATACGTGCCCGACGGAACTCATCAAATACCTACTGTCCTGCGTCGCTCTGCTTTTTCTGTTTAAACCTCGCGGAACCACAGGGAACCACTGACGGTTCTTCTTTCATGATCTCTGGGATAGCTCACAAAATTAAGCATTCAGTGTCTTCTTCTCTCCGTCCTTCGTCGCTCTCCGAGTTACATCAACATCTTCCCATTCCGGTTCTTCAGGCGCAAGGGTTCCACAAACTTGTGTTCCATCTACTGAAACGAAGACGGTTCCTTCGGATGGGGAGTTGATGTGCATTGGAGGGTGTTGGATTTATATATCTAAGCTATCCTAACTATCTTCGTCTCGGAAGAATCTCTTTTGTCTTAGGGATTTCTGGACCATTTGAGGTTGAGTGTAAAAAAGAGGATAGGCTTATTTCTCTCAAGCCGAACGGTAACACCATACAATTCGCCCCTGCACAAGATCAATTTTGATCCGATAGCTATCCGAAGGTTTGACCCTGTTTGACCTCTCGAAGTTCGTAGATCCTTGTCAAATCACAACATATACATAACCGGCCGTCATTCTCTTTTGACGCTCAGCGACGCCAGCTATTCTTTCTTAAACTTGCGGAACCGCTGGCGGTTCTTCTTATTTTCCATATACAACACTAGTCTTCTCTCGTCCTCTCTGACTAGCGAAATATTATGGTGAGCTTGTCGCTGCTTGTCGTGCTGTATGCGAGATAGTTTGCAAACCGAAATATTCAGTGTCAATTTTCGGCCTTTCGAAACTACCTCGGAATCCTCTGTGTTATGATAATAGCAATCACCCTTCCAGTTACCTCTGCATGTCCCGTTACGGTTCTTCAGTCAACTTTGAATGTCCGTGGTCACTCTCTCGAGCCGATTTCTCCTTCGCTTTACGGCCGCGCCGCTTCCGGAAGAAGTTGGAATAAATCTGTTCTTCGAATTCTTGGAGGGAAAGGCGTAAGGATCCCAAAAACTTGCGTACAAGCTAAACCGAAGACTGACCCTTCGGATGGGGAGCTGATGGGCTTTGGATTTACCCATTCAGTAAGAAATTTATATGACTCATCAAGACGCAAACTCAACAACTGTCTGGGAATCTAACCTTTCAGTCCAACGGGCATTTAGCTAAGGAGGAAGGACAGCTCTCGGATTTCTATCTTTCCAGGCCTAAGGGCCAATATTATGACGACCTCGTCCTATACCGAAGGCCTGTTCTGCCAAACCGAAATCCGGTTGCAGATCCACAGGTGAGGACTGGAATAACGGCATTTGCTATAGACAGCCCATCTCACAACTTTTCAGAAATTTTGGAAGGTGAATGGCAATGTGTTTCTTGCTATTGAAAAGTTCACTCACGAAAAGTGATTGGGTCTCCAGTGTGTTGTTTATGCAGATAGGAAGCAGATAGACATCATCAAGCCTCAAAAGGTGAGCGACAGCACTGTACTTAGCAACAGTGGCTTAGCTATTTGGGAAACTATGTACTCATTAATCAATTTCGTTAGACGGTTCTTGACGACAAACCATCGACATCATTAGCTTCCAATTTCATTGCCTACTACAAAGACAAAGAGCAAGGCATCGATGATACTGTGATGCAGATTTCACAACAACTTGCCATGCAGTTGCGGTTGCGTGCGGTATGTTTGCCTTCAGGTATGTGATATTTCCAAGCTGTTACAAGGACTTTTTATCATTCGCGCGCTATGGTCTTTTAGAATGCGACAACGCAATGATCAACCACAAACCACTTCCAGAATGGAGTTTGTAAGGAGTACAAGCTGGTATCAGTTATTGTCTGAGCAGACGAGAAGCATAGATGTCGAGTAGAAGCCAACGCGAGTTCATGGTGGTGGTGATCATTGAATGTGTGCACATACTGCATGAAGCAAGATATCTGTCCTTGAACTCTCTTCTCGTCGAGTATACGACATGATCATCATATTGATGAACACTCCTATAATCCTATCAGATGCATGAAGATTCAAAGTATATTGCTGGGAGTGGAAATTCTAGTTAGTGCCGTAGTCTGAGACTACATGCTATGCGGAACCGGGATTCAACATGTTAGGGATGGATAATTTGGATGACGAACTTGAGGACGAGGATAGGTGAGAGGGCGTCACTGAATCAGAGGTAGTTCTCCGACTCGGAGTCTCCCGATTTCGATTGGCAGAAGGGAAGTCCTGTGGTGAACGACCGTTTGATTTTGACGAATTCAAAATCTGCGATTCGACTAAAGTCGTGTGAGCCAGCGCAGCAGGCTGGGTGTACATGCAAGTGTCGTCAACCTGACGCCTCTTGTCTGACTGACACTGCGGACATGATATCGATCTGCGTACTATCTGCGAAGGATAAGTGGGAGAGTGTGAAAGAGTGCGTGATAATGTCCTCGCGCTAGATGTACGAGCAGATCTAGCTGGCGGTTTTTTTGAACCGAGTTTTCCACTAGGGCTCCGAGGGTCATGATAGTCTCTGTCAGACTGTTTATCCAAATCCTGTAACTGCATCTGAAAGCTCCATCCCATGGTTAAGGGACCGAAAATAGCTCGCGCTGGAGCAGAAGACGATCGAACTTCCATAGTACATTCCGAATCGTGTCTTGGTTTTCTGCGCCGTGACGGAGGCGAAGTTGGATAAAGGAAAGGAGATACATGGGTTGGGTCTGGTAAGAGAGCTTCCCGCGATAGTAAAGAGTCAGATCGAGGCTCGTTCTGAGATACGAGCCGCCAGGGAGGAGTTACTACCTCTTGAAAGTTCGAAGAATCATTCGAGTTCATCATTACGAATACAGGTCATTTATGAAGATATAGGCCTTTAAAGTTCCATTTTCTGACTTGACATTAGGCTTATTCAAGGACACGTCTATGGAGCACAAGGGAAGCCACACTTGCTTTGGCGCAGCGCGCAGCTCTGATACCGCGCGTTTCAAGCCGTTTGGAGAGTATAAATGTTTGACGCCACCGTTGTATCTCCGGATCGAAGGGGAGGTGAGACCGGTCATGAGTATTCTAGGTTGAAGAAAGTTGATTTTATTAATACCTCAAGCTTACCTGGAGTAAATTCATGCTGAAAACCTCTTCAAACTAGGCAGGAAGTACCAGGAACAGAAGCAATTGACGGGAATGCACACCTGGCAAATGCTGGCAAATGGCTGCGCAATCACTCAGCTGAATGATTTCGCCTGCTTGTTCTGCCTTGGCAAAGTTTTACGAAGCCATGCTCGCTTATCTGTGCTGAGAAGAACTCGAGATTTTCGGTAAGGTTGCGGGAACAAGCAAGTCACTTTTTTGGCGTGCGAGATATGACGTAACGAGCGCGGGAGTCGGGACTGCCGACCCCGTAAGTGGGGCGCTTGATTTAGCTTCTTCTTTGGACCGGTACCGCCTTCATCCACAGTGTTATTAAAGCTCAGCAGAAGTAAATTATAAACTTTCCTCTTTACCGCCATGTCCTACCACCCATCAAATCACCAAAACTCGGACTACGGCGCACCATTTGCGCCACACAATAATCAAGGTTACTATCCTCCCGGAGGATTCGTGAGTATGATTCATGCTTACATCGTGCGCAGGGCTTATGCAAAACTGAATACAATAGAATTTGCCTCAGGCTCCCGGTAATCCTCCCCCTATTCCATCGTATTCTTATCCTGCATCAAATTATCAAACTCAACCCCCTCCTCCTTCTTTTCACGACGGATATGTACGTCGTTCCTCGGTTCTTCTTAAAAACCATGACTAAAATAAGAATCTAGGTGCCAACGTATCTACCCCCTCCAGCATCCCAACCGCACGGAGGTTACACTCCCGGCCCTCCTCCGTCACAATCGACATATCCAGGAGTCTCTTACCAAGCTCCACAGTATTCTCACTATCAAAATCAAGCATCTATCATACAATACCGCAATACGCCTGTTCCGGCACCTGTAGGGTACGATCTGCCACCTTTGGGTGATATTGCTCCGGGGTACGACCCTTCGCTGGATATTGACAAGATTCGGAAAGCTACGAAAGGAATAGGCACTGACGAGACTGCTCGTAGGTTTTTGTATCCCACTTCTGTTTGAGTTGCAATCTGACATTATTTATGCAACAGTTGTTGCTGTTCTAGCTCATCTTGGGTCGCTTCCTATAGCTTCGCTGTCGGCAGCTTTCAAAGCGAGGACAGGGAAAACTCTAGTCGAAGTTTTGGACAGCGAGACCAGCGGATATTTCGGGTGAGTTGTTGATCATGACCTTATCGACCTCATTCCTAAATTAGATTCAGAGAAACGCTTCACGGACTAGTCCAAGGTCCACTTTGGCACGACGCTGAACTTGCTCGGAGTGCAATTCAAAGGGCAGGGTAAACTATACTAGTTTTTCAGGTTGACCTTCACTGACATATTTCAAACAGAACGGATGAACTGCTTTTGACCGAGGTAATCGCCGACTTGACTGCTTCAGATCGCCAAAATCTCTTCATGGCATATCGGATGCGCTACGGTCGCGATCTCCAAGCTGATATACGCAACGACTTGAGTGCAAAGACAGAAAGACGTGCGTTTAACGTCTATACCGATACGTTCATCGATGAACTAACAATCTTTCCTTTTTCCTTTAACAGTGTACACCATGATAATTTCATCAAATCCACCACCAGATAATGTAGCTGTGAATTTCCAGCAAGTCGAGCATGATGTGAAGGCGTTGTATAAGGCTGGGCAAGGGAAGATTGGAACAGATGAAGTAAATTCCAATATTACTTACTGAAAAGATAACCTCTAACCTCATCGGAAGATCACATTCTGTGATATTATCATCAATCGCTCGAAACCCCATTTAGCAGCACTGTAAGTCAATCGTCTTCATTTTTGGATGATTGTGAGGACAAAGTGAGGACGGTGCTTACACTACTTCTAGATGCGATGCATACAGTAGGAAATACAAATCACTTACGAAAGTCATCAAGTCTGAGTTGTGAGTGCTTTTCATTGGCGCTTTTTACCAACACTGATTTCCACGTCGTTTCTTTTACCGTGCAGCTCCGGCCACATGCGTCAAACTCTCTTATTCATTGTCGAAGGAGCAAAGCCAAAACACTTGATGGAATTTGGTCCAGGTGTGTGGCGGGACGCCAAGTTGCTTGAGAAATCCATGAAGGGTTTGGGAACGAAAGACAAGCAACTCGTAAGAAGGTATGCCAATTCGTCAAGTCGTCTATAGTCCCCATGGCTCACGAACCTGACACTATAGAATCATCCGATACCATTGGGACAGGCCTCGCTTTGAAGCGATCAAAGCTGCTTATCAGAAGAAGTATAGGAAATCACTTGAAGGACGCATCGCTGGGGAAACTAGCGGAGATTATAAAAAGCTTTTGGTGGCTATTGTGAAAGGGATTTGAGGAGTCTTTTGAGTGAGAACAATCGTATTTTAACCTTGTCTTGTCTATTCGTATAAATACTGACGATGTAGTAACGACGTAACTTTATGTAGTAATTTTTTGTACTGTATGTACTTACTGTCTTTTAATCACATCTTACCTGTATCAATGAATTACGCTACGCAGTAACACTTTCAGCGCTAAAATGACCAATAGGCGCCTAACCTCTTCCTTCGGGCTGTTGATTTAGTCCGAGCAAGAAGCTCCACCTAACCCGCTCACTACCGCGCTATGCATACACTGGCAGGTAGAAGGATGTTTATTTATCACACTCTTCTTGAACAGCAACACTGGGCCCGCAGGATTCCCCAATGCCCATCGATACGGCTTTTTGTCGGTCGTAAGCTCCCGCTTCGCACGTTAGCGTGTTTCAAGCTGTATCAAGATTCAAATATTCAAGCTTCAAGGCCCACAGGCTTCGAACTTCACCGTCACCCTTCATCTTCCATCAAATTGGCCCGACTTCGAGGGCAACTCGCATGTACTGCCTTTCCTGCCAATGTTGCCCAATCCCTACGGAAACAGAAGGTCCATCGTATCTCTTGCTATCAATTCGCAACCAGAGTACAAGATAAGAGAAGAAGGATTCTATTCATCCAACAGGACCCTTCAACACAGCTCTCCCGGCACGGTGCCATTAAGGAACAACCGGGAACCCTACGCAGTACTACATACATTGCTGGAGACAGGCTGGAGATAAGAGTCAATACTATCTGACCTTATCCGACCTGTACTTAGGGCCCATATGGACCCATACAATTCAGTTACTCAACAATATTCTTTGCTTATTCCTCCGTTGCAGCTTAATGATCCTGATAAACTTATATTGTGACACAGAACCTCTGAATCGTGTTCCTTACTAAAATACAGGAAGGAAGGAAGTTTATTACGCGTCTGTCCCTAAACACAGGGACTTGAATACAATGTTGGGCGGCGCGATTTGTTGACTTGCGATTGATTGCCCAAAGACTGCATCCTGACATTCATCCAGGGATTTGAATCTTCTTACCAGTGTTATCTCACCGCTTTCCAATGGCTCCCCAGGTATATACTGTATATATATCGAGCGACAATCTGAAGGTCGTTGAACGGACACCGTATCATTACGCCGATTTGGTATGTCCTAACTTTCACTCATTTCTGAGACAGCCAGATGAGTCTGACGTTCGTTCCTCCTCCACGAACAGATCCGCAACGACAAATTTCGGAGGGAAGTAGATTTGCTGGTCATATCTACACTTCGTTCTCAACTTGAATTGCACTGAGTCTTTGGTTTGTCTCTGTTCTCGTTTAAAGGGTTTATGGAGTTAAAGATCAGTCACAGCCAATAATGCTTTCATTCTACCACTTGCGTTCGCTTCCCCTACTCTCCCTATTGGTTATGTTTCTGGGCGCAACAGCTGCCCCATTCAACGCCACCGTTGATATAGCAAAAGACCTTCAAAGGAGAAAAAGTACGTAGGATTCATTTCACAGTCATCAATAAATCTGAGTATATCTCCCACCCAGGTTCTGTCAATGGGATAGGGGTGACTTTCAAACGTGTAGCCAACGCGGAATCCAACACTCCAGAATTACTCCGTCACGCAAAGGATATATATGTGTCTGAAACATGGACTCTTGTCATTGGAAGGGACAATGCTTACAGAGCTATCCCAGATCCGAACAAACCAGGTCATTACAAAGGTCACAGATTCCAAGAAAGATATGCAGGAAAGATCATAACGCTCGTCAACTTTGGTACCGTGGAGAGGCAGACGGAGGCCTACAAGGCCTTGGCAGATCTCCCTGCAGTGACGAACTTGTTATATCTTAATGAGATATTCAATTACCTGCTTCAAATGGGTGCAATCCACGAGATACCTGCTATCTGGACTTCGCATTATGCTCAAATGTTGGATCTGCGGGGGGATGCGCTAGGTCACCAACTTAATTACTGAGTAGCCTGCGATCCCAAACTCATTGTACGAGACCATTTACATACACCTGTGGTCCGTATTTTTATTCACGAACGCGGAAACATTATCGTAAACTGATTCATGATCATGAGATTGTAGTATATATGTACATACTTGGAGTCGGCTTTAAGTATCCACTGCCAAATTCGTCAACCCTTACAATGGGTCACTTTTAGGGTTACTCAACCAGACCAACACCAACATCTTACTGCTTGATAGATAATAAATTTTCGACAGCAAACTAACTTCATCAGGAAAACCATCGTCTTGAAAATGCTGAACGTACTTTGTCTATCTACGCTCGTTTATGGAACTATATACTTAAGCTTTCTTCGACATCGGCATACTATCTAAAACAACACCAACCCGAGTGATCTGTGATTCTGAGTCCTGTTTCTGATGCGTCAAGCTAGCGACGCTGGTTCTCCGATTTCTTGCTGAGAGTGGTAGCTTCGTATCCATCCTTGAAGGGGACAAGGTGCATTCCTTGAGCAAATATGGCTTTATCGCACATCAATCATCGGTAACTTGAACAACTCGGAAGAGAGAGCGGGTTGAGCGGCGAGGAAGAATATAACTCACCTGTATGTGATTTGGTCCGGGTTTTTGAAGACTTGATTTCATGTTGTACGGAGGTGACGTTTGAGGGATGATAAGACTCGAGTCACTACTTTGGATGTCCTCATCCTCTTCCAAAGCTCGACCTGCAACTTGTTTTCGCGTGTTAAGCGTACACATCAGAGAAACAGCAAACGCTTATATGGGAAAAACAAATTTAGTGATAACAAAAAGGATCGAGAGTCAGAAGACAAGGCTTACTTTTCGACACTACAAAATACACAGCCATGTATTGGAAGGTATTAGGGTATGCATCATACTGAAATTTCATGATAGGTTTTAGAGGAATCCGAGATCTCAAACAATGAGGTTTCGTCCTCACAAAAATCAGTGTCAACAGAGTCATGGCACTTTTGAAGGGTGTCAGAGAATTAGTACCCTGGGAGAAAAATCCACAAAATTCGCACCTCGTAAAAGCCCCGGTATGGATTGCGTATCCAGTCAAGTTGTTGACAAGGGAATCTGGCCTGCAATAGACGCGACTACATGGGTAACTGTTGAGCGTACAACTGCAATGAACCACGTACTCTGTGTATCCTGTACGCAACTTGCGAAGATAAAAAATCAGAGCAACAGCAGTGAGCACGTCGCCGAGAGCCCCTGTAGCAAGCGCTATGGATCCCAGGACCTAACGGATACTTATGAAAATGTTTAGAAATAAGTCGGTGTGACGGTTTACTTGGAGTTTCGGGAGATCCAAGAAACTTTGGATCTGGTAACTAGAAAACCAAGGCTGGACCTTGAGCCTTCACCCGCTATAATGTCGAAGAACTGCTTACGCTGCGATAGTGTATGCTATAATTTTGACGATACCAAAAAGATTTGAAGGAGAAGAAGCGGCATGATTAGATTTGCACGAACCGATAATGAATCCTAATTGTTAGTAGTCAATTCGAGAGTGCTGTCTAAGTAAAACAGAAATATAAGCATACCGAACTGAACTAAGACGACAATAAACTGTTTGAGTTAGTGTCACAAACGGGTTTCGATACGGATATATATAGCGTACTTACAATAAGTCCGGTGATGAAAACATTTCTCCGACTGACTGAGAAAAAAAAAATTCTTTGAAATTGGGAGAATTTTTTCCAAGCAGGAACTGTACATACATCTCCAAACCCGAAGGACAAAGCAGCTGCCAAGTGGAAATAATTAAGAGTTGAGCATTAGCTCGAGAGAGCTGCCATGCTACACACAGTTTGACGATGCTCCCCGATATGCCCTACCAACCAAACAGATTAACCGACTGCTGAGGGGAAGAGGATCAGGTGGGGCTTACAGCAACAAGAACCTGCGTCTGAAGCACGAAAGATGAGCTCGAGCTTTAAAAGCTGATGATTAAAATTGAATATTCAGAGGCTCACCACAAGAGACCACACGACGTGGCCAGTAATCATTTCTAGCATTGAACCGAAAAGTCTATGTAATAGAAGTCATATACTCAGAGAAAGAATTCAAAGTGTTCGCGGAAAGTCGATATGGAACGCACGTAATAGTGTAGTGGTAAAGAGCATGCGAGATCAAAATAACATGAATTAATTCCAGCGACCTGAAGAATTGGTCGTAATCAGGTTCTCTGGAGAGGTCGATTGAAAGAATGGATCACAAATACCAGACTATGCCAACCTATGAGTTCAAAAGTCAGTCACCTCGATGAGATGGTCCGGAAGGTGAGACTCGCCAATATCCTCAACTGCTTCGGGTCTGCGACGAACGTTTGGTAATAGTTTGTTACTTGGGCAGTTAGAACACCAAATACCGCACATGCGAAGCTGTATCCGATAAATGCAGCACCTAATGTGTTATCTGGGTTGATTCCTGGAAGCAGGTATTGACTATCAGTGGACGAGGAGTTCATAGCGAGTAGGTAGAAAAGGAAGCTCGGAGAAGGGATTGGGGCTGTCGAGACATTGAAGAACAGTTATATTGTCATTTGGCATGTATCTTGTCTATCATTCCGCGTTGTGTAAATCTGCCACTGAGGTTTGAGCTTGTTTGAACGAAGGCTAGAATAGTCAGACGAACAGCACATCATACAGAATAACAGCCGGGAGCTGATTTGAACAATCCGAAACTGCACCAGGTTTAGTACTGAGCGAATGATCATTAATCAGGCCCATACCGTATGATCCTCCAGATCAACGTCCGCGTCAGTGCTCACTGACAAGTGGAACTTCTCGACTTGATCTTTAGCCAATCAAAAATAGAGTCACTTGGGTGCTGATTTTCACTCGACGTAGACTGTGAAAACTACTATGCAGTGTTTGAAGCTGTACTTAAATTGTTTCGGATAACAGGACATGAAGAACGAAATTAGGATGATGGACATCGGACATGGGAGATCATGCATGTGGACCCGGGGGTCGAAGATGGCGCCACGTTTTTTGCTTACATACGCACCGAACTGTTTCCTCCCTCCGATAGAAATCGCAACTTGATCCATTAAATGAAGCCTCACTTCACAATCATCGGGAACCATTTTTGCTCGGATCTCTGGTCAACTTTCGACGCCACTCTTGGATTGACGTCAGGCAAAATGCGTGGAGGTGCAAACTCAAGGAAACTATTGCAATACACTGGCAGGTTTGTTGCTGCTCTCTTCTACTGTCTAGTCATTCTCAACCTCGCCATTCAGAGCTCTGTGAACGTACTATCTACGCCGGACATTCGCAATCGAATGCGGTGGTAGCGTCGTGCAGGTAATGGTGGAGAACCGATTGACCCGGGCAGAAATGAGATAGAAGGATACCATATGAAGAAACAGATGACGTCCTGGACGAAAACACGGGAGAGCCTGGAACAAGATTGTCGGTTGAACTGGAAGCTAGGCTGGCAGAGGTGCTGGGGGTATGCGTCGTCGCTGATGATGTTCCGGGTGGTTTCGGTCTCCATGATCAATAATTCCGATAACCTGGACACCGTCGACCTCTAATCTGACGCTTCTAGCATACTGGACCATCTGAGTATTAACGACGTGTTCAAGCGGAGGCCTGCAAAGGTTCGAACGAGAACCAGGAGCGGTATTGGGTACCTAACGCCTATAAATCTTCATCTTCGAATTCTACACGAAGGTCCGATGTAAGCCAATCTTCATTGTGAACTTGATAAATGCTTTCGACTTATTTCGCTCACTTTGCATCATTTACGCCAGAAATTGCCCGAAACCTGCTCGCAAGGATACTTTCTATCTTGATCTGGGACACAAGCCACGAGTGCGCTGATTTATGGCTTCCTATGTAATCATATTCAGAACCGATGTAGTCATCACAATGGAGCACATCAGGCATGCTACGTTACTTGAACATGGAGCTATTGCTGAGACAGCCGTTATTAGATTAAATACCGACGTATAAATTCTAGCTAGCACGTTTCGTTGATCAACCAGCAGAGGTTCAGGCGACGGAGTGCTCGTGCTTCTCTCGCGGAATCCAGTATATCTCCTCATCAACCATGTGTTGAGTATCATACGGCTAGGATAGGTATGCGGTATGTTGTCCTCGAACCACATCCAAATTTGACACCCACAGCATTATGCTGTCCGCCCAAACATCAGGATTTGTCGAGTGATCTACTTCTCGGCGTGGCTGGGTTACGGATGAACGACAAACTGCGAATATCCACATGTGAGTGGCATGCTTTCAACGTTTCTGCGGTAGTATATGTTTATGAGCTCGCAGTTCTGGATGATCATTCCCCATCTTTCCAAACTTCACCTCTCTGTGCGTTTGTTCTTCTTCACGAACCTCGAAACGATCTCAGAATTTACCATCTGCACCACATTGTAGGTTTTAATATCTCACTCCCTGACGCCGTAACTCATCAGCTTATTTACCTAGAATCCATTCATCTTTCATAACACTAGTCCTCATAAGCTACAATGGGAAGCAGTCAGTCTAAATCGGCCAAGGCCGCCGTTGACGAAATCAACGAGCGCAAGATACGCCAGAATCCTATTGTCTTGAGGATGGAAAAAAAGCATCAAGAAGAGCTCGAGAGCCTGCAGAAAGATGCCGAGAAGCGTGCAGAAGCCGATGAGAAACTTCGAAGTCGCCAAGAGAAGCAGCACCAGAAGAATGTCGTACTTTTACAATCGCAGCTGGACCAGGAAGCGGAGGCACGCAGGGCAGCGGAAGACCTCCACAGGGAGGCCGAACAAAAGCGTATCAAGGCCGAACAAGAGGCATCTGATTACGCTAAACAGGCAGAAAAGGCACAGAAGGCCAGAGACGATGCAGTTTCTGCTGCGGAGAAGGCTCGAACAGCAATGGAGGAAGCGGAGGCTCGAGCAAAGTCAGAACACCGGGCCCGGGATGAGGCAGAGGTGGAGAGGAAGAATGCAGTCCTCTCAGCGGAAGAATTCAGGGATCGTGAGCGTTCTGCTCGAGATGCGGCTGCGAAAGCAGAAGAAGCGAAAGAAAAGTTCCAGAGGCTGGAGGAGAAGGCTCGCCTGACGAGTGAGGAGACCGAGGATGAGTTACGGAAATTTAAGGTGGAGCGGGAGAAAACAGAGAAGGAGCTCGCTAGGGCTCACAGGCGGGAAGCCCAGCTAGCTGACCTGCAGCCTGTACACGAGCCTACACGTGCAGAGCATGAGCAGACCAAGAACGATCGGCAGTACATCGAGGGACGACTGCATCTTGCTATTGCTGGCATGGCAGGGAGCGGGAAATCCTCGTTGATAAATGCCTTCCGCGGCGTGAGTAAGGGCACCGCTAGTGCTGCTGCCACAGGCGTCGTCGAAACCACTCGTACCATTGGTCGATATGAGGATCCTCATCCTGACCGCTCGAAATTCGTCTGGTACGATATTCCTGGAGCGGGTACCGCCAACGTCAGTCATACCAATTACTTTATCAAGCAAGGGCTATACATATTCGATGCCATCATTGTCCTCTTCGACTCTCGCTTTGTTGACGCGGATATCACAATTCTGGAGAACTGCAAGAAGTTCAATATCCCTGCCTTCATTGTTCGGAGCAAATCGGACGAGCATATCAAGGCCATAGCGGATGAGATGAGGGAAGAACTGGATGAGGATGAGAGTGAGGATGAGGATGATATTCGGTCGAAGGATCGGGAGACCCGTCGAACGCGTATCGATGCTGATGCCAAGGAGGAATATATTTCTGTCACTCGACAGAATGTTAGAGAGAACTTGCAGAGGGCCGGGCTAGACGACGAACAGAGGATCTATCTAATCTCGAGGCGGACGTTATTGAGGATTGTCCGGGGGAAGCAGGTTGCACAGACGAAGCTGATCGATGAATATGAACTCATCAAGGATGTTATGGCTGCAATAAAGGAAAGGAGGATTGATCCTCCTCCTTTCAAAGCAGACCCTGCGAAGTCTGGATCGTATCTTAATCCGTTCAGCTGGGGAGGGTGGGGTCGAAGGTAATAAATGGTTGCGGCACTTTCAATATCTATCCTGGGCTCTTATCTTCGAAATATCTTATGATTTTATGTCTCTCAAATGTTTGTATCAGGACATGTTCTCTCGGCTTCCCATATCAACTAGAGTATCACTCGTACGCCAAAGTTCTCACTACCATTGTTTTATCGGCATCGCATCCGTGGCTGCCAGATGGCGGAGGGCAGGATATAGGTCTGATTCAACATTGCGAACCTCAACGTTCTGGCTGAGTACGAGCGCGTCTGAAATCTCTGTCTTGATAAAGTTATGTCTGCATTTGAATTTGCAGGTCTTGGCGAGTTGCGGCTCGGGACACTGAACTCTGAAACTCTGACTGCGATGGCGGGGAAACAACAGAACCTTGGACTACTTGGACCACCTTGGCCTTATGGCCGCTTAGAACACTGCTATACTCGCCAAGTGACGAGATGTACTTATCCAAGCAGACGTGCTGGAAGCATCACCAAAGTCCTTGGTTCATCTATACTCTTTGCCAATGTCTTGTACACCCTCTGAGCGGATGCGCAGGGGTATACAAGTCCGTGCCATATACCCGCCCTGTGTCACAAATGACTTCCGATCATGAGCATTGACTGGCCCCCAGGGCTCAAGCGAAGGAGGTATGAGTCTCCGGGCACACAAGAACTTGCCTCAAGTTCTATATGTTGTTTTGCCGGTGTAGTGTACAAATTATTATCACACCAATGGTTCAAGTAATTGTTAACAGTAGTAACTGGCAATACGAAAGTAGAGATATGGATTTAAATCCACCTTGTTTAACGTCAAGAAACAAAGTTTCATAGATCAACCAATGTATGCCTCCTTAGCTCGATTAGGCTCGATTCCTACGTTTCTAATCAATTAGACTCTGAATTTGTCTAAACGTGGCATTGGTCCGATCTCTTTTCCCGGTTACTTACGCAAGAGTCGACAAATAGTGCTTTCTAGTCCTGTAGATATAGAGTTTTTCTGCTGGGTCCCTGGGCGTGGTGAGAAGCAAAAAAACGGCCATACGTACGCACCAAGCTGGATACAAAGAGATACAAAGTCACGGTGCAGATCGAGCTAGATCGAGAGGAGCACTGGCAGTCTTTAGCAGTCTTTGTTCTTTGTTACGTTCATCGTGACTTCTGAGTCACCTCATGTTTTTTCCCCTCGTTCACTCACCTCGTCTTGGCCAGGATATACCGCTGATCTAGAGTGCTTTTTGTTATGGTCTACATCCACAACCGACTGTGACGAATTTCTTCGAGCCAAGCTGGATTTTTTGTAGGTGGCATCGTTACATGTCTTTGCAGCCTCTACTCTTAGCTTTTTTGCCTTTCCTGCAGCCCCTCGTGTAACACAGTCAAACTCCAATATGTCAAGCTATTACCCGCCTCGAATTCTCGGATTTTAATCATGATCAGAAGATCAGTCCTGATTGGAAGGCGTTGGTCTGCGCTGTCCCCATGTATCTAACTGAATACAAATACACTCTGCGTATAAACTCCATCGTTCTAAATATGTGCTCCTCTCACAATAGTCTCGGGCAACAGCTTCTGGGGCTTCCCAATGGCACTTAGCTCTTCTAGCATCGATTCCAGCGCTGATCGTCCCGCCTCACGTCCAACGTCTGAAGACAATCCTGGACGACCATACTCAATTTTACACTTCCTTCCCTTCACCGTTGCAGCGGTGGATGCCCGTTTTGTATATCGTCCTTCCGCGCTACTCACGGAAATATGGCAAGCGAACAAGAGTGTTAGGCTACTTGCCCTTACTTATCCAGTATATATAAGTCTTCCGCTCCTTTAGTCGCGAGCCCTCCGCTTCCGCTTACTTACGAGGGAAAATATTGCTCACATCGGACATTGCAAGGATGGTGGACGTGAGAAGCTAAATTCTGCAAGGCTTACTCTATTCATTTGAATTGGAGGAGAGTTGACTTCTTTGTCTTCTCAGAAGAACCATTCCTTCTGGGGTATTGTGTCCTGAGCATCAGCATCACGAGGCTCAATGACGATCTGCGCTTGTATGCGAGAACTTGATGAGCAACTTCGTAAGTCCATAACAAAAATGTCTATATCTCGTTTATATTAACCTCTACTACACTTGTTGATTCCTTTCGGGTGGTCAAAATGAACGACCGGTAAGTACCGCGGAGGAGGCGAGGGGATACATGTCGCGGAAGTCAAAGGAAACTCCGGTCTAGAGCGAAATTACTGGTCCTAGTCACGGAACGTCAAACCCTAAAATTTTCCGCTGCAAATGAACCTATGGAGGCTAGAAGGTCAGTCCGCTTGCCAGCCAAGTGTTTAGCATGAATGTATGCTATGAAGAACGAATTATAAACAAAGGCAACTTGGAATCTATATGTGGCATATATGCAGATGATCTTATATGATTGGTCTTCAAGATAACCAATCTTGAAATAATCGAAGAGATTCCGTCATGGCTTGGACCACGAAAGGTCACCTCAAAATCTTATGCGATATGCGCTTCCATCGCCCTATTATCACCCTCTGACTTTCACTTTCACATTCAAACTTACAACTTTGGCATATACATTTTGGACCGAAAGGGGCGTTAGTGCGAGCACGGAGGTTAATGGAAACTCAACCAATTCGCTGTCCTACATAGCATCCCGTGGTCATCCTCGGTCGATATCACAGCGGAAGAAGAGTAACATACACACCATTTTTCAATCTCGGAAGTTTAAATTCCGGAATCGTACCAGTGTTGGGTGCGGGTGTAAGCAACTCGTGGTGTCAATTTTTTGGTATTTTTAAAAATATGTAAATCATATACGGAGGTGCTGTGAGACTGGTGCTCAGTCGGAACATGGTACCTAACATGAACCTTTTCATAAGCCACAGTCATATTTCTCCAGTCTATAGGCTGTGTCCTTTCACTTTTTGTTCAACTCCACTGGCCCCCCCATTCTAATGCCTATTTCACCGGTGTGGGCATTAAATCACTTGCGTTATTATTTACTGCATTGCCGTATTGAATCAAGCAGTTACGCCCACGCAAGGATATGTGCACTTATCTTTCTCCTTGAACCGACGCCACAGTGGATATCTCCTTGTATGTGTCTTATGAATCCTCCGCTACGCTCGAGACTATGATAACGGAAATGATCTCGGGTTGATTTATATATTGGTACGTACTTTTTGGAGAAGTCTCGTCTGATTGAGTTTGAGTCCATAGCTGTATCATCACGCACCTTGCCGGACTTACTTACAAAGGTTTGGCCACTAGGGAGTAATCGAGAGGAGGCTTCACTGTTGAGGTATATCCTTCTCGGTTTGCTGTATGGGCATATGCCCACTGACTCCTGATAGGTGCCTCGATTAAGCAGAATCGAGTGAGATAGGGTCAGACATCTCTACTCTTGGAGGTGCCAGAGGAAGATGTACTCTGCTAAGATGAAGTTAATCGTACCAGAGACGTTGATGTAGCTTCATAGCAATTTGCTAGTTCATAGAAGCCATACTAGATTATAAGTAAAATAAGTAATCAAGTACTACTCCATCGCTCCTTTGATGGTAACATATGCTACTGCAGAGTACATGGTATAGAATATACAACAGCGGAAACATCAGCGCTTTGAGCCCAGAACCTACTTATCTTGAATGCGGGAAGACTTTCCGTATACATACTTGAGGACAGGCAAAATGAATGAAAGTACAATTTGTTCACCTCAGGAGGACCGCACTTGACGGGGAAAGATATACTTACATGTCCAGGGAACAGAACTGCGTAGTGCTAGTAGGTGTTGCTATACGTACTGGACTATAAGATACCCCTTGCAACACTTCAGGGCACATGGCTGTCATTCATCCTGGTGGCAAAGAACGAGAGAGAGTTCTCGATTTAGTAAAATACCATGAGAAATTGAAGAGTTATTTGGAAGGACCTTGATAATTCAGTTACTCCAAATCAGACCCATTTGAGCGCTAGCGGCGCTTCATCATCATCGCTGGGAGAAGATCATCAACATACCCATAGAGTTGAACATGAACACCGTCAGTGGATCAAACGAGATATGAAATGATATCCATGACACTCGGAGGTCTGCAGCAAGCTTCCCAATGCTGCCAGTAATTCAGAAGCTTTGAAACTGAGGTTGGATGAACAATCTGTGACACAGAACGGTTGGAATAAAGACTTTCATTAAATCATCTAGCTTCAGCCAGACAATGTGGAAGACCCTTCTGTCCAAAGATGTGCTATGAGTCAGGATGAAGAAAACGGTGTACTTGGTATCTCTTGCATCTGATAAATGATCCATGCTATTTGGTTTAAATATACCAATATCGCAACCTTCATCATTCATGGATATCAAGATCGGGAATTTGCATCCTCCGACTCCAGCTCGAGGAGGATGTGAAAGCAGTCTCAGAGCCCAAGGTCATGTCATTCAGCATCGTTGTCCGATTAAGGTTTTGGCAAGTGAGTGGCAAAGGAAACTGCGGCCATACAACCAAAAGGCCCGGTCGGCGTAACTTCTTTGACACGGGAACATTAGTCGTGACCTCAGGCTGGGGGACCACCTGCAATTTTCTTTGAAGGGGGATAGCAAGTGGGAGTGAGGCCTGCAAAGGTGAGGTGAGGAATTTACCCTGGCAAGCCCTGGCAAGTTGGTTAACAATGTTCTCCTTTTAGAGACAAACGTCTTGTTTGTTCGGGTGTATCAGTATATATAAGTGGTAGATATCAGTGTATGCTAGGGGAACGAACAGCAGAGAAAGTCTGTTTGAGGAGGAGTAGTGGGTCGAGAAGGAGAAAAAAGATAGGGTCGAAGGGCTTCCTGAAACAAATGCAAACACCTTTTGAAAGCGAAACTAGAATTTCTGCTGGGTGAATAAATCAGGAAAACTCAAGGACGAAGAACA